GGGGGGGGGAGATTCTGTACATGTACAAACAAACAGAAGAAATTATTGTTACAAATATTCCACAAGAGGCCGGCCGAGCTGTGGGAGATGCCGCCGCCATATCATACACTCATCGCTCGCACGCCTTCAGCGAGCTCAGCCGTATCCTCGCTGCTAACCTCTTCGTCTGCGCTCTGTGCCATTACTCCTTCTTCTTCTTCTTCTTCTTCTTCTTCTTGCTCCTGTTGATCCACCTGCTGTTGCTGTTGCTGACTCGCTGCTTGCTCGTCCTTTTGTGCCTCTCCCACGTCCCTGATGCTTTTGTTCCACGCACTCCTCGCCACCCCATCGAGTTTGATTTTTCCAAAATGTCTCTTCGTCACTTCGTCAGCCTCAAACCCACTATCCCTCATCCGCACAAACGTCTCGACTGCCTCGCTAGCCTTACCCATCCTTGCGTATCCACCGAGCAAAGAGTTCCAGGTGACCTCATTAGGCGTCTGATTCCTTTCTTTCATGTACTTCAGCACTTGTTCTGCCAACTCCATTTTGCCGTGTTTGGCAAACGCGTGCAGGAATATTGACCATGAGCGCACGGTGGGTTTAGTCTGAGAACGCTGGTGGGAAAAGGGCGTTTGCATGTCGCGGATCACTTCTGCGGCGTAGGGTAAGCCAGAAATGTCGGAGGAAAAGGCAAGCAGGAAGGCATTGGAGACGTAGTCTTTGGCGGCGAGAAAGACGTAGGGGCTGACGTTTCTTTCGGCGAGGTATCGGTAGCGGCGGTAGAGGTCGTGGATGTGTGACATGTTTCGGCTGTGGGATGAGGTGATGTGCCGGAGGTGAGCGCCGATCATGATGCCCATGACTGATATCGTGGGTCTTTTTCTGTTCATGGTTTTGTTTGCGTGCTTCTGGGGCAGTATCCCGAGGCTGATGAGATCGGAAGTGTCGAATAGTTGCATGTAGGCCTCTATAACTGTGGAAAAGGCGTTCTCCGGATCGATCTGGAAGTGGTGTAGGTAGAGACAGTGTATAATCTCTGTCCCCACGACGTAGAGATTTTGAACTTGGACATCAGCGATGGCTTGGCGGATGGTGGTGTTGAGAGTTTCCGAATCCTCAATCACAGTCTTGCAACCCTTGAGCAGAATGGCGTGTGTATATTCGTCTGCCACGAGATTGTTGTCGACAAGAGAATGATAGATAGTGAAAGCCGTCTTGAGATCGCCGGCCTCGATGGCGTTGAGCATGACAATGTTGCAAAGTTGGACGTTGAGCTTGACGCCTATATCAGACAGGTTTTGGACCAAACGAAGACTGACACGCAGGCCGTCAAGCTGGCCGGCAGCTTCTCGCAGAAGGGTAGCACAGCAGCTTTCAAACTGCTTGGAGGTGACATCAGCTCCTTCCGAAACTGCATCAAGAAGCGTGTCCAATGCCTGATCAAAGCGACCGTGACAAGCTAGATATGTAGTAAAGTGTAAACGCGTATTCCAATGCAGAGGTGTGCCGCTCACGGCGATAGTCTCGAATATCTTCAAGACTTGTTCTTCATTGCAGTAATGCATCATTTTGCGGAAGGTGCTACCAGTGACTTGAAGCGGGGAAGTGCCTGGCCGGTCCATAAGGGTACAAGCGACACGGACTAACCGCTCGCGAATATCATCAGGCGGAGGGTTGTTGTAGTAATGTCGAATGATGAAACTCAATGCATCGGCAGTGTACGCAGCAGGCATGAATGGAGAGATGTGGGTGATTTCTAGCAGGCGAAGAGCGTCGTCGATACGATTTCCCAGTGTCCAGAGCAAAGCATGAATCCATCTCCTACGCCAGTGGTTGCCCAGCATTGTGGCCAAATATTCCTGACTCTTGGACTCTTTGCCCTTCAGTATCCGTGCAGCCCATTTTTGTGAGTCAAAGTTGAGGTTCGGCGTATTGGCCGGTTCAAAGCGGTGGGTCAGATTGTCATCGTAGCGAGCATTTAATTTGGCAAAATGGTGTTGCCAGTACAGAGTGTGGCCATCTGCAGAAAAGACCAGTTCCTCAGCCTTGTCGTCGGCAGCGGCTTCTCGGACCTTCCGCCTGACGGGTCTGCCTAATGTAGTGTATTTTGTCCTAGTGGTCGAGGAGCTTTTTGCGGCAGTCCAACGAGCCTTGACGAGAGCCTGCGCGGTAGACCAGCGCTTGAAGGTGGCTCGTCGAGCCTCGGCGCGGCTCAGTCTGCGATTCCCTTCTGTATGGTTCCCTGCCAGCTTTTGCTCATCCTTCTCTTGTTTCGCTTGGTGTTGGAGATTTGAGTCGTAATCTTCTTCCAAGGGAGCAATGGCGCTCTCATACCATTGCTGGACGAGCAGACTTCGAGCACTCTCGTATTTCGGGTGAGGAGTCTCATTCTTTCGCCGAGGGCTCTGTTGCTTCGGCCTTGTCGAGCGAGACTGTCTTGCGTATTCGCAGGGCGTGGTCGAGAAAGACTTGATTTGGTTGTGAGAAAGTGACGGGGTGTGTGATAGGCAGGTCGGCCATGGCTGAAAGACTCTCGGGGCGAGGAAGGGCAGGACAAGTTGCTCAGCTTCGGCGACAAGCTTGACGTGTCGGGCGGCGCATCGTGGCATAGGCGGGCATCGACAGAAGAAAGGCACTCGGGTTGTGGATACAGGAAACTTGGCCGCTGCTCTGCTCCAGACTTTCTGAGCCGTCCCCATCTCCGACTTTGAGTTTGTTCTGTTTGCTTCGAGGTCAACTCAAGCAATCCATCAACTTTGCGACGAGTCCATCATCACCTGCCTACACTTTTCAATCTACTACAAACACCCTGTCGACCTAGCCGTCATGTCTGGAAACCTGTCCAGCGCCGCCGAGGACCGCAAAGCCCGCCTCGCCGCCCTCAAATCCCTCAAGCGCAAACAACCCTCCGAGCCCACAGAATCAAACGACCATACCACCCTCACAGAACAACTCCCTAACCAAGACGTATCCTCCATAATCCTCTCCGGCCGAAACTACGACGCCACAACACGCGCCCCTAAACTCGGCTTCGAAAACGACCCTTCAGCTCAAGAAAACACCCTAGAGAGAAAAGCACACGAGCTAGCCGAAGCCACAAAGAAGCAAGCAGAGCAGGAAGACCACCATGACAAACCTTTGGATCTTTTCAAGCTGCAGCCCAAGAAGCCGAATTGGGACTTGAAGCGTGATCTGGACCGCAAGTTGGCCGTGCTGAATGTGCGCACCGACAATGCTATTGCAAACTTGGTCAGGCAAAGGATTGCCGCTACACAGGCAGAGAAGAGAAAGGCTACTGGTGTGACCAATAACGAGGGAGAAGCTATGGGCATGGAAGGTGCAGAGTTGCTTGAGGCTACCAATCTGAGGGAGAAAGAAGACGAAGAGGAGGCTAGGAGGGAGGAAGAAGCCCAGGCTGATCTTTTGGATGGCAGCTGAGCGCCTGTGACTTTGTACACCAACTCAAAATCGCTTCACCCTCCTCAATGGCTCTTGTCTGCCATCAGGTAAGCCGCGACATGGCTGTCAGATCCTGTCTGACGCCGGGCCATATTCTTGCAGCGGTCTGGTCTCAACAACGCGTCCGGCTAGTGCACTGCTATCACATCTTGCAGTGGCCTATTGAAATATATACGGTTGATAATCATTGGATAATCTACAGAGAATAATCGAATCATCCCTCCATCCTGCCATCTGAAGTGGCATGAAATCCCCAAAACTCCAATGAACGCAGAAGTGGTATCCTGAACATCAGAGCGAATCGCTCAAAGCAATTAAAATAAGCAACGGAAAGAGTCGTGAAAGGAAAAAGGAAAAATCAAAAGGAACAACGAGAAGAAAAGGGATGAACTTATGACGGAAAGGAAAAAAGGTCGAGTGTCCACTCAACCAAAGGCCCAGGTGAGAAGAACACTCGCTGCTGCGACGTCTGCGACCAGGATTCCAATGACCAACGTGGCAACCGGCCAGCGGGGTGTCCGTCTACCAAAGACAGCACCCACGCCAGAAACGGCAAAGGCCAAACTCGAAGCAACTGCCAACACCACGCCGGCATCGACTTCGGAAGCTAACTTTCTCTTACCAGTAGCTACCAGTATATAGCCAATGCAGAGTAAAAGTATCGATGCAATCAAGCATGTCGCCGACATCTGAGTAACCCAGTCGGAATATTGGTGGTGTACTTGCGGGTTGTATCCAGCAACTTGACCTGAAGAATTGTTCAATGTTCCATAGGAGCGGCGTTGAGTACGTCGAGGGGTATGTGCCTCGTCGTCTGACGAAGTGACCGACTCCTCTACCATACCTTGCTCGTTGGTACCATCGTGCCCAAGCAGGGCTTCTTGGTCAGAAGGCTTGTTCCTGGACCAGAGACTGCGGATGCGGCGCCATGTCTTAGTGGCAGACGATACTTCGTTCGGATCAATGTACAAGACATAAGCACCCTCATCCTCTGAGCCAGAAGGATCATCGTACTCGCTCCAGTATGCTTGCTTTGGCAGAGCACTTCCGGCCCTGCCATAAGCAGACTTTCTCTTCTTGCGGAAAGCACTGAGAGGAGGCGTCGCCAACTGATCGGGAATCTGGATTCGCGGAGGTGATTGTTCTTCAACTGCAGTCAGGTCACCAGTGCGGTCACCTACAGATCCGGTCGATGTTGACATTTGAGGTGTAGTGGATTGTGAACCATAGCTGGAGTCGTTGTTGTACGCTCTACGTCTGCTTGCCGCGGTGGGAACTTTGCGAATATCTTTTTGCATCAATGGAACCCAGAATGGAGGAACGACATTCTCAGGCTGGCAGCAATACCATACGGAGTGGTACTCAAGTGAGAAGCCACGAACTCGCTCGACAAGATAGCTCTGATCCAGAACCTTGATGAGGGTGCTGTTGGGAAACCCTTCTTGCCTTACTCGAAGCACCGCGAAGGGGAACTCCGCACTCATGTTCTGAGAGAACGCATCCTCAACAGAATTTGTCAAGAATTCTGCTTTCTTCATACGAATATTCTTGTCCAGAGTGGCGAGGATGAACCCGCTCGAATCAGTGGCTGTTCCAGCGAAGCGAGACCTGTTCGAAGCAATAGTAGTGAGAGGATTGATGGTCCCCTGCTGACCGATCCAGGTGCGCATATTTTCAGCGGCTTCGAAGTTCTTATCCTGAGTGACAGAAGACTTGCGCGGCGATGTGGTAGACGAGGAGTCGAGTATGGCGAAAACATTCTTGCGTTTGATGGAGGCCCTCTGAACATCACGGTCGTTGATTTGAGCAGTAACAATAGCGTCTTCTGTCTTGGTCCATCTCGCATGGACAGCTGCCTCCTGGAGACGGCTCCCTACAGTCTCCTCACGTTTCTCAAATGTGGACGAGCTCTGGTGCGCAATGAAACTTTCAAGGTCGTCTGCAACAAGCAAAGTAGTGTCGGCTTCGACAGCAGTGCTGTTTCTCCTGTCGCTCGAGGAGGTCATACTGTTGTGACGAGATAACGTAGGAGAAACGGTTGCCGAAGATGTTGTCCGGGTTGGGAATGATTGAGCATGCTGCAAGATCAGAATCTGAAGCTCCACGATGTTGTCCGAATGTACCCAGTAGACGGCGTTCTTGCCACCGCGGCCGAGAGGTGATGTGGAGAGGTAGGAGTCAAAATCGACAGACGAGCTCGACTCGAGGATAGATCGGATTTGTGCCGAGCTATCTTGCGTGCCAGCGTCGACCGAGGGCTTGTCGGGTGCCCCACTAATTCGCTCGTGGTACAGGGTTCTCAATGCGGAAAGGGTATCTTCGTATTCAGTATAAAGAGGGTTCAAGTCGATGTTGGTGAAACTTTCGGGATTGCCGAGAACATGTCTGTTGAATTCCGTCTCGAGGTCCGTAGATCCAGTCCACTTCTTGTGTTTCTTAAGGAGCTTGCGGAAAGCGGTTTGTTGTGCCTTTGAGAAGCGCGATAGGCATTGTAGTTCGTCTCCGGCCCTGCCTCGAATGTCAGTATCGTGCGATCCGCAATGCGGTACGGAGGCTTACTTGAGGATATCGGACTCGAGACGACCATACTTCTCGAGTCGCCTCGCAGGTATGCGACCATTGACGGCGGGTTTGGAAGAGAGCAACGTCGTCTGCTTGCGGAGGTGGTCTGTTGTTGTCAATTGACGCTGTCCCGACGTAGGTTGATCGCGTTGAGGATAAGGACTCACCCAGCCGCCTCTCAATCTCACCCGTCTTGCTCCTGACGAACAAACTGATTCGTTGATGTTGTTGTTGCAGGATGCCGGACAGATTGTCCTCGAGTTCTTTTCCCCTGACATCACCGGCTCCTGGTATAGAAATGCTGTTGCCGTTGCCCGCGGTTGTGTTCTCCTTGATGTAGTGCTTCACGTCATCATAGTCGATGTTGTCTGGCTGGTCAGCGCGAGCGAGGGGCAATTGGGTCTAAGATAAAGATGCTCACGATGCGCCCATGCGGGTATAGAATGCTGGCGGAGAGTTGCGCCATACTTCATGTTGATGATGATGATGATGGTGCTATGAACGAATCAAAGTGACGGGGTAACAGTCCGGGAGATTGACAAGAGTTTGCGGAGTAAAAGCGAGCAGGCAGAAACGAAGCGATTGTGACTTCGTTCAAGCACGAAGAGAGCACCTGTTTGGAGACGGGACGCAACGGGCGGGTCAATGGATGGCTTTTGAATACGGATGAATGTGAACAGAGAGCTTTGATCTGTTTGAGAGCGCGCAAAGGATTGCTTTTGGCAGCAGGGTCTGGCAGCGATGATGCGAGCGACACCTCGCGGCGAGACCATTGGCTCGCGGGCCATCAAACCGCTGCCGAACCTTTAGATTTCTTGGTCCGCCGAGCAGGTCCAGGACGCCCCACCGCTCCACAACGTCGTCCTCTAAAGGGCAACCAGGCACACGACCACTTCGTTGCCTCTGCAATCCTCCAATCTGGTACCCTCCTTGACTACCATCCGTCAGAGAATTCAGACGTTGCTACAGTACTCCACTGCCCGTTGTCCGTCCCGCGCTATTCACAACAAGGGCTCGTGCTTAGGGTTTGGGCGTCCCACAGGGCGTCGCCGAGCTGACCGTCATACAGCCTGTTTCGTCCCGAGATGCTATCTGCCTCCTAGAACTCTTGCTAGTCACCTCCTATGCTGTCACATGCTCGGGCAATACCTGCTGTAAGCAGCAGTTAACCGGAAGCAAGGTTTGCCAACGAACGCCTATTTCTGTATATCTGCCTGTGTAAATCCTGATTCACGTCCCTTGACCGTATTTGCAGGCTTGCTTGACCATCTTGCTGCATGCACTTTACTTCGGCATCATGCAGCTGGGTTACATATGCTTGAATGGCTACCCGGTTTTCTTCCTATCCTTGCTGGGACTGTCACGTCTCAATATACATGCCGAGTGACATTCTCTATAGTGAATCTTAGGTCCTTGCGCTGGAACTGCGCAGAGTCAGAGAATTGATTGAACCGTTCTAGCCATGACCGTGCTACATCAGAAACAAGCTCAACCAAATCGAATTTTTTATACGACCCAAACTCTTGGGACAAGTTCTGTCTTCGACAGAACGTGGCTTGCGCGTACCTGTGGCGATCGCCGCGCAGTAGCGACTGCATGAATCCTTCCGGCGCTGACCGACGGCATATCGATGCCCTTATCTCTCAAGGTCAATCCTCGATGAAGAATAGAGGCGCAGACTGAACACCGTCAAACATATAAAGAGGTCGATGTATCCCCAATGTCCAAACCTCCCCGCATGGTCCAGAACTCCATCAAACCACAGACCTTTGCTTGTCAGTGCTTGTCGCCCTCGGTTGACGCCGACGACTCGGCTAATCGTTGCTGTGGAGCAGACCTAGGCCAGTTGGGTCTGCTCCGTCACATCCCCCATACCACTCGAGCAAAAGATGTGTCAGCTCAATCGATCGGATGTAACTGGAGCCCCGGACACGACATGGACATCTTTGATGCGTCAATTATCTCCCACGATGCTCGGTAGAATTCTCTACCTTATGGATGATGTCTTAATCACTCAGCGGACCTGATAGTGACCTCGCCTCGAGACAAGGAAACATCACATCGCAGCTCAAGAAGGGAGATCCCCGTTCTCATCCGAGCAACTTACAGACAGGTCCACACGGTATGACCCTATCAGAGCCTATGACAAGCTTCCATGACAGAACACGGCTGCCTCGATCTTCAGACATTGTGTAGTCACATCCGCTATGCAGCATACATCGACCGACATAAGACTCACATCAACCAAGCAGAAGACGCTCTGGACGCACGTGCTGGCATTGAGTTGTGTCGTGTGCCCGCTTACCACAAATCGAGGGTCCTTGATCCTTGTGGCCCCACCATAGGCCATGAACAGCCACGGTTGTTTGTTTGATCTAAAAAGTAGGCGGGTAAATTGCGTAGTTCATGCATCGGCTTTTTCATTGGTCTCGTCGCAATTAATGTGCTATGTAGCCAGTAAGGTCGCTAAACAAAAGTCCCGGCTGGGCTCCTCAAAGTGGATCGCGGTTCTCGTGCGATTCAGGCGACGATGATACCAATGAGACGTGATTCGACCTGGCTTCGTGTACGCACTAGGGCGTGGAGAACGGATGCTGTCAGTGCAATTCATCTCGAGCCATTTGTTTGTGTCGCTGGGGCATATTTTTTTCAAGGCTACGCCGAAGAAGTGCTGCTTCGAGCATGGTTGCGAAGCCTTTCAAGAATCCACTGCTCCAGAGTGAGGGGCTTTTCTTGCTCCTGTGCGCAATTTTTCAACGAAGATGATTGTTCATCTATTCATAGACTGTGTCAGGGCAACCCTCTTGCTGAAAGGGCTGAGAGACCCAGGCCTGCCTCCACTAAACACATCCTTCATCTCACGGTCCTGATCTTGGTGGGGTTTGTAATCGGCCCGCTGCGTATCGGTATGTTGGCTCAGGGTGGTATTAATATCGGCATTGTCGGTTCGTCGAACAGGCGTGGGAGCACGAGTATCCTTGAGAGTGTTTCTGTCGGAAGCGGACCGCATCCGTCTTTCCGTATCTGCTGACCTGCCTCTTCTTCTTCCACGCTCAGAAGGACTTCTTGAGTTTCTTCGCATGCGGGTATTACGGCTGGTGGCTTCGTACGATTGCATGTGGTCTGGTGATGAGATCGTGCTTGAAGGGCGTGTGCGTTTGTCTCCAGCTCCTCCCGTGGCCGAGGATTCTCTTTCTTGCTTTACAGCAGGTCTGATTCTTGATCTTTCGGGGGAAGGAGAACGGGTCGAGATGGATGAGACGGAGGCCGAAGAGAAGGACGCGGTGGAGCGCGAGCGTTTGCGCGAAGGTCTGTGGTCGTCCATATCGTCTAGTGAACGTTTGCGCGGCCTATCTTGGGTGGATTTGCGAATTGCGCTTGATGCTCTGGAACATGTCAGATGAGCTTGAGGACATGAGAGTATATGTTGACATACTCTTTCTCGGTCGAGATAGGAGTTGGCGCAATGTTGGTGAGCTTTGGCTTGAGTTTTGGATTGAGAAGTTGTTGACTGCGACTGGGACGAGAGATGTATGGTCGTTCTTGAGCTTGCGCTTTGCATTCGTAGCTGTAATGGCCTGCAGATGTGTGAGACATGGCAGTAATGAATATGCGACAAACGCGCATAGCATGCGCTCACCCTTCCTCAAACACTTCTGGCAAACGGTGGTCGCAGATGCTCTATTGGTTGACGATGCGCCTCCGACGAATCCAGGCCGGCTGTAGCGATTCATACTGCGAAAATGGATGGAGGCCTATCGATACAAGCGTAGCAGGGTGTTGAAATTGATGCGACAGGCTCAAGGCAAGTGAGGTTGTTGGAGCGACAGCAGAGAAACAAACGCACTCACGATTTACTGAAGCGCGCATGGAGAGGAAGCCAGGGTTGCAGAGGGTCATACTTGCCGCCCGTGGGTCCGGGGCTTCTTCTTTGGCGGCTCCTGCCTCAATTCATTGCCGGATGCTTTGCAGGTCAAGACACTGTAGCAACAGTGGGGATGTATTCTTTTGATCTTAGTCGCACATAATAGAACTATAATGACTTCTCGAGAGGCTCTCACAATCTGCAAATTGTCTTGTGTCTTTCACCAGGTTTCTCTCAAGTCGCGGTGGAAGGTAGAAAGTGCTTGGCGCCAGACTGAGCATTTCAAAAACCGGCCTTGGCTTGCGAGCGAGTTGGTCTGTCGGGGCTTGACCACGGCGCCCTTTCTAGCACTCTTCACCGCACCGCCTTCACCACGAGCGACAACATCTCGATACTGCGCTCTCCGGCGCTGCTTTCGATCGGCCGCTCTCACCGCGCCATCTACCCACTTTTTGTCTGTCAGGAGCAGAAATCACAGCCTTCCTCTTTGTCGTGTCCAGGAAAAAAAGCCGTGTCAAACAACCTTTTCCCTTCATGTCGACCTACCACAATGCCAGCATCCCCTATCGCCTTGACTATTTTCCTTGAGCCTCCGGTTTCCTGAGATTTCCCGCACAGAACAGCACCTTCTTTTTCCCATCAAAATTGTCTCCGGTACAAACGAAAGACGACCATCATCAACCAATCCGCACCACTCCATTACTTCGACAACGCTCGCACTATTTGGAAAAGACATGGCTTCTCTTTCTACCGAACAATCCTCAGCTAGGCGGACTTTTGCCAACGCCCACCTTCCCTCTCAAGCCCATGGCCTTGTTTCTGCTGAACCTCAGCAGCTGTCTGCAGCTTCTGTCAGCCTGCAATCTTCTCACCCCGACCATGCCGGCAACCAAATCGGCCAGTCATCTTGTAACGACGTGAGCCCTTCTGCTTCACCAGGAAACTTTACGTCTTCTGTCTCGAACGAGCATTCCAAGCCTCCATCCTTGGACGGCCTCGAAACAACCCCAGTCCTAGCCACACAAATCCTCTCCGGTGCCTCTGACGAGAGCGCTACTCAGTTGTCATCATCGGATGACTCGGCCAAGCCACCTAGCCTCGATGGAAAAAGCGTGGCTTCCATCACCACCTTTGCGATGGACGAGAAAGAGTCGCTGAGACCGGATGATAGCGCCAGCGTTTTGGCTATTGAGGATGATGACACTTACTCGACATCAGCTGTCGGCTCGCGATTGGGTTCAGAGACAGGCGCTCGTGCTTTCCGTGACCAGCTGTTGGAGATCACTTCTAGAGGTCCTGCATTGCGTCAATCTGGGCCTACCTCGAGACCAAACTCAACTACCAATGCACCTATAGGAACACTCTATGTTCCGCCTCCAATCGGCAGTTCGACAGCTCTGCCTGGTTATGTTCAGCCGCCTACCAGTTCCGGAAGACCAGAAGACGTCTTGCCTGATGCAAAGCTTTTGGAGGCTCTCAACAATCCCAGAGACAGGATTTGGGTTCTCAAACTGGAGCAAGATATCATCGACTTTGTTAAGGATCCAGCGTATGTTTGCCCAGTCCACCGGTTGTGTATTTAGCTAATCATTAATACAGTGAACATTCCCTGGACTTGCCCCAATGCAACTCATTCTATAGAATGTTGGCTCACAAATTGGCCGACTACTACATCCTTGGTCATGCTGTTGATGGCTCCATCTCAGCTGTTCGTTTGTACAAGACCCCGAATTGTAGAATTGCTCCACCTTTGACTGGAATTGCGACGCCGCCTACGACTACCAGCACACCACCTCCCGCTGCGCCTCAAATGAAGATTTTGCGACGTGGTGGTGATGCACCCTTGAACGGCCTTGCCAAATCGAATTCCGATGGAGGCGACAGCGCTGATTCAGACAAGAACAAACTCCTGACTCGTGAACAACGTGAACAGAGATACGAGCTGGCTAGACTGCGCATTCTTGGCTCTGCAAAACCCACTGAGGACACGCTTCTCGTCAAGGAGAAGGACGAATCCCGCCCCAGCTCTGTTGCTGGCAAGAAAAGGCCCAAAAAGCAGCGCAGCAACAGTGATGATGACTTCGAAGCCAGGTCTGCTTACAGCACCTTTGTGACGCCGCAAAATGGCGCTCCTGACGGCGGGAACATGGTCTACTACCCCGCATTCCCCGGGGGTTCTCAAGGGGCTCCTGGCATGTACAATGGCGCCCCTCCAGCTTCGGCTGCACAGAACTCATATAACGCTGTCTATGGCTCCATGACGCCTTCTCAAGTCGCCCCTTACCCATGGCTGCAACAAGGATACTCTGGTTACAACGATTCCAGCAATCAAGCCCAGCACAACGTCAATGACCTCTCCGCTGATTTTCAAGCCATGGGATTCCAGGGACAGTCTGGACCTACCTCTCCACCTCCTCATGCTGGTACGTACGGCTATGGCAGTCCACAAAGCCAGCATCAGCAGCAGTACTCTGCATGGCCTCAGATGATGCCCAATCAGACTGGATTCCCAGGTAGTCCCAACTTCGGTAGCCAGTTTGCAAGCAGACCTCAGTCCTCGGCAAGTCATGGATCCGCCACACATGGCTACCCGTACGGCATGAATCAGATGCAAATGCCCGATAACTACATGGGATACCCAAACCAAGCAATGGCTGGAGCATACAACCGTGGAAACTTCAATCCTCAAAGTCAGGCATTCATTCCTGGTTATCAGCCTCATTATGGCGCACAGGTGGCATCTCCCAACAATAGTATGGGCTTCAACTCGGCTTATGCTGGATCGCATGCACTGCAACGTCAGAATTCGAGCCAGTCGCAGGCGTCATCCTATGGCGGCCAAAATGGTGGCCAGAACAACAGCAGGCCACCTCACCCTCTGCCGCAGCCTGTCTTTTCTCCCCATGTCCCCATGCCTTTCCAGAACTCACAAAGACAAGCCGGCACACCTTCCCGCCCCGGCACGACTTCAGCAGGAGACACTACCGGCAGTGCACCCAGTTCGATTGCCAAATGGGGCACGCCGGCCTCGTTGCCTGCTAAGCCTCCTCCACCAGCGGCAAACAACTCGTTTGACATGTCCAGGATGCCACACGCGCAGCAGATTGGCGCACCCTATTCCCCTGGAGCACCAGGAAGACTTCCCGGCGTCGGAGGACAGGGGTTCCATGCCTTGCCATCGATGGTTGCCATGCGTAATGGACAAGCACCTCAAGGCGGGCGATAGGTCGGTCTTTTGGAGAAAGAAGAGACTTTAGTGAGGGTTTCTCGATTCTTGCGATTGTCAAGGGACGGTTTCAAGCAGAGTTTTGGCGCGGAAGAGAAAAGGTCTCTTGCGGGAAAAGGAGTTTCTTTGTTATCGAGCATTACTAGGAGTTTGTGATTTGTGATTTGTGCTATAGCGCGTCTTTGTTGTGAGGTCCTTCTCTCGGCGATGGAAGAGCGCGCTCTACATCAGCCGAGAGGGAAATAGGTACTGAGTCGTTGCTTACTTAGGTAGTGAATCAGTTGTTTCCTTATAGCAGGCATGTCTCGATCATGTGTACATGATGATGTTTGATGTTGATTCAGGGGATCATGACTCTTTGAAGTCAACGATGTACAGGAATTACCTAGCGGTCATGCCGAATCTATGACTGGTGGAGCGCGCAACCTCCTGGTGTGTTTCGAGCTATTACTGTCCCGAAGTCGAGCCCATCAGCAGAAAACCAAACTCTAAGCTGAACACAGGTATACGACATCTTCTGCGGTAGAGGCGTCTTCATGGAGATACGTCAATGACCCGATCTAGGCGGTGGTTTGACAATCGGAATGCAGCGTGGTGACGTGAACAACTTTGAGCATCTTCGTCTGGCTCGTCTCTCGACCATAACTTTGGGTGGTGTCATGTCGTGTGTCGCATTCGTTGACAAAGGGGGGGTATATCTATCCGTCTCTTTCCTGCAGCCCTGAGTGGCATATCCGTTCTCGCTCGCATCTCTCTCTACACTTTGCAGCTCTCCTAAAGGCTGTCTCGTAGCCTTTTCGAGCTCTGTCTCTCTCCATTTCAACAAATCGTACTTCAGCTGGTCTTCTTCTCAGCCTCATCGACAGCACTACCTAGCCCCTTGGATAAAGCGCTAGAAATCTTATCCTCGGCCTCTCTCCTCCATTCCTCCCAATTGAAGTGTTGGATCTTCCTCACAGCAGCTTCCAGCTCAGTGTTCCAGCGGTACTTGAGACGATCGGCGAGTCCAGGGACCAGATGACGGGCGGTTTGCGGAGGATCCTTTGGTTGAGGGTCTGTGATGTTGCGCAAGAGATTTGATTGTTGGCGCAGGAGATGTGATTGGTATAGGCGGTTGCGCTCGTGCAGGTTTAGGGATATGTAGAAGATGGAGGATGTGAGGGCGATGCCGCCGATCTGTGTTTGTTGTTAGAGAAGGGTGGGAGTTGGAGATTGAGAGGAGATATTTACGAAGCCTGTTGTGAAGCCCATGATCTAAAACTGATCCTGTGCAATGTGTGGAAAGCGAAAGACTGACTTGAGAAAAAGCGAGTGGTGGGTTGAGACAAGACACAATTGTTGACTGATGATTGCGGCCAAACCGGGGGAGGATTCATCGAGAAGTCGCGATTCGAGTTTCATGCTTCGACTCGCTCTTGGCGCATTTGCATCCACCCTCCGATTCCCATACCACAACCATCTTGCGCAACAACCACTGCGCACTGCCTTACACCGACTGCCGACTCTGGAATCTTCTCCTTCGACAATTCCTACATCTACTCGAACGACACAGTCCGCAACTCGCCCACAGCGCCACACCGGCAGCAGAACGACGCTCCAAGGAAAAAAACATGGCAGGCGGACTCCAGAAATACAGACATTTGTCGCGCAGCAGCTCGCACCGTCAAGCTCTGCTCAGAAACCTCGTCACATCCCTCTTCAAGAACGAGACGATATCCACGACATGGCCCAAGGCCCAGGAAGCCCAGCGTCTGGCCGAGAAGTTGATCACTTTGGGCAAGAAGAACACCGATGCTAGCAAGAGAAAGGCTCTGTCCATCTTCTACGTACGTCGCCTCTCTCTCTTTCTCTCTCTGCTCCCAGATCCATCTTCATCTTCATCTTCATGACCAACTTCTGACAAAACTCGCCCCACAGGAACCCCACTCCCTCATCCCCAAACTCTTCGGTCCCCTGCGCGAACGCTTCCTCAACCGCCCCGGTGGCTACACCCGCGTCCTACGCATCGAGTCCATCAAAGAAGACCAAGCACCCTCCGCCATCCTCGAACTCGTCGACGGACCCAAGGACATGCGATTCGCCATGACCGCCCGCACCGTGTCTCGCCTGCGCCGCGAAGGCAAGCCCATCAACGACATGACCGCCGGTAACATTTCAAAGGTCACTCGTTTCCGTCCAGACGGCGACAAGGATCTCGAGGACATGGTCGCCAAGTTTGACAGGTTGGAGGCTCAGGGTGAGCAAGGCTTTGAAAAGGTGTTCAAGCAGAAGGTTTACCATAACCCCAAGGCTTCGAGGTAGATGGCTTCTTGTTGGCTGTGCTTTTGGCTGTTTGCAGTCAGTTTTGTATATCTTACTTTTCATTGGGATGGCGTTTTATATCTGGCTAAAGGGCTGGTACGGAAAAGAACCTTTGTACATTTTGTATCAAAAATCCAACACTATTCATACATCACCAATCACCTAAGCTCATATCTTCCATTCGCTAGTTCTGGCAAGTAATTCTACAGACAGATGCTCTTCAGAACAGACAAATTGAGGAAAAGAACATTCCCATGAATATATGGTCAGGGTCGTACTTTCTGCGTCATTTTTTTTTGTTTTTGAAACATTATCAAACAAGATGATGAACTCCCAGGTCATTCTTTACATGGTAAACATGATCTCTTGTGAACTTGAGACATGTGGGTTGCGCGGACCTCAAGGGAAACTCGATGGCAACGATTCAGGTCCATGTATGATGCACACCAGCAATCTGAACCATTGAGCTCACTCGACATGGGATCCACCCTTCAGTCTCCTCTGAGCGAGCCTTGACCAATTTCCAAAATACCTCACATCGACCTCCAAGCATCAAGACAAAACGGCACCGTAGCCATCAACCCCACGCCTTTGACCATACTCAACACGCCCATCCTCCTCGCTTGCCCCTTGACACCTCCTTCCTGCCCAAAACCTCCCAGCACTCCAGAAACACCACCCGGCAGCGGTCTCAAACTCTGCAGCAATACACCCACCGCACCACATCCAGCCCAAACCTTGCACCTCCACTCTTGCTTCCTCCCTCCTCCATCTTGGGGTTTCTGCATCCCTTGGTAATCCTTGTACGCCAGATAGAAGAATGCTCCTGCTGTGAATGCCCTGGCGTAAGAGTGCGCTATGCCTTCGATAAGCACAGGAGACTTTGGAACAGAGACGGAGGTTTGGTAAGGTAGCGAAGAGATGAATTTTGAAGGTGGTTCGCGCAGCATTTGACTACTGGCTTTGAGGTCTAGGGTTGCGAGCGAGAGGGTGGAAACTAAAGCTGTCAGGGCAATGAATTTGTCTTTTTGAGACGTCGGGCCCGTGTGTTGGTTGGATGATGTCGTGTTGGACATTTTTTTTTTTTGGTGGTGATGATGTGTTGTAATGGTGATGAGTAGAGTAGAAAGTTGAATGTATTGTGATTGGAACTCTGATGTTTGTTCGACGTGACTGTGGGATGTGAATATTTGCGAGGGAGACACCTCGAGAGAGAGAAAATACTGTTTATCGACAATGGCTAATGTATGTAGAAAAAGACAAGGAAGGAAGCATCCACGAGGTGTAGTGGTAACATAGTAAGCTTTAGCACATCCTCATGCACCAATTGTGCAAAAATCACACACACCGTAACTAGAGCTTAATCGAGAACACCGACATCGCATGGGTGATCCAGGCGAGAAGAGACATGGAATAAGAACAATTCTGTCGATTCATGATACATCTCCCTAACAAGAAAAGCTTCTACTGGAATAAGATACACAATGCAAGCAGAAGAGGAAGAAAACACAAAACGCCATTCTGCCCAAAGACCTTATACTCCTCCATCCAGCATCCTAACCAATGCAAATAATTTCGTTACAAATCGTCAAATCTCACAAAAGTCGACGCAATCTGGCCACTCAACGAGATCCTAACTCATCGACACCTGCGTCTCTTCACCTCTTGCACCTGACTTCCTCACGACACCCAGTCTGAGCAATCTTTCCCAGATTCCATCCCTCATCAGCGCCCTGTCCTTGGCGAATGAAAGACCATCGAGAGTGGATAGACTCTTACAGCCGTTACAGAGCAGGATTTCGTAGACGCGTCGTCGTAGCTTGGTATCCTCGTCCAAGCGAGCGAGATGCTCGGTATCAGTCGCGTGATCGGCATTGGGGAGACGGTGCGACATAGCCAACTGCAATTGCAACTGTGCTTCTGACAGCGGCTCCTCATCATCTGAAACAGTGCTGACGGCGTTTTTGGCCACGGAGACGGGCGCATAGAAACCATGTGTGATTGGGTTGTCTCTGAGATCTGTTTTGCGTAGGTGCTGCATGCGTGCCAGCGTAGCCACCGTCTTGCGAAGACGCGCGATGCGGTTTCCCGAAACATACAGCTTCTCCAATCGTGTGATGTTGAGCAGTGGTCTGATGTCCGTGATCGCGTTGAAGGACATGTTCAAGGTGCGTAGGTTGGGGAACTTCAAACCAAAATCGCTGGGTAGCTCCTGCAGCCCACACGAAGCCATCTCCAGGTTCTGAACACTGTGATAAGAGTTGGGCAGATCGATGGTAGGGATGATGTTCGAAGACAGGAACAAGGAGCGAGCGGAGAGTCGTTGGTTGAAGATGGTCAGTTGTTGAGCTTCAGCGTGCTTGAGATCTTGCTTGCGCATAGACAGCATATCAATGTGATGCAAATTTTCGATACCCTGTACAGTCAATAATCTGTTCTCATCAACGTTCAGGTAGCGAAGGTTGGTGCAGGTTGAGACATCAAGAGCGACCATCTTGTTCTTCTGCAGGGACAGGCAGTGTAGTTTGGATCCAGCAGGATCTTCCTGGATGGTTGAGAAGTGTTCAAGCTTGTTCTCGTCCAAGATCAAGCGCTTCAGCGATGGTAGCGCCTGCATACCCGAGACAAGAGTCAGCTTGTTGCTGCCAAGATCCAATTCCTCGAGGCGTGCCAACTGACATCCTTCAAAATCCACCTTGGAAAATTGGTTACGACGAACAGACAGCTTGAGCAAACCGTCCATGTTCATAATGCCATCGAGACTTGTGATTTCATTGTCATCTGCGCGCAACTCCCGAAGATGAACGAGCATGCAAAGTCCGCCCAAGTTGTCAACTTGGTTACTGGATATGTCGAGATACTGCAGGTTCATCATGTGGCTCCAAGCTGTAAGACTACTCAAAGCGTTTGAGCGAAGGTTGAGTCTGCGAACAGATGTCGGAGCGCCTTCGAGATGAGCAACATTGTTGTTCGAGAGGTCAAGATTTTCAAGACGTGTACAGAAGTCTTCCAGATTGTGGACAGAGTCAAGACCTCTATCGCGAAGGTTGAGTTGTTTGATGTCTTCCCAGTATGGCTCATCGGGTTCCACGTCTGTGAGTGTCTTTACAAGACTCTGGACGGCCATAGCATATCTGTCTCCGTTGTTTACTTGAGCCACTCGTCTAGCCAGTGCCTTCTCAGACGGACGTTCCTCATCAACATCGTTAACGGTGAAATCGGGTAGGTCGCTGAGGTAGAACGTGCCATCCATGCGAGCAGGAGAAGAAAGGCCATACTCTTGGTTAGGCGCAGCCATTGTAGGCGCTGGCTGAGCTACTACGGAAACACTCATCGTTCGCTTGTCTGGGAAAGTGGCAACGAACGACACCTCTCTTTGGTCCTGTCCAGAAGGGAAACCTCGCTGGAAAGTTTGTCTTCTCAAGGAGGAATTCCTCAGACCACCACGACGTGCAGGCTGAGGGTCATGGAGAGGCCAAGATGGAAGTGGAATGCCACTGGCGCGCTGCTTAGGCGCAGGCAGTTCTTCCGTTATCGAATCCTCGTTGAGCAGTTCGTCGTCCTCACTTAGAAGCTCGTCCAGTAAAGATTCCTCATGAGAGATATGGGATAGCTGTGATTGATCATGAGCAGTGATCGAATCATCGAGGACTATTTCAGTTTCCTCTGAGATGTTCTGAGGAATGTTGAAAGTGGTCAGGTCGCGAAGACCATCGCCAGTTTGCGTTTGTTGCTGCTTGGCTCTGGCTATGTTGGCCAGCTCCTCATTACTCCAAGATGTGGCGCGAGTGTCAAACTGCTGCTGTTGACTCGAGGCAAACCCGGAATACTTCGATGGAGCAGTGCTCGATGTGAATGGGTGCGGAGCATTGCTATCGCGGGTTGTAGGTCTGGAGCCAGTTGGCTCTTGTCTCTGGGGAGGTGGTCGGTCTGGTACTTCTTGTGGAAGCTCTGTGTGCTGGCCAGATATGTCGTATTCAGAGTGTTCTCGTTCTGCAAGACCTTGACGACGTGCTTGCATCTGTTGGATGCGTTGGATCTCCTTAATCTCGTCGACAGTCAAATCAGGGATGTATGCAAACGGATCGTCCTCGCTGCTGACATTGCTTGGCTGATGATAATAGTCAAATGTCGGCGGTCTGAGATGCTTGGCTTTCACCCAGATCTGCTTTTCCTTGTTGTAGGTCATTCCAGCGATCTGCTCAGGGATCAGGTGAGCAACCTTCTCGGGCGACAAATTGGCTACACAGTCTCTTGAAGAAGTGGATCCCATCGTACGTGCTCCACTTGAAGAGTCCAGAGATGGGTGAGAACCGTGCTGTGACTTGGTCGGGCTCGCTGGAGCTCCTTGTTGCGAGTTGTTCGAATACGTTCGAGCATGTCCGCGACCCCAACCGGGCTCGATGACAGGTGCATCAACGAAATCCCGAGTCGACACATCTTCGTGATTGAAGTCAATAGCGGAAGTATCATCAATATCAAGCGATCGAAGGGAAGAGTCCACAAAATTGAGGTTGTCATGCTCACGGAACTGCTCCAAGCGACTGGCAACCATCGGATCATGCTTGACTTGGCTTCGTGGTCTCCAGTTGGACTCATTGCCTTCACGAGAAGCCGACCTGGAGATGCTTAATGACTCAACTTGCCTTGTAAGGTCATCAGGATGTAGATGCGTGTTATTGAACTGCATCTCACCGCTAGACTCCTCGACATCGTCCAAACCGCTGTTGGGACGTCCCTTTGCCCGAATTATCGACATTATATGCATAGCCTCGTCAAGGAAATCTTGAGTGGTATACGAACGCTTGCGTATACTCTCAGGCTCCTCTCTCGAGTGATTAAAGGCGAAGGCTGCGATGTCAGCTGCGACTGCCTTGGCCTTCTCAGCATCAACAGACTCTGCTGGCAGCTCTGAAAGCTCTTCAATGGCTTCTTTGATGGCCTCTAGGCGTGGCGAGTTCGAGAGATATTCAAAAGTCGCTTCACTAATTTCGGCCTGAATCTGCTCACGACGTCTCTGGCTGGGGGTAGGGTTCCTAGGCCTGGTGACGTCCCTTCTGCTTGCTACACTGACGGTACCAGATCCGGTCATTGCTGGAGCTTGTTCATTACTTGTGATTGGCGCATCGACCTTGATGTGAATCTCAGAGCCTTCGCCCAGCTCTGGAAGCTTGCCGTCCATTGTGATCAATGTACGTCGGCGTTTTGCAGTGGGTGCTTTCGCGGGAGAACTCTGAGGACGCTTTCCATCCCTGATGTCAAACTCGTTGTTGTAAGGATCGATGACGGGGAATTGCTCCAGTGCTTGTTCGTCATCGGAGTGTCTTGACCTGATTGTGTTGCTTCTTTTGGACAACTTTCTCTTCAGCTTGAAGGGTCTAACTTCGGGTGACGATTCGATGAGCGGCGCGGTATCAACGTGGAAACGGAAGGGATGAGTGCTGCCAGGCGGCACAGCTTCCGGAAGTGGTGAGCCCTCAGTAGACTCGAAAGTCGCATCGAGATCCAAGCCAGTGGGAATAGAAATGTCCGCATCGAAGTCATGTTCATCCAGATGGCCCTCACCAAAACTACTGAGATTCGAGACTGCACGTTGAGAAAGTCGACGCCTCTGGGCATTAGCTGTTCCTGAGCTGATGACTCTGCCACTAGTGGAATGTGTGTTGTCAAATGGATCGTCACAAGGGTGGACCGGTAAGATCAAAGGGTGGTCGGGATCCAGGCCCTCGAGCTGACTCATCCTCCTGAACAACTTGTTGTTGGTGAAAGTGTCGTAGTTTCCTGTGAACAGCTTCAAGGGACTCTGGGAAGGTCTGCTTTTGGGTGGGCTCAATAGTGATGGCTCTTCAACATCCCCTAACTTTGGAGTTGCAGGTGCTCTGACAGGACTGAAGTTCCCTGGGGAGATGGACGAGTCGCGATCATATACAGAAGACGGTTCAATTTTGGTGGGGCTCGAGAGCGAGACTCTGTTCAAGGTCACGAAGCTCGGAATTGGAGGTGTACCAGTCGGTAGGTCATCCGGGAGAGAGACCTCGGGAACACTGGGCATGTTGTCTGCTGTGTCGCTGTTGTTCTTGCGGAAGCCGGGTGTGGATGGCAGCTCAGAATCCAAGCCGTTAATGGAAGCATCAGCACTGACGGGTGCAGAGCGCGAGTCCAAGGGAGCATAACTGACGGCGCCAGTGGAGCTCGTGTGCTTGGACAAGAAGACAGGACTAAAGCCCTCGCCTGACAGATCGGTGTTAGCGCTGATAGTGCGGTTGCCTTGGTGCTTGGAAGCGGAGCGGTTGAGGTGCAGTTGACTGGGAGAGTTGGGCGAGCGCATGAGGCTGTCATCTTGCGGATCCGTGTAGTTTGAGTTGTTGACTTGTCGTTGGCGTGTGCCTTGGGCGTCGGGCGAGTCTATCTGGGATGATTCAATTTGCGATGGCCATGGTGGGGGACTGGAGGGAGGCATGATGGTGTTCTGCAGAAGCCTCGACGGACTGTTGGACGAGGTGGGACGGTTGTTGGAAGAAGTGGGACGAGCTGGCGAGAAGATGTTCTCGAGACCCGAGGGGCCAAACAGGTCGGTCTGGTCGCCGTAGCCAACTTCACCACGAACCAGGCGCTTCTTCCACTCGAGAGTCTGGTGCTTTGCCGGAGAGCGCTTGACCGAGTCGTGGTGGACTACCGAGGAGGTCGAGGATTGGCGTTGGGCATTGGTCTGAGAGTCTGGCAGCGCCTTGAGAGGATTTCGTTGTTTGACAGAGCTGCTGTTTATGATTGAGAATTGGCCGCTGCTCCTGCGCGGGATGCGACTTGTGGACGAAGTTTGGTTCAGGACGGGTTGGGTGGCAGATTGGTGGTCTGTGGAGTGATTTGACAGTGACGGCGGCTCGAACCAGTCTTCGTCTAGGTCCTCGAGCCATGGCGCGACCTGAGACGACATGTTAGGGCTGTGTGGGAAGTGAAGTTGAAAAGGCAATGGCCGAAGAATGCGGGCGTGAAAACAAGTCAATGGAGCAGCATGATAGAAAGAAGGCTCTGGACTAAGTCGTCATTACGGATGACAGCGAGGATATACAATATGATGGAGCAGATTGCGATCGAGATAGAGCGAGCTTTAACGTGGTCCCGAAAAGTTGGTTTGCGATGAACCAAAGCACGGTGGAGCTTTGTTGCGCACAACACCATTCCCCTGGCAACCAGCCTGTCGCCATTTGGTCCGTCCTCTTCCCGCGTGCAAAACTCCATGTACTCGATATAGCTTCTCAAGATCCTGATCCATACTACCTTGGAGCTATATGACATAGAACAGGTTTCTACTTGTGGACGTCTAGGGTTGATATCAGATCTCACATAACTACGATGGTGCTACTCTGTACACGTTCTCATCAAGAAGTCATGACTTCTCTTGGCCTTCCAGCGCTCGGATGCATTGTTTATTAAATCTCGAGATTTGCACGCGAGAATAGGTCATCCACCACAAACCTTTGTCGATCGCTTTGTATGGCTTGAGCATTTCCTCTTGCAGTCAAAGCACAGAGCTTGCGCCAACTTGTCATCTGTCAGTGCTCCAAGCACCAACACGCCGCAACCTGCTAGACATTGTGCCATGTGCCAACTACCTCGTCAACCGCCGCCATCGACGTTGCTGTAGACGCCATCTCGCTCATGGCTCCGCGCCGCTGGCTATGGCCTTGCTCCGACTCGCACGTCCTCCGTCTGCCTGCCTACCAGAAGCCCTCTCTGCATTCCTGCCTTGTCCATCCCGACCACCCTGATCAGGTCCTGGTCGCCGATTCGCATCATCTGGACGACGACCTGCACTCTGCCAAACGCCGCCGCATTGAATCCATTGCCCATGCTTACCTCAGTGGCCAGCCCATCTACATACCCTCTGCTACCCTAAAGGGTCCTTTTCCTGCCGACAAAGACCTATCTATCTGTCACGACCCTCTCTCGAGCCCCGATGCCACACCTGTCTCGCCTCCACCTACCCTTACCGCCGACTCGTTCATTCGTCGTAGACCAGAGCACAAACCGCCCCCAGAGTCAATCTCTCCCGATCCTGCTCGCACCCCATCTCGGCCCCGCCATTCTTCTGCTGTTGTACTAGACAAGCCCGCCAGCCGCCCGCGACCCTCTCATCCGTCCTCGCGTACGGCTAAGAACAAATCTTTGCAATCCAACCTTCCATCCTCCGCTGTCTCGGCTCCAGATACCGACCTGCCGCCATTGCCCAAATTCGTCTCTATCAACCAGGTTCTTGCCCAGGCCCGTCCTACGTCCAACCAACTTCCAACTTCTACTGCGCCAGCTCGTTCTTTTCCCTCGCCGAGAGTCCGCATACCCGATACAGACTTTATTTCTCCTAGTCCATCGCCCTCCAGATATGACGCTTCCCCCACCAAGGCCGCCGTTTTGAGACAGAGGCCCGCTTCCTCTCTGAACCGAGTAGAGAAAGCTCCTCCATCGGCTAACAAGCTTCCGAGTGTGGAAAAGAACAAACGACCCATCAAACGAGTCTATCAAGCAGCTGCTGCCCCCGATACTTCGCCATTCATATACAGAAAGAACGCTGTTCAGGGCAAAAACCCCTCTGCATCAAGCAGACAGAAGAGTACCGAACCAGATCTTGCGCCTGTCGAGCCGGAGGATGTGGTTATCCAACCTAGTACAACAGCCAGGCAGTCCAAGACACCAGTCTCGCCACAAAAACGCCATCATGTGCTTTTTGGATCAGCTCCGGATATCTCGGATGCAGAGTCATCGAATGCACCGTCTACCGCTGTTCAGCCCGAGTGCTCGCCGGAACGCCCTTCGCGCGATCTCGTGCCTGCGATCAACATGTCTTTCGGCCAGGAGTCTTTGGGCATGAATTTTGACATCGTCAATCACTTTGATACATCTCTACCTGCGCCCCCCATAGAGAACAAAATCATTGACGTTAACCAAGGTGACCAGCAACCACCTACCGCAACTGTCACTTGGAATCTGGACACGGAGATTCCCCCTCAAAACACCAGCAATGCACTGATTAACGGGACAGGGAAACCAGAATTTGCTTCGAGGGATCTGATTCAAGAAGATACCGTAGACGGCGCTGCGGCATCGCGTCCGGACCAAGAACGTGAAATGATGCATGGATCAGCAGCCAAGGCATCGTTGGAACCCACCGGTGATCCAGTTGACGATGCTATGGAAGACACGGTCATAGATGATCTGGCAGCAGAAGAGAACATCATGGATGAGCTGCCATACATCAGTACTCAAGCAGCCATGCAAGACGCCCATCGCGCTTTGTTTGATGCCTCCTCACCGGTGCAGCCACCAGAAGAGAGGTTCGAGTTGCCTGTCGAGACGCCAGCAAGGCATGCCACGAGTTCCCCCCCGAGTCCGGTACACGCCATTACACCGTTCCATCAGTTCAATGCCGAGTTTACGACTGACACACAGGCTCCATTGCCTAACACGCAAGCCTTGTTCGACGGCTTCTACTCTCCAATCAAGCTGAGTGGTCAAAAACCAAGGGCAACCAAAAGGGCGAGTTTCGTTCCCTCTGTCATTCTTGAGGATGCGGACGATACCGTCGCGAGCATCCTAGACTTTTCCGAAAATGGAGATGCACGCGAGATCAATCATGATGGAGTCGATCTCGAACAGAATGACGAACCTACCAACGGCCAACACCTGTCGCCCGACCAAAGTGTGCTCAGTCCAACAGAGGACCAGGGCCGGACGAGTGCCTCCCTTAGTGACTCTCCAGACATCATTCTTTCACAGAGGCCTCCAGCGTCAACTAGAGACTCCGTTCGTCATTCCTTGCCTGCCCTGCAAACCGAATCTGTCAGCCTTTCCGAGATGCTAGATTTTGTCAGCAAAAGAACAGGTATAGACGTTGACACACTTTTGTCTCAAGCTACGCCGACATCTTCTTCTCGAAGCGCGAACAACAACGGCCGCGAATCTGGTCGTTCATCTAGAGTCAAACCTCGCTCATCTCTACCAAAGCCGGCGGGCTCGTCTCAGTCAAAGCGTCCGCGGTCATCTTTGCCGAAGTCACTCCCTGAGAGAAGAGTCGGACAACGTCGCTCCACACGGCTTTCCCTGTCACAACCAAACCCTCAGGTGGATGGTGCGAATGACGACGATGATGAGACCGATTTTGACATTGACGGACCTTCGGCAACACAGCCCCAATTGACACAACCTCGCCTATCTTTCGCTGGTTTGAATAACTCCTTTGCCTTGGTCTCTTTTGGTGTACCCGATGGCTCGTCCACAATACCTGACCCCAGTCTTGCATTCAATCATGCGCAGCAAAATGCAACACCCGCGTCGGAGAAGCTTTCCATGACACCCGGTAGTGCACCACAGAGTACGGGACCTATGTCGAGTTTCCAACATGCTCAGAAGCAGTACAGCAGTTTGACCGACCTTGACAGTACGATGCCAGATTTGCCGCAAACATTCTCGCCGCCGGTCCGTTGAAGATGTAAAGGAGATCTTGATAAGGCTGCATTGCGACGGATTTGAGCACATTCTACTTTTGATTGGCACATCCAAGTTGGGCAGCGATTTTGGCGTTATTAATGAGGCATGATAGCATAAAGATACCCTCTCTGATATTTTCAATCACAATATTGACATACGATTTCATCATTCGTCTCTTGCTTATCGAGTGCAACCTCCAATTTCTCGTGGGACCAAAGTTTGTTTTTTGAAACATGGTCGCATGCACGACAAACTCAACAGCACGAGATGCTTCGTGGCAGGCAAGGTTGGGCTTGGCTGGGGATACGATCACGCCAAGCCCGATTTGGAAGGCACAAACGTCAGACCAGAAAACTTCCTCTCTGGTGAGCATCCGACTACCCGCGACACATCTAGAACTGCGATAGGTAGGATATCAAGTATGATAGGTATTTATTCGTACACACCTGTCTTCTGAGGCAAGTGACTCGCCGTCCTTGAGCACGGGTATCACTTGCTCGTCAACACCAAACATAGTGCCGCCAACGATGGCTGCCGCGCGTGGGTGCTGCAGGCACAAACGACGATCACTCACAGACGCCTATTCTTTCCGCCGCCCCCGTAACAATGTCGATCTCGTTTTATGGCCTTGTTGCTTAAAAATGCTTGACTCCCACTGTCTTTTGCTTCACATACACCACACTCGTTGCTTGTCGTGACATCCGTTCGTTATGCGTGTCTCGTCCTCGGCCTTCTTGGCTACTTTGCTTGCTTTGGCAGCTGCTAAGCCTGTTCCCGAGACCCATGTACTTCACGAGAAGCGTGATGTTGCTCATCGCTTTACCACTTCCAAGTGGGTGAAGAGAGATAGACTGGGGCAGAATGCTGTCTTGCCTGTTCGTGTTGGCTTGAAGCAACAGAACTTGAACAGTGGTGCTGAGTATCTTATGGATGTGTAAGTTTTCTCTCAATGGTCATCATCACTGGAAAGTCCAAGTGGTCTTCAATTGAGACGTTCGTCGAATAGTCATGAGCACGAGACTAACACATCCAGTTCGCACCCCGAGTCTCCTAATTTCGGAAAGCACTGGACGTCCGACGAGGTCATCGCCAAATTTGCGCCTTCCAACGAGACATTGACTGCTGTTCGCGACTGGCTCGTGAAGAACGGCATCTCTGATCGTAGAATCACTCATTCGGACAACAAGGCTTGGTTCGCCTTCGATGCCACCACCAAAGAAGTCGAGAATCTACTCCACACCCAATACCACGAGTTCGAGCACAGTGCGACTGGAAACTATGTTGCAGCCTGTGACGAATATCATGTCCCTAAGCATATCCAAAAGCACATTGACTTCATCTCACCTGGTGTCAAGGGTGCCAACCTCCGCAAACGCGGATCTAAGAAAGCAAAGCGAGCACTCAGATTGCCTCCTGCCCGCAAGCAGGCGCCGTTCAAGCCTAGTAACATCTCTTCTCTCAGCACTTGCGACCAGGTTGTGACGCCAGCATGTATTCAGGCACTGTATCAGATCGCTCCCAACGACCCTCATGCCAAAGTCAGCCCCAACAACTCGCTCGGCATCTTTGAGGAAGGAGATTACTACGCCCAGCAGGATCTGAACCTGTTCTTCGGAAACTTCACACCCTCCATTCCCAACGGCACGCATCCCATTCCCAACTTTATCGATGGCGCAAAGGCACCTGTGAGCTTGCAGCTTGCTGGTGGCGAGAGTGACCTGGACTTTCAGCTGGCTTATCCCCTCATCTACCCTCAAACCACCACTTTGTACCAGACCGATGACATCTACTACGCATTCGGCAACGACCCCAATGCTACCGGTCTGTTCAACACTTTCTTCGACGCTTTCGATGGCTCGTACTGCACGTACTCTGCCTATGGCGAGACCGGCAACGATCCCGTACTCGATCCCAAGTACCCTGATCCAGCAAGCAATGGCTACAAGGGCCAACTCCAATGCGGTGTCTACAAGCCTACCAATGTCATCTCCATCTCGTACGGCGAACAAGAGCAAGACTTGCCCGCTTACTACCAACAGCGTCAATGCAACGAGTGGCTCAAACTCGGTCTGCAGGGTGTTTCCGTCTTTGTCGCCTCTGGCGATACGGGCGTCGGCGGTATCAGAGGCGACGGCTCAGCAAACGGCTGCTTGGGTTCCAACGCGACCGTCTTCTCACCCACTCACCCCAACTCTTGCCCCTGGCTCACCAACGTCGGCGGCACGAAAATCTACCCGGGCCGCACAGTCTACGAGCCCGAATCTGCAGTCAACGACCCCGAATCTCGCTATTCCTCTGGTGGTGGCTTTTCCAACCTTTTCGATGTGCCCGACTATCAAGCTTCCGCCGTAAAGACGTACTTTGACGAGCACAATCCTCCTTACAAGTACTACACCAATGGTCAGTACAACAGCTCAGGCGGAGGCGTCTACAACCGCAATGGCCGCGGTATTCCTGACGTGGCAGCCAACGGCGACAACTTTGCCGTCTTCAACGCCGGCCGCTTCATTCTCGAAGGCGGAACCTCTGGCTCTGCGCCAATCTTTGCCTCGATTGTCAACAGAATCGTCGAAGAGCGCATCAAAGTCGGCAAAGGACCTTTGGGCTTTGTCAACCCCACACTCTACGAGCATCCTGAAGTGTTGAATGATATTGTCAATGGCACCAATCCTGGTTGTGGTACCCAGGGCTTTTCGGCAGTGAAGGGATGGGATCCAGTTACTGGATTGGGAACGCCTTCGTATCCTAAGATGTTGAGTTTGTTCTTGTCGTTGCCTTGACCTGGGGGTTTTGCGAGCGACTTGGTTAGTTCACGGGTTTTTTTCTTTCGCGTTTTTCATCAATGCATTTCTCAGCCATCTTTTCTTATTTCTGCATTCTGCGGCCAAAACAAAAAAGATCAGGCATCTTTTTTATTATACATACAATAGCATATTCGAATCATAAATAGCGAGAAACATATACTTCTGTTCCAGTTTTTTTCACCTGCTTTTTTTTTTTTATTTCTTCTCTGGTAACGTCCTTTTCGAAAGCAAGTGTACACACGTCGTTTGTAGCCTCGAGCATCATCACATCATTCTGTCAGAGAAGCATGAGAACGAGAGATGTGTCGCATTGGCTGTATCTGAGGGTTTGCTTAGAAATTGGTCGGTGATTGTCGAGTGCGCGGACAACAAGAAGGATTAGATGACTTAGAGATAAGATTATATTAATTGGGGTAAGGATAGAGGGAAGAAATAAAGTCAGAAACGAGTGGTCGAACGCCAGCTCATATGCATCGTTTGCCACCAACATCTGCTGACTTGTCCTTTCGGTCGTCTGCAATAGCAAATTTAATTTTTTTCTGGATTTGTCGTAGTGAACGAGTGAAGAAGGAAGAACTGTTGGAGAAAAAGAAAAAATATAACAAAAGTCATCGTCATGTGTCGTTTCGTGAGCGTCGTCAAAAGTCTAGTGTTGTCGTAATCCAATCTCTTTTTCCCTCGATTCCAATCTCGTATTCTTTGTTCGTCATCGTGAGCATTTTTCCCAAAGCCAAAACCGAATGAGCCTTAGAAAGACATCCATCCAGCATCGCGAAGACAATACTGGCAACGAGGATAATGCTGCAAAACCGGTGCGCGACGACAAGCACAAGCAGTCTGTCTGACATGATGATGAGTCTTGACAGCACCGGCCCTAATCCCAGCAACAGCGGAATCCACGCTCCTGGGGCTGGAACCACCAGAAGTCCAACTGCTGCTTTCATCTTCGTCCTCTTCTCTCAATTCACCCAATCGTCTTCTTTGATCATTGGGGCTGGAGGTGGAGACACTGATGTTTTTGCGGCCTGAGCCAATGGCTACGGGGAGGCCTTGAACTGTGCCTGAGCCTGGCTTTTGGCCTGGATACATGCCGTCGTTTACTGAGAAGTTGCGGCAGATCATGTAGGCGCGTGTGGCGGCGGCGTCGCGAGCAAGTGCTTCGGTGGTGTAGTGTTGGCCGTCGGTGCTGTATTCGCGGTTGTTGACGCGGACGACACAGGTGTAACCATGACGTGTGACCGAAGGTTGGAACATGGGCTGTGGCCAGTGTCGGCGCTTGCAAAGGCCTTTGACAACATTATTCGTTAGTCCAAGAGCGCATTGGGAGAATGACAAAGAGCTGCTGGTGGGATTTTATGTGGAGGAAGCTGGTTCTGTAAGCTGCCTCAGGCATCCATCAAAGCTTATATTCTGCCCATGTGTGCAGCTGCAAAGATGACATCGGGAGGCGACTGCCATCCACACGTGGCAGAGATGCATGTTTGACGGGTACTATACAGCGACACATTGCAGAGCATGGAAAGAGGCAATTGGTACTCACCATCAAGATACATTGTGTAGAACATGATTAACTGTATGGTCCTCGAAAGAGATGGACCTGCTTGATGTGGCTTGATGGCTCACGCAAGAGCTGTCGTTTTTGGCAGAAGAGGCGCGCTGTCAAGATATGTGTGCCGTATATGTCACACCGCAGAAAGGGCCGAGGGCTGAACGTTGACCGACACTGATATTGAAGATGTTGAAGGATAAATGCAAGTGGAAGAAAACGAAAGATGTATTGATGCCCGAGAAGAGAACCGGATCAACAAATATTCTTCTAAGTATGCACCGGACATAAATAGGTTGAAGAAGCAGGTAGTCTTTGACACAAGAGGCGGTCTTTGGGAGATAGAAGGGAAACAATCAAAGAAAGACGAGACTCGGAGAAGTGACGTTGAATAGCACAGCATCAAGACTCGGCGTGATATCCAGAGGTACGGCCACCAGAGCGGGCCACTCACACGCGTGCACGACGGACATACCGTCGTGCATTGCAGATGCGTTCATTGTGGGAACGCAAGAGAAAAGCCTGGCGAGGAAGGAGGACAAGCTGGCACGTCAAACCCCCTCCGTAATTTTTTTCGATGTGTTGGCGCTGCATGCCACGCATTGGGACATCTATCGAAGATCCAGAGAAAGGGAAATGAGATGCGTAGCGGCGCGGACGCCTGGGATGAGTGCTCGAGCGTCTTGTCCTGTGCGACAGCGAGCGTGGTGCATGCCGATGGCGAGACCCGAAGTGCCTCACATATACCACGTCAATGCGCGACATGTTCGTCCTAGAGCGACAAGCACCAGGTACGTGGTCGAGTGTGTGGCCCCTTGATTAGACGCAAGTGTCGTGCAGTAAGAACAAGGAGTGCCCAGTCTAGCTTTCGGTAACAAACCGGACCAAGATCATGTGAATCTCTACTGCCAGCTGGTGAAGGGAAGGAACCGCAGATTCCTCACCGGTCCAGCTCCCAGCCGGGGCGGGTGCCATGCGGGGCTACTGCAGCACACCGTAATTCATCAATGAAGATGCTTCGTATACCAACATTTCTATCCCAATATCGCTTTGTAACGCTGTTCGTAGACCCAGGGCTCGTCAAGGCAATGGAGACAGACTTTTGGGTTCTTCGATTGGCCAGAACAGCGTACCGCGGTGAGAAGCGGTGACTTTGTGAGATGCTAATCCTTTCGCTAGGCCATTGAAAGTATGGTTGTGTGCGACCTATCGCTCCAATGGGTCGAGAGACGAGTATCGGAAGCATGAGTGCGTTGGCGGTCACATTTGACGTCGCTGGGCACGAGAGGCCCTGCTTCCGTCTTGATTCAAGATGGTGGGAAGCGAGAGTGAGGAGGGGTCGAGGCATCAAGGGCCCGTGGGGATGCTCATTCGGGCTGCAAATCTTGGAAGGGGTTTACGTGCCGCAGGATCGTTCATGGTAGATGCCGAGAAGGCAGTCCGACGACGACCAAGAATGCTAAGGAATTGGGCGCTTTGACAAGCTACATCGAGGTATAGAGAAGACAGACACTTTTCAGATTGTGCAATCTTGTGGCAAGCCCTGATTTGTCGTGGTGGCAAGTCTCGACGGAGGGAAACAAGACGTGATTGACGGGTGAGAATGGCTTTCGAGTTTGACGCCGGCCTTGCAGATAGTGTGAACAGCTGATTGCTTTGAGTATCCAGATATGCTGCACTGGCGATCCGGCTTGCATGATGGCGGGCACTACATTGTTGTTTTGTTCCGAAGAGCGACGTGCAATGAGATTGGATGCCTCGGCGATGTGATGCTTTGTGAAAGCAGGAGCGGTCAATAGGCGGTGAAGACGGAAGGGGGTCCAATTTTGCATTGACGACTTGCTCAAATCATCAATTGCTTCGAGCCCAATCCTCTCAAAGGGCAGGGTCAATTTTGACTTTCTCATAGCGAGCCCTCGAGACTGGAGCAATCACAAAAGTGACATGTGGATAGGTAGTCGTTGGCGAGCTCCAAGACAGAAGGTGTGGCGGTCGTTTGACTGACTGGCGCGCAGATGCGAGGCGTCAGTCGTCGTCCTTAGCCACGTTTTGGCCACTCATCGATTCTGTACAACCAACAAGAGTTACACGCGACGGCGAAAAGCATATTCAGGAATCCAAGCGTCGTGGACGAAATTCCGTGTTTCAAATCTTGAACTACGTCGGAATAGTTATGCATGCGAACAGAAAACAAAAAGTTGCTTCCTTCCTTCCCTTGGGTATCTTTGTCGAACGCCGTGTAAAAATACAAACCTCTGCAGGATCAGACCGAGGATGATCGTATACACCGCTACTTTTTCTTCCCCTTGCCCTTGTTCTTGCCTTGCTGCGGTTGTGCCTCTGGTGCAAAGGCAGATCCATCGGCCACTTCCTCGCCCTGCGCTTGCAATTCCTTGACTTTCTCCTGACTGCTTATGAACATTGTCAGATCGTGGTTCATCTCCTCCATATCTGCCTTTTCCAACTTGATCCTATCGGTCTCTTCTTGGCTCTCTTTGGCTTTTGCTTCGGCGGCATGGATGCGCTGTAGCAAGCCTTCATTCATTGTCTTTTCTTCACGCAACTGGACAGACATATCACGGGCCATCTTCTCGAACTTCCCAGCACGCGAAGTGGCCTTCTCGATACTCTTCTCCATGCGAGCAACACTGCCAGCGTGATCTTGACTCTGCACGCGCAAGACAGTCATCTCTTCGGCAAGCGCGGTACATGCCCTAGCTGCATCTTCGGCTTTGGCTGAAGCAACGCTAGCTTTGTCAACAGCGCGTTCAAGCTGACCTTCATAGTAGCGGCGCTGGCTGTCCAGTTGGCTAGTCAGAAGATATGTGTATTCGTTGGCCATGTTCTCCATCTTTTCTCGTGGCACGCTGTCTTCGGCCTCGGCGCGGAAGGCAGCATTGGGATGGCGTCGAGCAGGTAAATCGATCAGCTTGCTATCAGGTTTGTTCTGAATCAACCGATGAACGTAGCCGTCGCCAGCATAGTCCCAGACATGCTGCGAGTTGATGTCCATGGCGTAGCAGTGACTTGTGGCTTCCCAATGCGCAAAGGCGTGTGCGGAATCATAGCGACCACAGCCTGTGCTTCCACAAATGAGGCAGATCCATAGGTTTGTGGTGGTTGCGCAGACGGTACAAGCAGGTTCGACTTCAGCCTGAACATCAGAATGGCCAGGTCTGGGGTAAGGGAAGGTGAAGGAGGGTGACTGGGTGTAACGACACACAGGGCATCCTGATCCGCGCCACTTTTCGAGACAGGCGCAGTGAAACACATGTTGGCAGAGAATGGTCAAAAGACCGGTGGTCTCATCCATGCGCTCAAGGCATACCGGACATGTAGGCAGTTCGACAAGGGATGGCGTTGGTGGTGCATGAGGCTTGGCAGAAAGCGAGTTGGAAGCTTTGGTGAACGGATCCTGTGTATTGTGAGGGAATGCAGCGGGGTCAGATGCGTCTGTATCGGGAGTCAAAAATTCGACCGACTTGATGAAGACGACATGACAGTTCTCAGGCTATGATGGTGTCAGCACACTGCGTACGTTCCGGAGCTCCTCTGGGGCCTACTCACCTCCATAGCGCTGAACAGCTTTCCGTTCCACAACTTCTGCCACTCTCTGGCCTTCTTGGCCTGTTTGAACTTCATGAGAACCATGTACTTGTTGGCTCGACCAGTTCTTATGAGTCTGAAGTGGCTAACATCTTCTCTTGCCTGGTCTCCAACAAAGCCCAGCAGGTCCGAGGGCATCATCCATGACGGCACAGCCAGAATGCACAGAGTAGTGCATTGTTGTGGGTCGAAGTCGACATCGTCTTTGGTATGATTGTGACCCAGTGCTGCCGTCTCTTGCGAGTCTCTGTACAGATGTACGACTCCCCAGCCTACGTCAGTGGCCTTTGATGTTGACGGCACATATGCTGCCTTGGTATGGAGACCAGTCGAGGGGAGCTTGGTGGTGGCTGGTTCCATGTCGATGCTCTCGATAGTGACAGGGCCGTATCGCCAGTCCCTTGTCGCGATCTCGCTCGATGCCTTCTTGGGTAGGACGGTAGGTGAGGCAGCGTCTTTCAGGGCGACGTTTCTCTCAGGTAGCAAGAGCGCATCGCCGTGAGCTGAGGCTGGTCGACTCGCAGCTGCGGGGCAGTTGTCCTGTGAGCTTCTCGGCGAATGACGAGTTCGTGACGATTGAGAGATTGTCTTGGAGGTTCGATGCGCAGGAAGATCGGTCTTGAATATGTCTGTAGTCGGGTTTGGACGGTAGACGTGGTTCGTGACTGGTTGCGACGCTGCTGTTGAAGGGTGTGCCCAAGGATACAGCTCCAGCTTGACATGGAAGAAGTAGACCGTCATTACTCACCACAACCACGTCGCTGTCTCGCTGGTCTGCGATGCCACATGTCTCTCGATACCTGATGGGTGAGAAACAGATCTTTGTCTCCATTAAAACACACCGAAAAGAATGCCATCCCGTCACGTGCCGGGCCTGAGTCATGCGGCATCTCTTCGACAGCCCTACGCTCCATCTCTCGGTCACATCTTTCACTTGCGACAATCATGACAAAGCACATGGGAATCAAGAAGCACAGGTAGGTGAGGATTGATATTCAGAGCATCGGGTGCCCTTTGAAAGGTTAAGTGGCTACGCTAGTCGTAGCAGCCGCATTATTGCTGGCGTAGTAGTAAAGGTAATAACAAGCAAATAAACGCCGGCCCATCGTCAATAGACATCATCAAGGCTCATTGCCTATCGCTTACTGTCCGCCACGAAGTCTGAGCACCAAGTGCAAGGTCGACTCCTTCTGGATGTTGTAGTCAGAGAGCGTACGACCGTCCTCCAACTGCTTTCCGGCGAAGATGAGGCGCTGTTGGTCTGGGGGAATACCCTCCTTGTCCTGGATCTTTGACTTGACGTTGTCGATGGTGTCTGATGATTCGACTTCGAGTGTGATGGTCTTGCCGGTCAGAGTCTTGACGAAGATCTGCATACCACCACGAAGGCGGAGGACGAGATGGAGGGTGGACTCCTTTTGGATGTTGTAGTCGGAGAGAGTGCGGCCATCCTCAAGCTGCTTACCAGCGAAGATCAGGCGCTGTTGGTCCGGGGGAATACCCTCCTTGTCCTGGATCTTTGACTTGACGTTGTCGATGGTGTCGGACGACTCAACCTCAAGAGTGATGGTCTTGCCAGTGAGGGTCTTGACAAAGATCTGCATACCACCACGCAGACGAAGGACAAGGTGAAGAGTCGACTCCTTCTGGATGTTGTAGTCGCTCAAGGTGCGGCCGTCTTCGAGTTGCTTGCCAGCGAAGATGAGGCGCTGCTGATCCGGAGGAATGCCCTCCTTGTCTTGGATCTTGCTCTTGACGTTGTCGATGGTGTCAGAAGACTCAACCTCAAGGGTGATGGTTTTGCCGGTGACTGATAGGCATGTTAGCAACTGATTGCGCGCAGTGGCGGTGAAGCGGGGTCGACGACTACTTACGGGTCTTGACGAAGATCTGCATCTTGAAGGCGTGTGTGGTGTGGATGTAGTTGTGTGAGGAGATGTGCCTTGATGGGAAGAGGCGAGTTGAAGAAGGGAGATGATAGTTGTGGATGGAGGAAAGGTGGAAGAAGGTGGTCGGGAGGGCTTAAGTACGACGAGCAGGAACGCGCAACGAACAAGTGAGGGCGGCGGGAGTGAGTTGTGGCTGATTGGATGACGCCGAGAGAGAGGCGGTGTTGTCGCAACCACTGAGGCAGCAACGGACCTTCGGAACACGCTAGAACCTTCCCAACGTGGCAATAATTGAGTCTTTCTGCGACAACTTTGCTCAGATCATTCTCTTGTTTGCCTCGCCTCTTTTTGATTTGTTAAGCAAGCAGTCTTTCTGTCTCGTTCTTTGACCTGTCCTCAGAAGGGTGGCAAGACAGCCTTCCCCCCCGGCTTTGCCCACTTGGGTACATCCTTATCGGCGCTTACCTCCGAAACAGGCATCGCGGGGGCGGCAATGAAGCCACACCCGCGTGACTTCATTGCCTTTCTCATTTCACGTCTCAGTGCAACTGGAACTCTGTCTCAAGAATGGTGTGCTATCTGCCGACCGTTGGTCGCTCAAGACCGTCGAGCTCGTCGACACAACAACGATTTATTTGTACGTCCACCTTGTTCGAGATGAATTGGATTAAGCAATCGTTGGTCTCGAAAGCGGAAGGAGGACTGATAGGGGTGGTTCGATTGCAAAGCAGATACCTAGTATGCGATACACACTGGTCGTGTAAAGTACAAACTTGAGCGTGTTCTTGATAAGTCTCCAATACGGTTCCTGGAAGGACCAAGACAAACACCCAAAGACTCAATCGCCAAATCTAGCAACTCGGTTTCGTTCTCGAGCGATAGTCGCCTGCCTTGATGCTGCGATAAGAGCGGCAGTCATAGCACACCACATCAAAGTCCACCTCCACATGCACCCTGCCCTTCTAGCAGTCAAACTCACACCACAGATCAAACTCATGGCGGAATCCATTGCTCTGTCTGGGACTCTTGTAATTCCAGTTCTCGCATTCATGCGAGTTCCAGTGCTGCGAACCGTAGTGAAGAGTGAAGGAGTTTCTCCAAGAATCGTTGATCAAGCCACTAGGCAGACTGCCATCGATCCAAAGCTCGAGACCTCTGGTGGTACCAATCTTGATCTGGTAGTTGGGGTTTGTAGCTGACCATGTGCCGACATTGGCCCAGTACCAATCCTTACCCATAGCCTGGGCAGGTACATTATTGTCGAGGAGGTCGATGTTGTACTTGGTAGTGCAAGAATTGCCACAGAGACCATTGGAAGCTGGTCTCAGTGGTCAGTCTTTTGCAAAAGTTGTGTTCAAGGCTGTCTTGACTTACAGTCAATGTGAATGTGGGCTTCACACTTGTTGGTGTTCTTGCGACGAACGAGAGTTGAGGTCGAGGATTCTTGGTCGAGGACGGTGGGTGCAGCCATAGCAGCGATAGTAAGGATGCTAGAGATGATGACGTTGTTGAAGGCAACCATTGTGAGAGATGGTATTGTTTGTGGATGATGATCGTGAATGAAGAAGACGAAGCTTAAAGTGTGTGTTTGGAAATATAGAACACACTGTCGAGATGGTCGACTTTATATCTTCCAGGTCCCCAGACACCCATTGTATATCTGTGCTCAACTCATGCTAGAGGTTGAGCGAAGGATCTGATATCTCGCCTCGAAAATGTTACATATATTGGTTAGATTCCAGACAGGGTGAAGAAAATATCTCTGCAGTCGTATATGTTGGTGTTGTAGTTGCCAAGCTGGGCTAGGGACATGCTCGTGGCTCTGTCATATCGTCAAATGTTCCTGATTCAACCTTAGACTCACGCTCATACTCTTCGCATCAGTAAAGCGCGAGCGTGCTGGAGGACAGTTTGCGAATTGCTCGATAGGACTAATGCTCGTTGTCGCATAGATACAGATCTTAGACGAGAAACTATCGTCCATGTCGTCTGCTGTCCCTTGCAAAGAATCATTCCATGCGTTTACAGCAATGAACTGGCTGGCGCTATTTCTCATATACGCCACTCACCATGTCTTGCCAAAGCCCGTGCAGGCAGGATCAACTGCAAACTAACAGTATGCACTACTGCTTGTCTGTTGGTATAGACCGTGCAGGAAGGATTAAATGTTGAATATAGCACGCGAGAATTGATTAGGGTCCGAGCAGGCACGTCGCCAAGAGCCGTGATACGAGCGTCCAGACCATCAATTAAATAGAGGCGCTCATTAGGACCTTGGCAAAGATGGTCAAATCCAGAAGGTGACTGTGGATTGACAATGAGCCACCACCAACTCTCCATCTGCGCAGGTAGCCATCTGTCTGGTTTGAAACAGACAAGCACCTACCGAGACTGGAGTCAAGGCCATGAGGTGAGACTTGTGCCTTGCTTAGTACAAGTGAGCAGCGACAGCTGTATAGGCTTTTTATATAATGGATTAGCCAATGTGGGATGTAGACATGAGCATCTGGTGTTGAGGCACAACGAATGTTGCCCGAAGTGTCTGTTTTGACATTATCGTGAAGTTGATCTCTGCATCTCCTCTTTCTGGTTTTTCGCATTGACATCCATGCAACATTCGTCCCCTCGCCTAGTGTGATTCCAGTACTTCCAACGAACGATTACACCGTTGTCCCTCTCATGCGACGTTCAATTTGCCGTCAGAGGTTTTCTTCCCCAGACGACCGGCATCGGGTAATAGGCGTGAATGCCTCTGTTTTTGACATCGGATGACACCTTGGCGACGAATACATCAACCTCCTCCTTCTTCCAGCCGAGTCCTCGGGTCATCAGTGCCAGACAGAATCCCTCGAGGCCCTCCAGAATGTTGATCATATTCCAGTTGCCGAGCTCCTTCATGTACTTGTCTTTCGGCCATGTATTTGAAGGCCACATGAAATGTTGCTCTTCTATATCAACAAATCCAGCGGCTTCCATCCATTCTCGATACTTTTCTGACACTTCTGTACCCATCGGACGGCCGAGTTTGCGAGCAGCTTCACACATCAGTATTCCCCATTTCTCTAGGGATGTGCCGTCTAATGTGTCGTCGACACTTCTGCAAGGTAGTCCATAGTCCTGGAACTCGAGGTAGCCACCAGGCTCTAGATTGTCAAATGCCTGCTGTATGAGCTTCTCGGGATCCGCGAAGCATCCAGCCATGAGTCTACAATGGATGTAGTCGAATCTGTGGTCGTACACCCAGAGCTCCTCCGCGTCATCGATGATGTATTTTAGATTCGGTGGCACGAAGGTAGGCTGCCCAGGGCTAAGGTCGATGCCGATCACCTCGCATTTGGGATATTGGTCCGCGAAGTCCATAGCCCAGATGCCGGTTCCAGTTCCGATGTCTAGAGCATGCTTAGGTCTATGCAGAGGTGCTAAGTGTAGTCTTCTATACGTCAAATTGCACATGTGATGCTGCAGGTCCAATCGGTCTTGTTCGCGCTCGTCGTTCGGAAAATAGTACTGTCCGTCCTTATAAGCATGATATGTGCGACCGTACTCGTGGCGATAGCTGTATATCGACTCGCTTAATGATGTGGTTATGCTTTGAGTGTCATCACCGAGTGCAGAATCATTGTCGCTCCACGACTATATGATACGAAGCGATCAATAAACATCTCGACATCTTGTACTGATTCGGATAATGCTTACATCGGCCTCGAGAGTTTGTTCTCTAGCGTGATTGAGACTGACACTCTCGCCTTCTGACGGAATATCCATGATGGTTATCCTCTCGGTGCGTGCGCCCACGTGTATTTGACTCGAAGCCCTTGCAGGAAACCCACTGCAGGCAGCACTAATCTGGTCACACAAAGGCTCGCGATAGATGGGCGTTTGGGGCTTTATCGATTCCGGCGTGCGTGCATTCAGAACTCCGGATGATGAGATTCAGAGGAAAAGAAGCTTGCCGCCGTTGGCGATTGGGATGATCAAATGTCTGAGAAAAAGAAGGATGGCAGAAGGATTGCAGAGTTGGCGACTGCCGAAGCTATCACACGATTGTTTGATCTTGACAAAAAGGCTCGCGATAGTGCAGCCCCCGGTGCCTGACTCGCCGGATCCCGTGGACTGCGGGAGCTTCGCCCGCCCCGGAGCGAGCCTTTTGAGACGTTTCGTGCCTTCGAGCCGTGCCGAGTCCCTCTCTCGCGCTTGATGTTAATTGACAAGTGATTGATGTGAGATTTGGTGCATGTAGCTGATTCGTCCGCTGGAGCAGCGTATGGTGTTATTGGCCGCAGTGCTGCGAACGTGCTGAGCAGTCGCTGTCGATCAGTCGATATAGGCGACCCTCAAGATGGCTAAGCAATTTGACACTTGGACTTCCGGCACACCACCTTGACTTTTGGCAGAACCCTTGACTTGATTGTTGTGGACCACTGGACTTGGCACATGCTGGCTCTCGCGTACCTTCAATCCTGCGGGAAGCCGTTTGGACAATCGGATTGGCCTCAGGTCTCGTGTTGTTCGTGCAAGCGAGAGTCAAAAGTGCCACGTTCCTCAGCTCGCAACGACAGGCCGTCTGGCCCTGCATCAGCGAGACATGGAGGGCGTGGGCATCCACACAGCCAAACTGGACACTCAGACCATCGAGACCAGTGACAGGGACGATCGCCCGCTTACTGTGCTAGACCATGCATTGGTGCATGTAAGACCAGCGCCACCGCAGCTAATGATCGGCTCGCCGCAGACATCGCTTCGCGTGGTTCTCTGTTAGCCGACAAGCCACCAGAAGTCATATCGAAACACCATGGAGTGCGACAGTCGGCTGGCCAAAGGAGTCATCCCGAGGCCCTATGCTTTGCTGGTCGTATATGATTGAGACTAGGCTTGATCGTATGTATACTTGGTGGCTCCCTTTTTGCGCCGAGATGCTTCAATCCTTTTGATCCGACCGCTCTTTGTTTCCTACTTCCAGAGCATCCCTGCTTCTGTCCCCAACAAAGACGCCGCCGCCACAAGCACGAATCATCCACGGATTTTGGGGCCTAAATCCTGCAAGGTTAGATAGAGGGAACGTCATTGCTTTGACTTCTCACTGGCCAAGAGGATTCCCAGCGCGGCGGATCTTCTGACACGTAACAGGTGTGTGCACCACGAGACATTTCGGGCTACTGCAGCACGCTCGAAAAGCATACCACAGCACTCGTCCGTAAAACGGGTGTCTCCATTGATCATGCTACCAGTCGCCTTGATTGTAGGCTTGGGTCTCTTTCTTCTCTATGTAGTCCGAACTCTCCAACAGTACTGGGCGTTGAGTGAGTTCAAGGGACCATGGGTAGCAGGGTTCTCAAGGCTGTGGCTGCTAAGGGCCAATGGCTCAGGAAAGATGAATCTCGCATTTACAGAAGTGAATGACAAATATGGTTAGTAGGCATATCGTCGTCGATTACACTGTTCATGAGTCTTGCCAGAATTTCGTTCTTTGCGTCTCAGAAAAACATGCAGAAGTAGCAATGATCATTGCTCAGGAAGACCACATATCGTCCTATCCAAACGTTTTCGAGAGCGCTTAGCACATATTGCGCTTGCAACCTGTACCATCATGCTGACTGTAGGACAGGACCGATTGCTCGGGTGTCGCCCAACATGCTCATCACTACTGATCCCGAGCTATATAAACGTATGCACGCTGTGCGCAGTCCATTTGTTCGAAGCGAATGGTACACGGCCTTGCGACTGCATCCCACGAGGGACAACATCACATCCGTGATTGATGAAGGAATCCACGCAGACCTTCGAAACCGCATGTCAACTGGTTACTCTGGCAAGGAGAATCTTCATATGGAAGATGATGTCGATTACCGCCTACTGCAACTCTTCGACCTCGTTGAATCCAAGTATGTTTCTTCGGAGAGAGACTATCGTCCTGTCGACATATCTCGCCTCTACTCCTACTTCACTCTCGATGTCATCTCCAGCATCGCTTTCGGACAAGAATTCGGCTTCCTCAAACACGACGACGACCCCTTCGGCTACATCGACAACCTCCAAGAATTTCTTCCCGCCATCATCGTCTTCGGCGCATACCCCGAACTCCAAAAGATCCTTCGTCTGCCTCTGCTCAAACATGTCATGCCCAAATCAACAGACAAACGCGGTTTAGGTCGCGTAATGGGCTTCGCCAAAGAACGCGTAGACGAACGATTCGGCGAGAAGCCAGTTGTGCGCCACGATATGCTGGGCTCATTCATCAAACGCGGGCTCACCCAAGAACAACTCGAATCCGAAACTCTAACCCAAATCACTGCTGGAAGCGATAGCACGGCATCTGCCATACGCATGACATTGCACTTCATCTCTACCACGCCACACGTGCATGCACGCCTTGTGGCCGAGTTCAAGGATGCATTGGCGAGAGGAAATGTGACTAGACCGGTGATTCGCGATGCAGAAGCCAAAGCATTACCGTATTTGCAGGCTTGTGTGAAAGAGGGACTGCGTATGTATCCGCCTGTCACGGGATTGCTTGCCAAAGCCGTGCCGCCGGAAGGTGCGATGATCGATGGTAGATTCGTCAAGGGTGGTACCCAAATCTCCTGGAACTCGTGGGGTATGCAGCGTGACAAGGACATCTATGGCGTGGACCCAGAGATCTTTAGACCAGAGCGATGGCTATTGCGCGATGCGTCTGAGGCAGAGCAAAGACGCGTGGAGAAAATGACAGAGACTGTAACGTTGGTATTCGGATACGGACGCTTCGGATGCCTGGGAAGAGGAGTTGCGATGATGGAATTGAACAAGGGTATCATCGAGGTAAGATGATTTCTTGACTTGCTTGACGCGCTTTGCTAATGTCTCTACAGACACTTGTTCGTTACGAACTCCAGCCCGTCAGTCTCTCCAAACCTTTTGTCGAGCGTTGCGTAGGCTTCTTCTTGCACACTGATATGATGTTCCGCATCACACGACGCCCAGATGCCGATTCTGCAGAGGCCAACGGAGTACACGCTAGCTATGGAAATGTAGCTGCACTGCCAGGTGCCCCTGACTCTTGAGTGCGGAAGAGTTGATTTGTACATATGTGTTTCTTGTTTGCTTGTAGATATCATTCCGTTCGTCTCAATTGCTCGGAGGGGGCTTTAGATTGGTTTCATGTTTATTAGAATGGTAATAAGACAGAGAGTTAGCACGTTCTGGCAAATGAGTGGTGTGTTGCTCCCTTTGTTTGAGTCTGCTCCGCAGGTTGGCTCCTCATATGGTATAAACTTGTACACACCTTCTATCCGCGGTCCTCTTAGAAAATACGATGATCTAAACGAATTACACGACGCCAACACGGTCTTGTCTTGACTTAGCCGTGCATCGGAGCGAGGCGAGTGGTAAGATCATGGCCAAATTTCGCGACAGGGTGACTACAACAGCGTTGTCAACACGGCCGAAGTATCCTTGCTTGTCTTGGATCCATAATCAATGCAGCTCTTTGTGGCCAGCTGATCGTCGAAGATCATGATATGATCTGATTGTCTCGCTAGTATGTATGTGAAATGTGAGAAGATATTACGGGATACTATATGAACATACATGCCTCTATGGAAACAGACCAATCCCGTACCGTGGTATCTTTGAGAAAAGTAGCCTGAAAACGCCCTGACTGTACCCAAGACCGACCGTTCAGATGATGGAAGAAATGAAGCACTGGATCCTTCGGATCAGAATAGTACCACCGCAAGCAAAGATACCACGTAGATGCATGTGCAAGATACCACACTCGTCGACGCTCCAGATGAAGTAGAAGATGGACTGGAAGAAGAGCCAGAAGATGGACTGAATCCTTTACTGATAGTGAGCGACGAAGAGACTTCTGCATCACTGCTGGTTGTCAACACCCGCTTCGAAGTGAACGGTATAGTATCTGTCGCGTTGATGACAAATCCTGACAACGCCAAACTGATAGTCTCGCCTTCCACCACTCGAGGTGGCCCGCCGACCGAAATGGTTTGACCCGAAATGGAGAAGGCGTTGTGGCCGGCTGTTGCCGTGAACGTACGGCCATCAACGTTGAATTCTATGCTTATACCTGTGGCCCCTGTACCTCTGGTCGGTGTTGCTACTGCAGACGCGATCGAGCTTGACGCTGTGCTCGACGGGACAACAGATGAAGTAGTTGCGGATGTGATCGATGTGGAAGCCACAGTCTCCGGTAGAGCGGTGTATGAGGTAGCTGCCGGAGACGCAGGAGTGGCGGAGCCTTGATCGCCCCAAGCTGCTGTCGGTGTGACCACCGTTGTACCTGCGACCAGGGCACGAGGCGGATCAAAGACAAAGTTTGGAAGCGCTGCGTCCCACATGCTACATGTTGACCACGCTGGAACCAAATTGCGGACTTCTGTGGGCATTGCGAGGATAGGGTTCAGATCTGACCAGATAGTAGAGCACTGTGGAGGCGGCGACCAACTGATCTGAGTACCATTCATCAGGGTAAAAGACACGTCAGTACTACAACGGTTCATACAGTTGTAGGCACTTGCTGGCCAAGGGAAATTCAGGTCTGCGTAATTCAAAGACGTCCCAGGGCCCTGAGCAGAGAACCATCCACCACATTGCGTCGAGATAGCGCTGGAAGGTAACGGCAGGATAAAATCGGTAAAGGCGGGACCAATTCTTCTGCCAAAGCCCTCCTGGAAGGCGTACAACGTCTGGAAAGACAGGTAGACCGAACCGGACGTGAGTGTGGTACCCAATGCCTCGATGACTGTGGGACCTCCAGTATTCGTGATGGTAGATCCGTTAGCGCGACACTTATCGTTTCCGACCGTGGTGACCGGGAAGTAGGCGAGCTCAACAGGCCCTCCCATAATCAAGCATGGCTGAGAAATGGTTAGCGATACGAACAATCATTGCGTGGGGTTGAATATCTTACTAGACCGAGATGTGCGGGCGATCCGCAGAGGGCCTCAAGTGTTATGTCATCCCAGGACAGCCCGCTATGATAGTAGAGATACTCGCAGTCATCAGAAGATGCGTTACACGGTTTGGACGAAGAATAAGTCGGAAGTCCTGGAGTAACATATGCATCAAACTCGGTCACAGAAGTGTAGGTTGATGTCAAAGTCAAGGGCTCAAAGTCCACCCTTGGGGATCCATCGCACAGTTTGTATGTCGTGAGACCCACAGAGGGGTAAACTGTTGCTACGGTGTCGAATGTTTGCGTGATGCTGCTGGTAGTAGTCGTGGAAGACCATGACTTAGCATCAATCGCGGTCATTGCCCAGCTCATCGAGGCAGCTCGCCATTCTGAGTATGTGGCATAACACGACAGGGCCGCAGGGTTCGATGTGGTAGCTGCGGAGCTATTCGCAATGACGGCCCGAGCGCTTAACATGCCCAATTCGGTCCCATGTCTGTGGTATTGATGGTTGACTGTAGGTCCGGAGGTCGCGACGTTTTCGATCAATGTCCTCGTATCAGCTGGGGGTTCTGGCTCCCCACCACGTACGGTTACCAAGCGTTCTCCCAGACTGACATATCCCGTATTGTGGTGTGGCGCCTGGTCGTACTGGTTATGTCCATCGTGAAGCGAGACTGGTGGGTTTTCACAGGCTTCAGTCATACACAGCAGCGCAAGTAACGCGACCGACAACAGTTGCCGGGCTCGAGAATATGGATACATGTGACCAAAGGGAGTTATGTTCGAGAAAAAAGGCTCCAGAAACCACACTGCATGACGTCGAGCTGGCACCGTTGAGAATTTGAGATCCTATGGCGATCCTGGGCAGTAATTCCAGATATATCAGAGTCCAGTAGTTGTGTGAAACGGTGGCAGAGAATTATCCTCATCAACACAGGCAGATGTTGAATCGATTCAAGCAGATTAGTAAAGAAACTGACGCGGCTTGTGCAAGTACGACGTAGGACATGGGCGGCATACAACGGCAGCGGCAAGAGGCTCCGTTGCCGAGTCTTTTTTCGGAGCGATTCCCCTTTCTGAGCAGCCACCATCTTGCACTAGCCCCTGCTGACAGATTTAGAACACATTATTTTCAAGCACCACCGATTTCTGTGATCGACTTCCTCCTGTATAGAAGTAGGCAGGTCTGAGGAGGGGGCTAATGGCAGTCGTCGACATGTTAGTCTTGCTGCTGGCGCGTGGCGCGCGTCTTGGCGGCTTTCTGTGTGGGTTCCTCTCCATCTCTTCCCAACAGCAAGCATCGTTCCTAGCTGTCGCGACTCACAGAGCCATCTTCGAATTCACTCTCATCAGCCTGGATACCTACGTACGTGAGTAAGCTTGGGTACGCCGCAAGACGACCATGAGGTCCCAAAAGGCACATGAGGCTCCCAGGGTGAACAAGCGTGACCACGACGGGTTGTGCTTCGAGACGCAGCAAAGAAAACCAAATCAGGTTCTGAATTACGATAGGTCCTCGATACTATCCCTGACTCGAGTAGTGCAGAGATATAAGTCTTTGAGCACTCCTGGGGTCCTGTTCTGGAACCCTGACACCCAAGGATGATGTTTTGGGGCAGCATGATCGGACATTGACGCGTCAGAGTGCGGTTCCTAAACGGTCAGATACCAAGATCAAAGCGTGACTTTCACGTACGGCCACAGTCAGCTGAAAACTGGGCATCCCGTCCGCTCTGCCATACATAAGCAGTTGAACGGCAGATTAGTACTACGGTGGGTGACCACGTGGGAATCCCTGCTGCTCTACGTTTTGTTCTTTTTGCTTCCAAGTATCGCAGAGTAGATGGGCTACAACGACTTGGTTTCGTCCTGCTTAGGGGCTTCCAATGATTTCGAGCTTGCTGCGTGCCCTACCTTTCTCTCGTCATTGTATCGTGAAAACTCTGGCAACAAGTAGAAGCTGACAGCTTTGTCCGACTCCTCTTTCTTTTGCCATCCTGACCGTGTGCTGCTGGATAGGGACACCTTGCTAGCAACTCTACGCATCGGAGTGCTGTGTACAAGGAACACTGAATTTGTTCAAGGTCTCGAACTGCTCTACAATTCTTCTTCCGCTTCCATCTCACGTAAGCTGTAGCCACAACATTACGGGAACCTGACAAACATTAGAACAACACATTCGTTCTGTCAGACAATGAGATGTTTGATCGATGGCCGGATCTTGTTGAGCTTACCTGAGTTACTCTAGAATGTGTTAGCATTGACTCCGCTCGCAAGCATTGTTGATACATCGAAGCAGCGTCCATTCTACGAAGATTATTCAATACTTGTATGTATTGTCGCTATAACGCCAATAGCTTATGACGGCGTTTCATTATCGCTACAACGTATCAAAACGCAGATGCTTGCTATTGATGGTTCCATTGTTCCTGGGTATTGAGCAGAATCTCCGCTGCATTGTCAGTTGATCTACATAAACTCACCCAGTATCTCATCTCCTCTCATTTTCTTCTTTCCATACCGCCCACTGCCAAAAGAGCTGGTCTCCGCGCATCTTATTCCTCTCATATCATCTACCACCAACAGAGCTGGTCTCTGCTCATTCGCTCCCTACTACTAACAGAGCTGGCCTCTGCACATCTTCTGTCGCTCAGACCATTCGTCGTCAACAGAGCTGGTCTCCACTCATTCGCTGTTCCACCACAGCCGGAGCCGGTCTCTGCTCATTCGCTTTCTACCACCGACAGAGCTGGCCTCTGTCTACCCACCACCATCATTACACTATCTTAATCAACGGAGCTGGTCTCTGTCTCCACATTTTCTCCACCAACCCTTACCTGTCTGACGCTGGTCGTCCTTGGTTCGTCGCATTGTCATTCATCACCAATTAATCGACACCTTACTCGACTTTTCTGCATAGTGCCACCATTGTCATGGCTAGGTAAGCTATCAGAATTTTATCGCCAGACGAGTACTAATGAAGATCATTACTAGCCAACTCTGCGACCCTTCTAGTGTCCTGGTCAAGATCAAGGAAGATGGAACGACTTATATATTCGAACTTCCTCGAGAAGAACTGTGCTCACTCTCACCCTTCTTCAAAACAGCCTTCGAGGGCAGGTTCCTGGAGGCTCAAACTGGCATAATGGATATGGAAGACGTCTCAGTGGAGCTATTTGGCGATTTCGCAAGGTGGATTGCGACCGATCAGCTGCAGCATCATACTCTGGAAGACCTAGTAAATCTATACGTCCTTGCGGACAAGTTTGACATCCGAGTCCTCCGTGAGGCCATCACCGATGAACTCACCACTGAGTGTTTCAAGCCAGACTTTGACGTTCCCGATTGGAAGGTCATTTGGTTCATGATGGAGAACATCCCGAAATGTTATCCTATCCACTCTCTGTTGGCAACCGCTGTTGCCAGAGTACTTTGGCACGAGGTAGAGAGGCTTGAAGGACTTCCATATGGATTCGGTGTCCGGGTGAAAAGCAATCTCGATAAACCTTACGGCCTCTGCGATGAGTGTTTCAGCCAAGACGAAAGCCACGACACATCCGAATACTGTGATCACTTTTTCGACCAATCCAGCGACTTTGACCCGCGCCATTACCATGAAGTCGTCCCTGACAACCGAGGTTGAAGCAGCAGGTACTCTGATGACCACACTCCGATGACCCAACTCCAATGGCCACACTCTGATGACCACACTCTGATGACTACACTCCGGGCACACACGATAGGAAGCACACACGACAGGAAGCACACACGACAGGAAGCACACACGACAGGAAGCACACACGACAGGAAGCACACACGACCTATGAAAGTTCAGTATCACTTCGAACTCGTCCGAAGCAACTCACAAGGTAAGTAACGAAGCCTCACGGCGACTGAAAACCGCAGACCAACTCATCTAAACCCGATAGCTCTATCGACAACATCGAAGTCTGGGCTCCACGATGCTTGGTATTTCATCTTTTGACTCACGTGAGCTTCATTACTTTGGTAGTTTCGTTTTGCAATACATCCGTTTTTGACGTTGGGAATTTTCCCGCTTGTCACTGGTAGCACTCATCTATATGACTTCGTTCTTCGTGAGAGATCCAATATGTTCATGGGCTGGCATGCTACCAACCAGCTCGTGGCGATGACATTTCGCCAGAAGTTTCACCAACTTACAACCATGGCTTTGCTTCTCTAAAGACTGTGCATGGTTTATATGTATCTGTCGATAGATTCGATCAGCTTGATGTTTACGATCCAAGCCGATGCCACGAAGTCAACGCCACTAATCACGGTTTCGAGAGTCGTCGCGAGGATCCACGAATCACCCTACACAACTGAGGTCTGAAAACGACCCAAAAGTAGCAGTCAATCATCTCGAAATTCAACAGCAGTATCAAAAGATGCTGAGTGGTTCCACGAGATCGTCAGTTATTGCAGGTCTCCCTGAGGTAAAATGGTACGGAGTGCTTCGAGGCAGCATGGTTTTGACAAGTTCCCCCGACTCTTGGAACACTGCGAGCATGACGAAATTCTCATATAGCGAAGAAAGGCTGGACCCATCTCACCCCTAACTCTTACACTCTCGTTTCTAGTACTTTCAGTCTACAATACAGTATTCGTTTCTCACATCGGTAGTCTCTCCGTTTAATATCGAATGCTCCTGTGTATATGATTCTGTTCTTCGTGAAGGCTCTCCGGATTGTACATCGGTTGGGTCGCTCTTACCAGTTTCGCAATTGAATCGTAACTGGCAATCATTCTCGTCTTTGTTCCTATCGAGGTTGTTGAACATATATATACATATGCATCGCCAATAGATTTAGTTAGTCTAGTGACTATCATCCACGACGAAATCACGAAGCCAAGCCTACTGATTACGTTCTCGAGCGCTATATAGCCATGGCCTGGCCAAGCCTTATGGCCTTTGTGGAAGCCGCCATTGTAACGACAAGAACAAATCTTCAGACTCCTGCGAATACCTCTTTGGAGCGATCACGACTCTCGCCGCTAGCACAAGAGCAAAATCAGCACCAAATGGTAGAGCAGCAGGTCTCCGAAGCATGTCACGTATGCTGAGGATTTCTGAACTCAAGATCGAGATAGCGACGGCTTCTTAAAGGAACAAAACATTGAAGCAACCGCTCAAAGAAGAGATAGAACAACACAAAGACGTTGGGAGGAGAGAGCGCAGTAATTGAGGGGATCACGCAGGGGGATACGAGCACTTCCACGGAGAGCCAGCCGAGATCACTTTTTGGGCCAACCCAGCGACATTGACCTGCGCCGTTTCCATGAAGTCGTCCCTGGCATCACAGGCTGAAGCAGCAGGTTCTGCAACCACAACACCATTACACATGTTCCAACTTTCTTGCATCATCTGACAAGGTAACTTTTTAAAGGTCTACGGTGACCAGGAAACACGCGCTAACTCTGAAAGTCTCAGTAGATCGCTGGGTATTCGAATTCAAGCTCCCTACACAGCACTTGTTCTCCATCTCTTGACTATGACATCGGTCATAACAATCACGATACTCGGCCGTTCTCTGCTTTCCATGTGTCGGTGTTTCTTGCGCCCTCTTTCGTTGGCAGGTCAGGCGAACCATTATACCCAGGCTTTTGCAAACCCTTGTGTGGATCCATCGCGAACCTTACCGCTAGCACGAGGGCAAAGATAAAACCAAAAGATCTAAGATATTCCTCGAAATGCCTCATAAGTTATGTCTCGAAGCTCTCATAACAAGCGGGAGAGTACGCAGACGCATCGCGACTCCCTCTTAGATTGAGACTATGCACGCGTTCTCCTTTTGGTCGCTTTGCATTGCACAAGACACTTTCACAACTTGATCCATTCCAGTGCTCCATGATCCCGCAGAGCTTTTGGAAAGACCATCAATCAGCAAGTATGAGGAACAGCTAGAGAATCACGAAGAGCAGATAGTCAACTCTATGACTGATCCAATGAAGGAGAAACAATTGTCTAAGCATTCCTTTCCCATCATAATCACGACACTAAATATCTGTCCCTTTCGCACTACTCAAACTAACCGTTCCACCTCATCCATCACCTGATGGCTTAGATCATGGGAAAGAGAATAGGATAAAGAGTTTGGCTTTGACTCATCACTTGTTGTCGTGAGGAAAGGTGATTATTTTTTGCTCGATCTCTTTGGGAGGGAGTGTGGATGGAAAGAAATTCGGTGAAGGTGATGCGTACAGGGTGGTCAGCGACTTCCTTGGTGAGAAGTTGTGTTTGTTTTGTGGATGTCTGATACTCATTGAAGCGCTCTCATAGCTTGCGGACCGTCACCCTTGCTTGTGGGAGTCTGTAGGATTGGATATGATACACATCATTTGCATTGTCGTTGTTGCCATGCTTTTATTCTATACCCTACAAACAATCATCTAAACTTTTTACCTTCATCTTCAACCTCAACCCTCCACATCTCCAACTTTTTCATCCTCGTCCTCTTCAGACTGCAAACAAGCTCTAGGCACCCTAACACAAGCAGCCACGATTGCAAAACCCACTGCAGCACTAGCTGCAGAAAACAGATAGCAATTGCGATGACCCAGCAACCTACTCTCAAGACTAGGATCTTGTCCTTCAGTCGCAGTCTGGATGACCTGTGTAATCGCCAGAGCAAAACCCATACCAAGGTTGACAGTAGTGCTGTTTACAGCACCAGCAAGTGCTTGCCACTGGAGCGGCGAACAACTGGACAACACGAGGTTTGCAAAGCTGTAGGTTACATCAATGCCAATGGTCGAGCAAATCATAGCTGGGAAGACGAACGGCCAGTAGCCCTGAGAAGCATTGCCGAAAGCAAGAAGCAGAGGTGCTGCCATCCACGCCATGCCGGACACGAGTAGAGTCCAGATGGGAGGGACACGGTGTAGGATTCTGCCGGTGACGAGACCGCAGATACAGCCACTGATGGCGATGGGCACGAACCATGCTGCTAATTTGACTCCGCTGACGTTGTATGCGAGGTTGAGGTGGCCGGTGGTGGTGAAGAGCCAAGAGCCAAAGCTGCCGTAGAAGAACACACATGCGATCATGAGTGGTGTGACGGACTTTGGTGCAAAGAACTGCTTTGGCAGCAAAGGACATGTTGCTTGCCAGCGCTTGGAGGATGTCGGAAGCCAGCCTTCGATGTAGAGTGCGACTACCAGACAAACAAGGCCGATGATGAAAGGAGCCAGCACACCTGCAGTTGACCACGTCTTTGGCGAATCAGAACTAGCAGCCAGGGCATATGCGACAAGAATCAGACCAGAAGTGATAGTGGCAGCACCAGTCCAATCCATGCTGAGGTTGAGTTCGTGCCTTTCCGGACGGTCTGACGGCACAGAAACGTAAGCAGCAACGAAAGCCATAAACGCCATGATTGCCGCAATCCAGAACCACCATCTCCATTGCTCAACTGGCAGCAGAGCAGCGACCATTATGCCAAGGAAGAACCCAACAGGCGAACACGCCGCATAGATACTCAAGACGGTGTTTCTGCGAGGACCTTTGGGGTAGATGGCACCGAACAATGCAAAGCTGCTCGGTGTGTAGGCAGCGATGGCCAACCCTTGCATAGCTCGACATACTTCCATGAGCACCAGCGACTTACTGAAGCCAGCGATCACCGACCAGAGGCAGAACCAGAGTACAGCAAGCATGAAGACGGGATATCCGCCGTATTTGTCGGAGAGGCGTGCAGTAAAGCACAGCGTTGAGCCAAGCAGCAGCGACAGAACCGTGGCAGGCCAGAAGTCCGATGTGTCTCCGTTCGAGAGTTTTGTCAGTACTGTTGGAAGCACTACTGCAAAACCCGAAATCATGTATTCCTGCTTCGCATCAGCGCTACTCAAGACAATGTGATGGTATATGTTCTTACCGCGATGAGTTGTGTCAACGCCATAGATGCGATGAACGACCATTCAGCAGTGGCCGATCGAAACGGTTGATCTTTTGTGGTATTGGACGATGCATCGTCATATGTTGTGACTTCCATGGTGGTCACTGATGTACCAGTCTCTTTCTCTTGCTTCAAAGCTTCTTTGTATTCGAGAAGGCTGTCCAAACTCGACAATCGCCAGATGAGAGGGGGTTTGACGACGGCCGACTGTCTTGAAGATAGACTTGGTGATGAGGGCGGTGTGAGTGGGATGCCGACGACTGGTGAGCTGTGTGTGGTATACATGTCTGTGAGTGGCATGTTGTTGTCGAGAATGCAAGATGTTGTCTTGAATCGTGCTGTTGCGGTTTTCGGATGAGAGAAAAGAGAAGTACGAAGGATCGGTTTTCAAATACAAGACAATCAGTATCTTGTTGGTGACTCTTCTCGAGGATGACTCCTGAATCCAGGGAAGGTCTCAAGATGGTACGACGGTATAGGAGAATATGACTGGTTTCGAGGATAACCGACTCAAATCTGCTCATACCGGAAGAAAGACAATGACTTGAGCTCGACTATAAGAGCGAACATCGGTAAACACCATCGGGAGATGAAGTCCAGAATAAGACAGTGGTCAGTATCCAGGAACCTTACGCTCTCGTTGGTCGTTGCGTCTATTCCACAGCTAAGACAAACAGCCATTCCATAACGAGAGGTACCCCAAACTGCCTACCTGCCGGAAGCTACAATAGCTGCATGAAGCACGCACACGAGACACAGACCTTTAGGCATGAGTAGCTATACCGTCAACGATGGCCGCGGAGTGTGCTTCCTGCGGTTTGCACTGCCATTCTTTTCGGACGCCATTCGCAAACAGTTGGTCGATTGTGGTTAGCACGGCCACATGGCGCAGATGACAATTTTGCTTTTTGGGTTGCGGTCAGACTGGAATAGGTAACAGGTGCATGTATAAGCCAAGTGGACGCGAAATGGCGTAGATTTGGCAAATCGATAGGGCTGAGGGCTGCATGATATTGTTTCGATCTGTGTTTGCTGTTCAGCCAGCCACTTTGCCTGCATGATGTGCTCAAGAGTGGTTTCTGGTAGTCGGGACGGTTTGACAGCTAAAAGGCAATCGCCTTCTTTTTTTTTGATCTACTGTATTGCTTTATAACAACATCCCTTACGTATGTGAAAGAGGGTGTGGTGACCGGTCGGTCCGATTAAAGGCCACATAGTCACCACAAGAGACGTGTCGCTGGCAACAGAATGATTATATTGATGAAAGTCGAAAGGAAGCTGCGCTTCGCAACGAGAGTTTGCAAGAGAATGGAAAATGCGGAGAAGCGATCGTCAGCCGCTCCTCGGGTGCTTGCCGCAACTCTATCCTCATCAAACATCTCCTTTTTCTCGGACGCAACATCATAAAGGCACGTGGCATTTGATTGCTACAGTAGCGTCTCCGTCCAGCTGAAATTCTTCCAATCTTACACCTTCCCAGCTGGAGATTTCCAACCTAATTAGCAACAACGGCGGGGTGCCGTCACGACAAACCAAGTTTCTCCCTAGTCATGGATGTCTTCCAGAAGTGCTTGGGCATTGCCAAGGACCCGTGGCATACCAGATGGATATGTCCGCTGTTGTTGGTAGCCGATGCAGCACTTACGGCATTGATCGTGTGGAAAGTACCATGTATGCAAACCATATCCCTTTGTGCAGCAAGCAAGCAAGCAAGCAGCCATCTCGTTTCTATGCAGCTAGCAAACAAGCACACGACCCACAACTCAAGTATACTCATACTAATGACGAAAAACAGATACCGAGATCGATTGGACAGCCTACGTGCAACAAGTATCCCAATACCTAGCCGGCGAACGCGACTACACCAAAATCCATGGCGGCACCGGACCACTGGTGTATCCCGCAGCTCACGTCTACATCTATGAATTGCTCTATCGCATCACCGATCGAGGCAGCGATATCCCGTTTGCACAGATCATTTTTGGAATCTTGTATTTGATGACGCTCGCAGTGGTTATGGCATGCTACCGTAATGCAAAGGTTTGTTGTACTCCGCCTTCGACAAAAGAGCTCGTTTAAAAGGATGATACGCTGATGATGAAGAATGGCAGATACCTCCATATGTGTTCCCGATGCTTATTTTGAGCAAGCGTATGCATTCGATTTTCACACTGAGGTTGTTTAATGATTGCTTTGCTGTGTTTTTCTTCTTTGTGGCTATTTATTGCTATCAGAAGAGATGGTGGATTGCTGGATCGATTGTTTATTCGATTGGCTTGGGAGTCAAGATGAGTTTGTTGCTTGCATTGCCTTCTGTGGGTATTGTGCTTTTGCAGGCAATTGGCGCGAGTGTTGCTGTTGGTCATGCTTCGTTGATTGTGTTGATACAGGTATGTTTCTTGACATGGCATCTGCATGGCTTCATACTGATAGAAAGAAAACAGGTCCTGCTGTCATTGCCGTTCACACTGCATAACCCTCAGGGCTACCTCTCACGAGCATTCGAGTTCACGAGACAATTCTTCTTCAAGTGGACAGTAAACTGGCGGTTCGTGGGAGAAGAAACATTCCTCTCCAAGCAATTTGCATTGACGTTGCTGGCTGCACACATCTCTCTGCTTATCCTATTCGTCACGACTCGCTGGTTGAAGCCCTCACGACAATCCCTGCCAGCCATCATCACCTCAATCTTCAACCCTCCCTCAGCAGAAAGACAAGCACAGATCTCAGCCAGAGTCACCCCAAGATTCATCTTGACCACCATTCTCTCAGCCAATGCGATTGGGATGCTTTGTGCAAGATCACTGCATTACCAATTCTACTCTTGGATCGTTTGGGCAACTCCTGCGTTGCTTTGGCGTGCTGGCTATCATCCGGTCTTGCAGTATGCGCTATGGGGCGCCCAAGAGTACGCCTGGAACGTGTTTCCGAGCACAAACTTCAGCTCGATGGTTGTGGTGCAAGTCCTCGCTACGACGGTGGTTGGCGTATGGTATGGCACGAGAAAGGAAGCCAGGGAGACGGCAGCAGCAGCAGCAGAGAAACACCAGCATGTAGAGTAGCCTCAAACCCCAAAAGCTTTGCGGTCCGTAGGAAGCAAGCAGTGGCCTCACTCATCCTCCGAATCCGAGGGAGGCATCCTGCCCACATTCGACTCTTCCTCATCCGAATCGTCGTCGTCTGCATAAGAAATCCTCTGCACAAATTCCTTGGGCCAGTATTTTTCCTTTCGCCACTCCTTCTCGTTCCTCACTACATTGACAATCTCTCCATCCAGTTTGTTCTCTCTTTCTCCTGCTGCTGCTGTATCAACAAGCACAAAGCCTCCTCTCTTGATCCAAATTGTCGATCTGAAGCGTGCGGGAAGTTCGACGAGAAGAGTCTTGGAAGCGTCGGAGGCCAGAGTAGAGGAAGGGGGAAGTTCAACGCGGTAGAGATTGTTGCCTGCAGCTTGTAGGACACGAGCGAGGGATTGAGTTGGTGTGAGAGAAGAGGGAGGAGTCATTGTTTCCTCGGCGGTGGCTTGGAGGTTGCGGCGAGGTTTGGGCATGGTGGGCGATTGTCGAGGGTTAAGGAGCAATGAATGAGGTTGGTGAGGTTGCTGTGAGCAGAAGATGTGGAATCGGTGGTGAGGTTGATCTGGTTTGCGTTTTGGACAAAAATATTTTGTTTGGAGAAGCCGCGGCTGGGGGCTACGACTTTGATGGGCATTTGTGGGAAGACTTGGCAGGCGTCCGGAGAGACTTCCGTGAGAGCTCTCATCAGCAATGTCTTTGATTGTCTTTACATCGAGTCATGCTTTCATGGTTCTTTCTTTTACTGGCACTCTTATGCTTACTTTTATGAATCAAAAGACGAGGGACTTGAGCAGATCTTTTGCATTTTCGTGCGGACACGTGTCTAACGCACATAGAGTATATCGTTATGCTTGTTATTTAGAACCCACGATCGAGCACTTATCGCACAGTAGCACCTGCAAGCGACTTGACAGTGCAAACACCCGACTTGGTCTTGAGCTGTCTAACACCGGTCTCTCCCTTCTCGGTCAATTGAGGAACAGCAGAGACCTCAAACGCAACCTCGAGCTTATCAGTAGTGGTGAAGCCAGGCTGGAAAGCCTCCCAGATCTTCTTCTTGGGGTTGAGCACAGACTCGGGCTCGCCCTCATAGCCGTCAAAGTAGACGCGATCGCCGGCGACTGCGCCCTCGGGGACGTTGACAAGCTCGACGGGGCCGCCGTGGTTGTCCTCCTCGCCCTCCTTGAGGCGTGGTGAGGCGGCGAGAACCATGGCGCAGGACTTAATGCCGCGCATGGTGACGGGCTTGAGGTTGCAGACTGTGACGATCTTGCGACCCTGCATCTCCTCGAGGGGCACGAGGCCATTGAGGCCTGAGCAGACGGTACGGCAGGTCTGGCCCTCGTATTCCTCGGTGTTGTCGGTGCCGGGGGCGTCGCCCACATTGATGGTGGAGACGTACAAGCTGTCGGCGTTGGGGTGACGGATAGCCTTGAGGATGTGGCCGATACGGAGGTCGATGAGGGCGGGCGAGAAGGGCTTCTCGGGGGCGGCGGGGGCCTTGGGCTGCTTGGGAGCCTTTTCCTTCTTTGCCTTCTTCTCAGTCTTCTTGCTTACGCCAGGGGTCTCGGCACCGACGGCATCGGCGACCTTCTCACCGGCAGTCTTTGCCTGATCCTTGACCTTCTCGGCCTGCTCGGTGGCCTTCTCGACAACCGACTTTTGCTGGGCCTCGGGGGCAGCTGCCGAAGTGACGGTTGCGCCGGCGTTGGCAGCGGCAGTGGCACCCTGAGCAGCCAATTCCTTCTCCTTCTTCTTGCGCTCCTTCTCGGCCTTCAGGTCGATGGGCTTGATCTTGAAGACGACATTGTCCTGGTCAATCTTGACCTTCTCGGACTCCTCGACCTTGAGGCCGAAGAGGGGGGAGTTCTGGACGAAATCGGCGTGACGGACAATGTGGTGGTATCCCTGCTCGCCAGTGCGCTGCTCAGCAGACCAGGAAGCGATGACGGGAGCAACGCGGGCGTAGAGGGCAATGTCGGCAACCGAGGGCTTGGAGCCGAGAAGAGTGGAGCGAGTGCTAAGGTGGGTGTTGAGCGAGGACAGACGCTCGGCGGTCTTAGCAGCGTCCTCGGTGGATGAAGCAATGTGGGACGAAGTGATGAGCCACTGCTCGATTTCGGTCTTCTCGTTGGTCGAGTACTGCACAAAGTTTGTCAGACCTGGTCCTTGCTGTTACTAGCAGTAGCTACACACCTCGGCCTTGGGGAAGAGCGACTGCGACAGCTTGATCATGTCACCCTCGAGCTCGGGAGTCTGAGGGTAGGCCTTCTGCAGAAGCGCTCTAGACTTGTCGTCGAGGGAAGCCATGTTGCGCACGTGGGTGATTGCTGATGTGGATTGAAGATTCCGAGTGTGTCTGTGTAGAGGCGAAAGTCTGGCTGAAGTGTTTAGAGCTCGGACGAGCTGTCTTGAGAATTGTATTGACTTCAGGTTGCCGGTGATGACTTGGTTGCTAAAATTCCGCCGCATTCGAATCACCATCATCGACCTAGACCCCGCCCATCGGAACAAGCCGATCTAGACATCTGCACCTTTGGAGCAACCATCAATTGATTCTGATGTCCATAGAACTGGCTTTGTTTCTATATGATGGACTATCTGACTAACCCCATGTTCCACCACCGCCTCTACCTTGCTTCTTCTGAGCACTCAACCTCCAGTCATCCTCACCCGCAAACCTGTTGTGAAGAGGCTGGATTCTCTCAGCCCGCTTTCTCTTGCTCAGTCCTCCCTCCTTGCCTGCCACCTTGAAGAATGTAGGTGCTGCCTCCACAAGCCATTTCGGCTCAATCACCGTAACGTTGTGCATGTATTCCTTTGTCGTCTCCACCAAACTGTGGTAAATGACATGTTCGGCCGCCTTGCGATTCAGCGCTGACGAAGGATGCATGTACACCGGCGTGCCTTCGATCAACGTCTTGTATCCTTCTTGAGGATCCTTGCGAGCCGAATTTCTGAAGAAGCCACTGCAGAGAGCTTGACGCACACGTGTAGTATCGCGACCGCAACTAACGACACGAAGGCGAAGACGATCAAGAATCTGTACCAATTGCTTGCGTACATCTTCTGCTCTCTTCATGCTTCGCGGCTGGATGAAGTTCTCAAAGCACCAAGGGTCGCTCATTCGGCTCTGCTTCCATGCGTTGTATACATTGAGCAGAGTCAGGTGGTCTCCCGATGCATCATGGAACTTGGCCTTCTTCTTGTCTGCCTGGTCTTGCTTGTCTTTGGGTCTGTGGAAGACGGTTTGCACTGCCGAGATCATGGCCACAATTGACAAAATCTCATCAGAGCAACCCAAATCCACTGACATGATTGTCGTTTTGGCAAGCGTGGGTTCCATAGGGAAATCAGCCATGCGTCTGCCAAGTCGAGTGAGCAATCCTTCGTCGTCAAGTGCTGACAATGCGTAAAGTTCTTCAAGTGCTGTCAACATGGTGTTCGTCGGTGGCGGGTCCATGAAGTCGAAATGGAGCAAGTCGTTGATACCCATAGCCTTCAACGTCAAGATAGTGCTGGCCAAATTTTGACGTTGAATTTCGGGAATGGTGGTTGGCAGCATCTCAGACTGATACGCAGCTTCAGTGTACAGGCGGAAACATTTTCCAGGTCCCGTTCTGCCAGCTCGTCCAGCACGTTGGCGGGCCTGAGCCTGTGAGATGGGAGTGACCTGCAGACGGTCCATACCAAGTCTAGCATCGTATGCGCTCTGCTTCACGAAACCAGGATCGACAACAAAGTAGATTCCGTCAATGGTAATAGATGTCTCGGCGATGTTGGTTGCAATGACAACCTTTCTGGTGCCCACTGGTGCAGGCTCGAAGATTTTACTGGCGATTTCGCTCGGCAAGGCTCCGTAGATAGGGAGGATCATGAGTTCCGGTACGCTCGGCCCTAATGCCTTCATTCGCTCATACAGAATCTCGCAAGATGTATCGATTTCCTCTTTACCAGTCAAGAAAAGAAGAATATCGCCTGGAGGCTCCGTAAGATGAATTTGCATGACCGTGGTGAGAGCGGCGTCGAGATAGTCGGACTCGGGCTCGCGAGAATACATGATCTCGACGGGGAAAGTACGACCGGGAATGGTAAGGATAGGGCATTGGTTGAAGTACTCTGAGAACTTCGCTGCATCCAGTGTAGCGGATGTGACGATCAACTTCATGTCAGGTCGCTTCTTCAACGTCTTCTTGAGCAAACTGAACAGAACATCGGTTGCAATGGTGCGCTCGTGAGCCTCATCAAGCATGATGACAGAGTATCTATTGAGCTCCGGATCCAGCAGAATCTCACGTTGCATGATACCATCCGTCATGTACTTGATCTTGGTGTTGCTCGACGTCTTGTCCTCGAAGCGAATGGTGTAACCAACTTCTTCTCCCAAACGACATCCGACTTCCTCAGAAACACGTTGAGCGACCGACATGGCAGCAACACGACGAGGCTGAGTACATCCAATGACGCCTGAGTTGGCGTAGCCTTCCTCAGCAAGATACTGCGTTAGTTGAGTGGTCTTTCCAGATCCAGTATCTCCAACAACGATCAAAAGTTGATATCCTGCGACAGCCTCCAGGAATTGTTTTCGGAATTGAAAAGCGGGTAAGCTCTCGCGCTGGTCCTTGATCGACATGTTGGTGCGTTTACCGAAGGACTGAGTCTTGCTGTGTGAGGCGATACGCTTCCACTCTGGCACTTCTCCATCGTTCTGACGAGCCTGACGCAAATCGCTGGCAAATTGCCGTTGTTCAGGATTTGCCATGGGATCATTCCATTGTGCTTGCAGATCAACTCCAGAGTTTTCTTTCGCAGCTTTGTCTCTGACTTCTTGTTGCTTCAGGTCTCGTCGCTCCTTTGCAAGGACATCTCCAGCGATGGCTGCTCTGTTCATCGAACCATCAGGTGCCTTGACCACTCGAATGGGAGATAGCTCCAGAGATTGCTTAGTTTGTCCAGCAAGGAAGGGCGGTTCCTCTTCTCTGACTTCGATATCAACGTCTTCCTCTTCTTCAATCTCCTCGCCCCTGAGAGCCGCGTTGTAGTCTTCGTCAATATCAGGGTACTCCTGCGCCGAGATTGCGCCAGAGGCAATTAGTTGTTTGATCTCCCAGCGCTCCGGAGATGTCATTCGTTTTCTATTGCGTTTTTGGTTCATGTTGCCTTCGATCACAGGTACGCTCGAAGTAAGATTGCCGTAGCGTTCTTCTCCGTTGAGGCCAGAGGCATTTGCACCAGTAGCAGCACCGATACGCTTGTGAGGAGCATAGTCTTGTCCAGTCATTTGATCAACTTCAGCCATGGAAAGACTGATACGGTTGTCTTGAACTTTCATGACTTTGACCTTGACTTCCTGATTGCGAGATACCAGATCCGAAGGGTGATTGACCTTACCCTCAGCCATAGCAGAGATGTGGACCAGACCGTCCACCTTGCCCCTGACTCCGTACAGATTTACAAAGACGCCGAAGTCTTTGACTCCAGTGACTCTGCCATCGTAAATTTTGTACAACACTGGAGAGTCGTCCATTTCAGGTGTCGGCGCGCGTCGGTGTCTGTCTCCGCTACGGCTCCTTTGTCGATGTCTGCTCTTGCGATCGGTATCCTGATCCTGCTTGCGCCACGTGCGTGTCCTGCCAAACTCATCCTCGAATACGTAATCGTCATGTCTTTGCTCTGGCGAGCGTGATCGTCTACGCGACTTCTTGGCTCGGCGGTCATCGTAATCATCTTCGGCCACGGGGCTCACGCTGCGCTTGCGAGGGGCGCTAGGTTTCGATTTCGGCTTTCCTGCACCTGCTAGTCCTTCAAGCAGGGCAAATGTATCGTCCATGGCATCCAGTTTCGAATCGTCCTCTTGCGGCGCGTTGTCATCGAATGCGACATCCTTGTCCGGTATCACCAATCCTCTGAAAACCCGTGTCTTTCTGTCTCTTTCGCCATCGAGATCCCGCTCTTCCTCGTCATTGGTATGCGCTTGGTCCTTGGCCTTTGATTTGTACTTTGGATGCATGGTAAGTACCAAGCGGTCGATAGCAGTCGCGAGAGTGGCCGAGAAGTCGAACTCGGAGAGTTTTGTCTTGAAATCATCGAGGTTCTTGCACTGTTCATGCTGTGCAATGACGAATTCGGCAATGGTCTTGTCGCTGATGCCCATGTGGTTTTGGATCTCGGAAGCGACCTTTGAGACGAGCGACAGATGCTCAAGCGCTTCGAGATCATCCATGCTGGGTGGCTGCTTCACTGACTGGCGACTTGGAAAGGTTGGTGATACGGCCAGATGCACCGAATGAGGTCAAACAGCGGTCATGTCGAGCTATGTACAAAAGTTGAATGCGCCTGGGACGGAGATGCGGCGGCGGCGTAGCATGACTTGGCAGCACTTCGGAGCCTCCACCCGCCGCACCGCCCGGCAGCACTCTCAAGCACCCTCCCCATGTGCAAAGATAAGGTTTGTCACGCGCATGCTATAGAAATGCACAGTTCCTCTAGTAGATAGAAAATGTCCCCAGAGAGTCGCGATGTTGTCGGCTCTTTATGCAACCAAACTGCGTATTTCTATAGCTGTCAGCGTGACATATCTTTGCACACGAGGAGGGTCAATCAACCAAACCACACATCACATCAAGCAAGTGGCACAGTTGTATTGAATGATAGTCTTCAATTGTTATAATAAAGCATGGTGCGCTTCTGATAGCATTAATGACACCTCGGTTGACTGTTCGCGGCATCACCAACGGATGCGAATCTGAAATGTAGTAAGTCACTGCATTCATTCACAGTAAGATCTCTCATCATGAGCGTAAAGAGAAGCGAAAGCGCAAAAAACGAATAGTTGGTTCCATCAGAAAGCTCCTTGTTACTCCAGTGATCGATAATCCCATCCATGAGTTTCAGCTGACTGACACAAAGGTGTACCGTCTAGGCCTGCGCACTGTACAATCCACGGCCACGACCGCGAGGTCCCTTGGGCACCTTGGGCCAGACTGTCTTTCTAGTATTGGTGGTATTTTCCGTGTTGGAGTTGGCGAGGACAGTATTCTCGGCCAACGGGGTCTTTGCGCCTTTGTCGCCCGTGACATAAGTGTTCTGGGGCTTGCTACTGGCGGCTTCGGTAGCAGCAGGAGCTGCAGTGTCGGGTGAGTCTGCATTGACATTGCTCGAGGCGTTGCGCTTGTTCTTGTTGTTGGGTCTGTTGGCGTTCTTGGGACCTTTGACGCTCTTGTTCTTGCATGGCAGAGGAACGTGTATGGCAGTGAACCAAGGCCGGGGAAGTTTGATCTGAACCGTAACGTCATGAATAGCATGGTCGTGGAAGAACATCATGCGCTTTGACTGAGGTTCGACAGTCTTGTGGAACTTCGAGTTCGGTCTGACGGGCGTAGTGACGGTGGCAGGTGCATCAGGATATGTGACGCCACGAGGCAAGAAGACTCTAGGAGTGGAGCCGAAACTAAGTTCTCCATCGAAAATGTCATCAACGCCTGGCTTCGACACGATCTTGGTGTAGGTAGATACAGGCGAGGCAGATCGCGGAAGGGAGACGGTAGTTGCGCTCTGCGCGATCACGAGATCCGAGCTGGTTCTAGACACGGATGCGACGGCAGGAGCAGGGGCTTGCGTCTTTGGGGGAGTCTTGGGTGGAGAAGGAGGAATTGTAGTCAAGACTTGAGCTTTGCCAAAGAGTCCGTTAAATCTGGCCTGCCAGTCTTGAGTCTGAACAAGAGGTCTTGCGCCCACTGTGTACGAGTGCACACTTCGAGGCATGGTGACTGGACTGGACTGCTCACGGTCTGCAGAAGCGGCAGGTGGCAGCCTGACCAGAGGTCTCGGAGTCGGCAGGTTGACAAGAGGATGTCTGGAGTCACCGCCAAAGACTGGGTGGTCAGCCTCCTCAGGAGGAGGAGACCCACCGTAGAGAGCTGAAGGGAAGAACCTCGACTGCTGCGGAGCTGCACCTGGGGTGGGAGGTTGCACAGGAAGAGGCAGAGACTGAGCATTGCTTGCGTATGCAGTACGGGGAGGCAGTCTCACGCCAGTGGGGCCGTTGCTTGGGCTGTCAAAGGCTCTGGAGGAGCTGGATGGACCGGTGGGAAGGCGCACTATGCCTTCACCAGGCGTGTGCAACTGTTCGCTGCTAGGAGGAGGAGGATGGTGCATCGACTGTTGGGCGATGGGCGACTGAGGACCTGACGCAACTTGGTTGAGTCTGTGAGGGCCTGGCACGACTTGGCTTCTGTGGGGGCCAGGACGTGCAGCGCCAATGGCACCAGCTCTATGAGGGCCGGGAATCTTTACTGCGTTGCGGGTTGGAGTCTCATATTCGAGCCCACGGGGCTTCGTCTGTACAAAAGTCTCGGTGACGGTCCAATTGGCACCAGTGTGATGAGACTGCTGTGGCGAGGATGGCTTTGCTCGCTCATTCTGGACGCGTGCCGCAGTCTGTGCATCATCCCTAGCTGCTTGTGCGCTGTTGGAGAAGTTGGTCCAGGCCGAGGTATCACGTAAAGGCTGTTGACGAGGAGCAGCCTTCTGTGGAGGCGCAATAGGAGTCGGGTAGGCGAGACGGGCGGGTTCAGGTAGAGGCGATGCGCCGGCAAGTGCTGATGCGCCAGTAGACTCGGGCATGCGTGAGTCGAGACTAGACAAGGAACCAAACTGCTGGTCCATCGGGCCAGACTGGGCAGATGCTGGCTGACCGAAGGCCTTGGGCGAGACACGCGAGGGATAGGGGCGGTTGAAAGGTGCGGTGAATGGCGCATTCTGGGGTTGAGGGCGTGAGTTTGGAGAGATGCTCGAGTAGCCTGCGTCAAATGTGCCGTTACCGATGTGTCTGTTGTTGCTGGGTGGAGGGCCCCAGAGAGCGGGTGCGGTGTGCGAGGTCATGCTGGCGCTGCCCCACGGTGTGGTCGTAAAAGACTCGGCGCCAGAGATCGACGGCAAACGTGCAGGTTGCGCTTTCTGGTCGCTGGGCGACGAGAAGGACGACGAATTCATGCCTTGCAAAGATGACTGTTGGTAGGGACTGCGCGTTGGACCATTGGGTGAGTGTTGTTGGAGACCAGGCAACTGAGGCGACGAAAGAGTTTTGTGCGCAGGGCGAGTGAGGGGAGCGGAGTTTTGGGCGAACGACAGCGAAGATTCAACAGTCTTTTCCTTTCGAGGTGAGAGTTGCTTGACTGGTGATGCGTGCGCTTCGGTGCGCGATGTTTCCTCATTCGGCACAACTGCTTCTGCGGCTGGAGCAATTTCTGGCGACGCGCTCGAAACAGGGGCGGATGGCGCATCTGCTAGCTTCGGTACCTCAGGCTGCTTCTTCTCGAACTTCTCGGCTTTGTCTTGAGGTGGTGTCTTCTCAAGAGGCATTCCGAGAGCCTCCATCTTCTTTCTGATCCTCTCTCTTCTCTCGGCTTCTTCACGTGCTTCTTCCTCTTGTCTGCGTCGGATTGCTGCTTCGCGCTTTTCTTGCATAAGCTTCTTCTGTTTCTCGCGCTCTTCCTCAATTGACAAGGCACTGGGTGCGGTACCGTCGGTCTGATGTAGCTGTGCCTCAGAGGATTCGACAGGCGGTTGCACCTCTACCTTGCCTTCAGGTGCCAACTCAGGAGAAGGCTCGGCAGGATCAAAGACCTTGCTGGAAGAAGACATGCGTCTATCGCGAAGCATGTTTCCGCTGATGCTTGAGCCTCTTCTACGACCCCAAGGACTTGCTTCTGTCTGAGAATTTGTACGAGCTTGGAAGGCGGCTGAAGGTTCTGCAGGGCCGCCTCCAGGAGCAGGACGTTGCAGGACTGCGGGTTGCCGCTGGTATGAGTCTTGTTGGCGTGAGTTTCTGCGGTGTTCAGGGGCTGGCTCGTAGCGTCCCGATTGCGAATTGAAAAGCTCTCTATTCGATCTTTCTCCGTCCTTCCAAGATCGATCAAATGTGTCGGTAGCCATCTCACGCGTAGGCGGCGGCTGAGACAGAGCATCAAATCCGTGAGCGTCTCGGTGTGAGAATCTGGAAGGAGCCTGTGCGGTTGGAGGAGGGTTGACTGTGATAGGGGAGGCTTTTTCAACTGGAGGAAGGGCTGCCCACGGCGATTTGATAGGTGCGGGTGCAGTGTTCTTCAGCATAGGCGACTTGCTGTCGGGAGTAGCCTTTCCATCGGCGCCAATCTGCTTTGCTTGTTGTGCAGCTCCAGGTCTTAAGATGGTGCGCGATTGTGCGGCCAGAGTCGAACGCTTCAACGCAGTCATAGATGGCTTGGCCGTAGGAGCAGACGGCACAGGAGCAGCAGTAGGAGGTAGCTCTTCTTGAGGCTTGTCGGCGGGTTTCTCTAAGGGTTGAGGGGGAACAGCATCCGCATGACTGATAGTGGTTTTGGTTCCGTCCATCCATTCGACCGTCTCGGGAGTCCACTCTTCCTCGTCCTCGTCAATGTCGGCCCATTTTGCCTTTGGCTCGGTGGTTCCCTCTGCTTCTAGACGGGTGGCCAGGTGGATTCCGTATTTTTGCTTGAGTTCTTCGTCGGTGTAGTGTTTGGTCGGGGCAGGTGGAGCAGCTGGTCTGTGGTCAGTATGCGACAAGGCGTTGGTTGTGCGAGTGGTACTGACGCTGGTTCTTATTCCACACAGTCCTAGCATCCGGGGTGCTTGTGCCGTCGCCTGGGCGAGCACGAGGAGCGTCGCGCAAGCCGCTGCTACCGGTCTTTGCAATCAGGCGTGGTCTCGCATTCATCTGTAGTGTGGCCATTTGAGGGGATGCTTTCGAGGTGTCAGCATGAGTCTAGGAGAGTTGGGTATGGTCGGCGCACGCTTTTCTGCAACCTTGACTGGAGGAGGGGTGCTTCCAGGAGTTGTCGCCGTCTTGGCCAGGAAGGACTTTGTGATAGAAACAGGCTTGAATGACAGAGGCTTCTTTACTGAACCAGAACGGGCGACCTTGGAAGCATCTGGACGGCTGGAGTCGGTGTCGGAGCCCGGTTGATCAGGAGTCGCATTATCCACGTCTCTGTTGATTGTGAGGTTGAGATCGCCATGGTCTTGAGAAGAGTTCAGATCCAGTGGGGTTGTCTCGGAATCGTGTGGTAGTTGTAGTTGGTGTTGGGCGGATTCGGGAGTGACGGCGGGCTCGCTGTCTTGGTGGGATGCATGCAGGTCGGCGGAGGGTGAGAGGTCGTCCACCGACTGGTGGTTGATCAGCGCATTATGGGGGCTCAACTCGGCCATAACAGTCTCGGCGAGTGAGAGGTTGACAGTGGTGAGATCGTGGGCGAGTTGCGCGGCCCGCTAGAGACTCGGTTGCTCAAGGGTCGGAGTGTCTCGTGTCTCGTGTTCCCAAGCGTTGCGCTGCCTGCCTGGCAAGGATCGAGGATGATGCGGCTTCAGCCCACGGATGTCAGCCCGCTGTGAGATATCACTTTCTGTCTGCCAACGGACAATCCAGCTAAAGTCTTGCCAGAAGGAGCTGGTTCACTCTGGCACAATACGGCGCAGTCACATAATCCAAGTCGCCGCCTTCAACACTATCACGGTGGCCCGTGCTCCTATAGACCCGGTATTGCCATGGTTATACAACGTTCACATATCACACGATCAAGAACGAAGAATAGAGTCCGCTAACTTCCCTTCCGGTTTTATGCTGTATAATTACAAAGACAAGGACTCGGGCTTTTGGCTTCCCTGCCTTCTTGCATACCGTCCTTTTCCATTGCCTTGCCCCGTTTAGTGGGCGTTGTTCTTGTGGTGACCTGTCGAGCCTGCAGTTAGCTACCTGACGTATCCATGTCCGATCCAGGCAAGACGTACGCAAGTGGAAGTAGTAGTTCTGGGCGTAACCAAGGACGATCATGGTGCCAATGACGTGAACCAGGGCTGTGTCGGACAAAGTCAGCTCGAGTCCAGAGCATAGGTATAGAGACAAGGGTGGTCGTACGCATGGCCGAAGGGTTCTTGCCGCTGAAGTAGCGGTGCTGGTATCTCTGGAGGAGGCCGGAAGGCTTGTGCTCGGGAGCGGGACCGCGAGGGAGTCTCTCGTAGAACGAGACGACACGCTGCATGCGGGCGGCGTCGGCCGAAGCACCAATGCCCTGTATGTCGACTTTGTCAGTCTAGATCTCGAGGCTCTTTCTCTAGCATGATGCGATAGTGTGGGTTGCGCGGACGGCCGGGGCCAGGTTGAGGGTATGGCGAGGTGTAGATTTTGCGGAGGGTGGAGCTCAACGTACCGAGGGCGAGGCAATCTGGGGACAGTCAGTATTGAATCAAATCAGCAGCATTACTCGAAGCAGGCGCACCTTGGGGGGAATGAGCGTAGAGACCATGGTTGCGACAAGTAACTCTTCTGTGCTGGCTGCTATGTGCTTTGACATGGCGTTGTTGCGAAGGCTCCCAATCGGCCAATCGGCCTGCCAAGCCTCCGGCTGCACTCCGGATGCCTTGTGAGTTCGCTGACCTATGTACGATGCGCATACCATCAAGGCGTTCAGAGAGGCTCTTGCCAGTCACACCATATCCATACAATGTCGCCATTGAACAGGACAGCAGCTTCGAGGCTCTTCGCCGTCGCCTCCCGACCCGCTTTCTCGCGCCAGGCTCCCCGTTTTGCCAGCAACCAGTCCTTCGTCGCTCCCAACTCGGCTGAGGTCGACAACATCCAGTCCCGCGAGGAGCCTCCTTCGCCCGTCCACTTGACCAAGGGAGAGACCAAGGGAAGCGAGCCCGCTGTCCAGAATACTCCTAGTCATGCCCCCAACTACGGTGCTGCCGTCGACTACAGAACCTCGGCCTTCTCTCCCGTCCCCAAGCGCGTCATGGATGGCAGTGAGCCCACCGAGACTGTAGCTGCCGCTGTCGTCTCTGGTGCCCCTACTGATCTCCAAGCCCGCACAGTTCGGTTCGTCAATTCTTGCCTTCGTTGCTTACTTGAAGATCCATTTGTACTTACCCACTGACTCCAGCATCTTCCGTCCTGCTAAGACCCCGACGCAATCTGGCGACTGGAACGCTCACCACTGGCGCATGGACTGGGACGTCCTCAGCAAGGGTCACCGCTGGGAGAACCCTCTGATGGGCTGGCAATCATCTGCCGACTACATGCAGGGTACCCACCTGAACTTCAAGTCCAAGGACGATGCCATCAACTTTGCCAACAAGCAAGGATACGAGTACTTTGTCCAGGAGCCCAACGAGCGCAAAATCATCCCCAAGGCATACGCCAACAACTTCATGCACAGTCCAAAGAAGCTGAAGCACATCCGTACCAAGTAGAGCACACGGCGGAACCCTCTGTACATTTTCTTTTTTCTTCCAATACCATGACATCGATTTAGAACCATTTCTCAGATTCGCCCCCAGACTCCTCGAGTCCTAGATATTGCTTACGACGGCGCTGCGTCGTAGTCCTCTAGCTTCCGAAACTTGAACCATCGCCCAGCGACCTGCCTGATCCTCAAAGTTCTTCCAACCCAAGCTCGCTCACCCGCACCAAAGGTCTTTGTGGTAATATTCAGCATGGAAAGATCTTGATCCCAGGTGTTCGTGACTGGACGAGGTCCATTGAGCATGGCTTCATCTTCTTGGCCGCCAGTCTCGTACTCGTCTTCTGGGTTTATGCATTCGACCATTAGGAGCTGGTGACCGAGACCATGCGCGACATCTACGATAGAAGCAAATGTCCGGTTGAAGCCCTGAACTGAATATGAGAGTGTTTGTTCGTGAATCCGGATTGGATTTACTATCATCAGAAGCGGACAGGTCTGGTCGTGTGCACCTTTGGGTTCTGAGTCGACTTGTCCTGGTTGCCGAGGATGCTTCAAATTTGTGAGGTAGGCTCGCAGGTTGGTGAGATCCGAACAAAAGGACATTTGGACATTGCGTGAATCGTGTAGGTTGCTCAAGGCTGGGGTGAGAAGATTCAGTGCATTTGAACTCTCCTGTGTGACTTCGTACAAGAGAGATTGTAGGAATACATCTCGAGTTGAACAAATGATCAAGTGTTTGTGTGGTGCAGGGTGGCGCAAGATGTGCCGGAGAAGATGATGGGCTTTGCACGGCTCAAGCACAATCGGTCTCGATGGTTGAGATGTGCTAGATGGCATGTGAAAGTGATTATGCAGGGTTGATACAATCGTTTCTGAGCATCAGGGTGTCAAGAATGGCAGTATTACGAGTGATAGGATAGGTTGGGTTGATATTGGCGACGGACAAAACATGTGACAGGGTCGGAGGAGGTTCAAAGTGGCTGCAGGAACGTGGACGGACATGACGTGCGCCAAACCGAAGTTGCGTCCCCGCCAAACATTCGAGCTCGACCATTCGAGTTCACGATTGCGCCTAGACAAGTCACAGCCAGGATGGAGTCGATATCGCGTATCTCGGGCATGCTGGAAACAGGTACCGTGGAAGCGAATGTATAATATGACAAAGAGCCAGTCTGACCCGTGGACAGCACGCGACCTCACGCTCGAGGCCGCTCGAGATGCAGGAGCCGGACGACGATCGGTCAAGCAGATGCCTCCGGCGCAAATAAAGAAGTTGCTGGACAGCAGGAACGAACGAGAGGTGCTCGAAGGCTTGCGTCGCGTTATCGAAGTCAGTGCTGTTGTTCGACACAAGCCATGACATGACCCATCGACTTACCCATCCCAACGGCAGATGCAATACACGGCTCCTCTGGCGCAAACACTGCCATTCTTCCCCTCGGTCCTCAAGACTCTCTCGCACCCGACTTCCTCGACCAGACCCCTGGTTTACTCATATCTGCTACACCATGCCGAGGCGGATCCGGATACCGCTCTCTTGTCCATCAACACTATCCAAAAGTCTCTCTCAGACACCAGCCCCCGCGTACGCGCCATGGCTCTGAAGACGATGGCTGGCGTCCGTATCCCACTCATCAGCCAAATCGTTTCGCTCGCTATCAAAAAAGGAACCGCCGACATGAGCCCCATCGTCCGCAAGGCTGCTGCTTTCGCATGCGTCAAGTGTGTCAAGCTTGACCCTGCCACTCTTCCTCAAGTCACCGAATACCTTTCCACCTTGCTCGGAGACAAGCAGTACTTTGTCGCTGGAGCCGCCGTTGCTGCCTTCAGCCAGGTCTGTCCGGAACGTTTGGACTTGATACACCCGCACTACAGAAGCCTTGTCAAGAAGTTGGTCGATATGGATGAATGGGGGCAGGTCTCAACTCTGCAGTTGATGACTGTTTATGCGCGAAAGTGCTTCCCACAAAGGACTCGCCGTGTCCGTAAGACCAAGACGAATACTCAAGCCGAAAAGCAAAAGGGCTTCTACGACGATGATGATGCCGAGGAAGAGGAAGTCGATTACGAAGACGTACAGACGCTGGATCCTGATCTCGACTTGCTTCTCACATCATCACTGCCACTCCTGCAATCTCGTACCTCGGCCGTTGTCGTCGCCGTCACAAGAGCTTACTTATATCTTGCCCCTGAGCAGTATCTGCACCACGCCATCGGTCCTTTGACAGCCCTTCTCCGTGGTCCTCCCGACATCAACCAGATCGGCCTTCATAACATCGTCCAGATCTGTCTTCTTTATCCACAACACTTCGTCCCGCACTTCCGCCATTTCCTCCTCAGATCCGGCGAAGGAGAACAGACATGGCGCCTCAAGCTTGAGATTCTGACCCTTGTATTCCCTCATTGCGTTACTGACGTACAAGGCCTTATCCTCACGGAACTTGAACACTTCTCGCAAGGTCACGATCCTGCTCTGGTTCGCGAATCAGTGCGAGCAATTGGTCGCTGCGCTCACAACTCGGATGCTACTACCAGCTCACGCTGCTTGCGCTTGCTTCTCCGCCAGATCCACAGCCCCGATCAACATCTCGTTGCTGAGGCTTTGGAAGTTATTCGACATATGATTCAGCGCGATCCACTCTCACATACAAAGACCGTCATCCGCTTAGCGAAGAACCTCGACACTCTTACCAGTCCTGCTGCACGCGCCAGCATCATCTGGTTAGTTGGCGAATTCGCCGGTTATTCCCCTGATCAGAGCATTGCACCAGATGTTCTGCGCATCCTCGTGCGTGGATACCCTGACGAACATGATCTGGTCAGGCAGCAGATTGTGCTGCTGGCGGCGAAGGTTTACCTGCACTGGTTGAACGCCGAGAATGCGACCAACAAGAAAGCAAACCCTCCTGCTCTGGAACGTCATTCTAGCTCGACTGTTCTTGCCCCTGACGACGAAGAAGACGGTGCCGGGTTTAGAGACGATGAATACAACAACGAGAACTCAACGACAATCGAATCACAAGAAGACAAGTCTCATCCGATATCGTTGCTATATAACCACACCCTGCTACTGGCCCGCTATACACCATCTTACGACCTCCGCGACCGTGCCCGTATGTTTCGCGCCTTGTTGGCCGTGCCTTCGAGCACCGAGTTGGCATCTCTCCTCTTGCTCGCACCCAAGCCTGTACCACAAGCGCCGAGTCCAAGCGAGAGCCGCAAAGGCTACATGCTCGGCAGTGCCAGTTTGGTCATCGGCGAAGACAGCGGCGTCAACGGGCTCAGTGGCTACACTCCTCTTCCCGACTGGGTCCAGGATGGAGAAGAACCAGATGCCAAGCTCAGAAACGTCGAGATAGAATCAAAGATTGAGTATCGCCCAAGTGGCGGATCAACAGTGCCGGCGGGCAGAATGCTGGATGATGCACTCAAAGGGTCTGCGCCTGTGGTCTATAAGTCAAAGTCTGGGGCGCCTGCTAAGGAAAAGACCTTGAATGATTGGCTTGACGAGGAAGACGAAGAGACCTCAGAAGAAGAAGAGACCGACGAGTCTGAAGATGAGGAGGAAACTGACGAAGATGAAGAAGAAGAAGAGACGGATAACAATGACGAGGAAGACTCTTCGGAAGAGGAAGAAAGTGACAGTGATGACGGTGACGAGAAAAGGCGACTTGTTTGACCAAATCCACAAGGCATAAGAAAGATACCCACCATATATGCACACTAAGCCAATCTGCGATAACAATCGTCACCTCCCTCTCTGTCCTTCTCCTCTACTGCCATAATAACTTCCTGAGATAGTGGTATATGAAAGCCAGCAAGCAAGCGAGCAACTTTGAAAGAGGTGGCTGCAAATGCTCAACCTTACAGCGAATTCTCCTTCACTTCCCTCCTATCCTATATATTCACCTCAGTTCTCATACATCACTGTAGTCGGCTCAGTGGTGTAACGGCTTATACACTCACGCCTAGATTTGGTAATAAAACCACCGTTCGACTCCCGCCTGTGTACGCCTTGAACAATTTCTATCAGCCAGGTGAGACCGTTAGTCTGGTGGCTAAGATCAAGGGAAAGAGAATGAGAGTTTTTCCAGAGTGCCCCTGGTTGGTGTCTGATTTTTTTGCTCGCTTGCATACTGCCTGATGCTTTGTTTATTTTTGTGGATGAACGAATGGGTTTTGGAAGAATGTGTTTAAGCGCCATCCGGATCTTCTCTAGCGTGATCGAGGGAGCACAGCTCTCCTGTTGGTGGCCAAGCGTGTTGATGTGCTCTTACGTGCCACTCGAATCATTGCTCCAACCGAATAGATGAGCCGTGAACATGGGATACGTATACTGCAAGACAGCGTGCCATTGGCATGTTCAATGCAAAGAAAGATCAATGTTTTTTTTCCGTCAGATAAAAGAATTGAAGTGAAAGTCATAATAAAAGCTATAAAATAGAAGAAGCCGTCTTTGTTTGGGAAAGAGGAGATAGAAGTTTGAAAGAAGAAAGTGGAAAGGAGGTGGAGAAGAAGGAAAAGGAGTTACCGTGATCTGCCCTTTCTCCTGCGGTGAGACAGATCTGGTCACCGTACACCTGCACTGTTGACCGGAAACAATCTCCCTGGCCTTTTCAGGCTCTGTACACGAACCCCTGGCACACATTTTTCTCGTGATTTTGGGCCATGGATCGCATATAACATATCGTTGAAAAGATTTGAAAGAAGAGAAAGAGGCACAAGAAATGGACTTGTACCAGAGGACGCTCGAACATGTGCAAGCATGAGACACGCTTACCGGCGGTATCGACTGCGATGGATATCAATCTTGTGTAAAGTACCTTAATTACTCTTCGACATACCTGTAGACATCTTGCCTACTCTGTCGCATACGTCGTGCTCGTGGAGTGTCATCATCCTGTCTGCGGCGTCCCTCTGCAGCCGCAACTTCCTCATAGGTACGCTTTCTGCCACTACCTGTTTTCTCAGGGGCAGCTGACGGCTTGGCTTTGGGCGTAGCATCCATATCAACATCGTCGCCGTGGAAGTCTGAACCGGCTGCAGTGTGCTGAGAGGTAGTGGATTTGGGACTGGCGGGATCGTGTGCACGCCATGGATCGAACGATGGCGAACGACTTTCGCGAGGTGGCGGTGGAGGAGGGAACTGAGGACCGTACGCGAAGCGTTGATTCGTAGGCGCAAAGCCACCTGGGGGAGTGATTCTCTGGCTGTGGTGTGTCAGATTTAATATGTCTTCAAGTTGGATTTGTTGTGCGTACCGATTGCCTAGAGGTACCGGTAATCCCAGAGCAGGAGGTGGAGTGGGGTAAACCATTTTAGGTGATCCCTCTACACCAAGCGCCGCCAGAATGTTCTCCTGCGCTGAGTCCTTGGGAAGCGGAGCAGGCTTGGCCTTGGGCTGTTGCGAGCCTTGTCTGCTGCGCTTCTCAGGCGACCGCGATCTCGAGTGACGCATAGAAGATCTTGATGGTTGCCTATCGTTCTTCCGAGGTGACTTGGGTCCTAGTGCCAGCTCAAGAGAGTCGAGGATGGTGACCTGCTTTGTCACCGGAGCTGACTGGGTTACTGGCCGTGGCAAGGGATGGGCAAGGGGTTGGATGGTTGGTTGAACAGCAGGCTTGACGGGCTCGTCTTCATCGTCGCTCATGTCCATAGCTTGGTCCCCATCGGACTGATCGTCCTCGGCTCCTGCAACTAACTGTTGCACCGGCAAAGGATGCACAACCGCGGGAAGAGAACCACTGTGCTGTGTTACTGGCTCCAGCTGCTCAGTGACAGGATCGGGACGGTCGCGGTTTGCAATGACAGTGAGAAGGGGGACTGTCGCAGCCGTCTTTCCAAACTCCACAAATATTAGATCGTCCTTGACCTTCTGCCACTCGTCTGTATCTCGTACACTGAGTCTGATATCGACCGACATGTCGTCAGGGAAGAACTCGGACGTAACACTGATGTGTGCATCTTCAGTAGCTTTGGCGGATTCGGTCCACTTCGAATCAGCTTCATCGAAGACTGAAGGTAGGGGCTTGCTGGTAGGTATAGCTGGATGCCATGTAATCAGACCAAGGCTCAGTTCTGGTACGACCTCCTCAGCCGGGACGCCAGCTTCGCTCTCAAAGTCAAAATCCAGGCCGAAGTCGAGACTAGACTGCCTTGTGTGCGATGCCGCATAGCCATCCTCACTTATCGGCGGAGGATAAGCGGAGGCATCGATGTACGGCGTTGGATTGGTAGCAGGTGCCGCTATATAAGCACCGTTCGCATCATAATAGCCTGTGTGCTCCTGGGGTGGATATGCAGGTGCAGGTACAGAGTATGACGGCGTTGGTGCTGTCGTGGAATACGGCTGAGTAGATTGAGGTGGCTGATAAGGTGGCTGCTGGTAAGCTTGATTTGGGTCGTATACCGGCTGAGGAGGATATGCTACTGCTGGAGGATATGCTGGGGCGGTCGGAGGTTGATATCCTTGGTAAGTGGGCTGGGTGTAAACTGCTTGGGGTTGTGGAGGATGTGCGGGGTACGCCGGTGCTGTATAGGGAGCCGCAGCATATGTCGGTTGCTGTTTATATCCTGGGGGTGGAGGATAGCGTGTGATCACGGGATTGCCTTTTTGCTTTTTCAAAGGAGGTCTGAAACAGTATCAGATCTGGGCAAATGCGAGAAAAGACTAGAAGACGGCGGCAAAAGAGAATCTTACCCATTTTGTGGAGCAGCAGCAGCATAAGGTTGTTGATATTGCTGAGCGCCGTATGCCACTGGTGGAGGAGCTGGTTGGTACGAAGGCTGAGCATATGCAGCTACCACAGGATACTGAGGTTGAGCATAACCAGGCTGATACGGCTGCTGATACGGAGGGTGAGGTTGAGCAGCGGGCGCAGTATACATGATGGACAATGTTTGCTTGCTCTTAGGTCAAAAAGTTTGACGACTTTGGGGGAAAAGAGAATATTTCGGTTGCGGCCGGGCAGCAGCACGAATCAAAGAGATGCCATAGGCTTCGGAAGAGGAGAGAAAGAGAAGAAGCAGAAAGGACAGTGAGAAAAGAGTTGCAAGGGATATGGAACAACGAGTGCCAGTCGTTTGACGGGGGAAGGAGAGACGAATCAAGTCGGGCGTGCACAGACGAAGACGGCAAGGTGCGGGCTGTGGCAGCAGTCGAGGAAAGAGCTGTTTGTTAGGAGAAGCTGATGAGACAGCACTGCCAACGGAGCGTCTCGTCACCTACCCTGTACCTGGGCTGTATTCGATTGTCGTCGCAGCAAGAGGCAGCAAAGCAAGGTGCAAGATTATTTACAATGGTAAATTGGCTGTCGAGCCAATCACAACGCCTATCGTCACGTGCCCAGCGGACAAGCGGTTTGGAAATTCAGATTCGGCGGGTGCGCGAGTGGCAGCAGCGTCGGGGGAGAAGGCCAGATCGAGCCAGAAACAGCTTTCGCAAGAGTCGTCATGTCGTTCTGCTAGACATGTCTTGAGCTTTGTGTCTTCTGTCTTTGATCATGTGTGGAAGCGTCGACTCTACCCAGGCACTGATATCGCCTGTCCCGTCTCCCTAAGCTCTTCTCTAACGCCCCATCGCACCTGCCCGCGCGACCAAAACCGCCGCCAACATGCCTGGACTTCCTTGTAGGGCGCCCACTGTCACGAGAATGAGTCGCGTGGCAAGAGCTGACGTTTGCAAGCCAGCATCGACCTCGACGAGTGCATCGAGAGGCTCTACAACAAGGAGCTGCTCGCCGAGTCCGTCATAGAAGCCATATGCGCAAAGACAAAAGAGATGCTCATGAAGGAGAGCAATGTTGTGCACATTCAGGCCCCCGTAACTGTCGTTGGTGATATCCACGGCCAATTCTTCGACCTCCTCGAGATCTTCAACATCAGTGGACCGTGTCCGGACACGAACTATCTCTTTCTCGGTATGTGACGTAGCGCACGCGACCGCCAACAAGGCACACGTCTGACCATGCATAGGCGACTACGTTGATCGCGGCCTCTTCAGTGTCGAAACCATCTCGCTGCTGGTCTGTCTCAAACTGCGCTACCCTCATCGCGTCCACCTCATCCGCGGCAACCACGAGTCTCGAGGAGTCACCCAATCCTACGGTTTCTACACGGAATGCAGCCGCAAGTACGGCAACGCTGCTGTTTGGCACCACTTCACCGACATGTTCGACTACCTCTCCCTCTCCTGCGTCATCGACGACAAGATCTTCTGCGTCCATGGCGGTCTGTCGCCCAGCATCCATAGCATCGATCAGATCAAGATCATCGACCGCTTCAGAGAGATTCCGCACGAAGGTCCCATGGCCGACTTGGTCTGGAGTGATCCGGACGCCGACCGCGACGAGTTCTCGCTGAGTCCAAGAGGAGCCGGTTACACCTTTGGCGCTCAAGTCGTCAAGAAGTTCCTCCAGGTCAACTCCATGACACACATTCTCCGTGCACACCAACTCTGTAATGAAGGGTACATGGTCATGTTCGATGACAGGCTGTCCACCGTGTGGAGCGCTCCCAACTACTGCTACCGATGTGGAAACAAGGCTAGTGTTCTCGAGGTCAGCCCTACCGGAGAGCGAAAATGGAACGTCTTCGACGCCGCCCCTGAGAACGAAGTACACCGCCTCGAGCAACAAAACCAACACAACAATGCCGGCTCGGATCCGGTCAGGGACTATTTTCTATAGAGTACATGTCCTGCTTGTTGGCTGCATCTCATTAATGATCGTTCATAAAGGGCAGCATCTCTGGAGTTTACATTGATACCAAGGCGGCACGATTCCATGTTAATTCTTCTTCTGTACGATACTATTATCGCAAGTTTTTTTTCTTCCTTACTTCGGATCATGGGCTCGAGATTGACGCAGTTCGAGGCCTTGTTTATTGACTGGCTCTGTTTCGATTGAGGAGAGTGTGAAGGTGATAAAGGCCCTGCGCTGTCGGTGTTTGACTTATCACAAGATCTTCCTCGCCTACAAAGGAAGCACCGCCTTTTGAGCATTGAGGACGTAACCGATTCACAGAGATAAGGATAAGGGAAAGTGATCCACCGGAGGGTTCGAGGGTTTCTGGTGGCTTGCGACACTATACTCGATACGGCATCTCCATGCGGCCCTCCGCAATTTGGCCTTCCAAGGGTTGTTTGGCATCCATCATGTGCATGTGCAACCAAAAACGTTGCTTCTTTCTGCAGGAAGCGGGGCTTCTGGTTTCTCTTTGCTGTCTTGATGAGTTGTCAGTATGTATAGTTGTACAACAGAAGGATCTAGAATGCAGAAAAGGAAGGAAGAGAGAGAGGGGTGCTGCATGCGTAATCGCTGCATGCACAGTTCGGCGGAGAGCGATGAGACGTCCGAGAAGGAAGCGCTGCTGAAGCTAAAAGCTCCTCGTGATAGCGCGGGCGGCTCCACAGGATGGGTGATCTGGATCCAACGTGGGAGCTAGCTAACTGTGTCGTATCTGGGTTGCTCTATCTATGCATGGAAGATGAGGCGAGGAGCAGGAACGTACGTATATAACGGCAATGGACATCCGAGCCCTGCTCTCCCTTTGCTTCCTCCTCTCTTGTCCGAACAGTCAGCCTCGTTTCTATCAACACTTGTACACGAAAGACAATCGCCCTTTGCAAACAACAGCCTCTTATCTGCATCTTTGTTTCCGAACATCAAAGCATCACAACCTCTCCCTTCGAGCCCTATCAGGCACATCGGCCACAGCCCAGATATTGATGTCGTTTTTCGTTGCCATCAACAAGAACACCGGACGTACCTTCATCCCCCTCAGTAATCACAGCAGCAGTACCAACCCATCCAATAATCCATCATGGACGGTGTCAAATACCAAAAGACAAGCCACACCCTCAAAGGCAATAAGCCAAACATGAATGGAGTTGTAAATGATCAGAAGAAAGATATCAACACGTCCGGTATTGCTGCTGTTGCTGCTGGAGGGGATGGGGTCCGTCGGGTTACGCTCGCCGAGTACAAGCAAGCAGCCCAATGCTTGGCCGATGCCTTCGCCGACGACGATGTCGCTCGCTACTTTACCGAAGTCCCTGATGGTGCCCACTGGACCAAGGAACAGAAGTGGAACCTCCATGTGAGCATCCTGGAGTACATCACGTACGCTCACATCCTGAAGGGCTTGGTGCTTGCTGCAGGTCCCGACTATGGTTGCGTCGCCTTATGGTAAGTCCCTTCTCACAGCGGTATATAGCTGTTGTTGGTATGGCTGACACCAAGACAGGATGCTTCCAGGCCAGAACATGGATGACTACCTGACTATCCTGCGTAGCGGTATGTGGAGATTGTGGTACAAGCTCTCGGCCGAAGGCAAGACTCGCTTCTTCGACGAGTTCTTCCCTCTGCTCCACGACACCAAGCATGAAGTCATGGGTGTACGTGATGACGAGTCGTACTACCTGGTGTACATCGGTACCAAGGTTGCTGCCCGTGGTAAAGGTTATGCTCGCAAGTGTATCGAGTATGTGACCAGAAGTGCCGATGCTGAGGGCAGAGCTTGCTACCTCGAGAGCAGTAATGCTTCCAACCCAGCCATCTACCGCAAGTATGGCTTTGAGACCATCAAGTCTATCGAGCTCAAGCGTGCTGAAAAGGTTGTGGTCCTTGACATCATGGTCCGCGAGCCTCAGCTCAGCAGGAACCAGTCTTCTTCGAGCCTTGAGAAGGTCGACAGTCTGGTTTCCAATGCCTCGACTGCTGCTCGTCCGCTTTCAGTCTCCGTTAAGCTGGGAGGCGAGAAAGAGTCGATCGCCAGTATCTCTGTCGTCTAGAGGCAGATTGTGATTTGTGGTCCTGTTTTATCGTGCTTTTTATGTTTCGCGTTCCCACTCTTGTCGCTCCTTATCACCACTGCTTTGACTGCTGCCGTCTGACCCCTTGTCGCTCTTTTATCGCTTTTATCTGCCATATGTTTTGCTTACCTAGTCGTCGATAATCAACTACCACTTCGATGACATGCTTTGTTTGACGCGTTCCTATCTCCGAGACCTCTGTAAGTAACATGTACAATTCACGTTTATCCCTCGTAGGGCCTCTTCCTGCTCTACTTCATGTAGGTAACAGCGTCAATCTCCAACATATATAGCATGCATGCACAACCCTTCTCAAACTCCATACGAAGAGAACCAACTCAAACTCACCCAAAGCTCAGTAATTTGCCTCTACACCTCTTGTCAGCAATGCTCAATCTCATCCTCTCATCAATGACAGAAAACTCACCATCGTTCCAATACAGCGTATCCGCCTGTACCTCCGGCCCCGTAGCCCCAAACACCCAACCAAACTTTAGCTTGATGTACTGCATCAAGTGGCTCGCAAGTTTAACATGTCCAACATCAGTAGGATGATACTGCGGCCCCTGTGTTTTTTTCTTCAGATCAGTCATTGCCCAAATCGCACTTTTAGTCGGTTTACTCACAATATCATTATGCTGCAAGATTCCAGTCGTGTTGAAGTAATGCACGAATCCCTCATGTTTGTAATGCGCATACACCTGCTTTATCTCATCCACAAAAGCACCGCCTTGCTGATATGTGTTACCAACTTGATCGAATCCATTCCAGAGTGCGATGAGTATGATCTGCGCGTGGGGATACTTCCCATGCACCTCCGCCACAAAATCAATATATGTGTTGAGATATTTTTCGTTGGTGACGTTGTTGTGCGTGTTATTGTCGTTGGTGCCCAGATTGATCACCACAATATCTGATTGTTGGTGAGCCGCAAAGTCCCAGAGTGGTGGAGAGTCGCCATAGATGTCGACTGAGCGTGACGAAGTATCCGAGGTGCGTAGCCATTGGTAGACTTGTCCATGAGCATTGCCCCAGCAATTTTGGTCAACCAGACAGATACCGGGATAAGCGGTGATATCGAACTCCACATTGCCCAGTCCAGCGCCTAGTCCCCAGGCATAGCTGGAGATACCTTCGTACGTAGCGTATTGGCCCGCAGACAGCGAATCCCCTATCACCTCTATCTTTGCGCCAAAGTTTGGAATCTGGACTAGTCTTGCGTGTTCAGCGACATGTACACCCGCGATCTGAACACCATAAGCATAATTCGTAACTCTCAATTCAAAAGTCTGCGGTCTTTGCGTTTGCAACGTCAAGTCGAACCCAAGAGTCGATGCATCGACAAACTGATGCGTAGAATTTGCAGTCACGTTGCTGAACATCCAGTCCTGGCCTGCAAATCTGTATGTAACAAGCACACCTTGCGAAGTGTGTTGTCCAAAACTTATGGCGAGTTTGTCGCCGGTGAAGCCGAGTTTGAGTCCTGGTGCTGACCACCAGGATATGTGTTGGGTATCCCAACGACCTTTGTAGGAGATTTCAGTGGTGTTCGGGGGATAGGAAGTCCAGTTGGAGTTGACAGAGGCAATGCTCGTGTTGGCGAAGACTGTATCTCGTACTTGACCATTTTGAAGTATGGTTGCTGAAGCGAGTACGGGTGCAAGTATACACTTTACCAGGGTAGAGAGACCCATGATGACCAGAACGATAGAATCGGAAAGAGTGCGGAAGCGATTGGGTTCCTAGCACATGCCAGATCTTATAGAGGCAAGGCAAGAACAAGAATTGCTGAATACCGTAGCAGCGATCAGGCGGGGTAACAGAATGAACCTTACCATCTTCAATACCACATTATCGAGGTGGATGACTTGTCGTTACCACACTGCTGGGCGGAGAGCCTGCCTCCGGGCCTGATTTGGACATGGCATCATAAAGCTGAGGTGAAGAAATCTTTCCTCCCATTCATCACTGGTGGAAGTTTAGAGTTGGTTGTGAATCGCCCCGCAGATATTCAGGCTGTATGTAGATCGAGCGTGTAGTGTCATGCATTAGGGCTCGGCATGTCTGGATGGAAGTTGAGCATCAGTCAGGTCATGTTTCTGAATGACGAATAGATTGATATACAGTCTAGACTAGAAAGAGATGAATACAACTCGCACTTTGCTCTTGCCACCTCAGAATGCATCGAAGCAATTCCAACCAGTGGATATTGGCCAGTATGATGTAAATATGAGTAGAGTAGAAAAACGGCAAACACGCATAGAGGTATACAATGATCAAGATAGAAACAAGATTATGCCCGAAATGACAAAGGAAGACTATCAAAGAACATGCAGTGTTGACTAAAACATGTTGTCAGGTTGGTACACGACTGGCGACAAGAGCGTCTCGGATGGCATGTTTGCTCGAACTTCACGAGGATGAGGGTATGTTTGACCTGATTGTTCGACGGAGCCGGGTGGAGCTGGTGGTGGAGGTGGCGGAGGTGGAGGCATCAACGAAATTGACGCTTCAGATGCTGCAGCACTGGCTACAATTGGAGAAGCTTCGTAGGGTGATTTGGCCCGGTTCGTGTTGATGTCAGGTGTAGGTTGCTGTCTCGAAAATATGCCAGGGAGCACTGTCTCATAAGGCGAGGGTGCATACGTATCGATTGGTGGTGATTTGGCACGCGACTTGCTGTTGTTACGGATACGCTCTGTCACACTTCTCAGGCGTGAGTTGAAGCCTTCGCTGATGCTGCCACGACCACGTCTTTGCGCTTGTGCCTGAATCTGAGCATGCGCTTGTGCTTGTGCCTGCGCGAAGTTGTTGAGCGGAGGGGCTGTCAATGCACCGGCTCGGTCAATAGTTGGTAAGACATCCATGACTATAGGTTCTTCTTCTCCAATCGCGATGTTGATAACACCGAGACCACTACCTCGACGATCTGTCATGAATGGTGGAGGAGGCGGAGGTGGGGGACCCGCCAGATGTTGGAGTTCTGGCAACATCAACTCTGAGTCCTCTACAATGACAATTTGAGCGTCATGCAAGGTCTGTTCGATGCTTGGCCTGCTCGACGCAGGACTTTGCTGAGGCTGGAAGTTGTTTTCCGTAGGTGTAATCCTACGAGTATGGCCTGCTTTGGAGATGGATCTTCGTCTGGAAGAGTGCGGCAGCACTGTCTTGTAGTGCCACGGGGCACCGTCCGTATTTGTCTCGGGTGGTGCTGAAGATGCCCGTGGTGGAGACAAAGGTGCTAACTGTCCAAACACAGTCGAAGGTAGGAGAGGAGCAATCTGATCGTCTTCTGCGGACTTTGGCGAGGGTGAACCTTGCTGAAACGTGGCAACTGTTGGTTGAGGAGGGGTTTCGGGAACCTGAGGAATAGTGGGTACTCCTTCATGTTCGTATCGCGGATGCTTCATTGCTCTAGGAGTAGCCGGTAGTCCGATCGATGCTGTCGGAGTTGAGGTGCCAGTAGTTCTCGTGGGCGGGAAGCGACCCTTAGATTCTGGATCAGCCGTATGACTACGAATGATTGAACCGGCACAATACGGTGGCTCGAATGAGCTGGGAGATATTCCTAGCTCGGTATGATGTCTAGGAGCCATGAGAGGCCTTTTCAAAGGTGTCTTGATATCGCTAGGTAAAGGTATCGTCGGTGCGGATGGGCGCCTGGCCAAAGATGCGCGCCTCTCTTCCAACTCGCGAGCGGCGAGTTGCTTCTTGGTCAAAGTCTGGAGATCTCTACGCCGCACGATACCCTCTTCTTGATTCTCGGAAGCAGAACTATCTTCATCAAGACTTTTCGTAGAGTGATTGGGGACACCACCAGCTTTGCCCTTGATAGAGGCTCCTCTGGTCCTGTTGACTTGTAGTCCCTGGCGAGACTCGATTCTTGCAGAAGTGGAGTCGTTGTTTGTTATAGCTGATGCCGAGGGCGAACGACCGAAGGGTCTTGCTGGTGTACGAGATTCGCTTCTGTCGCGGTTAACTGCTAGTCTCAGATCCACCTGGCTAGTACCTCCATGTCCGGTTGGTACCTGACTGTTCGTTCGAGAGGTACGGTCTGCATTAGAGTTCTTGCGCTGCGGTCTTGACTCTCTGTAGTAGGACTCATCGATGTTGGAAGCTGCAGCCATCGCTCTACTTGCCATAACTTCGTCAGGTGACATCGGAATTGGTGATGATGGTGAGACTTTTGCTGGACCAATATATCGCTTTGCTGACCGACCGCGATAATCCGACGTGTGATCGGGAAGGTCATCTTGGCTTTGACGAGAATCTGTGAAAGGATCTAAATGTAAGGATGGAGCTCTAAGGTCCTGAGATGGCTGGTTTGGCAAATAAGTCGTATCAAAAACCTGCACATGAAGATCACTGTTGGTTCTCTCGCGCGATCCGTTTCTTCTCCATGTCTCGCTCTTAAGACGCGCAAAGACGTCGTTACTTGGGGACGGTAGACGATCCGGCTGCGGAGGCTGCCGTGACGTCTGCTTCAGACTTTGGGACTTTTCACTCGAATTGATAGACGAGTTTTTGCGAGTATGACCTTGACGTTTAGGCTCCAAGGTCTCTGTAACATTTGTTGGCTCCAACATCTCTCTATGGGCTGTTAGTGGTGTCTGAGAAGTGTCTCGCATTCGTGAGGTGCCGCTTCTAGAGGGTAATTGTCTCCTTGCGTATCCGCCGGGAGTAGCCGTCCTCGCGGACGATGGATCCCGATCGAACCTGCTGCCAGATCGAAGCCAAGGTGCTGCACCTCCAGGTGAGATGGCAGATTCGGCTATTGGTGTAACGCCAACACCAAGCACACCTGCCATTGGTGTCCTCTGATCTATCGAAGGTAATACGAGGGAGGTCCCCTGATCACCGAATGTCGTGATGAGTTTCAGCGATCCGTTTCTCGTGAGCTTCCGGCTTGAGCTAACGGCAAATGGCGGAGAAATTGGAGGGCTCAAAGGAGAGGGACCAATATCTTGTTCTCTTGGGCCAGAGAAAATTGCACCTTGTGCTCGAGGAGAAGACCAGGAATCTGAGGTCTCAAGGCTTGTACACGAGAAGCAGCGTACCGCAAGTTCTGGCTGACCTTTCATAACAGAAGCTTCACCCCATTTGCGAACAAGATAAGATTGCCTCTGCCAATCCGATGGCATGATCAGACAGGTCAGAAGAGTTGCTTCCATGAAGTAACCTCGAGAGACGTAAACCTCGATGGCATCATCGTGCTCACCAAAGCCCAGAAGCACCGCAACTGCAGGATGGATGTCACCCTTTTCCAAAAGTCGCTGCACGAAAGTCTGACCAACCTGTTTCCCCGACGATGGTCCCATAGAGCTCAAGGCGAGCAACATCCAGTCGGAGGAAGTCATGTTCTCGGAACCCACCATTGCAGCCATGGTGTCTGCGCCAAACTCACCAAGCCATTTTGAGAGAAGAACGCTACTGGCTGATCCTGGTCGTTGCCTTGCGACTGTTTACGTTAGATCGATGGGTAAGACTCCGTACGATAAAGCAATACTCACATTCATCGCGTATCAGAGATTCAATGTCGTCGTTCCAACCGAATACCACACTTAGCATTTCCTGTCGCAATATGTCTGAAGTACGAGCAACTTGGCCATAGTGCGGAGTCCTAAAAGGTACATCTCGAAGCCTCACTCGAGTGTGAGGGAAAAGATCCATCTGAGATGTCTGTTGGGCCTCATTTGGACTTCTCAGAATCTCTTTTCGTAGGGCTGATGAGCGGAATGAAGACGTCGACCGTATGGAGACGCTCTCGCGAGGCGTTATCGAAGGCAGCCCAAAGGAAAATTCGGTGCCCTCATTGTATGACACTTCGGAGGCTCGTGAGGAAGGTGCTTTGTCATAACGATATGATGGTACTCTGCGTCCTCCATTGGATGATCGCGAGCTTGCCGAGGAGGCTCTGCTAGATGTCGGGCTGAGTGCGCCGAGTCGGTCATGTTTCTCGTCCTCAAGTTGATCCATCTCTCTTGCAATCTTTTCGAGTGGAGACATTGTACCGATCTCGCCTTCACTCGAGTCTGCGTCCACAAAGGCAAATGGTAACGGAGCAGCGCTCGCTGCAGCTTGTTTTCTGGCCGTCTCTTCCTTCTTTTGCTCTTCGATCGAGTTTGGTGGCGACGGGGGTAGCGGACCAGGAGCATGTTGTATGCTAGCAACTTGCACGGGGGCCTCGCTCGGGTTTACATCGTATTGTTGCACAGTGTGGTTTTGACCGAGCGTGAAAAGCGTAGAGGATGGGCCGTAGCATGCGATGCCGACAATGCCATCGACTGTTGGCACTGATTGGAAGCTGACATTTTTTGTGCGAACATCCCAAGACCGTGTCTCGCTACGAGGCTTTTGTGTTAGCGAGGATCATTATGCAAAAGCCAAGGTATTCTCACCCATCTGTGTACTGGATGATTCGGCCATTTCTCGACCATGTGAACCAGCAAGGACCGAGGCTCCTCGTTTCCAACCGACTCAGTATCCGGATGATATTTGGGCTTTCTCCAGCGACAGCTGTTTTAGGGATGCTCCAAACTCTAAGATCACCGTCTGCGGTCTGGGTAGCAAGCATATCAGATTTCTGTCGTGAAGAAGAACCATGCCAGGAAAGTCCAGCGATGCGGGAAGGAGCTTTTGATGTCGTCAGACTGTGCACGATCGTGAAAAGTGGTTGTAGTGTCGCAATCAAAATCGAGCCGTTCAGGAAACTGCGACTATCAGCAAGAGCGACGCGTGCGGATGGAGACCACGCTTACCCAATTGCAAAAGTGCGTGAGTCGGCAGCTGGTGCTATAGCTGTAATCGGATCATAGATAGTACGAGCTGAGATATGCTCCGAGGTAGAAGGCTCGAACAGTATTACATTTCCTTGGGCGTTTCCTGAAGCCTTGTCAGAGCACTCTCTCACACTCAATCTCTCATGTCTTACCGAAAGCAATATTTCCATTCTTCATCCATGCTGCCACCCTAATCGGTTCATACGCTGCGAAGCGAGCAATTTCGTCTCCCGTTGAAATATCCCAAACAATTGCGGTATGTCCTGCATCATAGCTGACAGCCAAACGTCCCGCACCTCTTTCGCTGACAGTGTCTGTACATATCCAAAGCACGTCTTCTTGATGACGGTCGAATCGACGCTCTATTGCCAATGTGTCATGATGCAGACAGAGGATAATGTTTCTCTGGGCGTAAAGGAAGAATGAGGCGGTCGCAGCACAGGGCTGAAATTCTGTATCTGGCTCCGGGTTGGGCTTAGAATTCGCTTGTCTCCTCACAGCAGAGTGCGATCGTTGGCCTGAGGGACGACCAGTCGACATGGCTGAGTAAGGTCTAGAGGAATTAGGACAATGGTCTTTCAGGATTTACCTTAGGGTAGCAACTCAAGCGGTCATGAATTGGGCCAAGTCTCGGTGGGCAGAATGACCGAATACCAGAATAGCAGTCGGAAAACAAGGTGTGGGATGCTGTGTATTTCTGCTGTAACGTTGCGCGAGTATCTCGAGATCGACGTACCGAGAAGTTGTGCCAAGCGGATGCAGTCACACCGCGTAGAACGACGAGTAGGCACAAATATCCTCAAGCAGTGGTTTGTGACACGGCAAAAGTCGTCCGCGTCAAGGGCCGACCAGGATGGCCTGCAGCTCAGGCATGCAAGCAGCCACTCTTGAATTTTTGACAACACAAGAATCTTGTTCTTGGAGGGGCTGTTGATGTGAATATGAAAAGCGAAAAAGGGAGAAAGAGAGGAGGAAACAAGACAACAGAGGCGTACTCATGTTACAAGTTAGCAAATCAGACGCGGGCGCGTATACCAAAGCAATGCGTGTTCGGCTGGCGTAATGTGTGCCTCTGGTGATGAGCCACCTATTCGGGAAAGCGATCGGGGTGCAAAGCGCCTAGGCATTGTTGACGGCTCGAGTGAGGACCTATCGATTTACAGGAAGGATACAGTGCTTTGCCAGTTGGCAGGCAAATACAGGCGAGCGAACTAGAGCTCCGAGGGAGAACAATCTCCAGCGCAGACGACTTGCCCTGCTGCTATTACTGGACGGGGAGTTCACGCACAAACAAGGTGAAGGCATGGGGAGCAGGATGCAGAGAGAAGAAGGGAGGGTTGGGTCGAGTGATTGGCCCAAGAAGCCCCCACTAGAACGTGCCCAGCACGCATCTCGACCTCAAGCTTGTGCATCCTGCTAGACCCAAGCATGATATATCGATTATTGGGCCAAAATCTACCAGCGTCATACCTCCAAGCGACACACTGTCAAATAGGAAGGTTGGAACCATTTTACTGGTATTCATGGTTCGACGGCCTTGACGTCCCTTGCGTTGTCTCTGCAGCGTTCACAGGTCACGTTTTTCTTGGTCGTACTCTGACCATGCGACAGGGCGTCACGAGCGCGTTTTCTCTCACCGCGGTTCCAGCACATGTGATGAATTGACGTTGCCGAATTTCGTGTCATCTGGAGGTTGAGGTTGTAGAACCAGCGGGGGACACAGAAGACCGGAACTCTTACAGTGTCTGCATACAGTCTGTAGGACGTGGAGATGAAGAGTTCGTGTCTGGGTCCCGAGTCATGGTGCGCATACTGCATTGCTGCCACAATGAAAGGGAACGAATCAGCTGGAGAAGAGGAAGTTGATCAATTTCCCTTGATAGGCATTCCGGCAGAAGAGGAAAGTGACTCGAAGCAAGTGACGGAAAATAAAGAGGTTGGGAGCAAATGGGATTCGCGCCGTAAGCGCCCCCGCTTCAAAGTGATTGCTTATGACAGCGCAACAATTCCGCTGCCTATCTGCCTATTGCAGTAGGGCTTATGCCGATAAACAAGCTGTCGTCCTCTGCAGGGTCTTCCTGCCATAAAGGCTATGTAGATACAGTAAAGGAAAAAAAGCGGATCTCAAAATTGGCTTCATCTGGCCAAGGGGTATCAAATGAGAAGGTAAAGAAAGCGCTTTCCATCGCGCAGGACTTCGCAATGCTCCGACTATGCAGGATGCAGCAAACTCCAAAAAGGATCAAACAGGCAAGGAAAAAGGAAATCGAAAAATATGATGCAAAGCGAATGCAGAGTGATCCGGGGCACTCTGTTTGGGCCTCGATTCTCAGCTGCGACACGTCTTAGCGTGTACGCAGTACGTGAAAGGCCCGCACGGATGGTCCAGCCAATGTCTGACGGACGGGCTTGAAAGAGTGGACAGTCGAAAGAGATGATAAAGATCTTTGACCAGAAAGAGGTGGTTGAAGTTGGAGGTGATTCAAACTGCCGAAGAAGGTGAAGGGGTCGTAAATGGTGTGTTGAGAGACTGGAAGACGAAATAGAGAAGTAACTCTTTCGTTACGGTCCAGAGACGACATCACGCGTCCATATTATCATCGAGATGACACTTATTTCTTCATCATGATGGGCTTGCTAGGCGTGTAGCCGTTGCTGAATCCAAAGCTGTTGTAGCTCTCGCAGCTACTGTCAAGGGTGACCAAGCTGGCATTTGCGGCCATGGCCATACCACGCTTGGAAGTCATCCATTGTTCAGCGGTCCTGGGAGGCTCAGGTGCCTCGTCAAGGTAGGCCACCTCATCATCGCCGAAGAGATCCTCGTCGCTGATGTAAGAGCTAGGGGGACCCTGAGGAAGCTGAGGGCGGGCGAGTTTCCAGGAAGGGTAGGCGGCAGGTCCATTGGAAGAAGGGCTGCCAAAGAGGATGGAAGCATCGCTGGTGTTGCGAGGTCTGGTCATGGTAGACGACGAGGAAGAGAAACCAATCTGGATCGGCTGGGTGGGGTCCGACGAACAACTAGGAGTTGTGGAGCGTGCGGAAGAGGTAGTAGAGGTCGACATTGTGCAGTGCAGGGCAGCCAGCTTTATACATGTAGGTTTGCGAGGAGGTTGAGGTGATTGAGGTAGAGAGGCGAGGTGAGAGGCTGCTGCTAAGCTACTGCTTATACCGTGATCCAGACGGTATGCGAGGAAGGTGTCAAACTGTATGGGCGTGTTCCAGAAACTGAGTGGGGGGGTGCTCTGGCCTTCTTGTAGTTCTGAGGGTCTGTAACCGGTAGATTGATGTTGAGCTTAAGGCACCGACAAACAAACAGCTACGTGGTTGGCTGAAATCTCCGCACTGTCAAAAAGCGCTAGGAGGGCGCTGCGACCGCCAGTATATTTTTCGATCCATCGTCCCGAGATGTTGGTGGGCCTTCCTCGGTGTTGAAGAGTCATAGACGGCCCAGCGGTGTGAGCACTGAATAAGCACGATTAGCCGGTTTGGACCACGAGACTTGGCGCGCTTGACACCTTCGTGGTTAGCAGAGCAGTTCGGCTATGTGTTCGGCTTGCGTATTCCCGCAGTGAGTTCGAAGATACGACCAAGTCTGAGATTTCTCACGTAAAACAGGCCCCATTTTTTACTGCGCCCGCGGCAGGAGAAAGGGTCCAGTACGTTTCGAAAGGGCCATTGAGGTCGCGATCTTTTACTCTGTGAAGCCTTGCATCCAGAAGTCGAGGTCTCTGGGGCACAGTTTCTCTACTTGTTGTGTTTCTGACTCGCGTTTCAAGATGGTTGCTACCCTCGTGCCCCTGTAACACATCCATCTTGATACGACGCCTAACGTGCAATCTCCTCTTGAGCGATATCAGACAATGGTGGAGTTCAGGGCTGGTCGTCGACCTCCTACAGCCGGCTCGGCGGCATCATTTCCTTCGGAAGATGCAGGGAGATGGCATTGCTTGAGAGGTTGGGATCAACGGGCTAAGTCGGCCAAGCTCCAACGTGGCCGCTTGACTCGAGACGGGATTTTGTCGGACCAAGCCAAACCCGAGGGATTCTTTGCGACTTCACATGAAAATTGGCTGTGTCGTCATAAGGCCCCACGTGCTGTGGATACACTCCGCAGAATTTGATGCTTCAAATATCATCAGATGCCATCATGCCGCCTGGGGCCAGGGACTATCTGTTGAGTGTGACATGGCTCGCGGGCCGTAAAACATATTATCGCGACGCAGATTGACGACATGACGGCTTTCAAGCGAAGGGGTGCCCTACTAGATCAGCATACCAGCACTTTGCAAAAGGTATAATAAATCCAGCAGCCACCGGTATGATCGCGCCAGTTGCCTACATTTGATGGCAGATGACGTCGTGACAATGCGTGCGCACATGAACGAGATAGGGATGTGAACTTGTGGATGCGATGCCAGCGTTGGAAGTTGGAACTGCGATAGGCCAACGCGTTCGGCAGGAGCTGACCACCCGAAAACATGTTGAGCACATCAAATGTAACTCTGCACCACCCTGAGAAGTCGGACCCATGCCGGAGCTTGGACTAGGAAAATAGTAAGATTTAGAGCTTGGCGAGAATCTCCAAGAGGCAAAATGCTTTGTAGGAGGTCGAGTCGAGAAGGAAGCTCGTACATTCGTACCGTGATCCATATCTGGTTACGGGGATAATGCTTTTAGAATCGATACGAGATGTGGTGCTTGGCGATATCTAGGACTTTGATTGCCAACAGTCGGTATGATTGAATTTCAGAACTTGGTTGCCCCACGACCACCAACCGGCCACAGAATATCTCGCAAAGCACTCGAGGATGCGTTGTTTGGTTGATGTTGGCGTTGGCGTTGGGCTGATCACGAAGCGTTCAAGCAGCGGCTCCAAACAAGGCTTTCGCGAGTGCAGATCAGCGAGACCGACTATCACTCTGCGTTCGACCTTGGAAACGTGGGTCGAGTTGACGTGCTGATCACTTCTTCTTGGGTCATTCTTCCGCCCGACAAGGAGCACTTCATACGGTTTCCTCCAGAGAGCATCCAGAGACGAGACAGGCTCTCCTTCGGTTGTTGTCTTGATCCACAACCATTCTTCTTCCAGCTGCACGTCCCAGCTGTCGAACAGACCGTCCTCACCAAGTACAAGATCTCGGACCGCAGGTTTGTTGGTGATCCAAATGGCAATCACACCTTGGTTGGCCAGGAGAACATCAATGTCCATCTCGAAGATTAGCTGCCTGATATCCCATACAGTTGGGGAAACCTGATAGGCTGATCTTCCTGACTTCTCAGTACGCCTGACAGAAGCGTTCGGCCAGGGTGGGTCCATCACGATCACGTCAAACTGTCGAGACGTATCAAGTTGCTCGGCGACATGTTTAACGGCCATGTGAAAGGGGCGTGAACTGGAGCAATCGCCAAGATAGAAAGCAGCACCTGGTGGAATGTAAAAGCTGGCAGGGATCGGCATGGAAGTCGAAGACACGTCGAGGATACGAGTCACGTCGGATGAATTGTACAGATACCTCGGCCAGGAGGATGTTTCAGGCAGGGGTTCTCTCGCGTTCTGCTGATCGTCCACATGTCTCCAACGATAGGTGCAGGATGGTGAGGTACCGGACGAGAGTTGATGTAGCAGGTGATCTCTGACTGACTCGGCGTCTGACAGGGGATCGAAGGTCTTGCGTTTCTGTGGTAGAGAGTGTTCTGGCTGTGGAACGACAGTACGTGGTAGATACCATGGACCAGAGTAGTTTTTGTGGATGTCGGCCAGAGCAGAAGAGATCAGTAGGGAGTACAAATCATCATTTTCGGTAGCCATTTTTTGGCGCAACTTTTGTCGCGCAGCGTCTGATTTGGGCTCATGGTTTGGGAACGGAGTTGTTCTCGGATTGCATGAGATGAGGGATGAGGTTGAAAGTCCGGGAAGTGTTTGCTGGGCATCGGCGATGGAAGTTGGTATATCAATCAGGGCGACCCTGTCTGTTGAATACAGGATGCATGACGGCGGCGACGATGGACCTGGTGACAGACCAGAAGTGTTGGACTGCTTGTCTGACACGTTGTTGGTCGATGGCAGTATTTTGAGACCGTTCTCATGCATTTCCAATGAATTGTGGATAATTTATTGATTCTAAGAGTTGAACGAGCTCAAACCCACAAGTTCGAAGCTACAATCATTTCCCGAATCGAAGCGAAGACAAAAACAGAGACAGGTGATGGCTCGGCACAGTTTCGAGTGAGCAAGGTGGTAGATGTCGTAATACAGTGGACTGTGACAGTGTTTGATGTTGGTCAGCAGTGTTGTTGGTGTTGTCGTTGGAGGGCCGGGATGGTGGAAGAGAAAGTCGGGCGGTCTAGAATCGCAGGTTCGCAGACCTCGGCTCAAGGCAAGCGGATGCGGGCACACCGGGAGCGTCAGAGGGCGCGCTTTCTCTCTCCACATCAAAGACTCGAATCTGGTCATCATACGCATACCACCTATTATTGACCTTTCTCACGTGCCGCCCTCCTACGACTCTGCGCCATTGCTCTGACTGCTCGCATCTGCGCTTGACTTACTCATCTACCACTTCAAATAGCAACGGCCCCTGCCGAATGACTGTCCACACCCCACAACTCAAAGAACGAAGCCTTTTGAATTGATGCCGGCGAGCCTCGCCATCACCGGCACCCATGCCCCGGAACACTCTACAGACTCGCGCCGTATGACGCTCTCCACCTCCACCTCACTCCAGACGAAACCGCCCGTCGACAAGCAGAGCTGGGACTATGTCATGCGCAGCGGCTTGGCCGGTGGTATAGCCGGATGCGCCGTACGTCATTTTCACTTTCTGCCTCTTACTCTCTCTGACGCCCTGTATAGGCAAAGACGGTCGTCGGTCCGCTAGACCGCGTCAAGATCCTCTTCCAGGCTTCGAGTCCCCAGTATGCAAAGTACACGGGTTCATGGTTTGGCTTCTTCCGAGCCATGCGCGACATCCACACAAACGAAGGCACCCGAGGCCTTTTCCGCGGCCATTCAGCAACCCTCCTCCGTATCTTCCCCTATGCCGGCATCAAGTTTCTCGCCTACGAGCAGATCCGCGCCCGCATCATCCCAACAAAGGACAAAGAGACGCCTCTTCGCCGTCTACTTAGTGGCAGCTTGGCTGGTACCCTATCCGTCTGCTTCACCTACCCACTTGAAGTCATTCGCGTGCGGTTAGCCTTCGAGACAAAGACACATCACAAGACCAGTCTGAGAGAAATCTGCAAAACAATCTATCATGAGAACCCGCCGCCGGTCGGCTCATCTACCAAACATATAGACACGTCTTCCGTCACCCGCGCCGCCACCTCATCCATCTCGGCTACCTCAGCAGCCCTAAGCCGAGCTACACCTGCCTCGGGCATGGTCAATTTCTTCAGAGGCTTTACACCCACCCTCTGGGGAATGCTTCCCTACGCTGGCTGCTCGTTCCTCACCCATGATACAGCCGGCGATTTCATGCGACACCCGCGCATAGCAAAATACACCACACTCTCAGAGTCCAAATCCTCGACCAAGCGCGATCCCAACAAGCCCGCGCCGCTCAAGTACTGGGCTGAGCTGGCAACCGGTGGCTTCGCTGGCTTCGTGTCACAAACGGTATCGTACCCACTAGAGGTCATACGTAGGCGCATGCAAGTAGGCGGTGTGGTTGGTGACGGCCATCGTCTAGGCATGATGGAAGTTGCTGGACGCATCTACCGCGACACTGGCTTCAAAGGCTTCTTCGTAGGTCTAGGCGTCGGTTACATCAAGGTCATTCCCATGGTGGCCACGAGTTTCTATGCCTACGAGAGAGCCAAACTCGCACTTGGCATCTGATGAAAGATTTGTTTTACTGTTTGCTTCCCGTCAAGCCAATATCAAGTTCTGGGCTGACATGTGCATTTTGGCGTTTCGGGCATGAGCGATGTTGTTAGTGCAGCATTCTGGGAAATTCTGCTGCCTCTTCTGGTTTCGTCTCCTTGACAAAGGCGTATGGGGATGTATACTGCTTCATAGATGATCAAGATCTAGATCTGACACACAAAGTCCAACAAGTCAAACACGTTCACACGAAACACATCGTTCAGGCAGTTGTCTGCCATCCGTTTCGCCCACATCACACCATCCCGCGCTGGCCCACAAACACACGTCTACCGTCAAAATGTGTACACTCCGTGAAACGTATCTTTGAAATCGATCTCATGTCTTCGAGTCCGTGATGGTGCCGCCCCTTGCCAAGTTGCCATGCAATCTGCCACGCCCTCAAAGCTGGAACGCGAAACAGACCGCCTATACCGCCATTCCCTCTACCATCCCGCACCCCCTAATCCTCCTTTCACGACATCTGTATCCACTGATTCAAAATCACATGCCAATAAATCCCTATCTCGAAAGATTTCCATGGTCGAATGGGTAGGCCCATGCTCCTTCGAAATCAGCCTCCTGAAACGCACCATCACCACCCCTTAAGAAAGCTTAGCCCATGTTTTTTCAGCCTCACGAAAATCTTGCCCTTGCATGTTTGCCGATGTTTTCTTTGCATCCGGACCGTGCTGACACAAATGAGAGACGAAGTTTGCTTCAGGATGGACTTGGGGTCTTCTAGAAGCATGTTTGGCGACCGACAGGGCAGAATTCACTGAAACGGATGGAGTGGGGGTGGGACGGCTAGTGAGAGATAGGTGTCAGAGGAGCTTTAGGCATTTGTGCGACTGACTCCACTGATCGTAAACATGTTCTTGAGAAGAGGAAGGCTGAAATGTAGCTTTAGTCATTTTGTTGCTTTTGGACATGCATTGGATTTTTAGAGCTCTTGACTTAGCCGGAGAGATGGCGCACGAGCAGAAATGAGAGAAGAGACGAGAAGAGCTGCTCTCTGAATGGCTCCAACAATGAGCTTCCATGCTTTGTATGCTCTCTGCCTCTTGCCTTACGCCTGGAGAGACATGACCCTTTTCTCGTCGCCAGTACACACATAGCAAGAGCAATCCAAATGGCGACAATGCAAATTGTAGATTTCGTAACTTCGTTTACCGTCTTTTCCCTTCTGGTTCAAAAGACATCTTTACTCCTTCTTGGCCGAAATAGCACCCTCCTTCTCCATACCCTCGCAGCCAGAAAGTCTGCCAGCCACCTCTTCAACCTTGCCGTAGCCATCGGTGGCGGGGTCGCGGTTTGCAGATGCGGCTTTCATGGCGTCGATGCCGCCTTGCTTGTCGGTCTCGGCGCTTTGTTGCCATGCTGTGTTGCCGGTTACGCTGCCAATGACGCCCTGGGAGGGTATGTTAGAGAGGTGCTACGAAGAAGAATGGAGGAGAGCTTACCTCTGCGGCTCCCTTGACGTATTGCAAGTGGCTGGCGACGAGGCCGGGTTGCTGCTGCTGGTTGTTGTTGTCCGACATTTTTGGTGTGTGTGGAAGTGTGTTTGTGGTTGGTTTGTGTGTGAAGAGTCGCCTCTGTGCTTGTTTCTTCAAGAAGATGTATGTGAGAGAGAAGGCGAGAGTGTGGTGGTCAGCTTTATTGATAGGTATGATGCCCATCAATTGCGAGCGTCATCGACGTCATGCTTTGCACAACCGCCACCTTCTCTGTACAGATGACATGTGCAATTTAATGCAAGATGCACAAAGTCGCTCAGCCAGCCCTGTTCTTCTCGCAATCTCGCATTCTTCTTCTTCCGTAAGCTATGATCTTTGGTGCCATTGCTTCCATCTACTGAATACGGAGCTCAGAGTGTTGTAATCACCGAGCAGCTGAACCGCATATATAAATCAAAACGCCTATATCCGAGGTCGCTCAGGTAGGTCCGCTCGAAATACCTCCTCTTCGCCAGCAAGGAGAACAGCCACCCAACGACAACCCACTTTACCAAAGCAACCATGAAATGTGATGGCCTGGCTAGGAGAGCTATCATTTTTGTCACATTCATTATCTCGACAACTATTCTTTACGGCTTTACCACCAGGTTCTTGTTCACAGCTCCAAACTACTATGATGTGAGCATCGATCCTGAAGGAGGAAGCTACTATGACTACGGATCAAAGGTCGCTGCTGCTGTCTGGAAGGGCGCTGGCCAATGGATTGGAATGATTGCATCCGATTCGACCAACGTCACTGTTATCTCAGCAACAGCCAGCGAAGATGCAATTGACAAGTTGCAAGATTCCCACGGACTGGAATTGAACACGACAGTGAGCGATGGACTGGGCCTGGAATCGACTCTCGCAGCTATAGTACGGCCAGAGCTTGTTTCAAGGAGACGAAGACTGCGATCTCGCCGTGTGCACTTGCGACCAGAACATCATTGATATCAATCACCCGCCCGAAACATAATCTTGCGGTCCAAAGGAATACGACATCGGAGCTCTGCTCAAACAGAAGCGTCATCGGTCACCGATACAAGCGCTCTGTGGTCCGAAATTTCTCGATGCAGGCACCGCAAGCCCTCGGTTTTTGGCCACAATGACCAGGCACATAACGCCTCGCCTCCAGCACAGCATATACATGCAACCGGTCACGACCACAGAGCCTCTGATCCCGCTCTGGAGAAAGCTGTGCCATGTCGTCAAGCATCGTCTAGCCTCAGCTTTCGGCAAATCAAGCCAAAGCGACACGAAACGACCGAGACAACATCACTTCAACCACATCCCATTGCACATCAAAGGTCAGGATCGCTCCATCCAACAATCGAATATGCTGGCAATCGAGAGCAAACTATACCTGCCACCTCCCAACCAGCTCTCTCAAGCACCACACCACAAACCCGATCCGGCTTCTTCCGCCAAAACTCCCTCAAACCTCCGAACCACCTCCTTCTCATCCAACCTATACATACTCCAATCATTCCTTCACCCTCAACCAGAAAAGAAAAGCTGTGTTGGTGTAGTGGCTATCACATCCCGAGTCTTTCGGCCACGTGTACTTGTTACCGTGGAGTTAGAGTGAGACTTCCAGGAAGGTCGCAGGTTCGAGTCCTGCCCACGGCGTTCGTCCTCTTCCTTGTGGGTTCTGATTCATTCACAAGGAAGAAGACGTGATTCTTCTTTCTTTTGCCGGTCTACTGATGGGCGTGCATAGAATGTAATTGCTCTTTATGGTCATTGATTTTGTGTAATCTGTCGAGTATTCAATATTTGTCAGAACATATTCACTTCTGTATTCCTTGTTTCCTTTATTGTAGACCCATCTTTCGCTACCCCTTCGGTAACGTGTCTGCAGCAGGCAAAACCATATCCAACATCTAGCAAAAATCTATTTCTTCGCAACTGCGGCAAGGTGAACATTCTCTTTCGGTTCCATAAAACGTCAGAGCATTCAGGTGTGATGAATAGCCCTATCACCAGTCTAGTCGGCTACAGCTGATTCCAAGCCATCGCATCTAGCACTTGTGAATGATGGGTTCCAAAAAAGGCAAGCAGATACACTTTGTTAAAGTAAGATATCCAAAACACTCAAAGGATCACGCCGACGAAGAGGAAACACGACACTCAATCCCGATAAGAACTGGAGCAAGTCCATGCATCGATCAAAAGAAGAGACAGACAAGATGGACAAACTCATAAGTCCTGATCGTTTCCGGTAAATATAAACGTGGACAACAACTCGACTCGGGGGTTAAGCTACAAAAAGAACATCGTTGTGAATTTGGTTTGATTGATTGATTGAATGTGAAACTGATTGGTAAAACTACTACGCTAGAAGCAAAGTGAGTTAGCATAACAACTCAAACAGTAGCTGCGGCAGATACGGCAGATGCGGCTCCTGCTTGTCTCACTCATTCGCGGCGAGTTGCAGTCGAAAGGACATAAGACAGAGACAATTAATTGCCCGCCTTAAAGGCAGCCACCAAGGCTCTCTCGTGCGGAAGCTGTTCAGCGGATCCACATTGGCCGATAAGAAACTCTTCCAAGTTGGGAGCCAGGCTCCGGATTACCTTCATATCCCTTGAACCATTCTCATCGAGCGATTCTTTACTTTCTTGTTGCCCATGGTCTCTGACTCCTCCGAGGAGTAGAATGTTTAAGTTAGGAAACAGCGGTGCCTTGAGGTTCGTCCAAGTGTTCAGATCATGTTCCCACAGGAGGCAACAGCGCGACAACGATGGGCAGCTATCAGCGAGGTACTGCAAAGAGATTTGTGTTACAGTGGCACCATCGAGCCCCAAGAAAAGATCCTGAAGCAGTGGAAGCTTTGAGATCCAGCCTTTGAAATATTCATCGGTGAGCCATGGACAGTCGCTTGGAGAATTCGGTCCACGAGGCCTGGGCAACAGACTTTCCCATTCGATATGACACTTCCGTAGCTTTGACAATTGCGAGATATAGCCCAAGTCAATGGGAGATAATCTTCTGTCGCTCTCGAACTCGAGTTTCAAGCGCACAAGATTCGACAATCGGCTGATGGTTGGCAAGATACTGTCCGAATTATCTTCAATGCCGAGATTCAAAGTGATGAGAGTTTGTGGTAAGCTGGATAGAAGGGGTTTGATTGTCGACACATTGCCGCACACCGACAAATCTTTGATGATGGGAAATGGGTGCGCAACTGGGTTTCCGCTGACAAATCGTTGTTGGAACTGGTCGTCTGACAACCATGCGTCTATGTGAAGAACTTCGAGCAGAGGAAGACTCGACAGTATGATGAGTGCGTGTGTAACAAGCGTGCCTCTCAATTCTAAACAGATTTTCCGCAAGCGGGTGCAGCGCTTGAGGAATTCGTTCCGAAGCGCAAAGTCCATTTGAGATTCCCAGTTCTGAGTCCAGGATAACTCCTCAAGTTGGCAAATATCATCCCCTCCCCATTCGAACACTCTGTTCATGATACTACCTGCGACGAGGTGTAGACGAAGGCTGCGCAGAGCTGGAAAACTCTTTAGCAAGACCATGAATTGATCAGACGTTGTGCTGTCAGGAGCAACGGCCGTAACAGAAAACGCTCGGAGCTGCGTACAATACTTTGCTGCCAGTTCTAGAATTGTCGCGTCGAGTTGATAGTTTATCACCCGTAGAGTATGCAGTCCTACTTGCATGCAGCGACGAAGCTGCACATTCGAGAGAACACCGCCCTCGAATGAGAGATCTTTGAGCATCGGGAACTCGAGCCCATCAAAACACTTCGAAGAGTATTTCCACCCGTTCAGGTCCCAGCGATAGATCATGTTGGCGTAGTGTTGACGTCTTTCCGGTGTTACAGATCCTAACCTTTTCTGTGTAGAACTGTGCCACAACGTGCCGATGCAGCCATGATACCAAGCTTTGTTCACTTGAATGACAGCGAATAGAGAGCGCTTGTCCCGGTTGAAATAGCTGAAGACTTCTTGTTTCAGCTCAGCCGGCAGAGCATCAAAGCTGGGGCCGCCTTGACGTTGTGCAGAAAGAGCCATGTTGAAGGACCTTTAACAGTCAAAATGTCGATTGAGGATGCCGTGTGATCGAGTTGAGTTGCACACGTCAATGAGCTTTTTAGCGTTATAGCCTGCTTGATGGTCGATGTGAAGGGCGAGTGTTTCGTTCAATGTTTAGGATCAGAGTGCATGCGAGTGGTGAATTCGTGAAGAAGCGAGCTCGAAAGACAGTGCGTCAAGGTTGAATTGCGCGCTTTCAAAGCCAGTTCATTCAATGCTCAAGTGAGGTCAAATCAATGACTGGATGCGAGTCACGAAGTTGTTGTGTTGTCGAGTGAAGGTAGAAAACGATTGTTTGGAAGTCGCGAATCAGGGTGACCGACGTTGGCGACCGTAGCCGACGCGCGTGCCTAACGCTCGCAACGCAGAGCCGGGCGTTGCCAGCACTCGCGGAATGTGGAGGAAGCTACGGTGCGAGCTCTCAAGTCAACAACATCGCTTCGAAATGGAAAACAGAATAAGAGTAATTGTCCAAATGATGGATTAATGATTAAGAGTACCCTAAGTACATTGAACCCTTCCGTGGTATAGTGCGAGATAATCAAGAAGATGGACAACAGAGAGGATACGAAAAGGTAAAGGAAAGAAAATGGAAAGAAAATGAAGCTTCGTCGACACATCATACACATTCTTCCCTTTTCACACAACAAGTGCACTGTAAGACTCTTACAGAGCGAGGGCGGCAGCGCCCAAGAGACCAGCAACACCGGCACCGACCTTCATGGCAGCACCAGTGTAGGAAGCGGGCTTGGAGGAGGTGGCGGCAGCACCGCCCATGGTGCCGCTGGCCATGGAGCCAGAGGAGGAAGAGTTGGAGCCGGCCATGGTGGAGTTGACCTTAGCGGGCTTCATGGTGGGAGGGTAGGCGGCGCAGGTGGCCATGGGGGCGAGGGGGCAGGTCTCGTCCTCGCAGATGCTCTGGAGCTGAGCACCCTGGGCAGGGATGACGGTGGTGGGGGGAGCGCAGCGGACGTTGAAGATGGTGTTGAGGGCCTTGCCGACGGTGGCGACATCATCAGCGCTGACACCGAAGGAGGTGGCAGCAAGGGCGACTTGCTCAATGAAGTAGCCGACCTCTGCAGCAGAGAGGTCCATGAATCTGTGGACAGCGGCCTGGGATCCGAAGCCCTGGTAGCTGGGGAAGCCGGTGGCAGAGCAGCCAAGGAGAGCACCGAAGTACTGGTACAAGTGGGTCATGAGCTTGTACTGGTTGGATGAAGTGCCGTTGGAAGGCTTGTTCATGGTGAGAGGGACAGCACCACCATCGTCGAGGAAGTTGATGGAGACACCCATGCTACCACCACGGTTGGACGAGGCAAGACCACCGTTGAAGTAGGGGAGGAGGTTGACCTCAGTGCCCATGTAGTCACCCTTGGCAAGGATACCGGGGACAGCGTTCATGTTGGGCTGAGTGTAGTTACCAATGACAACAGTGTTGACGAGGAGGGTCAACAGAGTCAATTGGTTGGCGCCAGTGTTCTCCTTGAGGAGAGCAGTGGTGTACTTGTCACAGATGGACATGTTCTGGGCCAGAGCGGGAGCAGCAACGGCAGCAAGGCCGGCAACGAAAGTGGAGGGACGCATATTGAGAGAGTGAAAGAAGTTTGTGGTGTATGAGTGTTGTCGAGAAACGAACGTGGGATGAAAGAGAAGAAAGGAATAATGGTGGATTGTCTCGAGCTTATGTGGTTCTTCATTCCACGAGCTTGTGACCATTCCAAATCTGACTTTCCCCTTAGTTGGGGAAATAAGACAGATCAACGTCAATGGCGCAGAGACGAGGAACAGGAATGACATGCGGGAGAGCATCTTTCTGCGTCCATAGGAACCACTGAAGCCGTTCGTTCCTCCAACGTGGGGCTATATTGTTCCAGCAGAACAACGTCACCAACTTCCCTTGCTCTCTTCAGACAAAAGACATACATACATGTTTCTGCTGTTTCGCGTACCTCTGGTCGTCGAGGAGCTGTATTATTGTGAGGCTGTGTTGTGTTAGAGCTGGGAATAACCTCCAAGACTTGACAAGTACCCCTGCGTAACCCAACGTCGATCCTGAAGATCGTGGACGGATCAGGGACAGCGCTGCATGTTGCGGGAAATTTCTGCGAACGGTCATGAAGCCAAATACCAATGTTTTGGACTCGCCGCCAATCAAGACAAAGGCATTACGATGAGCGACGCTGAGTTGGCCGTGCACCAGTGCGGAGTGCGCGGAGATTCAAGCCTCAGTTTTAAGCATACCAGTAGCCTGTCATTAGCGCTCTGTAGCGTGTCGTCTGGAAGAGCTAGACCCACGCAGGCGAGCATTCCACATACGAAAACAGGAGGGAGATGGGAAATTGGGATTGGTTGAAGAATGCCAGATTGGTATTTTGCCTGTATGTCCCGCGCCCGTTGCGACAGGACCGTCCCAAAACAACGCCAAAGCCCTGCGACCAGACCGAAAACAAACAAGTCCCTTCGTACGATCGTACACTAAGGACTGGGCAGTGTATGAACTAAAACATGGTCAGATGATGCTGAGAGTCGTGGGTAATCTATTTGGTTGTGAACCCGCTCTTCTTCTTCAACCAGGTCTCCATGTTCATCATCTGCGGGTGAATTGAGCGCAAGTTGGAGATGTCGGCCTTGTAACCATCCGATGCGAACCAACCGATCATATGGCCAAGCTCAGTCACCATGTAGGTGAGGACCGAACCAAGACCCCAGAAGGTTGTTCCTGCAGGAGTGCCGGTTGCGTTCTCGAAAGCCTTTGAGATTTGGGGGAAGGTGAGCTCGTCGCCCGCCAGGCCGCGCGCCTTGTGGTTCCATTCCTCGGGATGGGTGAAGGCCTGTGCTGCGAAGAAGCCAATGTCTGCGGTAGCGACCCATTGCAGAGGCTTGTTGTCGCCAAGATGGTTGTGGAGGGCGGTCAGGAAGACCTTGGTTGGGAAGCCCGGCTGGAGGTTGTCCATGAAGGCGACGGGCCGAAGAATGGTCCAGCCCATGGCTTGGGCCTTGTCGCGCAGGTGGATCTCGATAAGCTGCTTGGTCTGGAAATGAGGAATGGGAGTTGCGTTGTCCCAGCTCTCCTTGTCACCACCACGCTCAACGCTGCTGTAGACAAAGTGCTGGACGTTGTTCTTGACACTCTCGTCGATGAGGTCGGTACCCTGCTTGACTTCGCCCTCGAAGGTCACACCCTTGCCCATTGAGATCTGCACCGAGTAGACGCCCCAGATGGGTTGACCGGCGACCTTGTTTGCGGCCTCGAAAAGAGCAGGTACATCATCAAGGTTTCCCTCGACGAGCTTGATGTTTGATGCTCGTGCTGCGAGCTTCTTTGCACTGCCACCGTTGGAGTCTCTGGTCACTGCCAGAATAGTAAAGTCGGAAGCATTGGGGAGCTCGAGCAGAGAGTCAATGACAGAGCCACCCTGCTTGCCAGTAGCACCGGTGATGAGGAGAACGCGAGACATGATGAGATTTGGTGAATAGAGTGTATAATCAGGGAGCAAGAGATGCAAATGCAGAGGAAGAGGCAGCAAGGCCGGCGAAGGACATGGCTGCCGTATCCTTATCACATGGCAGCTCCAAGCTCAAGCTTTTGCTCAGCAAGGCCGTCATCATCACCTGCTACAGGACGCGGACTTTTGTGATAAGTTGTTAGGTGGATTGCAGATGCAGAATCCGAGCGGGCGCGTCTTGTTGTTCCGACGCTTCGGCGTTTATTTTGGAGCGAAGCTGGACGACGATCACCGGATCCCCAACTGACTCCTTCCCAGGCAAGGCTTCTTCGCCATGTGTCCTGCGACTTGTGTGTTGCAAGGGCATAGTAGTGCAAAATGCAGCGCTTCGGAGAATTAAGCGCTGATCATAGACGTGCTGAGGTAGGTCATGTCACTGACCTGGTAGAAAACATGGCGTGCTGGTATCACTCTCCCTGTCGTCGACCTCGCCATATACTTCTGCACGACGACACAATTGCAAGACAAACCATCTGCAAGACAACATAGTTGCAACCACATACACACAATGGCCTCCGAAACCAGATCCACACGGCTCAACACAGCCTACTCGCTGCTCGACGCCTACGGCTCCCTCTCACCAGACGCCATCCTCGACCACCTCGATGACAACTGCACACACCAGGCCCTGCCCGCCTCGTTGGGCATGCCACCTCGCTCCAAGGAAGAGTTCAGAGGCCACGCTCAAGGCATCACCTCCATCTTCACCACTTTCGCCATGGTTCCGCAAAATATCTACGAAGACGAAGACAACAACGCCGTAGTCATCCACGCCATGATGGATGGCCAGCTGAACAAGCCTGGCATGGGTCAGTGGAAAAACGAGTGCATAATGCTGCTGCGCTTCACACCAGACGGCTCCAAAATCATCCAGATCAGAGAGTTTGTCGACAGCGCAAAAGCCATGGAGATGCGCAACAAAGTCAAGCCCAAGAACTTCGACTCACACGGCCCGGGGTTCATGTCTACAGTCGGCTGGGTTGTGTCCACCACTGTACCGGTTGCCTTGGCTGGCGCCGCCGTGCTCTTCTTCACCGGAAGAAAGGACTTGCTACGCCTGAGATGAGTGGATGGGCTTCTGCATGCCAATGCTTACGCTACATGTATAATGCCCCTCGAATTTCTACAATACTCGTTGCCTTGTCTACGATACTTGTGCTCATCTAGGGTTGTGCCGTCTCAGTGATACAGGTCTTTCCAAGCGAGCGTGGCACAACGTCTTTGCAGCTTATTGTGAAGGTGCTGTAGAGACATGCATCTGTTATCAGTACCTTGTCCCTCGGGCCAAGACAATCTCGAGCTGGCCATGTTATCCCAGCACTTTTTACATCGCATGAACCATTGATCGGCCAACATCACATGCCGATCGCAAGATCAAACCTAACCACACACCTTGAATGGCGATATCAACAATCACTCCAGTGGACAAAAGCTCAAAATGCTTCTTGTCATGCACAATTATTCCCATACGAAATAGATAAAATCCAAATCGCTTCAGTGTAACTTTTCTGAAACACGCGTTCCCTGCCACCAACCACTGTAGTCTTTGTCCCAAGCAAAAACCCTACCCAACCATCTCATCAAGAGAAATCTTGCATACAATATGCAGCATCGGCTCTCCTCCTTCCAAACACCGAACCAGTGACGCGTCGATCTTTTACCATGTTCATCACTTTTACCCCAGGAAACGCATTTCACACGGCTGCAATATGAATGTCGTCAAGACTTGCTTTGGTGGAAGTGAGAGCCGGGGTCCGGAAATCTCGTTGGATTGGCAGGGGTAGACCCTGGATACTTTTTTTTCTTTCTGGACCTCGACCCGTGGGTTTTTTGTGATGTTATCCGGGCTTTTGAAGGGGGGGGGGGGGGTTGGCAGGTCTGGAGATCAAACGGATGCATGTGCTGCCGGATTCATCTGGAAATTGCGGCCGTATGAGCAGATATCTGGTAGAATATAGCTAGGTATGTATGCATATCTGAAGGTTGTGGAGAGCATGTGAATGAACAAATCCGTTGATATCTATCTCGTAAAACAAATTTCTGCTCGTGCAACCAAAACAGCAACGACAAAGGGTGGGTAGTCTGAAACAAAAGATAGAAACAGACAACAAGAAGAGTAAAGCAAGCAAAAAAAACCATTACTGTGCCGCCTTGAGCCATTAAATGGCAAACAAAACATGGCCTACACCTCGCCTCGCGGTAAAACAAAGACCTCCTCCGGGTAGACACAGAAAGCCCGGAAACATCTCATCGAGTTTAGATGACGATATCGTCAAACTTTTTCGTCTCTCCAAGCGCTGCGGCCTTTGCATACGCAGCCCGCTCCTCATTGTCCTTGGCCTCGGTGATCTTCCACTCGCGGATGACGTCTGCCTTGCGGGCCTCGCTGCGAGGCTCAAACGCCATCTCAAAGGGGTCCGGCTTGACGATGAGCAGAGAGTTGCACTTGTCGGTGGGTACCTCGATCTCTCGGCCGGTGGCAGGGTCGACCTTGCGCTTGAGGTTGAAGGCCCACGCTAGCGCGCCGCAAGCCACGATGAGTTCGTCCTGCGTCAGTGACATGCCGAGACATTGTCTTTGACCAAAGCCGAAGGACGTCATGCCCTTGATGTTGGGGTGTTGTGTCAGTGGCTCTTGGAAGGTGGGCCACCCGGCTTCCAGCCAGCGTTCTGGGCGGTAGCTCTCTGGGTCGGGGTACTTGACTGGGTTCAGGAGGAAGGCGCTAGAGACGTACGTCAGTATTGTGGCAGCCATGGGTAAGGACCGATCAAACTTACTAGTCGAGGGGCAGGATACGAACGCCCTTGGGGATAAAGTAGCCACGGTAATAATCGTCCTGCTCAGCCTCGTGGGCGACACCGGTGGGGACATTAGGGCGCCAGCGCATGGATTCCTTGATACATGCGCGGAGAATGGGCAACTTGGGGAAGTCCTCGATGCTGGGCATACGTCCTTCGAGTTGTTCGTCGATTTCGTTTTGGAGCTTCTTTTGCCACTCCGGGTGGTGGACCATGGCGACAAGGAAGTAGTTGAGAGGACCGGCAACAGTGAAGATACCGACCAATGCAAGCATACCGAGAACAGATGATGCTTCGTAGTCACCAGAGAGGTTGTTGGTCTTCTCGGTTTCAAGGAATTGCTTGGTGAAACTCCAGCGGGCGGTACCTGCCTTCATCTGTTTCTTGACACGGATGAGGTTCTCCATCCACCAGCGTTGCTGTTCGTCATGACGCTTGTGTTCGGCCTTCTTCCAGGGATTGATGGCTTCGGGGAGTTTCCAGAGAGGTGTAATGATGTTAGTGATGGGACCAGCAGGAGACATTTGAGTAAGAAGACCCCAAGCACTGGTGATGCAGTACTCGCTCAAGCTTGGGTCATCCCAGTTGAGTGTGCACATGATCTTGGAGGCCATATCCTCGAGAGTATAGTTGAAGGCGTCAGGGTTCTCAAGCAGACGGAACATCCATCGCTTGACTTCATGTTGCATGACACCATAGTAGCCAGCATTGGTGGCTTGGGTCAGGTAACCATGTGAGAAGCGACGTTGTCTAGCCCAATATTCTATGCCGTGTTAGTCAATCCATGAAGGAACAAAGAAGGAAGTGATATGTCTTACGGTTCTTGCCCATCAAGGGAAGGTATTCCATGGAGCCATGAGTACTCTTTGAGTCGAAGAGCGAGGGGACAGCAGGTCTGTCAGAGTTGTACTTGGCCTTCTTGACAAGAAGTTCTTCGGCAATCTTCTCATCAGAGACAATGATGAAACTCGTGCCAAGCATCTCGGTGTAGTAGATGGGACCATGGATATCTGCAAACTCCTTGAACTTGATCCACATCTTTTGGATGGGCATATCATGAATGCGTCCAATGATGGGGAATAGCCTTGGCCCAGGCAATTGATGTTCTGCCTCTGACTTCTTGGGACGTCGTGCATTGTTCAGGATGGAGATGGCCACGAAGCCCACGAGGGCGATGCCGATGGCGGCTAATGTGAGGGGCTGCATTGTGACTTACAGAAAGGAAGGAACAAGAGGAAGTTCAGAGGGCGGGAGGACAGAGATGTTAACTTGAGAAGAACAGACGCTCGAGACTCTAACGTGCCGTGAGCATGACAATATGCTCAAGTCTAAACTCATGTGGTAATGATGGGACGATCTGCGATTAGACATCTCGGAAAGGTTCTAACAGGGGGTTTGGACGTGGGCATGCAAGCCCAAGAATCGTCGCTGCACGATGATTCATGAGATCTGCCTTCGCTCTGGAGCGAGCACCCACCCACCCACGACAGAACCGCAAGGCTGGTTATTCGACTCGTAGCGAGCATTCAAGTCGTTGCTGACTGTCAGAGATCAGCATGTTCGGATGGACAATCGGAGAAAAAACAACGAGCTTAGTAGAAGACGTCTCTCTCACCAACATGTTGGTCAGATTCTGGAAGTGTGTCGCAGCATGCTGATGAGATCCTCACACATGCACCAACAATGAATACGAAAAGATAATTGGTTGGGAAAGATGGGCAAGATTTGCCTTGCTGCATGATGCGATGCATGAGTGCAAGCGCGGTTACGTTGACACATACCAAACCACCGGCCTTGGGAAATAAACAGCAAGGCTGGCACCTAGCCAAGGAAGGTTGACTCTCGAGATGAAGCTTAGCCAGGATACCGACGCTACGAAGGCCACATCCGCGACGGACAAGTCGCTACTGGAGTGCGGCACAACTCAATCTGAGGGGATTCCGGGGCCAAGCAGGGCCACTCGTGGGTACACCAAGATCGAAAGACGATGGCTTGTGGGAACTGTGGAGGCGAGATATGTGGGTAGTACAGTTCGAAACAACAATAGTTGCCTCACACAGCATTCTCGTGGGCAAAGCAGTGTGACGGCAGACAAGTTACCGGGTCCGAAGAGAGAGTCAATATGTCCGCAGCACGGTAGTGTAGATTGCGAGTCCGAGACCGACTCAAGGAGGTCGATAGAGTGCAAGTGTTTGGGACGATCAGGCACGCGTGACTGGCGGGCTCTCTTTCGGAGTTGCTAGGATTGCATGGGAGGTGGTCGTGGGCAGCGATGAGCAGTGCTCCTGCAAAGGACGTCGTCCTGCTCGGCCCGCGCCGACGCACAGACGGCAGCAGCCAGGGCTTGGACAAGCAAAGGGGGCTTTTCTCGCCCAGCAAACTTGTTGGGCGGGCATGGCTTGAGGCGTTTCGAGTGACAAGTTGGTTCCTTGGGTGGCTTGTTTCCCCGGTCGCAACAGTCGAATGTCACCGTCATGGGCTCCAGCACTAGCAAGGTAAGTGTGAATGGTGATCTTGTCCATCATGCTCGTCATGAACATGGCCCGTCGGACTCTCTTGGAGACCCGAACTCATTCTCACGCCTCTCCGGCATGATCAAACCACCGACACTGCGACCATCGCGCGTCTGCAGGGGAGCTTGGGGAGCTTCGGAGACTTTGAAGTGCGAGTAGGAACTAGACAAAAACATGAACAGATCCTGTTGGAAAAGATGCATCTGCTCTCGTTTCACCAAGATCAATTCTCCGAACTGTCATCAACATGACGACCAAGATGGAAACCAAGCCTTTGGGCTCTTACCTCAACTCTGGCATCGACGTGCTCGTCGTCGGTACTGGTCTTGCAGGTTTGACTGCTGCCCTCGAATGTATCCGCAAAGGCCACAATGTCAGGGTCCTTGAGCGCAATGCAACAATCAACACTGCTGGAGACATGTACTTCATGGGTCTCAGCGCTACCCGCTTCTTCAACCACTGGCCTGAGATGAAGAAGGAATACGACTCAATTGGTCTCCACGATGCCTGGATTGAGACCTTCCAGCACTCTGGTCAGCAAATGATCAAGCCCCTCAGAGTTGCCGACCGCCTGAAGGCCCAGGGTCTCGACCCCGGCACTCCTCCTGGCACCTTCCAGATGCGTCCTCTCGTCTACAAGATGTTCGTCAACCAGGTCGAATCTCTTGGCGTCAAGGTCGAGTTCAGCCGCCGTGTTGTCGACTACTATGAGGACATCGAGAACGGCAAGGCCGGTGTCGTCTGCGATGACGGCGAGAAGTACGAAGCCGATGTTGTCATCGCTGCCGACGGTGTTGGTTCCAAGTCCCAGAAGCTTGTCGGTGGTCAGGTCAGAGCTGTGTCATCTGGCAGAGCCATGTGGAGAGCTGCTTTTCCCATCGAGCACCTCGACAAGGACCCTGAGGTCAAGGAGTTCTTCTCCCTCGTCAACGGCGAGAACCCTATCGTCCGTACTTGGCTCGGTCCCGGCACTTACGCCCTGACTCTCACCCGCCCTGACACCATGATTTGGATCATGAACCACGACGCCACCGGTTCCGAAGCCGAGTCATGGAGCAACACCATCGACCACGAGGAAGTTTTGGAGGGCATGGACAAGGTCCCTGGACCCAACAAGTGGGCACCCATTTTCAAGAGACTTGTGAAGTGCACACCAGACAACACCATCATCAACTTCGAGCTCCTGTGGAGAAACCCTCAGCCTACTTGGTTGTCGCCCGGCGCTCGCGTCGTCCAGATTGGTGACGCTGCTCACTCTTTCTTGCCTGCATCCGGTAACGGTGCCACTCAGGCCATCGAGGACGCTGTCACCATTGCCTCTGCCCTGCAACTCGCCGGCAAGGACCACATTGACGATGCTACCCGCGCCCACGTCAGAGTCCGGTAAGCCACTCCAAGTATCTTGATCATAACATCTATCTAACATCACTATAGTTTCATCCGCAACTCTTGCGCACAGAAGCTTGGCTTCAGCAACGCAGAGCTCCTGCAGGACACCGACTGGGAGAAAGTAAAGCTCAACCCCCGCCTCGCTGCCCCCAAGCTCCCCAGCTGGGTCTGGGGCCACGACCCCGAGTACTACATGCATTCCAACTACGACAACATTGTCGATGGCATGAAGAAGGGTATCAGACACGAGGACGACGAGCGCGTACCTCCAAACTACCCTCCTGGCTACCGCTACGAGCCATGGAACATTGACGAGATCATGGATGCCATGAGAAATGGCAGACCCGTCGAGCTCGGCGCCGGTAACTGGGATTAGACGATGTCTCAGACTCGCTCCACGGCAACTAAATGCGTTAATGAGGGTCTGTATTGTATCAAAGCGAAGCATGGGAACTGAAAGATGGACGATATCACTTGCAACTAGTACCCGGGCGTTCTATATCATGAATTTTACGTTTTAATATCATCTCTCCTCTTTGCCGTCAATTCATACTATGTTCATGAGTCTAGTCCTTTGCCAAGTACTTCCCAAGCAGTGGCGGCCTTCAGTATGTCCATCTCGTGCCATCTCTTGCCTACGAGCTGCATACCAACAGGAAGTTTGCCTTGGCCATCGGCTGTCTCGGACCAACCACATGGCATCGACATTGCAGGGTGCCCGGAACAGTTGAAGGGTGAAGTATTCAACGTCACACCCACTGCCTTTTGTGCAATCTCCATGACACTAGTGTAGTTGCATTGCTTGTTGGCGACAGTCGGCGTTGTAGGCGTGATCAAGATATCCACCTTCTCAAAGGCCTTGTCATACTCTGCCCGCAGTTGATGGACGAGCATGTGAGCCTTGCGCGTAAGCGAAGGTCCATATTTAGTTTCCATGTGCTCACTGTTGAGCACGACATTGATGACAGCCGGGTTCTTGTAGACCAGCTTGTCGTAGAAGGTCTGGTTCGTCGGGTTCGGCTCAAGCCCTGGCAAGGGATGAGACAGAAGATCGGAAGCCCTGTTCTCGAAGAATCGGGGTATGGCCTCGCGACCTGCAACGGTCCAAATGTTTGCGCCTTGCAGATGCAGTGGCACAGAGATCTCGTGGACTTGCGCCCCGAGCTTACTGAATCTCTCCGCGGCGGCCCTGACGATCGCGGCCACGTCGGTGTTCAGGCTGGCGATCTCCCAGGCTTCCTTGAGGATGCCAATCCGGAGGCCTTTGGCTGCAGCTGTTGCGTTCCATTCGCCGGCGTCCTTTTTGGCTGCCTGCCACTCGGCGAGTAGCCCGGTGTAGTCGGGTACAGCATGTCGAAGGGGTGTTTCGGGTGTCTGACGAGGGTCAATGCCGTCGTAGCCTGCGATGACGCCAAGCAACAGTGCAATATCTTCAACAGATCTTGCCATGGGTCCTGTCGAATCAAGCATTGGCAAGATTGAGACTATTCCTGTGTATGGAACCAGTCCTGTAGTACACTTCAGACCATAGAAACCGCCAAAGGCTGCTGGAACGCGAATGGAGCCTCCTTGATCTCCTCCAATGGCCATATCCACACCTTCTTCCTCCAGAGCGTCCGTCTCAAAGGTCAGCCCATGCTTGTCGCTCCACTCCTTGACATCCTTTACCGAGACCAAGGAAGCACAGCCTGAACTACTGCCTCCCGTCATGTAGCCTCGTGCCCAGGCATTGTGAACTGCTCCACTATCTGCTGAAACAGAGGTAGGAAACAAGCTGAAGTTTTCGCATACTGCTGTTCCAGTGATGGTACCAGAGGCCTCGAGGATTCGTTTTACTACCGTTGCGTCGATTTCACTGGTAGCATACTTTCCATTCTTGAATAACTCGGGAGCAGTTCCCAAGCGCAGAGGTGCTCCAGCAACACTGACATTATCCTTCATGGCCAAAGTCTTTCCGGCAAGCGCTTTGCTTGTTGGATCAGATGCCTTGAGATGTGTCTGATTACACTGTCAAAGACCGTAGAAGTTCAAACGACACTGAATCTTCCTACCTTGTGCGACCAAGCATTGAGAGGATTCTCTTCTGAAGTGGGTTTTCTCCATTTTCGATCTCCTCCTTCTGTGGGTGCGGGCTCAAGTCTCGGATCGATATATTCAGGGAGACCCGCCACTACCGAGGCCACGGCATCGAAGCTGTTTTGCAGCAGGAGGAAGTCCGTCTCTTCCTGACTGCCGACCGGGATGGAGAAGTCTCTGCCTTTCGCAGCCGCGTGTAATTCTTCTTTGGTCACTGTAGGCCTGTCATTTGGGTGAGTTGACTGCTTTGGCTTGTCTACTTGAGTGCTGGTGTCTTACAAGCTACCCTCCGCAAGCGATACGATGGACATGTTGCTGAGATGTGTGTATCGGTATGTCAGGTGAACAGAAAGGGAAACACATCTTGAAAGACATGGTTGGGATGTTACATTGATTGACGGCAAAATAGCTGGCCGGGTGGGGTAGAGATAGGTCGGACGTGCCGACATATTGGCACTGTTGGGGTCAACTTCCGCGACCCCGCACTGCTGTTGGCAACAAAAAGTGCCATTCCATTGCAATGCTGTGAACCCTATTCCATGCACAACACCTTATCGGCTTTGTTTGTGATCAAAACACAATCAACATCAAACGTCAACAGGCTTCCCTCGGAGCCTGACATGATTCTCTCGACGAGCAACTCTTATCCGCATGTCACTTTGCATGGCGAAGAAATATGTCTTCACCGAGAATGGATGTGCCTTATCCACGAATCCAAAATCGAACTTCTGAACCATCTGAGCGACGAACTTGTACAGCTCGATCTGTGCATGTTAGTATAGGATAATGAAACACCTATTGTTAACTCACCATCGCGAGATCGCGGCCAGAGCAGGACCTTGGTCCAGAACCTCCGAAGTTGAACAAGGCAGTCTCCATGTATCGCGCTTCTGATTCGTCTCCGAGCCATCGGTCTGGATTAAAAACATTTGCATCATTTCCAAAGATTGCGGTGTCCCTGTTTCGGGCCAGGCTGCTAATTCCGACTACTGTTCCAGGTGGAATCAAGTGGCCGTCGACCGACAGTACACCTGCAGGAACAATTCGATACAACGGAGCCGGTATCGAGGGATACATTCTTAGACTCTCCCTCACAACAGCTTTCAAGTAAGGAAGTTCTTGTGTCTGTTTGTAGGTGATTGGCTCTTCTGAATCGATATCATCATTCTCATCTCTCAGTCTCTGGAGTACTGCTGAATTAGTGGCCAACCAATACAAGGCCGAGCGCATTGAAACCCCCACGGTATCAGCTCCAGCACCACTGCAGGCTCATGGTAAGCAGGCGCTTTAGTAAAGAGGTGACCTAAATCAGAGCAACAACTTACGTGACTGCGAAAGCACCCTCAACAACTTCAAGATGCGTTGTCGGCAATCCTTGGGCATCCTTGTAGCTCAAGAAGTAGTCAACCATATCCGGCTCAACACCTTCACGATCCTCTGCCTCGTGCTGGCGAACCTTCTTAGAAGCCCAGTCAAAGGTCTCCTGCACAGGGTTCTTGATGCCCAAAAGACGCGTGATGGGATTATCGACCCAGATAAGCTGACCCCAGACATGTCCCAAAATCGTAGATACGGTCAAGAGTCGATTCAGAATGCCCTAGAGGTTGGTGCCCTCCGGGCCAGCGATGAAGCCAAGTGGTTCTCGATAGCAAAGCTGACCTATCACATCCCACGTCACAGTCTCGGTATAGTGACACATATCGATAACTGTGCCCTGTGATGCGGGCTTCTCGAGCGATCGCCAGAGTTTGTCCAGACAAGCCTGCATAGAACCCTCCAGGTGCAGCAGAACGGTCATCTTGAACGCGGGGGCGAATCTGCGACGGATACCAGCATGGACCTTGGGGTCTCGTGTGGCCAATTGATTGGGTGCTCCTTGAGAGCTCTGGAAGGCAGAGTACCATTTACTCTTGATGGCGGTTGTATTGTGGCCGTGGAGAGCTTTCATGGCCGACTCGTCCACGACTGATAGTTCATTTGGTGCTAGACGAATGACTCTGCCATATTTTTGATGCAGATCAAGAATGATCTCGGACCAGTCGCCGATGATGATGTGATAGAGTCGCCATAGCCCTGTGATGGAAGCAAGTGGAGGACCTGGGAAATGAGTAAGAGGGTGGAAGAAGGCGTTGTAGCACAGCGATAAGAGTCCAGCTCCGAAGATAGAGGCCAATACCACAGGCCAGTAACTGAAGCCCAGCGTAGCGATCCGATCAGACTGCGTCTTCAGATATGATCAAAAACATTGGATCGTTTGCCCGTGGGTGTCCTATTCACTTTGTAGCTGCCACGTCTTGAGATCTTCGAAGGATGCGATCCTTTGCATGCAGTTATGTTATCTCGTCGATCCTCCAGATTAATATGCAGGCAGTCAGCTTATATAGCATGCGGCCCGCACTACACTCGGCTAAAGTCTTGAGTACGAACAACTTCTGAACGGCACCCATGATTGCTGTCGTGACTCTTTTGATTTTGAATGTACACTATTTTTGAATGTGCCATGAGAGACCCTCTGTTTTTACAAGCTGTTCATATTCCATTATCGTTCCAAACATCGTACAAACTCAACGACGGTTATTGATCCAACGTCCTTTGTTGAGATAAACCGTCTAGAAACTGTTGACGAGCGTGACACCAGTAGTGTAAATCATCATACCGATACCGAGAACCATGAAAACGATATCGCCAGCCTTTGCGAGACGCGACTCGGCGCAACCCTTGTAGTGCAACAAAGGAGGGTAGATATACACCAATGGTACGCATGCAAAGGAGCCAATCAAAGCAACGAATCTGTCCAAGTTGCCAGCACCTGCGATGGCGATAGCAATGCAGACTCCAGTCAAGAAGGTACGGAAAGCGTTCTTCTTCCACTTGGTGAGCTGGTCCTTCTTGCCAGACAAATGACCAAACAGCTTTCCTTCCATGATACGCATGGCGGGGAAGAGCTGAACTGGGTTGCCGAAGAGTACAGCCATGGAGTACAAGAACTGAACGGCGTTGACGAGCTTGCTGTCCTGGGGGAAGTTCGTGATGATTTCAATCTGTGTGTCGTCTCCGAAAGTGGCGTAACACAGGGCGCCGACTGACGTGAAGATGACCGTGATGAGGAGCATGATCACAGCCAAGAGCCACTCGAAGTTCTGAGGCTTCTTCATGGAAGACTGAATAGGCAGAATGAGTCCAATGCCCTCGAAAGTGAAGATGGCTGATCCAATGGTCAAGGTGAACGAGTTAGGGTTGAACAACTTGACAGTCGGGGCGATGCCGTCCGTAGCGAGAGTGGCGATGTCGAAGTAGTAGATGTAGCCCAGACCGATAAGAATGAAAACATCGGCCAACAAGGCGACGGGACCGAGCTTCGAGATGTTACGGATGAAGGACAGGGGAACCAGAACGACAAGCTGGATTGCGATCAAGGCACGAACTGACACAGGCATACTGCCTTTGACAACAGCCTCGAGGAATGAGTGGAGGTTCTCAGCCACAAAGACAACACCCGCGCAGACGAAACCAATCTGCGAAATAGTGACGGAAGCAAGAATAAGAGACCTCATCTTATCTCCAGCGATGGCCTTGCCCAGATCACCATAACCACCACCGTACTGGTTGCGGCACTTGAGCAGCAGGTGGAATGCCAGCATAGAGACAATCGAGATCGAGACCATGGTCAGAGACGAGAACAAGATACCGCCATTGCTGAATGCCTTGGGAAGGAACATGATACCGGTACCGATGAAGGCCTTGAGAAGTGTGAAGAAAGACTTGACCATACCGGCATCACCCTTGGGAGCTGCTCGGGATGACTTGCGACGGCCGAGAAGAGGTCTACTTTCAGTTGCAGGAGCCTGCTCGTCGTCGTCTTCATCATCATCAATTGCTTCGTCATCAGACTCGTTAAGATCTTCACCAGCGAAGCTACCATAGAGGTTCAAGAATTCGACAAAGTTCCTGGTAACGGGCATAGTGGCGGTATTGAAAGTGTTGTTCCTTTGCATGTATTGGCGGCGGAAAGCGCCAGGAGCTCGTGCTTGAGATGCTGTCAATTCCGAATCCCAGCTTTCCCTGCGGGCGCGAGGAGCAGAAAATGTCGCTGCTCTTTGGTGCAATGTCTGACGAGGTTGTGCATTAAGCTTGAAGATGTCTCTGTGAATGTCTCCTCCTTGCAGATTGAGAGAGTCTTCCACTCCAGAGCCATTGTTGCCAGTGAATTCGGCCGTGTATCCCGATGGGAGGTGCTCAGAGACCACCTGGGCCTGCTGCTCCTCTGGAATCTCCTGTTCTTCGGACATGTCGACAAACTCTTGCTGTGAGAATCTGAGAGAAGAAAATGTTCACGACTTTCGCATCCTCCAAAGCGGTGAGTTTGAGGGATAGATGCCGTCTTGAAACAAAATTGCCCCTATATGACGTGTTAGCTAGAAAAGCCACCCGATATCACGTGCCGGCGTACGAGAAGTTTAAGCAAAACCGGGAAAGCGGACGCTCGTACCACACTGGGACCTGATCACCACCGTGACCTAGAGACATCGCGCCTTTTCACGGCTCACAGTGACATCTCATCCACAATGACATCTGATGGAGTCAATCGATATTACTGTCGCATTCACACGAGGGCGAAGCATCGAACTCGAAGTTGAGGTCTGCATAGCTCGCGCAAGCTGCCATCAAGGTAGGTACTAACTATCACGTCGTTTCACGCCTTGTCGACATCGTGGACATTAATCGCACTATTTACTACGCACTGCGCTTCGGGATGGCCCAGAAAGTTGCGCCTCTATGTATCACCATTGGACTGGTGTTCAAGACTTTTTGATATTAAGCAAGAGTCTGCAAGACATATAATCTACAGCTTGACAGTTGTGCTTGCCGGCCAGAGTCCCTGTTTGTTCTTGACAGTTTCTGGAACCGTACTTCTGTATCACTCAGATCATGCTCAACAAGGGTACATGAGGCTCGTATCTCTTTGACACCATCCAATCTCGGTCTGGTGCCCGACGTTCACTTTCTTCCACAAAACATCGATCCGGAACGATGAACAAGTAGCATTGCTGTCAGAGTTTCAAAGCAATCAGCGACTCGTCTTGTCTGATCTGAGTCAAACCTGTAACATGCAAAGCAACCGGCTTTGATCAGGCTACTGCTTTGAGCTCAGGCTGTTTTGACTGCTGCAGACTCTGAAGATGCGAATCCTTGTTGTCATCACACTTGGATCCCTGTGGAGAAGGTAAGCCTGATCAGCGACCTTCAGGGTGTCTCGGTCACTGTGAGTGCAGTAGGATGTCTCAATGGTGAGATCTCACTGCTGGCGTCGTGTCTTAGTATCCAGGTGAAGGAACGAGTGTCAATCAGACCAGCAGAACGTTCCGGACCCGAGTCCAGTTTGCAATCACATCACGAACAGCTCCTCATTTATTTTAAGTCACTGAGCCTCCATCCACTTCTTCTTTTCGACACACAACCAAAATCCCGAGAAGCAAACTGCTCCACTTTGACTATGTCTTCAAGTGGTGCCTTCATCAACAGCATCAAGCGTGAGGATGTCACGGCTTGGACTCTTGACATTGAAGTAAGTCTACACCATCAACCACTTTTCGCGCACTGGTTCGCACGTCGGGTCTCCGACCGTCACGTCCCTCTCAGGTCTCTATGACCGTCTCTGACATGCCGGGACTTGTGCGTCAACGCAGTTCTCCTTCCAAAAGATTGGTCTTAACAATTTCGTTGCTGACTGTCTCGACAACAGATGCAGACACTCCAGGCAGAAATTCTCGCTCTGAAGAAGAATCTCACAGATGCCAACGTCAAGCAGATCGAGGAGAAGGAAGGAAGCATCGCCGAGAAGAAGAATGCCTTGGAGAAGCACTGCCGTCATCTCGGCATGACCTATGGCAATTACGGCGCTCAGGAAAATGGTCACAAGCTTGAGGACACCAATGGCGAGGTAAGCATGGTGTTGACATGTCCTTGTATCAACGCTGACATCTCATCTCGACAGACTGGCGCGATGACCAACGGCCATGTCAAGGATGTTCATGGTTCGGCCGATGTCATGATGGATGATGGCGGCACTGCCATTCCTACCAACTCCGTCGACGCTGCCCGTAGTGCCGCCCTGGACGAGATTAACTTCCCTCAGTTGACTGCTGTCAACATCCCCAACAACTTCGATGGCAACAGCGATCCTTTCGTTACTCCTGGTGATTACGCCACCACTGACATGTTCCACGCTCCCACCGGAACTTATGTTGATCACTTCGGCACCTCTGCCGGTGACTACACTCACGCATTCATCAACAATCCCATTATCCACCAGAACCTGGGTCGCACCGACTCCAGCGGTAAGCCTGTCATCGACGTCGACGAGTACCTTATGCAGACCGATGGCGTGATCCCCGCAAACTACGCCACCTCTGCTGGCCGTGTCGCCGATCACGGTATGGGTCTTGGAGGAGACTACGAGATGGACATGGACGCCATGATCCCTCGTGCTCCTGTTGCTGAGCACGATGAGTCCGTCATCTCTGGCATGGACAAGTAAGACGATATCTGAGGAGCAACTCGCACGTATCGTCTGGCAGATTTGAGATTATGTCTGCCCTCGTAGTTCTGCACGCTATCTTCGCGACTAGCGCTTTCCAGAGATAGTATGAAATGAAGCATGCTACTCATACTGTCACCACGCACCTTAGTATCTTTCCCAGTTGCAAAATTTCTATTGATGCCCAATGTTTTCTACAAGTCACAAATCACAATTTCAGCTCTTCGTGAGTGACACGTCATGATTCCTCCTCTTGTGTTTGTATGGTCAAGCTTTGGAAGATGATGCTTTGAGGGTGTACCGATTACATATGTCCAAGCGACGAAGACTTCTGAAACATTGTCCCCCGGATCGACAAAGCCATGGCCGCACGCTACAGCACAGTTCCACCAATAGGCAAGAGCGAGCCCTATACTAACCTGTATATTATCCCTGCTGCTGTGAAGCACCGTGTTTCGTAGACATGAATCCCAAGTCCCATTCTCACCCAAAAACTCGTCAGAAATGCTTGGTGAACAAAAACCATCGATACGACTTCAGCTGCCACAAACCCAAGCAAGTCAATGATCTCCATGATATCTCAGCCTGAGGACTGTATCTGTGGAGAGTAAGCTTTGAGACAGTCGACTCCAGGCTGAGTGTTTAAAGGCGACGATTTAGCCGTCTGTTTCACACAGGCAAGTGTCGCTTCCTTTATATTAGGGAAATCATGTGGACGCAGGGCATAACCTCTAGCGATTTTATAAGGAGTTTGAACCCTACATGAGCTTCTCTTCTTTCAGTTTTCGCTTTCCATCTTCGTTGTCAACTTCCAATACGCATCATGTTGCGATCAGCCCTCCTTGCCGTGGCAGCGGTGCTGTCGAATGTGGCCTATGGTGCTCTCACCTACAAGGGAGCCGACATCAGCTCCCTCATCATGCTGGAGAATCAAGGAAAGAGCTTCAAAACTACAGCCGGAGTTACCCAGCCTCTCGAGGGTAGGTTCAAAGACTCTACAGTAAATACTTAGAGGCTGTCCTAACTCCGCCAGTCATCCTCAAGCAGTCTGGAGCAAACTCGGTCCGTCAAAGAGTTTGGGTTAACCCTGCAGATGGCAGCTATAATCTCGACTACAATGTGAAACTGTCCAAGCGTGTTGTCAACCAAGGCATGAGCGTATACCTGGACCTCCACTACTCGGACACTTGGGCAGACCCGTCTCACCAGACCACTCCTGCGAAGTGGGATGACAGCACCATCGGTCAGCTCAAGTATACAGTGTACAACTACACACTGGCAGTATGCAACCGCTACGCAGCCGAAGGCATCAACCCTGCCATCATTTCGATTGGCAATGAAATCAGAGCTGGTTTGCTGTGGCCTTTAGGTGGAACATCCTCTTACTACAACATTGCCGATCTCCTTCACTCTGCTTCATCTGGAATCAAAGACTCTAGGTTATCCAAGAAGCCTCAGATCATGATCCATCTCGACAATGGCTGGGATTCCGGCACTCAACTCTGGTGGTACAAGACCATCCTCGGACAGGGACCTCTAAAGTCGACCGATTTTGACATGATCGGTGTAAGCTACTACCCCTTCTACAATGAGAAGGCATACCTTGGTAGTCTGAAGTACTCTCTCCAGCAACTTGCATCTACATACGGCAAGAGTTTGGTAGTAGCCGAGACAAATTGGCCTGCCAAGTGCAGCAAGCCTGCATACAAATTCCCTTCGGATGCCACCTACATCCCCTTCTCATCAGCTGGACAGGAGGAGTGGATTGAGGCAGTCGGAAAGATTGTAGCTGGTGTTTCGGGTGGAGCTGGTCTCTACTATTGGGAGCCAGCTTTCTTGGGCAATGCAGGGCTTGGATCGAGCTGTGAGGACAACCTGCTGGTCGACAGCAACGGCAAAGCAACAGTTGGCATGTCTGCTTTCAAGAACATTTAAGGATGTGGCAGAAGTATCTAGCGAACGTTTGATGTGCTGCCAAGAAGGCGGAGAGCTTAGTTAGCGCCGAACCCCTCGAGGGTGGAACAGGAACGCGGAGAGTGAGCTGGAGCTTGCTCACAAACATATTATTGTCCCATCAATCGCGACTACCCACACCATCTCGATCTTGATTCGAGTCATACTGTCTGAATCGCGAAAGCTCTGCGACCAAGTCATATATCATCATGGGTCTTCCGTAAGTGTGCTGCCAGCGTTTGATTGTCGAGGCTTTGCAGAAGGCAGCGACGCGCCAGGACGCGCTTTCCACTTTGCTGTTCGCTCGTATCTCTTTCCGACTCTCTTATCTACAAGTCGCATTGTAAACATGACTGTCAGCCATCGCATTACATCAAGCCACCTCTAGAATGTCATGACTTGGCGAGAGACTCCACATCTGGAGCTCTGATGAGTCGTATCAGCCTTGTAGACAGCCTATGCGACGCAATGGTTCAAACGACTGCCTGTCTGAGGAAGAGAGAAGCGAGATTCTTCCTGTTCTAAACTTGGCTTGGGATGCATACCACAAAGCAAAAGGCTAACAAATCATGATAGAGTATGGCGCAACCCTGAAGAAACACGCAGCAGCGACAATAGTCCAGCCGCCGTCTCTCGAGTTAAGAACGACAGTACCGCCGCCTCTCGCTCTCCAATCCGTCGTCTCCGTGCGTCCCGTCCACCCAACTTCTACCGAGTCGGCCAGCCACCAGCTGTACCCGAAGCACCTCGTCGTGTACCTTCCAGTGACCGTAGTTTCGACCTGGCACAATACCTCGGTGACGACGATGTCTCACAAGAACAACGTCCTGACCCGAATCGACGACGCTCAAGAACAGATACCTTTCTGCCTCCACCTCTCGAACGCGATCGTCCACAATCGCGCAATGGTGCCTCTTCGAGTCTTCCTTCTCCTCCGCTGGACATGTCAGATCCCACCGCGTCGTCTCGCATCGTCCTACTGCGCCCTTCACAATCCTCACCACACCCTCTGAGCTTCACTCACAGACCAGTCTCTTCCGATGACGGTCTGGGCGATCGTAACCGTAGCCCTTCTCCGGTTGCCTGGAACGTCATCGGCTCTACCATCACTCCCGATGATTCGCTACCGTCTGCTGACTCCAGCTTTGCCTCGAACGGAGCTTCGGCTTCGTTTGCACACACAGATGGCCCTGCGGATGGTCCAGCTGACGCGCTGGCCGAGGACTCCAGCTCTTCTACCATCAACGAATCCCAAAGTTATGATCGCCGTACCGTTGAAGCCTTGTTGTACGACTTCGCCATGCAAACCGCCGAAGGTCGAGCACAGATTCAGCTTCTCGGCCGCATGTCACCAGGGGATGCGCGTTGGGTGCGCCACCACAGCAATACCAGTCAAGAGGACGATGACAACGAGGACGATGATGGGGACAACGACAGAGATGAAGCTCCTCCCCAACGCCCCTCACAATACGACTCGGACATACGCGAACGCTCTCGTCAGGCCGCTGCTTCAACCATGCACTATTTTGGGAACACACACAACGAACGTCCCACCAGGCGGCACGTCGGGCGGGTTGTCGGACATGTGTTCCCGAACTCGACCACTCGCTCGAGTTTGCTTACCAACTGGGCTGCAAGACGCTCCGAGGCATCTCTAGCGCGCAGTGCTCGTGAGGCTGAGGATCGTTCCCGTGATGAGAGGTTGTAGCATTTCTTCCATACTCATCACCCAGAGATAGCTCGCCGTCGTCGGAGATTATCCGACCCAAGCTGAAATTGGTGATTTTGCTTTGCTTGATACGGATTTCGTGAGCGTTAGCGTATGGTGTCAAGATGTGGGTTTTACTTTCGTTCCATCGGTGGGTGCGGCTACAGAAGCGGCCTGACTGCTGGTTAGTCTTGCTTTCGTTGCTTTCGTCTCTCTGCTAGCTTCTTGAAAAGTTGTGGATCACTCTGAATATCGAATCCTATCGCTAAACGTAATGAAATTGGTACAGCAACTGAATTTGCAGCCCTCGTTCAAGATCTCGTCTGCAAATTGCCCTTCTCTAGGGCCAGTGCGTATTTGGTCCATGACTTAAGGTCGCGTATAATGGATCTCATCCTGGAAATGATCAGGCAACTCGATGGCGAGATGAAAGAATCGTCGAAAATCACGCCCAGAGTAACCCGAGCAAACCTCATCTTGCAAGAACCGGATAGTTTGCAAGAGATCGAGACTGTGTACCGTGCCTAGTACTTTTTCGTAAAATCCACGATTCATGATTTCGTTCCGCACATGATCTGCGAGCATCGTAGAGCTCTCGGTCAGAGCCTCAGCGACTACGAACAGATTGAGTAGTGACGCCGCCTTCGGAGTGTAGTCATTGTTGTGTCCAACAGAACTGATAATCCCATCAACAATTGCCATGATGTCGTCGGTTGCAGCGTTAACTTTGTTGAATTGTTCAGGGGAACTGAGGTGTGCCCACTTGTCTTCAAGAATCCGATTGACCTCGATCGCATAATCACCGAATTTGATATCCTCGTCCTCCTCTTCTTCGTCACCGTTGTCCAAAACAACAGCTTGTTCGGTAGCAGGTGCCCGTATAGATGTTGAGCGAGTCGTGTCTTCGAGTAACCGGTCCGAATCATACGAGTTCATCAAGCGCATTTCAATCCGAAACTTGTCTTTCCGTTGTGTGAGCTCTGCTTCCTCGGACTTTGTCTCTAATGCAGCAAAGACGTCTTTGTGTCTCACTGCTGCGTCTGCCAGAAGTTGTTGGAGATCATCGTGTGATAATTTTGCAATCCATTTGGATATATATGAGAACTTTGCAGGATCAGGTCGGTGAGCGGAAGAAGAAGGCATGTTGTCGGAGCCCGAAACATAATTTGATCGGGGATCCAGTAAGGCCTGTGGTACAATAGAAGAAGATTCATATCTGCCTCGGGATTGCAGTACTGCACCATTTCTTGATCCGAGTCTTGTCTACGTCTCTTGCGGCTGTTCTTGCTTGTTTGGTCGGTCGTCATTGTATGTTTTATCTCCAGAACAATGACCAGGGAAGAATGGTACGGAGTAGGTTTAAGGATAACTCTTGGTGACGCGATAGGACGCGTCTCATACGCGACACCATCTAATTCTATCTTGCCGGGAACCCAGTCTTGTCCACACCACACTCCAGCATTCAACCTGCTTCTCAATATACACAGCCATGTCCTTGTATACCTTGTTGAAACGGCGCAATACACTGTGCCTCCTGCAATGATCACAAGCTGCATACAGTGCGCCTGCTCAAGTCCACATGACCAATCATAGCTCGCACCTCTGTCACGACACCTGACCAAACAATCAGAAAGCGACAAAATAAATGAAAGAGCTGAATGACGGCTCTAGGCAGCTCCGTCCATGTAAGCTCAAAGATATCATGTCTTTTGACTTCTCATACAAAAGCTTCTTCGTCTTTTGATCTCCACCATGTGAAAATCATCCTCTTGTTTGATACACAGTTGAGCTTGTGGGTGGTGATGAGTCGAGGCTTGCGACAAACAGCTGCCTGAACCGCAGTCAACAGTACTCTTTTGGCAGCTGACCTGATAAGAAACGACAAAAGATGCACGAGCTGCCTGCAGAACTGCAAACCAGTCTGCACTCCTGGAGAGGCAGCGTCCGTCTGTCACGCGGCGATGACTCCGATCAGGCACGACTACATCATTCGTCAACAGAGCAAAATGACTCTTTGAGAATGCTGCGGCAGACCTTTTCTTCTCTTATATTGGTATGTTTCCACCTTTCTCCCATCTCGTGTTCTTTCTCTGCCAAACGCTTCCTATCGATCTCTCAAACCAGAAAAAAACAGCCATGGATGAAGAAGCAGCATCCGAGACTGACCCTCTGCTGTCAAAGTATCCAGCTGCATCTCGACGTCGTGACAATCAAAGATCCAACCAAGTCCCCATCGCACCCCAACCAACACCAAACAACAATGATCCAGAGGCGGAAAGCGAGCCTCTCTCTCAACAAGAAGTCTACACTCTACTCGGTATGGCTCCTCCAACAGCAAACAACACTACACCTCGCCACCTTGAATCAGCACATGGCTTCTACAGCCAACTCCTGAAGAGCGAGCGTCGAGCAGCACGTCAATACCGCCTCTACGATATCGCAATCATCTACCTCATGATCGTCCAACTCTGCATCTCAGCCGTCTTTGTCGTACTCGGCTCCCTGCCAAATCTCGACCGTTACCACGTAGCCGTAGCAGCTCTCGGCGCCATCGGCACAGTGGTAGCAGGAATGCTAGCGTTGATGAGAGGCCAAGGCTTACCAAATCGTTTGCGCATGGAGCGTGACGCCCTCCGAAAAGTCGTCTACGAGACTGAAGAACTGTACTGGGATACCAGAGCTGGTAGAGAAGTAGATTTTGCAGATGTGGAAAGGTTGAGGGATGCGTTTGCTGCTGTGGTGGACGATGCCAGGAAGAATCATCCTGATGTGTGGACTTCTAGTCCGGTGCCTGTGAGGATCAAGACGGGGTTGAGTGGGAAGGGCATGCAGATGCAGATGCAGATGCCTGGAGCGGTGCAGATTGCCAAGTTGTGAGAACGCAGAGGTGGGATGGCTGTAAGCTGGCTGGTGCGTGCTTGATGTTGCTACATAATAGACATAGATACAAAACACCTCGTTCGATCACAAGCTCAACACCTTCCTTCTTCGTGCGTCCGCGTGGTCTTCGCCGTGTGGAATTTCCTCACTTCAAGTCCTTCACTTCCCACTCATCTTAGAGCCACCTCAGTTCCCCTTTGTTACTGTGAATCGGCTGAGTGGTGTAACGGTCTAGACACACTCACGCTTAGATTTGGTAATAAAACCACTGTTCGAATCCCGCCGTGTACGCCTTAAATAATTCTATCAACCAGACGACCGTTAGTCTTGGTGGCTAAGATCAAGGGAAAGAGAATGGGAGTTTTTCCAGAGTGCCCCTGGTTGGTGGTGTCTGGTTTTTTGCTAGTTGTGGGTGGAAAGGAGGAGATGGTTGGTGTTTGTCGTTGTTGTGTGTTTTTGCTATATACCACAGGTTAGACACTATAAGCCCTGTATGTCTGTTGTTTACGAGACCAACGACAGGTTTTATTCGTGTGCATGTGGAAAGAAGTGAGGTACAGTGGACTGATATCACTCAAATTCGTATCTCCTTTTCTATGCGTCTATGCCAATTGCTTGATACCCGGCAGCTCAGTGCTATGCTCCGTCAACTTGTTCATCAGACCCACCGCTTTATCGTACACCATAAAGGTGATACTACTCGATAGCGTGAGTCTGACCAACCTCGGTGTAGTAGCCTTCCAGAACACCTTTGTGCCCTCCGTCTTTGCCATGTGAACAGCACAGCTCGTCATGCGAGTGTACTTGTTACCTATACTCTGCATCCTCGTCTTGATGTTGTCGAAAGGCATACTCGCATATCTATGTTTCTCTGTCAGTTACCTTCTCACAGCATGATCAAAGGTGATGCAGGAGTTACTCACACAGTCAACACGCCACTCCCAGCACCCGCCACCAACGTCGCCGTAGTGCCACCCATCTTCTCGGGCCAAGCCACCCTCAATCTATCCCGGATAGCATTGAACGTCGCAAACCTCACCGCCGAATTGGTAGCTTGCTTGCACAACACAGGCGTCAACCCCTTCCACAAACTCAACACTCCCTCCCTTTTCACCACCGACGAAATGATCCTCGGCAAAGACTGTTTTCCCAGATTTCCTCCTGAAGAAGCGTCGTGGATGACTCTTGTTTTTAGACTTTCGCCAGGTGTGACTACTAATACGCTTTCGGTGATTCCTGCACAGAGTCCAGAGACGACGTTGATGCCTGTGGTGTTTGTGTTTGAGGTCACGCGAGTCAAGTAGCGTTTTGAGGTTTCGAAGGAGAAGAAGCGGACGCCTGATTTTATGGCGTTGGAGGTTGCTAGGGTTTGGCAGCCGGCGTAGATGTTGCTGATGCCATGGTTCTTTATTGTAGAGCGCAGGATAGAGAAGGAAGAGGGTGTTTTTAGGCCTTGACGTGATACTTCGAGTTGGCGGCGTGTCTTGACGAATTCGGCTGGGTACTGGTGAAGAACGTCAGTTGACATATTGGTGATAGATTCTGGATACTGAAGACTTACGGTTACTACAGTCTCACTTGCCCCTGCCAGTCCTCCAGCAAGAATGCTAGTAAGTGTTGAAGTGTTTTGTTTCTTGGTCATGGTTGCAATTGACGTTCAGAAAACCTGTGGTGTCCGGAGAAAAGGAACCACCTTGATGAACATACATATATATACAATCCCGGTCGTAACGCTGTCTGTTGGGATGGCCCTGGCTGCCAACCAACTCTCGGAAGTACTCCGAACGATCAAATTGACTCCACATCACGGCCTCCGTTGCGGGGACGGATTACGGAGATGGGATGTGGGGAGTGGATGTATCCACTTCCTTGTTGAAACATCCACCCTCAGGGCGTCAATCGGAAGTCGTCCGAGACGCTGATTCAGCCGACTGGCTTGATTGCATGGCATTCAATTGCCAGGAGCAAGTTCTTAATAACAGTGAGATTATACAGACTCAGCTGTCTATGCTTTCCATGTGTATCTTCTAACTCATCTATGCAGCTGACGTCTTTCTTCAAGCACAATCCAAAGGATCTTGACTATCTCGTCTCTGATCAATATCCCACAGCTCCTTTGCATTCAGACTGAACACTTCCTTCGTCAAGTCCGCTTCGTCTGTCCAGTCCAGCACTGTTTCAACGAAGGGTTTGATGTCAAGGCCATCGTACCTCGTGTGCGGCCAGTCAGAGGCGAAAACGCAGCGGTTGCCGGCAACCTTGAGCATTTCGCGAGCAATACTCTCCACACCGCGGAATTGTGTATCGTTGTCAAATCTATAAGCTGCTGAGAACTTGATCCATGTAGCTCCAGCTCGAACTAAGTTGACTAGTGATGTGAAGCCAGCAATCTGATATGGGTTGAGAGGATGATTTGCATCTTTCGGATCTGGTAACGTCGGTGCGCCAAAATGAGCGATCGATATCCTAACACCAAGATTGGGTACAATCTTCTCGAGGATCGGCATCGCTTCCATGCCAATATAAAGCTCCAGAACCCAGTTGAAGTCTCGGATGGCGTCTGCGTATTTGCGAAGCATTGTCGTGAGAGAATCTTCTGTATATGTTGCATCGGTCGATTTGAGATTGAGACGGACACCACGGACGCCGAGCTTATGCCATCCTTGAAGCTGGCCGATGTTCAGCGTGTCGGGATTGATAGCGACCACACCACGACCATGAGAGGGCCCAACCACTCGAAGAGCGTCGAGAAGGCATGAATTGTCGTCACCGTAAATCGAAGGTTGGACGAAGACGGTATCGCGAATTCCTATCGTCTTTTCGAAATTGTGGACATCGGTCAAAGTGTGCAAGCCAGGAACGTAAGCTGCACCTTTCGCCAAAGGATAACTTGGATCCGTAACATGCATATGTGAATCCCAAGCACCGACTGGCATGCGCTGAGCAATGGTGGGCGTCCTCACTGCCTCGCTTCGTGTAGACGGTTTGGCAGGCTCAACATCGACTTTGATGGCAGCAGCGGCTTTGGGCTGTGGTGCAAGATAGACCTGAGCAAACCGGAATAGAGGCATGAACATGTTGCCGGAGTGAGTTGAGTTTGTCGACACAACCGTAGTCATCTTCAGACGGAGAGCAGTGTATAGAAAGTACCTACCTTTCGGGAAGCAACGGCAGTTCTTCTCTTATGTACAAGGCCGGCTAGGGCACACATGTGGAGCCTTCGTATGTGATGCGCGTCCTCCATGAATCGACATCGCGCGAGAGACCGCTCAATGCACGGCAAAACAAAATCCATGTGTTTTTTTAGATGATAGGAACGAGGGGTTGGGCTTCCACCTCGGAGTAAGTCCGAGAAGGATTGGAACGGCAGTTGACCGAGGGTGGATCGTGCTTTCCACGCCACTCACGGACTCGACCGCATGTCCTACACATTTGACTTTGATGGAGTCAGTGGACCCCACGGAGACTCGAAATGGCCTTCAGGGATATATAAGACTCCCCCAGAGTCCCCAGACCTTGGCCGGTTGACTACGCGAATCAGTACAGCACGGTTGACAGCTGCGCCATGGCTTCAAAGATAAACCCTTACTACGTCTTCGCGATCCTCGTCTTGGCCGCTGGCGGTATCCCCAAAGGTAGATTGACAACAATCCATCTTGCATCAATCCAACTGACATATCTTAGGCTACGATGAGGGAGGCTTCAGTGCTAGCGTCACTCTGCCATCCTTCAAACAGGATTACAACCTCATAAAGGCACACTGGAAGCATGATCCTACCGGTCTGGCAAACAGAACGGCCAACATTACATCGTTCGGAGTCCTTGGTGCTGCCTTTGGTGCTCTGATCGCCTTCTTTTGTAACGATAAGCTTGGAAGACTGTGGTCTTTCAGAGCTTCGATCCTTGTGTGGGCAGTTGGACTGCTCATGCAGGTCTTCTCCTCTGGTATCTTTGGTTTTCTCTTGTTCTCCAGGATATTCAGCGGACTAGGAGCTGGTGCATTGACCGTTGTATCACCGCTCTTCTTGTCAGAGATTGCACCAGCAAAGACGCGAGGCATGACTGTCAGCATCTATATGGTCATGCTACTCTCATTCCTCTCTCTAGGTATGTCACCAGAGGCAGTTCTCAGCATTGTATCAAGACTAATCTCAGTCGACAGGTTTTTTCGTCAATTACGGTGCCAACCTCCATCTGGCCGCCACCAGAACGCAATACCGACTCGTCCAGTCGATCCCGCTGATCCCAGTCGGTCTCGCCTTCATCGGTTCATTCTTTATGCCTGATAGCCCTCGCTGGCTTGCCTCGAAGGGAAGACACAGCGAATCTGTAGCCGCTCTTGCGCGCCTGAGAGGTTTGGATGTCAACCATCCCGAACTCCTCGCAGAGCACGCTGGAGTTGAGATGGACAGCACGGCAATTGCAGAGATGAAGAACGCTTCTCTCAAGTCAACCGCGACTGAAGTTCTCAGCAGCCCAACCCTCCGCAGTCGCTTTTTACTGGCCTTGGTTATGCAGACCATCTCACAGTGGACTGGAGGAAATGGTATCACCTACTACATCTCGGATATCTTCCAGTACGCAGGCATCTCAGGGTCCAACACATCACTGATCACATCCGGAGCTTATGGCCTGGTGAAGCTGTTGTTCACCATGATCTTTGCATGGGGTCTGATCGACATGATCGGACGCCGACGTTGCTTCATGACTGGCCTGTCTCTGCAATGTGCCACACACATCTACATGGCTGTCTACTTTGGAGCCATCGCAGACAGCAACCAACCAGCGTCCAACGCAGCAGTAGCAAGTGTGTTTGTCTACGCAGTCGGATGGTCGATCGGCTTGTGCACTATTCCGTATATCTACGGCACGGAGCTATTCCCAACAAGAGTTCGATCTCTTTGCTACGCGGTAGTGATGGCGGCACATTGGTTCTTCCAATTCGCCGTGGTTCGCGTGACGCCGCTCATGTTGACAGCGCTGGACAAGTGGGGAGCATATACATTCTGGGCGTGTATCTGCGCCAGCGGCCTTGTGATTCTTGGGCTATGGGCACCAGAGACCAAGGGGATTCCGATGGAGCGCATGGACGAGTTGTTCCAGAGACCATGGTACAAGTGCGGATCAGCCAAGGTGTCGATGGAAGGTTCTGATGAATCAATGCATGAAGGGAACGAGAAAGCAGCCGCGCTGCACTCGGAGAAGGCTGTATAGAGACAAAAGTGTCTTATGAATATCTTGACGATTTAATGCAGTGTTAATAACACATGACTTCCCACAGATCAAATCAGAGCAGATGCGAGCCGAGGCAACAGTAAAGACGCGTCAGGTGGTGCATGCAGTGAGTATTGAAAAGGTGCATGTGGTGATGTGGGAAGGAGCGGAGTCGGGGGAGCGGTCAAGGCAAGGGCGGCTTGTCTGTGTTTGCTCTGTTTGCACGTGTGACACGGCGGGCCCGAAAGGTCTTGTCACATTCGAGCTCGCTGCCGGCCATTGCTGTCCACCCGCTATACACTCCCGTACAATCATGTTCTCGTCGCAGCTGGGTCGCGCCGCTCGTGTCGGCTCCCAGTCAGCCAGCATCTCTACATCGTCCTGCGCCGTCGCCAACCGCGTGTCTTCGGCCACATGCCCGACTCTTCTTTCGCGCCAACGCCGACTCTCGTCAAGCAAGGCCTCATGCCCGCCCAACGGTGACTCGAACCGCTCTCGCCAGCCTGTCGCCAAGCCTGACCTACCATCGTCTCGTCCGGCAAAGTCACGTTCTTCCAACGCAAACAAGTCCACTTCGTCCAGTCGCAATGTCAAGGCCGCCAAGGATGAGACTTTTGCCAATCTACCCAGCGTGCCCTCGACTGAGCACATTCTCCCTCAAGGTGCGCACTTGATCCAGTGATTGGCACCGCAAGACTCCACTGACACCATCCTCCAGATATCACCCTCTCCTCCTTCTTCAGTCTCCATCGTCCCCTCAGTCTGGGCACCGCCATCCCACCCACAGCCGATATTACCGCTTTCAACAACATCTTCGAACCCAAGTCTAAGCAACAAAAGACGAACCAGGATGTCATCTTCACCCTGTCCAACGCCATCGACGGCATCGAGAGCAAGCAAAGAGATTCGGACCTGAACTGGGACATCATTCAAGAGTCGGCATCCGAGTCGGATGTCAAGCATCTGGACGGCGTACCGCGCTCGAGGTCGCTAGAGGACATGGTCGCACAGTTGAAGCCTTTCACTGCTCCTCCGCCACCCGCTCCCGTCAACGTCGAGCAGCAACAGCGCAAAGCTCACGCCACACCCGCGCCCACCGTCAGCCAGAAACACTTCAAGACCACCATCACCGTCACAGAGAACAAGCGCTCAGACGGCGTCACCTTTTACACCGCCTCGGCCTCTCCCCCGGAACCCGCTGCCATCAAGGAGGCCCCATCATCCACCTCATCCACCCCCTTCAAGGACCGTCTGCGAAACCGTGAGGTCAACTACATCGAGAAGCAGCTCGAACAGCACAGGAGCGACATTTCCATTCTGGAAGGCGAGAACAGCAAGGGAGAGATGCACGCCATTTCGGTAAAGAGACAGCGCAAGCTGAAGATGAAGAAGCACAAGTACAAGAAGTTGATGAAGCGCACCAGAAACTTGAGACGCAGGTTGGATAGAAACTAGACGTTCCTTTTCGTTTTGTTTTCCTTTCGACTTTTCCTCGTTTCTCTTGCATACCATCGGCGTTTGAGTTTGACCACCCTTTACAACTTGATGCCCCCAACTAACCTCTTCCGCTTTACCATCTATAGCAATAACAAGATTTTTCACAACATTTTATTCTTCCGGTCTTGGCCCATACTCTATCTGCTCGATTGTTTGCTCGATTGTTTTTGGTGCTTATTGTGGCTTGTCTGCTGAATCTTCACAGGACAAATTCGCAGCAGTTCCGTGGGCGTGGGCGCACATATGCATGCATCTGTATATCCGACTATTTCAGCCAATCGAAAATGTTTGCAACGACATGGAACATGCGCTTTTCAGCAGGTACAAGCAGCACGTACTGCGCAGCCTCCCACAGCCCCGTAGCACAGCCTCTTATAAGAAGCATATGAAGACCCGGAGGGCTTCTCTCCGGACCGTCCCATCATCAAAACCATGGCTGACCCATTTACTGTTGCAGTTTCGGTCGCTGGCCTCACGAGTCTTGGTATACAACTTGCTCAGGGTCTCAAGAAATATGCCGATTCAGCTATCGATTCCAAGGGTCGCGTTCAGGCCATTTCCCTCGAGATCGAACTTGCAGTCCAAGTCATTAAAACTCTGGACGTCACGCTACAGAATGCTTCCAGCCGAGCGCTGCTAACGGACGACGCTAAGAAACTTGCAAAGGATGTAGTGTCCCAGTGTCAAGAAGAGGAATATGGCGATGTGGCCCACCATCGAGAAAAAAGTGGAACGTTCGAGAGATGATCTGGAAAAGATCAAGCTCACGCTGCAGATTCTCATGAGCGTCATGATGTACGCAAAGATGTTTGCAAGGTATGTTTGTTAATTTGTCTGTGTTCTACCTACCCTTTTTTGACACTTTCTAGTACAACCGATTCCGAAGATGCCGCCCAGCAGCGCCTTGAAATTCGAAGACTGCAAGAGGAGGAACGTGGCTCGACTTGCCACGTCGAGATTTCAAGATCCAGAGGTTATTACGATGCCTGAGCCAGCGGAACCTTCAAGATCCAGATCATTGGCTTCTTCAATCTCGCCACCTGACGTTGACAACTTCCATGTTGATGGTATCCCCGAAGTAAGCGCAGCCGTAGTTGTCATGCCTTTGTAACACAAGTTTCAGCATAGCAAATGCTGAAGGAGACACGAGCTCAAGGCATGGTATTATCCACTAACAACTAAGATTCCCCATCACAGTCCCAGATCCGGACGTTACTTACCAGTCTAGGCGAAGCAGCAAGTACGCGTCCAGATGGATGGTTCTGATATACCGAGTTGCCGCTAGGTTCTTGTCGCCTAAAGCTCCAGGACGCGAGGTTGCGCTGCAGATGCTCAAAACTGATTTCGAAATTTGCATGGCACAGCTCACTAAGCTTCAAGAGGAGATAGACGCGACCAGACGACTTACAATGGACTCAGGGTCAAGTCGCACGTCTGGCCATCGAGACGAGGCAATAATTCCGGAGCGATTTCAATCCTTGAAATGGCATGGCCAGAATACAATAGAATGTTTGTATACGCATCTGATGAATTCTGTGGCTTTGCGCAAACTTAAGGCGTCAGCCCCTCTTCTGTCGACGGAACGAGACAATGATTATCCTCATGTCCCAGCGAGCATACTCCGAGGAGAGATGGGTCCGGTCCAGTCATCGGTTCATCACTTTTCTACGATCCTGTGTATGGCGCTATGCCTGCTTGCGTCTATGATGAGTATTTCTCTGGTCAAGATTGGGAAAGATATGTTCGACTTTCTGTGTCCAGTGTTGCACACTTGCATGCTGTAGAGTCCTTTGGAGTCCCCCACGATCCTGTGCTTGGGAGTGGTGCAACTCTGTCAGGGCCGCGATCCAGAAGCTCAGTCCTCGAAGACTTACCCAGTGTTGACAACCTAATCCGTCGTTGGACCAACGTCTACAAACCACGACGTGAACGTGGAACCGGGAACCACCTCTCCTAACCTTCAAGCCATTGTTGAATAACTATAGACTATCATTTAATAGACTGGGATTGTATACTGGAAGGAAAAGATGTTTACGTAATTCGAAGGTCTTTCAGTCTTGGTTGTTGTATCTAGAGAGCAGATTATATTGCGATTTGAGTGACAGCTTTTCTACAATCAAATCAGCCTGAGCAGTACGGGTCAGAATGATCGATGACATGTATGACAGTTGAGCTATGCTCCGCCATACCTGATTTTCATACCAGCAAAACCATGACACAGTGGAAGGAACAAGCCTAGATAGAGTCCCTCGTCACAGCCCCTTTGGATTCTCACGAAATCCTTTCGTAATGGTACAGTCATCTTGCAGGGAATCGACAAATTGTCACATTTTCACAGGTCAAGGCCAAAGGAAATACGATGCTTGAACGTCGCGAGACGACAAAGCACTTTTGTGCATGCACAAATACTTGGTGATCCTTGTCATAAATCCTCCAAAGCGCCACGCGGAGATAGCGGCTGGGATGCCAATGTCATGACCTCGGCAGGTACGACATGCAACCTCAACTCTTAGAAACTCGAACAATTGAGGATAGCAGATATATTTCATCTTTCATCACTACCAGCTTTGTCTTGTTGGATTTGTGATTCAGTCAACGACAGCATATTCCGCTAGCGCGTAAACAAGGCATTGAACTGCTCATACATGCACTTGACCGGATCACTTTGTAGCTACCTTTGATCCCGTACGGAGAAGTGGGAAACGCGTCGTCCGCCTATGTGCATTGTTGTCTGAGAGAAATCATCTCGAACGCCACACAAGAGATAGCAACAGAACATGGACAATTCAACAAACTACGGCAGTGTCGCCGAGAAAGGCGAACTGACCTGCACCCCTCCACCCAAGGAAACAGGACTGCTTCCCCATCTCGCAGACTGGATGTGTTTCCTCCCAGATGCCGTTCCAATCTCCTCACTCTCCATCCCGGGAACTCACGATAGCGCTGCCTTCATGAGTACATGGCCCTTTGTATCGACCCAAACACTAACCACCGCACAACAATTGGACGCTGGAATACGATACTTTGACCTTCGCTGCGGTATCGTCAAGGATGAAATTCAAATGGTACATGGCAGAGCAGTGCTGGGTCTGAAACTCGCTGATCTGCTTATGGATATGTATCTGTTCCTGCTGAAACATCCCAAGGAAGCGATCATCGTTCAGTTGAAGCAAGATCGCAAGGATGAAGCTTCCACGCGGCCATTCTCCCAATTGGTTCTGGACCTCATGCACCAACAGTTCAAGTATTGGCGTCTGGAAACCACAACACCCACTCTAGGCGAGCTACGCGGACGCATTCAATTACTTCGGCGCTTCACGACGTTCCAGCATCAGCGATACACAACCGGTATCGATCTTTCTCGATGGCCAGATAACCCGCCATTGCCATTCACGATTCGCACACTCGTGGGCGTCCACCTCACAATTCAAGACCACTATTCCTCCACCACGCCCGAGAGTCTACCCAACCTCATAGCGAAGAAAGGCGGCGATGTAGCGTCCATGCTCATGCGTGCCTCCCGCGACACGGAACCCTGGCATTGGTACATCAACTTCAGCTCGGCATACGAGTTCAACGTCTACTACCAAATCCCACCCAAGGATATCGCTGTTGGTGGATACTCCGTGTTCAGATGGGTCGAGGGGATAAATCCGCGGCTTTGCAACTTCCTCAAGGCTAGACTGGCGGATGTGGACGAACCTCAGCGATTTGGAGTTGTGGTTATGGATTTTGTGGAGAAGCCGGCGACTGATCTTGTAAAGACTGTTATCGAGGCCAACTTTGTGGTGCCGATGAAGAGGAGAGGGGGTATGGCTGGTAGAAAGACAGAGACGGCTGTATTAGGCTTGGTGATGCTTCTGGTACTCGTGGCTTGGGCGCTGTTTGAGTGGCACAGCGGTCGTTTTAACCAAGTCGATGGACGCTGGTGTCCAATGTTCTTGCATGCTTGCTCCTTAGGACCTCCTTACGAGGCGATTGCTTGATTCTCGCTGGTAAATCATGCATGGAACTGTATACAATGAATGCAAGACTTATGTGGTTGGAGGGCCCTGACTGAACGGGCTATGGACGTTACTGCCAACATTGTATGGGCTGGGTTGATCGCTTGCAGCAGGGTACGGGCTAGGCTGGTTGCTGCCATACGGGCTGGCCTGTTTGCTTACAAGATTGTACGAGGAGCGCTGCACATTCCGAGGATCAGCGCTGGTATGGTTGAAAGATGACCTGTGCGAGAGATGCATGCCATCCAACTGACCATCGACGTTCTGGTCGTCAAAGCGCGGTGTCGACGTGTCTTGTATCTGCCGAACATTCTCTATCACCCTTTCTTTGGGCCAGCGAACAAACTCTGCCCACTCATCTCCGAGAATGGTCTCGATTCTTGCGATGAGAACTTCAGCCAAACCTCTAAGGTGCCACGGGCGTGGATTCATGCTCGTCAAAACAGCCCAATATGCCAGAATGATAAGAGCAATGGGCCTTCGCTCTACCAGCATATCCTTGAAGACGGCAGGTAGCTTTACGACCCACTGATCGATGAGATAGGCAGATGTTGGGTAATCTTCCGGATGTTGTGTCAAAGCCCCGATGAATGTAAAGATGTCTTCAGTCGTCTCCAGGCAGCATTTCCGTCGTTCTGCATCTTCTTGGCCGAAAGCAAGTGATCGCACCATTGGATATGTTGGATAGTCAGAGGCAAGGGTGGCACGAATCCGATCCTCGTGGGACTCGTCACCTGTCTCGACACGAAAGAGTTTCTTGAGCCAAGTTTGGCGCAAATAAGGCCAGTACGGCGAGACTACAATCTTGATGCCTCGACTCAACTGGAAGCATTCGACAATCTTGTCAATTGGATCGGTATCATCATGGTGAGGATTGAGCATGTACTCAGCCAAGCCAAAAGCGGAGGTGTGGCTAGAGAAGAGCAGGGCAGCTAGGGAATCTTCCTGGCGCAGGTTTGCAATGACAGGCTGAACATGCTGGATGGCGATGCCTTGTAGATAGCAGGCTCTATCGAATAGTTCTGATCGAGAAGCATTTTTGGAGTACAAATGCAGAGCCGAGAGAGCCATAAAGTTGTGCGTCAGAAAATCATAGGACAGACTATGTTCCAAGACTTTTTCGAAGACGTCGCTTCGGACTTTGGGATCCGGGACCAGAGAAGCACTGTAGTGATAGACGAAATGATGGTATAGCTCCAAATCTAGCATAAATAGGGGCTGGGTTGAAGGCTGAATGATTGGCGGACTGCTGATTGGAGTTGACAGGTCGGTTGGCAGAGAAGGGCGTGGACTGGCCGATGGTTGGGCAAAGCTGCAGGCAATGTCCAGACGTTGGCAGTTTCCACATTGTGGTTTGACTTCATTACACTTTTCCCGTAAGTACTTTTGACACTTGTTTACTCGGCAGCTGTCATGAGATTCTCACTTTGATGTGTCGTGTCTTGCACTGTGAGCAGCCATTACGGGATTTGCGATGAGATCGTCTCATCGAAGCCGTTTTCGTATCCAGGATGGGTGTGAGTATTGGCTTGTTCGCGATGTGCGACAAAGAGGGCCGTCGTATACAGCGAGTTCGGCAGACGGTACTCAAGTGCAAGTAGACTTCTGAAGTAAAGACTAGACACGGACTGGGTCTCTCGAGAGACGTGGATGGTTGGTGTAGATGCGAGGTCGGATACGGCACGAATACGGCGCATGCAAAAGGTGACGCCCAAAAGTCAATGCCAAGGCCAGTGCTCGATTTGGGTTTTGGCCCTGATGCAACAAGAAGATTCCCATCATCTTACCACAAATACACACATCAGAGATGGCATCCATTGACGCTTCCTCGGCAGACCAGCCGCGTCACCAACTACCCTTTCCGTTCTCGAATCAGGACGACTCGACTCCGCCTCCGCTTCTCCTCACCCAAGGCGCCGAAGCTCTGGTCTATCGCACAACCTTCCTCACACCTTCAACAGCTTGTGCACTCAAATATCGACCGGCGAAGCCATGGAGACATCGTACTCTGGACATGCGATTGACTCGTCAACGTATCCTTGCCGAAGCTAGGGTGCTGACCCGCTGTCGACGCGAGGGTGTCACAGTACCTGCTGTATTAGGACTTGACTGGGAGCGCGGTTGGCTGGCTCAAGAGTGGATCTATGGCAACACTGTCCGCAGAGTCCTGGACTGGGTGCACAGAGAGAGTGGTCTGTCGAGCAGTGAGAAAGAGCATCAAGTACACCAGCTCTTGCAAAGAATCGGCAGCGCCCTTGGCCGTCTCCACGAAAGAGGCCTGGTCCATGGCGACCTGACCACTAGCAACTTGATGCTGCGACCCGCCGAGAGCGACATCACTGAAGAGGACAAGCAAGTCGGAAAAGCCGTTCGCATCGCCAATACGGATGGAGAAGTCGTCCTTATCGACTTTGGTCTTGCACAGCAGACGGTACAAGAGGAGGACAAGGCGGTTGATCTATACGTGCTTGAACGAGCTTTCGCTTCGACACATCCCGAAGTAGAGCACGAGTTTGGTCATCTGCTGCAAGCCTACGGTGAGAGTCACAAGGGCGCCAAAACGGTGCTCAAGAGACTGGAAGATGTGCGCATGAGAGGAAGAAAGAAGAGCATGCTGGGTTGATCTGCGCCCTAACTACTCTCTTTGATCACCTGCTCCAACGTCTTGACATACTCGTCGACTTCTTTGCAGCCTTCGAGCGTAAAGTCGCGTCTCTTGCCTTCAAACACCACATACGGCACAGCATCCACTCCGTTGCCTGCCTGCTCTCGGATCAACATTTTGACGTCCATCAATCCCTCATCTTCATCTTCGGCCATCTTCTTCGCTTCTGTCTCGGCGAGCCCCGCTTCGGTCAATGCTCGTACCAAAGTCTCTTGGGAACTAGGATGTTGCTCCTCCTCGAAGTACTGCTTGTATAAGCTGTCGACCACTTTCTCCGCTGCATCAAGTCCTTTGGTCTCTTGCACGAGCTGAATGACGCGATGTGCTTGGAGCGTGTTGCCAACTCTTCCACCAAACTTGTACGCAATACCCTCTGCCTTGCCGTATGCTGTCATGAGCACCACATACTTGCGCATGTGCTCTTCGTCTCCATTGAATCTGGCGTCGCGATACCAACTGTATTTGTCTTCGCCTTCTTGAGGCGCATTCGGATATAGCTGGTACGGGAGGTATTTGATCGCAAACGTCACTCCTGGCTCAGTGGATCGGACTTGGGCAAGCGCCTTCGCGAGTCGCCTCCTGGCGAGATAGGTCCTGCTATTGCGTCAGATGTGTCGAGGAATAGGTGGAGCGGACGAACATACCATGGACAGATGGTGTCTAGTGTGAAGGATATCTGAGACTCGTAACCCATGATGACGACAATTGCACAAGGCTGGTCTTTGAACGACGCCGACTCGTGCTATACTGTAACAATTTCTAAAGAGCCGACAAGGTATGGGAGTTGGCAGAGTGAGCGGGCAGCCGTTTTAAATGCCAGCCCCTCCAACGACCCCGCCATCGGCATCATGCTTGGCATCAAATGGCAACCTCAATTCGAGCCCTGCTCCATCCCGTCTCCTGACCACGTACCTACTGAACCTTCATACACCCTATTGGGGCCGCATCAACACCAGCATTCCACAATTGTCCCCATGATGAAGAATTTGATAGGCTTCGGCAACCATGTGAAGGCAACCGTTACACAATTCAACGCCCGCGTTGACGTTTCCCAGCCTGCAGCCTTCAAAACGGTCACTGACGATAGAAGATATCGTAAGTAGAGATTTTTCAGTGTGCTATATAAGATCAAGATCGCAGGATGCAGGTACGTTTCTTCTCATCTTCTTGTATACCTGAACAGCGCGCCGCCATACACAGCGACATTTTACCAGTCCCTATTATCGTAATCACCTATCAAGTACTCGGTCAGAGATCAAGTATCATCGTCGACCATTCTCGGATATACCACAAGTCAGACTTGATCTGATCTTACTCATCTCGTTTCTACCTCCCCTTCAACCGGTATGAAGGCAACACTCAGCCTTGTCCTGGCTACTGCGGCTTTCAGTACTGCTCAAGTCATCAAGAATGGCAATGGAACCTACACATGCGCTCTTGACAACGGGGCGTACTGTGTATCAGCCTCTCTTGAGAGCAATATGATCATTCGTTGCACCAACGGCATTGGCTATGCCAGCAACTGCGATGAACGGCTGGCCGACAAAGCTCCTCTAGGCTCGTCATACTCTCCCTGCTGGCAGGTATCCCCTCGTTCTGGTAACGCTCAATGCTCAAAGAATGGCATCATCTACCCGGACGGCAACAACACAACGCCATACCCGGTTCCGAACTACCAGACGATCAGTGCCAGTATCTCTAGCGCTGCTACAGCAACCACTGAAGCTTCGAGATTCGCGTACCTCGCCAACTTCACCACGAGCACGACTACCTCTACCTCGACAAATACGCACACCACGACTGTCTACATCTCGGCTGTTCCTCAGGGTACTTATGCAAACTCATCGTCTCCGTACTACAACAACGCAACCTCTGGCGGCAGTATTGCGAATGCAGTCGCTGCTACTTCAGCGGCATCAGTCCCGTATCTGCCATACTTCCCGGCTCCTATCATACCCACTTCTACGCAATACACAACCGACATCGTCTACAGCTACACGACCGTATGTCCTGCTGGTGTAACTATCACCGACTCTGCAGGCTCAGAAGTGGTGTTGCCAACTCCCTCAACCATCACTGTGACAACCACGTCTCTCAGTACTATCACAGCCACTGCCATTGTTTCTTTACCTTCGCCCGTTTTCGCATTTGACGTTTCAACTACCTCGTCATCCATCGAATATGCTCCTATCGAAACGGCTGTCGCTGCTGCTCCTTATGCCTGGTCAAATGCAACTTGGAGCAATGCCACTACTTTGACTGTCGTGGGCACTGCTGCAACTGTTCCGCTGGCTTCCGCTTCGGCTACAGCTCACGGTCCTACCTGGAACGAGACCATGGTGCCATACACAGGAGCTTCCAGCAAGACTGGCGTCTCTTTCGCTATTGGTCTCATTACTTTAGTGGCTCTGCTCTAAGAACTAGACGCGGATCTTGGAAGGAGAAGCCTGGTTGCTTCTCATAAGGGAGAAACATGAGCTGGATCTCATCTGTTATTATCAAGCGCTGGTCTCGCCGTATTAGTTCATTATATAGAGTATATAGAACGTATCACATGAATGGATTCTCATCACAGTATTCTCTAAATAGACTATGTATCATGTCATATCCGAATTAAAAGAAGTCACATGTGATCGCTCACGGCAGCGGAGATAGACTGAATCTCCAGACGAGGTCGAACGCCTGGCCTGTGCACATTTCCTGCAGCGTCATCGATTTGGGGTTTCGAGTCCGACGCGACTTCCTTCTCGATTGAACCAACATCATAATTTGTCTGACTCTTTTCTTCCAGTTTATTTGACTCCGAGACCTCGTCAGGCATCTTCAGAACTCTGTTGTCGATCGTTTTCTGTCAATCATTCTACGGCCCACTCTACTTGCCACTGTGACTTTCTGTCGCAACTGGCGGTTAAACACACCTGTGCTTCTTCGTTTTCAGAAGCCAACCAAAGCCCTTCTAGCCATGGCTCCCAGAAGAACGCGCGCAAGCGCTGCTGCCGAACTTCAAGTCGAAAGCGGTCAACAAGTCTCGAGTCCTCCCCCAGAACCTGCTGCCAAACGCCAGCCTCTCAAGAAAGCTCCTGCTAAAGTCAAGAATGAAACCAAAGTTGAAGTTTCCAAGAAACCGTTGCCTACGCGCAAGCGTAAGGCTCCTGCACCCAAGGAAGAGTCTCCAGTCTTTGGTGACGAGTTGCCGCACAACCTTGGCTCTCTGCCCACTCCCGATACCGATGATGTTGACGAGGCCAAAGAGGCTTCACCACCGAAAAAGGCCAGACGTGTTGCAAAGGCCAAGCAGGTGAAAGCTGACCCAGAAGAAGTCGATCAACTAGCCAAGAAAGCAGCCGAGATTGCAGACGTCAAGCCTGAGATCAAAGACGAAGCCACTTCCGCAGATGTCAAGACTGACGGCAAGCCCAAGAAGAAGGCCACGAAGGCCAAGAGTCACAAACTTACTCCTGGCGAGACTCCGTATCCTGACTACGCTCATCCTACCTCGGAAGAGTGTTATGAAGTTGAACGCATCCTTGCCAAGAAGCACGGCAAAGTCACGGCACCAAAGTCTATCCCAATGCCCTCACTGGAAGTTACTGGCTGTGGTGAGGTTCCTTCGGTCTTGGATGCCTTGATCAGAACCAGGCTATCTGCTGCGACGACTGGTAAGAACTCGTCCAATGCTTTCAAAGGCCTCGTCAAGACTTTCGGCACTCTCAAGGAGGGTGTTGGCAAAGGCAGTGTTGACTGGAACAAGGTGCGCCTCGCATCTCAGACAGATGTGTTTGAAGCCATCAAGAGCGGAGGTCTTGCCAACAACAAGAGCAAAGACATCAAAGCAATCCTGGACATGGTCTACGAAGAGAACCAAGCTCGTTACGCTGCTTTGAAGAAAGAGAAAGAGACCAAGACCGAGGCTGATGGTCCAGCAGGTTCCGAGAATGAGCCTGCGCAAGAGAAAAATACCGAGATTCAGCGTGTCGAGTCCGGTGTACTTTCTCTCGATCATCTGCATCTGCTCTCTAACGAAGACGCATTCGCTCGTATGGTCCAGTTCCCTGGAATCGGTCCAAAGACAGCCTCATGCGTCTTGCTTTTCTGTCTGCAACGCCCTTCGTTCGCGGTCGATACACATGTCTTCCGCCTTTGTCAATACCTAGGCTGGGTGCCAAAGGAAACGCAAAAGGGTCAGCCTCCTGTCAACCGTGAGACCACTTTCGCTCACTGCGAGGCACGTGTCCCCGATGACCTCAAGTATCCACTGCACCAGCTTCTCATCAAGCATGGCAAGGAATGTCCCAGATGCCGCGCTGCTACGAGCACTAGTAGTGAGCGTTGGGAGGAAGGATGCCCAATTGAGCATCTCGTCTCGAGATATGGCGCCAAGAAGGGAGAAGTGTCACCTGCAGGCAAAGCAGCCCCAAAGACGAAGAGAGCTGCCGCTACCAAGAAAGGCAAGGGCAAGAAGAAGGTCGACAGCGACAGTGAGGAAGCTGAGAGCAGTGACCTCAGCGATGTCGAGGGTGACGACGACTACGAGTAATGGCAACGAACGACTGCACATGTTCTGATGCGACGCCAGACAGCTACGATGGCTCATCGCTGACTGGAGGAGATTTTCATGCATGAAATGTCATGCGATGGCTGGACGGACGATATTCAAAATTTTGCTATCTTTATTGACACGGAACAAAGGGAGCATCTTGCTATCAAAGTATTGCTTGGAGGGACATTGATGAGGGTTGATGTACAAGGATTAGCTAACATGATCTTACGAGGGTATGCTTTTTTGCTTATAACGAATGTATCGAGATAATATTGCTTCCACCAACCGTTCCCGCTGACGAGGACCTATTCCGGGAGGAAGCTGCGAGCGTCGAGAGTGAATGTTCCTCTCTGGCACCTGCCAACGCTTCGAGTCAGCAAACCCTTCCTTCTTCGTCACTTCTTGCTCTGAATCTTCCTCGAGTACCAATACCAACCAAACGTTCAGACTCCTCCGCCACAACACAATCATCGATTCTCACACCTTTCTCAACCCTGCCCCATCATTGTGAAAGACCACAATCTCTGACGGTCTGTATATCTGCCGAACTCAGCAAGCATGAAGAAAGCAATCTTCGATGCCGTCAACGCAGCTGTCACCGCCGCCGTCAAGGATGCAGTCCCAGTCGCTGTAAACAATGCCATCCCTCAAGCTGTCGGCGCTGCAATCTCCGCGTCGATCAACATCAACTTCTCCACCGCCATCGACCAAGCCGCCAAAGAGAGAGTAAAGGAGATCGAACGAATGATGGAGTGTAAACTCGAAAGGATTATCAGAGCCGCAAAACTCGAAGCGAAGGTCCAAGCAGTGCGTTATTTTACAATATCCTTGATCATGTGATTTTTGCAGAAAGGTTGACATGCATGGGTGTTTTGCAGGCACAAGAGATGATCACTGAGCGCGCTTGTGTGATGGCCAATGGGTCCTTTCCATGGCACCGATGGCTTGAGAGTAAGAACGAGGAGGACGGCGAAAAGATTCGGCAATGGAATGCTGAACTCGGTGAAATGCACGAAGAAGAGAGATATGCGAAATGGAAGAAGGAGAGAGATGGAGTACAAACACGAGGCTGGTGAGATGAGCTGAGCGGACGAGAATGGGACTAAGGGATAGTTGCTGGAAGAGTCCACGTTGACGACATACTTACAGAGTGTGCTCTTGCTATAGATACATCACGAACGAGAAATGAGAAATGAGAAACGACCAATTGAAAAGCTTCATTATGGTTGTTATACTACTCGTTTCCATATCTGTATCAGCAAGACTCAGTCGTTGTAGTTACCCACACCACTGCAGTCCTTGTTCCCAGCCGGCAGCCCATACTTCTCATTCAACTCTGCCTCTTGAGACTTTCCGTCAGCAGAGTAGTATGGTCTTTCACCATGAGTAGCCACTCTGACAGCATGTCTACGGTGAGGAGCAAAGCCATAGGTAGCTGAGTGATTCTGTGTCTTCGTGTCAGCACCAGTCCTCAAAAAAACAGGCAGAGGCAAGCAAACTTACGCAGATCCTGTTATCCCAAAACGCAACATCATCCTTGCCCCAATCAAACGAAACATGCAACTCATTAGTCGTCGCCACCAACTCATTGAGATACCCAATGATATGATCAGACTCCAACCTCGGCACGCCCACAATCTTTGTCACAAACCCTGGATTGTAGAAGAGAGATTTCCAACCCGTGACTGGGTGGACGCGGATCAATGGATGCACGGTGGTGACGGGATCGCGTCGCACAGGACGATTGCCGCGGATGCTGTCGGCGGCTTGCATGTCTGCTGTGTGTAGGGCGGAGAGGGACGAGAGGTAGGTTTGCATGGCTGGAGACAAAGAGTCGTAGGCGGCGTATTGGGAGGACCAGAGTGTCGTGCCGCCGCCGCCTGAGGGTGGGCCGCTGAGGAGTTTGAGGGATGTATAGGAGGGGGGTTGGATTTCGTATGTCACCTTTGTTCTCTGTCAGTTCATGCCTATCTTTGAGAAGTGTAGGAGAAAGGAAGGGAGAATACTCACATCACTGTGCCACAAGAAACTCGGCGAAAAGACATGGTTTCTTGCACCTCTGCTTCCCTCTGCAAACACGACATGTACATCCTCCAACCCTTGCTGCTTGGGCACACTGGTAGTGGCATGCCTATGCAACTCTCCAAAATACTTGCCCAGTTCCCTTTGAGCTTGTATATCAAAGTTTTTCTGATTGCGGAAGAACACAACGCCTCTTGTTGCTATGAGTCTCGCAATATCATTCTTTTGTTCTGAGGAAAGGTTTGCGAGGTCGATGCCGGTGATCTCGGTGCCGAGTTTGGGGTTGTAGTCGCGTATGGAGGTTGCGGTGGCGAGGAGGGAGGCGAAGGAAGGAGAACCCAGGAGGCCTTTGTCAGAGTAGGGGTGTTGGACCAAGGGAGCCCATTTTAGGTCTGGGAACGTGGGGAGGAGGTGGTCGTGAGGGTAGTTTTCGTGTGTTTCGGCGATTGTGCGACCGGGTTCGTAGACAAGAGGTTTTGTGGGTGTGACTTGTGCGGATGCTTTGACTTTGATGCTGTCTGTTGCGGGAGTTGCTGATGCAGTCTGCTCTTGAAGATATGGTGCCATCTTTTGCGTTTGTGAATCGAGGTATACCAAGAAACAAAAGAAGTTGATTTTTGGAGAAGAGCAATGTTTGAATGACAGCGAAGACAAGAGGAAATTGGCTTATTATACCTACCAACAACCTTGATGACTCTGAACTTACGACTAATGTAACCACCATTGTGTCTGGAGCAATTGCGTGATGGCCCCATGTTATGGTGGAAGTCCGTGGGTTAGAGACGGTCGGAACAAGAACAAGCATCATTCGGGGCTCTCCGCAAAACATGGACATATTGGGGAATCAGAAACGATTTGCCAGGATCTCGATGACAGGTGCTCAGGCGGTCGGTGAGTCTATCTTGAAACAATCTTTACAAAGATGAAATCGCGTGCTCGAAGGAAGAGACCGTGCTTTGCGTGTGGCCGTTTATCAACTCGCGGGACATGCCTTTCCACGACAACAATTCTGTCTGGCAAGCGAGTGGCTCGAGAGCTCATCATATTACACACCGATTCGCGTCTTCGGCAGTCGATATCATTTTGATGGATGCGATTCGAAGATCGAAAGAAGGAGGAACGAAACCAGGTTGGTGGTCCTTGCTTGCCAAAATCTGGGGTTCTGCCGATGGTGCCATTCTGGATTGGTATGTCGTTCTTTGTTTCCTTCTCGAACATCGAGTCGGTCTATTCACTGTAGCTGCACACGTGAGAGTATTCACAGAGGTTTCATAATTGCTATTTGAGCACGACAAGCGTACATTCTGGTTTGAGTAAACGGCAGATCGAGAGAACAAGAGCTGTTTGGACAGCTGCTTACGGAAGCAGAGTCTTGAGACTGCTTAGAATCTGACAGATCTTCTGCCACCATATCCGACACTCTCTCGAGGATCGTTGCCGATTTTGCCAAGAATCAATTCGTTCACACCCTCCCTGCAGGAACCGACCAGACCTGCAGCGCCCAAGATGCCACTCTCGAAGCCGCGAAGGGTTTCTGCCAGCTCCCGGACATTGTCTGCGCTATTTCCGGCGCGACCTCCTGACCTTTGAGCGGCAAGTTGATGTGCTTGTTGTACGGTGCTGCTTTCGACAACCCGAAGGTGTGCTTCGATTTCTGCGAGATGAGAGGTGTATGTGTCGAGAGTCTGCTGCATAACTTCGGCTTGCTTGCCGAAGTAGCCAACAAGATCGATATCGTATTCGTCGTCGGTCGTTGAGGGTCTGTTGCTTCTTCCATAGTGGTATTGCTGAGGGAGTTGCAAGTTCTCGGCCATGCGAGCAACTCTGATCAGGTCTCCGGCGTCTCTCTGAACCAGTTCCTTTGCGTTCTCAATGGCTGCACCGTCGTTTTCAAGAGCAAGTTCGACCGTCTCGATTTTGTTCTGAATCAGATCGACGTCGGGCTTGATGCTCTCAACATCGTCAGCATGGCGGCCGATCATGCCTTCGCATTGAGTAGCGAAAGATTCTTGTTGTCTGATGAAAGCGTCGATTGACTCGATTTGTTTCTTGAGGTCGTCATGTAGATCGCTGAAGCGTGTGGTCGGGCGGAGGTTTGATATGTCAATCTTGACGCCAGGTTGTGTGTTGGTCTGGGTGTTGCCTTGGCCCATGGTGAGGCTGCCGGCCATGGATCTAGCATTTGAGTTGCCGATGGGGTTCAGTAGGGATGATCCGAAGTTGTTGTTCGAGGGTTGAGCGGTACTGCCTCCACTGGGTGATGTTAGAGAATAGGTCGGTTCGAGGACCTGAGGAAACGCTTACAAGAGACTTGGGGCAGGGTTTGAAGCACCGAACAGATTAGGCTTGTTCTGAGCGGGTTGTTGCGAGCTTCCAAACATGCCGCCGGTGGTTGACGTGTTGTTGTTGGCAGTTGTGTTTCCAAAGAGACCTCCCGACTGTGGTTGGGTGTTCGAGGTGGCGGTTGTGTTGTTGCCGAAGAGGCCTCCGGATTGTTGCTGTGGTTGAGTATTGGATGTGTTCGCTGAGTTGTTGCCGAAAAGGCTAAGAGTGGGTTTGGCAGGTTGAGCGGCAGGGGCAGCAGCACCAAAGAGGCCGCCAGATTGTTGTGGTTGTGATGTAGGGTTGGATTGACCAAAGAGGCCGCCGGACTGCTGGGGTTGCGAAGAAGATGGTGGAGCAGCGCCGAACAAAGAGGACGGCTGGGCTTGCTGGGTGTTGTTGGCGGGAGTGTTACCACCGCTGCAAGGGGGAGGAGCAATAGTTAGCGCGCCTGGAATGAAAGTGATGGCTGATCGGTGTCGCATCTTGAAGGCTGATCGGTGTCGCACAAGAAGAGCCTATCGGGAACGTACAACAGAGAGTTTGCGGCACCAGTGTTCAGACTGAGCGAGTTGGATCTGCCGAAGGCCATGGTTGGAAGTGAAGGCGGGCTAGATGCAGTCAAGCTGCAGTGAAGTTGTTTGCTCGATGCTGTGAGGCTGCGCGCGTCCGCTTCGGATATCCAATATCAGTCGTCGACTTTAGCTCGTGAGGGATCGGCGACAGATCCAGAGATGACTTTATACAGATGTTTCACAACCGAGTTGTTCGGACACGGCGCAGATATGGACGTGTTGCTGCTTTTGAAGATATACAAAGCTCGGGCCAACTTTTTGTGTTGCGCTCGCGACCTGGCTTGAGTTAGGTTGCGACAGGTGCTCCATCTCGCACATCACACTACATTAGACATCATCATGGAAGAAGAAGACGACGATTTCTATGCTCAGAACGGCGATGCCACTGTCAAGAACGAGCAACCAACAAACCAAGACGACCCTAACGAACAACCCGACATCGACCTAGATGATCAAGACGATGACGACGGCGACGACGACGACGACGACGACAGTGACGATAGCGACATTGATATTATCACCGAGCACAAGGAAGGCGCTGCTCCAGAGCCTCCGTACGCTTTCTTGTATCCTCTTATACTGCTACCTTTTCTAACTCACTTCCTCAGGCCAGCTCGTTCGTTCCGCGGCATCAAGCCTGAAGCTCCTGCGCGCACCGCTTCCGTCGATACCGTCCCTACACAGCAGAATCAACAGACTCCTACCGTCAAGACAGAGCCTTCGGCACAAAATAAGAAGCTTGTATCCTTGAAGGACGGTTCCACTTATCCCGAAGTTCGCACCTCGTCAATAGACATCAATGCCACTCCTTCTTGGGATCCTGCTGGAAAGCTCATCACTGAAGTCGATATTGACGCCGATCTCGCCGAACACACAAAACCCTGGCGCTTGCCCGGCACCGATCAGACAGACTTCTTCAACTATGGCTTTGACGAGTTCACCTGGACCCAGTACTGCTTGCGACAGCAGAACATGTCTTCTACAATCAACAACCAAAAAGTCGAGACGAAACAATTCGAGATGATGTTGGCTGGAGGAGGTATGCCTGGTCAAGCTGCACCTGCTGGCCCCCAATCCGCTGCGCCCGGTGGTCCCATGGGCATGGGAATGCCTGGAATGGGCATGCCCGGTATGCCCGACATGAACCCTGAAAACATGGCCGCCTTCGCCAGTGTCTTGCAAAGCCAAGGCATTGACCCTAGTCAGCTCGACTTCAACACGTTTATGCAACACTATCAGCAAGCTTCTATGGGAGGTGGTCAGGGTGGTTATGGTGGTCAGTCTCAGCAATCGAATCAAGGATATGGTGGTCAGCAACAGCAATCCTTCCAGCAGCAAGGTGGCCCAGGCTTCCAGGGAGGTACACCACAGCCTGGTCAACAGGGTCAACAAGCTCAGGGTCAAGGCTTCGACGGATACAGTCAGCAGCAGATCGCAATGATGCAGGGTCAAGGAGGTATCCCGTCAGGTCCCTCCGGTGGTCGTGGACGTGGTAGAGGTCGGAGATGGCAATAGCAACGCGATACCCACGCAAATATGCATCAAAAAGGCGTTCAGGGGATTGGCAAAACCCATGGGAAGTTAGGTATTGGCAGTTGACAGAATATTTATCGACAACTTCTGACACACATCTTGTTATGATTGTTGTTCAGACACTTTAATTCATTTGGACCTCACAACTCATAATCTCATAATCTCGAACACGCTAGACACCCATCTCGCTCTCTCGGACGCGTGCTCTCAGAGGTAAAAACTACTCCTATATATGCCACGCTTTCCCAAGCGGGTCGGCATCTGGAAGCGCAGCGAATATGTCAGGCCTATGCATCGCTAAACAATTTATATTCGCGGCAGGGTCATACCCCATGCAGCCTCACATCTGACCGCCCGGCAGTCAGGTAGCTGCCAGCTCGGAGCTTCCCTTCAAATCCACCCGAGTCAAGCCCGCTTATTAAGTACAAATACGTCACGCGGAAACATGTACCAAACTACCTAATTGACCCAGCCGCCATTCAAAATACCGACATGGCTGGGAACACGCGAGGTCGTTCTACAGATGGTGCCTGGTCTAGATGCCGCATCAAGTGCTGAGCGAGTTAGATGCTACAGTAGTAACCTCGAGAACTCGGTCTGCCCCGCAATATTCAGGTACAAAGGTCATTGTTCCTCGACCACGTCGAGCCTCACTCAAGCTGATTGGTTCCTCGGCCGCTCGAGTGGGTTGTCTGCGGAACGGAAACGGTTCCGAATCATGACTGAACCTTCGATCATCGATTATTGATGACACACTCTAACATGGATGTGGGGTCGAGTTGTTTACCAGGAACGAGCGAGAGGGGAATGCCCAGCTGCTTTATATACCCTCGGCCTACCCGTTACTCTGAGCACGCAAAATCGCGTCATTTCACCACACCAACGCTACTGTACAACTCATGGATTCCAACACTGCTCCAAAGATCATTGACATCCGCCAAGATGGCGGAGGTCTCACGCCGCTGGTGCCTCTGATTCGAGACGGCCTCAATGCCAAAGAAGGACAAGAGAAGAAGCTGCCCACATTGTTGCTGTACAGCGAAGATGGCCTGAAACTATTTGAGAAGATCACATACCTGGAGGAATACTATCCCACGGGCCAGGAAATACAGGTTCTGGAAGCATACGCTGATCGCATTGCCGACCGCATTGCTCTCGAGTCGGACTCCATGCTAGTAGAACTAGGTAGTGGGTATGCACATCCAACATACTACATAATATTGCCGAGTGGTCATTGACCATCACACAGTAATCTCCGGAAAGTCCGTATACTCCTGGACGCTCTCGATCGTAAAGGCAAGAACGTGTCATACTATGCACTAGATGTCTCGGAAGTAGAACTACAACGCACTTTGGCCGAAGTACCACAAGGCACCTTCAAGCATGTGCAATGCCACGGACTGCTTGGAACATATGATGAGGGTCTCGACTGGTTGAAGAAGCCCGAGAATGCTCATCGATCAAAAACAGTCCTGTCTCTGGGCTCAAGCATTGGAAACTTCTCCAGAGATGAGGCTGCGCAGTTCCTCTCTCAGTTCTCGGAGACACTGGATCCCAATGATACGTTACTGTTGGGTGTCGACGCTTGCACCGACGCAGACAAAGTTTACCACGCCTACAACGATCGCGAAGGTCTGACACATGAGTTTATCCTTTGTGGTCTGAAACAAGCAAATAGGCTACTTGGCTACGAGGCCTTCGATGTTAACAAGTGGGAGGTCATTGGACGCTACAACAAGGAGACTGACCGACATGAAGCGTTCGTCTCTCCCAAAGAGGATGTGACCATAGAAGGTGCTCTGATCCGCGCAGGTGAGCAAGTCAGGATTGAGGAGAGCTACAAGTACAATCTAAGCCAGAGTGAGCGACTCTGGTCCGATGCTGGCTTAACAGAGGGTGCCAAGTGGACCAACGCGGACGGTGACTATGGTAAGTCCTTTTGATGATGCATTTCAGTCAGTCGTGGACTTACAAAATACAGCCCTACACTTACTCAACAAACCCAAAGTCCAATATCCTCTGGTTGCTGAACAGTATGCCGCACAGCCTGTCCCCTCTCTCGACGAGTGGAACCAACTCTGGGCTGCTTGGGATGCAGTCACACTGGAGATGATCCCTGAGGAAGATCTACTAGAGAAACCCATCAAGCTGCGCAACGCTTGCATCTTCTATCTCGGCCACATCCCCACCTTCATGGACATCCACCTCACACGTGCAACTCAAGGCAAGCCTACAGAGCCAAGCTCGTACCCCAGCATATTTGAGCGAGGAATTGACCCTGATGTGGATGATCCTGAGCAATGCCATGCGCACAGCGAAATCCCGGACTCATGGCCACCTGCAACCGAAATTCTCGACTTCCAATTGAAAGTACGAATCAGAGTCAACAAGCTGTATGCTTCCGGACAAGCAACCAAAGATCGTACCGTCTCAAGAGCATTGTGGATCTCGTACGAGCATGAGATTATGCATCTGGAGACGCTCTTATACATGCTTGTCCAGAGTGAGAAGACCATGGCTCCTCCCACGACGGTGATGCCCGACTTCCAGGCTCTGGCGACTCAAGCAAGACAAGGTGCTGTTGAAAACCAATGGTTCGATGTTCCAGCTCAGAAGATAGAGATTGGTCTCGAGGACCCGGACGACAACTCTGGTCCTGATCATTTCTTTGGATGGGACAATGAGAAGCCCAAACGCACCGTCCAAGTTCCAGCCTTCAAGGCTCAAGGAAGGCCGATCACCAACGGAGAGTATGTCAAGTACCTCGAAATGAACCATATTGACACCCTCCCTGCATCTTGGCAGACTCTCACCCGCACCAATAGTGCAGAGTCCAATGACACATCGTCAGACTTCCTTCACGGCAAGGCTGTACGTACTGTGTACGGACCAATCTCTTTAAAGCTGGCACTGGACTGGCCTGTCTGCGCGTCATACGATGAGGTTGCAGGCTGCGCCCGCTGGATGGGTGGCCGCATTCCGAGTATGGAAGAAGCTCGAAGCATCTACCACTATGTCCACGAAACAAAGGCCAAAGCACACGAGTCATTAGGAGCCAACATTCCCGCTGTCAACGCGTCAGTATAACCATTTCGTGTACATGAAACTTGACTAACTCGGATGCAGGCATCTTGTCAATGACGGTGTAGAAGAATCGCCACCATCCCAAGACTCATCATCAAGCTCTGCAGGTCCAAACCCGAACGATCTGTTCGTGGACCTGCTGGGAGCTAATGTTGGCTTCCGACACTGGCATCCTATGCCCGTTTCCCAGCACGGCAACAAGCTTGCCGGTCAATCAGAGATGGGCGGTGTTTGGGAATGGACCAGTACAGTGCTGGAAAAACACGAAGGGTTTGAGGCCATGCCCCTCTATCCAGGTTACACAGGTGGGCGTTTCGAGATTCTCATATTAAGTCCGTTCTGACGCGTCTCACAGCCGACTTCTTCGATAGTAAGCACAACGTCGTGCTTGGTGGATCTTGGGCAACGCACCCGCGCATCGCAGGACGCAAGAGCTTGTAAGTGGATCACCGTGCTCTAGTCTGATATGTTCGCTAACGACTTGCAGTGTCAATTGGTACCAGAGAAACTACCCCTTCGTCTGGGCGGGTGCCCGCATGGTCAAGGATGCATAAGCGGGACGCCGCCTATACTCGGAATATGTATCAGCTCTGTAGGTGTTATGTATTCTTTTATGTCCGTAAGAAGTTTTCTTTCGTCGATTATACTCGTATATGCGTTGTTTATCACTCTCCTGCTGCCTAAACACATCACTTTGCGATGCTGGTTGCCGATGACTTTTCCGTACTCCGTTTGTTTCCACCGTTTGCTCTACCGCACCGGGGATTCCAGCACTTCCCACGCAACGACCAAAGATCCGTTCACTGAGTCTGTGACGGACAATCACCGCTTTGAAGAATTTTCTTATCGATCCCCGACTTGCAATCAAGTGTTTGTTTGACTTCCTCACGCTTCGAACTGTCTTGAACATCTCTTTCAGCTCCTTCATCGCCCCTGCGAGAACCACTCGTTTCTGCCAGGAGGCATACTCATCCGCGTACTGATACAGGATATCCTTTGCACTCGACACCATGACCAAAGAATTGCTGCGCTGGGAGGACAGTCCTGGTCTTGGTAAGTCGAGATCTTATTACCGCTTATCTGGACCACAACTGCTGACACCCCAACAGAGCACCACTGCCCAAAGTGCCAGACACCCCTTAACAACCCCAGAGCCAAGCACACCTGCTACTTCAAGCATGTCGAGATCTGTCCATTGTTCCACCAGCATTTCTTCATGATCGGTAAGTCGACATGCTCCGTCCTCTACTTCGCTCAGCGTCATGCATCGCTCTCTTGAACTCCTCAAGCGAAGGTAGCCGTTCAAAACAGCGTGTGTGAGGAAGAACACTGACGTACACAACAAACACAGGCCAAGCTCACAACTGCGACACTTGTCGCCGCAACAACAACGCTCACGATGAGCGCCACCGACAACTTGCTCTCCTCCTCCGCGAACTGGCTCAACTGCAAAAAGACCAAGGCTTTGAATCCATCGTCTTCCCGGCCTTGCCCTTCTTACCAACCAGCACCAGCAAAAGACCCTCTTCCTCCTCCGCTGGTGACGAGGATCCGGAACTAACCCCCAAGCTCAAGAAGCGCGAGCGCAAAAAGGCGAAGAAACGAATCAAAGCACTCAAAGGAGGTGATGCACTCACCACTGCCCAAATCGCTGCCGTAGCAGCTGCTCTCCACCCTGCATCGCGTAACAACAGTACCGCTTCTACTTCTTCTTCGTCGACCAATGCCACCGAGACCAGCGACCACGACACCGATACCCCTGCCACGCCCACCTCGCCAGTCTCGCCATCCTCACCCATCACACCAACCACACCCACCACGCCCTCCTCCCTTTCCACCCTCATGAATGCAAACAAAGCCTTCCACCCAGACGTCGACGGCAAGCTAAACTCTTCACGCATGACGCTCCAAACATCTCTGCTCTCCATCCTCTCCACCAGCTATCCTTCTCTCGAGACCTCTGTTGCCAATGCACTTTGCGCTCTCAACATCCCTGATGTTTCCGACAAGACTCCAAAGTGTATTGTGGAGCTGGTCGAAAAGGTCAAGCAAGCGGTCAAAGAGGATCTGCGGTGTGCAGAGGGAGAGTTGAGGAGATTTCATTTGAGGGAGGCGGCGTGGTATCGGTTTGTTAATAGGAGTGTGTTGGCTTTGAGGGAGGAATGATGCCTGCACTTGCCCTTTTGGAGATTTCTGGATGTTTTCCGGGAAGGAGATATGGATTTTGACGTGGTCTTTGAGTCGAGGTTTGGTCTTGCTCCTTTCCTTTCACACTCGTTTGGGCTTTTGGTTGTTGTTCTCTGGTCTGATCCTTCCCTTTCCTTCGATGTTTTTTTTGTTGGTCCTCCCTTTCTCTTACTTTTGGTTTTGGAACACTCTCCCCTCTTGGTTCTCGCTTCTTCGTTGGACTGGCTCCTTTCAAGGACTTGGCAGTTTTTGCAGTGGTTCTCTTCTTTCACCCTCCTTTATAGACTTTATTTTTCATCTTGGTTTTGGCTGTTACAACCATGCTCGTCACGCTAATGAACTTCTTTCCTTTGGCGTTGTTGGGTTGTTCTGATTTGGGGTGTGGAGTAATAATCAAGAAAGAGTTGAGAAACAAAGTGTCACAACTTCACGATATAGCATAGATGAATTGAATAAAAGGAGGTGTGCTATTTTCTTTGTATTCCTTGCTTGTGCTTCAGGCCGTCTCTCTTACTGTGTTATCGCGAGGTGATGAGCTGTTCGTGTTGGGACGACAAAAGTCACATGGTTTGAACGGGCGTGAGAAACGATGTATTGAGGCAGTAAGGATAGAGTATGCTTATTTGAGAAGAGAAGATAATCGTTCCAAAGCTAGATATGAATACTGCTACTCAGCTCTTGATGCTGTCAAGCAGAGCACACATCTTTTCTGCTGTCCACACTTGCTTTCCGTCTTTCTCTTTCATCATGAGGAGGCTTATCCACGAGCGTGTCAACTTTTCACCGTCTTCAGCGTCTTTCTGGGAGAGCCATGGATACGCATCTGACGTGCTTGCCGCAAACATTGTGCGGATCTCTTTGCGTTCGTCCAGAGCCCTTTGTGCCTGCGAATCCGCGTATCAGTACGTTTCCCTTCTTGTTTTTTCTATCAAGTCGTGAGGAGAAGTGAACATACTGCATCCATATCGGCTTGGAGCTGTGCCTCACGTACAGCCCTATCGATCTTGTTCTGCATAACTTCTTCCATGGCCTTTACTTTGTCTTCGGCAGCTTTGTCAACGGCTGCGGCAAAGTGATCTTCGATAGCATGGACCCTTTCTTGGACGGCTTTGTCGACGGCTTCGTTACAGGCATTCTCGATGGCTCCAGTGACAGCTTTGTCAACGAATGTGCCGACTGTTGTGTTGATGGCGTCGTTGATAGCTTCCTCCATACTTGTCGATGGGTTAGCGAATGCGTATATCCATTCGACATGAGAGCTTACCTAGTAATGGGAAACCACAGCAGTAGTTGTGTGTTGTTTAGTGTGGAGTAGTCTAGTTCGAGGATGGCAAATCTTTGAAGCCGAGTTGGGAGATGTGAACGTTTAGAGATATGGACTTGTTTTCAGAAAGGAGTGACAGACCCTAACTTCCTCACATTCGTCTTGTCGGTCAATATAGATGATCCTCAGTCACAGGGATTACGTTCGTCTTTGCTTCACTTGTGTCTTGACCTGCCAAATTTGTCGGATATAGATGTATCACCACGGCAGTATAGATTACCAGGTAGTGAAAGTGGGTTGGTTCGTGTTGTGCAAGGTAAAGATCACGTATCTTGTATGGGGGTGAGAATAGGAGTGTCAAGGAAAGAATGCTTTCTGAGATACGAATGGAGTGACTTGTGTGATGGGTATAGAAGCTAACGATCGGTCCTTGAGCGCTTTCTTGACCTTGGTAGGTCCCTCGACTCTCATGTCTTCCCTCGGAGAAATGACCTTCCGTATCAATACTTCAGAACAACCTTTGCAACATTCGTTGGAGTAACGACTCTTTGAACTCGACGACACAGAGTCATTGATCATTTTTCCTCTGCTTTGCGTCTTTCAGACTCTTCTTCTTCGATCTTGTTGACCTCCTCCCACCAAACCTCCTGGTTCTTGCTGTCTATAGTACTCTTTTCCGAAAGCCACGTGTGCAGCGCGGAGCCTGATGGTGCAAAGGCGTCGCGCAGTGCAGCTCGCTCAGACATGCTGTCTCCGGCCTGTATCACCCTTGAGTGTCAGTCATCTGTGTGTTTTGAACCTCAAATTGGGGCACCATACCAATCTGATCCAGCATCGGAGTTCTGTTAGTCGCATCACTGTGCGTGACTTCCTTTCCAGGTCCTCTCTGATGTCCTTGACTTGTGCTTCGACGGCGCTGTTGACTTCTGTGGTATAGGCATTTTGCCAGGATCCATTGATGGTGTCCTTGACGAGTGAGATCATTGACTCGGTGATGACCGCGTTGAGTAGCTTGATGTTTGTCGATCCGAAATCGGATGTGTATGGTGATTGCTGCATTTAGTCTTCGTTGATGGTGAATGATGAGGATGCAGTTGTTTGTTATGGTTATGATGAATGATGGGGATGTCAGTTGTTTGATGTTGTTGTGATGGATGAGTTGAAAAGCCGATGAGTCTGGAGACTTGGATATGTAAACAAGAATTCGTCTTTGGGAAGGAATGACAGAGTGTGCTTTCATCACGCTTGGAAATCAGCCTGGTGTGGGCTCCTGTTAGGCTGGCACTAGCTGGATGGCTCTATCGCCACTTCCCCCAAATTCTTTGAATGAATCGTGTCATCCACCATTATCCCTTAATGTCCGACCGACCTCGTTCTCATCCTACGAAGGTCATTTTGCGATGATTGTGTGGGTGCCTCTTGTGTCCTTTCTCGCAACCTGCCTGACTGTCTCGCCTCAACGATACTTCCTCGTCGATGCAAAATAGTACTATTGCCTACAGGTTGAAGCATTCGGAACCCAGTCTCCTTCGCCACTTCCTGCTCGAAAGTTGGAGACTTGGTGAGACCGAATACCTCTTCCCCGCTCACCGCCATATTCTCATCACAAGCACATCCACAGCCAGCTTCGCACTCTGGCTTTTCGTCTTCAGTGAGTGACTCGAGAAGGATGGCAAGGCAAGAGGTGTGTGCCGAGTGACCGCATGCAAGGCATACTTTGTAGAGGCCTGCGATGGGTTGGTAGCAGATGGTGCATGAGAGCAAATGCGACTTTCCGCCACACCTGACGCATTTGCGATCCGCGCCGCGACGTTCTTGATTTTCAACCTCGCCGCAAGACATGCAGCATCTGACAACCTGCGGACCCAAGCCTTCCAACTTCTCTTGATCCTCTTCAACCTCTCCAAGGGTCAAAGTAGATTGCGAGCCACGATCTCTGGACTCGGTCCGAGTGAGAATATTTGACAGTAGCCCATCGAGTTTATCCACCTCATTCTGTTGCATCTGCAACCCCCAGGCACCTAGCATATTTGCATACACTGCTCGATACACAGCAAACTTGAGCGACTGGTGAGCATCAAGGAATGCCACACTTGGGCATCCTTCGTCATCGAACAAGTCTTGATTCTTCAGACTTGTCTTGACTCGAGATTGTGGTGGCAAAGACTCATCGTCTTCAGTTGTGGAACCATCGTAGTCATCCCCAAAGCCTTGTGACACAAAACTTCTACGAATGGTTGCGTCGCTTCTTGTGAATGGTTTGCTCTTGCTCCAGTTCACGCCTGCCTGGGAGGGTATTGACGATGAGAGGTCCTCCCCACTAGTCCTATTGCGAACAGGAGGAGAGCTAGCAAGCTGAAATGGTCGAGCTAGAACAGAAGCAGCGAACGAACTTGTAGCACTCGGTATCGAGGTACGATGGTGCTCCGGTGATGTTGAAAGACTAGGCGCAGCACTAGAACGGTGTGTGCTAGCTCTTGACAGCGGCATTGGAGGTGTATTGTCGTTATAGAAAGGTGTGACAGGCTCACTCGCAATCTGCTCTCGCACATCCTGAGACGATTCTCCTGCGGAGGTGAGTCCCGTTCCTGACTTCCTATGCTTGTTGGATAGATCAGAGACAGAGATGATTGGTTCGTAAAATCCAAGAGCTGCTTCTTTGTCGGAGAAGTAGTTCAAAAGCTGAGCTGCGCAACTCATCGATGGTGGGAGATACTCGTAAGTCGGACGTTGATCATCTGGAGACAGAGATTGTGCGAATATGCACGAGAGCATGCCTAGCATCTGGACGTCTGCCAAACTCTCGAAGTATGCGAATAGTGTATCGATGAGCCATGATCCAGCGAATGGGTGTGTACCCCACTTGATGAGAGCCGTTTCTTGTGGGCGTAAAACAGCTTCCGGTTCATCGAAAGACAAGTCAAGCCCGCTGTCGTTTCTCTGAGAAGGTATGAGCAACCTACGTGCCAGAACCCTGATGTCAGTCTCATGCCTTGGGATAGTGAGCATGCTCACAGGAACTTGCTTCGCTAAGATCAATCCAACAAACTCCCATATGTCAGCCAGATCAGGGGAGCCATTCTGGAGAGCGATCCGAGCGTTGTGCGAGCAAACAGTCTTTCCATCGCCGTAAACAAGGTACTCTGACGCAAGACTTCGCTTTGAAGGCACCAAGCTTTCCACGTCGAGAACCTTGATCCGGACTTTGTGTCTAGCGCCAAAACCTCTCTTGTTGAGTCCATTGCTCGTTGGTATTGAACCTTCTGTGGAATGTGTTCTGAGTCCTTTGAGTCGCGGAAATCGTAGAGAACCACCATGCCAGGCGGATGGTGGCTGGAACCGACGAAGGAACAACTCTGGCTCATCTGACCCGGAAGACGAGCTCGAATTTGAGAACTCGGAGCTGTCATCTGAATCGTCGGCTTCGAATGCGTCCGCACTAGGCTTACTTTTGGCCCTGGCCTCTGTTTGGCCAGGGTGTAGTCTTCCAAAGCCTTCGAAGATCTCTCTGCTGCCACGATTGCGACTTCGCTCATCTACTGCGAACTTGTGCAAGATTGATCGTGGTTCTTCTTTGGGCGGTATGAAGCAGATGAGTTGTCCGTTTGGAGCCCACAGAGCTCCGCAAGTTCTGGGAAGAGGTACGTTGGCATTGGTGCTGAAGATGCCGGATCCTACACTGCCTTCCATGCCCAGTGTTTGCGACTCGCCGCCGCCACCACCAAAGTCACCCAACAATCCATCTTCTTCATCGCTGGAACTTTCAGCCTCTTCGCCAGGTGCTATAACATCATGGCCGCCAAGACCGAGCCAACTGATGCTCTCCTGAAGATCTCTTTCACCAGTCAGATAAGACAGGAAGCCTTCAATGCACCCCCGACGATGTATCAGGTAACCAGTAGCGATTTTGCGTAAGTTACCTTCGAGCTCTGCCACTTTCTTTTCCGTCAAAGCAGAAGCTTTGTCAAGATGGAAGTACGGGACCGACTTTTCGGGATAGTCAGCGGGAAAGTCCATACAAAGCTGCATGAAGGCTAACTTTTCTTCAGCAGCCCATGGTCCATTGAGAGAAATTTTGACGTGTCTATTCGACACGTCTGCTTCATCGACAGTGACTCGAGTAAACTTTTCACCCACATGAATGATCTCGTCACTCAAGTTCTCACGTATGCCATGAGAGTCTGGGTGGTGAAGATCAGCAATGATCGAAAGCCTTCGTGTTGTCAGCCTGTCTGGCGAACTTGGTTTGCGTTTACCAAATTTAACACCTTTCATCCAGGATATGAGACCATTGTCTTGCGGTCTAACATTTCGAGTTTCGATACCTGAATACGTCATCATCTGACCACCGTCTGCCCAACCACCTGCGACGGGAATGGGCACTTTGTTCATGCCAGGACTGGTACCAGGATGAAAGAGTTCGGACCCTTGTGTGGTATTCTGAGCCGCAATTCCGGGATGCGCGGGTCGGTCTCTGAAAGATTTATAAGGAGCGCCGATCCGAGTAAGTTGTGGAGGCTTATCCATGAGCATGCCTTTATGGAATCCGATAGATTGAAGTTGCTTGTCCCCCATACGATGTAGGATCAACTCGCGATCAGCTCCCCACGATACCAGCTGGAAGTCGCGGCCGTCCGAGTACTCATCGATGTTGCCACGTCCTCGCCACAGGAACTCTCTGACTTGATCATCATGTCCAGTAAAGCGGTAGTTGGGCTCTGTGAGAGCAGGCGTGTTGGTCACATTTGATGGGCGGCAGTCATACATGTGCAAGTCATGATCTCCTCTCTGCGGCATAGCCAAAACTCCATCACCGAATGGAGTGTGTCTGGCTCGCCACACTGGGAATGGTGTATTGATGACACGCTCGGGTTCTGTTTCAGAGAAGTCATAGTCCCAGACCTTTATGGTTCGATCAAGCGAGCAAGTAACAACCTTGGTCTCTTCAGTACGGCTCCAATCGATTCCGTAAATTTTCGTTTGATGAGCTTCGATGGTCTTGAGAGGCAATGCACCTTTTCGATCATCCCATATGTGTAGGTACTTATCATGCGACGAGGCGACGATGTGAGTGTTCCGTCGGTTCCACTTGACTTGAGTAGCGCCAGCGAACCAATCGGAAAAGCTAATCACAGGCCTTGCAGATACGCGCAAATCCCAACAATGTACGAATGCATCGACTGCACAGGTAGCGAGGAGGTCAGGTTGCAAGGGAGAAAAATTGATGTCGGTGATGGCTCTTGAGTGCGCATGCAAGGTGTGCTCTATGGGAGCTTGGAGACTGGCGAGCTCGAGGTTCCAGACCAAAGCTCTCTGATTGGAAGTACTGACAACCCAGTAGTATCGTGAAGCAAACGGAGACCATTGTACGTCGGCAGGAGTCCATGGAGTCTGATGACGGAGATGACGCGGAGGAGAGAAGGGTGAATCGAGATCTATAATGTGCAGACCTTGCTGCGATGCCAGAACAACATCACGTCCGCCGGGTGAGATGGAGGCAGAACCTACAGCCTGGTTGACGTGGATACGAAGGTCCTGGTCGAAAGTGGGACTGTCAAAGATAGAAGTGTCCTTTCCGCTTCTCGCGGTGATTGAAGAAGACATTGTGGAAGACATGACTAGTTGGAATGAGGGAGGTCCTCAGCCAGGGTCTCCAATGATCCGGATTTCAATCGCTCCAGACAGCAGCACCGACATGGTCACACCAGGCAAAGCGTTTTGTCGACGAAAGCGAACAAGTTCATGCTGGATGATATCAACTGGCTGGGTGGATGCAAGATGGATCGTGGTAGATGCCAAGGAGGCTTCTCGCGTGTCTGTCAAGGAAGCACGTGATGGAGGGAGGGTCGGAGGGTCGGAGCTTCCAGACTGGGCTGGAGTTGGCCATTGCGATGGCGGGGTGTGATCATCATCGTCAGCCCAGTCGTTCCTTCTGTTCCACACGATTGCGCATACAACTTCACTTTGGGTAGCAGAGGTCCAATCTAGGCAGCACACAACATTTCTTCACCAAGACAAAGCATCCGCTCAACATGGCTCTTCCCAAGCGCATCATCAAGGAGACCGAGCGTCTCATGGCCGAGCCGTATGTCAATCTACACCAGACCAACATAGCCATGTCCTGACAAGCAGTAACAGTGTCCCCGGCATCGAAGCCGTCCCTCACGACGACAACTTGCGCTACTTTGATGTCAAGATCCACGGCCCCTCACAATCTCCCTACGAAGGTATCCATCGCAGCCTCGCCCTACCTGACCGCTCCCGCTCTGACACATGGTACAGGTGGAATCTTCAAGCTCGAACTGTTCCTGCCCGACGACTACCCCATGACTCCTCCCAAGATCCGCTTCCTCACCAAGATTTACCACCCCAACATCGATCGCCTCGGCAGAATCTGCTTGGATGTTTTGAAGAGTACGACTATCGCTTTCCACAACTACACCTTCGATGCTAATGTAATGACTCCAGGCAACTGGTCACCTGCCCTACAGATCCGCACCATCTTGCTTTCAATCCAAGCCCTGCTCGGCGCACCCAACCCCGATGACCCGCTCGCCAACGACGTCGCCCAGAGATGGAAAGAGGACCAGAACGCCGCTATCCAGACTGCCAGAGAGTGGACCCAGCAATATGCCAAGCCTTGATCGTGAGATGACATTCGGATCAGTTCGACAAATCAGTCGGTCTGACTAGCACTTTTCTACCTCGGATAAGTAGCATTGCATGTGTTTCAGCCAATATAGCGGCCTTTATGAGCATGGGGGGCGTTGGCCTGGCGTTTTTCATTCAACCTTCAAATACACCTCGTTTTTCTTTGCAACATTCATTACTTTGTCACTTGTCCTCATCCACATCCCCTCTTCACGATGGTATCAAAATTCAAGGTGGTTTTACCACACGACAAATGACGTTTGAAAGCCCGTCGGGTGATGACACAACGGAGATGCTCATTCTGCATTCTGCTAGCATACTGCTGATCATATCTGTGCGATAGGAGGGAACAGTGGTGGTTTGACAATCGCACGTCGCAAGAAAGCACCACACGAGGTCCACATGTGATCGATATGTGGCACATTCCACTTCCAGCCGCTGGCAGGCTTGAACATATCTTGAAGCGTGTCAGCGTGAGAGTTGAGAGAGTATGCGTAGCTGCGAGAATGACAACGTCATATCTGGGAGCGAGACACAGCAGGTTACATACACTGCCGATCGGTCGTGAGGTCCACATGTGATCGATATGTGGCACATTCCACTTCCAGCCGCTGGCAGGCTTGAACATATCTTGAAGCGTGTCAGCGTGAGAGTTGAGAGAGTATGCGTAGCTGCGAGAATGACAACGTCATATCTGGGAGCGAGACACAGCAGGTTACATACACTGCCGATCGGTCGTGATATGCGTTGATGCTTAATCCTTCACTAGGTTTTGAGTAGTACCAAGAACCCGTTCGGCTAATCCCATGGTGTAGTCGATGTTTATGATCGAGTGAGGCGGCCAAGCCTAGTTCACTCCCCCACAGCAACAACTTCAAATGTAGATATCTATATTACGCATCGAAGCCTTGACTGACCAAGCACAGATGCCTCTCTGGAAAGATCATCCCAAGGAGATCAGGGAAGGCTGGGTGGGCGGCGACTTCCCTTCCCCCTTTGGGCGATGCCCCGCCGCCGCCTGGCCTCCAAAGCCGCAGGACAATCAAGAGCAGAGGCCAAGCTCGAAAAAGAGCAAAAAGAAGGAAGATAAAGAAGATGAATATGTAAGTCTCACTACCTCCCTATAGTCCAGCCTGACTGTCAGATCGTCTGTTCCCAATCGTGCGGAGCTGTATATTCTGCGTATCTGCGCTTTGCAGCGATCTTCCACGATCTATCATTTAGACGATCTATCATTGTTCTGAACCTACAGTGACAAAGACTGACACACGCGCAGAAGAGCAGAAGCTGGATCAAGAGAGCCCTGCGTTTGGGAGAAACTACACCTCCACGGCCAGGCTCGTACGAGTTCGATGCTGAACAAGACGCTCTGCGGAAGCTCAAGGCGGAGTCCAAGAAGACTCACAAGCCCAAAGCGACGGGACGCATCTTTTGTAACCAGAGACAGGAGATGACTAGCCAGGTGGACCAGGAAGGCAGACCAGTAGTGCCAAACTCTGTAGACGCTACTCGTAGACCTGGTCGAAGCACTGCTTGCCGTCGCCCTCGCGCAGAGCCGATAACAAGCCACTGGACAGCGGGATTGGGAGTTGGAGGACCTGGCGCTGGTTCAAGGCCTCCTATAATACAACAGCCGGCTGGGAGAGAAGGGCATCGTCCTGAGGTGGATTCCAGCGGTACCAACAAAGCCCTGGGTGGTGCTCCGACAACCTCTAGAGGCTACCACTACCAGTGACAACTCCACGCGCGTGAGGCGAGAAGGCCTGCAAAGCGCTTTCTGCAAAATTGAGATCTCTCGTGCTAGAAGCGACAATACGAATCGCGCTGCGCCGCTCAGCGTGGGTTGACCGATCAAGACAACCTCCAGCTCCCTTCACGACAACATCATTTCGTAAACATCGCGTTACGCCACTCATCACACGTTTGCTAGCAGATACAATTATCAGCCTGCTCCACGACAACATTATTCGGAAAGGCCACGCTGCGCCACTCATCGCGCGTTGATCAAGACATCCTCCCGCGTCCTTCACGACAGCATCACCTCGACAAGATCACGCTGCGCTGCTCATTGCGCACCTGCCAGTGAAGACAACCTCCAGTCTTCTTCACGACAACATCACTCCAACAATATCGCGCTGCGCCGCTCATCGCGTGTTCATCCAACACAACCAGTCTTCCTTTGATCTTCCCAATACAATACCGCCATCATGTTCCAGATTGGCCCTCCCAGATCAGCCAGCGACTCTGAGCCATCCAGCAGAGACCACTCGCCTAGCAAAGGATCGGAATGGTCCACAACATCTGAACCTCTTACTAAATCATGGACGCCCAAGAAACGCGCAAAGGCCATCTCGTCCAGTGAGGCATCTTGGTCTGATGACAGCGACACACCCGTCAAACCTCGTGCTCCCAGAAGAAAGGGAAACTTCTACGACTCGCCCGACAACGAATCTCGCTCGGCTCTCGACGAAAGATCTATCTTGACTTTCGATGATCTGTCCATCCTCTCGCCATCCGAGTCTAGATCAGGCTCTGGACCCGAAGAAGCTGCTGACCAGCGTCCCGAGAATCCCGAACTTGGGTCTGAGAACGAGCTTGCTCTCGAATTTGAGAATCCTGAAGAGTGGGAAACCCAGCATGACACCAGAGACATCGATCCGCTGAAGTTGGGCAAAATTCCAGTGCGCCCTCTCCCTCTCGTAGGTTGCTCCAACTTGATCTTGCGCTGATTTACCACTGACTGATTATCCTTAGATTGACATACACGCTTCCATCGAATCAACTCGTGAAGCTTGGGGTCTGCCTCCTTTGAGGATGCGTTGCCTGTTCAGTGACCGTCGTCACCCACACCACATCTACGATTGGACCACCAAGAAGCTGAGCTGCTCCGACGAACACGAGCCCGACTGCCAGCTGTGTGGAGCCTCTTGCTGCTCAGTCAAGGCCTACACCAAAGCCATCAACGAAGAACCTCGCCCAAACCCTGTCGTTCCCATGAAGTATCGCGCAGCCTTTCAGCGCGACATTGACGAAATCACCATGAAGCACGAAGTCACCGATCCTTTTGAGAGAATGCTCAGATGCGACATCTGCTATCGCAATGTCTGCCCTGATTGCGCTGGCCGCTGCATGAAGCCCGCCTGTCTCCGTATCATCTGCAAGGAGTGTGGTGATCCTGATCCTTGGTATCACTGCCAGTGCGAGCAGGTGAACGGTGTGGTCAAGATCAGCTATATTTGAGCCGGCCAAACTCGCACTGTTGTTTTGGTGGTTTTGAATACAGCGTACGCTATGAGTATCAAGACATTACAGAGTCGTCACACGACACCTGCTTGCATCGACACAGAGGCTGGCTCCTCCAATCAACTTCTGACATGGCTCAACAACAAAGACGTTGGTTACAGAGGAAGTGATGGCCACTGCACCTTCAGCAGAGCAGAAAGACTCCACTTGGCCCGGGTGGTGAGAATGGGAATGAGATTGACGAACAAAGAGAAGCCAAATGTGGATACGAAGGCTAGAGATGGTTTTAAAAGGTCCGGCACGTTTATACAGTAGAGCAACACAGCAACAAAGCAGTTGCTTGCTGCCTTCTGTTACAGGTACGATACAGAAATAAAAGTTGTTCTCTGATCAGTGCTGTGTCCACCCCAAAGAGATGTGAAAAGGTGTTTGTCAGTAATCATGGCTATCTCCATGAGTCAGACGGTTCCCATCCTTCGTATAACACTGTTGACTATATATCGGAACGGCTTGATGCTGACCGCCCCGTTGTCGGCGATTGCTTCGGCAGCTTCGGCAGAGATGTCCCGAGCGAAGCGCGTCATACAAAGCCCACGCGACTTGGTTTGCAAGCCGATAAGAGAAACACCATTGTTCTTTCCGGACAACACAACACGCGGGACTGAAGAGAGGAAAAGAGGAGGATTGAACGACAAACAGTTTGCTTGCTGCCGCTACTCACACAGTCACATGCAGAACAACAGTGACGCCCACCTCAAAACCACACGCCGACCGCTAGGAAGCAATGCCTATGGCTGCCGAAGCCGGCGCATCATGCTCGACTCTCAAGCCTGAGATAATGAGCCCCACACCGTCAACAACGACGACACCAAGCACAACACAGTGGAACACACGCAACCTGGGTCTGCGACTCGGCGCCGACGTAGCCTCTGCCGCAACAGCAGGAATCCTCGTCGCTCCCATCATCACCGCAATCGACAAGGCCATTATTGAAAATGCTTCGGGCAGACAAACACTAGGACTCTCGTTACGAGACTCCCTGACTACCTTCTTGACACGCCCACACCAGTTTATCGTTTCCAAGCCATTTGCTTTGATCTTTGCATTGTATGCCGGCACCTACGTTACTGCAAACTTGCTTGATACCAGTGCAAGCACCGTCAAAGGAAAGCCTGCTACCACCACAACTTCTGGTCCTGCCAAATTCATCGCTACCTCTTCTGCAAACCTGAGTTTGTGTTTATACAAGGACAGCAGGTTTGCGAAACTCTTCGGCGCTGCTACATCCACTCTTCGTGCCATCCCTGGACCCAGCTACGCACTTTTCGCAATCAGAGACTGCTTGACCGTCTTTGCTTCCTTCAACGTACCGCCATTGATCGCACCATATATGCCTTTGAGTCAAGGTATGCAGCAACACATTTCCACAGCATCGGCAGCACAGTTCGTAGCGCCTGCTGCTGTGCAATTGATCTCTACGCCTTTGCATCTGCTGGGCTTGGACCTGTACAACAGAGATGGAAACCTGGGATGGAGAGAAAGAGTGAGTAAGGTCAGGATGGACTGGTTGAAGAGTTCATTTGCGCGGATGGCGAGGATTGTGCCTGCGTTTGGAGTTGGTGGTGTGGTTAACACGGGCGTGAGAAGGAGTTTGATGAAGAGGTTGGAGTAAGTGCTGACTACACCTCTTGTGGTTATGAGATGATGAACTGGTAATGCTTGCTTTTGCTGTTCCTTGGGCGTTGTTTCCTTTGCTCTTTCCGCATTGCTGGTTGCTTCTTGCTTTTGCGAGCGTGTTTCTGTTTTGATGGGTGCATGGCGTTTAGAGAATGACTTTTTCCCTATAATTTTCCCTTGCATGCAACTTCTCTAGATCGCACAGGATACAAATCATACACTCTAGCTCCTCCTCGTCTCTGCCCTGAGAACCATCATCAATCAACCCAACTCAATACTCTGTTTACACAGCAGCCAAAGCAGTAGCAACACAATACTCGCCATCGTGCGAGATGCTCAACTTGACAATCTGCCCCTGCAGACTGTCCCAGTCATCTTCTCGCCGTTCTCGCCCCTGACTCTGTATGACTTCTTCTTCGAGACGTTGTCGTCTGCTGTCAATTTGAGTCCTTGTGTCTTTGGCGTCTGCTTCTGATGTCAGAGTTGAGGACGACGGTGCTGAAGTAGTAGAAGTTTCTTCGTCTTGTTGGAGGATTTCGTGGATGACGGATAGATCGAGGATTCCGGATTTGGAGAGGATGGGAGGGTTGGTTGTGGTGGTGGTAATAGCAGCAGCCGCAGGTTGTGCTGGAGAGGACTTTTGGTCTTGCCGCAGAGACATGGCTCTCTTCGCCATCTCCAAACCACGCGCTGTAGCTCGATTCAAATTCGTTTGCTTGATGATGCGCAGCCGATTGCTTGGAACCACAGCAGGAGCAGCAGTAACCTCTTCTCCCCGTTGTCGCAGCGTTTTCAACTCCTCACGCAACCCCCACCGCCTCACTAACTCCTCATAAACCTCTTTGGCAGAAGCATGCTTTACACCTTTGATCTCATCCAACACTAGCCCCAAGGGTTGTCTGCTTTTCCCTACACTCTGCACTCTAACATCTCTGAGCATCAATCTCCTCTCTGCCGCGAAAGCTTTGATCACGGCTTCTTTGGCAGCCCATCTGCCGCCAATATACCTCGCTGCCTCATCCGCTACAGTCGCATCCCAATACCCTTGCTGTGGTAATGACGCAGCAGCGTCTGAGGTAGGAGAAGAAGAAGGTCGGAACCGGCGCCAAAACATACGTTGCTCGGCTGGCAAGAAGAACTTGTCGAAGAGTTTGAATAAAGGGTCATGAGATGAAGTTGCTGTGGCAGTCGAGGCAGAGTCTTGGTGGATGGGCAAGTATTTTTGGAAGCGGATGTAGTGGCATATATCCGTGCCTATACTGAGTGCTTGTGGGAAAGGTCGAGGTGGCATTTTATATTACTTCTGGTGTGTCGTACTAGATATAAGAGTGTGTTTTGGTGTTGTCCAATTGGAAGAAAGTTTTGTTGACGCAAGAATCCTGGTTGTCGTTCCTGTCTAGAACTCGTGGGTGGTTTTGTATCTCCAGTTGATTGCTAGTCGTCGACGGATGTTTCTTGAATATCTGTTCATGCCGTGAAGTTTTGAGGAGGACATGGATGGTCACGAATTGGAGTGGAGAAGTCCTCCAAGAACGGAGCGTCCCGAAAGCGCCGATCTTTCATGCAGCATTATCAGTCGAACACTTTTACAAGACACAAAACATGCAAAGGATGGAACATATGTACATTGAACAGGAAAGGTGCTTATGCTATATCACTTTTACCTAGAAGCTCAAAAGATCGCCGTTGCCATTTCCCACAGTAGGCTGATAGACTTGCTCTGGATGATTCTGGTTCACAACAAACATCGTTCCTGGTCCACCTACTGGTGATGCATAGCCATCGTCATTCAGGCCCATGCTTGCCATTTGTTGGCTACCGACAGTCGAGAAATACATGTCCGCTGCGTCGACAGCTGCTGCAAGGTCGCCGTTAGCAGCATGTGCATCGCCATTTTGTCGCTGCTGTGCCCCAGTCATCGAAGTCATCTCTGTCCAGTGCTTTTGTGCGTCCAACATGGCCTGGTGGCTAGGTAATCTGTGTTTCTGCAACGCAGGGCTCTCTGGTACGATGCGTGGACGAGCGGAACGGAAGACAGACTTTATGGGCTTGAGGTAAATGGTCGCGAGCGAGCCTACCACCAAGCACATTTCTTGCAGTGTGAATGGATCCAACTTTTCTGTTTCTGCGGTAATCGGGGGCTTCTCTCCCATCACAACTTGCTTTGCCGCTACTGGGTCAGAAGAGAGTAGTCGCCAGTACATGTAACCTCTGTCGCGGAGATCGGGATTGTCCGTCTCCTCAGTAGCCCACTTCAAGACCTTCGGCACGAGTTCTTGTCCCTTCTTAGGTCTTTGAATGAACAGCTTGACAGTCGCTGTCAGAAGAGCCAACTGCACCTCATGCGGCTCGTCTGCGAAGGTGTACAGGAAGTCGTCTAGGAGGACATCACTGTTGTCGATTCTGTCGGCGTATTGTCCAATGATCCAGATCATGGCAGCCTTTGCCTCGGGCTCGTCCAAAGAATCCAGATTCTCACATAACGTGCTGATAATCGACTCGTATTGGTTGGGGTACTTGCGGAAGATGTTACGAATCACTACAGTCGCTTCTTGCACGATATATGAAACCTTGGTTGCGACAAGCTCCAGGAGAGTGTTGATGCAAAGTCTTGCAGCAGGTTCGATCTTGATGGCCAGTTTTCCGATAGCGCGGACAGATTTTCGTACGAAGTGGATATCAATTTCGGTTGCGTATTCTCTCAGCTCGTTCAGAACTTCCTTGATATTGTCCTGGGTTGCGAGCATGAAGATGAGTTCGAGCTTGGTAACTTTGACGTAGATGGGGTCGTTGTACTTGCAGAAGAAGACACGGATGTCATTCTTCAGAATGTCCGGTCTCCTTTGCAAGATCAGAAGTACATTTCGCAAAGCCAGATATTGAATTTCGTGTCCCTTGGAGAGCAATGTGACCAGAGGCGGAGAAAGCTTGTTCATCAAAGCTGTAATGGTTTTTTCGTCTGCAATGTAGTTCATGAGGTAGAGGATAAGGCGGATGCAACCAAGAACGACGGCAGAATTCGTGTGAGAAAGGCGAGGGGTGATGCGCTCGGCCAACATAGATGCCTGGCCAGAGTCTTGGGGAACGAAGTTCATGAGAGCTTCGAGAATATATGTTTGATTCCACTCGGAGGTTTCTGCCAGAATGGAAGCAATCTTGGAGGCACTGTTGTAGTCAATGGTGAGTTTAATGGACTCGCTCCTCTCCCAGATGTCGGTCAGAGAGGCCAGGGCACTCGAGACAACCGTAGGATTCTCGTCTCTCAGCATATTGTTCAGTCCAGTGATTAGATCCGAGTTCTCGACCAAGGTCTTGTCGTGATCGTAGAGTTTGGCAACACAGAAACAAGCAGTTTTGCGCACGTAGGGATCGGCGTCTCTCAATAGATGCTTCGTAGGTGTAACGGCGGCTTCGACAAATTCGCGGACGTGGATGTATGACATTGTTCGTAAGGCGAGGGCTCGTACCAGAGGGTTCGTATCTTCCATGTCCTGAAATTGATCAGCTAGAGCGTCAAGGGATTCGGTCAATTCAACAGACCTGAACAAGATGAGGCAGAGCTTTGAGAGCAATCTCAGGCTTTATCCTGGCGTAGTGGACGAGGTATAGGAAACACATCTTCTTGATTTCCAGACTCGCGAGACCCATGACTTGGACAACGTCGGGGAAGAGGGCGATCATGTCGTTGTTGCTCATGGTCATGTTTGCCACAATTTTCTTGAGGGCAATCTTCTTTCCTAGGTGACCCTTGTCCTTCTTTCCTCCGACGGCCTGCAACTCCTGTCGCAGTTCGGCGACTTTGCCCTGTGGATTGCGAAAGACTGGTAAGCCTTGATCATAGAGGAACAGTGGAGCGAACATGGCGGAGAGTTATTCGAATGTTAGGACGACTCACTCTAGCAAAGAGTTTCGCATCTTGGTTTCCTGCACTCATGGCGACTCTATGATAACAGGAAGGTCAAGTAGACCAATCCCCAGCGTCCGTTGGTGTGCCCCTCTTCTTGGTATCACTCGAGTTCCGTGTCGCGTGACAAGTGGTGCGAAGGCCAGTCGTCCGGGTTGACTGAGTACAGTAAAAGGACGTGAAAGCGGTCCGGGAAGCGAATGTGAAGACAGATTGGAAGGTGCAAGGAAGGTGCAAGGAAGGTGCTCATCAAAGTTGAGGGTCAGGGAGTCGCGAAACTGGGGAAGGCGGGCGGCGCGCCGGAACTCGACTCAGCATCGCTCCTGCCTTTCGAAGCTCAACTTTCATAATCTCACGACGCATCAGATCGATCACTCTCGGCATCTACACAAGACATGGCCGTTCCTCTCCCGCCGCAATGGGTCGTTGACCTAAACGCTCCTCCCTCTGCCAAACCCAAGACGTCGACTATTGCCGACCCACCAGGCTACACTGCCCCGACCACCGTCACAACCTCAAAGGTCCGACTATCTACTTTCTGCCGCCCTCTACTCAACTAACACCATCCAGTCCAAGTCGTCCAAGAATGCCGTCGCCCAGACATCTGCTCGTAAAGCTCCTACGACCGAAGAGATGGACACTTTGAAGCTCAAGAAAGCATGGGAAGTCGCCATTGCTCCAGCCAAGCAGCTGCCCATGAACGCTTTCGGCATGTACATGTCGGGCAACAGTCTCCAGATCTTCAGTATCATGATGGTCTTTATGCTTTTCAAGGGTCCTATCACAGCTCTCATCAACATTCAGAACGTCTTTGCTCGTTTCGAGACCGAAGGCACCCGCGATCGCATGATCATGGTCAAGCTTGCCTATGTTGCATGCAACTTTCTGGCTTTGGCTCTTGGTGTCTGGAAGGTTAATGGTATGGGTCTCTTGCCGTAAGTCCTCTATTGCCTTCTTGTACCACTTCATGTTTTAACTTATCGTCAGTACTACTCGATCCGACTGGCTCGCCTGGGAAACTGCTAGAGAGCCGCTCGCAAGAGCCTATCCCAGCTCAATGTTATGATGCTTCCAAATGTCTTCTGATATCTCAAACTAAAACTACAAATCAAGAACTATATGTCCTGCCGATACTATGCTGCCAGTACGTGCCCTGTACCGGACTTTGATCTGCCACCTGAGATGAAGAAGAGTGTATTATGTACAAAATATACAGAATATGGTCGCTGTGTCCATTATAGCTCCTTATCCTTGACGGCACCAGCCTTGGCCTCTAATTGAAGCAGAGCAGATCGGCCGGTCTCAGGACGACCGTGGACAGCAGCCTCTCCACCGACAGCCGAGAAGGCCTTGTGGAAGACCCACTCGACGGCATGTTCGACGGGCTCGTCGAACATGAAGGGAAGTGCAGGGACTGCGGCAAGACCCAACTATCGTCACAGGTCAGCGGATGTGGATCTGGTCAAAGAAGAAACGAGTACTTACGCCAATCGGGCCCCATGTACGCAGCTTGACGTTCTTGTTGTTCTTCAGGGCTTTGCCAGCATACTTCACGATCGAGTGGATCGTGAAGGCGGGCAGACCCATACTAGCAATACCCTGGAAGATGGCTCTTTGCGCCATGACGGTTCTGTAATCCTCAATGAGAGGAACCTTACCGACAGGGTTGATCGAAGCCACGGTGCCAGGAAGAGCTGCAGCGAGCTTCTCGTTGCTCGTAACACTTGGAGCCTCGGTGGAGTCATCACCATTGAGGACACGCTGGTTGCGGAGGTAGGCCTTGTAGCCCTCGTGCGAGACATCACCAATGAGATATGCCCAAGAGATACCGTACGCGCCCTTGACGAGGTAAGGGTGTGCAATAGGTCTAAAACTCTCTCCAATATCACTAGTATATGCGACGTAGCGGTGAGCCGACATCAAAATGGTACGGACTCTTGTGGCATAAGCAGCGTAACGGACGTTGCTCTCGGTGGATTCTTCAGCGTGACCCTCGTACATGGTCTCCCATAGCTTCTCTTCATTGTCAAGAGTATCTTGTAGGGCGGCAGGGAGTCTCTTGCGAGGAAGAGGTTTCGAGAAGTCAGGTCTAGGTTGATCGGATCGCTCGCGCGGGATGTCCTCAAAATCGAGCGGCTTGGTGCTTTTGTTCTTGTCGTCGGACATGGTGGAGGTGTTGGTGTCGTGTTTGTCGTTGGAGTTAGAGGCCAGAGAGAAGGGGTTAGCACAAATGGATCTTGGAGACATATACCGGTTGTCGCCTAGTGTTTATCTGCCTCCGAGGCTTGGACTCGAGCATGACCTTGAATCGCATCGGTGGCACGTCATAATCAGATCGTCGCATCCGCGCGCCGAGGGTTGTGCAAGGCACAAATTTTATGGAAGGCGCGACCGGAGCTGCCAAGACTGACTTCCGTCGCAGCTGCCCTTGTCGAACTCGTCCTGACATTGAGAGCCCAAACCGCATCGCCCTACTCTTTCCACCCTCCAACCTCGTCAATTCTCTCTCCGTCAATATGGTTGTTATGTACAACATCATGGGCCGCCAGGTCGGCTCCCACCACGTATGCGCCACCCCGACATGACCCCCGAGCTTCCGCAACCACAGATGATTGACAGATTCCATTGACAGCTCGCCCTCGGTATCCTCACCTCCCTCTTCGCCGGTATTGGTTACGCCTCAAGCGGCGGTGCCAAGAAGGCCACTGGTTCCACTCCTCCCATCAACGCTTCATCCAAGGACGAGGCAGACTTCATCCAGTACGTCGCCTCTTTTGTCAAGTCATCTGCATCAGAAAGAGCAAGGAAACCAGGATCTATGAGAGAGCAACGAGCAGGACAGATGCGTTTATACAGTTATTCAGATCACACGCTGACGAGTTTGTCACTCAAACAGGCAGTTCCTCAAGGAGAGCGAGAAGAAGGAGGCCAAGCACTAGATTCTGGACGTCGGGATATCTACTACATCGAAAGTCAGACAGAAAAGCTATGGGAATTACGAGTCAAAGCCATCTCGTGTGTATATATACTCTACGCTGATGTCCCTCTCCACGAGCGTGACAAGCTGGCGCAGGACATGTCATTTGAATTGATGAACCCCGATTCAGAATCATTTGTTGGCTCACCTTGACCATATTTTGCATATGGCATCTCACGCTCTATCGTTCTTCTTTCGCCGACTCCAGCCAATTATTGCCTTGCTCTATGTTCTTTATATCACGATATCACGTGCCCGGCGATACGGTAAGCAACTCCTGCATCTTGCGCCTTCTTTGTTAGGTTTCCTCCTACTCTCAGTCCAGGCTCTGAAATGCTGAGCAACTCTCTCTGAGGCTCAACGGTCCAAGTTATCGTCAACCAGGCCAACTCTGAATTCTTTCTCCCTTTAGCCGATATCCCCGCTATCCCATTTAGGCAAGGACCGTTTCCACGGAACTGTGGTTTATCTAGGTTTCTGACCCCGTCATGTGCTCAGTCGACTATTGGACCAAGCACCCAAGAAACATTGAAGATCTAGGCGCTACTTGGTATTTACATTTATATTTCCTTGACTCTTGGACTGAACCATTCTGATCTTTGTCTCTTCCTCTTCCACCCGAGGTGTACCGAAGTTCTCTTATCTTCCGGACAGAGGACTTGTAATTTGAAAGAAACAGCCAACGCCTGGCAGCTTGACCGGTCCTCCATCTTGGTATCTCTATACACCTTCGCTGACGCGTACACACCACATCACCATCAATATGACCAAAAATCCCGCCCAAGACTACCTCCGCATTCTATTAGACGGCGAAGGCCATGGATATCCACAACAACCACAATACCACAAACCAGGCCAAACGATCAAAGGAACAGCAGTCTACTCGCCGCCCACCGAAGTCAAAGTACACACCATGACAATCCTCTTCAAAGCAACCCTCTACAACGAACTCAAAGACAGCGGTCAAGCTTCGTACGGTTGCGTGCGCACAGGAAACCAGTCCCTGTTTCGCTACGAAAAAACAATACTCCAAGGACCCCATAAAGTATCGCCAAAACCTCATGAGTGGGCATTCGAGTTTGAGGTCCCCGAGAAAATCAAGGTGCCGTTTGTGGCGGACTTGCAACCAGTTCCTCCTAGTTGGAATGTGGTCAGTCTGGCGAGGGTGGTGTATGAGTTGAAATTGTGCGTCAACCCTCATCGCAATACCAATACCATGCAGATTGAACGCGATATCCGTGTATGGCCATTCGAGCATACAGAGCTGCCTCTGCCGACGCTGGAGACGCAACTTCTGATGGAGCCGACGGTGGAGGTGCAGAGGACGATTTATGCGACACAGCGACGACGATCTTCGACATTGAGCTTGACAGGACTCTCGCGCAGACGCTCCTCCACTGTCACCGTACCCACTCTTACTCCCGTGTCTCCCACTACTACAACCAGCAGCAACGCGCTTTCCGGCCCCAGTCTAGCAATTTGCATGCCTTCGTCACTAGGCGCATGGCAACGCTTCGACATCAGCCTCATCTGCCACAACACCAACAACACCTCCACCTCTACCGCACCAATCTACACACTTCAAACCTGCGAGCTTGCTCTCAAAGCCCAAGTCTCCTTCACCACCGCCCGACCCACACCCACAAACACCTCGGACCCAAAACCACCCGCCATCCCCATCGCAAAGTTTAGACTCCTAGGCAAAGGCCTCCAACTGCCATGCACCGCCACGCCCGTAACTGTAAAACGAGACATGGCTCTCATAGACATGACACGAGGCGACGCCTCCCTCTTGGTCCCAGATTTTGGCATCGGCGCCTTCAAACTCGAATATATCATGGAAGCGTCCGTACAAGTATTGGATGTGGCTACAGGAGCGATACTAGAGAGAAAAGCAGAGATGGGGTTGAAAGTGTTGCCAGGTGGATTGGCAGAGTATAGAAGAAGTGAAGACGAGGATGCACCGCCTGGATTTCATGAGGTGGTTGGACCACCGGATTACGAGGATGCGGATGCGGGTATTTGGGCTGAGATGCACAGGACGCCGGCGTATACGGTTGCTGTTTGAGTTTGCTTGGAGTAGTAGGGTGGGTTGAAGGATTGGGCAAAAAGGTTGATTGTAAGACTTGTAGAGGATATTTTGATGAACTTCAGATGCTACTCTGTGGAAAAATCCTTTAAACTGTTATGGACACTGCTCTTGACAACTTCCATGCTTTTTGTGGGAGGCAACGATATTGTCGCTGTTCCTTCCATGTACAACAGATCGATCCAACCCTTTTACGTGTCTTCCAACACCCTGTCCGTAATTACTGGTCATCTCATGTTTATCCTGACCAGCCACAATGATGCCAACTGAATGTGCACGCAGTGAACCCGGTTCGTTCTATCTCTAGTGTTGCTTCTAGGCCCTTTGCTGTACCACAATTGGTTGAGTGTTTGCTCACAAGAAGCGAACCTTGGATTTAGCTTCTTTGATGCCGACATGTGGGTTCGTGAACCATCTTGCCGATGCTCATCAATCAAGACGAGTGGGACTTGCAGGCAGAGCAGCAATATCACTACATCAGATGTCGTTCTGCTTGGAAGAATTGGGTGAACGTAACACCAAGCAGTCGAGTGACCAGGAAACCGGCGAGTTTACAAGCACATGATATGACACCGTGAGAAAGGTAGACGAGCAAGATTTGAAGAATGCAATTGAAAGGAGATGGATATTCAGAACAAAGACTATTGAGAATGAGAAAAGAGAAGAGGGGGTACATATCAAAAGGGGGGAATCTGTAGAAGCAGAATAAAAGGAAAAAGAACACTCTGAACAAATTTGGAAATCAACGCAAAGCAGAAGAACAAAACTAAAACCAAGAGGCAAGCATTCTCGCCGTTCGCCCTTTCCCTTTCTCCACATGTCAACAGTTGCAAAGCAAAGAAACATCACTTTTGTCGTTTTTCATGTCCAAAGAAGAAAAGAGGTTGTCGGCTCCGTTCCCCCATATCGGCACCATTTTCGTCAGTCGGTCGTCAAGAAGAAGCAGGTCGTCGATCGTTGTTGTGACAGGTAAGGAAATGGGGTATATCATGTTCGTGACCTCATGCCACTGTTCGCTCCAGATGCCGCGGTATAATGCAAGACAATAGAAAAGAGGCAAGCACAAGACGCTCGGTGAGTTGGACCAGATGATGCTGATGGTGCCGAGTACTCGCTCGGATACGCGTGGACACGCAGAGGGCTTACCTTCCGTGAGCACTTTGTACAACCAGCATCATTTTTTCGTTCTGCTGAATAGCATCTTCTAGGGTATCGTCGTTCACAAGTGGTGTGTAGTCGCCCGTTCGCTCGCTGCGAACTTCAATATCCAGTTCTGTCTCGTCGGAACGTGGGTCGGCCTCGCCGTACTCTAACCTGCGTCTCTCCAGAATCTTTCGGTAGAGATCATCAAAGTTGAAAGCACCTCGGGGCGGGAGACGCAAGACAACACACGTCTCGCGGTCGAACCACACTTTGACCTTCAAAGCACCACCACTAGTCGTTGCTGAAGAAGTTGTTGCAGTAGACATGGCTGTAATTTGACGCGCGAGAGGAGGAGCAGCATTGTGATTATTGTTCACAGTGGAATCAGTATACTGGGAGGGTGTCCGGTAGTGACCAGGAGGGGCGCGCATGGATCCAGCACCAACGGATGACTGTTGACGTTGATGGGCAGCGAAAGATTGTGCACTGGTCGATTGCCGGGCAGAATTGGTTGAAGCGGCATAGTGGCCGGATGCGTGAGAAGCGGTCGAGTAGCGATCAGTCTTTGCTTCTGCGGCAGAGCGACTGTGCTCGTTGAGGTCGACAACATTCACGTCTACCTCGTAGTCCCCAGGATGAGGGCTGAAGAAGCCACGGACTAGCGTGCTGTTGACGACATGGGAACCAAGGCGCAAGAGCTTATATAGATATTCGTCGAGATTCTCACGACGGCCTTCGGTGATGCGATCCGTCACGAATTGTACCGGGCCGGGCATAAGTGGAAGAGTGCGAGGCTGGCCTGTGTTGCCAGCTTCATCGGGGAAGGCCTTGATGAGGTTGATTTGAAGCTCGTAGAAGTCCTCGTATATGCGCGTCAAGTCCCAATGAGAGCCATCGGCCAGTGTCGCCTCAACAATGAAATGAAACTTCTCGTCAAGGTACATGTAGCGTGGGACCGAGGCGCGCAACGGCGCAAGTGGGTATTGCGAATGCGCCTGCGATGTCACACGCTGCGATACTGTCGACATGTTGCGAGCGTGGCTGCCGTTGCTGAGACTCATGCGATCCAAGGTCGATTGCAAACCTGCCACTGACGCCTGAGAAGCGGCTTGCATGTTGCCAATCTGCCCTAGCGGAATGCTGGTGTTTTTGTAGTCTGCTGCCATCTTCTTCCACTCTTCCACCCTCGGGATCCCAGCTCTTGCGATGGCCTCGGCCGAGTCGATTGTCTTGCCACTGGTGAGGTCCTTGATCTCGACGAAGGATACGGGAATGAGGCCTGGACCGCCCAGTCGCGTGATAGGCTTTGCGACGAACCATTCCGGGTTGGATTGTGCAATGACAATGATCGCTTCTCCTTCGTGGGCCTCGAGCTCGTCGGGGCGCTCGGCCTTGAAATCATATGCGACAATGCCGTAGACAGGGGCACCGCCAGACCTGCCCATGGAAGACTTGCTCATTCTCGAGGGGTTGTGCGAAGCCTTGTCGGCATAACCACTATCGTGCTGAGTGCTGGGTGACGACGCGACCGAAGCGCTGTCGCGCACTGTCTTGCCGACTTGTTCGAAGTAGCTGACAGGCACCAAGCCGCGCGAGTTGTGGAGCGGATTGCAGGCCTCGTACCACTCGGTGTCGTCTTCGCGCCCAGTAACGTGGAGGAAGTCGCCAGAAGCGAACGACAAGAAGCGCACAGTGGGGTTGTCGGTTGGAGCGTCCCAGTCGTACAGAGCCTTGATGACCTTCTTTGGGGGAATTATCGCAGTTGGATCTTTGATTTGTTGTATCGAGGAAGAGGATCCGTGATTATGCGAGGCTCTCCGGAACTTCATGGCTGGCGAAATTAGGCTTGTTTCGCCGTAGATTGCGACAGGGAAGTGACACGCCAGGTGAGATGTACAGATGACTGAAGAGAATAGCAGAACGGGCAAGTCAGACAGGCTTTCTTAAGAGCAACCAAGGAACGAGGCTGCCTCACGTTGGCCGTAAGAGGCTTGATGGCTGTAGTGTTTTGAGTTCGGCTATCCAACTGTCGACCGTTGGGTTCGCTCGACGCGTTCACAGGATTCGATCACGATGTGAAAAGGACAAGTAGGGGGTCACTCAGACCAAGAATTTGGTGCTGAGTGGAGACGAACGTGTGCGGCGCGCTGTAGCCTGTAGACACTTGATTGAGCGCTGCTGCAGGGTGGGAGTAAGGGCTTCTGAAAGTGGGGTTGTATGGTCGCGCTTGGACGAGAACTGGTTCTGTTATGCGATGATAGATTGTGTATAGAGTGGAGTCTGTCTTTTGCCAGGCTAGGAAGCCGCATTCGGCTCAGCTCTTCTTTGTTCCTTCCTCTGTGCCACCATGAAACCGCGTCTTCCACCGTGATAGCGGCTCCTTGTCTTGGACAAATATGCATCACATTGTGGAAAATTAGAGGTCATCGTTAAAGCAAGATCTAAATATTAACGCCCGACACAGGCAGTACTTGTATGGGAGGAAGGGAAACACATTGGATTCTTGATTGGATGAACCAAAGCAGGGGAACCATGGTACGACACTTCCGCCAGATATGAAACACAAAGAAAAGTTCTAGGGATTTCCCAGAGTCCCACTCGACTGGGCGCCGTTGGGCTCTACCATAATGCCTGACCCTTCCAGCTGATGGAAACCGGTCTGCATGAGGCTTGAAAAAGTACCGAACCAGTGTCGACTGATCTCGGGTCTTGCTGATAGGCTGTCGTCGTTGATACGTATCTACTGCGAACGATTCGCCTGGCCGATATCCAGGCCAACGCCAACAGCGCATTGCCCCGAGGAAAATGTCGACTATACCAGAGAGTCTGGAGACATGAGCTTGTAGCAATTGGAATGTAGATTTGGAGTAGAAAGATCAAGCAAGAGCTGATTCGCACAGCAGAGAGCTACGAACTCTGTTGCTGGCTACTGCTCCACCCACTTGTACGTTCGGAGGCCACTCATATCTGGCCCTTGATGTCGACACGGTATGCACCGTTTTTGGCCGTCTCAAAGATCGGGCTTCCTTTCTGACAAGAGAAGAGATGGCCATCCGGCTTTTCTTCAAAGCAATGTTGTGCGCCGTGTTCACAAAGAAACTGCGCACATTGCTCGTCACTTATGAATGCTAACTCTTCTGTTAGGAAGGAGACTTTGACACCGGGACGATAACTAGAACCGAGTCAGCATGATCGAACAAGAACAAGGATTAAGCAAGCACAGAACTCACGCTCTGCAGATGGCGGCCAAGGCAGCCACTCTTTCGCGATTGACGAACATGTCCATCAGGTAGGCACCCATGTTTGGCGATTCGTTGAACAACCTAAAGAATCTGTGATAATTGCCTGTGGCCAACGAGGCTCGCACTGCCAGGGCATGCTTGACGGCGGGATACTGCTTGTCTGCTGAGGTTAAATCTGCCAAAACATCGTTCATGGTCTGTCGGTTACAAGTATAGATGGTGTAGAGAATGCGATAAGCCAAAAATTCACCAGGGGAACCACGCAACTTCATCTTGTATAGAGTACGAAGTTGAGTCTGACACTGATTGTACTCACCCAGGTCCCCCTTTTCCAAAGCTATGCGTGCGTGGGCCTCGTAAACGCGGACTGTGAAATCATTTTTGATGTGTTGGACAGTGAGATCCTGTCTCAAAGACTTGAACTGATCGCAAATGTACCCGTAATTGTGCTCGTCTTTCCACTTCCTAATAAGAAGATCGAGAGTTTGTTTGAGAATGTGCAGGGGACGAACAGTTTCGGGCTTAGGAGGGGCGGTGAGGCGGAAATAGTTCTTCTCGAGTGTTTGAGAAGTGCCGACACAGGGACCATCGTTGGCGTCGGGCATGGGAGAGTCGTCACGAGGAGAAGAGATGAAAGGAGAATTGGGACCTTGGTTGCCGAGCGCGAAACGCTGCCTTCGTTTCTCGAGATCGCTCAACTTACTGGGAGGGGCAGTGGCACGGAACTGGTCGGCTTTTTTCTGGCGCTTGTCGGGACTAGGGTTGGTGATGCGGTCGGCGAGAGAGAGGTTCTTGACTCTCCAGGGAGGGATAGGCGACGAAGCGTCAGCGGTCGTGTCCACATCCATGGACTTTCGTTTCTTCGAGGCGCTCATCATGGCGGCTCTTTCAATACGAAGGAGTTCCCGTGGGAGAGGATGGCTGGGCCAGTCGATGATCTCGAGTTGATTTGCTTCAGCTGCTTGAGTGATGACGGACTTCAGCTTTGCAGCGACGGCACCGTCTTCAAGATCGTCTGCGTGATTGTCGTTGGGTTTGTCGGCAAAGGCACGTTGAACAAAGTCGCGCACAGGCTGAGGCCACTCGATCTTAACAGGAGCCTGGGCTTGGGCTACAGGTTGGGCTGGGGGTACAGATGGACGGGTCAGCGATCGGCGAGCAACAACTGCTGTGAAAGCTGGCGAGCCTGGAGAAGTGACGTTAGTAGGAATGTAGATGGGTAGAGGTTGAGTCGTTCATACCGGACTGCCACGGCGTGGTTGTCATGTTGGATGATCACGCGAGGGCAACAAGGAGTCGGTGGTTGTGAATGAGAAATGCGAGGGAAGCGAGTTCACGTCTTTGACGATGTGAGGAGAAAGCGACGCCTTCAAAGGGAAAGTACCTAGAAGTGCGACCCTGTGCCAAGACTTCGGTCACCGATATGGACCACCTTCCCAAGTCATCGTCCATCCAGCACATGCCTGCTTTCGAAATTATACACTCTTTCAGTACGTGCTTCGAGATCTGGTGATATATCTAGTATACCCCGTCATCTCGACATCTATAGCCGTGCTTCTCCGTCTCTTCCATCTACAAGACAGAACAGCCCCGCATTGGAGAGACTACGGATAACTGCATTGCTGGATGTTTCTTCGCCAACTCGACCTGACGACTGCTCTTCGTCCTTCTTTGCTACCCGATGAAACTCTCTTGTTTGTCCAGGACTCAGTCGGTCTTTACGAGGGCAAATACAAGATCCCCAACTACCAAAATGGCCACGCGTACCTGACCTCGCATCGCGTGTGCTATGTCGATAACCAGGAGCCACGCAAGTTTTCCATCGCCCTTGATCTCAAGGATGTCGAAAGACCCGAGTTCTATGCTGGTTTCTTGAAGTCATCAGCGAAAGTCACACTGTATCCCAAAGCTCTGAAACACAATGCCCTGGCCATCAGAAGTCCGAAACCTGGCTACCCAAGTCAGGCCAGCCCCTCGGGATCCACACCTCCGAGCCGATATGCCACTCCAGGACATGCTGCTGCACCCTCACCGGCGCCACTAAGGGATCCGAATGCTACTTGGATATGTCCTATCTGCTCATTCTCAAATCCTGTTCCCTCCAACTTCGATCCAAGCACTGCGAATGATCGGACGCCGTTGCCACCATGTCTGGCTTGTGGAATCAAGCCACCTCTCGTGCATGTCGTCAAAGCAGCCATCGCAGCTCTATCAAATCGGCCAAGCGGCTCATCTTTTACTCCCATACCAGCCACAAGCACCCCACTGTCGTCCTCACCACAAACAACACAGACACCTATGAGTGTGTCCTTGAACCAGTGTCCACGTTGCACATTCTCGAATCATCCATCTCTCAGCAGCTGCGAAATTTGTGGAGCGAAACTCTCGAGCACAGCAGATAGACGTTCGCAAATCATCGAAAGCGCCATTACTCGACCAGAATCACCTGGTCCATCACTTCCTACCTCTGCGTTAGGCGATACCACCCCAGAGAGCGTCAAACTTTCTTTTCGTGCTGGTGGCGACAAAGTTTTCTACGAGCGTCTGAAAGGCGCTCTGGTCCAGCGAAAGTGGCTTCTTCAAAACGCACCTCCGATACCCAGATCACACAACGGAGAGCCTACTCACACATCAAGCTATTCGGCAACAGATGGCTATACCCCGATACCTCCACCTCCCAAAGTCGTCGGTATAGCAGGTCTAGAGCGACGAGGAGCAGAACTCCGCAAGAACAACGAGTTCGTTATCGGAAGCTCATTCGAGGACTTGGAAGCTCTCATGACATCAGCGAAAGAAGTCATCGCCATGGCCGAACGCTTCAGATCGCAAAACAGCAATGGCGGAGACAATGAGCATGACGCCAACGCAGAAGCAGCTTCTCTCCTCTCAGACATGGGTCTCGTGACAACAAAAGACATGCTCTCAGGCAGCGGCGCAGATCGAACATACATTGCCGAACTCTCACGCAATTTAGCTGAGTTTCTTACAGACGACAAGAGAGGCGTGTTGAGAAGAGAAGGCGGTATCATGTCCCTCGTCGACCTTTGGGCAGTCTTCAACCGCACACGCAATGGCATCGAGTTAGTCTCACCGCGAGACTTTGAGAGAGCAGCGACTATGTGGGATACACTACGTCTACCCATCCGTCTCCGTCGCTTCAGAAGCGGTCTTCTAGTCGTCCAAGGCCGCGACCGCACGGACGACAAGACCGTCGCGAGTATCCTGTCCTGGCTCAAAGACCTCCACTCTATCCCACCATCCATGTCAAACACATCCGAATTCGGTGCCGTGACAGGTCCATCAGTGACTTGGGACTGGCAAGCATTCGGCCGTGGTGTGACAGCGCAAGAAACAGCAGAGAGGTTTGGCTGGAGCGTCGGTGTCGCGACAGAAGAGCTTGAGATGGCAGAAGAAAGAGGTGCTCTATGTCGCGAACAAGGTCTCGACGGCGTCAGATTCTGGGAAAACTTCTTTGCCGAGATCCCGGTCAAGCTACCAAAGACCAAGACGGCATCGCAGTTGGAGCAGCTGGAGATTGAGAAGAGGTTGAAAGAGAGTGGTCTCTTATAGAAATATAGATTTTGAACACGCTCGATGTGAATATTAGCTTGCAAGGGCACTGTTCGATGCTCATGCCCCAGAGTCATCAAATGTGCAAAGCAAACCATGTAACAAATCCCATTCGTTGCATAGTAGAACAACATTGTAGAACCTGATTCGTATATCATATGTATCAGCTACCAGCTGCATTGACAAGAATACCAAGCGATAGAGCGAAAGACTACCCATAATACGAATGCCATCATCAGACTAGGAAACCAGTGTCGGATCATCTCGCGGGCTGTGCAATCCTCTTATCAGACTTTGCAAGCTCACCAGAAACACCAATAACATATGTGGTACACACCGCTGTACCTGCAGCCACACTCACTATCCACACAATCCGACGGCGCCAGCGACGGCGCTTCTCGTTGCGAAACTTAGCATCTGCGTGTCGAAAGATGCTTCTTGGTGGTTTTGCGGGAATACGCGTGTGTGGATAGATTGTATGCTGCTGGAATTCTGGATGGCCATTACCAAAGAATGAGCTGGCCATGTCCTGTCGATTGTGCATAGGCTCAGTTGGAAAGATAGGCTCGTAATTGACGAAGCCAGTGGGTGAAGCAAATCGCGAAATGGGAGGTTCCACCGGGGTGTACCTGGTAGTACCATCGATAGGGTTGGTGATTGCCTCGTAGCGTGGTGCCCGTGGATCAGGGTCCTTATGGACCATTCGCGATACCAAATAGTCTCTCTCTGCGTGTATCACATGGAATCCTTCGTTCTGAGAAGCTGCAATGTGTGGTAGGAAACGAGCGGCAAGAGAGAGCTGAGAGATAGCTTGAGGTATCGATAGAGGTGTCTCGCTGTTCGAGAATTTGGACGGTGTGCGAGTGAGAGTAATGGCATCCTTGCTCGAGTCGTAGGCAATAACTTTGTAAAGAGCGGGCTCGCGCCATTTGATATCTGAACCCGATTCTGGTTCTAAGGATGGATTCACATGTGTTTTGATTGACGTGGTCTGTGTTGATGAATGCTTTGTTGCAGTCGCGGTATTTGCTGACGGTACGTTGGATTCGATGGGTTTGGATAATCCTTCGTCAAGCGAACGTCCGGAGACTGCGGTGCGTCGATCAGGCTTTCTCACTTCTGCCTTTAGGTAATCTTCAGAAAACGTGCTTCTGGCAGGTTGCTTGTACCATTGGTCTCTGGTAGCAAACTTACCCACGGTTGGAGACAGATCTCCCTCACCCGGCATGTCCTTCAAATCCGCTTCCAGAGAAGTTGTTTCGTCTTTGATTCCTTTCTCAAACGAATTCACCATACCGATTGGTGCACGCGAGTAGCCATCCTCGTGGTATGAAGCTTCCTCCATCTCAAGTTGTAGTTAGTATCGACCACCTGAACCGATCTAAGGATTCTTACCTGTTTGAGGTCTTCTTCAAGCGAACGTTCGCTGCTCTGCTTATCACGATGGAACAACATCTGAAGCCCCATCGGTGTCGTGGGGGAATCATCTTCGAAACCGAGTTCAGGGGACTTGATCTCTTTCTCGAGGCTTTGACGTTTTCCGAGGCGAGCATTCTTTGATTCGTTCTGGAAAGCGGTCTCCAGGCTTTCCGAAGGACGTGCATGACCGTCGTCATGTATTTGTGCCTGCACTCGGTGGCTTACCTCCTGTTCCAGAGTTTTGAAATCGCCTTCTTTCACCCTCTGAGCTTCATTGCGGAAGTTGGTCTCCAGGCCAAAGACTGAGGTATCGCACTCGTTCGACATAGGTTGTGGCTTTTGCTTGGCAGCAATTTCATCCTCGAGCGATCTGGCGTTGCCCATCTCGACATCCTTCTGCTCTCGTTCCCAAAGCGTCTGCATTCCATTCAGATTGGCAGAAGGGTAGTTTTTGAGAGCCCGGATATGGTCGTGAAGTTCGTGTTCGAGATCTTTGTGCTGTTTATTCTGGGTGTTTTTTGCTTCTCTCTCGAAGAGGGTTTGCATACCGGTAGGTTTGGTTGAGTAGGCGTCATGTTGATCAGTCAAGCCTGGAGTAGAAGTCATGCTCTCGAGCTCAAGCTCCAACCTCTGAGGTGTGCCTTGCTGTTCCTGATCGAACATCGTCTCAAGTCCTGTAGGCCCCTTGGTCAAGCCGGCAATATACTGTGTTTGATCGGCTGCAGAGCCAGCCATTCGGACTTCGTCTTCGAGAGTCTTGCATTCATTCAGATCAGCACTGTGTTGCTCTTGTTCGAACAATGTCTCGAGACCTTGAGGCGAGGGTGAATAGCCGTCGTCAATAGGCGGAGCTTGGGTGTTCATAGCAACCAGTTCTTGCTCCAAAGAAGACTTCTGGCGGATGTCATCACTCGTTTGTTCGTTTGCAAAGAGAGTTTCCAGGCCACTCGGGGCAATACTGTAGTCATTGCTGACTTCCTGAGTGGTTATCTTGTTAAGAGCGTCCATCTCTTGTTCCAAAGGCTTCATATCGCCATGTTCACAAGCCTCCTTCTCAAGCTTGAAGGCTGTTTGTAGGCCTTTTGGATTATCGTCCCAGCCACCTTCGAAAACTGCGGGTCTCTCGGCGTCAACGGCGTAGTGAGGCTTGGTCATCTCAGGATGAGTTTGACGTTCCAAAATTTGGATTTGCTCGCGCAGAGTGTCCAGGTGTCTACGAGTTGCGAGAAGCTCATCGCGCTCGGACTGATAGGTCTTGTCGAAATCTTCGGTAAAAGAGGCATGAGTGGTAGGGGTGTTTGAGAGTGCTTCGATGTTCTCGGGCAGTTGAGAGACGAAAGTGGGCTTCTCGTAGGTCTTGTCTTTGCTCGGTTTGTTCTTCTTGCTCTTGATCGAGGCAGAATTATGTCCGCTTTGTCCGTTTGCGGGAACCATTCTGCCAGAGATGGGATCGTAGACAGTATGGCTGACCTTGTTGGTCTTGGAATCCCAAGAGGTAGATGAAGCCTCGACGATGGGCTTGGACGCCGAACCATGAGAGGCGTAGAGCTTGAAAGTCGAGGCTTGTGCGAAGTGTCCACCCCTGCTGGAGGAAGCGTTTGTTTCTTGAGTCAAGAAGTCGGGAGCGATGGATTTCCAGAAGGATCTCTGTCGTTTTTCTTGTCCCGTTTCATTGTGATCTGAACGAAGCTTTGCTTCGGCATTGCTCTTCTTGTGTTTGTTCGAATGACTTGCGAAGCGGATGCTGGAGCGGTAGAATACGGCGTTATTGGGTCGAAGCTTAACGCCGGGGGCCTGCCTGAGGAAGGGCATGGTTGCCTGAAAGCCGATGAGTTAGAAGGATGCTTGAATCAAGTTACGGGACTTAGTATAGACAACAGGACACATACCTGCAACGAGCATGCGTCTGCCCAGGAAGCGTGCAAGGCGTGGTTGATTGTGGCCAGGCGCCTGTGTACTGGCGGAATGCAGCTTGACCTTATCTCCGGTGTATACTCGAGCTATCTTTGTCGCGTTGAGTGATGCAGCTGGTTGCGATTCAGATGGCCGAGGTAGAGCAGCTGACAACAGTCGATTGTTGGACTCGCAGAGGAGGTCGATGTACAGCAAGCAGGATGGAAAGAGCGATGGTAATCGTTCGCTCCAGCAAGCACGAGGCAGCACTTACCCCGCCCTGGTTTTAGTTCTCCGCATCCGCCTGTCATTACCCATGTCGATCATGTCAAATTGAGAGCCTTTGAGCTTAATAAGGTATATCATTTTCGTTGGTATAAACCACCTGCTTCTATCCTTCTTTTCGCAGAGGTATATACAGTTAAAGCGAGAAAAAAACAATCGCATATTTCGTCATGGGCATCATGGCTCATCAGTCAGCTCTTTGGTCTGCTTGGTCTCGCCCTCGGGAACGTCGAGAGGCTCAATGCCGTCTGGTGTGATTTTCACAGCACCAGCTCTGACCAGAGCTTGTTGGAGGTCGTCAAGCAAGTCGCCCACATCCTCGATACCAATGCAAAGACGGATGATGTCTTCAGGCAATGCGCGCTCCTTTCTGGTAGCAGGATCAATGCTGGCATGGCTCATGCGGCAAGGCATGCTGATCAAGCTGTTGACGCAACCGAAAGAGACCGAGATGGCAAAGATCTTGGCGGCTGCGACAATTCTCTCCGAAATGGTGGTGGATCCAGTCTCAAAGGCAAGGACGGCTCCAGCGCCACGGGCTTGAGACCAGTGAAGGTCGTATTGGGGGTGCGACTTGAGACCAGGGTAGCGGACCTTAAATCCGTTACCCTCGAGGTATCTGGCAATGGCCATAGCGTTGGCCTGCTGCTTTTCCATGCGAACGGCCAACGTCTTGATACCACGGAGGAGCAACCAAGAGTCGAAAGGACTAAGACCGCATCCCGAGGCGTTGATGGGGAAGTAGAGTCTGTCACCCAATTCAGGGCTGTTGGTGGCCATAACACCAGCCATGACATCGTGGTGACCAGACAGATATTTGGTGCCGCTCTCGTACACAACATCAGCACCCAGGTCAAGCGGGTTCTGGAGGTAGGGAGACAGCATAGTGTTGTCGACAATGACGAGCGCCTTTGGGTTCGCTTTGTGGGCAAGCGAGGACAGAGTAGGGATGTCGACGACCTTCATGAGAGGGTTCGTGGGGGACTCGAGGAGGACCATGGCAGTCTTTTCAGACAGCACAGCAGCAACTGAATCGGGGTTTGTGGTGTCGACGTGACGAACGACGATGCCGCCGTGGGTCGAGAGGTATTTGAGGAGGCGGTTGGATCCGCCGTAGAGGTCGTCACCGGTGACAACCTCATCACCGGGGTGAAGAAGACGGGTGATAACGTCAAGACAAGCCATGCCCGACGACACGACCAGCGCGCGGTGGGCGTTCATGATCTTGGCCAGATGACGCTCGAGATGGGTACGGGTAGGGTTGCCGGAACGAGTGTAGTCGTACTCGTTGCCCTCGCCCTTGAAAGTTGCGGACTGATAAATGGGGACGCTGCTAGCATTGTACTGGTCGTTGGACTCGGTGTAGACGAGCTCAGTTGCGAGAGAGTACTTGTTCTTGCCATTGCTGGGGCTGGAGGGAGTGGGCGAAGGAGGAAGATCGTGGCCATCCATGTCCAGGCGCTTGTTGGCCGGGACTGATGTAGAAGAAGACGACATGATGCTGAAAGTCGTCGTGGTTTTTGTACAGGGCCTACCACCTGTTGATGTATACGAGCTGTGAGGAGTGATGTGACGTGGCGAAGAGTGCAAGAAGCGCCTGTCGACAATTGAGTAGTAATTCGGTTGTGAAGTGTGTAGTTGTTCTTAGGAATGAGAGATCAAACTCCCAGAGAGATGGCGAACCAACTGCCGTGCCGGATTGCGTGCCTGGGTCTGCTCTGGCCGATGGCCGATCTCGGGCATGAACTCATATAGAACACTCGGGTTTCGGGAAGCTGAAAGTCTTGACCATGAACAAGTAGGTTTTCACGCCTCGCCAGCAAACGATTTCGAAATCTGACAGAGTTCTGACCGTGGCAGTCCAGATACTCCTGAGCAAGTCATCGCTCCAAGCGCAACTCTTCTGCGCACCTTTGTATTCACTATATCTCCTGGTTGCGATAGCCTGACGTCTCGGACGTTCTGTACCCACTTCCATCCTAGGGCGGCGTTTCAATGCTTGCTCCAACTATGACTCTTTGCGGAAGTCTGTTCCATTCAATTCTTGCCCGCAGAAAAGGTCTGAGTCATGGACGGTTAGAGTAGCGATTGATGACAGCGTCCACGACAGAGTATATTAACCGACCAAGGGCTCCGAGTATCGAGTTCCAGACAGAAGCCAGTCCTCGTTGCCAGTGCCTGTTTTGTGACCAAGCAGAAAAGTGGCTACGTCATTGGGAGTCGTCTTTTGTGTGACAGCTCGACGACGGCCGGTCGCGAAATCGTCTCTTCTATCGCTCGCTCGTGTGCTAAAGATCGTGATTTCTGCACTCTCTTCGCGAGGGTCCAGAGCAGAGTCCTTGCTATCCATCGGCACAGTCCTTTCCGGATCAGGAATATTCCCAAAGAAATTCGAAGTGATATAACTTTTCGATGGATACAATCCTGTTTCCCAAAACCACTGTGCATATATCACGGCCCTTTTCAAACAGGGAGGCTCGCATCGTGCTGTGTCACACAGCGTGGTGCGGATGGCTGACAAGGACAAAATATGTGGTAGGCGAATATGGTACTTGGTGAGCTGCTTGCCTCTCATCAGACAATGTCGAGGGCTGCTGTTGTGTGTCAGCTTGCTACTGTACAAAGGAAGTAGCAGCTGGCGTGCAAGCAAGATGCCCGTAAGATGCTCCTTCTACTCTGAGAGTCGTTAGAAAAATATTTCATCGGTCTAGAAATCTACGGAGAACCTATCAGAGCAGACCCTGCTGATGGAAAACAGGCCCATCTTTTCAGGCTGCCCTGTGCCTTGATTGAGATCTGTTACAACCCTCGTTCAGATGCTCCCTCCTTTCCTTTCACAACCTATCACGACCCGACTAGGCAGACTTTTGATCAGAGAACACCAGATATCCTCCCTGTGAAATGTAGCTCAAATCGCCCTGCTCAAACAGTCCGTATGGATCGACGAAGGGATGAACTTGAGCATGGCCACCACTGCCATTCCCAGCCAAGTTTGATACGCGCATGATTACGTATACTCGAGTCGGGACTTCATCATCCTGGGTGGGATTAGCTGAGAACATCTGACTGACTGCGGACTTGAACGGATTATCCATGTGGAGCTCGATTCCACGAGAATGCTCGCCGCGCGAATCTGCCAACCAGAGTATTGTGCTCAGATTCTGCGCCATCCTCGATACTGACGGCATGCTGAAAACGTATTGGGCGTGAGAGAGCAACATATCGACGTCAGCATGGGCTATTGAATCCTTGTGCTGTTTGATTATGCCTCGAAGTACATCCTCGTAGTCGAGGTCCTGAGCACCGATACGGCGGAAGAAGTTCCTGCGCTCTTCATTGCGAGAAGCTTGGTGCTCAACGATCGACAACGACACACCCTTTGGAATGACAATGTTTGCATCAGAACGTGGCAGATAGAAGGATACAGGCGGCAATGATCTATTGGCCACCTTGGGGTAAGAAGGCTTGTGGCGGCTCATGGCACTGATCCATGAGCCATCGTCAAGTGGGACGATAGGCATAATCAACAGCTCATTGAGATTGATATGTTTCTGCCCGATCATAAGAACAGTGGAGACCTTGCCGTGCCATGTGTCAGACTTTTTGCGAAACTCTTCGGCCTGTTTCGAGACGAAGGTCTTGAGCATTTCGAAGAACTTCTTGTCATCCAAAGCTTGCGTTACAAGTGCAGCAACATGACTCGTGTCGTACTTGGTAGATAGATATCGGTCGTTGACAGGGGTCAACAAGGGGGTACCATCTTCGTCTTTGTACTGTTCAGGTACCAGCATCATCACCTTGGGCTTGGCAAGCTCACCGGAGCGGGACTCCATAATCTTCGTATTCTTGACGCGGTCCAAGAACTTGTCTTTCAATTTGTCGAAGAACCTGAGAGCGACCTGTTTTTCGGGGAGATATGCGGGCCAGGTATACTTCAAGCGAGTCTTGTTGAGTCTCTCGAAGGCTTGAATAAGTGCGTGAACCATGTGATCTTGGAGGCGACGGTTCCATGGCTGAGACTCATCGATGCCTTGTCGACTGGCAACAAGCAAGAAGTCTGCCTGGATAAGGAATGGGAGGCCAGATGAGCAGACGGGCAGGAAAGCATAGACATATTGCTTAGCGATGATCGGTTGTTGTTGGTCGTTGATAGGAAATGCCAGCTTGATCAGAGTCTCGGTGACACCTTGCCTAAGCTCGGTCGGTGGCATATCGCGAGCGACATAGTCGGAGATGAGGTAGCGCGACTTCCACGATTTGACGCCCTTACTCCTCGTAGTGGTGACAATCTCAAGGCTATCGTCGAATGGTCGATGATCGTGGGACATGGTCAGCTCCTCGAAGGTATCACCGAAATCGTCAAGTCTAACGACCCTGACTTTGGTGAGACGACGCAAGAACATGAATGATGAGGGCTCGAGGACCTTGGTCAACTGTTCTCTGACCACGTCACGATCCTCTTGCTTCTCAATTTTCAGACAAATCATGGTGTTCATCTGAAGCTGCTCGGGAAAGTCAGGGAACTTGGCCCAGACTGGGTCCACCATCCCTAGAGGCGTTGTCTTGTCGAAATAGAACGAGAAGTTGTTGGAGGCAATCCAAACTTTGTCGGCTATTTTGAAGACCGACTTGAAACCGATTCCCTTTTCGCCGATACAGCCCTTCTTGCCCTGTTTCAACAGAGTCTTTGTGCTCTGGTTGATGTCGCAGATGGCACTGACGTTGGCCTTGGAGAATCCTTGTTCGTTGCATCCAAACAGCAAGAGACCATCGGAGCGGTACGCGATTGTAGCTTCAGGCTGGGCGTCATCGGCGTAAGTGTTGTCGTCAGCGTTCTGGATGAGCTCGAAGAGGAAATGACTCGGTTCGCTGTAGAGCTGTGCAGACAGACTGGCTTGCGTCAGCGATATGGAACTTTTCGAAGGCGGCAGTGGGACTCACAGCTTCAACATGCTCTCATAGCCTCTGCGAAGAAAGCGCTCGCTCTCGTTGCGTGCATCTGCGCCATGGCTGTGGCGAATGTCTCTGATGTGTGCCTGACACTCTTCGACGGACAAGCTCTTCGCCATCTTGTTGATTGATAGTGGAGATGGAGGTGAAGGCAGGGACAGGCGCTAGAGGCGAACCATGCGACGAAGGAGTTTTGAGGGGCAGGAAGCGATGCGAAGTGAAGGTTGCTATGTCTATACGCGAAGACAGTGAGCTGAAGCGATGGAAGGGGACTGATGTTTTGTGTCTCAGTTCTCTTGTCTTGTGATGTGCTGTTGCGCATGAGAATTGAGGCAAGTCGCAAAAGTTCCACGACTAGCCATAGGATGGAAAAAGAAGGGTCGAGGGGTGAAAGTGTCGTGTTTGCAGCTTCCGTTTGTTCCCAGCAGGCTCCCATGTGTTTGTCTTAGTTACCCGTTTATACACACGCAGACTACGAGCACCGGTCGCCTACAACACATGGCCAGTGGGGATCAAACACACCTTGTCCAGGATTCATACTATATTCTACATCCTTGGATGCGATATGTTCGGAGAGCTTACCTTTTTCTACCGTAACATGTCTGAGGAGACATCATGGAGAACATACGGCGAGCGCATAGAAGTAAGAGACATATTCTGTATGTCCTCTATCTTTTACAAGACGCACGATAGTCATTGATGCTCTTTCCTCGAGGATTGGAAGCCAAGGCGTTGACAGATGATGAAGTTTGAGAAGAAGTTGCGGCACGTGCGGCCAAATGTTGTTGCCAACGAAGCTGAATGATGTCAACAAGCAGCGACCAGTGCTTCCATTCCAATATTTATATACCTATGACAACAATGAGCATTGGGCTACTAAGATCATCACAAAGGACCAAATAGGAGTGTCAGCAGCTAGTCTGAAAGAGAGGCAGAGCACGACTTCAACACAATGCTTTACCATATTTGGATAAATGAATCAACACCTTTCGAACAACAATGGAAGGCCGTTCGCCGATAGGACTATCGTCCAGAAGTCGTCTAGTTTGGATGTAGAGGAAATATGAGAGATCATAAGACTAGTCATACATCTATGGCTGAGAGCAGTGGTGCTGGCAATATCAAGGACATACTGTCTTGCGGTTTCTTGGTAAACAGCGGCGAAGTGTCAGACAGCGAGTTAATTGACCAGGCAATGGCGTGAGTCGAGGAGTTGAGGATGATGTGCCAGAGCGACAACGAACGCAGCTTCTTCGTGTATATGAGATGCAGCGGTTACCACGTTTGCGTGCTCTTGTGAAAGAATTGTTTGTACCAAACACCAAGTGAGACTACTCGATAGCAGATTTGATGTCGGTCCATGGGTGGCGATGTGGGTCTTGGATCATTCTGTTGTGTCTGTGCTTGCCTTCGATGGCGATGCGCAAATTGAGCTTGTGTGCGGTGAGGTTCTGGATATCACCAAACGAGGTCGAGTCAGAGTGTTGATGGAAGCAAACAGTACTCTAAGATCTGCCATGAATAACAGGAACAAATTCATGTATTAAGGGTTTGATTAGCCAATGTCTGGTTTCGCGGACACAGGACACTTACTGTTTCTTTTCCCTTTTTCTCACAAATTTGCCCCAAACCCACCCCTCCGAAGAGAACCGAGAGTTATTCATGCGATACTCACAAACGCCACCTCCACCGCACCCCACCCACCCACCCACCCATCCTCAGATCTAAGGCTGATTCATGACGGGTGCTGTCAAGATGATGATTGATTGATTATAAAAGAAGATTTTGTGAGAAAATGACGAGTGAACGTCGACAGTATTCGTCGTGAGACGAGATACCGAGAAACCAACCAGTGAACGGTGGTCTCAATGCTTTTACAGTGAAGTAGAAGGGTCCGGTTTGGAGTCCCGTCCACTATGATGGTGATCAGAGGTCGGCGAGAGAGGAGAGGAGGGAATAGTGGTACTTACCGGTTCTCTGCGCAAAAAGCCAGGAAGCGCAACATCAGAGATAGATTATGCCTGAATCAGACATTGTGTTATGGAATGACGTGAAACGTCGAGGTACTAGCCACCGGCTATGTACCAAGAGCAACCGTTCTACGGGTTGTCTCAGTGCTTCTGCGGCTAAGCAGAAGGTTCCGGTTTGAAGTCGACTGCAATGCTGACCAGAGGTCGGCGGAAGGGAGGGGAGTACTTACCTGTACGCTTTAGTGCGTACCAGAAACACCAGGACGAGATGCGCGGTGGTGTGCGCAGACGGAAAGGCGTGGTTGTGGTGTTGAGGAGAAATAGAGGAAGCGGAGAGGAAGTATTATGGTTGGCATGTAGAGACGCAGACGCAGCCAGCTTGAACTTCACTTCGGCTGGCTTGGACTTATCATTCACTTTCTTAACTCCGACTCGTTTTCTAAACTGAGAGACACAACGAAAGCTGACATACATATGAAGTCCACCTACCGAACAGAAAAGATGCTGCCCGGCTTCTTTCGAAAACAATAACTCCAAATAGCTCAATCTACCTACCTACCCAATCTATGCTGAATACGGACATGCAGCATACACAGAACTTGAGCCGTGATGGTCGCTCGTCCCTCTACACATAATGTTATGGACACAGATCGGGTGACCCTACCGACTTTGACAAACATGGTTCACATGTAATAGTGCCTGATGCAGCAGGGACACAGAGGCGATACAGAGGTTATGCTGCTGTCCAACGTATTTCGATGTCAGTGGTTCATCATCCACTGAGTATGTTCGACCGCGACGTTCTCATGAGTTCTCCTCTGTCGGGTATAGACATCAAATAGGTCCGTATTACCGTGTATGAAGTGAGGTCGGTGCCAAGACAAACACTCGCCGCAATTAGCGTCCGACTGAGGGGTGGCCCAAGCTTAGAAATTCAGTCCGTCCAAGGGCTCTGTTTGGTGCGCGATAGAGGACGAGTGTAGCAGGATATATCCCGGTTCTCACACAACAACCTCATCTCTTCCACTATGCAGATGTTCGAGGCTCCAAGGAATGCAGGAACGTTGTGTTAGTCATCAGAGTACCGGAGCGCTCACAAGAGGCATACGCTGACAGCAAAAAGTCCTAGGAGGAACAAAGATCTCCGGCTCCGACGTGAGAGACCAGTGTGTACAAGCAACTCAAGCCATATCGAATGTGGTGCGGTCATCGTTTGGTCCCAGTGGACTGGACAAGATGATGGTCGACGATATTGGTGACGTTACAGTCACAAACGACGGCGCAACCATCCTCTCCCTGCTCGACATCTCCCACCCGGCTGGCAAGATTCTGGTAGATCTAGCACAGCAACAAGACAAGGAAGTCGGAGATGGAACAACATCAGTCGTGCTCATCGCCTCAGAGCTGCTGCGCCGCGCCAACGAGTTGATGAAGATGCGCATTCACCCCACAACCATCATCACTGGATACCGCCTGGCCCTGCGTGAGGCCGTCCGTTACATGAGCGAGAACATTGCCACAAAAGTCGACACTCTGGGCCGCGAGTCACTCATGTCCATTGCAAAGACCAGCATGAGCAGCAAGATCATCGGCGCCGACTCGGACTTCTTCGCCAACATGGTCGTGGATGCTATGCAGAGCGTCAAGTCTGTCAACAGCCGTGGCGACGTCAAGTACCCTGTCAAGGCCGTCAACGTTCTCAAGGCCCACGGAAAGAGTGCTCTGGAGAGTGTTTTGGTCAAGGGGTACGCCCTGAACTGCACCGTGGCCAGTCAAGCCATGAACACCCGTGTCGTGGATGCAAAGATTGCTTGTCTCGACATGAACCTGCAGAAGGAGCGCATGAAGTTGGGCGTACACATCACCATTGACGACCCGGCACAACTCGAGAAGATCCGTGAGCGCGAGGCTGGCATTGTCCTTGAGCGTGTCGACATGATCCTCAAGTCTGGCGCCAACGTCATTTTCACCACAAAGGGTATCGACGACCTGTGCTTGAAGTCTTTCATCGAGAAGGGTGCCATGGCTGTTCGTCGCTGCAAGAAGGAGGATCTTCGCCGTATCGCAAAGGCCACCGGTGCCACCCTCGTCAGCTCTCTTTCCGACTTGAACGGTGATGAGAAGTTTGAGGCCAGCAACCTTGGTCACGCCGAGGAGGTGGTTCAGGAGCGCATTTCCGATGACGAGTGTATCCTTGTCAAGGGTACCAAGGTTCACACTTCTGCTTCCATCATTCTGCGTGGTCCCAACGAGTACTCGCTCGACGAGATGGAGCGTTCCGTCCACGACTCGCTTTCCGCTGTCAAGCGTACTCTTGAGAGTGGCCGTATCGTCCCTGGAGGCGGTGCTGTCGAGACTGCCCTCCACATCTACCTCGAGGAGTGGGCCACCTCTGTCGTATGTACACTTCTGAAATCATCCTCCAGGCTTACCGCTAATTGAACATCAGGGCTCGCGCGAGCAACTCGCCATTGGCGCCTTCGCCCAATCCCTCCTCATCATCCCCACCACTCTGGCCGTCAACGCCGCAAAAGACAGCTCCGAGCTCGTAGCCCAGCTCCGCAGCCGTCACGCTTTGTCACAACGTCTCTCTGCCTCAGAAGGCGGCAGCGGCGATGCTCATACCGCAGCCACCGTACAACCTGCCACTGAAGACGAGAAGTCGCTCGCCAAGAAGAAGAACTACAAGAACTACGGTCTGGATCTGACAAAGGGCCGTGTTGTCGATAGTTTGAAGATGGGTGTCTTGGAGCCTGCCATGAGCAAGGTCAAGCAATTGAAGAGTGCTGTTGAGGCGTGTGTGGCTATCATGAGAATCGATACGATGATCAAGCTCGACCCTGAGCAACAGGGCGGCGATGACGGTCACGGTCATTAAGGGGAGTAACAAAAAGCATTTTGTAAAATACCACGATTATCTGCGGAGCGTTGAACGAAAATGATACCAATAGACATTCATTATTGTGCCTTCCTTTGCCAACCTGTGAGTGATTATATTTTGTGGAGGTTCAACTACATGAGGTTGATCACTCCTTCCCACATGAATCGACTTTGACAAACCTTCCAACAGACTCGGTAGCAACATCTCTAGTGTTCAATCTGAATCTGTATCACACAAATTCTCGAAACAAATCACAAAGGCAGATCCGCTTACTCGGATGATGTCGCTGTCCCACTTCTTTGAATCCTTCCGTCCGTAACCCAACTTCTAACCACCACAACCTCCAGACTCGCATCATCAAAAACACTGTACAACGAATTAGAGAAACCCGCACTCGACACATAAGTTGAGGATACCATGCCATCCAATACCAAATCTCCACAACTACTGCTCGCCTACACACTCGGCATCCTCTTCATCCTCGTACCAAAAGCGACCGCATATCTACATGTTCCTGCCACTCCCTCTTTACTCTCTCACCTCCTCATCTCCATCTTGTTTATCAGCACCTCTGTATATCTGTTCATCGATGCTTGCTACACTTTTTCCTGGCTTGGCTATCTGTTTCTGCGCTGGCTACTTCGAGTGTCTATTACCTTCGACCTCGATGAAAAGACTCACCAGTGGCAACTACCTGGATCTGACTATACCAGATTCTGGTTCAAAGTATTTGCTAGTATGGTCATGAGCTGTATCATCCTCTACAGACTCTCATTCGCCAAGCTCAAGGCGGAAGGAGACGGCAATGTCTGGATACAAGCAAAACGAAAGCTCGAACAACAACGCACGGCTGCACCAGGAGCAAAAGAGAAAAAAGCCGAAGGAGATCTGACTGATGTTGGATCTGCATGGCTATGGGCATACTGTGCATTTGCGTACACCAACGCTCTGTTCGACTCCAAAGAATGGCTTGAGAGTGTATTCACAGCAAGCGTGCAGAAAGAAAGAACATGGACGTGGGATCTATGTTGTCTATGGGGTCCGATGTTGATATCTGGTGTAGTGGGTCTTGCTAGATGGAAATGGCCTGGCACAACAAGGAAGGGCAAGGCACAGTTGAGGGGGAAAGCCGTTGATGGGAAGGAGGCACCTGAAAAACAGCAGGTCTAGAATGCTTCGAGAAGGGACTACGATGCTTCAAGGACAATTGCATCTCTATTCAAATTGGAAGACTGGGCTCGCGCTGTCATATGCTGCAAGTAACAACCTTCAACAATCTCGTCATTGGATTCAAGGTTAGGTCCCGTCCCACAACCATTCCAACCAAATCTCCAAGGAACCGACATAAAGCTTTGGGAACCACCACGAACGATCATAAACCCAAGAGCCCAGCCACTCTCTGCCGAACATATTGAGCAGCTCCCACCAGAAGATTCATCACCCGCTCTGCAAAGCCAGGCCTATTCGACTCGATATCTTCCCTCCACACTCCGATCAGACCCGCGCGATCAGCCATGAAAAGCTCATTTTGTCGCATCATGTAGTCCATATCTGGGTCGTTGTCCAAGGGCGAGTGGATTCTACGAGAAGCAGTTGTTTGTTCGGTGCCGGCAGTGACTCGTTGCTCATCTTCGTCTTGTTGGTCAGCCCAAATTGCCCGGGACTCCTGCCTGTAACTTTCCAGATTGTCTTCGAGCATTGCGGCTTCGCATCGAAGGAGCTGAATGATAGCATCAAGAGAGCAAACTCTCGTCCCATACCAGGATTGACTGGGGCGCGACCTTTATCATCTTCACCGTCATCCTCGAAATCATCATCGATGAGCTGTGTATCTCGGTTGCGAAAGTCGCCATTGACTTGGAGCATAGCATTGGCTATCTCATCATGGGACGTTTCCCACAAAGAGCTGTCCGAGGAAGCAGCCATATCTCCACCGCCAGGCTCAACTTGTTCGCCATCCTCCTCATTTTCGTACTGATACTCCTCTTCACCCTCGAACTGATATTCCTCGTCGTCCTCGTCTTCATCATCGAAAGCGCGAGGTTCTGGATCATACATCCTGTCATGAGCCTCGATGATGGACATGGCTGAGTCCAAGGGCTTGTTGGCTAGGAGTAAGGCTTTGTCTGGGACGCACATGATACAGAGTTCGATGGACCTAGAGTCGTCTTAGTATTGCTTGTGAGAGTAAGTACTCATGATCTTACACAGCAGAACAGCGATGCACTAAGCAGGAAGACGGAAGAATGTTGATGTGTTGAGGAGAAAAGGATTGCTTCGCGATCGGCAACAGACGAAGAGGTGAGCTCACCAGAGCGAGTGAAACTGATTCGATATAGTGAAGACTATCAAAGTAGAAGAGGCAACCGCTCGATGAGAATTGCGGATCTATTTAGATGAAAAGGCAGAAACTGTCTACCATCCACCACCAATAGTACTGGCAAGACCAGCCACTCTTTCTACATCAGTGGTGCTTTTGCCAATATCACTCTCCACCTTGCGGTAGGAGGTATACACTAGCTTATCCGTCGCCACGCCCGTAAGTTCGGACCAATGTGAAAAGATGTCCTTAATCTTCGAGTGCGAGATACCATCCACCAACGAAGCATCTTCTGCGTCTTCCAGCTCAACATCGCCATTGGCAGATGAATTTGCTGTTGTGACTGCGGATCCATCATCTACATCCTCGGCGCCCTCGTCTTCTGTGTCTGAGGGCGCTGGCGATGACGACGCAGACGATGATGAAAAGTATGCTTCATCCACCCTTTGCAACCATTCTTTCTGTTGAGGCGCGACTATCTGATCGCCTCCATTCTCTACACCACTGCCTGCCAGAGCTCCTACATCCCCAACCTTTATTTGACCGCCGCCATTTGTGCAGCCACCAGGACATGCCATGACTTCCACATATGCGTAATCACTCATGTTCTGACTTCCTGCCGATCCCGCCGCTGCACCAGGCTTGCGAGCACCACCGAGTCTACTCGCTGCGCCTGGCATACGTGATGCGCGTGCAGGCTTAAGTCGGCGAACCAAGTTCTGGATGTTGCGGAAACCGTAATATCTGGCAGTTCTCACAATAGCAGCATTTTCGGAGTCGACCAGTGTATATTCGACCACATCAGCATTGCGACCTCGTTGAGTGGTAATTTGACTGCCTGGATGTTGTGCGCGATACGTTTGCATGACGTGCCAGAGATATCCACCACTAGTGCCAGCATCTCTCGAACCGTTTGAGGTAGAAGTGGAAGGGAAGAGGAAACGGTCCAGTTTAGGGTCGGGAAAAGAAGTCCGGTGTTGTCTTGATAGAGGCTTCCGCGGTAGTTGAGGGAAGGAGATACCACGACTTTCAGCGAGCATGAGTAGCTCACGAGCAGTGATTACGCAATCAACATCACGGATGCCCTTGCGCTCGGTGTTTGTGCCATCGGGAGACCAGTGTATGTCCGTCAACTCTTCTCTTGACGCTTCCAGCTTCTTGTCGAAACAAGGCATGATTGCCATGTGCCATACATTCTCGGGGTTGATTCCATATTTCCTTGCAAGGACACTCTTGATCAATGTGCCTGTCAAGGCTTGTGGCGACTTCAGTCGTGACATGTGCGGCAATGCGTGAGGGTGTGTCTTTTCAGCGTAACAGATCCAACCAGGGCAGGCAGAGGCGAGGATAGGCTTCTTCGGTTTCTCGGCGCGTGATCCACTAAAGTCGGTTGTGTGTTTGGCCGAGGGGGCTAGGGAGTCCATGACCTCGTCGGCTGCAGCGACCAGAGCAGCCTGGCGCATGACGTTGGTGTCAATGACCCAGGAAAAGCCACTGTTGTTTGAACCACCCGATCGCAGACCAGCCGGGCCAGAGAGGAGTTGTTGAATCATGTTTGTGGCAGCAGCCTCAGAAATACTATATGTTGCTGCAATGCTGGCGCGAGTCTGAGGTGACACGCTTGCGACAAAGACCTTCCCATCCGAGGGGCCGGGCAGGGACTCGCCTTGAGCAGTCCAGGGCAAGCGGAGTTCCGGGTATGCGTCGAGTGTGTTCAGGACCTCTTGGTGTGACTGCAGACTGACGAGGACGGCCTCTGCTGAAGTCACGCAGCCACTACATGCGAGGCAATCGGTCAAGGAAATACTGGCTGGAGGGGCTTCGGCGGCAGCGATTTTGTCTTCGGTCGTAACTTCGTAGGCATTCTCTTGTGGTTGTTGTTTCGGGAGGGTCTCTACAGGTTTGATACAGGCGACACCGGGAGAAATGAAGTCGTTGAGGTCGTCGGCGGACAAGATGGCCGACATGTTTGCGAATCTTTTGATGTGTGTGGCGGGGCTATCGAAAGAGGGCGGGGGGGTTTGAATTTATGAATTGAATGCAGTCGAGGGAGACAATGACCAGATGGAGTTGACGCTAAAAAGGAAGGAACGACGCTCGAAGGAAACACAGTCATAGAAACACGGGTATCGAGTTGTGAGTGAGAAAGAGCGATAGGCAAAGTAAATCAGTTGGTCAGCAATTGGAAACCACCTACCGACGCAATCGGCAGTGGCACTTCCGTTGTCGCCGCACGTCGCGACTTGCGACTTCTCTGGTTGGCGAGGGAGCCCTGCCAAGACCATCGCATCTTTCTTTGCCCATTACCAGAGTCCATCACACCCGCCGTCACCAGCACCATTCTCACGTATTTGCAAACGACACACTCCACACACAACCGCAACCATGTCGCAACAACAGACCAACAACAACACTGGCTTCCAGATCACAAACCAAAACACCTTCGAGGACACCAACCGCAGCGTCAAGTACCTCTGCGGTGACTGCGATGCCGAAGTCTCGCTCAAGCGCGGCGACCCCATCCGTTGCAAGGAGTGCGGTTACCGTGTCCTGTACAAGCAGCGCACCAACCGGTAAGCTTCTCTCTTGAAAGTGACTTTTCTTCCGTCTTCTGACATCCATCTCAGCATGATCCAATTCGAGGCCCGCTAAACCATTCGGCTGTCTGTGCTACAAATCCTCTCCTTGCGCACCACGCGACACGCGACACGCGCATTCGAATACAGTCTGCGACACCATGGGAATCTTGAACCTCCAATACATCCACCCTCACTTCGCGCGTTCCGCCCTCGAGTCTGGTCTACAGCAAGGCCACAATGACCACTAACCCCACACCCACCCATCCGTCCGGCGTTCATTTACAAGGCACAAAACATCATTTTCACAAGCGTGGCGTTCTATTGCGACTGGCATCATCTCGTCTTTGGGAATCACAAGGGACGCAGCAAAGAAAGACACGGGGGGGTGTGGAGCTACTATGCTCGGAGATATAATTGATGAAACAATCGATCACGAATTCAATCTTCTTGAAGGACTGCTGCCTCACTATGTACATGTGTGTTGATGCTATTAGGTGAAAAGACCATATGTACAACGACTATCCGTGGCTTTATATACAGATATGAGAAGAAAGTGAACAACCGGAACAAGAAGTTACCGCTTGCTTTCCAGACTTTGATACAAATTATCGCAACCGAATGAACAACGCATCGCTGTCTTCCTGCGGTGGTGGGTATATCGCGCCCGAGAATTCAAGTGCCCAGGGAAGGAAGGATGCAAGGATGCAAAGGGACACTAGCAAATCAAAATGAGAGAAAAACAAAAATCAAACTTTGCTCTGACAATTTCGAAGGGGCTTCAAATCAACAAAAAAACATAGGAAAAATCAGTTGCTCGCGATAACCCACACCTCCACCTTTTTCAACAACACGTCGTCTAGACAAACAACGGACTTACATTGCCTCGAGCTCGTTGGTAAGACTTCTGCCAAGCAGTTCCTCGGGCGTCTGATCAACAGAACGCTGGAGTTCATCATCGGTGGTGATGGTTCTCTGCTCCTCCTCAACATCAGCTCCCATATCGGTATCGACATCGCCGAGCTGGGCATCTTCATCGTAGCTCTGGCGTCTGAAGACCATCGGACGCTCTTCGCCCTGTTGGTTGGGTTGAGTATCAAAGTAGGCCATCTTCGTCTCGCTACTGGCCTGCTGTGAACCGTGATGGAAGCTTGGGCTCGAGCGCTGTGATTCACTTGGTCCTTCGGCAGGACTGGGTGTGCGGCGGAGGTTTGTGGCAGGGGGCGTCATGAGCCCAGACAGGACAGATGGCGACGGCAGGGGTGCAGGCTTGGAAGGTGTTTGCGTGCGGCCATTGGCCGAACGTGCGGCGGCAGCAGACGATCTAGCAGTTGCTCTCGAGACAGGAGCTTTGGGAGCAGATGCAGGACGTGGGAATTCTCTGCTCTTGCGCCAGTTACCAAATGCCGCGGCCAAAGAAACTGCCTTGGGGGAAGCAAAGTTGGTCAAGTTGGCCAGGGCTTGACCAGTCAACGATGGGCCAGCGCTAATGAGTCGCTCCTTCTCTTGTTGTTCCATCTGCAGATTGGCGCGGATGCGGATGGCAAAGTCTCTGACGGCGTCCTTATCATAATCCGACTTTGACAATGTATCAACCAGCTGATTGAGATCCTCGTTCCGAACAGATAGAAGCTCGCGTAGCCAAGAAACCTCAACCTCCCTCTCCTTGAGTTTAGCAGGCGCTGAAGTGTCAACATTCGCAATCTCGTTTTGCAGACTCTCGATACGAGTCTCACGTTCCTGGAGCTGCTCTTGCAAGACTAGGATAGATTCGCGAAGTGCCTGAGGTGAGATCTTCTCAGGCTCTTCTCGCGATGCGGGTAAGGGCGCGGGTGCGGATGCAGGGGTGACAGATGGGGTGAGCTTTGCTGCTTGAGCTGCGGAAGCTGCTGCCTGCGCTGCGGATCTAGCGACGTTCAGACGTTCCTCCAGATGAGCGACCTTGTCACGAAGATGCAAGACTTGATCATTGGACAGCTCAAGTCTGTCATTGAAGTGTACTGCAGAGCGTTGCTTGTCCTCGTAGGCGTTGGCAACACTCCTTTCGTACTGTGACTTGATGTATCTGATCTCCTCAGCGTGCTTTTCGCGCAGGTCATTTAGGGCAGCACTGCTGGTCTCATTGACCTTGCGAAGAGCATCACGTCTGAGATCAGCCTCTTGCTCAAGCGAACGTTCGTGTGTTTCACGAGCAGCATCCGAGACCATCTTGATGTTGTCTATCTCGTTCTTGGCTAGCATCATCTCATGCTCCAAGCTGGCACGAATGATGTTAGCCTGACTTTCAGCTGCTTCGATGCTGGATTGCATGATCATCTGGGTACGCTGAACTTCGGCTCTCCCAGACTCTCTGGCCTCATGCAGATCGCGCTGCAGACGCGCGTTCGAGGTCTGCTCTGAGTTGAGGTTTTCTCTGAGTGTCCTCAACGTCTCCTCGTGCAACGTAGTAGATCTTTGCAGCTGTTCGAGCTCAATCTTGGTGGTGACAGCCTCATGCACTTGAGCACGCAAGCTTTGTACCTCTTCTTCCATGCTACGTCTGATGCTGGCCTCGCCCTCCAGGCGAGCCTGCAAGACGACATATCTCTTCTGCAGCTCCTCATTACGGTTCTGCCAGATGGCCTTCTCATTGGCCAACTGCTCGGCTGCTGAGATCATGCCGTGATGGATCTTGTCGAGTTTGCTACGCATGTTCTCACGTATACTCAAGCCATCCGCGATTTGGTTCTTCATGTCAGACATGCTCTCATGTAGACTGGCATTGGTATGAGCAGCAACTTCAGCTTCTTGCTTCCAAGTCTTTGCAGCAAGGCGAGACTCTTCAAGTTCAGTGAACAAGCTTGTGACACTAGCCTTCAGTGCCGTACTTTCAACGATTGCGTCCTCGGCGCTCTCTTGAACGCGCTTCATGGTAGCGTGAGACTCTTCAAGCTGAACCATCAACTCTGCAGCACTGGCTTTGATTGCGGTGGCTTCTATGGCTGCATCGTCAGCTGCCTGGCGTGCTTGTTTGCCAAAGACTTGAGACTCTTCTAGTTGTGACAAAAGTTCAGCTGATGTTGCCTTGAGCGCTGCATTCTCGATGACTGCATCATCAAGTTGTTGACGGACCACCTTGGCGTTCTCTCGAGATTCTTCGAGCTGGATTTTGAGTTCAATAGTACTAGCCTTGAGAACATCATTCTCATTGGTGACCTCATCCACCTGGTTTCTCCACTTGATACTAGAGATACGGTATTCTTCGAGTGTAGATTCGAGTGCCGAAGTTTCTGCCTCAAAGTCTGATAGCTGCTTTCGATCGTGCGCGTGTGTGACCTCAGCAGCATCAACACGGATTTCAAGCTCTTCGCGTTGATTCTCCAAGGAGTGAATGCGCTGTTCCTTGTCGCCCACAGTCTTGCGGAGCAGAGAGAGCTCTTCCTCGGCCAGACGAAGTAGGCGACGAGTATCTGCCTCGCGTTCCTCAATGGCGCGACGTTGGTTCGCTTCTTCCAGCGCATCGGCAAGAGTTCTGTTTAGCCTGCTATTCAGCTCAGAGACTTCACGTCTGTGCCTGTGAGTCGCCTCAGTGTTCTCCGTAGCTGGAGCAGGCGTCAGAGTCTTGCCCATACGATGTAGTGACTCGTCAACAACGTGCTTAACATCGTCGATATCGAGGTTGGACGATGCGATACGAGCAATTGTCGTGTTCATGTCCATAAGAGCATTGTGAATCTCGGTGGAAGATGAGATCGAAGTGCCATTTGCCTTCTGCGAAGCTAAAGCCTCGAGCACAGCAGCCTTGATTTGACTGGCTTTCCTATCTTGCGCACGAGAGACAGAGCGGAAAGGTTGTCTTTTTTCAACGGTATCGTCTTCATCGTCGGCATCGCTATCGTCCACGGACAAGGCGCGCTTTGGTGCTGGTTGTGGCTCACGAGTCATGATAGTGCTTACTGCGCGGTGTATCATCTGCAAGCTCTTTTCAAGAGGTGCCAAACGGTGATCAATCACACCGCCAATGATCTGGTCGACTCTATCGTCGAAGAAATTGCTACGCACGCGCAGCTTGCTAGCCTCGTCGACAGAAAGGTCATCAGACCATTCGCTCAGAGGAATCTCTTCACCACGATTGAGGCGGTTGATATGAGCTGGGCGAAGTTTGACTTGCTCTCTCGAAAGCGTTGGTAGAGGAGAGATCGAACGGTCTCTATCATGTCGAATTGGACTGTGGTGTATGACACTAGCGTTTGGACTCGCGATCTCCGAAGCAAACTCCTGCTGGACATTGTCATACTCGTCGTCGTCGTTGAGTTGTTGCATGACGGCATCGATCTCATCAAAGGTAGGCTCTGAGAAGCGAGCTCGCTGATTGACATCGATGGGGTATGGCGCATGTTTCTGTGGCTCAGGCGAAGGTGCATAATCGAGGTCTTCAACGGAAGCCTGCGTCTTCTCAGAGGTACGCGAGAACACGCGCGAAGGGCTGAAGTCGGGCTTGGTCTTATTCGGATCGGGGCTCAAGAGAAGACTATCGAGGGGCTGGTTGCTTGAAATTGATCCTTGTGGTTTGAAGTCGAACGGCTTTGCGAGTGCTGATAGAGAGCTCAAGTTCTTCTTGTGGCCGCGCTCATTTTGCACCTCAGGAAGCTTAGCCGAAGTCACGAACTCATGTACCGAGGCGTTATCGGCTGGTGTCTTGGCCGCATGCCCCTGAGCAGGTGCAGGCTCTATCTTGTCGTCTTCCGGTGCCTTCTTTCGATCGTCGGATTGTTCAGACTTGGAAGCGGTCGATGTCTTTTCATCTTCCAGACTTGACGGTTCTTGGGCCTTTGATCGAGTAGGCGATGCAGGGCGCTCAGCGAAAAGCGGTACATCATCACCGTCGCTCTGACCGACACGAGCTCTCTTTTGCCTATCTTCGCTTTGTACTGCACGACCATCTTCATCCTCAGCTTCGTGCTCTTCCTTCACAGGAGAAGACTTGGGCTGGGTAATAGCCACAGCTTTGGATCTCCTCACTGGCTTGGTAGCGTCCGGAATGGCTACATCACCAAAGATACTCGGAGCAGCAGGTTGAAGAGAAGCTTGGTAAGCGATAGGTTGCTGGACAGCAGCCACAGAATTGAAGGGGAACGAGGAAGCAAAGTTGAAGTCGGACGAGGGCATGACTCCCAGCCCCGAAGGCTGGAAAGCAGCGACTGACATATCCATATTACGAGTAGATGAGTTCCCGAGGTGGTTGTGAATCGGGGGCCCGAAATTCGATAACCCTGGAAGGCTGGGCAAGGTTGGTTGAAATGCAAGGCCCGGCTGGAACTTAAATTCAGGCGCAGCCACACTCAGTCTTGATACATGCCCCTTGACTTTGTTCGTGATCTTGTTCTGTAGCGCGCCAGCCGATCCGGCGTTTGCAAGGTTGTCCTTGATTTCGGTTTTTGCTGGGGGATTGCTGAGATTGGGCGAATCATTGCGACTAGCAAAGCCGCTCATACTAGGCCCGAGAGATGCGCGCTTCCCAGGAGGCACGTAGGCACCATTGCTAGAAGTCTGGCTGATGAAGCTATTGCTCGCTTCATCTTCTTCGTCTTGGAGCTGGCGCTCGAAAGATTTCTCCAGATGGTAATCAGATCCCTGAATTTCTCTCTCCAGAGCATCGCTAATGTTCCGGTTGTGTCGTGGACTGGGGTGAGCAAGCTCAACGTCCTTGCGTGTCTGACGTCTCGGTGTGGCGCCAGCAAAGTAATCTTGCATTGGCTCTTCTTCGTCCTCGGGGACCTCGGCAAGGGATGGAATCGGGCGCATTGCTGCACCTGGAGTAAGAGTGGGTGTGATGCTTCGCTGGGCCTGGGGTTGGGGCGAGAAGCTCGAAAAGACTGATTGATGCCTGAGGTGAGCTTGACCTGGCCAGTCTCCAGGTTGAAGCTGCGGGCTTCTAGCGAATGGAGAAGGCATCCCGTAGGGTGAGATAGGAGATTTAGCAGGTGGTCCTTCACTCTTCAGTCTCTCCAACGCAGGCGATCCTCCCCTTGGAAGTCCATTCAAGTTGAAGTTCGCCGTCGAAGGCGAAAAGGAAGGCATTCCATTGTGCTGGTTCTGCTGATTGGGGAAAGCGAATGGCATCCCTGGCATGCCAAATACGGAGTGTCTATGAGCATGACCTCTGGGATCACCAGGCATGGATAGTGGGGAAGCAACAGATGCTGAGTAGGAATGTCCAGGAGTAGGGAAGTGGGCTAGCGATGGCGTAGAGCGATGCGACCCTCCAGCCATGGCTGCATGCATCATATTGGGCGAGACCGATTGGTAATGGCCAGAAGATTGACGAGACATAGGTGGAGGCTGAGCAGGAGCAAGATCATCTCCGAGACTCACGCCCAAAGCACGCAGCTTCTGCTCCATGAGGTCATCCTGGTATGATTTCCAGGTCTGCGGGTTTGGTACGAAGACTTTGAAGTCTTTTTGCTGACGCTTGATGATATCTTCTGAGTCGTCGGGATATTGGCCTCTGCTCTGTGACACGATTGATTCATGGTAGGCCCATGGCTCAAGATCGAATCCGTCCACATTATAGCCCTCCTCTTCGAAACGTTTGAGACGCGACTGATTCTCGCTTGTGCTTAGCGGTCTATGACCCCCACAGGCCTCAGGGGCCATTGAGGGCAGAGCGATCCAGCAAGCCTTTCCTCTCCACGCTAGTTTGGTCCTCGGTCGTGGTGGTGGTGTGGGTCGCTGGGTGTCTGAATTGGGCGGCGAAGGTAGCGGTGGAAGCTGGCCGTTCTTGTGGGGGCTGTATCCGATGGATCTGTCATGTTCTGGCAGGGATGTAGGTGGTTGGGGGAGCGGTTTCTCCTTGGAGGGCGACGAGGCCCATCTGGATGTGAATAGCGACATATTCGGCTCGTCGAACTGACGTGTAAACTGCCAAAAGTCTTCCTGCTTCAAGGTCAAATTGCTCTCTCTGGATTTGTGTCCTCTTCTGAAGGTATCGTGCGAGACTGGTCTTTGCTGTCTCTCGAATAGAGGGCTAGCGGATGTGTTCTTACGCCGATGTCTACCAGAGAACCAGGTAAAAGGAATGGGTGTCTTGAAGTCGTCTTCCTCTCCAGAGTCCGAATTGCTGCCGCCGGATTCGTCACTCAACCAATTTCCTCTTTCTGAGCGCCACTTGCCAGTCGTGTACTGTTGAACCCAGTCTTCGGTCAGACGACGGGTAATAGTATGACGGGACGGTCTCTGTGCGACTGTTCGTGATGTATCTTCCCGGAGTGCCAACCGTTCTGTTGTGATAGGGCTTGCTATGTGTTGCTGTACAGATACACGCGATGGTAACAAATGGTCGAGACCAAAAGACGGACTGAAATCTCGTCCTTGAACGGCGACTCGGGATGGAACAAGGTGCTCGAGGCCGAAAGAAATGCTTGGAGACGGAGTCTCGCTTCTAGTCTGTCGCTGGGAAGCGATAGGAGTGCCTTCGGCGCTGGGCGCACTAGGATCTTGTGTAGGGCGAGTGTAGGGAGAACCCCAGCTAGCGGTATAGTAGACTGAAGGGGCGTCGGTTGTGGAATGAATGTCTTCACGCACCGAGCGAGCGGAGCCGGAAGAGGGTGTTTGGAAGACCAGCTGAGGAGCAAGAGCGGAAGGCTGGGGGCCTTCCGCTGACTGTTGTGATGGCGAGTCCACTACTGACAGAACATGCTCGGACCTGCTTCGACGATGTGGGCTGCTGAGCGGAGTAGTGACTCGAGGGATGGCTATAGACGACGCCGTGATTTGATTCGAGCTGTTCGTCAAGTTCGTCAGCACATGCGGCTTGCACCTTGCTTGCCTGTCAACACTACCTACCCTAGCAGCAGACAGCAATGAGCGACCGGACTCGGACTCACTCAAATGCAGCCAAATGCTTGGAATTGATGCTGAACGAAAGCAGCTCCGGGTGTGTGGTGCTCTACCCCGTGAATTATTCTTAATGCTCAAGGGGAAATTGGTTTGAGATCGCGCTGAAACACGAATGACGCCTGTCTCGATTATGCCAAAAGACTGCAGGAAACGGAGGAAAGAAAGAAAGTGCTCGATCGGCTCAGTTCATCTCGACACGTAGAGACTTCGAGAAGGCGATCATACAATCATACAAATACACCGCTTAATCAAACAACAATATCCATCGAGGATAGGAGTGATCTGCACACAGACCTCCTTGAGGCTGAACACCAGCCACGACTCAACAACGGGCAGGCCGCGAAGGTTTCGAACGGCCTCCGCAAAACGGTCCTCTAAACTCAGTCACGCAAAAGATCATGGTTGCAACTTGATGCTTGACGAGTATGAAGCCTGGCAGTTGGAAAGATATATCATTTGTATTCGAGCAACCGCTCGTCTGTTGATGCTTACGCCACTGAACCTCCACCCAGCCATGAACCCCGACCCAATGCAAACGCTATCAAGAACCTCAAACAGGAAGAGAAGATGCAGTTTCGTAGTCAATTCGTCCAAGGCTTGACCATTTGACTATGCTTTCAGTCTCCGCTCTTCACACCTTACGCAAACGGGATCTTGGTTATTGCCTCTGAGGAAGTACCTGCCATCATCGAAGCCATTACCACATTCCTATATATCGATTAGTAAAGGACTTTACTTCATGAGCAAAATTACACTTACAGTGCAGCAGAAACAGCCAGCATGCCAGTCAGCACCTAAGGCCTTGACGACAATCTGTGTGACGGGACGTCTGCATTTACGGCATTTTGCACTGTATCTGTTGGTATGACAGCCTACGCACCAAGCGTATCCATCCTTCTCGACAAAAGGTGTGGTCGAATCGAAAGGCTATAAGAGAGTCCGTCAGCTACAATCTAGTCGTCGAAAAGTTTGAAATAACTCACATCACCACACTGTGCACAGAAGAAATGGCCAACGTGCCATTCTGCTCCACAAGCAACAACTACCTCGCCCTCGATGGGGGTCTTGCAGCTCTTGCAACGAGGGCTGAAGAACTCATGGAAGTCTAACCCACAGAAGAATCGGAGCGATTCATCGCCATCTTGCTCCTCTAGCCTCCTTACGTCTTCGTCAGTCACGCCAGCAGGAAGATAGACATCAAGACCTTGTTGACGTTGTTGAATACGAGCCAGCCGTTCTGCTCGCTTCTTGTCCGGCTCCGGATAGAACGCGACACACTCGAGATTGATATCACATTCGTGGCACTTGAAGCATGAAGGATGGAAGCGTTCGCCTGCGGCACTCAAGATGCGCCCTGCTATGGGCAATGCACAATGGGCACACAAAGCTGTGGTTCTCCTCACAGACGGGGTCATATGAGGTTTGGCGACTGCTGGATATGGCGACGTCTTGCAGGGAACAGGAAGTGGACGAGCAGATGAAGGCGTAGGAGTTGGTAGGGGGCGTTTTGAGAAAGGGGAGTTGGTCTTGGGTGGTGAAGATTGCGGACGATGCTGGAGAGGTGGTGGTCGCTCAACCTTCGCGCTGGTAGGCTCGTTGATGCAAAAAACAGGAGGCCTCACGATATCTGTGGAAAGACTTATTCCAGGAATGTCTGGCTCTTCGGAAAGCGTTTTGGACGGGCTTGAGCTGGAATCATCTGGGACGACGATCATGGGAATGTCGGCCCTCATGACTGAGATTGTGGGCATCTCAGTAGGAATCTTAGCTGGTCTTGATACTGGCTCATCCGGAACCATGATTGTAGGGATAGGAGGCGGGCCTTGCTGAGAATGGGGTAGCGAGTAGCGCCTCTGCTTTCCACTTAAGGCAGCCTCGGAAGGCGAATCCTTGCCTACGGACAGACACTCTGGAAGAGCTATCGATTTCTCCTCTACCAGTTGAATTTCCCTGGGTTTCCATCCTGATTGGAAACTGACAATGGGTCTACCAGGACTATCGCTAACTGCGGTTGGTTGAGGAAGATTCGGACTTCTGTCTTTGCGTTTCATGGCGGTTGCAGAGCGTATGTCATCGCCGCGGATTTCTTTGCCGTCCTTGATCTTTGCGTTGTCCTCGACAGCCTTCTCGGGTACAACCTGAGGTGGGAGACTGGGCGAAGCTGGCGCAGAGTCGTTGACTGTGTAGAAAGCTTTTCGGGATTGCGAAGGCGGGTTTCTTTGAATCTCGATCCTTTCGTGTTTCTTCGCTGTGTGACTAGAGACTGACTCTCTGTCGTCGTTTTTCTTGGCTGAGTAGCCAGACGGGGATTCCTTCTTTTCGAACTTCTCTTGCGCCAATCGCACTCGAGCAAAAGGATTCCTGCGAACATGACGTGGAACCTCTTCTGACTTAGGCTCAACCTTTGCTGTCGTCTTTTGTACTTCTGCAGCTCTTGCTTCCTTCAGTTGTTCATCCGGTTCTTCGTAGATCTTGTCGGTTGGGCTCATGAACCCCGCCCTGACTTCTGCACTAGGTCGTCGTTTGGAGCCACTGCTAACACGTCGCTTCGACACCTCGACATCGTTTGCTACAGCGTTCGCGAGTCCTTCATAACTTTTGCCTTTGGAGCGCGTGCTTCGTGGTGTAGTGAACACAGGTGTGGCCTCTACGAATGGGTCTTCGGGTAAAGCTTTCGTGCTGGGCTTCTCGGGAGACGAGGTTGGTGAGTCACTGATCGCCGGACGACTGGTAGACAAATGACGACTTTCGATCCTGTCTTTGCTTGTGGTACGAAGATGCGCCCGGTAATCTTTTCGCGCGGCCTTGGGATCTACGTCTGGGTTTGTGTATGCAGAGGCGCGTTCTTTCTCGGGATCGTGACCAGTGCGATGCTTCCAGACCAACTCAGCAGCCTCATCTTGAGCGGCTGCATGAATACGTTGTTCCTCGTCCAAGTTCAGCTCTTCGATGACCTCGTGTAACGGTAGGGAGACCAGAGATGTCGACTTCGTCAGCGTGAACGATCCTGGTTGCGCCACAAGAGGGCGACCAGCGAATACTCCGCGATCGGTCGAATCAAGGCTCTTTTGACGGGCATGTGCGGTAGTGGAAGCTGGTTTGTTGGTTGTAGTCGGAATGGCGTCGTCGGTAGATGTCGGTCGCTGCTGTTGACGTTTGCTTGCGATTCTCGAGGGTGGTGGTGGTCTTGAGCCGTTTAGTCGGGCGACGCGGTTGTTTCGGAGATCTTGTAAGTAAGTGGCTGAATCATCGTCGTGTAAGCTCAAGTTGTTGATTTTGTCATAGTCGGGTATAGATGAGAGTCGTTGGCATTGTCTAAGTGGTGAAGGTTTCTTTGGAGAGTGTGGTGGCTTTGGAGGAGAAAAATGAATGTGCTGACCCAATTGTTGATCTTTGTGGTTGTCGCTATTTTCAAAAGCCATGACGAGGCCGGAAGACAGGGATGTCGAATTCGTCTTGGGTCAGCTTGCAGGGGAGAAGACTGATGGCGGGCGCAGGACGATTAAAAGAGATATAGGAAAAGACAGAGAGACGTTATCAAAACAGAGAAATCAATAATGCAACGAAGGAAACGAGGATAAAACGATGTGGAGGTATGTATGGTATTCTGGAGCGAAGTATGGACGATAGAGACGGTTTTGTGTTTGTGTTTCCACATAGCAACCAAGGACGAATGGAGCTTGGACCAATGCCCAAGCACTCCGATCCACGACCCTGAGTGCGGTCGGACATTCTTCGATGACAGAATTGAGCTGCCTTGAACTGACGATCCACCCGCAAGTGTTGCTTGGAATTTCAGGCAGCCTGTGACGAACATGTCATTGTTGAATGACAGATGGGAGACAAGATACGGTGGTTGCGACGCGTAGAGGTCTGCACCACCGTTGTCCCGGAGAGGAAACCGTCATCCCCGATAACAGGTATGACCTAGCTGTATCTTTCGGCTGGCACACGCTTGGATGTGTTCAAAGGGCCATATGAGATTGGGAGGCGAAAGCGCTTACATCAAGGAGCGGCCAGCGAGCACGAAGGAGTCCGTAGATTGCATGTCTAATATGGAGGAGAGATATAGGGGCTGCCAAATGAGCATCGAGAGTGGATGGTGGGGAGAATTCGCGTGCAATAACTCGACAGAGGCAGTTGAGAGAAACGGAACAGCAATATTTTGATGTTTGATGTCATGCAAGTAGAGTATCGGGGAACAGACGGGCCTTGGAGTGGAAATATGAGAGCAGGGTAGATACCTGAGAATACCTAATTCAAACGTGGAAAGCTTAAAACCTGATATAGGATCAACGGGGTGGCAGATGGGACCCCTATGACACGGATCATGGTAGCTGTCTGGAATTCAAAGGAGATTCGTCAAGAGCTGTACAGATAGTTTGGATGTGGCTGTAAAGTGAGTGGGAGAATGCTAGAAAAAAAGAATCGAACAGGGTCGCGACCGCCTCACATGGAGCCTTGGAGAAGCGGAAGCAGCCGCCCTGTTTGGACGCGGCCACGATTTGTTGATGTTTGGACCGACTGTGCCAAGCCTCGTCGTGCTTTGCTCCTGCCTACCGCCCCTTGATCCCTACACGACAATTGCCAATCGACCAACCTCTTCGACCACCGTCACCGACTCTCCAGACCTCTTCATCGCTCATCCATCACAGTCACCATGCGTGAGATTGTGTGTCTACCCTGCTGTCGCTTGCGCACATACGGACTGTTATGCTAACGTCTTTCTCCTACAGGTCCACCTCCAGACCGGCCAATGTGTATGTCTACCTGAAATGAGCTCCAATTCACCCCAAGAACCTCGCGTCTGACCACAAGAAACAGGGTAACCAAGTTGGTGCCGCCTTCTGGCAGACCATCTCCGGCGAGCACGGCCTTGACGGTGCTGGTGTGTACGTTGACGCCCTATGCCCGTTCTTACAACCTCACGGCGGCTCGCTGACTGCCTAACAGCTACAACGGTACCTCCGATCTCCAGCTGGAGCGCATGAACGTCTACTTCAACGAGGTCAGTCTCCAATCGCCGTCCCCTCGTTCACTGCTCCAATACTAACGCGCACCGCCAGGCCTCTGGTAACAAGTATGTTCCCCGTGCCGTCCTCGTCGACTTGGAGCCTGGTACCATGGACGCCGTCCGTGCCGGTCCCTTCGGTCAGCTCTTCCGTCCCGACAACTTCGTCTTTGGTCAGTCCGGTGCTGGCAACAACTGGGCCAAGGGTCATTACACTGAGGGTGCCGAGCTGGTCGACCAGGTCTTGGATGTCGTCCGTCGTGAGGCCGAGAGCTGTGACTGCCTCCAAGGTTTCCAGATCACCCACTCTCTCGGTGGTGGTACCGGTGCCGGTATGGGAACGCTCCTGATCTCCAAGATCCGTGAGGAGTTCCCCGACCGTATGATGGCCACCTTCTCTGTCATGCCCTCGCCCAAGGTCTCCGACACCGTTGTCGAGCCTTACAACGCTACCCTCTCTGTCCACCAGCTGGTCGAGAACTCTGACGAGACCTTCTGTATCGACAACCAGGTTTGTCCCCACCCTGTTCTTCTACACCGCTTCATTGACTAATCGCCCCAGGCTCTCTACGACATCTGCATGAGCACCCTCAAGCTCAACAACCCCTCTTACGGCGACTTGAACTACCTCGTCTCAGCCGTCATGTCCGGCGTCACCGTCTCGCTCCGTTTCCCCGGTCAGCTCAACTCCGACTTGCGCAAGCTCGCCGTCAACATGGTCCCCTTCCCCCGTCTCCACTTCTTCATGGTCGGTTTCGCTCCCCTCACCAGCCGTAACGCCCACTCCTTCCGCGCTGTCTCGGTTCCCGAGCTCACCCAGCAAATCTTCGACCCCAAGAACATGATGGCCGCCACCGACTTCCGTAACGGCCGCTACCTGACCTGCTCTGCCATCTTCCGTGGTAAGGTCTCTATGAAGGAGGTTGAGGACCAGATGCGCAACGTCCAGAACAAGAACTCCGCCTACTTTGTCGAGTGGATTCCCAACAACGTCCAGACCGCCCTCTGCTCCATTCCTCCTCGTGGTCTCAAGATGTCGTCTACCTTCGTCGGTAACTCGACCTCGATCCAGGAGCTGTTCAAGCGTATCGGCGACCAGTTCTCTGCCATGTTCCGTCGCAAGGCTTTCCTGCATTGGTACACTGGTGAGGGTATGGACGAGATGGAGTTCACTGAGGCTGAGTCCAACATGAACGACTTGGTCAGCGAGTACCAGCAGTACCAGGAGGCCTCCATCTCCGAGGGTGAGGAGGAGTACGATGAGGAGGCTCCTATGGAGGCTGAGGAGTAAGATGTCGATCAGGCAAACGATCAACATCTAATTTCGTATTCACGTTGTCCGAGAGGAGGAAACGCTTGGATCCTCTTTTTCTACTCTTGTTCTTTTTTCCACGATAACCAAGTCAATGTCCGAGCATTGGGCGCCCTAGCGAGTTTGAAATGAAAGCCCTCCTTGTCTTTTAGTAATTACCAAAAGCTTCTCTTTCCACGTTTTCTGATCTGGTCTGCACCAGCCAAAGTAAATAGCCTGTCATGAAGGGATGCTGCATAGTGTTGCAATCCGTGATACTCATTATTCAGAGATTGATACGCGATATCATGGCTATTCACACACGCCGCCATCACTTGACACCACTCTAAAGACTCGAGTCTGACACTCGGTCTCACATCCTTATCGACCTACAGCAGCATTTCAAAAGCAGAGATGCCAGGATCAAGCCACCATAGCAATGTCATACAGAGTAAGTACTACGCTCTTCATTCAAGACCACACCAAGAGACTGACAGAAATCGCATGAGGATAACGATGATATTTTTATGGTAATGCTAGAAGTAAAAGAACAAAGATGAGGGGTATGTGTGTGTTGTAAAGAGGAAACAAGTCAGCACGATGATGGTTTCGTCTTGTGATAATGATGGGAGGGAAGCAGAGGCAGATAATGAACTCGCAGTGCTATGCAGGGTGAAATAAAAAGATCAGAGAAACAACCCCTCAACGCCTTTTCCCCTTCCTCTTCTTGGAACCTCCCGGACTTGCAGATTTTCGTTTGTGTGGGTTTGTGCAGTTGTTGAGTAAGATGCATGCCGATATAAACTCCTCGATTCCGCATGCCATTTCATCCACCGCCGCCGCCCTCCCTCCCTTTCCTTTCGCGAAAAGATGATGAAAAGTACTACTTCTACAACGACAAATTGGTATAGAGAAGAAAGAGAAAGAAAAACATATCCCCAGAAGCAAAGGGCGCAGAGAGAAAGGTCCAGATGAGACATCCTCCCACAGAGGACGTGGTGAGCATGAGTAAGTACAGTTGTGATGTTGAAGAACGCCTGGTATGTCCCCTGCTATAAAGTCGAGAGTGCCTTTTGTCGTTTCCAGATCCTTATAACGACGCTGATAGGAGAGTCGGAGCATAATGCATATCATCTTCGTGTCTGTAACCTCGGATTGGGTATCTCAGCAGTAGCGGAAAGCAACAAAGGTGTGTTGTCAAAGATTGGACAAGAATAGTAGTGTGGTAAGAATAGTCGGATCAGGGAAGAAGAGTAGGCTGGGTCTGCTGCGAAGGGTCGACAACCTGGTCCGAAAGTGCCAGCAGCAATTGTGCCAGACAACGCTTAGTGGCGGCATCATCACGCAAGACAGAAGAGAAGGTGGCGTCGCGAAGGGGCTCGGGCAAGCATTGGCGGAGAGCTTCACGAGCACGAGCGTTATCACTGAGACTATGGTGGTGGTTAGACGAGGACTCGGTCAAAAATTGCGAAACTTGACATACCGGAGGAAGCATCTCACGACATGCTTCAGCAGACGCACCGTCTGCTGCTCAACAAGCTGGTTGACCATGTTGGAAAGAACAGTTCCGACAGCGTAGAATCGCTCGTAAGTCTGACAGATGTACTGCAGGCCGAGGTCATCGAGCAGGATCTTCTGAACGATGAAGATAGCGACCGTCTTGCTGAGTTCGCTACCTGTTTCCATGATGCGCAAGCAGAGAGGGATGATCTCAGTTGTGAGAAGGAAGTTGATGACCTCTGAACTGTCGTTCTTGACAAGTGCGCCAATAACACCGAGAGAAGTAAGGCGCAGGTATTCGAAAGGTCTTGACTTGGATGTCGTGTTGAGGAAGGGATAGAGGAACAGCGGGATGTGAGCACCCAGGAAGAGGCCACGAGTCTCGCCGTGCGAGGCCACACACTGAAGCAAAGCCAAAGCGTTGCAAACACGGTTGGATGCAGCTGCGGTCAGCTGCGAAGGGTTCAACAGAGGGTAGACTGAGATGATCTCTTGCAGAAGCGAAGTCATAACGCCTAGGTCATGTCAGCGGCTTGGTCAGTCAAGACGTTCATCATACAGGGGTAGATACCGAACGAGTGCCACAGAATCAGAGCCAACTCGGGAACCTGTTCCCTCTTCTTACTCAGCTCGAGGAGAGCGCCTTCGCGCGTCTGAGGGTTCATCATCTGGGCGATCCACTCGAGTACGCGGCGGTTCTCGTCACTGACGGCGCCGTCGCTCGACTGGAGCTGAAGCTGATGTTCATGCGAAGGCTGCATGCTGGCGGCTGAAGCGACGTTGTTCACGGCGATGCGATTGTAGTGTTGTTGTTGGGCAGCTGCGGCAGCTTGGGCGGCGGCAGCAGCTTGTGCCTGAGCCTGAGCCTGAGCCTGAGCCTGGGCTTGTGCTTGAGCCTGGGCTTGGGCCTGTGCCTGCGCCTGAGCGTGTTGCTGTTGGAGACCATGGTGCGACTGCTGGTGGTGGTGAGATTGCTGCTGCTGCTGCTGTTGCTGCTGCTGCTGCCATTCCTGAGGCGCATAGTGCTGCTGGTGTTGGCCATGGTGTTGATGCTGGTGCTGGTGCTGATGCGAGAAGACATGCTGCGAGGGCAGCATCTTGGCTGCGCGGCTGCTGAATGTAGACAGATTGAAGGGTTTGGGCGGTGAAGCTTCGAGATTGACGAGTGTGAGGGGCGCGGGACGACGGGACGACGAGACGACACGAGACGAGAAGGAGCGGCTGGTTGTCACGGTCTGACTGAGTGTTCGAGAGGAAGGCACTCCTCCAACCGCACACGCTTCCTCGACTCCACTCGGCCCGCAAAGCTTATTCCGTCTGTATCGGTGGTCCGTGCGCGACTGCCATCATTTGCTGTGACTAGCCGTCGACAGTGAATGTATCGAGGTTGCTAAGTGAGGGAGCGAGTGAGCGTCAACCACTGCTTGTCACTGAAGGAACAAGGCAGATCCACAATTATTTACACACACACACCCGCATATCCCGAAGAGTTCAACTTGTGCTTGCAATCCTTAATCATATTCATGCTTCTCAAACCAAAGGGCTCCGATAATTAAACCCATAAATTCTGCCTCATGCTTCATCCAAACGCCTCAAGAATGCCTAAGATGCCATCTTATAGCCGTGCCTTTCATTACCTCCACCACCTGCCTCCATACCTGTCTACAGCTTCAGCTCGTTCAAGATGGTTTGCGCCATGTTCTTGTACTGCCACGTGCCGCCATCCACCTTCTTGAACTGGATCCCGTGCAGGCTCAACAAAGGCACCTTGACCACGAAGATCTCAAACTTGAGTACCATGCCTTCGCCCAGATCACTCTGCACATGTGTCGATGTTTCACCAGCGGCTCGGTTATGCTGCTGCCCGCGAACTCTTCTCTCCTCGTCATCATCAGAACTGTCGCTAGCAGTGTAGCTGTTATCGCGTCTCGGACGAGGAGGTGTGGGTGTCGTTGGTTCGGTATTGCCTCCTCCCATCAACCCACCGAAACTGATCTTTCGTCTGTGACTTCCATAACCCATGGCTGCTTGGTCATCCTTAGGCTTCTCCATGTCGATACTGGGAGCATGACGACAGCTGAAACCGCCCTTGATCTCGCGGTACTCGACGCCAAGCTGCTTCAAAACTCTGATGATGTCTGTGCGAATCACAGCCAGAGGCTTGGAACTGGTAGTTGACACACTGAACAAGCCCTTGAGGTAGACAGGTTTGATGCCATTCGGGCTCTCGCTGGCGCCATTAGTCGAGCGGACTGCTTCAACCTCCCGCAAGTCTTGATCAGTCTCTTCCGGTACGTCTTCAGTGCGGGTATCCATTCTTCGAGCTCTGCGTGCTTGGAAACTCTCCTTACGACCGTGACCCATCGATTTGGTCCTTGAGGTCAGGGGCATTGTTCTGGAACCAGAGGTTTCAGCATCCGAAGACGCATCACCGTACTGTCTATCGCCGCGTCTGCTGGGTTGAGGGGTCATGGCTGTCGGTCGAACGCTTGAACCCTCAGATACACCTCGGCGAGAAGTATCACGACTGTGCTCGGCAGCGCTGACACTAGTAGAACGTCCTAGACTGGTGCGCTCTGGGGTTGGTGTAAGTAGTTCTGCTGGCTTCTCGACAGCAGGCTCTGGCTGTAGTCTGTTGGCACTTGGGTCTCGCTGTCTCCTCATGCTGAAACTCTTTCTTGGGGTCGTGTAGGCATCGTTGGTCGCTGCTGGGGCTGGCCTTTCAGGGTCCTTGTGTCGTCTGGTGCTTAGCCTGCGCAGTAGGCCCACTGCAGCGCTCTCCTTCTTTACTGGCGTGTGATCAGGTGGAGGTAGAACAATGGCAGGAGATGGCACTGGTGGCACGCGATTGGTCGATCTCGCCTTCTTCGCATCTTCTTGCAACTCATCCTCGCCGTGCGTTCTGGCGCGTGGACGACTTCGGCCTCCTGTTGGTGCCTCTCCAGCCATCTCGTACGCAGCAGTGTTGGTGTAAGCAGCCGCGGGTGGCTGGAGATCCGGCAGCTGCAATGGCTTCTCGCCAGGTGAGCGTGGCATGGACAGTACGCCTGGGTTTGACTCCCTCTCTTCGCGTTCAATCTTCTCCTTGACCAGAAAATAGATGGAGAGCAATGGGTTGTAGGCATTTAGAGGGTCTGTGCCCAATTGAACAGCTTCAGACGAAGGGCCAGTCAGAGTATCACGACTCGTTGTGGACTTCCGTCGTTTATAGAAGTCGAACATGCCACTTTGCTTGTTTTGGGAGTCCGCAAGGCCAGATTGTTGGCGGCGTTCCATGGCGACCACAGACTTTTGGTACTCTTCAGACTGTACAATCTTGGTGAGTTGTTGCTCGATGTATTCTGCAGTACCAAAATCGAAGCCGTCCATCTTCTTAAGAACTCGTGGATCCAATGGAAGTTGTAGGGGTTTACGAGGAGGGAGGTAGTTCTCGGGAGGACCACCAAATCCTTTCGTCATCCAGGGATGTACCAGGATCTCTGCAAGAGTAGCACGTTGCGCAGGATCTGTCACAAGCATACGCGCGATCAGGTTTTTGCACTCTAGAACTCAAGTCAGCATCACTCGACGGCATACAAAAGTGGTCGGCACGTACCTGCACTCAGCCAGGGCGGATATTCTACTACTCCCTTCTTGATCTTGGCGTGCAGCTGCGGCATACTCTGGTCGTCGAACGGTACCTTGCCACAGACAAGGACGTACAAAACAATGCCAAAACTCCAGACATCAACTTCGGGGCCGGTATAAGCTTTTGCCTGCAAAAGCTCGGGTGCGGCGAAGTAAAGAGAACCACAGAAAGTCTTGAGAAGGCCCTTGGGCGAAAAGGTGTTGCTCAAGCCAAAGTCGATAATCTTGATATCGCCAGTCTTGCTGATAAGAATGTTTTCAATCTTGAGATCACGGTGGACAATGCTGTTGCGGTGGCAGTAGTCGAGTGCACTGGCAATTTGGCGACCAAACTTACGCGCCTGCTTCTCCTTCAGGCGACCGTGCGAGATGATGTAGTCAAGCATCTGACCACCGTTGACGTATTCAAACAGCATGTACCAGTGGTAGTTGGTGCGCACAACATCTCGCATACCGCAGATGTAGGGGTGATCGACCAAAGTGACAATAGCGGCTTCACGAGCGGTACGCACTTCTTTGGAATGATCGGCTCTTTCGCGATCCTGGGCATTGCGATGCTCGTCGGTTGACTGGCGAGGGACGATTTTGACAGCAACCTGGGAGACATCAGTAAGCGGAAACAAACATGCGCAGAGTATGGGGCGAGGCTACTTGTTCGCCAGTCTCCTTGTTGCGAGCCAGCTTTACTTTTCCCATACTGCCTGCACCGATGGTCTTTCCGAGATCCCAGTGACCGGTGGTTGCGTCTACAGTAGTTCTTCGACGAACATTGGTTCCAGAAGTTGAGGTAGCACGTGTAGCATTCGAAGCAGTAGAGGAAGGCATTTCTTGAGAATGATATCTTGACTGACTGGCCGAAGCAGTGTTTCTCGTCGAGTCGGAGCGAGCAGGAGCGTCAGGGCGGTTGCGAGATGAAGAGGACTGCTGCGCTAGGTTTGATTGCTCATGGTCGTTTCTGGCGACATTGGCGAGCTGGGGTGCAGCCGATGCAGAGGCGGAGCGAGTGTGGGAGTGAGATTGCGAAGGTTGACGACGAGGAGACGGAGGCACGTCAGAGCGAGCAGGAGTTGTCTGGGGACGGTCTGAGGGTGGTTGGCTCATGTGGGCACGGCGCACGCTGTTTGGCGTGTTGGGAATGGCGGCGGCAGACATGAAGGTTGAGGGCGCGGTGTGTAAGCGCTCCTTCTGAGGGCACTGCGCTACCGGCTGGCTGTGAGGGCCCGACAGACGAGGTCGTACAAACGCGTCTGGGGGCTTATGCGACTTGTCGGGGGCAGATGAGCGGAAAACAACTGCTCGTTGTTGTTGTTGTTGATGTTGGAGTGAGGAGGATGGTCGGAGCTGTTCAGTCGTGTCGGTCGCTTTGTTTGGGCAGCGGCTTCCTGTCTCAGACTGCTTTCCAAAGCGCGAATCGTCTCTGCGGCAAGCACGCACTCTTGACAGCGAGTGATGAGGCAGTTGCGAAAAGGGCTTCGGCTCCGAGTCCAAGACTACAGCGCCGATGACATGGACGAGGTTGGGTTTGTTGTGGAGAAGGTTCCGTGTCACTCTGTCTGGCCCGTAGTCTGTCGTTTCGTCCAGCCACCATCCACATGAGCCTCGACGACCTTCCAACTTTCGATATGCCCATGCAGCGCTCAAATCCACCTGACGGGTATCTGTGAGCAACTGTGCAACCTTGGAGTGCCCTTCACTATCGCCGTATGCTCATGTCGGGCCTGCAGAGCATCTTGTTGGTAGGGGTTTTTGTTTATGTGACTTGTTGCACCTGATTCAGTCAACGCCGATCTGCCCGCACTCCAACGGCTGTCCGCCATCGTATCGTCCATCCACGCTCGACTTGGTTTCTCTTTTCATCACCGCTAAACACAACACACTGCCCACCCATGCCGTGACGTAAGTACAGCGACTTCAACACTCGCCGAATCATCTTAGTGCTTGACACCATGCAAACAGAAACTGAGAATGTCATACAAGCGTTCAAGAGACAATTTCGAGTCCGACCAGCTTCCTCAATTTGCCCTCTTCGGCACACCGCTACCGCCTCTGGACTCGGATACCCGCGACGATGGCTCCTATGCTCCTGTGTGGAAGCAAGATGCCCGCGATGAGCAGGGTCGAAAGCGCTTCCACGGTGCTTTCACCGGAGGCTACAGCGCTGGTTACTTCAACACCGTAGGCTCAAAAGAAGGCTGGGCTCCCTCGACCTTTACCTCATCGCGTACGAACCGCCGCAAAGATGCCCAAGTCGCCCGCCCCGAAGACTTCATGGATGACGAAGACCGCGCTGCTGCAGCAGAAGCTCAGAAACTCCAAACCCAGGGCGACTTTGCTGGCTTGGGCTCCACTACCCAGGATCAGGCCCGCCGCGGCTTGGTGAGCGATCTGTTCACACCGGCAGGAGAAACAATTGGTGTAAAGCTTCTGCAGAAGATGGGCTGGAGACAAGGACAGGGCGTTGGGCCTAAGGTCAGGAGGAAAGCTCGCACTGAGGATACTGCTGGCTCTGCTCCTAGCGACGAGACACACCTCTTCGCCCCCGAAAACTCCCGCATGGTAGCCTTCAACCGGAAGAAAGATCGCTTCGGTCTGGGTTACTCTGCCGGAGAACGTTTGGGCCAGACCAGAACCATCGTGCAACAGGATGACCAAGACGAAGATGAGTCTGAGAATCTTGGCCGACTTATCAAACCAAAGTTCAAGGCAAAGCGAAGCGGATTTGGTGTCGGCGTCTTGAACGACACTGGCTCGGACGAGGAGGATCCTTACGACATGGGGCCCAAGATATCTTACAATCGTATCATCGGCGGTGATCGGAAGAAGAAGAAAGGTGGCATCCTTGCAACCAATGCCAATCCTACCTTGAGAGGCCTGAAAACGCCAACCTTCTTGTCTAAAAAGCTGGGTCAGAAAAACAGCAATGGTTTCAGAAAATGCCATGATGGCCGTCTTCCACTCGACGGCTTCGTACTAGCTTCATCTCTGTTACTGAACATCCAAGACAACAAACATCCGCCTCCTAAAGTTCCTGAAGGATGGGAGCCGAAGAAGGCTACTTCTGCGACCAATCATGACTCATCGTCTCATCAATCTACAGCCGATGCTGCTCGAGCCTCTACTATGGATCCAGCCAAAAGAGCAGCTGCTCTCGGTGAGCAACAGCTTCCTGGCAAGTCCATTTTTGATTTCATGAGCAAAGAAGCACGTGATAGGCTCGTCACGGCGACAGGCAGATCAAATCTTCCAATGGCACGTGGAGAAGCCGCCCCTGAAGGATGGCAAAGATCAGACGTCGACAAACAGAGGTCTTTGTGGGACTTGGTACCAAAGCTGGACAGTACAGTAGCAGCCTCGGCCTTGCAACGTGGCACGAGTGGTTGGATGCCCTATGCTGAAGATGAGGCCAAACGAGCCCGCTATCGCTCATTCCTTGAGTCTTGTAGCGGACAACGCGACGCATTGCCTGAACGTGTCAAGGGTTCGACGATTGATGAGTGGACGAAAGAGATGCGTGAGTTCGCACAAGCGGCCGAGGTCTTTAAACCAATCTCAGGCCTCATGGCATCCCGCTTCACCAGCTCGTCTTCAGCTCCTCGATTAGCGACAGACATATTGCCCTCGAGCTCTGAACGACCTACCAAATCCGAAGATCCTGCAGAAGCCGCTGCGAAGATTGGCATGTTTGGCCCCATGACCCGCATTCGTGTTCAATTTTACCCTACTCGTCTACTCTGCAAACGGTTCAATGTCAAGGCACCGGCTCACGCTGATCCAGGCAATGGCCAAGGCGATGATATTGCAGTCTCAGACAGCAGACTTGATGTAGTGTCGCAGAACAAGATGGATCAGATGATGCGCGAGATATGGTCACAGCCGACAAATGCCTCTACGACGAGTGACGTGACTCCTTCAGCACAGTCAGTCCAATCTCAAGTCAGACAACAGGTAGATGTCGAGGTCAATGAGGCCATTGAAGCACAAAGACCTGGAGACGATGTCTTTAAAGCAATCTTTGGCAGTGATAGCGAAGACGAATAGGTAGTATCTTGGTAGAAACACCACCGATAGAATGACTCCCCGTATCCTCTCGTCTCAGAACATATGACGACGGCCACCTTGGCCAATGCTCGTGTCGTCTACGAGGTGAGAGCTCGGTCCCATCGTCAAGGTGACTCTGATGAGCAATACACTCAAAACACCGTCAACCTGGTCGAACAAACGGACCACGGCACATGGTACCGTGATATTGTGACGATCTAGTACTTGAGCTACGAGACATGGTCAGGCATATCATTCTACATCCTTCCAAAAAAGTAAAGGGGCTGGGAGATTGGGTATGAGCTTTTGTCCGAGGCTTCAAAAAGCACTCTGGGAGATGCATCCGACGGCCCATCAATTACAGAGGTCATTTGAGCGCTACACGTTGCGTGTTGCTCAGACGGACTCATGTATATACTGAGCCGCACGCGAACGTGATTGGCGCTACGAGGTAGACGAGAACGAGCGAACAAAGTTTCGGTGCAATATGCGGAATAATGACAAAAGCATAACAATAACCTGATCTCTTCTGAATGCCTCAGGATGTTGCAACTTGCCACAGCCGGCGGCAGCAGAGACGGGCAATGTGCCGAGCATGCAAGACGTAATAGAGTAGTATCAAGAAGCCACACCAGGCTTCCCTACCCGCAGTGTCGGTTGGAAAAGAGAGACAAGAATTTATATTGCCAGCAAGCGATTATCATACTGCGGCAATATTGCTGTTCTCTGGCCCTCAGATGCCGCGTTCACCGAGGAACCAGAACGCCCCTGTGTTGTCCATCATCCCCAACCTCCCTCTTGTGTTTCTCAATCATGGAGAATACTCGGTTAACGCGTGGATAGGCGGTATGTGATAATGCTGATGGACAGCGCCGTCGCAAACCGGGGGGAAGCCACAAGTCTTGCCCTCTGCTCTGCAAGGACCTTCCTCTTGCGCATGTGAGCCAAAGCCCAAAGCTAAGACTCTGCAAAAGCACGAACTCGTTGAACAGTGAGAGGGTCGAACGATAGCCAGACGTACGTGATCGTCCGAGGCCGACTTGAGGCCAGCAGGGCGAGACATACAATGGATGATACAAGCAGTGTCCCCGAGGGTTTAGTCTTGCTCTCTGCCCGCGTCGCCCCGGCAACCGCACCAAGCTCCACACACACAAGTTGTCTCACAAGAGGGCAACCAGCCGACAAAGCAAAGAAGAACAAACACATTTTGCTTCGGCTTACCGGATACTTCCTTTCGTACGTAGTTGGAAGACCAGCGCTGACACCTTGTAAAGGGGAAAGAAAACTCTTCCTTTGACTGGGTAACAGAGCGGCCAGCGTAGTTTGGTAGGGCAGGTGAGCCAGACTTCTGGAAGCCACGTACTGTGTTGTTTTGCCAGTGCGGCTAATTGTTTCGGGACCTTGGGAGCAAAGGTGGGGGGCAGACCAGAACTCTTCTTTCTCAGGCCCAAGGGGGCTGGCTGGCTGTCTGATTGAGCAACAGTGAGGCGGACCCGGTGACTGGTTCAGATGATTGATGAGTGGCAGTTGGGTGCACATGCGCACAATACTCACACACAAGCATCAGAGGAGCCAAAGCGACACGAATCCTTCGTTCCAACTATATTCTAGAAGCCTAGACTAGAGAGAGGCATTGTAGCAGAGTACGCTCCTGTAGATCCTCACAGAGCCGACAACCCTGCCGGTATTACTGTTGCAAGGAGTGATGGTTTGGCTTGTAGTGATAGCTTTTCAAGTGGAGATTTGGTGGATATGAGCTCTCGCTCTTGCCCGGGAAGGCTGGAGAGTCGTATTGGCTCGACAGCTTGTACATCTGTAATTCCACTTAGCTAGCCATAGGACATGGTCTGACACAATGGAGTAGATTGGGAATGAGCTTCGTGAACATATTCGAAATCTCGCAAAGCTCGCATAGGCCTGCTTGACATTTCTCACGTAGTGGCATTGACATTCATGCAATATCCAGCATCCATGTGCTCGGTAATGATCAAAACCCAGGTCGATGTCTTGGGGACACGGCTATCGTCGCAGGCAGATGGTCTGTCAGCCCAGTGGCTGCTGATGTTGCTGCGATGCGCGCTCAAGCGACACTATATGCTTCCCTTGAATCACAGATAGCCTCGTGGTGAATGTTACTCTGCATAGGACACGTGGAAAAAGGCTTTCCGGAGCCGACTGCTGTGCGACTGGGACGCGGTCATCGTTGTCAGACATCGGATCATCTTCAAGCCAGGATATCATCATCTAAGCTGTCGCCCACGGCAAGGTGTGAACGCATGATTGTCATGAAGCCCCAGATACTCCGCGAAACAGAGATCTTGGTACACCATCGATGAGTGTACGGTATCAACACGGACAGGCTTCGGCAGGGCCCTCGTCTCAGAGTAATAGCAAATGACGACTTTGGTGTCGGACTCGAGATTTGAGTACGACTGCAGGCTGCAGCAACATTCCTTTTTCCCGCGGTGACAGACAGGGGGTACAAACTTGTTCCTGGATATCCAAAACAAAAGAAAAAGATCGGCCATGACACACTGCGTAAACAAAGATGAAGCCTGCTGCTCCTATTCTGATGACGTGACATGCAATACGAAAGCAGGTGGACGGGCTAGCTTCTGCTGTCTTTGCGCGCGAGCTGCGCGAATGTGTCGCGCGTGCGGCGTCAGATGCAGAGATGTTTTTATGCAGGTTTGAATTCCGCCAACCCCCGGCCACCAAGGAAAGATATAGCGAATCACAGCGGAGGGGGAAATCCACGAATCGCGACCGTCTTCAGGTCGCGGCGGGGAGTCTGTAAACGCTCGCCTGGTCAGTCCGGTAGGCAGATCAAGGGGACCAGCACACCAGATAAGCGCACGGCAGCGAGCTTCATCTCAACAACCCGTTGTCATGTCCTGAGGTTGTCGAAGGGTCCACCGATCTTTCTCCTGGCTCTCGAGTACAGTTTGCGGCACTGGACATCCCGAAAGTCAAAATTGAGACCAGTCGTCGGTGATCTCAGGCAGGGCTTGATTTGTCCGAGTAATTATAGCAGACGTGCCAACGGCTTTTCTCTTCGCTGCTACGTAGAAGGATCACTGTCCTCACGGTTCGCGTAGGCGAGCACAGAGTCGACGACTTGACAGTCGGCATAGCAGTAGAGATCAGACATGTCATATGGATTCAAATGAATCTCTTTCGCGAGTAATCTTAGATTAAACCTTGAGGTTCTGAGCAATGAGCATGGGCCAAGTTTACCTGTGTCATCAATAACAGGCACAACTCCGAATGTGGACGTGACTGCTCTGGGAAGTAGCGAGCATGACTGTGCCTGCCATTTATTGATGTCGACTGTCCGAGGGCCGCCGTTTCCTTCTTCGATATTCCCGTCACTGCCACAACAACTGCCCTCGTCGCTTCCCGATCAAAACAACCAGCAAAGCTCTGTTTCAAGAGACCAGCCAGTGCAGCCACAAGCGGTCTTCTTTCGCCTTGACTCTCCGCCCACCATAGGCAAGTCGACCATCTCGCACGGTTGCCGAAGAGTCGCACGGTCGCCGGATCATATCTGAGCATTCGCTTTCCAACTCGATTATCCATAGTAGTCGATATCTCTGTCGTGGATGCCTTCTGGCGAGAGTTTCACAAGCTGCATCTATCTCTCGCGACACTGCTCCTCACGAAGCCTCCCTTCAGGGTGATCGCAGCCCTGTCCAGCCGAGCTTCTCCAAAGCTCAAATTCAGGGGCTGCCCAACTAACAATAAACCATTCACAAGCACAGGCCGCTGGTCAGTGACTCGTGGTTTGAGGTCTGACTCTGACCGCCGCCTTTCCGTGTGAAGGTCCCAGCCACTTTAGCGCGCCGCCAGTGCGCCACGAACGGCCGCAAGATCTACGCACACTACGCTACTCTTGCCTGCCCATTGTCCTTGGGGTCCTCACGTCCTCTACCTTGGACACCGAAATTCCTTTTTCCTTCCCATAACAACTCCCACGCTCCTTTGTCTATTTTTCGCTCTTTTTGTTTCCCTCCGAATCTGGATCCGCTCACTTACCGCTTACCATCGATCGATCAACCATCAAACTATCATACCCGTTACACTGCTACCAACTAATCCTAATACACGCGCTTCCCCTCAAGACAACTCCAACGGCCTCCCGAGTCCTGATTGTCTTGCTCACCGTTCCAACACGTTGATATCGTATGCCTAGGCTTCGATCCTACTGAAACCGGTATGCATGCACCTCCACATCCATTGGGTAGCCAGCCATCTTGTGCAACACGGACTGACGCTTTCTATCAAGAGTTCCTCTCTTTCATACTCTGCACTTCATCTGCATTTAGATGCAGTGAAGTATTCATCACAAGTTTCTGCGCTCAGACTTGATATCATCAAGCAAGCTTGTATCAACCATGACTGTTGCAGTAGACAACTCATTTCGTGGCTGGTCCTCGAATACCAACACCGGAGCTATGTGTCTGGAGGACAAGTATGAGATCATCAAAGATATTGGTGATGGCAGCTTCGGAAGTGTCGTCCTTGCAAGGACAAGGAGCGCTGGCGCTCACCTTGTGCGAAGAAACACTTTGGTATGTCGATCACCGAACGTTGTTACCATCCGGTCACGTCTAATCAAACCTTATAGGTTGCCGTGAAGACCATGAAGAAGACTTTTGAATCCTTCTCACAATGTATGGACCTCAGAGAGGTCATCTTCCTCAAGTCGATACCAGCGCACCCTCATCTTGTGCCGGCTTATGACATATTCCTGGACCCCCTCAGCAAGAAGCTGCACATTGCCATGGAGAACATGGATGGCAACCTCTACCAGCTAATGAAGACACGGGACCACAAGCCCTTCGATGGCACTGTTGTCAAAAGCATCTTGTTCCAGATCCTCGGCGGCCTGGAGCACATTCATGAACACGGCTTCTTCCACCGCGACATCAAACCCGAAAACATCCTTGTCTCCTCCTCAGCACCCGACACACAAAGCGCTTTCAAGCGATACTCGTCGTTAGTGACACCTCCGTCGACACCTCCCACTTACACCATTAAGCTTGCCGACTTCGGACTGGCAAGAGAAACTCACTCCATGGTTCCCTACACAACATACGTCTCGACTAGATGGTACCGTGCACCCGAAGTACTCCTAAGAGCTGGCCAGTACTCTGCGCCTGTGGATATCTGGGCGTTCGGTGCCATGGCCGTTGAAATTGCAACACTGAAGCCTCTCTTCCCCGGCGGCAACGAAGTCGACCAGGTTTGGAGAGTCTGTGAGATCATGGGAAGCCCCGGTCTTTGGGTCAACAAGCATGGTCAAAAGCTGGGAGGTGGAGAATGGAAAGATGGCGTCCGCCTAGCTGGCAAGCTCGGATTCTCTTTCCCCAAGATGGCTCCTCATCCTATGGAGACTATTCTCCAAGCACCTCAATGGTCCGCAAGCTTCGCAAAGTTTATCACCTGGTGTCTGATGTGGGATCCTACCGTCCGACCTACCTCGACACAAGCCCTCCAACACGAGTACTTTGCTGATGCTGTCGATCCTGTGAGACCCAAGTCGTCAAACACTGCCAAACTTCTTCGCAGCAAAAGCTCTACCCTGATCGGCCTCGAGAACTCGCCAGACTCTACTCAAGGCAGTATCTCGCTCAAGAAGTCGTCGTGGTTCAGGAAATCCGTTAGCACTACAGACTTCACACCGCGTACAGAGCACGCTTCTCAAGCGCCCACATCCAATCCTTCGCCCATCAACGCTAAAGGCGCCGAAGGCACTGGTTCGATCAAACTCCGCCCTCCGTTCGCTAAGAGAGCAACGTGGAACAGTGCCGTACCAATACCTATCCTGCCATCTATCAAGCCAGTCTCGCCGATACACGATGCTGTGACCGCCGCCGCCGCCAAGTCTGAAGCCACCGAGAAGAAAAAGATCTCAAGGCAGCTATCTGTCAACTCCCACGGCAATCACTATGCAGAGTATCACCGTCAGGAAGCCGAGAAAGCTCTCAATGGCCTGAGCGGTCTTGCTTCACCCACTGGAAGCATCAGAGAAAGCTTCTTCTCTCACCTGCGCAAACGAGCTCGAAGATTCTCCGGTCGCAACCAAATTCCAGGATCGCCAGGACCCGAGGAGCCCGAACCAACAAGCGTGGGATGTGCACCATGGGCATCAAGCAACCGATCATCACTGTCAGCTGAGCCCCCTGCTCGCGACTCTACCGCCGATACAGGGTTTTCGGAACTTGACAAGGCCTTGGAAAGCGTTCGCTCTAGCCTTGACGCTCGCGCGTCAAACGCGCCTGCCAGACAAGTCCAGCGCATGTCAAGCACGCCCATTCTGAAGCGTCACCATTCGCTGTCCACAGTAAATGATGGACGCACCTCGCCTGCACTTTCCGTCAACGCACAAACTACTAGCAGAACGCGGCGATCAGTCAGGCAATCGCTAAACCCTCGTCAAACATACGAAACCCCCGATGAAGAGGAGGAGTTACTTGACGAGGCATTGACCAACGCGCGTCGGGCAGCAAGACGACTCGAGAAGCCCACCCCAGCCAAGCCGTCCTCGGATAAAGAAAACACCAGACCTCCAATCGCGCACGTGACATCAGATCCCGGCTATATGTCTGCCTACTTGACACCGTCACCTTCGAAGGACAACAACCTAGGTTTTGGCCAAACGGACATGACCCCTACTAAGTCCATGGTCATCACACCACGAAGACAGCGCGACAGTCTGAATCCTCAATGGCCTACACCACCCTATGACGATTACGAGTGGGCTTCATCAGCCGCAGCATCCATCCTTGCTGTGCATTCGGGGAACAAACTCAAGTGATCCGTCGCTTTGCTCGTCATCCCAGTTGCCATCGTTCTTGAGCCAACAGGCTTTCTTCATCACTACCTACATGCATTGTACCCATCTGGCTTTCACACGTTGTACATACCGGATATGTGCTCCGTCACACTCTGGAGTTGATTATCACCATCATCTAGCTATCAGCATTTCCTAGCGTCACTTCGGCATCTTGTTTTTGTTTCTTTGTTTTCTTTCGGCTACCAAGTTTCAGTTCCATACCCCGGCCCCAGTAGAGAGGGCCACTGTTCCGTCGATCTTTGCTTGGAAAGGTGCAATACCTTCTCTGCATCAATTGCATATTGCACATATCTACATGGTCTTTTATCATTTTTCACCGGGTTCGCTTACAGCGCTTCTCGGCTTTCATTGCGCAGCGCATTTCCACATTTTGTTGGCGTAGACAGCGCACCTCGACTCGCTTCGAGCAGCCTTGGTTTTCTTTTGTCATCTTCAATCCGGAGAGGAAGCTACGGTGTTCTGACGGCGTTCCCAACTGTACAGACATTGGGTGGAGATCGGACGGAAAATGGGCTTATACACTTTTTATCGGACACAGTATGGCTGGAAGATAGACAGTCGGCCCACTTGTCTGTACATACGCACTTCTTAGATATACACAGCATCTTGCACCTCAAGCTCATTTTGAATGTCTCGATCCTATCGATCGTTACAGCTGTCAATCGTTCCTTCGCTCTACTCTAAGTCCTTGATGATTCGATCATCACAACAAACAATGGAAGACTACCTCGGTGAGCAGACATATGTACGAGTCACGAAATCACTTCAATAGCTCCGTATCTGAACAACAGCCCTTGGTTTGTCGTAGTAGTCAGGAACCTTTCGCGCCGTTGGATAATGACTAGAGATAGTTCCAGCGGTCCGAGATGAGCAAGCGGAGCATTCACGCATTAGATTGCCAATACCAGTGACGGCATCGCTGTATGGACAAAGACCTTGCTCAACTGGACGCAAGAGTCTGCGCATCATCTATCGCATAGCTATCAGGATTCGATCAGGGTGGATGTCGTGCATGCAAGCGTGCATACACGACGCCAATCCTGCGACCTGCCACTCTAATGCAGGCCTGGTCCAGGAAAGGCTGCAGGAGACTCGCTGCACCTCGCACGAGCGAGTGAGGGCTGACACAGAAAGCCCCAACGTTCCAATTTCCCGTTCTAAACCAAAGATGCACTCGCTCGTGCAAGCCGCCGTGAAGAAAAGCGCGGGCGAGCCCCCGCCGCCGTTGCAACGAAGAGGGGCTGCATCGAATGGCGCTGTCTCAGCTGTTCTCAGAGCGCTGTCACGAACGAATCTGCAGACCTAAGTCGGTCAGAGTACCAGCCCCTGCCTAAGCTGAAGATTGCTCATGACTCGACTGTCGCTCTTGCCTTGGAAGCCCGCATCCCGTTGTGGACTGTCTTTAACACCGGGCGTCCAGCAAGAGCCGGATTGGAAGCCAGTCCAAACCGACCACAGCCACGTCTTTCGTGGTACCACAATCGTGGTGTGCTAATACGGCCCGCTGCCCGCTGCCTCTAACCCTCTTCTTCTTCCTTTTTCTCCATACACACGTGCTGTTGAGCCTCCGAAGATCTTACTCTCCGCGGAAAGTTACAAGTCAATCTGATCGTCTCATTGAGTCCTTCCTTCGCTGGCGCCCGACGGTGTTGTCTCTGCCCATGGCCTTCATCCAATATTGACATCAAGTGCCATCGACCTTTCCTCAGGATCAATTCGTGTCCAGGACAACAGGTTTCGACCTAAGGCAGTGCATACGCCACGGATGTCGCGGCTACAGTAGTGATCTCACCCACAGCAAGAGTTCTGCAACCTGCAATCACTCACAGATCGCGCTTCCATCTCCACCTGGTCTTCGGGCTCGAGCCGCTCTCGAAAGGGCAGGTACAGTCCCGCGTTACCGATCGATTCGCAGCGAGCATCATGGTTGTAGGAATCCCAGCTCATGCGTGCCGAGAAGGCAGTCAAGGTTCGGGATGACATGCATGCAGACAACACTTCCTTCGGTCTTCGGCAAATGGCAGGCACTGAAGAGTTGTATATGTCAACATGAGCACCGGCGTGTTTCTTGTGACTTAATGGCCGATCTTCCCGGCTTTTGCTCATATTCTCCGCCAAGAGGGAATATCGAGTCGTGTGGTGTGCGGGAACACTTCGACTCCAATCATATCACAGTGACTGAGTCAACAAAGCGATACCCTAACCTGCCCTACCATTTGGGGCGGTCCCGCCTACTCACCGTTGTCCGAGTTGTTTACGGAATACTGTTTGACCTGATCTGCATTGCAACTCTATAGACGATGGTGTGTTGCAAAGACGGCAGGATTCAAGTGTGCTTGGCTATGGTATTGCCTAGGTGCGAAGGCAATGTGGATGCCGGTTTCCAGCTGAGCCCCCACATACATCACACGGACTTTTCTCCGATAACTGGATGATATCCAGATGGCGCCGTGACGAGGTCCACTCGAGGGCCGAGAAGGAACAGTTCCAGGTTTATACACTGATAGTACCATGGACAAGGAGCATCTGCTCTACCGCTCTTACTGTTGTCAAGGCAGCGATTCTTGTGAGGCTACTCCTTCCCTCCTTCCGCGGTACACCCCCACCACAGCATCGCTGAAGTCTCTGAGAACATTGTTGTGTATCTGGCGAAAACCAGAGTCTCCCGCGCACGCTGCATAAAAGAGGAGACTGATCTAGAACCAGTACATGCTCACAGTCATGCACGATGATCGATTCCTGACAGTACGAAAAACTTCATGCCAGGCATGATACATGTATGAAAGAGTCTGTACTTTGGCAAGAGCCATCGGGTCTACACGCTTTCTCTGGTAATCCAGTAGCGAGGGCCCTCTCTATCGGGCCCCTTCTTGTGATGACGAGCATTGGGTGCGCCAATAGTCATCGAGGGTCTCTACCTCTCAGGTCAATCTCAATCGACAACAATGCCAACTAGTAGCACTGAGGTTATCATCATCGTCATTCATCGGTGTTCATATGGGCAATGCCACATAGTTCTCAACAATCATGTCGGTATGCGTTGTGGACGCATCTGCTGGGTATCACAGCATGCAGTCGGGCATTGAAAGTTGATGCATCAACACGCAGCAACATTAGAACAACTGAACTGCACAAGGATTGCAGTGTTGCCTCTTATAGTCACATGCAATCGACATCACTGTCTCTATGTGGCTCCTTTCATGGTATTGGAAGTTTGACAGCATGTCAAGAGGATGGATATTTAGGACAGGGTTGTCCCATGAACTATGCCAAACTCGCAACACGATACCCGACTCGAGATATAGCCTGAGTGAGGTACAGTATCTATGCAATCACGATGTTCGAAACGAGTATTTCGGCGAACAGAAATGGAACAGAAAGTTGTGACTAGGCGTTAGACCACCATCAGCCAAAAAACATCAGGAAGTGCATTCTGTATCTACCCATGATTCTATCGCAGCATGACATACCAAGATCACTCATCTATAGAGCTTCTCAGAACTCAGATCTCCAACCACTTCAGCACGATCCAGTGTTGCAAAGACAACGTGACCAACTTCGTCGTCAACTCTGGCATCGCCAATCTTGATTTTAACATCTCTCAGTAGACGCGCTCTCTCCATAGCACCCAAAGATCCTCCACCAGATGGCACACTCATGTACGGGTTGTTGTATGTGAAGCTCGACACGTAGCCCATCATATCAGGAGCGTGGCATATATAACTTAGTGCAGTTCCCACTGATCCAAGCATGAGAAGTATACACGATGACAACAGAAGGAATGAGAACCAGAGGTAATTGCACTTGTAAACTTCAGTAGATATGGTGATCGTAGAGTTTGCGGACATCGGCAGGAACGGTGGTAGAGTCTCATCGTAGACTTCTGTGCTGATAGATTGGTCTGAAGTCTTCCAGATGTCTTCGTTTGGAGCAGGTAGATCGCCTGTGTATGCCAAGGGAGCAAGTGAGAGTTGTAAATAAGTGTTCATCAATTGTCCCGTCCGTATGACAAAGAGGTCGTTCGGAAGGGTAGCGAGCTCGGGCAGTCCTGCTGTTGCTGTACCAAAGGGTATATGTGCTCCCCTAACATAATACTCAGTGGGTGAAGTATCGCCATTGTGGACGCTGCCAGTTGCTAGCGGGAAGTCTTGCATGAAGTGATAACTCAGAACAAAAGACTCGAGCAGAGTTAGGTTCGGATTGCGGTGTTGGTACTTGGTGGAAGGTCGGATTGCTTTCACTCTGCACCCATCCCCAGTACATTGAGCTTGGGCTTCAGTGTAGACTAGAGTCACAGTACAGTTCCGAAGAAGCACCGTCGATGAATTCGAGTCCAGACTACCGAAGAGTATGTTTCTTGGGATCCGCAAAGAGGGATCCGAGTTTGTCGTGACGTTCTGATCAAGCAGAATGTTGTCCACTCGCTCATTGGACGTTGGTGTGTGGGTGTCAAGAAAAAACGATGTGATGGTATTCTTGGCAGTGTTCGTGAACATCGATTTATTGTTTGAAGACCAGACTAGACCAAGCTGTCTGATGAGGGCAGGATCTTTCTGGGAAAAATTGTAGGCTGGGAGAGGACATTTGAGGTCCATATAAGCATACTCGAAGGTGAGTTCTTGTAGAGTCTGCGACTTTTTAATCAACCCAGCTAGTGGAAGTCCAACCAGAGAACTGTAGTTGTCTGCCGAGGTGAGGTCCGGAATAGTACTCCAGATACCAGGCTGGGATGGCACATCTTCCGAGATTGGCAACCATGGAATCTTGAGATTTCCCCAGGTATCTTCGTCAGAATTCTTTACAGACAGAGGAGCAAGTAGGTTAGCACTGTATAGAGCGTTGATAGCCGCCAAAGAGGTAGCCGCATCGCCAGAAGCTAACACACCGTTCTCGATACCGTAAGAGCTCATGCCACCCGTTGGAAGGTATAGAATCGGCTGACCACCTTCGACTCGAGCCTCCGTGGCAGTCTCTAGGATACGGAGAGATGCTTGGCCTCCGAGAGGAGACAAGCACCATAGAAGAGTTAAGTGAGTCCCAACGACAGTGAAACGCCTCAGGAGTACTTGGCTCTCGAAAGTGCCCCATACCGTTTGACTTGCCAGGAGCAGTTCCAAAACACCAAGCTTCATACCTCGCTCGGCATAATATCGTGCAAACATTTTCAAGGATTTTCCTGCTACTGCCGCAAACAGAATTGGATATATTGAAGGTCCCTGGATCTAATCAGCACTGGTTCATCGTTACACAAGGGGCGCGGGTGGATCATGGCTTAGCAGAGCAGATGATGTAAGAGAGTATATGAAGAGGGTCAGATCACAGATACGGAAATCATGACTTACAAGGCGCGTGATAATCTTGATATTGTGACCAAGTCCATTCTCATCGATAGGCTTCCCATCTAGTTGAGCTGCTAGTATAGCAAGTACTAAGAAAGATAAGAAACGGCTTTCAGACTCTCATAATGAACATACTGATGAATGCAATTGGCGCAAGAGTGACCAGAGCTTCGCAAAGGTTGAGAACTAACGCCAGTATAGTATTGTTCCTCAGTTTGCGAGGTTCAACTGGCCAACCCTCAACAGAGAGCTGCTCATCGATGGCTTGAGCCCATGAGTTGGTTTGCGACTTTCTGTTGTTTGTAGAATTGCTCCGTGATGGTAGGTGCATCGAATGGAAAGTATCACAGGGATGATATGTGTGACTATTTCCATCCTGGAGCGCCTCGCAAGAAGGAAGCGATGGTCCAATATCTCGGCCGGGTGTCTGTGACAAGGAATTGCTAGAAACTCTCTGAGAAGCCATGTTGCCCAAAGATCATTGGCAAGATGATAGTGCAGGGAACTATGTCTTCAATATAAACACCGTACAACCTTGGTGCATCCTCCATACACTTAGCGCTCCACATATTCAGGCAGACGCGGGCAGATAAGGTCAGTAGCAATGCAGTAACCTTAGGTCAAGCGCCAACTGTATGCAGGGCTGATGTGAAGTGGGCAAGCCAGCGGCAATGAATAGCCTCTTCATCCCAGAAATTCTTATGATGTGTCGGAGGGTCGCCTTTTTAAAGGTGGCGAAGAGCGATAATCGTCTTGTAAACAATTCGGCAAGACCGTTGACAGATACTCTGATCGTCCTATACATGGGCCATATAGTATCATTGACCATGTTGTATTAAGCACGAACTGCCTAGCTTAAAGACCATATTCGACTTGAGGTACCCAAGAGAGTCGATTGAGCAATATCCGTCATTTGGGAAGATGCAAAGGATAGCAGATGGGTTCCAGAATTGTTTCTGTGTTGAGAGTGTGAAGGTCTTTTGAACAAGGCGATGCCACCGCCGTGCGATTTGGTTGGTGCATAGAGCTTCCTACGATTTTGATATTGTCGGTCAAGTTCATCATGTCGTTTCACATTCAATGTTTGAATGTATCCTTCGGCAATTGGATAGCGTGCAATGTCCAATCACATAGCTGGCTGCTGTTGATCACAGAGACTTAGGCGCCAGGCGCTTCATACGTGCCGCATTGGTTCTGTATCATAAAGCTGCTCTTCCGCCAATCGACGTGCAAGAAGTCGCAGTGATACAACAGGGTCGTACCTCCTTCACCATGGACGATTTGACCTTACAGAAGCGGTGCCATGTTCTCAGCTTGCACCGCGTTGCCCTTGCTTTGTCAACAGGTCTCGCTCATGTTGTGCATAGTTATGCTGTGCAAACCACAACTTTGTCGGGAGACTCTCGGCTTTCCAAACTCAAAAGAGAATCACGTCTGGAACACCTCCAGGCTCAACAAAAGGACATGCTTTTGCAAGGAGATCTTGGTTCGATGGCGATTCGCTTCCCGGACACAGAGGACCGGTTTTTTGTACTGTTGTACAAGTCCATCGACCCCTCACCAATGGTGGAGTTCTTGGGTTCGGCTCACCACTTGTTCCGCGTTCCCACCTGCAGGCTGCAGACAGAGATCAGGCTGCTTCGATGACCACACCAAGTACGCAAGGCGGCTAACATGAAAGGTCGATGCAGTGCATCGCTGCTCAGTCCTGCGGTCGTGACATGCAGGTTTCGCGTTGACTCCACGGTGTTGAATCGCGACTGGCCAGCCAAAGAGGGATTTCACGCAGAGGACTGACGGGCGGTTCCATGCGCGAAACAACCCTCGTGCTCAGGAATATGATTCGATCTTGTCTGAAGCCACATCCAAGTCGTTCACCAATGGAGGTTCGGGACCAGTTTCCATCTGTATCACCTTTTATCTCAAATCAGCATAATAGTTTGCGCGAGCGCCTTAACAGCAACAACGACAACGACTTTCTGGGACAATCGATAAACAAGAAAGTTGACTGCGCCGAGGCCGCGCGAACACGATGAACACGTTTTTGCCCTCGTTGTCAGATCCACACCCCTGACGCTAATCACCTTTTACCGAGTCGCCCGGCCAATGATCGTTTACTCCACGCACATTACAAGCATGTGGCTTTCCAAGGACCTCGGGCTCTAGACCTAAAGTGGTGTGGCTTCAGGCACGAAAAAAAGAATCCACACCTGCGGATGTATGGCTATCTGGCGAATTGAATCGACTTGTTGCACCGCAATTGAGTACAGTACCCCGTCACTTCTAGTCTTGTCTTTGCATCGGCCAAGTTTGCAGAGTTTTTCCTTTGTGCGAAGACACTAGTATGCGACAGTGGAGAACATGACTGATGCAGATGGGCCGTCTTCTTTTGCTGAGCTGCAAGAGAAGAATCTAAGCACCCCGCAACCCGGCCTAGAGTGGCATGTGGCGCATGTTATTGGATCCGTTCAAAAAAGCCTCCAGGGGAAAGGTGCGCTAGACAGGTACCGGTTGAGCTCGGGAGGGGAGGACCGTCTAGCGGCCTTGCATTGAGGATCCCATTGAACTCCACGGCTGTGCTCTGGCACTGTGCCGCCAAAGACTACAAGAAGGGAACGCTCATCCACCGTCACGCTCTCCTTTGTTATTCACAGGCTTGAAGTCTTACGGTTGTCACTTTCACTCTCATTTCTCCCCCATTCACTCCTTCCTCGTTCTAGGAATCACGTATTCCTGTACACTCTTTCAATCCTTACTTACACACACCTATACGGTCTCAACCAAACCAGAGTTGCTAGTCAATTCGTTCAGTCTTTCCATCAATCCAGAAACAACCAGCTTCACTCTTTCAAGCCTTTCTTAACATTACCATCAAAATGAAGTCCTTCGGAATTATCGCTGCTTCTGCACTCTTCGGAGCCATTGCCAATGCTGCTCCTCTCAACAAGCGCGATGTCGTCTGGGTCACTGAGATCGAGACTGACATTGTCACTGTTCCCGTTACTATGACCGTCTGGGCTGGCGCTGATGAGACCACCACTGCTTCAACCACAACCACTCAGAGCAGACATGGACACCAATTCTTCCACTCCAAGGCACCCAAGGCTTCGACCACATCCACTTCCGTTTTTGTTGCTCCTACCACATCCAGCACCTCGGTTTACGTCGCACCTACTCCTTCGACCACTTCCGTCTACGTTGCTCCCACCCCTTCGACCACATCCATATACGTTGCCCCCACCACCACCAGCAGCTCTGAGGTTTATGTTGCTCCTACTACTAGCAACACTGAAGTTTATGTTGCTCCCACCACTTCCTCTGTTTATGTCGCACCTGAGACTACTTCCACTTACGTTGCTCCCACCATTGAGAGCACTTCAGTCTACGTCGCTCCTACCACCAGCACTACCAGCAGCGCTCCTGCAGCAACCACCAGTGCCTCTTCCGGCGCCAGCAGCGGTCTGGCCGCATCTGGTACCGAGTACTCTGGAGATCTGACCTGGTACGATGTCGGTCTTGGTGCTTGTGGCTTGACCAGCACTTCTGATGAGGCTATCGTCGCCATCTCCCAAAAGATCTTCGATAGCCCCGATTACGCTACCGCCAACCCCAACTTGAACCCTCTCTGCGGCAAGTCCGTTACCATCAAGGGCAAAAACGGTCAATCCTACCAGGCCAAGGTTGTCGACCGCTGCGTTGGCTGTGCCGAATCTGACCTTGACCTCAGCCAGGACTTCTTCAACACAGTTACCAACAATGGTGACGGCCGTGTCTCTGGCATGTCCTGGACCTGGAACTAAGCCAACCTCTGTTGCAATACCGATGAGAGTCTACTCAGCCACTTCCGCGAAGTCAAGTAGACTGGCCATCACTCGCTCATTTCGTACTTCACGTTCGCTAGCGCCGCAAGCTCGGTGCTTTGCATGATTTCTTTAAACGAATTGGGAAAAAGGAAAATGTGACAGGCAGTGCCTGACCGTTACAGGAACCAAATGGTGGCATGTACTTCAATTCTTTTCTATCTGTTGATAGCTTTTCTTCTCTTCTTGTCGCTATGTTTTTTAAAGCGGTGGTTTGGAGATTTTGGCTGTCGAGTTCATCAAATTGAAACACGTAAGCGTCGTCGCTTCACGAAACTTCATCGTATACTGTGTACCGTTCTCTTTACTCTCGCATGTGCAGTGGCATCATCGGATTCCTCAGAACGTTGCATTGGAAAGCGGATCGTCCTCTGCCAAGGGCATTGACCATCTATTTTAGGAGCGCAATAAGGCCGGCGCAACGTCAGAAAGAAACGACATGGCGAGATGCTGTTGTGCTGTTTTGCGCAGCAATTACGAGATGTCGGGAAGAAAGTTGCGGGCTTGTTTCTGTCACTCAAAAGTGTGTGTGTGGTGCTCGAGGCTCAAGCAGCAGTCAAACAGAAAAAAGGCTGGTCCGACTCGGGAAGGAGCGATGGACTTTGATCAGGTGCTCGCATAATCCGGCTCAGGTCAGGCTTGGCTAAACCTTGCAGCTTAATAAAGAAGCGGCCGCGGTCGAGTCGTGCGTCGAAATGAGATGTTTGTCCTGGCTTGGTGGAATCGGTGCAACAGTTGGTAGAGATGACGGCGGTCAGGACGAGCAGACAGAGCAGCAGGTTGCCATGGGTATGAGCAGCAGATTGCCGTGACGTTTGGTCGGCAGCAGACGCTGGATCGAGGCAGGGTTTTGTTCTGAAACAGGCATGGTTGCGGCTTCAACTTTAATGATTGGCCAAGGGTGAAAAAGAGGAGGCAGACGAGGCCCCAGGGTCAAGATGAAACCTCAAATGCGAGAGACTGTGCCGTCCTGGGTTGCCAAACAGTGACTTTGTTGTCTCGATCGACGTCTTTCAGAGCAGCATCGAGTGGTCAATAGCAAAGGCAGACAGACAGAGCGAAGTCTTGACAAGCATAAGACGGATCATCGCTGCACGCACACGTATCAACGATCGGGGGACGAGCTTGCGGGAGTCGAAAAATAGGCGGCACAGCACGAACGGACGGACAGGGACAACCCTTGGCCTCGTCGCTGATCTCAAAGACAAGACTCTGCTGCGCTGAGGACCGAACGTCTCCAACACGCATACACTTTCGACCTGCATTTGCCCTTCGCATCCTCAACATATTTCGCGACCCAGCTCTGTATCGACCGGGCCTTCGTCGCCGACTAAGCCATTCATCCATATCGCTCGTATCACTCTGCTCTTGCATGATACGTCTCTCCTCGGCTGGATAACCATCGACTTGCACCTGGCTTTGTTCGACCGCAGTCATGTCCAACTCTACAGGTAAAGCGGCCGTGCACCCTCTTCTTTGTCCGCGACTGACAATGGAATAGCTGTCATCACCACGCCGGCCTCGTCGACATTTCTTTCAAGCACCACCCAAGATGCCGCCCAGTCGTCCTTCTCGTCCGTCGTCGCATCTTCCGTGTCATCCGAGGTCTTCTCGTCAGCAACTCAAATGGCTAGCACTGTGACCGTCGAGCCATCCTCAACAGACGTCGTCACCTCGATCGTGTCGGCCTCTTCACGACCTGCTTCCACCCAACTCATCACTTCGGTCGTCACCGAAAGCGCCTCAAACGGAGGCTCTTCCAACGCGCCCGTCACAGTCGTCGTCACCTCTGTCTTCACTCCTTCTACCACTACTGCCGCCCGAGGATCATCAGCTTCTTCAGCAGCCAGCTCTTCGTCTTCAGCAGCTGGAAGCCTGCCCAACGGCACTTCGAACAAAGGCTCAAACAACTCAAGTGGCCTCAGCACTGGTGGAAAGACCGCCATTGCCGTCGTCGTTCCTGTTGTCGTCGTCGCGCTTCTGGTCCTCGCCGGTCTGTTCTTTTGGAGGAAGCGTAAGCAAGGAAAGATCGCCAAGGAGGAGCGCCGAAAAGAAGTCGAAGAGTACGGCTACAACCCCAACAACGATCCCACTCTACCCGTTGTCGCCGCCGATGGATCTGAAATGGCCGAAGACTCCAACGGTGGCTACCGTGGCTGGGGCAACACCTCCATGTCAAACCGCAAGGCTTCAACTACTCTGTCTGGCGGGCATACTGCTGGCCAGCTGAGTGACACTGGAAGCCAACCTGGAGGCTACGTACCTGGCAGCCCGACCGGCAACAACTTCTCGGACGGACACAGTGGCGACACTCTTATGAACCAGCGCGAGACTTTCAGCAGTGATGACCTTGGTGCGCTCGGTGCAGCTCCCATAGCTGGTGCTCACCGCAACAACAATGACATCCGTCGCGGACCTTCCAATGCTTCGTCCTCTTATTCAGCTGGAAACCACAGTGAACGCTCCGATGTCTCGGCCGGGGTTGGCCAGTCGAACCAAGCGTATTCTCCTACAGAGATGTACGGGGGTAGCTACGGTGGCTTTGGGCAACACGGTCCATACGGAGACGGCTCATACGGCGGCGGCGACAGTGGTATGCCAATTGTCCGTGATGTGAGCGCTAGAAGGAACACACGTATCGAGGCTGGAGGCAACTATCAGTCAGGGAACAGCGGTATCGCACAGAACTTCTGAGCTCTGATCCGACACTCTGTCCTTTGCTTCTTTACGAATTTCCTTGTCATTTTTTCTGTCAGCCAGCGCCTTTTGAACATTACTTCACACGGGATGCCATGGCCTCGGCCTTCCCTCTATTCCTTCCTCTTTGTCAGTTGATCTTGTTTGATTTCTTGGGTACAGCGCAGGTCGGATGTTCATACAAATTGTCTCATATTATCTATCTCATTGCCTGTTGCCATCCCGTTCACGGGATGGCAGTCACTTTCATAATGGTACTTGGCTCCAAACTGTGAGAGATGCTAGGGAGGATGTGATGGAGGTAGAGGCGATGGACGAGGATGGAGAAAGACCAGGTTTTACATATCTTGACTATATCTGATTCCGCTTTTATTGTTCTCTAATTAGTCTCGAAGAAACATGTGCTTGTCTCAAGAGTGATCTTGTGCGTGTCCGCTAAGCAGGCGGGTGCAGATGCGTGACGTCGATACGCGACTTCTGGATGGATTCGCGTCGCCCGTAACAGGAGAAACATCTTTTACTTCCACCGTTTGTCCTTCTGAGCATTTTGCTGTCCATACAAACTTGTACAACATGGAAGCTATTCAGACGGCTTTTGGCCACGACACGGCATTGTGCGATCGCATTCTCGCTGCCGCAAGTGAGTTTCTCCTACAATCTTGTCCAACCTTCGTACTGCCACCTTGGGTTCATGAGATGGGCAGCCCCGTTTGCAGACCACAGTGGCTGATCCGTCCACAGAGGAGAACCGCGATCAGATGCAACTATTCGTCGACATCGCCAAATACATGTCGCAGCACATGTCAGGGAAAAGAGCCTTCGAAGACGATGCCAATCAGGCTTCCGACGCAAAGAAGAGAAAGATGCAGACCAATACCGCACTACCGCAAGCAGCTCTTAACTCGACTGTCACCTTCAATCAGAAAGATCTTGTCAATATACTATACTCGGCCCCGGATACGAGCTTCGCAGTACCACACAGAAAGAAGATGACAGTACAACTGGCGGCAGACCCGCAGAGACTTGAAGAAGGTGCCATCAAAGTCGTGCACGAGGCTTCAGGTGTCAATCTGGCCGTGCCATTTAGCAAAATTGGTAGGGGATACTCAAGACCCTTGGACAAATTGAGGAATCAGAGCTGACAAGCACGATAGAGCAAGTCTTCTGTCTACCTTTGCCCGAGAAAGCGACACGACAGTGGAACTTTGTCGTCTTTGCCAACCAGACCATCGATCTCAAGACAGGCGCTAGAGTCACCGAGGCCGAACAAATTGTGTGGACCATGTCGGAGACAGCCCCCACCAACGTCAAGGCTGTCGAAGGCTTCGCACCGCTAGACGTTGACACATATGTGACCAGTGCTATGAGATCGTTGAACGTCTGCATGAAAGGTCACGGCAAGAACGTCATCATCCCTACCGATCAAGAGTTTGCAAGCGCCATACCTCAGAGCCATAGAAAGGGTGAGGCTGCGTACCACGTCAAAGCTCACAAGGGAAGCAAGGATGGTAAGATGATTCTGAACAAGTCGCCATGTCTTTACTAAAGTGTTCCAGGTTACCTGTTCTTCCTCTCTGTCGGCATCGTCTGGGCCTTCAAGAAGCCCCTGGCACTCTTCACATTTGAGAACATCGAGTCAATTTCATACACATCTGTCTTGCAACGCACTTTTAACATCGTCATCACCACAATGCCAGACCCCGCAACTGGTGAGAAGCAAGATATCGAGTTCTCCATGCTAGACCAAGCAGATTTTGCTGGCATTGACGAATACGTCAAGCGCCATGATCTCAACGATGCATCAATGGCAGCCGATCGTCGTGCGAAGAAACTCAACATCAACCCCAAGCCGAAGACGGAAGCTACGGATACAGAGAACGCAGGCGCGTCGGGTGCAGACGAGGATGACGAGATGACCGAGCTCCAGAAGGCCGAGCAGGAATTGCAAGACCAAGAGGACGAGGAAGAAGAGGACTATGATCCTGGCTCTGACGGTGAGAGCGAGGGTTCCGGTTCCGACTCTGAAGACGGAGAAGGTGGCGGTGAAGGTGGTGCTGAGGACGAGGAAGAAGAGGAAGAGGAATTTCTCGAGGATGAAGACGAGTAGAACTCGGATTCATACTGGGTTGGCAACCGTAGAAGCGAAGGGCAATCGCGAATTTTTGTGATCAGCACTCACAGGGAGCTTACACCAAGGGCGAGTTCGTGAAGCTTGCTGATGGTATCAACAAAGAGATTGACCATGCTCGACATGAACGCTGGAATGAGAAAAGGTGGTCTGTTCAATACAGTGTACAAGAAAGAGAATAGAAGACCAGCTGTAGCGTTCGGTTCTAGATACCACGCATCATATTTGCCCCCAGGGAGCATTAATGCAGAGCGTCTCGTTATACTGCTAGCAACTCTGTGTACCCCCCTCGCCTCTGACCATCTTAGCACTAGCAAGTAAGACGCTGATTCCCATGACAATGCAACCGAAGGTTATGCACACGTACGCAGCATACGTCTCCCATGTCCTCCGTTGGGTGAGCTTGACATAACACAATGGCGGTAAGATGTATGCAAGAGCACAAGCACTGGTGGCACCGACCAATTCAAACACGATGCCGAGGTCGCAGGTCAAGAGACTGAGTCCCATGGCAGAGATGACCAAGGCGGTTGTGAGGATGAGATGGCGATTGGGATCAAAGGGCTCGTGGGAGAAGTAGTAGAGGTTCATGACTTCTCGACAGACGAAGGCTTCAAGAGGTAGTGTTGTGAGCATGTTTAGGCCGAAACATCTAGGCGCAGCAAGTCAATTATACGGCTTCCTTGGGAACGCACCTGAATACGTACAGTCTGGCGATGTTGACAAGAATGTTGTCTGTGGGAAAATTGTTAAGAACGTTGCCTTGAGTCAAGCTGCCAAAGTTTAGGTAGCCGGAGAGGGCCATAGCGAGACAGGCAAGCATCGAAATGCTGGTCGAGTAGTGAGTAACTTTTGCAAAGCGGTCCATGGTCGGCTTCTGTAGCGATCCGTAGATGAGTAGACTGTTGTGGTCTGGTAGCTCGTGTCAGTAGTGTAGGAAGCCTCCAGGCAAATTGCGAACATACGGCAGACAAACGCTATCACAAGTTAGACGGATGATCATTACGCGATACTCAAGGAATACTCACCGAAAGATATAACGCCAATGGCCTGAAACACACCATTATTGATGATCAGGGAGCCCCTGATGGGGCCTTTCATCTCGGCAGGAACTCTTGGGCCTTGTGTGATGACAGTGACGACGATGATGAGCATGCTGAAAAGAGCGAGCGAACTGGCTTTTGCAAGCTGGATGTCTATTAGAAAGGACAGAGGCGCCAAGAGCAAGTACGACCAACCTTTGAGATATCTCTATACAGAGAGAAGGGATACGAAATGCCCATGATGAAAACGACTATGACGAATTTCCTGTCTGTGAGAAGCCATAGGAAATGACTGTCTTCTAACGAGGGAAACAGGGCCGACATGACATGAGGAATCGTATCTCCTACAATGATACAAAAGGCGATCATACCACCAAAAGCACTGCGAGGATTAGCAATCTTGGCACGGCATGTGAGATCAAAGGGGTGAATTACAAAGCCCACTGAGCAATGGAGATGGCAACAAGGCCGGACTTTCCGTAGCAATGCTCGACTGTTGCTTGGAAGGAATTAGTACCGCTGAGCTTCGAGTTTGTGACGATCAAGCGAATGGTCCAATCAACGGTTATTGTCAAGAGGATGAGAAGGATGACACCTGTGAGCAGACCGGCTTGACGGAGAGCGTAGGGTTGACCGATGATTCCGGCACCGCTGCAGAAGCATGTCAGATGAGGGCCAAAGAGGCTAAATGGAGATTGCGGCTCACATGATACTGTTTGCCATGTTCATGAAAGCGCTGGACATGGAACTCTTGGGACGAGCACTCTCCAGCAGGTCATGGGGGTTAAAGTCGGACTCTGCGAGGGTGACTGCAGGAGCCTCGATGCCTGTCAGCAGGGGAGCGCGTTGGCCGGCATTGTGTCTCCTTTCGCTCCAGTTGTCGGCTGTCAAGTAATCCTCCTCTTCCATCAGGTCTTGGTCGGTTTGGTGGGCATTGTCCAGGCTTCCACGGATCGAGTCCTCGATATCGAAGTGGACACGGTTGGTAGTTCGTGGAGTGCCGAGTGGGCGTGGTTGGGCAAACGAAGACTGCCTCCTGGGCGGGAAGGCGGGCGGGCGTGGTGATCGCGATTTTGTGGCAGGAGCGACTATGATATCGCTGTCGGGAGAGGCGCCGCGCGGGGACTCGTTGTAGGAGAGCAGCTCTTGGTGCTCGTCGTCTTCGTCGTTCTGGTCGACGTGGCCGAGGCCTGTTGGGTTTCGCGCCTGCTCGCTAGCCATGACATTGCTTCAATCCATCCTCTCTTCCAATAATCTTGTCCAGACTTGATGCGTACGTTTTGTTGTCGCAAGCTCCCACTCCTTTATCCGCAATCGGAAACGACCCCAACCGAGCGTCACCCAGCCCTCACCTCAGTCACGAGCCAAGCTTCAGTACATATTACCCATGCATATCTCCTCCCTTCCTTTGTCCTTCCTACCACCTGTTTCGTCTCTGTTGACCGGTTCCTGTAGATTGACAACATCCCCAACGGCCATCATCTCACGTAAGACTTTGTCCATATTCAGGAGGAAGCTTTTTGACCATGGCCGCCGAAATCCTTCTTAAACTTGCTTGCAACCGTCTCTTATCTCCTACTCTACCTTCTGTATAGCAACCATGTCGCACCTTCTGTCCTCTCCTACCGTATTAGCGCTCAGCGCCTTCTCTTTGACTATTCTCTATTTTGTATATCGCGCCGCACTGCCCCACCCCATCCCGGGTATACCTTACAACAAAGCCGCCGCCAATTCTATCTTGGGCGACGTGCCCGAGTTCCTGAGATACGTCAAAGACAACAATGGCCAAGCTCTGCAATGGTGGAATTTGCAACTCGAAAAGCATGATTCACCCATCTTTCAGCTGTTCTTGAAGCCTTTCAGTCGACCCGTGGTCATTGTGGCCGACTTTCGTGAGGCCCAGGACGTCCTTCTTCGCAGATACAAGGAGTTTGACCGCAGCACCATCTTCGAAGAGATTTTTGGCAGCATTCTTCCCTACCATCATATTGGACAAAAGACAAGTGATAAAGTCAAGGCTCAGAAACGCTTGTTGGCCGACACCATGATGCCATCCTTCTTGAACGAGGTGCGTATCCTGGAGTCCGATATCTTATGGTTCGATATGTTAACCACATACTCCAAAGGTCGCAGCTCCTAGTATGCACGAGGCTATGATGGATCTCGTACGCCTGTGGAATCTTAAAACAGATCTCGCGCAAGGTCGCCCTTTCGAAGCCCACGAAGATATTGCACATGCCACACTCGACGCTATCTGGGTCGTCACGCTCGGCTCATCGGCCAACACGATTGGGAATCAAGCAAATATGCTAGAGTCTGTACCGAGCATCAAACTTCCCGATGGCAACGACGTGCCAGTGCATTTCCCAAAGGCTCCTCATCCGCCGGCATTCGACGCTGTTTTGACAATTACCGAGTCAATGACTCCATTGATAGCTTCGCCGTATCCTAAACTTCACCACTGGTTCTTGCGACAATTCAAATCGTACAAGGAAGCCATGAAGTACAAAGACCTGGAGATAGAAACCATGATCAAGGCTTCGGTCGAAAAGTTTTCCGAGGACCATATCGATGCTTTGGAGAAGCAGGGTAAAGACCGATCAGCTATAGATCATATGATCAGACGCGAACTCCTGGCATCTCGAAAGGAAGGCAGAAGACCCCAGTAAGCCCTTTTCATCCACTCCGTTGACCAGAAGACTGACACAACCTTGAGATACGACACACTTGCTGCAAAAGATGAAGTCTTCGGCTTCCTCGTCGCTGGCCACGAGACCACTTCTACAACAATTGCTTGGGGAGTGAAGCTCTTGAGCGACAATCAGCAAGCACAAACTAAGCTACGCGAAGTGTTGCGCTCAACTTACGTCGGTGCCGCTGCCGAGAAGAGACAGCCTACCTCGAAGGAGCTAGCAACTCTACATCATCCTTACATTGATGCCATGCTAGAGGAGATCTTACGTTGCAGTACTACGGCAGCCATCACCAGTCGACTGGCGATGGTCGATACGGAAGTGCTAGGCATCCGCATTCCCAAAGGAACTGACGTGAACTTCTTGTCGTACGCTGGCTTTATAGCACCACCAGTGGGTGTTGTAGAGGAGCACAAGCGCAGCCCTAGCAGTCAAGCATCGAAGGATAAGACTGGTGTCTGGGAAGTGCCTGACATAAGTGCCTTCAAGCCAGAGCGCTGGTTGAAGTCAATCGGCAAGGAGGGTGAGTCCGCATTCTCGAAGAATGCTGGGCCGACTCTACCATTCGGCGCTGGAATCCGTGGCTGCTTTGGTATGTTACGTTGCTTCCTTCCCCGATGAACGAACCAAAATCTCTAACCATCCACAGGACGCAAACTAGCATATATTGAGCTGCGTATGCTCGTGGTCTTCATCATTTGGAACTTCGAGCTTCTGCCAGCCCCTGAAGAGCTTAGCTCCTACCTTGCAATCGATAAGGTTACTCATCAGCCTCAGAAGTGTTATCTCCGCCTGAAGAAAGCAGATTGGTAGACCGACACTCAAGGAAACCTCAGCACTCCTTTCTTGAAGTAGATATATAGTTTTGTAACATGCACTGATAAGCCACATCTCATGTGAAGAGACTGATAGCCGACATCGACCTGATTCCCCTGCATCCGAAAGCGTGATGGAGACTTCACCCGTACAAGCACGTTAAACCAAGCCGGTGGAGGAAGCCCCCGACGACGGGATCAAACCATTTACCAAAAGAGTGATGCGCTAGTGATTCGGAGAAGCGATCTTATCTCCGTGTGGATATTATTGCTTCCAGCTCATCACGCAGGTCCAATACCGCGCAGCAAACACTCTGCCCACTGACATGGTGGCTCGCAAGACCCAACAAGTAGCGCACGACTCTGCGGCGCTCGTCACGAAGACATTAGTGCCAAACGCGGTTGCCGGAGGCCGTGGGCGATCCTGCATGACGCCGTCTCGACGTATCAGATCTCCCCAGCATCGAGGAACGCTAGCGCTGTTTGGCATGCTCCTAATATCGCATATATGAACATCAGGGGTCCTTGCGACATGCTGCTCTGTGGATAGAAGACAGAGACATGGCTTTTGCTCAAAAACAGCTAGATAGCGGATTCAAAGAGCCTCGAGGAGTTGCTGATTGGTGACCATGTTTCGGGAGGACGGAGGTAGATCGATGCTTTAAACTCGCCCAATGAAAAAGAAAGCAAGGAGTTGCAGGTTGTATCGGAAGGCTTGGACCCGTCGCATCTTGTCTTGTTGTCAGTCGTCCACGTTGCAGCTTCTCCTTTCTTTGCAATCTCCCTTACGAATTTGCCGTTCATATCTTTTCCCTCGAGTGACACCCTCCGTTCTTTCTTCAAAGGACAACTGGAGCATAAAACGACCAGCACTTTCCGAAACCTTCCATCGATTCGGGCAGTCGCAACTTCCCCAGATTTGTAACCACTCTTGGCCCTGGCAGCCTAGCACTGGCTTGCGCAACATCACGCCTTCCCTCTTTACTTACCTTCGTCACTTCCACTTCCTCAAACTTCTTTCTTGTCATTCTCTTTGTATACCAACTTTTCTGTCGTCGCAAGTCTTGCGCAAAGTTGTTGGGATAGTTTGCGACGGTCGTTTTCGCACTTTACTGTCGCGCGAACCCGTACTCCGTACCTCCTTCGGCGCAAACTGATTCCTAATCGCGACGTTCGCCTTCTGCGAATGAGCCACTAGGAACTACTCTCCTGAACATTTCTTGAGGTCATGCAAAGCATTTTTCGTCTGCCATGGTGTACGGATCCTTCAGGCGACGATAAGGCCATGTTTCCCAAAATGCGCCAACCACCTGTGGTCGACATGTCCCTGCTCAGCAAACTCAAGCGCAAGCGAGCTGATAGCCCGACTTTCGAACCTCTGCCTACCTTTGATCACTCGAAACGCATCAAGTTCACTGACGCTGACACTGAGCTCCCTCTGCCCGGAAGACGACAGATCGATACTCAGGTCAACATGAAGATTCCAGAGCCCAAGTCACACGAATCTGCTAACCACGGTCCTCAACGTTCGATGTCAAATGTTCCACTGCTTACTCCGGATGTGTCATTCGTCACAGTTGCGTCTGCTGCCAAGCCAGAACAGCTTTCGGAGACTGACGACAAGCCTGAAATTGTCGAGGGTACGAACGAATCACAGTTGCAAGACGTTCTCGAACATCAGTTCAATCTCGAAATCTTACTCAAACATCGCGAACTTCGACTCATCGAGCAAGAGCTTGCCAAATGCCAGACAGCACTCGAGCAATTACGGAGATGTGAGGTCATCCCGTACCCTGGAGCTTCTGGTCTCTCTGAGTCTCTTTCTTCTGGCACTGGACCTGCTTTGAGGGCTCAATCTGGATTTACCCAACCACAAGCACCAGCTCCGTGGGGTGTCACTGACGGCCCGTACACTAGACACTATGCGAAATGGCTTCTCAACGACCCGACCTTCGACTCGTTGCCGTTCAGTCATGTCGTGCCGGCAATGGACAACTACGCAATACAGCCTGAGGGCCGCTCTACTCGTAACAGTGGCGCAGGTATTGGCAAGACTGGCAGATCACGCTCTACACGCGATTCGTTCGGTAATCTCAACTCGGCATTGCCCAACTACCCCGCTCAGTCCCGTGGTAAGCAGGGTCCCTTGGTCATAAGAAGACTAGCCGACAACCTATTCGTCAAGTTGGTCTGCAACAACTGTCAGCGATGCGATTTCTCTAGTGTCCAAGGATTCTTGAACCACTGCCGTATAGCGCACAAGGTCGATTACAAGAGCCACGAAGCTGCGGCTTTGGATTGCGGAAAGCCACTGGAGGAGGACGAGACCCATCTGATTCCTCATGGAGCTCCCACAGCAACATCCGGTGCACCAAAACCGCAGCAGGCTCCTAAACCCGCTATATCGCAAGCTATGCCCCCTCCACCCGCTGGCTTCGTTCATCCTCTGAATGTGCAAGTCCTGCCGCGCTTTACGTGGAAAAGACAAGCGGACGAAGCAAGAGCATCGGTTGCCCAACCACACCGTCGTCGCGCAGTTGCAAGCAAACCCAGTGCTACCCCTGCTGCAGCTTCTTTCCACGCCACCCCCTTGGTAGGATCGTCGTTTGCGCCATATCTCTCTGCTCGGTTTGCGAAGTGTGGCCTTGGTGGAGACCTGCAACAGGCCACTACTCAAGCTCGTGAAAAAGTTGATCTTGGTCCAGACCTCGCTGAAGACGAGCAAACAGTATCGACAAGCAGCGAGAAGCCCAAGACGAATGGCATATCAACAACCACCATGGACAGATCTATGTGTAGGCCGGCACACCAAGGCTCGCAGGGTCACAAGGGCTGGTATGCACCTATCTCACGTCCCCGCCCTACGCCGATCGTGGCCCGTCACGTTTCCGCAGACATGATGGACTCACCACCTACTCTGTCGCCCCACGCGGTGGACAGCAACCCGGGACTAGTATCTGATCATGAAGACGACGATGCGCCCTCGGACCTGGACGATGTGCGTTCAGAGCGCCACGACTCCCCTGACGCAGTGAGCAGGCTTGGTGCTATCAGGGATCGAACGTGTGGAGATGAGATTGATGTGGATCTTGAAGTCGATGTTGAGGATGAGGCCAATGGACACAGTGTGCTGATCCGACCTCGAAGCCTGGGTCTGCAGATGCGTTCGAGCGGTAGCCCCAGCAGGGCCAAGTAGTTATGAGCAAGGACGAGGGAAAGCGTTGTATTTTCGGATGGCTACGAGACCAGGTGGTCGCAAACTTTATTACTGTACTTTTATTGATGAGGATGAGAAGACTTTTCGTTTCTGTTAGAGTGTTCTTATCAGACATGAAATTGGACAAAAAGCTTTTATTATCATATTTTGAGCATTTCCTCTTCTCTCTTGTGCGTTGTTCTACATTATGGTTAAGCAAAAGTGGGAGGAGCATGATGTTCGGCTATTGAGACATGTGGTCAACTACCTCTCGCATGATCAACCTCCACTGGCTTCGCGGTAGAAGCTGATACTCCTGTTTGCGCCGACTGTGACAAAGGTCTCGTTTCTCGTCATGGGAGTCTTGGGGAGCCACTTCACGGCCCAGAGAGTCTTGTCCGACTCGGTCTGGGTAGCGACGCACTCGCGACGCTCGACACTCCAAACCTTTGCCTTGCCATCATAAGCACTGTAAGAAAGAAGTCAGCATCAAGTCCCTGAATGCTGGTGATCCAGCGAGGAAGGGATCAAACACATACCCGCTCAGGAGGTTTTCACCCGAAGTGCTCCAATCCAGACTCATGACCCAACTCTGCGAGCCGGTAAGGTTTGCCACTTGCTCGCCGTTCTTGACATCGTACAGAGCAATGATCTTTGCATCACCACCCGCGGCCAAAAACTTGCTCGCCGGCGAGAAAGCCACCGTCCTCACTGGCTTGACCAGTCCTTGCAGCGAGTGGGCCAATCGTCCAGTGGTGTTGTTGAAGAGATATACAGCGCCGTTTGCATGTCCAGAAGCGGTGAATTCGCCGTCAGAGGACAGGGCAACGCTCATGCCGAAACTGCCTTTTGTCTCGTACTCGCGGAGTTTCGCAGGTGGGTTGGATGGAGAGAGGGTGCTGAGGTCCCAGACGTTGATGCGGCCGTCGAAGGTTGTGGCGGCGAGGAATTGGCCGTCTTCGCTCAGGGCGATGGCCCAGATCTCGCCAGCGGTTTTTGCTTGTGCTGATTTTGAGTCGTCTGTTTGGGAGGTTAGTGATGTGGTTCAGAGTGTTGTGGTCGGGGTGAAAGGTAGAAGAATAGTCGCACCTACTATTGAGCCTTTGAGTGCCCATCGAGAGGACTCGTCGTCAATGGACCAGACCTTCAGCTCGCCGCCGAAGCCAGCTGAGGCAGCGGTCTTGCCGTTTGCGCTGACAGCAATGTGGTGGGCACCGAGTTTGTGGGCATCTTTCAGAGTCTGGACAAGCGGGTATGGGTCATTCTCGTCGTTGGTGGGGGCAGTCGAGTAGACGTGTAGCGAGGAAGAGCCAGATGCAGTGATTAGATGAGTGGGAGTGGCAGCGACGCTGTAGATGTCGGCGGGGGAGGCGTCTGGGATGCTATGCGTTTGGAGGTATTGTTTCGACTGGATGCGTGTGTTAGTTGTGGCTATACAACAAGCTGTCTCAAGTGACTTGCCATGGTGTCGGAGATGTTTTGCAGTCTTGGTTGTCAGGTCGGCGAGAAATGTTTAGAGCTGCCATGCGACGATGACGTTGCGATTTATTTGGTCTTGGGGCTTCGCTCGACCAAATCAAAGCTCGAATTCACATCTTAGAAGAATAGTAGTAATGCAGTCAATTCGTGTCACGCGCGATACTCTTGCCGTGGTCTCGTCTTCTTCCCGTTCCCAAGTATAAAACACCAGCAAATGCCCATATCCGTTTTACAACGCCTTGTCCGCAACTATACAGGTATACACTCCTCTCTGTCTCCCCCCCCCCCCCCCCCCCCCCCCCCCCCCCCCCCCCCCCCCCCCCCCCCCCCCCCCCCCCCCCCCCCCCCCTCTCTCCAAGCTGCCTCGTTCTTCACTTTCTGTCGACAACGTCGTCCGTGAACTCGGTCTTGGGCTCTTCGGTCTTGGCCTCGTCAACTGTGTAGCCTCTACGGGCCAACTTCATCTGGCGGTCCTTCTTCTCCCACTCAGTCAACTCGGATTTTTCTCTCTTGGGGCTGAAGTCGTTGCTGAACCACTTTTTAATGCCTGTAGACGGTCAGAAATGCGCCCTCTCTGCTCGGTATCCGAAAAGTATTGACGTACTCATGACACAGTGGGGGCACAGGTAATGTGCGCGCTTGACTCTTCCGCAGCCAGAGCACTTGTTGAGCGATGTGACATCCTTAAGACCCTTGCCAGCCATCTGTCGGTGACGCTTCTTCATGTGTGATGTCTTCTTTTTCGGTACAGCCTTGAGAATTGACTCCCAGATGTCCGAGACCAGGCTGGGGATGGGAACGACAATCGAGGGCAGTAGAGGGGCGGGCCATGATCGAGCGCCGAGGGGGATGAAGCTCCTTGAGGGACCTGCAGGACGAAGAGAGGCGGAAGCGACGGCGAGGAAAGACTGTAGAAAGCCCGTCGAGGGCGCGGCGCGGAGCGACATTGTGGTTGGTATGGACTGTTACTCTCTGCTCAAGGCGTGCCACAACCAACAACTTCAACTTCTCAGAATTCGTCCATGTAACGCGACACGTGCTGAGTTGAACCACTGCCAAGTCTCAGGACTACGCCGTCGAAAGTCACAGCCCTGACGGCCAAGGCCAAGCAGCAACCCTGACTCTCGGATATCGCCGTCAATGCGCAGCCCTATGAGCGCTCGGCGGCGCGACAGTGCGCGACAGCCGCGTTCCTGCATACACCAACGCTCCGAGCTTTAACACCCTGAGTGCACTTTATCGTCCACTTAATCAGACCAGCATGAGACTAGGCACACGATCGGATACTCAGAATGGCCTCTAACCACGCCGAGGCTTCGTCCATGAAGCAGGCGGCAAATACTGAAGACCTGATGGAACTTGCCAGATTAGCGCTTGCCGAGACCGAGGAGAAGCAACTCGCCGCTCTGGACGGTGTTGCTCAACTGCCTTTTGGCTATGGCACCCAGCCCGGCGACACTCTCGACTTGAGCGACAAAGGTGTCCGTGTCTTGCCAACCGAGCTGATCAATCTTATCAGAGATCGTGTCGAAAGGTACAATTGGATCCCCTTTTGTTCAACGGCGAACACTTTACTGACATTATCAAAGACTCTCGCTCGGACACAATCGACTTAGTGAGATACCTGCCGATCTGATCTTTTGTTCAAATCTGCTGTATCTAAACCTTCGTCACAACAAACTCAACGCCTTCCCAGAACCGGTACGATGAAGCTTGCAGTCCTGGAGTTCCATCAGTCTAACAATGCCAAGGTCTTTCATCTCAGAAAACTTCAGATCCTGGATCTCAGTCACAACAACATCACTTCGGTCCCAGATGATGTCGGTCTCATGTACTCACTCATGTTCTTGGCCATTGAGTCGAACAAGATCAAACGATTGCCACTTTGCATGGGCGAGATGTCGCGCTTGCAGAAGCTAAAGGTCGGATCCAAGTCGATGGAGTTTCCGCCACCCGAAGTCTTTGTTCCCAATCCTCTCGGCGCATCTCCAGGTGGTCCTCCAGTGGAAGAGGCACGTCAAGTTTGCTCGCAGGTCAAACTGTTTCTTCGCGAGTACAGACAACGCGAGATGTTGGGTAGAGAGACTCCGGATCTTAGGTAATGGGCTTTTAGTATCACAGAGTAGGTCATTGGACTGACATTTGGTGTAGCGAGACCAGTCTGGAGACCCCACGTCCTCTCAAGAGATCGGTATCTGGCAGATTCCCGGTCAGGCCAAGCATGAGTGGCATCGACGGACTCGACACCCTCAGATCTGGAGACGGACTCGGTCTTAAGCCACCACCACCACCAATTCCGCAGAGGTCTCGTGCTCGGGACTCTATTGTAAACCCTCCATCAGGTCGCCGGTTTGAACGTCCAGGTATCGGACCACTTACTGCTGAAGGTGAAAATGGTAGGAGTCGTAGTGAGACTGTTACTTCTACTGGTGCGAGATCCAAACGACTTGGCTATGTTCCTCGCAAAATCTCTGGAAGTTCGCATACGACAATGACCGAGACCGGTACGCTGAAAGCACATCATTACAGAGGAGCCTCGAGCTTGAGTCTTGCTGCTTACAGTGGCAACGAATCCTCCTCTGGAGCTGTCAGCCCCATGGAACCTTCCAATCGTATGCCTGTGGCTCGCCGTCGTCTGTCCAGTTTGCCAGAAGACCGCCGAGTATCAAGACCAACTAGCATGACTGTCAAACTCGCAACAAGGATTGTCTTTGCTCTGTTCCAGCTCAACGGTCCCATTGGCGATGCGGTACGAACTATTAAGAATGGAACGCCCAGAAAAACGACAATGGAGAGGGTTTTCTTCGAAGCAAGTGCGAGCCTTGAAGAGCTCGACAGACGATTGGGTCAAGTTACCACTGGTACCGGCGAGAGCAGAGCATCAGAGAACGACCCCTGGATCCATGCAATCCGAAGAAAGTGTGCTCATGTTCTCCAATGTTACGCTTTGCTTGCTGCTGAGCTCCGCCTCCATGCTCGTAAGATTGCGCTGCGTGGTGAAGGCATGTACATTAGAAGTCTCATGCTTCACATCTACGGCACTTTGATCGAGATTCGCAACACGCTTACTTTCCAGGCTACAGAAGTCAAGGCACCGACTAGAAGTGCTCGTGGCTCTGTGGCAACCATCAGCCGGGCCAGCACACCCACTCAACCAAAGCCGACGGCGCCGAAGAAGAGACTACGAGGCGCGACTATACTTCAGCCTTCGCGACTAACGACGCCCGGCACTGCTCCTCCGCCGGTTCCTCTCAGCACAAGCCGAAGCAACACTATGACAAGCATGAGTGCCGTGACACCACGTTCAGGCGAGTCGTTCTCGTCGGCCTCGGGTATACCACGATCTGGCGCGTTGCAGCCTCCAGCCGAGGAGACTGAAGAGCAACGCCAGTTTGAGTCCATCTTCCTGAAGCTTCAATATGCATGCGAACTTGCTGCACAAGCTCTTCCGGGTTGCAGGGTTGACTTCTACAGCCGCAAGGAATCATCAGCAAGATCGATGCAAGCAACAGTATCACGTCAGTGGGCCATGGCTCTCCAAAAGTGCGATATCGCAATCAATGCTCTGGAGTCAATGAGAAACCGCCTGTCAAAGGTCAAACTCAAGGATCCTAACCTGCCTACTCAGCGAGAGTTCTGGCTGTTGTGCGATAGATTCGTGCGGGTAAGTTTTGACATCCAGTCATGCCATCTGGTGTACCGAGAAGCTAACGAAAGGGACAGACATGGCTGGATCTCGCTCTCGAGATCAGAAACATTGGAAATCAAGGCTACGACACGGATTCTGTCAAGGTGGTCATGCGACCAGTCCAAAAGGCTGTCAAGGAGGTCAGTATCGCTGTCAATGGATCTCAGCTGTACCAGGCAGCACTTCGGTCAAACTCGGTGTCCGGATACGTGACACCGGTTCCAGCAACTCCTTTGAGTGCAGCACTTGGACCAGCAGCACTTGCCACGGTTCCTTTGACCCCAAGTTCAACGGTGATGCCATCCGAGTACATCGCTTCGGGCCTGCAGAGTGCGGCTGAGAGACAGTCAGATGCTCCTAGCCTACGCAGCTACCCTCGAGGAAGAGGAGTGTAGACAAGTCCATGGTCAGGAAAAAGTATCTGAGGTGGAAATGAAGAGGGAAATGAGCAATTGAGCGAATGATACCATGGGAAGGACGGAATAGAGGAGCATTTCAAGGCGAATATGGCGAAAAACGGGCATACATGGTTTTCGTTCTGCAAGATACCAGCAGGCATAGCATGGCATGGTTGAGATTAAGGGAATATGGAGAGTGGGGCCTCAAGACATGCATATACAAAGGATAGCTCTTTGCACCCAGTCAAGTAGAGCACGAAGAAGAGACGAACATACACACATGACTTCAGTTCACAGCACATATAAATTGCGCGACCAAGAGCACCAGTGAGTTCGGAGATGTTTTGTTTTTTTGCTTGAGCCGGTCCATTTTTGAATAGCGAAACGTTCGGACTATAGAAAAGGCGAGCAGAAAAAAGCCGCGCGGGCGAACCGACGAGAAGTAGCAACAGAAAAGTGCATAATCCTCCGGAGCCGTAAACTGTTCCCAATAGACACTGAGCGATTCCACCACGCCTTCAAGATACACGGAGGAGGTTGCTTTTTTGAGTAGATGAAAGTAGGGGACGAGACGCTTAGTCGAAGAGACCGAAGCCCATGTCGTCGTCAGACTCCTCCTTCTCCTCGGCCTTCTCCTCAGCGGGAGCGTCCTCGGCAGCGGCACCACCAGCGGCAGCACCACCGGCGGCGGGGGCGGCAGCGGCACCAGAGCCGGAGCCGACGTTCAGGAGAAGCTCCTTGACATCCTTGCCCTCAAGAGCCTGTAGACACGCGACGAGTCAGAATATTTCCTTGTTGTATGTTTGCGATTCTTGCTCCATTGGGAGGCGCATATTGGGCTTCCTTGAACGAGGAGATCGCGAGCAGTGTGATCGTACCTTGGCGAAGAGCTGAGTCCAGATGGGCTCAACCTCGAGCTTGGCGGCAGAGATGAGGGTGTTAAGCTTGTCGGCCTGTGTGTGGTTGTGTCAGCGATGGTGGTATGGAAAGGTCGCGAAAGGTGAAGTTTCGCAAGGCGGTGGATGGTCGCATACGGTGATCTCAATACCCTCATCGGCCAGGATGAGAGCAGCGTAGGAGGAAGCGAGCTCGGCGGTGGACATTTTGTTGTAAGGTAAAGAGATGCCTTTCTGATTTAGAGATTTACCAGACGGACTTCTTCTCAAGATTTAGTTGACGGACGACGGTTCAGAGAGACCTGGATGAACAACCATTTCAGAGAATTTGGCGAGTGTGGTGCACAGGCCACATGTATTCTTGGCAGTGCATAGGTCGTACTCTGTCATGTGACTTATGCGGCTCCACGATGGATGCACAAAGCCGGACAAAAACTTGCGCGAAACATGTGCAAGATGTGCAGAAAACGTCATCGTCAAGTCAGTCCAGTCCGCCTCACATCCGATACGGGCAGCAGCTACCAAATCCACTCGCCCGCATACCACCAATCCACGCCGTATCTTCCCCAAAGACACCGCCAAACCCTCACTCATACCCCAGTATGACCGACTCGCCATTCGTGCGCTTCCCGCTCGATCCCAAGGAACAACCCATCCTCGACCGCCTGCTCGGCCTGCGCGACCAGCTCTCGGTCCTCAAGAGCGATCGCTCATCATACATCCGCACTCAGGATGTCCTGGACCTGTACACAAAGTTGATCGGAGAGGTCGAGAAGCTCAATGGTCTGCGTACCGACAAGCGCAGCGAACAAAACAGGGTCGACACAGTGCTGGACGACTGCTTCCAGCTTGTTTCCCTTTTCTTCCTTACCATCGGCCGCAATCAAGAAGCTCCCGCTGTCTACTCTGCTGTATCTACTGTAAAGGTGGGCTATTCCGTGCCTTGTTAAGCTTCTTCTTGTTCTCATCGTGCTTGTAGCGTCTCCTGGATCATCTCAAGGAAGCTGGCTTCTACTTGCTCCAGGACCTCGAATCTATCGAACACAACCTCCGGAAATGGCGCTCATCTGTTGAGCGCGGCAGAGATGTACACAGCGACTCCTTGATGACATTGCTCGAAGCCCGCATCGACGTCTGCTACCAAACCCTCAAAGAGCTCCAGGCTTCTTTGTCACAACTCGATCCCGAACTCATGGGCTACTACGAAAAGCTCGTCTCAATTCTGCGCTCACTCTCGGCCTGCAACACTCGATCAAAATTCCCGGTCAAGGAGGTTGAAGAGTTGGGAGCACAGCTCAAGCAAATCCAGGCAGAGCTGAAAGATGCTGGAGTATCACACGAGGGCAGGACGGCCGAAGAAGCATATGCCGAACAACTGCAGCAAGTACACATTGATGAGAACCACATCGAGGAGGGTAGCAAAGTTGTCTCCTTCCTGTTAGGCCGCTGTTTGCTCTGGCTCGAGATTGTCCAGAACAAGTAGGCTACACCAACCTGTCTCTTAGACCTTTGACTAACAGCACCACAGGCAAGGCAAGATAGACGACCGTTTCCGCGACACATACGATAAGCTCGTCAAGTTGCGCAACACGCTCGACAACATGAACCTTACTCAAGCTTGGTCCCTGCGCGAGACAGACTTATACAGCTATCAACGACAGCTCGATCGCATTGACGAATCCCGCGTCGATGGTAACTTCCTCGACGCTGAAGGCAAGCCTGCCGATCTACATTCCCAAAGGGTAATCACATCTCGTGCCTTCTCTTTCATACCCTGCTGACCCTTGTTCTCACAGACTCTGCTCTACCTTCTCCGCAAGAGCTACTCATACATCTATCACTACATCGTCTCATCAGAGCCTGTCTCGGAAGCTCTGCTACCTATCTACAACCAACTGCTCACTCTCAAACGTTGTCTGCTCGAGGTCAAGCGTTCTGGCGGTGTCGATTCTCCTCGCGAGTTGTACCCATACAGCATGAAGGTTTGTCTTTACTATCCTATTCCTGTTACAACTCCACATTGACTTTGATCTAGCTCAACTCAATCGATAACATGAAGAAGGACGGCAAATTCATGGTTGGTAACGACATCCCTGAAGGTCAAGGTAGTGTCACATCACTGCTAGCCGAGTGTTTCGACATCGCCTACGACCTCAGAAACGAGGCCGAAGAGCGTCAAGAAGCTGCCGAGCTGGCCGACGGTGACGAATCCAAGGAGTAAAACACTTTTGGCGACAGTCACAAATCGTCTCTCTCATACACAACTTCGATATTAGGAGCGGAAATTATCAGAGAGCTATGTCCTCTTGTGCTTTTGTTTATCTGCAAGGCGTCAGGGGCTTGGGAGTCTAGGTCTTTGCCATTTTATTTGAGGGATTCACAACTTCTTGTAGGACGGAACAGGTGGAATAGGAAGGAAGAGAGGCATACCTGCGAAACACGAATAGGAAAATCTCCTCACAAATATTTGACATTATCTCTTTCTGTTCTCGCATTTGCGCTGACTGCCCAAAGAATCGCTTCCGCATGTGGCGACACTATACTGATTGAGACGATTTCTCTGCTTCTCGACATCCCTAGTAAGAAATCTAGCGCTTTTATGATGTATGATGTTTCTCTTTCCAGAGATGCCTCATTGTTCCTTCTTCGTGACATGTAACTCATGCTATATGCAGATGCGACTGGTCCATAGCGCCTACCATTCCAATCGACTTCTCCCTCTTGCTTCCTTTGATCGAGCGAGCCACATCACTCTCACAACCTTTGCTCTTTTCAAAACATTGCTCAGCTCCGCAAACAATCCTCATCTCTTCTTCTCGTCCTGCTTTCTCTTCTCCTCAAACCTCAATCCCGCCCAACACCTGCAACCCATCGCCCTCCCCCTCATCCTCTGCCTCTGACGCATCAGCATCCACGAACCACAATCTATCACCATAAGATATACACAACTCCTCTCCTACCTCCACTTCACGTAGAGTTTTATATACAATGAGTTTATTGGCGACATTTCTTTCCCAGCCTACGTTTTGATGCGATGAAGAGTGGTTGAACATGCTGCCTAGACCTAGGACTACGGCTTGTGTTGTGCATTTTTGGTGTGTTTGAGGATGAGTGTAGGGCCAGTTGCTGTTTTGGGGAATCAGATATGATTGGCTTTGGAGGGGTTATGCTGGAGGAATGGAGTGAGAGGAGACTTGCTATGTGTAATGGTATAGTTCTGTCTTTTCTATGTGCTCTTTGTTTTCTGTTGGGTCGAGGACGAGTACCGGACAGGTTTCCAGGACTGTGTATGCTGGTATGCGTGCTGCTGCAAAGACACCTCTGCCTGTAAGATTTGAAAAATTTACGAATCAGCTTTCTCGAACCCCTTTAAAACTCGATGACATCCATGAAGTACAGAAAGAACAGATGCAAACTCAATCAATACGAGCAGAAGAAAAACAGTCAAACCACAACGACTGCTCATACACAAAAACACGTCCAATACCTCACACTTCCCTTGTACCCAAAAGCAAATTCCTTCCCTTGCTCTTTCTTTACTCGCATTCACTGATTGACAAAATAAAGGATATGAATCATGGAAGAAAAGTAGCAAGAGGAAAAGACACGAGACATACCTTTCGGCGTATCCAACACCAACTTGATATCAGCAGATCTCGTCAACGGAAGAGCCTCGTTGGGTAGATTTTGCAGTTTCGAGACTCGCATTGTTACGTTTCTCTCCCAAGATCGAGAGATTGTTGATATTCCAATATGAGAGTGTGTTGTTCCTGGGAGAGACTGTAACAATGGTCGAGGTGGTTATTATTGTTGGTGTGATGGGCTTCTTGTGTTCCCAATGGGGAAGAGAAAAATGCATGATGGGCGGTTCCCCCACATTTCGTCATCACTATTGCCAGCAACCCGACCAAGACAACCTAACTTGACACAATAACATACCAAGCCAAGGTACGCAGTAAACCTGATTCTATATCCAATCACACAGCACCGAAAAGTCCTTCAGTCACCATGTCTCGTCCTGGAGTAGCTCGCACCGCGTCGACCAACCTTGGCAGTGCAAATGGCCAGAGAGTGTTGGAAGGCAAGATGGCCATTGTCACCGGTGCTTCAAGAGGTATCCCTCAATCGAGCGTGCAAGTCGACACGTAGCAATCGCTGAACAAGACCCAGGTATCGGTGCCGCAACATGCGAGAACCTCGCCTCCAAGGGCTGTTCGCTCGTCATGAACTACACGTCCGACTCGTCCGAATCCATCACCAAACAACTGGCCGAGCGCCTCGAGAAAGAGCATGGAATCAAGGCATTGCCCGTACAAGCAGACATGGGCAGTGAGAACGGACCCGCACACCTCATCGCCACAGCACTGAACCACTTTGCCCACCCCAAGACCCGCAAACTGCAAATCGACATCATCATCAACAATGCTGGTGTGGCATCAAACCTTCCCGTCGAGAAGTGCAATGCCGAGGACTTTGACTTTGTCTACCGTGTCAACGTCAGAGGCCCTCTGTTCCTTATGAAGGCTGCTATTCCGTACTTGCCCACCGACCGCAGTGGTCGCGTTGTCAATGTTAGCAGTGTCAGTGCTAGCTGTGGCTTCAGCGAGCAGAGTGTCTATGGTGGCTCAAAGGCTGCTGTTGAGGCCATGACACGCACATGGGCTCGTGAGTTGGCCGAGAGAACTACTGTCAACGCCATCAACCCCGGCCCCGTCATGACTGGTAAATACCGTTTCTGTTTTTATGCCATCGCATTTGCTGACTGTACAACAAAGACATGTGGAGCGGAGTCACACAAGAGTTCCAAGAGGGCATCGCACCATGGCTCAAGAACACCCCTCTAGCAGCAGTCCGTAAGGGCGTTGACAGCGAGGAGCTAGTCAAGCAAGCAGAGACCGCTGGTGGAAGACCTGTAAGTCAAACTTTGAGCCTGTTCCAATAGCGGCTGCTTACTCTGCGAAACAGGCATACGAACACGAGACCGCTGGTGTCATTGCCATGCTCTGTACTCCAGACGCCGCATACACCACTGGCTCCGTCATCAGCTGCAACGGAGGGTTCAAGTTCAGCACATAGATGAGATATGCCGAGCTTGATTTGCAAAATATAGCAGCTGGTGTAGACTCGGCATTACCCGCACAGGGTCATCCTCCCACCATAGAACATTTACCATCGATAGTTGTTGCCTGCTATACATGTCACAACTATGCACGTTGTATTAAGTAGAGAGAGCAAAGACTCTGTGATTTCTAAGGCTATCGTGATAGTACAATGCGGACGTAAGAGAATGCTCTTCCAACCCGCTCTTCCACCGCATCTCCAGTTCCTGATTCATACCGATAACAAAACAATTTATGTATACCTACTCTTTAACGAGAGCGACCAAGCACAAGCTTTCAAAGAGTCTTGTCGCCCGTCATCGATATCTCCGATGTGCCCAGCAGTTTTTCGAGCTCCTGTGTTTGAGTGGCTCTGACAGCCTCCAGGAGATCTCTAGTGCTCTTGCGAACGCTCTTTCCAGAGTCCACTGACAACAGACTAACACTGCGCCAGTGTCCTTTACGATCATCAATCACGGTGACCGAGGGGAAATGCCGAGTGACTGGGCCAGAGGGCAGACGTTGGTGGTCGGGAGAGATGGTCGAAGGCTCAGTGGTAGGCGCCTCCACGTCAATATCAGAGGGTCCAGCCATGTTGAATCCATCTGGTGCATAGATGAAGTTATTTGTAGCACCACTTCGCTCAACTTCAGTGTTGTCCAAAGATCCTGGAAGCCGCACGTAGGCTTGATACATGCGAGACAGCCTTCTTGCACTCAGTGCTCCGTCCGGTTCTGCAGGTCTGTTCTCGACGATCCCGTCCACCGAACCAGACAAAATAGATTCGTCTTCCACTGGATCTTCTGTTACACACTCAGTGGCTTCCTGACTGTGTGTGGACTGTGTTCTGTCATGAATACAACGAGCGGGCGAAGCATGTAGAGATGGAGATTTGTCTACACCCGATGCTGAGTCATGACGATGAGCATTGATGAAACCGAGTTCTTCCCCTTTTGTTTGATGATCCTCTGCTTCTATAAGACGAGAAAGATGGTCCATGGTTCCTGCTTGTTGTGAGGTAGTCGAATGTGTCGACAGAACTGGAGGCAAAACCTCAAGCTCAGGATGCTCTAGTCTACCACCTGTTGTTGTAGACGATCGGCGGTTACGGGCTGCTGATGAAGTAAGCAGATCAGTGTAGTAGCGGAAGACTGTCCCAAATGTCATCGATCGCGATTTTACAATCCAATTTCTTCTCTTGGCATTGATCAGACGTGGCCAGCTCTTAGGTGAGTCCAGTATCTCATTCGAGGAGGCCGTTTGTTGTACATTGCGCGTTTCTCGGTCATGAGCAAAATCTCGACAGATTATGCCATCACGGCGACCAGCTGGGCCGCAACGTCTCTCCCGCGTATGAGATGGATAGCGACTCCAGGAGCGAGGTGGAGCAGTTGTGCGGAGGTGTGATCTGGTGCCTTTAGTGGTAGCGGTATTCATAGTCCAGATAGTGCTGCGCTTTTTCTTGCGGAACAACGAAGTTCCAGCAGCGGACCCAAGATCATGCATGCTTTGGCTTCTACGAGCAGCTGGCGATCCATCGGATTCTAACGGGTCCAAGTCATCGAGTGTTGCTGCTGCCAGTCTCGCCTCGCTAGTAGATTGGAAACCGAAAGAGCTTGTGAAGACGGGGGCATACAGCGGAGAAGGGACGCCACCTATCTTCTGATCATTTGGACGGAGGAAGGCTGCTTTCTCCGCCTGGTGTTGTAGCAATGCCTTTTCCATCAAGGTCTCTTCCGTTCCCTTTCTGCCGGGGCCTTGAAGTGGATTGGCACGATGTATAGTCCGTTGTGGGTAATTATCTTCACTCTCGTTCTCATGCACGTAACTCTTCGGTTCGACAAATGTCGATTTGCGACGGCGGTTGTTACCCGCGATCGAGAGATTCCTCTCGTAACTGACCAAGGACTGCCGTGACTGCAAAGATGGAGCAACGGCCAAGGAGCCGGTTGAGATTGCACTCGCAGGCCTCTTATCCGCTCTGCTAGCGAAGCTGACTGCGCGCTGACTGCTGTGTGGCTTGGAGGAGGAATGTGGCACAGAAAGCAAGTCCTGAGAGTCTCCGGTTCCGTCGTAGGTTTGAGTGAGAGAAGACTGGTTTTTACCGCCAAGCAACGGTGTGCTGGTACTTCGAAGTTTGGACCATGTGAGATTGGGGAATAGTATGCGCAAGACGGAGCGGCGCTTCTTCTTAGATCTGTGGGCACTGGATGGATTGTTGAGGTCTTCCTTGAATCTGCTTAGCTTACCCAGGCTTCCAGAACTGTCACTTTTTGGCAGGGAGCATGACGTGTTGTGAGCAGGCAAATTGCTGTTACATGCTGAGCCGGTCACCGACACAGAGTCTTTGAGGTCAGAACGAGACGCTGAACCACTTGCTACGAAACTTATACCAGTAGATGCTGACACGACTCTTTCTGCTTGACGAGCGGTCATTGTCTTGCCGTCATTCGCAAGTTTGGGTGAGTCAGACATTATCGGGGCTTCCTGGATGATCTGGCTAGGAAAACCAGATACGTACTCCATTGGCGATGCAAGTGGCGTATCCAGAGTTGTGCTTGGTCTGCGACTGTATATGGATGACGATTCGTCTTCGAGAACCGTCTCCCAAGTAGAAGGCCCAGCCGAGCCCGCAAAGCCAGAGCTCGAAACACTCTTGCATCGCGGAAGATCCATGGAAGAGAGCACAATACTGTTAAGACTTGCATGTGTGTGACGATTCTGTCCACCCATCTCGCTTGCGCTTGACGCCTCTGAAATCTGCGATCGTGTACGTAAATGCTGTGAGATATGCATATCGTATAGGTGTAGCGAGTTGGTCGAGTCTTTCGGCGACACTTTATGCTTGTCATTACTTCTTGATTTGGCTCTCAGTAGTTGCGGCTGATCCGACTTTGGAGATGGAAGTCGGGGTAGTTGCAAACTGACAGAGGTGGGCGCGCTATGGAACTGCGCTTCGGTCGCCTTGGCCGGCGATGGAGATGACGGCCATATGTCGTCCGGATTCATGAACGTAGGACCAGGTATGTCGATAGCAAGAGCGCCGTTGAACCCTTGCTGCATATTGGAAGAAGAAAGTGAACGTCTCAGGGGTGATGCAGAGTCAGCCGGGCAGGTTGCTGGAGGTACGCTGATCGAGCGACGTGGCTCGTACGCAGCAGTGGTAGAACGATCACTGGGTTCGCAGAATCGTATGTGCTGGACTGTCTTTGCGTCTGTCGTTCCAGAGCTGTCATGTTCAAGAGAAACCAGTCGAGACTGGGGCAAACGCAACGACTGAGCATCGTCATCGTAATCATCAGCAAGATCTCGAAGACCGTGAAACAGTCTCTTGTAGGGGAAGGGGAAGTGCTTGATAATTGACCTGCTTGCCGTGTCCCTATGGGGCTTGTCTGTTACCAGACTCTTGCGACTCAGCTGTCTACGCAATTTGTTGGTGAAGCTTGGCGATTGAATGATCGTTTCATCGACTTCGGGCTTGCGATGGCCTATTCTGAGAGCGTGAGGGTGATCCTCTGGCAAGGAAGCAGCAACAAAGATATGCCGAAGTTCAAGATCATCTGCAGAGTAACGCGGTTGGCCTCTATCTGTCAAGCTGTTCGTGGCAGTTGTCGCATGCTTGTTATTAGCAAAGTGTATCTTGATGTTGGCCAGAGACTTGAAGTGTCTGACAGGCCTCGAGGGTGTAGCATCAGGCGAATGTGACCGAACAGGCGCGGTACAACAGAGCTTTGCTGCTGCCATGGCGAGATGTGAGCTCGTTGCAAAAGTCGACTGAAGATAACAAATGTAGTTCTAAAAGCAAATGGGACAATGGATGAGTTGTTGCTGGAGTCTTAGTCAAGTACAGGTCAACGTTCAAGGCAAGCATCATGACCGCTCTTTCCTACCTCGAATACTCAACTTTATCGTTTTTAAACATATACTCTGAGCAGGAAGGTGCATTGCAAGCTCTTCTCTCTCTCAGAAACACAAGAGCAAGGCTCATCCTGATACAAGTGGTCACCAGCGAGGAGCACCTCCCGACAAGCTACAAGATACTCAACTTGATCAGCGTTCGAGATGTGAAGCCGTCTATTCTGTTCCAACTGCATATGATGGCAATAATTAATCCTGTGCTCGTATGGTTATTGAGTACAAGGAGAGTAGTCGAGTCCGTGCCAATCAGAGGGCAAGGCAACTGACGCTTTGTGTCGGGTTGAGGAATCCATCGTTCTCCCCAGCTCCGCGATCGGCCAGCCAGAGAAGCTCGAGCCAATCAGGGCTGACAGCTATGATTCACCGATGCTGGGCAATTTGTGGAGAGAGGTCCAGATAGTGAGATGTGGCAGCAACATGTGAGTAATAGTTATGCGTGTCCGGCGGCCGCACGCAAACGAGGCAAGTGAACAAAGTACGCCGCGTGGAAGAGAGAAGAAGACGTGTTACGGAATCTCACGAGAATGTACGAGTAATCGTAGAGGTGAAAGCGAGTTTGGTGGCAGGTTAGCGCGTTCTTGGTCGAGATCTACATACGCAGGGCGGATTACGATGCTTGATGGAGTCATTGGAATCCAGCCAACGCCCAGTCGTCAACAATATCAAGCTCTCGTGCAGCGAACAGAAGGTGCGGTGAAGACACAGACGCTGACACAGGCACAAAGAGACAGATATGAGCAGCAGACACGAGGAGCCACGGGCTTTTGAATGCAGGAGTCGACAGGCAATGCGAACAATGGCGTGATGGCGCACCGCGGGGTCTTTTCAACGTTCCAGTGAGCCAGTGAGCGAAGAGCTCCGCAGTCGACGTGGTCTGAGCGCTGTAGTAAAAATCTGGTGAATACTTAAACGTGCCTGCCTGCGCTGCTGTCCACTGTGCCTCCATCCGCATCTCCCCTTTACTCTTTCCCTGTTCCTTTCCTTTTCACACATTCACAGCCATGGTTCAATCTTCGATCTTGGGTTTCCCCCGCATGGGACGTCTCAGAGACCTGAAGAAGGCCAACGAGGCATACTGGGGTGGTAAGCTGTCGAGAGACGACTTGCTCGCTGAGGGCAAGAGACTCCGTGGCGAGCATTGGAAGATCCAGAAGGACGCCGGTGTCGATGTCATTCCCAGCAACGACTTCGCCTTCTACGACCATGTCCTCGACCACATTCAGATGTTCAACGTAAGCACTCCTTCCCCCGCCTTCTCCTGGCTTCACCCCCATACCCCAGTATACTGACCCCATATCAGGCCATCCCTGAGAGATACTCAAAGCACGGTCTCGACCCTCTCGATGAGTACTTCGCCATGGGCCGTGGTCACCAGAAGGACGGCATTGACGTTCCTTCGCTCGAGATGGTCAAGTGGTTCGACTCAAACTACCACTACGTCAAGCCCACCCTCCAAGACAACCAGACCTTCAAGCTTGCTTCCAACCCCAAGCCCGTCCGTGACTTCCTCGAGGCCAAGGAGGCCGGCATCACCACCCGCCCTGTCCTCCTCGGTCCCGTCTCATTCCTCGCCCTTGGCAAGGCCGACCGTGGCCAGTCCGTTGAGCCCATCACTCTCCTCGAGAAGCTTCTGCCCGTCTACGAGCAGCTTCTGCAGGAGCTGAAGAAGGCTGGTGCCGAGACCGTCCAGATCGATGAGCCCGTTCTCGTCTTTGACTTGCCCGCCAAGGTCAAGGAGGCCTTCAAGCCCGCTTACGAGAAGCTGTCCGCTGCTCAGGGTCCCCAGATCGTCCTTGCCACCTACTTCGGTGACATCGTCCACAACTTCGACGTCGTTGACGCCGCCTTCAAGAACCTCCACGCTCTCCACATCGACCTTGTCCGTCACCCTGAGCAGCTCGAGCAGGTCATTGACCACCTCGGCCCCAAGCAGATCCTGTCTGCTGGTGTCGTTGACGGTCGTAACATCTGGAAGACCAACTTCAAGAAGGCCATTGAGGTCGTTGAGACCGCCGTTCAGAAGCTCGGCAAGGACAGAGTCATCGTCGCCACCTCCAGCTCCCTCCTCCACACTCCTCACACTCTCGCCAGCGAGAAGACTCTCCCCGAGGAGGTCAAGGACTGGTTCTCGTTCGCATCCGAGAAGGCCGTCGAGGTCGCCACCATTGCCAAGGCTGTCACCGAAGGCCCTGCCGCCGTCCGTGAGCAGCTCGAGGCCAACGCCAAGTCTATGCAGGCTCGCGCTTCTTCTGCCCGTACCAACGACCAGAAGGTCAAGGACAGACAGTCCAAGATTACCAAGGAGATGCACAACCGCCAGTCCCCCTTCGACACGCGTTACGCACAACAGAAGGAGCACCTCAGCCTTCCCATCTTCCCTACCACCACCATCGGTTCCTTCCCCCAGACCAAGGAGATCCGTCTGCAGCGTAACAAGCTGGTCAAGAACGAGATCACTGCCGAGGAGTACGAGAAGTTCATTGAGAAGGAGATCCAGGACGTCGTCAAGATCCAGGATGAGTTGAACCTTGACGTCTACGTTCACGGTGAGCCTGAGCGTAACGACATGGTCCAGTACTTCGGTGAGCGTCTCGATGGTTACGTCTTCACCACCCACGCTTGGGTCCAGTCATACGGCTCTCGCTGTGTCCGTCCCCCGATCATCGTCGGTGACATCTCTCGTCCTGCCCCCATGACCGTCAAGGAGAGCAAGTACGCCGCCAGCATCTCCAAGAAGCCCATGAAGGGTATGCTTACTGGTCCCATCACCTGTCTCCGCTGGTCTTTCCCTCGTGACGATGTTCACCAGTCTGTCCAGGCTCAGCAGCTTGCTCTTGCTTTGCGCGACGAGGTTGTTGACCTCGAGGCTGCTGGCATCTACGTCATCCAGGTTGACGAGCCCGCCCTTCGTGAGGGCCTCCCTCTCCGTTCCGGCAAGGAGCGTGAGAACTACCTCGACTGGGCCGTCGACAGCTTCAAGCTCTCCACCGCTGGTGTCAAGGACTCTACTCAGATCCACAGTCACTTCTGCTACTCTGAGTTCCAGGACTTCTTCCACGCCATTGCCGCCCTCGATGCTGACGTCCTCTCCATCGAGAACAGCAAGTCTGATGCCAAGCTCCTCAAGGTCTTCATTGACGAGGACTACCCCAGACACATTGGCCCCGGTGTCTACGACATCCACTCTCCCAGAGTTCCCAGCGAGCAGGAGATCAAGGACCGCATCGAGGAGATGCTCCAGTACCTCAAGCCTGAGCAGCTCTGGATCAACCCTGACTGTGGTCTCAAGACCCGCCAGTGGAAGGAGACCAAGGAGGCCTTGACCAACATGGTCAACGCCGCCATTGCCTACCGCAACAAGCACACTTAAAACAAAACACAAACAACAACACAACTATGCATCTATTTGAGATGACAGTACCATTGGGATGACAGCACTCAACAGCTGCATCATAGCGTTCATTCAACAAAGATACCCCATTTATTCAACTATAATGATTGCATGACGGAGTTCAACAAAAGGCTATGGAAAAGGGTCAAAAGTTACGGACCATTACGATCTCAACGATCGAAATTCACGACACGGAGTCCTGTTTTATTGGGTGTTGCCTAGATAGATATCTATCACAAATTGACATGGTATTTACATTGTCAAAACTATACTCTCTGTGCTCTTTGTAATGTGATAATTTGTGATGTTCTGACTTGGTAACGGAAGTGGACGTTCGATGTATGTAGCGAGTGAGTGTGCGAACGAGTCAACAAGGATCAATGTAATAGCATGGTGCCCTCCTAGTCAGTGGGTATGGTGAATAGTGTTTACACGCTTCCCATATATCTGCGGGCACTGTGTGTAACTCCTATTCGCGTATCATTAGGGATTGAACACTCGATAGTAGACACGAGCGAGAACGGTGTAAGGTCTTAACACTTACCGGAAGTGAGAGTAGCTCACCTCCATATGCTGAAGTTCGTAACTCGCACACTTCTCCCGCGAAGAAATAAAGAATGATCTTTACCATGAAAAGACATAAAGGATGCGAGGCTAGAGACAATACCGAGGAGAGCCTAGAGCACACAGTTTCTCAATGGACACTATCCTGTTCTTCGAAACTACTGTGCATACTCATAGCTGTACGCATGATGAATTTAAGCACACCAGGAGGACGCATTCAACACGCCCTCGTCGAAACATATTCACTCCCCGTGTGCGAAGGTATGTCACGCGGATGCTATAGAAATGCACAGTTCTTTCGAGACGGCAGCAAGATCCAGAGAGAGCCGATAATGTCACGACTCTCAGTGGATGCCTAATATTCACTGAAAGAATTGTGCATCTCTATAGCTGCTTGCGTGACATGTTTTTGCAAATGGGGAGATGCAACATGGAAGTACAATGATGAAAATGATTGATTAACATCTCAGAGCCATTCTGACCACCCCCACGAAGAAGACTTCTCGCCAGGCAACTTGCAATCGTCAATATCTTGTTGCGTGACATTTTGGTATGCCTCAACAGGGATCCAACCAATATAGGCGCGGTCTCCGAAGCCACCAATCCAGTAGATGTCCTCTACAACAAGTCTAACCCAGCGGCTTGTATGGATACGATTGCCTGGCAGCCAGTATGCAGCATCTGGATGATTTTTGACGAAGCAGGTGGCCAGACCAACCTTTGAGGCATCATCGTCAATGTCCTCGAGGTGACCAACAAGAGAGAATCTGGGCAAGCTAGCAGCGCTATGCCATTTGCCGTCCTGTGGGTGCCAACGTAGGCTCAGAGTGATATTACTGCCGGCTGCCACGTTCTTGAATGAGGTAGCAATGTCCAAAGCAAGGATGGTGGGGTTGCCACTGTCAGGCTCACAGTCGGCATAGTAGTCCATCAAGCCGATGGGAACACCCCCGAGGCCACTGGGTCGCTGCTCAAGAGGTTGAAATGCATTCTCGCTTGGGAAAACAGTCGATAATGTGCCAATATTTTCAAGATGAAGAATACGGCGTGCTTGAATAGCAGACTCGTGTACAGTGGGGATGCGGAAGCCCGAGGTCGCGTCTGCTGAGGGATTTGAGAAGAAGTACTGGCTGCCGGGGAGTGATGAGGCAACCGACGAACTGACCAGCGCAAGGCTGAGCAGCACTGTGTTGTTGACGCGCATCCTTGGGAATATCAGAGTAATCTGAACTTGAATCCAGAAGCGATGGCGGTTGTTCTGCTAGATAATTATGTCCTGATGGATCCAACAGACAAGCCTGGGATGTCTTTTGCCAAGACGGGAAGTTGATTGGTCGGCTAAGCGAAAAGTGAGCCCGCGCTTTTCGCATGCACTCTTATCGTTTTTGCGAGCACTCTCCTCGAAGGACGACCGACGACAACTTGCGCCAACGTGAGTATGCCCATTTTTCATTCCAGTCCATCAGCACGACGTCCGAAACTTTCGCCATCTTTTTCCGCTACCGATTTTGAGCCAACTTTGCACAAGCGACAACGACTGACCTCTGTTCGCCACCCACAGGCATCCCACATCACCTTTCAGCCATCCAACAACTCCCATAACTCGACAACATGGGTAAGGTTCACGGTTCCCTCGCTCGTGCCGGTAAGGTCAAGTCGCAGACTCCCAAGGTACGAATACTCCATCGCCGCTCCGCTACATACTTGGACAATCGCCACCCACCGCATCTACATCAATTCGATTCCTCGGAATAGCGTGCTAATGCAAATGCGCCTTCAGGTTGAGCCCCAGGAGAAGAAGAAGACCCCCAAGGGCCGCGCAAAGAAGAGAATCACGTACACCCGCCGTTTCGTGAACGTCACCATGACCGGTGGCAAGAGAAAGGTGCGCTCCATTTTCACCTCGGTACTGCAGGCTACGACAGACGCTGACAAGGCGGTAGATGAACCCCAACCCTACCTCGTAAACAATTTCCGGAACTGGAGTTTGAGCGATGGGGCAAAGGCGGGCACATGGATAGCACACAGTCTGGCGACACCCTCGATTCATCACTGGGCGGCCAGACCGTTTCCTAGCCCTGGCATCTATGATGATGATTCAAAATTCTGGCGGACATGCATAGCTGACAGGCTGCTGTTCGCAAGCCGGAACAAATGTCGCCGCAGAGACTGGTTTATACATGGCGTCTTTGATAGCTTTTTCACAACAACGGTTACGTCTTCTGAACATCCCTTGCTCAAACGCCTCTTCGTGTTCTGTGTGTATTCCTTGCAGGCATCGTTCGGGTCGTCTTCCAAACATACAGGCTACGCATGCATGTCTGATCGCCTGAGCAGACACAGCACTGCCTTGATCAAGGTCTCTATCCCAAACAGTGTCAATGTGAACTGTGAACCACATACAAGTGATTGCACCGTCGTCTTAGCTCACGTAGAAGATGTGACCAGGCTGTGTACATGTCCAAAGCTCACCTACATATACGTCACTGGCTGGGTGTCTTCCCCAGGTTGTTCACCTGCAAGCCCAACTTCGTCGACTCGGCAAACACCATCCATCATTACAACCACACATCACACTACCAACATGTTCAGCGCACTCAAGGGACTCTTCAAGGAAGTATGTCTCGTCTATCCGCGGCTCGAACTGTAACCTGCTCGCTTGCTAACCTCATTCAGGCTGGCGTCAAGGACGTAATCACCTTGTTCCACGCACCCAACTCGCCTGCCTCGATCCGCGTCCACACCTTGCTCAAGCAGACTGCTGGCGCTGCAAACTCCACTGCCACCATCGACCAAGCTTCTTCCCACCCTCAGCAGTCCAAGGTCGGAAGGACCGACTTCGAACTCGGTGCGTAATCACTTCAGGCCCCGGTTTGAAGCAGCTGCTCACCCACGTCGCGTTGCAGACGTTCAAGAAGGAGTTCCAACAAGCGATCAACTCACCAACATCTTCGAATACCTCGGCCAAGACAAGATTGGAAGCGTCGTCGAAGGCGCCTCGAGTACCACCGAAGCTCTGAGAAAGCTCAAGGACAACGGAGCTCTCTTTCAGAGACCCCTGGTTGTAGATTGGGGCAATGGACGTGCTGGTACCTCTCCTCCTCACCAGAACATTGCCTGCTTGCGTTTGGCGACTGACGTTACTCGCAGTGAGTGGTGACAACGAGTCCGAGATCCTGAAGCTACTCCAGACTCCCCCCAAAGCCTAAGTAATAGCACTATAGCTCCGCATTGGTCGTCCGCATTGGCTGGTCTTGGGTCGGTCAACTTGTGAACCAGCCAGCCATGCGTCGTCAGGACGGGAACTGTACTCAAAACATCTCGCACACATGCCATTGGAAGCAAATCAAATTGCCATTGGCTACATGGCCCTTGGCTGTTGAAAGCGATGCGCACAGGTAAATGCTTATCGAAGAAACTAGCATGAAGACAAGCCAGGGTAGATCAGAGAGTTGAAAGTCTGGTGGACAGAGGAAGCGTCTTCAAATCAAGCCAAAACAGAGAAAAGAAACCACCATTGAATGCATTCGTAAGTAAACCCGTGAGGTCTTATCAGTTGTGTCTCTATTGTAAGAAGATTTGGTGCGCAACAAGAAGTGTCTATCTGTGTCTTGCGGCTTCCAAGACAGTGTCTGTTTGTCCTCACTTCCTGACGACCAACGCGCCTTTGACCGCACCTTCTTCACTTGTTCACACTCTGACCAATTCTTCTCACTCTCAAGACCTCCATCACTCTTTCAAATCCATTTTCCTTTCACCTTGATAAATTTTCATTTCCACAACACATCCATAACTTAGCGCAATTCTTCTCGCTACCAGCCATCGACAGCTTAACCTTCCAGCATAAACTCGCGCAAGAACGATGGATCAAGCAGAACTTCTGGAACAACATGTCCCGAACATAACACCCCACGATGGACCTATCATTCTGCGTCAGAACCCCTATGCTGACATGAGACCTTTCATCGAGCACCTTTGGGAAGAGCGCCGCGAGATGTGCTGCAACATCTATCTCGACCAGTTCCCACGCGGCACTACAGAGAACGGCGCCACCAAGCAAGAAGAGGATGCGTTTCTGCTTGACTACTTCTCTGAACGTGATCTTCACCTGCAAGGCGGTCGCTTCTTGAAACAGGTCCTTTATGCTATCGCCAAATTCAATGAGCACAGCGTCCTTTCTCACGCCGAGAGTTGGTGGAGAGCCTACAACTTCTGCGTGGTCCCTGAAATGGATGCCAGTCAGATCAGACAAGTCCTTGATCAGCACCATGGAGCCAACTTCCCCGATTCCTTTTTGACTCGTGTCGTTCTTCTCATCAGTGATGGATACAAACGCTTGTACAGTCCAGAGAACCAGCCACCCACAGTCGTCACCGAAGCCGAGACTGTTCCCGCTGTTCGGCAGAGACGTGCATCTGCTGCGTTTATGCACGATGGTATGTAGCCTTTCAACAGTCCCACTCTGAGATACGCCGACTGACGCTTTCCAGGTGCAGCTCAAGCTATGGCACCCGCTGTCCAACACCAGCAGCAGAGGCATAGAACTGCCTCGATTCCAGGCACCTCGCTCCTGCATAGCAATGGCCATGGCCATGGCCATGGCCAACCATACGGCAGTCGCCCTCGTCAATTCCATAAGCAAGAATACCGCGGTCGTAGTCGACGTCCATCTGCCGCCAACTTCCCCGATTTCGACCCCAACATTGCCTTTGTAGACCCTCGTATCCATGCACCAGCTGGCCCGGTAGGTTTCCCAATGCCACCAGACGGTCCTTTTATTGCCTACTACCAGCCTGCATTCTACGCTCCTCTCGAGCCGCGCATGCCTCTGAACCATGATCGCTCCGGTCCTGCATATCATCCAGAAGGCGATGTTTTGCATCAACGCTCTGGCTCGTTCAATCGCCGTGGAGCTCGCCCTCCGAGACTGGTCGATCCCCATTCTTTCAGTCGCTATGGCGAGCCTCAGCCACAGCCTTATCAATCTTACGGTCAAAGAGGTGGCCACCGCAATTCCTTCAACTCTACCAGAGGTCGTCGATCTTCATTCCGCTCTAGTGACAACTGGCAAGGGCCTAGAGAGTCCAGGCTATCCGATAGGAGAGTCCACTCTGACCACCGCGGCGGAGGTTTCGCTCAAACCAAGGAGACTCGCACTCTTTCAGATCTGGCTGGAGACTCTCTAGATGTCGTTTCACACCCTGATACCGGAGCCGCCGTAGAATCCGATGAGCAAGCCTATAGTCGGCTTACATTGCCGTCACTATCAGAGGATGGCTCCGCCGACAAGGAACTCGAGAAGCAGGATAGCTCTCCAAAGACGGTCGAGGACGACAGTTTCCAGACTGCTGCTGAGACTCCAACCGTCACACCGACTGGGAACGTATCGTATGAGGAGGTGCAATTCGCTTCATCTTCGCCCGCTAGTCATGCGAAGAGCGACGAGGACGATCAAGTCGATGCCCAAGAGACGCTCACCGAAGAGAAGTCAATTAGTGGAAAGGCAGACTCCGTCCCACAGTCGCCTACCACCACTACAGAGAGCGGAGACGCTGCAAGTGTGCAAACTACTGGACAACAACCCATAGCTCCGAGATCAGTTCCAAAGTCAGGTCCAAAGCAGACCGAGTCCTTCAGTCCTTTTGCGCGTCGAGCAAAGACGATCACGAAGAAGAAGGACCCCAAACAGAAGCTAGGCAAATCGAAAACCAAGCAAAAGTCTGAACAGCCTGAACAGCCTGAGCAACCTGAGCAGCCGAAGCGACCTTCAGCTGATACCTCGGTGGGTGTTGAGACTACTGACGAAGAGCGCATCGAGAGCAAGATTGAGAGCAATAACGAGTCTGTGTTCAGTGCAGCCGACCACTGTTCAGAGCAGAGCGAGGATAACGAGTCACAACCAACAATGGCCAGTGTCGAAGACCGCCCTGAGTCCCCAAAGCGTTCGACCTTGTCGTCTTACACTGCGCGCCTCATCAACAATGCTTTCAGCAGCATGGGTTCCTCGAACAAGTCTAACAATGGAGACGATCCAAACCCCGCAGCTTCTCAACCCGAGACCTCTCAACCCGAGACCTCCCAACTCGAGACCGTACAGCTCGAGGATCTTCGTATCGATACACCTCAACCCGAAATCGTGTCCTCGGCACCCAAGGGCAAGGCAAAGAACAAGAACAAAAAGAAGAAGAAGAAGGCCAAGATCGCTGCCTCAGTTCCCGACGATACCTCTACAGAGACCATTGCCAACGAAACACCTGCCGGCTCGCCTCCTTCGAACAAGGTATTTTCTTTGCGCGACAACACCAATGCGCTGGACAACCGTTTGTCACTCGTGAACATCAGAGAAGGTTCAATTGTTGAGCTTCATGAGAATGTGATCAACTACCGTACCAGTCGCCCTGCCCAGCAAGAGAATCTCTCTTTTTCGGAAGGTCACAACGAGGCGGTGGAGCAGTCGAAACGCAAGATGGAAGAGATGTTGGCAAAGGAGAGAATGCTGAAGCAGAAGAAGAAGTGATGGTGATGGAGCGGGTATTTTGTGCATTACATATCGAATGATTCAAGCTCTAGAAGATTAGCCATTGCTACAAATGACGATATCCGTCTGTTCACAATCATGCCTGTGCCGAGTTGGAGTGAATGTCTCCGTCCTTTCATTTGTCAAAGCCCATCACAAGTAGATACAAATATGACCAGTACCGCTGATTAACCGAGTAGGAGAAATTGAAGACATTGATGTATTTTGTGTTCATTGTCAACTTTTTTCGAAATTTGGGATATCATTATGCGTCTAGTAATCGTCACCTCTGCTCACGACTTCTTTGCAGTTGGGTCTCAACAGGATGGTCTTTTAGAGTGTCAGCAACGATCGGGATTTGGAGTTCCGAAGAAGAGATGGACTTACGTGCTCATACTGTGCAGTGTAGGAACCCTTGATATCTACCAAGGGAGGGTAATCCTGCACGATACCGGCTTGGACGAGGTTGTTCAGCTGTCGGAAAAGTCAGTTGATGCTGGACATGTGTATTGGTGGTCGAGAGAAAACTCACTCCAAGCAGATACTTGTCATGACCCAGGCGATCAAGATATCTTCTGCAGAAAGGCAGAGTGCCAAAGTTCTTCTCAATGCTCTTCAACAACGTCTTTGCACTCGTCGTTCTCAGAGGCACTCTGGGTGCATCTGCAACCTTCGCGTAATGACTGCACTCCATATCCTCTCTGACGTATCCCTTTCCGGTAGAGCCAAAAGTCTCGATGGCAAAGGTTTCGCCTTCCTCCATCTTGGTCTGGTCGCCTCCCTTTACGATGGGTACGCTCTTTGTGCCATGAATGGACCATTGCCTGATGTCGTGGCCGTTCAGGTTGCGGATGCACTTTATGGGGAAGGTCTCGCCGCCAATCTCGCACTCGTAAGATTCCATGGCTTCTTGGATGGCGGCGCCAATGTCGGACATGCGGACGTCGATGCCGGCTTCCCTGATACCGGTGTTTGTGGCGTCCTTGACGGCAGCCAGCAGGTTGTCGTAGGTGGGATCAAAGGACATGGTGAAAGCACTGTCGACGATGCGACCGTTGATGTGGGCACCGAAATCGACCTTCATGACATCTCCCTGTTGTAGGATGGTCTTGTTGCCGGCGTTGGGGGTGTAGTGGGCAGCACAGTGGTTGATGCTGAGACCAGTAGGGAAACCCATGCCTCCTCTGATGTTGTCGCCCTCTTCGAGACCTTGATGGCCGGTCAAGTGACGCACGCCGTTCTCGATACCCTCTGCGATTTCGGTCAGGGATTGGCCGGGCTTGATGTTCTTCTGAGCCCACTGGCGGACCTGTCTGTGGACTTCGGCAGCGTGACGGTACTCGGTCAGGTAATCGTTGCTCATGCGATCGAGGTGTCTCTTCTCCTCGTCGGTGGTGCGGTAAGAGTTGTCGTCAATGTACTCGCAGATCTCTCCTTCGGGGAATGCGCCGTTGGGGAAGAGCTGGGCAATGGGGACTCGGGGAGGGTTGGTCTGGCCCTTTGCAGTTCCGGTGCCGGCCTTCTTCTTCTTTCTGGGCTTTCTCTTCTTCTTTTTCTTTGCGGCACCTTCCTCGGTTCCGTCGTCGGCACCTTCGGCATCGTCGGCATCGTCGGCATCGTCGTCTGAGTCTTGGGCGTGGTTCTCGGCGCGCTTCTCTGCTTCGGCAGCAGCTCCTTCGGGCAGGTTGCCCTTGGACTCGTCCACTAGCACACGGTCAGTAGTTGTACTTGTGGGTTGGCGCGAAACCAATAGATGCGGGCCTGGGTGTACATTTGAGGGCTTCGACGCCGTTGGCTGTATCTTGAACGGCAGACATTTTGGTAAGAAGCACAAAGATCAAAGAATAAAAGAAAGTTGCAACAAGAGGCTCTGGGGCACGACGCTAGGGCCAAGCTTCGGGGGAGGCAGATGGAGATGCGATTAGATTAGACAAGAAGGCCGTTTCCAAAGACGTCATCAAGGTACTGGACATTACAATTCCACTCTTGTGAGAAAGGATGCATCTGCTTGAAAGACATACGGAATGAGGCATGATCCTTCGCCCAATCCATCTCCGTCCCGCGAAGGGATCCTTCCTGCAGCGACTCTCCCTCAGACAGCCTCTCGTACATCGCTCCTTCCACGCCTCTTCGCTTCGCCGCCAGGCCGGACTCCCTGATCATTATGCCACTCTGGGTATAGACACGACTGCTTCTGCTGGAGACATCAAAAAGTTGTTCTGATCCTCTTCTCAACCAACCCGCCATACTAACACTCCCGTCACAGACAGTTCTTCCAGCTGAGCAAGAAACACCACCCCGATCACAACCCCAACGACCCAAAAGCCGCCGATCGTTTCGTCAAAATCTCAGAGGCCTACCACGTCCTAGGCAGCGCCGACAAGCGAGCGACCTACGACCGCGACTTCCTCCGCGCCTCACATCCTTCTTCCCATCCTCAAGGCTCTCACAGCAGCAGTAGCGGCCCCGCGGGAGGACGTCCAGCCACAGGCCTGAGTCGACGACGCACACAGTTCAAAGGCCCACCTCCTTCTTTCTACCGCAGTGGTGGCTGGGGCAACTTCAGCCAAAAGCGATCAGAATATGCCTCGCAGGAATCACATCAGCACGAAGCTGCCGGCAGTACCGACAGCAGTAGTGCGCAGGACGCTCCCGGCACCGGTCCTTCTGGCTACCAGGCCGGCTTCAACAACGATGTGCCGCACTGGGATCGCGAGGGCCACTTCCGCACCCACGACAATGTCATGAAGAACAGACACAAGGCGAGGCGGCGATCCGGTCAAGTCAGCACAGATGATATCCTCAACAACACAAGCATGCTGTTCAACTTTGTCCTCTTGAGCGGAGTCTTGACCGTCATCTTTGGTGTTAGCGGCATCTTGTTCAGAAAAAACGACGACAAGAAGAAGCTCGCTGCTTGAAGCCGACGCTTCTTTCTCTATACACATACACACATTTGCATCGTCACACATCAGGAAACTAGACTTTTTGTGTACATCTTTTTATACTGGGGGGTGCGCTTCATTACAACCAGAGTAGAAATTTGCCAAAAAAGAAAAGGCGCATAGCCGGACTGTTTGCTTTGATGCCTGCTCTTTCTAATTTCTCGTCGAAAAATAAATTACATGACTGCATGTCTACATGAGTGAATCTGTTTAACCCTCGAAGACGAAGCTGGTGCCGATCTTGTGGCCAGCCTCGTTGAGCTTGTTGGTGTCGAGCGAGAGACCGACACCGAAGGTGGTGCCAGCGTTGAGCTTGGTGTTGTAGGCAAGGGCAGCAATACCACGGTCGTTGATCTTGGCCTGTAATGCACATGGCGATTAGTATCTGTCATGGGGTGTCAATTGATAACATAGCAGTCTTACCTTGGCGAAGGACAGGGGGTCGAGCTTGTACTTGGAGGCAACCTCAAGACCGACGCTCTTACCGCCCTGGAGATCGTAGGTGGCCTTAGCACCAGCCTCGACGTTGGAGTTGACCTTCTGGTAGTAAGAAGCGGCAAGAACGCTCAGGTTCTGCATGGCAATGAGCGAGGCGGTGAAGGTAGGGGCCTGGTAGCCGAGACCAGCGCTGTAGCGGGTGATGGCGGCCTTGGAGACGTCGTAGCCAGCCTCAGCACCGGCAACGAAACCCTCATGGCCGACGGTGGCGTCGATGAGAGCGTTGATGTTGCCAGCAGCGCTGTGGTCGAGGAAAGCGCGGGCGTGGAGGTTGGGCTGCTTGAAGGTCAAGTTGAGCTTCTGGGCGGCCTTGCTGGGGGCGTTGGGGTTGAAGAGGTTCTGGAACTCGGCCTTGACGGGCTGCGACATGAGGCTGGCGAACTCAACCTTGGTGTCGAGGAGGGCGGCGGTGGTCCAGCCCTGGGTAACGGTGATACCTGGTTTGTATCGGTAAGTAAGATAGACATGATGTTGTGGTGAGAGCGAGCGCGATTCGTCGGATGTGCGGGTCTTCTGAGCAACAGGGGCGCTGACAATCATGAGGTACAGCGGCTGGCGCGCAGAGACGGGCAGCGGGAAGAAGAGGCGGCTCATTTGTAAGAAGTGCGTACCCTGGGGCTTGAGAGTGTATTTGCCCTCGAGCTGTGACGTTTGTTAGCCGGATTGCTGGGTACAGACAGACGAAGAACAACGCACAGAGGCAGTGGTGGCACCGTCGAAGGCCTGCTTGCCCTTGACGGTGACGTTGGCGCCATTGGGAGCCTTGAGCTTGACCTCAAGGTTGGCTGGGTTGCGCTGTTAGTCGGAATTTTCTTGCGGTAGGCTTGTGGAGTGCGACATGCCAGCCTGTGTGTGGTAAAAGTCCTTGTTGATAAGCTAGACGCATGTCTGTCAGTTCATGTCGCTCTTGTAGGTGGATCAATGGCACAACTCACGTCGTTGGCGGCCTTGCTCAGGTCACCGTAGGCGGGGAGAGGCAGGGCAACGACTCTCTGGACGCCGATGCGACCGTCGAGGGGCTTGCTGATGTCGGAGAAATCGGGGGCGGCCATTGTGTAGTCTTGAGATGGAATCGGATGAGGTGTGGATTAGCTGCTGTTTACGATGGGAGAGCCCAAGGAGGAGAGATTATTCCAACTGAGCTCGGGCCTTCCAAAGCTTCCCTTGTTCCCTCCTGTTCATTCCGATCCCCGATGCCGTCCACCACGTGTGGCCCCCTCTCCACGCGACATGTTTCCGTGCCATTCGCCAACTCACTCTTGGTTTCATCATGATTCACCAAGCATACATCTCTAACGAGAGCCACATCCAGTCGCTGCTCGTCCCAGACACACTCACTCACTCACTCTCACTCACGGTAGACACGAAACACGAACATCAATTTACTACTCAAACTGCAAGTGACTTCTGGTCGAAACGGTTGGATAAAAGAAAACAGTAGCATTGTGAAAAGTAATGAAAGATGTGAGACGATACGAAACACTGGCGGTTGGCCTTTTGCCAGATCCCAGGTCGTCTTTTCAGCCTGATCAGTGCTCTGCCTTCCATCTCTGAGTCTCACTCTCAGTATCGCGGCTAGGGTGCACAGCTGAGTCAGGTCTTGCGATTGTTGGTGGGAACTGCGCCTCGAAATTGTACGGTTCTGAGATGACAACTGGGAGTGGAGGTCCCATGCTCTCCTTCTTGCGGCTGAAGAACTTCTTCTTGCTACACCAGGTAGCGCGAGAGTACAACGAAGGAGAGACTGGAGTCTGTGTGTGATGTTGAGGTTCGGGCGAAGGACTGTGGTAAGAAGGCAAGGTATACTCTTCTTTGTTGGCGCGGAATTGCCTCAGCGAGCTGTCGCTCGTAGAGCGAGACGACACCGACTTGGCCACGCTCGCCGACGTGTTGCTTCGCTGGATGTAGGCCACATCTGCAGCTTCAGCTCCTCTGGCGCGAACCATGCGTGCGGTAATTGCCTGGCTGCTGTCGCGGAACACGAAGTTCTATCTACCAGTTAGTTACACGTTCATGTGGGAACTTGGCCCCTTCGTTCCTTCATAGGTAAACTTACTGCGACCAGATTTAAAACTCCAAGGATGAGGTTGAGAATGCCCGCCATTATCACGACACGCCAGAATGCCATGCCGAGGTGTTCTTTGCTGTTGCTAGACCGATTGAGACACGACAAAACGTGCACACCGAGGACGATCATTGCTGAAGCAAGGCTGACGAATCCGTGTTCGATACTGAGCGAGGGCCAATTGCGAGCGAAGTAGCCACTGAACAGTCCAACCTCCGAGATAATCAGAACTATGGCAATAGATGCTACCACAGCATTCATGGCGGCCTCGAAGATGAAGAACTGATGATTGTTAGCAGAGTCTAGTAGATATGGTGAACGTCTCTCACGCTTGAGTCTGCGGTAGTCTTGATGAGCATGAGGACGCTTGCAGCAATGATGGCCAGCAGTCCAGTGATATTCATGCCCTTGAGGACATTGAGAATGACATAGCCCGAACCAGCCAGTGATTTGGGTGAAAGTGCCATTTTTTCGGTGGATTGTTTGGTTTGGGTTTTGAGGAATGGCAAATAGATAGATCTGCTTTACTCGTTAGACAGAAGCACGATCTTGAGACAACAATGAGAACTTACAAGTTGGAAGGCCAAAGTCTGAGAAACATTCGTGTAAAGAAATGGAGCGATCTGGCCAGCAGATACTTGATTCTGTACGAGTTATTGCAAGAAAGAGAGAGTCGTTAGAAGAACAGCAAGGAAGAAAACTATCAAAGAGAGACAGGATCGAGGGAATTCGAATCAATTAAATCAGGGAGAAACAATTGGACGCGGCGAGAACAATGAACACAACAATGACAATAGAAGACTAAATGAATGGATGAACGAATGAATGAACGGAATAAGAGCAATAAGAGAGTGGAAGAAGTTACAATGGGAGAATTAAGCGCCACGAGGTGCTCTTTTGTCCATTTGACGCCGTCAAAGCTCATGGCTGCATCAACGCAGCTGAAACGACTTCTCAGACGTTCTGTGCTACTTCGGCAGCGACCATGGAGAGTTTCTGTAACAGCAAGATCTTGGTCGGGCGACTCCTGGAATGAGCCATTGGTAAAGCTTGATGTTGGTATAAGCGCTGTGCTGGCGCCTGGTGGTGGACTGGTTTCAAGACTCGCGTTTGGTATCTTGCTTATTGTCGTTGGGGTATTCAAGGACTGCAGTAACAACAATAGGCCATAGATAGTGTACAGGAATCGCGCTGTAGTTTGGAGTATTTCACCCTATTCATGTGCAAAGGTATGCCACCTAGAAAGCTATGAAAATGCACAGTTCTTTCGGTAGATAGGAAGCATCCATCGAGATCGAGAGTCGTGATGTTAACGACTCTCGGTGATCTTCGCTACAGCCCAGAAAGAACTGTGTATCCTGATGACTTTAGCTCACCTAATTGTTAATATGGGAGCAGTCGGTAGTGACAGAATCTAGCGCATGGGAAGGATGTCAACCTTGACGACGATAGCGTGGAGATGACCTGAGTACAATGCCTTCATTACCATCTTGAAGAGAACGCGTCACCGCCGCTCAAAAGCTGACAACAAAGACTCATTACACCTGATCGCATAGTGTGGATCTAGACATCAGTGGTATAGCGCAACACGAATGGTGGTCTTCTAGAAGCTTTTTGTCCGTTCGGGAATGCAGGAGCGGCTCGCCGCGATAGCGATTGGAAGTCGGTCTTGGCACCAGTGTCTGGATGCGTGTTAAAGTGGTAAAAAGGGTCTAATTTGCCAGCGACAACTTTCTTTCTGCCGGGTCCTGTCCAACGCTTTTCTCGAGCATCCCTCTCTTTCTTCCCTTTCCTCTCGACATCTTCAGTATCACCCCACACATCCAATCAAAATGGCTCGCGGTAACCAAAAGGAGAGAGCTCGTGAAAAGACCTTGAAGGCCGCTGGCAACGTCGTAAGTTTTCCTAAACAGGGATCAACATTTTTTGAGGGTCAATCGCCTTGCTGACTCTGTTGCCTAGAAAAACAAGAACACCGTATGTTTTCTTCGAGGAGCTGCAAAGACTTCATCAACTGACTCTACTCTAGATGTCCGGTTCTGAGCAGGCTAAGGCCAAGGAGAGTGCTGCCGAGATTATGCGTGCAAAGCAGGCCGCAGGTTCGTCCTTCTTGTAGCATTCTTTATCTCTGAATCCTGATCTGACATGTCCATACAGCCGACGCCAAGAGGGCCGCTGAGGGCAAGAAGTAAATCCACACTTCTCTTGCACACTATCAACACATGATCAAGGCGTAATCGAGGCTGCCGGCGAGCAGGAGTCAACCATTTTCGGGCAATCACGACAAAATCCGTTTGCAGAGCATTATAGCGATGGATTTGTTCTTTTCGACGAGGTCTAATCGTCCCAGTACTAGAGGATATCAAAACACTTTTTTCTTTCTTCCCTCAACCAGTTCATGTGTTTACTGTGCTCGTGCCTGCACTTGATCAAGAATTCTATCTCTTTCTAACTTCCTGATCTGCCAGTACTTTTCCGCTAGACTCTAGCCTTTCCATCGAGGCGTGGCCATTCAGCGAGAATGTGTACAAAGATCGCTTGGACCATAAAAGCGTATGTCTGCGCTGTATCTGACACTTTCTGTCCATCCAGGCGACTTCCAGTATCGTGTATGATGGCTCGTTAGCGTGCTGTTGAGCCGTGCTGGACAGAAGTTCGAGTAGTCTGCCTCACTCAGGGGCACCATCTGAGCATCTTATAGAGTCTCGATGCCTGAAGAACAGCTTCAGCACTGCCTGCTTTAGGTTCATGGATAGACTGATATAGAGTCAATCCGAGGGCCTTCAGTGAGTCGGGTGCTCCTGGGCAGTCTGAGCCTTTCGCTGTCCCTCGTAAAGGCCAGTGTAATAGCCTGCAAAGTACCAGGATGTCATGAGCGCCTTGAGGCTCTCATCTTGGACTGTTACTGTCAGCACTGTAAAGAAAGAGTAGAAATGTGGTTAGACCAACCGGAATCGAGAAGGACTTGTGAAATGCCTGGTGGAGGGACCTGGTTGGAATTGTTGGCTGGTTGCGCGTCGGCAGATTGGGCCTTCAAGTGCTCTTGATTCAGCTGTTGCACTATTTCCTGGGCTTGTTCTGGGTGGTAGTCTTCTTCGACGGTCTCCCATTGTGGAAGACCCGTCGTTGTGTCGAGATCGGCGGCCTTCAGATTGATAGTAGATCTGTCCGTCTTAAGCAATACGATCAGACAGTGAGTTGGGGGGAATTACTGCGCTTCCTCTTTCTTCTCAACAGCATCTAGAACCTCTTCGACGCGTTCGCCTCGTGCAGACATGCTGTGGTATTTCTACAGAATCTAGTCAGCACGTGATTGTCAAATGCAGTAGAGGTGCAATTCACCTTGTATTCTTCGAGCGCCTCGTTCCATGATTGGACGAGAGCAGAGTCATCCCATATCTCATTGTCGGAAAGTTTTTTGTTCGTCATGACTACTAGAGTTGATGTTCGACAGAAGATGCGAGCGCCGGTCAGAAGTGGTTGGAGTCTGGACAAGCGGCGGGTCGCGTCTGTCTCGCCCCGGATTCGATCAATTCCTCGTCTCAGAAACTTTTTGATTTTCTACTACAATTATTTTTGTTCAACATATCACGCCAAAATGTCAAAGGTCGATAGCAAAAGCAACAAGCGCAAGGGTTCGTGACAAGTCTCTGGGTCTGCGTCGCTGTACCCCTACTAACTTGGGTCATTAGGCGCATCTGAGCCCAGCGTAACTACAAAGAAGGTCAAGACCACCACAGTCGTCGAGAAGCCCGCTCCAAAGTCAGCTCTCAAGAAGACCGAGACTACTACCACAACCACCACCAAGGCCAAGAAGGAAACCAAGGAGGCCGCCCCCGTCGCCACATCCACCAGAGAAACCCGATCAACAAGAAAGCGCGCCGAGGATTTCCTGGAACCAGAGGAGAAGCCCGTCAAGAAGACTACGACTGTCAAGTCTATCCCCGGAAAGGTCGAGAAGGTCACCGTCACCGAGACTGTCAAGCCCGAGAGCGCTGCATCAAAGGTCTCAAAGTCCGAGGCCAAGGCTGCCTCCAAGCCTGCTGTTGAGGAGGAGGAAATTGCTCTCGCCAACGAGACGGACAGCGAGGCCGAGGCTGAGGAGGATGACCAGACCGCTGCCCTGCTCGCTGGCTTTGAGAGCAGCGACGATGAGAATGACCCACAAGACGACGGCATTGCCTTGGACAAGCTTCCTGCTGTGCCCAACATGAAGGAGGTTCGCAAGCAATTGAAGAATGCACAGCAACAAGACGAGGAGAACACCCCTGGCGTCATCTACATTGGGTATGCGATCTCGTGCCAACTTCCTCCCTTGCCGTGACTAACATAAATCATAGACGTCTGCCGCACGGTTTCTTCGAGGCACAGATGCGCGAGTACTTCAGCCAGTTCGGCGACATCACCCACTTGAGAATGGCACGCAACAAGCTTACCGGCCGTTCAAAGCACTACGCCTTCATCGAGTTCGGATCCGGCGCAGTCGCCGAGATTGTAGCAAAGACCATGGACAAGTACTTGCTGTTCGGCCATCTTCTGCAGGTCAGACGTATACCCGCCGAGCAAGTTCACGAGAAGCTGTGGAAGGGTGAGGGTGGCAGATTCAAGGTCATGCCGCGCAACAAGATCGAGGGTGGCATGTTGAAGAGAGGTACCACAAGAGAGGGCTGGGAGAAGAGGATCGAAAGAGAGACCGAGGCCAGAACCAAGAAGGCCGCACAGCTCAAGGAGCTGGGCTACGACTTTCAGATGCCCTCTCTGCGCGATGTCAAGGAGGTACCTACCAAGGAGACCCGCGAGGCCGAGGCCGCACCTCTGCTCGCCGATGTCAGCGCTGTTCTGGACAAGCAAGAAGAGCAACCGGCAGCCGAGGAGACTAAGAAGGCGGCACCTGTGGAGAAGGCAGGCGCTAAACGCGTCAAGGCCAAGGCAGATGGCAAGAAGGGATCAAAGAAGGCAAAGGTTTCGGCATAGGTCATTGGGTTAGCTTGAGGCGTTAATTCTTCAAGTCATGGCGCAGCCCACATTCGCGGGCTACTTGTACGCAGCGGCAATCTATTTTCAAGGTGTTCGTCTAAATTGAGACGTCAAAAGGAACGAGCACTTGACAAGATAGTTGGATCAAATGAATTGGTACAGATGAAACATAGGCTCCATTTTGCGCTCTGCCCCCAGAAGAAGAAGAATCGTCACTCAGTCACAAGCATTAATGGCGTCCTTGATGGACAGTGCAGAAAACCACCTCCAAGCCCCAAGCGCGTGCAGTTCCGGGGTCGATGTGATGGTCTAGTAGTGATGCGACACCGATAGCGTCGCTGGCGTGTGCATGCTATGCGTGTTCCGACACAGCCACTTTCCTCATCACACCTAGAAGAAGAAGTAGGCGATCAAGAAACACAGAAGGCAAAGTCCGGCAACGATCTGGACGGGGACTCCGCCAGCAGGTGCCTTCTGCACACCCAAGCCGGTTGTGCCAGCAGAAATTCTCTCCTTGGAATCTTGGTTGACTGCATCAGTCTTTCTCTGGCGCAACCCTTGTTCGTCTCTTTCTTGGCTCATTCGGGCAATGGTGGCTTGAGCTTCGGCGAGCTTGGCTTTCACGTCTTCGCCCGAGGTGGGGATAGAGTTCATAAAGCTTTGGGTGGTCGTGGAGTCGGAAAAGGTGGTGTATCTATCGGTGGCTGGGTTGCCTGCTGATTGGACAATCTCACCAAGGTTCTTGTTGTCGACAGGACGTTCCTCCGGACGCGAGACGGCACCCACAGCTCCTACATCGGCGCCTCGCTGAGGGGTTTGAGGTTGAGGTGAGACAGAGTTGAAGTTGGCAGAGTTGAAGGTAGCGATCGAATCGTCCATGTGGCCGCCAGCGTCAGAGTGGGCAACGCCCTCTGGAGGCAGGAAGACGACGCGGATCTTCTTTTCTTGGATCGATGACTTGGCGGTTTGTTCGATGTGGGACCACTATTTGACGGTCAGTCCATTGTATGCTAGTGCGGAAGCGAGATGGAGCGCACGATTTGAGAGACGTTAGGGTATTCCTTGTCGGCCGAGATGGCGACTGATTGGACGAGGAACTTGTCTCTGCACTTTGCGTCAAGAGGAGGGTCTTCCCTCATGGCTTGCAGCAAGACTGGACATGGTCAGTTGGCTATGTCTGCAGCAAAGAGCCACGTGCGCAGCGTACCTTGGACCTCAACATCCTGACCAGGCTCAATGCGGCCAGAGTTTGGTCTGACACAGTACCTGGAAGAGAATTAGTGTTTGGGATAAGGATGGGGAAGCAGGGAGGCTGACTGTTTGGGGGCGGTGGTCTTGACCTGACGAGGCTGGGATTAGCACGAATATGGGAGCCTCAGATCAGGAGGGCGGTACCTTGAAAGCTACCGGGTCGGAGTTCTTGTTGTACAGACGGAGGACCTGAGCAACCTCGTGGGTGAAGGGGCCTATTGAGCAAGCGAGTCAGAAGGATGACTGGGTGGTGGATGAGACTTGACTACGCACGCTTGAAACCAAGCTCGACGGGGTCCAGCTCGACAGACATGGTGAACGAGGGCGGCGCGGGCGAGGGGTGGAGAAGGAGAGAGCTGCGGTCGAGAGAAAGGGCAAGGTTGTGATTGCGAGATGATGGGGTGGTGGGAGTCGCAGGTGGTATACCAAGACGTAGGAAGTTGCAGGAAGACGGCACCAGGGACTGACTGGGATTAATGACGGAAGCGACGTTCCAAGCGCGTCCGGCCGTCGCTGCTGCAACTCGCTCCCACTTCCTGGAGTCTGGATGAGGCCGTGCACTTCTGCATGACATGACGCTTTGCACAAAACTATGTCACGCGAATAAGGTAGCTATAGAAGTGCACAGCTGCTCTAACAATTCAGGAATTACATTGACGGTCACGATATCGGTAGCGTGTTATGGACCGGCTATCGTCTAGACACAGCTGGGCATCTTGATAGCTCCGCATCCGCTTGCAAGGGGCAGAAGTCACAGATCTCGGACTTTAGCATCCAGTGAGGCATGACGTGCCATTTCGGCTTCACTCTTTGAGACAACTTTCACTCCCCACACTTGAGCATCTCCTCTATCTATCTACTAGTGCTGTCTTCCACTTGGTCTTGTCGTCACACAACTCTGCGAACTCATCTCCAACGACTATAACTCTCAAGTACCGTCCATCATGTCTTCAGATATCAACAACCTTGTCGACATGGGCTTCGACCGTGAAAAGGCCACCCTCGCCATGAAGAAAGCAGGCAACTGTGCGTGACCCTGTTCATATCAGCTATCTTACTATCAGTCTTACTCACATCCCACTAGTAGGAGCTGCCGTCGATTGGCTTAGCAACAACGCCGACAAATCCATCGAAGAACTCAAAGAGGACGGAGGCGAGGAAGAGTCACCCCTGTCATTGCAGCCGGGCGAACAAGCCAGAAGTCTGCTTTGTAAAGACTGTGGCAAGAAGTTCAGATCAACCGCTCAAGCAGAGTTCCATGCCAACAAGACGTATGCGACCTCGCTGCTCCCGCCCCAGCACATATGCTAACCTTCGCTTCCAGTGAGCACCAGAACTTTGAAGAGTCCACCGAAGAGATCGCACCTTTGACCGAAGAGGAGAAGGCCGCAAGGCTCGCAGAATTGCGTGAAAAGCTCGCTGCTAAACGTGCTGGTCAATCGGAACAAGACAAGAAAGACAAGGAGCGCAACGATCAGATTCGCCGCAAGGCAACAAAGGAGCAACAAGACATCAAGGAGGATCTGGCCAAGAAGGAACAAATCAAAGAAGCGGAGGCTAAGAGGCGTGAGAAGGCGGCTGATGTCGAAGCCAAAAAGCGTATTCAGGCAAAGATCGCTGCTGACAAGGAAGAACGACGCCTGAAGGCTGAGAGAGAGAAGGCTGCTCGTGCTGGTCAGCCCGCTGTTGTTGCCGACCCTACACCTGCCGCAAAGCCCACCGTGCCAAAGACTGCTGGAAACTACACAGAGGCAAGACTACGACTCCAAACATCCGCTGGCACCGTCCAGAAGACATTCCCGGTCGACACAACACTCTTCGAGGTTGCGCAAGCGCTTAGCCAGGATCCTGGTGTTCAGGTCAGCGAATTTGTCCAAAACTTTCCCAAGAAGGTCTACGACAGCTCAGACTTTGGCCAAACACTGAAGGAGGCTGGCCTGGTACCAAGTGCTGCCCTGGTTGTCAGATGAGCTGATACTCTCAGCACTCGATGCAACACGATTTGGCGAGGCGTTCGGAAAGGGGCATTTGGGACAAGTTAGCTTGGGAGACTGTCGATATGAACTGGCAAACAGCAGCATGGCTCACCAAAGAAAGAATTTTGTCATGAATGCTATCACAATGCGCTTATATACCACCAATCGCAACTGAGGTGTGACGGATCACCGACAGTTGGGAGGACTGTCACTCCCTAAATACGATCGTTGAGATGAGCATGCCTGTACACCTCAAAAGGTTTGTTCAAGGATCGAACAACGACAATCCGGTGTCAAACGTTGCAAGTATAAGTGGCCTCCTTACAGGTTGCATTATTTGAAACGGAGATATATCATATGTTTGTCAGTGGTCACAGAGCATTGTCGAAATTACTTGTTGCGGAGTGACCCTGGTAGCCGGGATTTATAGGTATGTATGCATGTGAATATGCATGTGACATGACGGAGACGACCGTGGGAATTCGATGAGCCTGAAGGGCGTTGGTGATGTGCAGGGCGCATTGGGCGACAGCTGAGCTTGAGCACCAACTGGTTATACACGGCCTATCTGGTTATTAGTTCAAACAATTACCATGTAGCGCAGTCGTCTTACCTAACGAGTTTGATTTGGCAGGGAGAAAGCCGGGGGCAGAAGCGGCGGCGGGCGGTGATAATGACAGGGCCGGTGTCGGTCAACGTCTGGGCCGTGTTGGCGGGCGCGCGGTAATCGCTGGTGGCACTGATTTTATTGAAGTCCGCCCAGCTTTGGTGAGTCAAAGGTCGACAGGTTGCTGATTACAGCGGTGCATCTTTCGCGCCTCGACACTTTGCCTCTCTCCTTCCTTCCCCTCTACATATCCATTCATTGCCCAAGATGTGTGGTATCTTTGCCTGCCACAGGTATGTCTCATTCCTCGAGGCAGCTCGAATCGCGTGCCCCTCAATTCTCCAGATATTGACACTTCAACAGCCATCCCGATGTGCAAAAGTTCAAGCCCACTGCCCTGCGCATGGGCAAGCAGATCCGCCACCGTGGTCCCGATTGGAGCGGTAACCACACCTCCAACAACACTATCCTGGTTCACGAGCGTTTGAGTATCGTCGGTGTTGGTATGTAAAGAAGCTGAGGAAACATGCACGCGAGCCATGGCTAAGACGTGTCGTTCAGACTCGGGTGCTCAACCTCTGCTCAACGAGGATGGCAGCATTGCCCTTGCCGTCAACGGTGAGATCTACAACCACAAGGTCCTGCGCAAACACCTCAGCAAGCCCTACGATTTCAAGACCCACTCTGACTGCGAGGTCATCATTCCTCTGGTATGAAGCCTTTCGCAACAAGCGGACATCAGGACGTCAACTGACAAAATTTGTAGTACATGGAGCACGGCATCGACACACCCAAGTTCCTCGACGGCATGTTCTCCTGGGTCCTTCACGACAAGAAGCAGGACAGAGTAATTGCTGCCAGAGATCCCATTGGTGTCACAACCTTCTACATGGGCCGTTCCAGCGAGACCCCTGGTGCTGTCTACTTCGCCTCGGAGCTGAAGTGCCTCCACCCCGTCTGCGACAACATCATTGCTTTCCCTCCTGGCCACGTCTATGACTCCAACACCGACAAGATCACCCAGTACTTCACCCCCAAGTGGCTGGTGGAGCCCACCAACATTCCCACCACTCCCGTCGACCTCAAGACCCTCCGCACAAAGTTCGAGAGAGCTGTCAGAAAGCGTCTGATGGCCGAGGTTCCCTACGGTGTCCTTCTTTCCGGTGGTCTGGACTCCAGTTTGGTTGCTTCAATCGCACAGAGAGAGACTCTTAGACTGCAGGCTGCATACAACGCACAACAAGAGCAGAACGGTGGTGTCGACGCCGAGGAGGAGCTGGCTGGAATTGACGAGGACTACAAGCTCAACACTATTCCTGTTCTGTCTCAGCTCAACTCCTTCTCCATCGGTCTGCCTGGCGCTCCTGACAGTAAAGCCGCTCTCGAGGTCGCCAAGTTCTTGGGCACCAAGCACCACAACCTCACTTTCACCATTCAGGAGGGCCTTGACGCACTATCGGACGTCATCTTCCACCTCGAGACCTACGACGTTACCACCATCCGTGCTTCAACTCCCATGTTCCTTCTCAGCAGAAAGATCAAGGCTATGGGTATCAAGATGGTTCTCTCCGGAGAGGGTAGTGACGAGATCTTCGGTGGCTACCTTTACTTCCACAACGCTCCCGACAAGAAGGCCTTCCACGAGGAGACTGTCCGCAGAGTGCGCAACTTGCACTTGGCCGACTGTCTGAGAGCCAACAAGTCGACTTCGGCTTGGGGTCTTGAAGCTAGAGTGCCTTTCCTGGACAAGGAGTTCCTCGAGTACTCGATGAGCATCGACCCTGAGGCCAAGCTGATTGACAAGGACCACATCGAGAAGTACATTATCCGCAAGGCATTCGACACATCCGACGAGCCCGGCGAGAAGCCCTACCTGCCCGACAACATCCTTTGGAGACAGAAGGAGCAGTTCAGTGACGGTGTTGGCTACGGCTGGATTGACGGACTCAAGGACACGGCCGAGCTGCACGTCAGCGACGAGGATATGAAGAACCCCAAGCCCGAGTGGGGAGACGACATCCCCGACACCAAGGAGGCATACTGGTACAGATGCATGTTCGACGAGCACTTCCCCCCTTACTGCGCATCGACCGTCATGAGATGGACACCGACGTGGTCCAAGCAGACGGATCCCAGTGGCCGTGCTATCGGCGTTCACGCCCAAAAGTACGCGCACGCCGCTTAAGCACGAAGAAAAGAGATATCGTTGAGTAGCAAGCGAGATGCATGATGATCAGATTTGAAGGCGTTGGAATACACGACAGGCAAAAAAGGGATATCGTCTGCTCCTGGACGAAGTTATAGACCTCAGTTATGTACGAGTCAAGATTTACTTTTCCGTTTTCATGAAGTCAGCTGCAGTCTTTGTGTCGAGGTGATTTTCTGTATTTCGTGATCGTCATGAATGTCTTATGTCGCAGTGTCTTCTGCTTTCCTTCCCATGTTCCCCTTGCATCATCTCTGCCCGTGAACGCCTCGCTAAATCCAGCAATCCCAGATCAACAAGCAGCCCGTCCTCGCTCCATAGCATCAGTCGATGTGACAGAGCTCGCTTCCCTGCTATCCCTCTAAGCTTCCGTCTTTCTCTTCTTCTTTTTCCTGCCACCCTCTTCACCTTCCTCTTCAACGCCTAACTCCTTGACAGCTCCCTTCTTTCCCTGCACCAAGCCCTCTCCCGTACCGATATCAAAAGCCTTTCTGTTGTCTTTCAGAATCTTCTCAGCAAAGAAGATTTCGGTCACTCTGCCCAGCTTCTTTGCATCCCTGCGCAAGACCCATTTGAAATCGTCGACCTTGATCTTTTGGCGGCGCGAGTAGGATGCGCAGATTGCGGCGCTGTGGCAGGTCTCGATGATGAAGTCTGTGATTATTTCGTCGAGGGTTGTGAGGGTCGCGGGGAGTGGTTGGGTGTCGCCGAATGCTTCGAGGAGGCCAGCGACTGTGGTGAGGCTTGTTAGTGGTGGGCTGGCGATGGTTTGCAAGAGGTAGACACACGTTCTGGATTTGAGAATTGTTGGCCTTTTTGGCGAAGGCGCATGCGTGGTTCGGCCATGGCGTGTGAGAGAAGATGGGTGGAGTAGGTGTAGTGGAGTGGACAATTGCGTGTTTGATGTATGCTGCTCCCGAGGGGTGAATGTATTATAGAAGGCCGGTATTGCTCTCGCGAACTGATGATGTCGGTGTATGAGAGGCCGGTATTGACACAGACGAGGACCCGATTAACCTCACACACAAACTGAGCACTGTCGTGTTTGAGGAAGTCGTGATCATACCTAGCCCTTCAAGGTGGAAAGCAGCGGCCTCGGATGTTGCCGAGGGCACTTCCATCCATACACCTTGCAACCTCGTGGTGTACTTTGATAAACAACACGCGACGAACAAAGTCAGCGACAATCAAAATGGTATCATCAAAGGATATCCTCAAATCATAGTGATCAAATCATGCTAACTGTTGGTAGTCTGCCCTCTTCAACTTCCAGTCTCTGTTACTGGTCATCCTCCTCTTCATATGCACCTGCTCTTACACACATGGCGTCTTCCCTGCCATTATGGACAAGCACAAGGACGGGTATCTTGATATTCCCTGGTATCGAGTGCTGAACATTTGCTGATGTTCAATCAAGTTTCACCTCCGTATTCTGGAGAGCAGCACGTATTGGCGAACGTCTGAGTCCGTACATCAGCGTCTGCTGCGTCGTCATGGCCGTAAATATTTCCTTGTTGCCCATCGTGATAGCGTTTCTAACTTCCAACAGGGCAGGATCTTTATCGGATCGGCATAGATGTGCATTTTCTAGAGGCGTGGAGTCTGGAGTTGGTGTCGCAAAAGGCAGGACCGGATCAGGGGGAATACCAGCGGCCTTATGAATTTATGATCTGCTCGTTTCTTTCGTCTCTCTTGCCTCTCGTGTTTTTACTTCTGGACCTTGTAGTAGGTATCTATGCTTCGTGTAGGTTTTTGGCTCACGCGGCCGCCAGATTGACGGCCAGTCACATGTCATTTTCCCATTCCATTTGATCCTCCCGGCATTTTTGGTGCTGGCCAGTGTCTACCCTCACTTCTTCTGAACCACTGCTACCACTCCTTAGGATTCAGTGACGATTGGAGCACTTCCGCACTTCACGCCGCTACTTTTGATTCGTTGCATGGGTTCCGACTTTCAGTCTCTCACATCCAACCTCTATATATTGGGCATCCTTCCTCTCTCAACTTACCTTTTCCCAACATATTTTCACACAATCTCTTCTCGATACACACATTGATTACTGGTCGCACTTTCTTCTCCCTCAAGATACCTTCAATCATCATCTCGTAGCAGTTCTCGATATATGTTGTGACCACAGGTCACACTTTCTCCTCAATCGTCGACCAAAGTCCTTGGCAAGAATCAACCGCAGACTGATATTGCCACAAGAGGCTGAAGGCAGAATGTCGTTCAGGTATGCTATCGACGTGCATATCCAAAGCGGCTCAAAGTACTAACAAATCAACAGGGACTCTATCTCTAGTCGTCCTGCCACCATCAGAGTTGGCAGAGGCCCACATGCTGGCGTGTTTACTATACCAAAGGCACTGCTTTGCAACTCGTCCGCATACTTCAAGGCTGCTCTAAATAGGCCATTTATCGAGGGTCAAACGCAGACCATCCATCTTGACGACGAGGATCCCTCGATCTTTCAGACTTATGTCACGTGGCTTTATCAAGGGCAACTCGATTCTCAAGACATCGAAGAGGAACTCGATGACCCACAGGACTTTGGCCTACACATTGCCGAGGTAATGGTCTTCGCCGACAAGAGGGATGTCCGCGAGCTCAAGAATGATGCTATCTCGATGCTTCTGAGCTACCTGGTCACACATGGACTTGCGAGTCTTGATACCATCAACTGTGTCTACAACATGCCCAAGTCGTCGGAGATCGTCCTTCTACGCTCCGTTCTAGCAACAGATGAGGTGTGGCACGGTCATCGGCTGGACAAGAAGATTGATCACTGGCACCCAGAATTCCTGGCGGAGATCATTGGTATCTACAGGAATTTCAAACCTACGTCCCGCAGATTCCTGGAAAGCTTCTTGAATACTAATCCAACCACAGTCTGTGGTTTTGCGCACAAACACAACGTCAACGCACCGCCTTGCTCATCTCTCGTCAAGAACACATATACTCCGGCTTCTACACCAAACCAGCAGCCTCCAAGCAAGAAGTGTAAAATCGAGCCACCGACACAAACTGTTCGAGTTCTCATCGACTGAACAGCCATCGGATCCACCAAAATCAGTATGCAAGCCACCAGCGCTCACAGAACTCCAACACCATATCTAAGATTGGAGACGGGTTAGCGAAACATCAGTCATCAGCACATGATGGATGCGGCTCTCCTCAAATTCGAGGACGATGAGATGCCACAATGCTACGACTTATCAAAACAGCATGAGACCGCACTGGACATGAGGAAAAGTTCAGATAAGAAGAGGGTTCATATCGTACCAGAGCACTAATGATATCGCGTGCGAAAGGTATATAGGAATTCGATATAATGCCTACATAATGAACCACTCTCGTCAGTGTAGCAGTCCCCCCCGTGCAACATGTCTCTGTAATGTGTAGAACTGAAATTCACAAAGACAATGGTAGTTTCTTCGGTTTGCCTAATCCTCTGAGGCTGTTCTGCTGCTCCTTGGTAGTGTCCAGGACGGACTATGTCGTTCTTGACTCCGTGCGTGACACACATCTCTTTGTGACCGTTCCATTGACGTGCTCCTGGCAGCAATGGGAAACAGCTCGACGCCGCGAAGCTGCTGATTTCTCTGCAGAATTCATGTCCCCCAAGCAGAGGAATAGAGCTAGCGGGCAGAGCGCCATCAGTTGTAGCTTTCTGTCTAGCAATAGAGGCTAGTAGTATTGCCTTTTCGGCACAAAAGAGGTAGCGCTGATTATGTGCTTCGTTTCCATGTTCTAGTATCATCTTTTCAGATTGATATCACGAGCTGATTAGAGCCTCGAGCTGGGCCTTCTGGATCGGGTTGGCCTTGCCTGCAATCTCGATCAGAAGGGTAGCCTCGTCCTCATTGCCGGCCTTGAGCTGTCTCTTGACGACAGCCTTGACGCGATCAAAGCTACCTTGACTCAGGACACGAATGTACTGTGCAACAGCACTTCTAAGGACTCTCTCGATATCCTCATCGAGTTCGAACTTGAAGTATGGCAGTAAAAGTGCGATGACCTTGTCGGCCAGATCGGCATTGAGCTTGGGTGACTCGCCCATAGCCTTCTTGAGTGCAGAAAGGGCCTTGGCGAGCTTGAGAGGGAACTCGGCGGCCTCGATGGCCTCCTGGGTGTTTGTGTCCAGTAGTTCGAGTTTGGCGAGACAGATGTGCATGCTGATCTTGCTGGTAGCAAATTCCTGGTTGGAGAGGTAATCGATGATGTGTTGTAGCAGCTTGCTGGTGCAGGGGACATCTGTAAAGCCGGCAAAGACGTCGAAGAATTGCTCGGCGATAGTAGGGTCGTTGAAGTCGCGCATCGAAGTCTCGAAGATGATACGGGGAATATCGCCGTTCAAGGCAGGTGAGGCAGCCAGTTTCTTGAGCGCTTCCTCGTCGACAGCTTGTTTCGGTTCGGGGGCGCCTTCGGGCTTGATCTCGTCTGCTGTTACATCTGGCAGGGCCATCATGTCGGCATCTGCGTCTAACGTCGAGTCGATCTGCTTTGCCGTCCTCTCAATATCCAGACCCAGAATCTTTCGTCGGGCGGCAATCTTTGCGACGTAGAGCATCTCCAGCTTGGCGTACTCCAACCACAACTTTCTCTCCCTCTTGCAGAATCGCAGACCTCTTTGCATGTAACTGCGCGCTGTCGGCATATCGGCCTGCTGTTCGAAATAGTACTTTGCGGCCCAGACCCATATGTCCCACTTGATGGGGTGCATTCTCAAGCACTGCGTCAAAGCCTTTGCCAACTTCTTGTTTGCCGCCTCTTTGCGACAGAACTCGAGATACTGCATCCACAAGCCCATGTCTCCCTGGAACCTCCTCACGCCTCTTTCCAAGACGAAGAAGATCTTCTTTTGACCAGCAAAAGATGTAGCCTTGACACCCAAGCGCTTCGAGCGCTTCTTCCTCAGCGAGTCCAGGTTCATTTCGTAGAGTGCATAGCGGGCGTAGTCGGCAGGGGTGGCAGCGCCGGGAGTGTTGAGCAGGTGTTCAAATTCGGAGCGCTTGCGGGCTATCGAAGTGATTTCTTCGCGGGTGAAGATGTTTTTGCGTTCGTATTCCTGGAGTTCGGGAACCGACTGTTCCATGTAGAATCGAGCCTTGTCACTCGCTGCGGCCATTTTGACGGTGGGTTGTGTAGTAAGAAAGTGCTTGTTCGGGTCCAAAGACGATCACTGGGTCTCATGAAAGCGTCCGGGATATTTTTGAGCTTCACCGCCCTGAGTCGCCGATTCTGCCGCGACACATCGGCGCTTGATGGCCGAGTTCCGAGAAACATGGCTGCCGGTACCACCCTGTCTCCATCGATAGCTTATCTCTTCTGGAAGACCATGTCAGGTAGCTACAACTGCCAAGGATACGTTAGACTGTTCAGATACACGGACGTGGCTCATATGGTCGTAACATGTTACCACCCTGACCGAAAGGCTCGGATTGGCCAAAAGGGTCAGCTTCTGTCAGTGTCCAACACAGACGCTTGGGAACCAAGTATCACTGCAATTACATTCACATACAAGAGATGCATCTACCAGTACGAACTCCAATCGACACCCGAGATTCTTTGTCTCCTGAACATCAAAGCCGATTCATGATAAAACAAGTCCATGTCGTCGGCAGCGCCTATTGACCCCACCGGTTCCCATATGCAATGGACGTTCGCAATGACGTTGAATGGCAGATCAGAACATCGGCACTTTTCTCCATCTATCTATCGAGGCTCTTGTATTCCTGTCAGGGTAGAAGGTAGATACGGGTGAACGTATAACATTCGAACCCCCTTTCAACAGGCTTTGTACTCGACTTCGTCGCTCAAGGTGTTCAATGGGCGAGGATTGAATCAACATGGACCTTCCAGTTCTCTCCGGACTCGTTGCTCGGCGGCCGGTCGCAGCTTCTCATGCCCCACCAATTTCCCGCCATGCCACTTTGACCACGTTGTTCTATTAAATTCTTCCAGCCGACCAGTCCCTCTTCGATTTTCTTCCTGTTCGTACGTGATTGGAACCCAGACATCGAGTATGAGTTCAAGCAGCATGGCCGTCGATAAAGGTCATCTTCGCGAGAGGATGCCCAAGACAGTCAATGCACCATCAACTGCCGATGCACAGAATACCGTCAAATCGCTCAATCATGATGAAGCCGAGAAAGACGACACCAAGAAGCGCACTTACGGCAGAACGCCAGAGGGTAAAGGTATGCCATGTTGTTGTGAGGACGTTCATCACGCCGTGGCTGATACAGGAACACGACAGTATTCGTGGTGCCGCAGACACATGACATGGTCTCGCAACTTCTTTCCCCGACTCAACCAAAGAATGTGTCCGACATTGTCATCTTGGCTGTGCTTGCATGCCATGTCGCCATGCTTTACTTCCTCCCAGATCCAGTTCGTATCCCCATCCTCGCCATTGTCTTCCTTTTCTGGCGTGCCGCATACAACGCCGGCATTGGCTGGCTGCTCAATATACAATCCAACCACAAGCGCCTTACTACGTGGGCTCGCAAGTACAATCTCTTTACAGACCCAAACTCCGGCAAGAACCCGCGTCCATGGCTTTACAACCAACTAAAACGTGAAATGGAGACAAAGATTGCTCGCGACTACAAGTTCCAAGAGGCTCCTCTCGAGTACAACACATGGTTGGTTTTCCGAAGAGTCGTTGATCTGATCCTAATGTCCGACTTTGTCGCCTACTGCTGCTTTGCCATCGCTTGCGGCGGCCGTCCTGATGGTGAGAATGTGCTTATGACTCTTGCACGCTGGCTGTGTGGCTTAACCCTCGTCGCTTTCAACCTCTGGGTCAAGCTTGACGCCCATAGAGTCGTCAAAGACTACGCCTGGTACTGGGGTGACTTCTTCTACCTCATCGATCAAGAACTCACCTTCGACGGCGTCTTCGAGATGGCTCCTCATCCCATGTACTCTGTTGGCTACGTTGGCTTCTACGGCATTTCCTTGATGGCCGCCAGCTACAAGGTGCTCTTCATCTCCATCCTTGCACATGCTGCTCAGTTCGCCTTTTTGACCATCGTCGAGAACCCGCACATCGAAAAGACATACAACCCACCCGCGCCAAAGAAAAGAAGAGAATCCGAGAGCGACAGAGAACCTCCCAAAAGCGCCACTCCCGACTCCGGTCATATCAACGGATATCCTCCCATAGCGACAACCGAGAAGCCTTCTTCAGTCCACAACATTCTTGGCTTCCACAACATGGACCTTCACCGTATCACAGACATATCCGTCTTGCTTATGCAATCTTACCTCTTTAGTGTCGCCTTCTTGACCCCGTCAACTGCTTTGTGGCAGACCGCCTTTGTCGTCAACGCAGTGGCCTGGCGGTTGTGGTATTCACTTGGCATTGGCTACATCCTTGATCGTCAGTCGAACAAGAAGAAGTGGGCTCGCCATTTTGTCAAGTATGGTGAGAGCACTGAAGAGGCCTGGAGACAATGGAAGGGGCTCTATCACTTGAGCATGAGCATGTGTACCGCAAGCTTTCTGTGTGCTGCCCTGAAGATGTACAGCCTGCCTCCGAACTGGACCTATGGTCTGGCTCTGCTTCGTCACGTACTCGGCATGGCCTTGATCGCCCTCCAAGTCTGGACAAGCTTCAGCATCTACGAATCTCTCGGCGAGTTCGGATGGTTCTTTGGTGATTTCTTCTTCGACCATGCGTCCAAGCTTACCTACGGTGGCATCTACAGGTTCCTCAATAATCCTGAGCGAGTAATTGGACTGGCTGGCATTTGGGGTGTTGCATTGATCACATGGAGCAAGACAATCTTCTTCCTCGCGCTGTTGAGTCATCTTCTCACTCTGGTCTTCATTCAATTTGTGGAACGTCCGCACATGGAAAAGCTCTATGGGCAATCTCTGCGCCAGGACTCTGGGCTTTCCAAGAGTCTCAAGCGCTCCCTACCCTCCCAATTCAAACACTGGCAGGGTAGCGTCGACAGAGTGCTCGAAGACTCGATGGACTTCCTCGAAGACTTTATTGACTCAGCGAGACCCAAGCTCGCTTCCGGAATGGATACCTTCGTCAGAGATACGCGCACACTCTTCAAGAACTATCCAGCTCGTATCACGGTTACACGTCTCACGCCTGATCTTGCCGGCTTCGATCCTAAGGACTACTCTCTGGACGTCGAAGGCACTCCGTCCTCTGGCGCATCTGAATTCGAACGTTCTAGTGGGCGCGAAGGAGAGATTGGCCAGATCCCTCAGAAGCGTGTTGATCAGTACAAGACTCTTACCTTTGAGTATGGTGCTCCGATCAAAGTCCGTTGGCAAGCTCCTGCAAATCACCGCAAGAACGATTGGATCGGGTTGTACATGGTTGCAGATAATTCATCGCGTCATGTCACGCATGTCGGATCTCAAGGTCGTTGGACCGCCACCACAAAGGGTGTCTACGATTCTGTCACCGCCGAGACTGGCATCCTCGTTGATTCCCATGAGGTCACCAAAGATGGCAAGCAGTATGCAACCGGCGAGATGGAGTTCTCCGGTGACAAACTGTGGTGGACTCACGGCGTTTTCGAGTTCCGCTACCACCACGACGGAAAGCACAATGTCATGGCTACGTCTCTACCATTCGAGATTCGCGTTGGCAGGTTTGACGAAGACGATGTTCAGTTTGATAATATCAACCTGGCACGTTCGGCCGTTGAGCAGGCTTTGCTTCCCATTGTACAAAACTGCTTCGATCGCGACCCAGAGGTTGCGCCGCGCACTGTTGATGACATGTTTGGCGATGGCTTGGAGAGAGAAGGCAGATATGCTAGACGTGTCGTCTTCGCTATCCATCAAATGTGAGTGCTCACCTTGTTTTGTGGACTCGAATCGAGGAAGTTGCTGACGAAACATAAACAGGTTTGGTATCGAATTTGCACCCGAAGTCGTCTTGGCCGACGGCAGTGTACAAAATCTGGCTTGGAGAATTTGCAATGCAAAGAAGGTGCTCGTAAGTAATATCTTCCCTGTAGGTTTCATGACTGCGCTGACATTTTCGCGCAGGCACCTTACAGCATGACACCTAGCCGTGGTCGCTCGACCCCTGCAGAGCTGAAGGCTTGATACAAGGAGTGTGGGAGATGTGTATAGAAAGCAGTTGGAAGTAATAAGAGAAGGATTAGAGGATGTCTCGTTGGAGAAGAGGTGGTGAACATAGATCAGAAGATCGGGAAGAAAATGGGGTTTGGTTATGGGCACAGAACACTGTCGCTTGCATTGAATGAATCTTGTCTACAACCATGCCTTGCGTTTCCTCTCAACACCTCATCGACCCTTCCTTTTTCTGTGACCGCGCTCTACAATCAATCCTTGCCTGCTTCGAATTTTTGGTTCGCTCTTTATCTTTGGACGATCGCGTCCACCGATTCTCTCTTTACACACCTACAATGCATCAAGTGTTCCAAGACTGCTTCTGGTTTAGACGAAGATGGACTTTTTTTCAATTTCTGTCTCTCTCTGTATAATTAATCTACAATGTGAATGCGAATACGAGTACATTATGGAAAACCACAAAAAAATGAAAACCCTTCACGACAGCGTCAAACCGTCAATAAACCTCATATCTCTTCTCCCACCTCTATGAATTTCACACTCCGCTGGTAACCCATTCCATACCTAATGAGTTCTGCGCTTCTTTGACTTGAGATTGGAACGAGACTTGCTGTTGTTGTACATGGGTGCTCCTGCCGAGGTCTGGAGGTCCTCGTCGACGGAGATGGGAAGGAGCTTGGTGGTTCCTTCTCCCGTGAGATCTACAATGTCATCGCCGTCGTCTGCGATGTTGATGTATTCCATAGGTCGCTTGGTCTGTCTGGCGGACTCGAGGGGCGTGGCTTGGCCAGATGACTCGAGTGTGATGCCATCGGTCATGGACTCGTCACGGCTGGGTGGCACTTCAGAAGCGCCGAGCTGAGTGTTCTGGGTCATGTTGTCGTTCTGAGCTTGGAGGAGCTCCGCATACTCTCTGTCGTGCTGTTCGGCTATGCTGGCAATCAGCTTTCCGAATTCGGGGTCCGCCTGTGATTCCTTGCACTCGGTGCAATGGATGTACCAGGCGTTGCGCTTGGGTGCATAGTCTAGCACTGCATACTCTGGAATTGTCTCGCCCAGCAGTTGCGAGTTGGGGTCAAGACAGTCCTCGCAGTATCCTTTGTGGCACCAGCGACAACGGTAGATCAAGCCACCAGCATTGCCGGTGCTCTTTTCGCAATCGTGGCAATCGTGCTGAGGGCAATGGAAGTTCATCTTGGAAGTGGCTTTTGCTTGGTATTGCTTGCTCAAGCAAGCCAGGTGGTAGGCGCGAGGGCAGCCTGAGCAGAGGTACATCTCGCCGCCGTCGAAGCAAGATTGACAGATCTCCTGATGATTGATGGGAGCTGCCTTCTCGCGCTTGGGTTCGGCAAGTCGAGGGTCTTTGCCTGCAAGTGTTGGTACCGCCTCCCAATCGCCACAGTTCATGCTCTCCTTGTTGATAGCGAAGCCATCCACCATGACTGTTGTGTTCTTGTCCACTCGGCGGTCTGCACGAGAGAGATCTGTGGCAGCTATGGCTGACTTTTCGATACTCTTTTGGTACTTGACACCATTGAGCACAGCAGTCTCGACTCGTTCCATCTTAGCAAGCCACTCCTTCTCGGCGGTCTCTTCGGATTCGCCGTTAACGTGAGGGTCGATAGGCTTGTCTTTGCACTTCTCGATGATTGTTTCGAGGTCCCAGGTCACCATTTCACTCACATCAACTTCCGGATGACTCAACGTAGTGGCGCCACGACGAATCAAGCTCTTTAGCTGTGAGAAACCAAGTTCTGGGCCATCATCTGTGGAAGCTTCGTCTTGCCCAGCAGTTCTCTTTCTCTTGTGTGGTTGATTGGTGGAATGAATATCTTGCATGGATTCGGTGATCTTTGCAGAGAGATACAGCTTCTTTCTGATTCGGCCCATCATCTGCTCTTCCACAGTGCCAGAACTCAACAACTTGTAAATGGTAACAGGTTTGGTCTGTCCAATACGATGAGAGCGGGCTTCTGCTTGGAGTGTGACTTGTGGGTTCCAGTCTTCGTCTAGGAAAATAACATCGCTTGCGGCAGTGAGATTGAGACCAAGGCCACCTGCGCGAGTCGAGATGAGCATGACCTTGTATTCTGAAGACTTGTCGTTGAATAGTCTGATTTGCAGATTACGGACTGCTCGTTGGGTGCTGCCATCGAAACGCACATGGCGGAAGGGAGCGTCATGTTGGTTGCTGCCTTTTGTGGCGAGCAGGTCTTCGCAGTAGTCGAGAGCCGAGGTGAACCCCGAGAAAATAAGGATCTTCTTTCCTTGTTTCACGACGAGCTCGTCGATGATTTTGCTCAAGACGATGAACTTACCGGAGGCATGCATGATATGATCTCCATAGTGGTATGGATCTGGAGCGGCACCTTTGATCATATAAGGTGTTACACACGTCTTGCGCAACTGCATAACAATGTTCATCAACTTCTTGTAAGCGGATGTGTCCTTTTCTCCGGTCGCTTCATTCGATACAGCTTGCTCAATCAGGGCGCGACTTTGACTGGTAAAGTCATTGTCCACTACGTCTGTGACCTGGCCGAGTTTGACATCCTCCTCAACCTCTTTGATCATTGCTTCATGTTCCTTCTGCTTGACATTGCCAAATATGTCATCCAGTAGAGTGCCACCAGCTTTTGTCAATAGTCTCGTGTACCAGAATCGCTGGAGTGGAGTCAGAGGAATGTAGAGCAGAACCTCGCTCTTTGGAGGTAGTCCCAGGTCGACACCAGGACTGCTTTTCATTCTTCGAATCATGACGAGTTCGAGCAAGTGACGGGCGTGGTCCATGAAGTCCGAGTCAACCTGACCGCGGCCGATATCGAACGCTTCCTTGAACAAGTCCGCGGTCTTGTCGATGAAGACACTAGGGTACAGCCAGTGAAGCAAGGCCCACATCTCGCGTAGGTCGTTCTGCAAAGGAGTTCCCGTAAGCAACAGGCGATGTTCAGCTTGCAGACCTTGCAAAGCGAGCGAGATATTTGTCTTGTCGTTCTTGATCTTGTGTCCTTCGTCCAGAATGCAATAACGCCATACGAATGCCTGCTTCAACCAAGAGCTCTCTGATTGGAAGGTCTCATAGTTGGTGACCATGATGTCGAAGACTGTTCCAGAACCCTCATTTGTCGGCACAGAGACGTCGCCCCGCTTGCTCTTGTTGCGCCCGGTAGCGTTGCCGTATCTGTCCGTAACTCCTGAAGCCATTAATTTCACCTCGTTACGCTCAGAGGTCGAGCCGTGGAAGCGAAGAACCTTGAGTTTTGGGGTCCACTTCCGGGCCTCATCGCACCATGATCCCAGCACACTGAGTGGACAGACAACCAAGTAGGGTCTAGCGATGCCGACTGGGCTAGGATGAGTCTCCTCGAGGTGTTGGATCAATGACAGTGTTTGCAGTGTCTTTCCCAGACCCATCTCGTCACCCAAGATTGCTGGCATTGCGTTCTCGTACATGTTGGCCAAGAACGACAGGCCGGTAAGTTGGTATGGCTTCATTGTGGCCACCACATCAGTAGGTTGCTTGCTCAGAGGGGTGTACGGCACGTAGTCCTGATGCGAATCGTTGGCCTGGAGCAGCTTGGATATGTAGTTGTTGGGGGGCAGCAGTGGTAAGAAGTAATCTTTGTGATGGACGAGGAATGCATCACGCTTTGCTTTCGTCGTAGTGGCAATCTCTTCACGTACTCGGTTTCGCACAGTATCAGCCTTGACTATGCGTGTTGCTGTAGCTCTGGTCTTTGTCGAAACCTCCTCGATAATCATGTCAGAGTCCAAAAGGCGATTGTCAGCGATTTGTTGTCTCTTGGATTTTGATCTGGGTGTTTTCGTTTGGGGAGATTGAGTTTTGGGAGTCTTTGGGCGCGGTGAATAGTTGTATTCGACCTTGGACCGGGCAGCTCTAGGGGGCAAAGTTCTGCTCGGAGTAATTGGGTTGGGTTTGGTTGGGCTCGCAACATCGATGTTAGAAAGCATGTCCTCATCGTCGCCGCCGCCAACCTCGGCGTCCTTGTGCGTAGAGTGAGCTTCGGTGGGAGTGTCAATTGCGTTGATAGAGTCTACAGCAGACGATGCATCCTCTGTCACGGTGTTCTTCAAGGGCGAGCCGTGGCTCATGGGCTGAAGAGGGCTCATTGGCGTCGACAAAGGCTTTTGTCTTGGTTTGAATAACGACAAGAGACCAGACGCGGACAACCGTTGCCTCTTGGGTGCTGGCGGTCGGGCACTGGAGTCCGCGTGACTCTGGGGTTGAAGTGACTGGTTCGCCATGACTGCAAAGAATGTCGGACTGTATCAAACAAGTGAGCAAAGCCCTGGGATTGCTCTGCCAACTGTTGATAGAAATGAAGTCCAAAGTGGATAGCGCTTGTTTACGATGCCTTTGTAATGCAGAGATCCGAATTCCGGGCAGAATCGATACCGCCGACTACTTTCGGATGAAGATGATGAGTCAAAGTGGAAGAAGGTTGCTGTAAAGCTCATGCCATCACTTTGAAAATGATTGTTGCTGATTGAGAGCTTGGGGCGAGACGACCATCAAAACAAGCCTGGTGCTGCGGTAACCATGCGCACACTATTCTCGTCACTTGTGTCGGATAGTTCACTGCAAAATGATATTCCAACCGAGTCTCGGAGATGGAATAAGTGGTCAAGTCGCGTTCACTTTCTAGTACACGTCGACGCTTGAAGGATCGATTGAAGGCTGGCGATTCGTCCAAAGCCAATCGCAACAACCAAGTGAATTATTGGAAGTCCTCGGAGAATGCTTCCATCAACAGTAGCTTGTAGACTTCAACTGGATACTCAAAATATGAGTTATCTCTTTCGAATCCAGAGAGGGGTACAAAATGAGATGAGATATCAACCACATAAATCAAACGCGTTATGCGCGAGGAAGGCGTCTGATTTTCCCAGCGATGACGGCAAAAAATCTCACTAATTAATGCACATTAACGCCCATCAGATCCCCAGAAATTGGTAATATCAGGGTCCGAGTCAAGAAGATGCGACACCCATCTGCCGTCCCTTGGGTTGGAAGCGTTCTCGACATATTTTTTTAATTCCCAGACCCCTATGCGCAAGGCTTTTACCAAACCGCTGTCCTCATTCTGCAGCATATCCCATACTCTCAACCGTAGCAACCACACCTTCAGACCAAGCACGAGATTGTTTAGCAACATGGAGAAGCCAATCGAGAAGATGGAGGAACAGATCCCCAAGGCTTCCGAGCCGACAAGTGCTGCTGCGCCCAAGCAAGAGGAGCAGGACTTGCCCAAGTTGTCGCCACAAGAGTTCAGGGTATACAACCGAATGGCAGAGCACATGGACATGTTTGTACGTATCTTGTCTATCAAGACCCTATCCTGCTCCTTGAGCCTGAGCTGATGGCGTGTAGCACGAGAATTTCCGTAGGACGTGGAACCTGTTATACGGCGCGTGCGAAAGCAAGAAGCGACCGGCTGGCATGTCGATCCGCCAATTTATCGGCGTGGGAGACGACTTCTGCCACCACTTGACCATCCACCATACTATCGAGGAGCGCCACATATTCCCTGTCCTTGCTCGCAAGATGCCAGCCTTCAAGAAGGAGCTCGAATTGCTCACTCAGCACAAACAAATCCACAACGGACTCGACAAGTTTGAGGAGTATCTCGGCCAATGTCGGAGTGGAGAGAAAGAGCTGCGCATGGAAGAGATGAAGGCCATCCTCGACACATTTGGCAAAGTCTTGTGGCAACACCTTGACGACGAGGTGCATGAACTTCGTGCCGAGAACATGAGACGGTACTGGACGCCAGCCGAAATGGCGAGGATACCCATTTAGAGGGCATGGTCCAATAGGTACCACATAGATTTCCTTGTTCCTTCAAGACGGCTTGCCTTGCTTCCTCGCCGCAGCGAACTTCTCGTGCCATTTTCTCTTTCCAGCAGTTGTAGCTGCCGATGTCTTAAGTGCGCCAGCCGTGGCTTCTTCGGCATGCGTACTCTGGTTGTGGACGAATTCAATGCGTTTCCCGCCTCCGGATAGCTTGTATAGACCCTGTGGGGAAGTTAGCTGTGTTTGGTCATTGCGATGGTGCCGTCTTGCCTTCAGCATGTCAAGAGTCACGTCAGACCGCCACGTCTCTGGTAGGGCGTCTTTCCAGGCGTTCAGAAACACTGACGTTTCCATGAACGACTGCTTGTTGTTCTGGCGATGCGACTCCAGTATATTGGTCCCTACCCATGCGACGGTAGCCTGCTGCTGGAGCTGCAGTGAATCTGCATGGCTTGTGGACAGCTTCAGGAAGATGGCATCGACCAGAGTGCTTGGCCACTCGTCTTCGCCATCGAGCATCTTGTCAATCGTCCCTTTCTGTAAAGGCTCTGCCAGGTTGACGGCATTTGCATATGCGATCTCCAGCAACCATTTCCAAACTCTTGCAAGTGCAGCAGCAGTGGGTCGAAAGCTCTGGCCGGAGTGCTCAAAGGCAATCAGATGTTTCCAGACAGTTTGACACTCGTCATGGCTCATTGGAGTATGCGCAAAGACGTAGCTCTTGGACTGCGGATTGGATGGACGGATGTCGATGTCCTGGGGTTCGGCGAAAGGAACCAAGAGAGAGCGGAGGGTGGATTCGGCATGACGGCTGGGAGCAGGAAGACACTCAAGGGCAGAGCGGCATTGCGAGATGGCAGTAGTGCCGGGGGCGGCGTGCGAAGGAGATGTGAGGTAGAGGGTGTTGGAGGTGTGGACCTGGCGTATGAGATAGGTCTTGTGGGTTGTGGTCAGGAAGGCCTCTGGATCTGTCGCGTCTCTGGCTTTGAAGCTCAGAGTGGGGGAATCGGATGTGCTGAGGTATTCGAGCAGGTCCGGGGGCAGCTCCAGGAGGCGACACGGCTGCAGGTCGGCAGCGACGGAGAAGGGCGTGCCCGAGGTTGCCTGCGAACTCGAAGACATGGTTGCTTGCTGGCTTTGCTCCTTCCCTCTGCGACCAGCTTCCATTGCTTTGGCTCCTTCCCTCTGCGACCAGCTTGCTTTGGCTCCAGCTTCGGCCTGGACGCGATCGCGACTTCTCTTTTTTCCCCACAAACAAACACTCGGGGCGGCAGACAGACTCGCACCAAAACCGTGGGAAGCTCTCAAACTAGTTCGTCGGCAGTGCGGGCCGAGAGATCAATATCAGCGCCGACGGTTGCAACAACAAACGGTGTGTGACCCAGCCCATGCCCTAGGCCAGCGATTGTATACTCGTCGCGGCCACACATCGTCCCCCTCGCGTCGACCTCTTGTTGTTTTTGTCCTTCTGCCCGCCGCCCGCGCGTCAGTCGTCCTCGCTCGCTCTCGCACTCGCCCGGCTCGAAGGCTGGTCCTCGTCCGCTTTGTTTACTTGTCCGACAATCGGCCATGAGCTTATACCGCAACTCGCTCGCCAGTGTCTGACATCCTTCCAATGGTCGTCGTTACTCCGGCCATAGCCACCCTCACCGGCGAGCTAACCCTCTTCCACACTACCGATCCACTTCTCTCCAACTCGCCCATCCTCGTCTTCTACGGTCCTGCCCCCTCCATCTCTGCCGCTACCTCGCGCATCCAGATCCACGTCTTCACCCCCGCCGGCTTTGAGTCCTATCCTCGTGTCAGCATCTCGCCCAATGCTCCTTACTACGCTGCCGTCAACTCGCTGCCTCGAGAGGAACAGGGTGATGAGGTCTGTCGCGGTCTGGCCTTTGGTCTGTCCAAATACTTCGCCGAAGTCCCCAGACCTTCAAGGGATGCATGGGTCGCCCAAGCATGTCCCTCCAGAAAGGCTGCCTCTGCTTTCGCCCTCTTTAGTGACGCCCACGTCGCAATCCTGGCCACCCGTATGAACAAGGTCGACAATCTTGACGAGATCATCAACGATATTCAACGTTCTCTCAGCGAACAAACCGTATCTTGGCTAGATTTGGACGTCATTCTGCCTCCTGGATCTATCGAGCCTGTCAAGGTTGAGGATGAAGAGCCTGAGCAAGAGAATGTTGACGAAGACGAGCTGTGTGCCCGTCGATACGGAGATTATGCACCTTTCATCAAGCTACTGGGCGAACCTGCCTTTCTGCCCACCTCCAAACTACGAAGAGCCCCGTCGAAACCCACCGCTATTGGCCGTAGTCAGGCTTTTCTCAGGGATCAGCGCGACGTTGCTAGGAAGGAGATGAGTGAGCTAGTCGACACCGAGTCTAACTACATCAACAAACTTTCAATTCTGGTCACCGACATTGCTTCCGACCTGCGGCAAATTGTTCACAACGATGCTATACCTGTCTCGAATCCACTGGAACGCACGATTAACGATCTCTTCCCTCCTTTCCTTGATAAGATGCTCGAGCTGAACTCGGCCTTCCTCGAGGCTATTCGTCGCGTCTTGGATGATACCGAAGACTCGACCATTCTGGATCTAACAGACACTACTGAGGAAACTTCTCACGATGAGCCTATATCAGATACTATCGGACTAACAGAGTTCGCAAAATGCTTGATAGAATGGTTTCCAAAATTCGCCGACTGCTATCCTTCCTACATGCAAGCCCACTCAAGGTTCCCGCGACTGATGAGGAGATTGACGCGGATTGGAGATGCAAGCATTCTTGACAAGATCCAGGATTTTGGTGAGAAGCGTCTCAACTCTCTACTGATCGAGCCAGTACAACGTCTGCCACGCTACACTTTGTACATTGATGGCATCGCAAAGCAGCTACCGGTAGCTCATCCTGCACTTAAGCTCCTGCTCAAAGCTCGGGATATAGTCTCGGAGATCTGCTCGCAAGATGCCCCGGGTGCCCAAGAGATAAACATATGGGAACGTCTGCAACGTATTGTCAAATCCTGGCCAGAAACAATCGAATCTGTTGGCCGGCTGATTTCCATAGTGGATGTGGTGGAGATGTTTCCTCCTTTCGAGGACGGTCACAGCCGAGGAAGTTCGGGTGTCCTCATGTTGTTCACCGATTGTACCATCTTTGTGGAAAAACGAACCCAGATGGCCATGTCTGCGCGTGCCTTGTTGTCGGAACTTGGTAAACCGTTACTCGAGGATCGCCGTGATTCGACTCGCCCAGTCACTCCACCATCTTTGCATTTTGTCGACTCGTTCAGCTTGCAAGACACGACTGTGACAGAGTATCTGGATAACCGCGCTATTGCCATCTTGCCTTTGTCGCCCGGTCCGGATCCTGGCATTGCATGTGAGCAGCGCGTATATCTGCTTGAGGGGTCTTATTCTGGAAAGGCATCTAAGTTCCAAGAAGAATGGACCAAAGCTCAAGTTGAAGGTCGATTCACGGAAGAGGAGCGTGAAAGTGGAAAGTGGGAAGTTCGCAGCGCTCAAATTGCTGGTGGGGAACTCAATCTGTTCAATGCCATCTTCGAAGGTTGTCAAAGGCATCATTCGGAGAGCCAATCCAAGTCGGCTCGAGTCCGTGTGATCATTGACCCTAGCAAGCACAAATATCTCACACCCGTCGGAGAGAACCAGCTTGAGGCGAATGTCTCTTTGGAGAAGTCGGAGAAGGGACAATGGCGCATATCTATCGAAAGCGCCTTCTCCATGGCTACGCGCGACAAAGTCGACGAAGGAGAATTTCTCTCTATTCTGATCCGTCGGTTGAGCGGGCTGTTGGTGTCGCGGTTCTCGACTAGAAACTCTGCCATCACTTCTTCGTTCGTCCTCCGTAACCAGCAAGTATTGGATGATTTGCATCTGGAGTTCGAGAAGAAAGAGGTCGAGGTATCAGTTGTACCGGAGGCGTCTTCTACTCACGAACAGCATCGCCCCAAATCGCCTGTCAAGATGATTTCCAACTTTCTGTCTCAGTCCACACACGGACGTCAAACTCCGAGCTCGCGAAAGCTTCCCCAGCCTAATGCCTTCTCAGATGCTCCTCTACTTCTTCCCAGCAGCAGAGATGGGAGTCGGCCATCTTCACGCGACCAACCTCTGCAGCTTTCTGCAACGCCCGAGAGGAACAATCCCGTGCCAAGCCCTTCTAAAAGACTCGAAGATGCCCTGAACACCTATCTTTTGGCGCTGCTTGCTCGCAAGGGCAACATTGTTGGCAAAGTTGTGCAAGGCAGATCTCGTGCAAACGAACTCTCTGTCAACGAACTGTACAATTCCTTGTTGGAAGACCCAAATATGATGGTGGTGGCAGCCCAGTCTTCTATCGACGTTCTCTTTGCCGCTTTTGAGAAATTCCTCAACGTTGCTTGGAAAGAAGGTGTGGGCGCGGTGATGACAGCAAATCAGTTGCAGACCATCCAGACTAAAGCTGAAAGTTTGTTCCCTGTCGACTTCGAGCGATACTTCAAGGACAGCTTTCACAACATGTCTCCTCCCAACCAAAGAGCATTAAGAGGCATTGTCAAGTTGTTGGCAGAACTATTAGATGGCACTGGCAACGATGGTGACCGTGGTATCTTGACTGCAGCATTCGTCGAAATCTTGGTTCCCGATGGTAATCCCTACGATTTTGTGTCGCTACTCGATAGATTCGTGGAGGATATCGAGTCATTGTTCGGCGAAGTGGTACAGCCTAGAGAGGTGAGGCCTACGCTAGGAGGCCATGGTCGATCACGTTCCATCAACACTGCATCGTTAACTTCAAACACATCATCATTCAGGAAGAAGTTCGGATTTGGTTCTAGTACTAGCAGACCGGAACAAGACTACAAGGTGTCAGTGTGGCGTACTCTGAGCAAGAGCACAAGGCTTCCTGATCAACCCTCAAGCTTGTCTAGAGGTACAATGCAGCGAGCGAAGACTACGGACGGTCATGGTGGGTTACCTGTCAGACCGTTCTCTCAAGAAGGACCAAGCAGGGGGCCATCGCCACAGCCTCCTGAAAGACCAATGTCGCATGACTCTACGTGGCACAACAACGGTCTTTCGCTTGGAAGTATAGGCGAGACGCTTAGCCCCCCAAATCCTTCGCCTCACAGAAAGAAACGGCGTAGCTCGCTGTCTGACCTCAAATCCTTGGAACTGACCTTGAACGAGTCGCCTTTCATCTCACCGTCAGCTATGCGCTCATTCGAAGATTCGCCGTCCAAAGAGCCAGTGGAGAGGACAAAGTCCCCTTCACCAACACTCACCAGAGCTAGTGGCATTCCTACACTTGGCTCAACCCTAGGTTCGCCTATCAGTGATAGACCACGTTCAAGACTACCATCCGCTTTCCGCAAAGAGAACTCGCCCCTCAATCAACCCAGCCCGTCCCCCTCCTCAACCAGGCCGAGAAGTCTGAGCAAGCAGCCAGAAGAATTCGATGCAAGTCCTGGTCCACTTATAAGACGCGGCAGTAAGCAAGTAGGAGATACGACACACAGCCCTTACTCGATTGGTAGACGAGGTTCGAAGCACATTGATGAAGGACTCTATCCACTTGCACGCCGCGGATCAAAACAAGTTGAAGATGGACATAACATCCTTGCACGTCGTGGATCAAAGCAGGTGGACGACGTCAGTATCAGCGGTCACCCTACACTGCGACGCAGTTCAAATATTCCTCTATTGTCATCCAAGGTCGACAGGCCAAAGACACCTTCCACACCAACCACCAGAGCAGGACTATCAGAGCGACCCACAGCTGGCAACGCTATGCGCACCAAAACAGGCCCGGCAGGTACACCAGCTAAAGTGACGATAAAATCGCCACCGCCGAGTGGTACGCCTACCAGAAAACTGCGCATGCAGTCACCACAGAAGCTACGAGAGCGTCTTCAAGAGGAGCACCGTGCTCTGGACGCTGCACATTCCACCCTACAAGATGAGCTGAGTCGTATAGGGGAGGAGATGAATATGAATCGCCACAACAGCGTTCTTCGTGGGAACGATTCACCTGCTCAAGCCCAATCGTCTAGCCATGATGCCTCGACCCATCTTTCAACACTCGAGGCTTCTCTCTCTTCTTCAGTTGATGCTGTGGCAGCCCGTGTAGCCAAGATCCAGGCCGATGCGCTCTCGTCACTCGCTGTGTCTGAGTCCAAGGCCAAAAAGCTGGACGAGCTGTATCGCGAAGCCAATGCCGAGAACGAAGCACTATATGCACGTTTCAATGATGAGTTGGCGAGGGTATTGAAGTCCGTCAGAAGTGGTCAGGGACTTGACGAATTGAAGAACAAGGTCCGAGAATCACAGGATGAGGCGGGACGTTTGAGGAGAGAAAACGCTAGGTTGAAGCGTGAGGTTCTTGGTTTGAGGAGTCAGCTCAAGGAGTGAGGAACATTCAATTCTATGACAAATGATGCCAGTGAACTTTGATGATGGCAGGATGGTAAACGAATTGGGTCAATGGAAGAATTGAGTGGAAGAGAAGGTAGGGACGGAGAGAACAACTTGACGTGGTAGATGAGGAAAGCAAGAGGAACGAACAGAGATCGGACTTGAAGAGAGCCGTGATCACAGAGGCGTCCGCGACTAGCCAAACTTGGATTCAAGTGGAGTTGCGTCGTGTTGTTATTGTCATCATCGTTGCAGTGTATTAGCGGTGGCGTTTCTTCTCCAGGTCGACACTTTGGTTGTTTTCTTTGTCTTTCTTGAAGCAATACAGCCATGTTATTCAGAGTGAACTGAAAACGTAGTATATATCATGTATCGTTAACCCTAAGCTCTAGTATATCAATATCGCTTGCGTCTTTTTGGGTCGTAATCATTATCATCATCAGCTTCGTGGGCAGTGGTTTTGCAGCCATAATCATCGCTGTCTGCCTGACAGCAATCCCATGCGGAGCCACTCAGGTACCTCTCTCGCTTCTCGCTCCTAGGCAGCGTACCATTTTGCGATCCATCATAGTATTGTCGGGCACGCTCGTTGAGCTCTAGTTTCCACGCGTGGTGATCACAGTGATCACAGGCGTTGTCGGTGTTCGCTGTAACATCAAACTCTCCTTTACACCATCTACACACCTCGAAGCGTGATCTTTTCCTTGCTGCCCTCTGCTTTGCTGCTATCGCCTCCTTGTCGGTGTTCGCTGTAACATCAAACTCTCCTTTACACCATCTACACACCTCGAAGCGTGATCTTTTCCTTCCTGCCCTCTGCTTTGCTGCTATCGCCTCCTTGTCGTCTTCAGGATCGGGAGACGGTAGAACCAACAGTTCCCTCTCAAACACTGACCGAGCCTTTGGCGATTCGCCAAGAGCTTTGTAGAGGACTGTATGTAGACGGTCGACAGTGAGGTGTTCAATTGCGGTTTGAAGAAGCGATTTTTCTTTTGCCTTGGGCAGTTTCTGGGCGGTAGGTGTTGGGTTTGTGGATGTTACTTGGGTGAATTGTGCTACGGTCGGACGGTCCTTTGATGGTCCTTGAGATAGTTCTGTCTTTGCTTTTGCTCTCCTGGTGGCTTCGAGTCGTTCTGGTACTATGGCTTTGATTGCTGCTTGGAAGGCTTCATCGAGGGAGCTCTCTGCCGGCTTTTTCGTCGTCTTTGGCTTTGATGCGGAAGGTTGTGGTCGTGAGTGGTCGAGAAACTTGGCACTTTTTGGTGACACTTTTGACTTGGGTGGTTGGTCTGGCTTGGTAGGTTCCTTTGACTCGGTTGAGAGCACGGTATCAAGCCATGGATTCGTCTTTGCAGCCTTCATGTGTGTTTGCTGCTTGGATATCGAAGGAAGCCTGTAGATCGTTGTCTCCATTTGCACTTGATATTGTCACCTTCGCCGGCGGTGCTTGGAGAGCTAGGCATACAAAACATGTTCAAAGTGATAAGCAAGCAGATGAGCTAGGTATTCGTGGCCTGCACAAGCACGTGAAGAATGGAAGTGCGTGATGTCAGCACCAGAGGCGATCAGCAGATTGCGTCGGACATCTCCTGGAAGTGAAGGGTAATCGGTTGCTGCTCGACAGTGACATTGTATGCATGGGTGGAATATCAGAGCCGCAATGACGGGTAGATGAACAATGCAATGTCCTCTTTCGGCTTGTCGATCAAGGACTTGATCCCGTGTTTGGTCAAGATGAGCAGATAATACCTAAGCGCCTAAGCGGGCTATCCTCTAAACTTCTGCTTCGTCACCAAAGAAAATGCAGAATTTGTTCGAGGCTGTGAGTGTAGTAGTCGTTGCTGGGTTCTACCCGTACAGCTCCTCGACTTCTGGCGTACGCACAAGTCTGCCCGTCATATTACCCCACCGAGGATGCACAGGTCAACCTCAGCAAGCCGGGTGTTTCTACGAGATGTCCTACTTTTTCCAGCCAGGAGTTGACATGTCTTTGGTGTCTGAACAGCTTACTGCCTCAATCCGTTTAGACAAAGCCAAGAACCGAAGCTTCCCGACGCCCGGTACAAAATTATGCATCAGCACACGCAATTCGACAACCATTCAACCACTTTCCACCCGATTTCTTCCATTCTTTTTTCTACGCATACAGCGAGCAAAAGTGGAAACTGGATGATGCTCAAGATGGCAAAAAGATCGACGCCTGCAGGACTCGAACCTGCGCTCCCGAAGGAAATAGATTTCTAGTCTATCGCTATAACCACTCAGCCAAAGCGCCCGATATGGAAATGGCATCACTAAGCTGATATACAATTACCTGCGGCATGTGAGACCTGTTGATAATTCAGTAGGTGGACTGAACTTACGGGCCCAGCATCGTCTCGGTCAGAACCAAATCAGTTGCTCTGGAGTATCGTGGAAGGTGTGATTTACCAGGCTCATAGAGCATAACCAGAGTCTCATCGTAATTCTGAGTCAATCGCCAGGACAGGTCTGCTGATTTTTGCTACGGTAACCAGAAATACTAAGAAAAGTCACTATCGAGGTCAAGTATCTTAGCGTACTATGTGGCATCTTCAAATGGTCTGAAGCAAGATATACGGATCCTAAACATCTCTTCCATCACGACAGACCCATGATTATTTTTTGTTGTTGTTGTGTTGATCAGGTTGATCTAATCAAGAAGCAGGGTTAGACTGTCAGCAGGAAGAACTTGCAGGGAAACAAATGGTCAGCATAGGCTTCCCTCCTGCTCGTCTGAGGCAGATCTCTTATTCCAGATGAGAAAGGTAAGAGCTCGGTAGAGGATATGGCAGCCCCAGACACACTCCTCTCGATGGGCATGCAAGACTGACGCTACGCTGTTGTGTGCGTTTCTGCTTGTGGTGTTGGCCTATCTTGTGCCTATCGCGACGCGAGCGGAACATGTGCACAGAACAAGATGGACATCCAGGCACAGGTAGTCAGTGCATTGTACAGAGAACTGAGGGCAACACAAGGACATAACCGAATCCAGGAACGATCACTATGCCACTTCCACCAATCGACCCTCCCTTGCTGAACAGCGCCAACCCATGGTGCAGCACGCGAGAAGACCTCGAAGCACTGTATGTATGCCCACATACAGGAGCCGTGACGACAAGGACCAGTCTACTACTCGGATTTGCACACGATCCATCAGTCCATCAACATGCCTTCTTCTCGACGCAATCACACACAGCTACGACCGCGTCCGACTACACCATCAGCGGGAAAGAGTATCCGGCCAGTCTCAACACACTCGGCTACTCGCCCACACCCATCGACACCTATCTTCAATGGATAGAGCAAATCGTCACCGCTTCTCCGAACACAAAACCCAAACCTTTCATTGTCTCCGTCACAGGCTCGCCTCAAGAGGTTGCAGAATGCTACACCCGAGTTGCAGCGCTCGCTGCCCGTATCTCAGCACCGCTTGCTATCGAAGCAAACCTCAGCTGCCCGAACATCGCAAATAAGCCACCACCAGCCTACTCAGGCTCGGCTTTGAAAGAATATCTTGATGCGTTGGTGACGATCCCACGGACGGTACCATTTGGCTTAAAGACACCACCATACACATACGCTGGCCAGTTCAAGACGCTGGTAGATACCCTGCGTGGAAACGGGACACATACAATCGACTTCATCACTGCCACGAATACGTTAGGCTCCTGTCTTGTATTGGGTAACGAGGGTCGGCCTTTGCTTCCCTCAGCAGCGGGTACGGGGATTGGAGGGCTTGCAGGCCAGCCTTTACATCCGCTAGCTCTCGGCAATGTCGCCACGCTGCGCCAGTTGCTCGATGAGCATCATGAGTTGCGCCATGTAGACATCATTGGTGTTGGTGGTGTTAGCGACGCCGCTGGACTTGCACGTATGCAAGCAGTGGGTGCCAAAGTCGTGGCCGTAGGCACAGCTCTTGGAAGAGAAGGCCTGCCAGTATTTGCTAAGATTCTGCATGGTATCAAGACCTCAAAGTTGTGACCGTAGAATGATGGTATGAAGATTTCATAATGATTCTCCAAGCCTCCTCTGTCTACTATGCGATAATTGCCTTTAGGACGAAGCTGAGATGTATATCCGGGAATGGCTAGGTAAAGACGTCTGTGGCAAACCTTACCGAGCGTATGCCTTCAAACCAGGCTTCAGCCTCTTTCTCGGTCTTTTCCTTTCCAAGCTCCTGTGCGCGCTCCATGTACATCTTCTGACACACCTGCTGAACACTGCGCTCGAGGCCACGGCTGCCGCATACGTAGACTCTGCTACCAGCGTCCCACAGCTCAAGGGCCTCCTTGCGATGCTCCCACAGAGCATCTTGTGCATACTTCAACCCTTCACTTGCTTCGGGCTTTCTGCTGTAAGTGCGTAGGATTTTGACGGCGCCTGTGGCTTCCCACTTGTCAAAGTCTTCTCTGTACAACTCATCCTGGTCAGGGCTTCTGCAGCCGACGACAAGCAGAGCAGGTGCAAGCTTGCGGCCGGCGTCGACCTGAGCTGCTCTTTCTTGTACAAACCCGCGGAATGGTGCTACACCAGTACCGGCACAGATCATGATGACAGGTGTATTCTCGAAGTTGGTGGGTAGATGGAAGGCTTGGTTTGAGGGACGCACAGCGACATGCAACTTGTCACCTGCAGCCAGCTTCGAAAGGTAGTTGCTAGCTACACCAACGTACTCACCCATACCGCTCATGTGTGACTGGTGCAGCACGGCATAGGTAAGACTGACGCGGTGAGGGCTGACCAAACTGGAAGAAGAGATGGAGTACGATCTGGTGCGCATGGGAGGCAGACTGCTTATGAAAGCGCCCAGGGGCAGTTGAACTGAAGGGAATCTGTTGAGGAGATCCAAGAGCGAGATCCTCTGTTCACTGATTTCGCTGCTGAAAGCATCACCAGCGAGACGAGTCAGTTCTTTCTTCGTCTCATCATCTGTGCAGACATCCAGAAGCAGTGTCACGTTTCGCTTGGTTGCGGGCTGTCCAAGTTCAACATAGGCGCCGAACAGGTCGTTGGCCGAGATTGGGACGTTGGTGGGAAGAATGGTGCCTACCGCGGCCTTGATGGTCAACACACTGTCCCAGGCCAGGTTGAAACGGCGCATGACGCGCTGTACGCCTTCATGTGGGTTGATAGGGAGCACATGGAGATAGTCGCCACTGCTGTAGGTCGCGGAAGCCGGTAGCTCAACCTCAATGTGTCTCTTTTCCGACGCTCCAGGTTGTGAGAGAATCTTTGCGTCGACCACGCGAGCCTCGTACACATCGGCGCGCAGTTGCGAAGAGCGGACGCTCGAGACTTCGACTGTCAGACTCTGAGTTGCTGCCGAGTCGGTAGCATTGCCGTCGCCTCCATATTTCTTCGACATGGCAGGCCAGAAGACCTCATCTTCCCATTTCTCAAACTCGCTGAACATGTCGCCATTGGCAGCATTCGCGGAGCCTCGACTGCAGATGCGTTCTCCACCATGTGCTAGAAGCATGTCGTCGATAGCGGTTGGAATCTTGTGGAAAGTGTTTTTCCAGTCGCTGTGTCCAGCTCCAAACACCGCGTATTGGACCTTGGCAGACTCTCCTTCCAGCGATTTAAGCCAGTGGAAGAAATGAGCCGCATTGTCTGCCGGCTCACCTTCATACGAACAGGTGATTATAGCGACTGCTTGGTCTGTAGGTAAGTTGTCCTTGGCTGAGTCAAGAGTATCGATCTTGGTGACCTTGAATCCATGAGACGGAGCATCGGCTGCCAGACCCTGAGCAAAGGCCTGGCAGGTACCTGTGTTGGACCCATAAAGAATCGTCAGGGGCCTTCCCTTATCGTCACTAGCGCCGGCTCTTGCTTTTTCATTGTTAGATGTGTTGGATTTCTTTGCCTGTACAGAGGCACCATTGGAGGAGAGGATCTGTTCCAGTTGAGTAGGTGTCCTGCCGTGGCGGAGTTGAGCGTGCATATACAGGTGGTTCGGCTTGATTGTCAGGGTTGACTTGATTTGTAGATCATACTTTGCATCATCTAGGGTGAAGTCAAAGTACTGAAGGAGCATTGCAACCACGAGTTGGGCCTCCTGCCATGCAAAGGGGCGACCGATGCAAGCACGAGAGCCATTACCGAAAGGCTTCCAAGCATTGGGAGGAAGTTTGTTGAAGTTCTCGTCAAGCATCCTCTCGGGCTTGAACTCATTGGCATCCTCTCCATAGACAGCAGGATCGCGGTGAATCTTGGGAAGAAGTGCAACGATAGGTTCGCCTTTGAAGACAGTGTACTCACCGCCAATGGTATCGATATCATTGTTGGGCTGGATCGAGAAGGCGGGAGCAGTGGGTTGTAGTCGCAGAGTCTCACGCAGAACTGCGTTGATGTATGGCAGCTTGCTCAGATGTTCCACCTTGATGCTTGCATCGCCGACGACCCGGTCAACTTCTTCTTGTGCTTTCTTGTATGCCGAAGGATTTTTCAGCAGGTAATAGAAGAGAAAAGAGAGAAGGCCAGACGTTGTTTCATGACCAGCAATCCTGTATATCAAGCATCATTAGCATGAATTCCCATTTTTCGAGCATCAGAAAACCACGGATCAGCTGCATGAGCACGCTTGGCACTTCGAACGACTCCCCTGACGGCATTCCAATCGATGTTATGACTTCTGGGGAGCGTTCATGCAGAACAAGACAATGGCCAACCCAAGTCGTGGTGTTCGTAGCTTCATGTTACTCACAAAAAAGTGATCATGTTGTCGATGATACTATCATCGGACAACGAACTCCCATCGCGGGGATCCTTGCCGTGAAGCATAGCATGAAGTAGGTCCTTTCTGCTCTCGGGGTGGTTCTTGCGATTCTGCACCAGCTCATCGCTCAACTCTCTCAGGTATTTGATGTCTTTCCAGTACTGGTATTCTTGTTTTCGATAGAGCGCGGCCAAGAAGCCAGGTCTTCGGATTCTGGAGCCAGACTCGGAGAGAACGTTGACCATGGCATCCACGAAAGGATGCATCTGTTCTGCGTAGAACGAATTGAAGCGGTAATCCATTGAGCAAAGGGCGAGAGTGTCCAAGGTCAATCGCGTGAAGTCGTCTGTGACGTGGATCTTGTAGTCATTTCCGTGACGTGCCCATTTCATGATGAGTTGAGTTGCGATGTCCTTCATATCATCGAACATTCCACGTATGTTAAGCGGGCCAAAGGCAGGCACCAGAACGCGATGAGCGGTCTCCCAATTGGGTTCGCCATTATGCTGCAACTCCGTTAGAGTCATGGATCAACAAGCTGGTCACACCACGTTAGACATACTGCGGTGAACAACCCATCCCCCGTCAGATTCCTAACTTCACCTAGAGCAGCTGTGACGACCTTGCCAAATCTCTTCTCGTCACAAATCTCGTTCATCAGCTCGACAGAAGAGATAACTACTCGACGCTTGCCAAACATAGAAAGACTGTAAATAGATCCTGCTTCATGTTAGCTTGTTGCTACTATCCAGCGAGATGTGAGACTGACCATATTTGTCGGCAATGTCCATCAACGACTTGATGGGAACCTCAGGATCGATATCGTTCAAATTTCCTAGGAAAGGCCAGCCAGCTGGACCAGGGATAGGGGTAGACATGTTTGGTAGGTAGTGTTGAGAAAGGCTCCAAGTTCCTGCTTGACCTTTCTTATAATTAATTGATCCCTCCTGTCAACATATGAACTAGGCATCGGAGCTCCAAGCTTGGCCACCGACACGGCCTGTGGTCAGCCGACGCGCGTGCTTCCGTGTGATCAAAGCTTGCCGTGGTCCCCATTGAAACGTGTGTTTTGCGCTTGTTCAGGCAAGACTTGCGAAAATAATAATTAGAGCAGGACTCGCAAGGCCTACCTCTCCTACTCTATTCACCAGAGGCGAACCTCATCAAAAGCGCCGAGATCATAGGTCCGCTATGCCGGTCGTTCAACATTCATGCAGATCATGCGCCTTGCTCGTTTCGGACGTTATCATTAGATCATATGTACTCTCGAGTATCCTAAGCCCGCCTCGCCCACGAGGACGCTTTCTTCTATACAGCTGGTGGAATGTTCATTACCCTAGCCATCATCACCGGACTGCTCGTCTCAGCTGAACCCAAAGGGGCGACTTGTCCCAGAATGAGAAGACCTTCTGATCAGTCCAATCTCTGCTCTTATCCACGAGTGCTAGGTCAAACTTCCAGAAGACTTCTGTCAACAACAATCGACACTCGTGGTATGCAAGGTTGCGACCTATACAGTTGCGAGGCCCCACCGAGAACGGCTGAAACGCAGCGTGGTTGTCGTGTTCGAAGCGTGCATCCTCGCCGAGCCATCTTTCTGGAATAAAGCTTTCTGCGTCGTAAAAGTTGGACTCTGAGTGATAGGTTGCCCACTGGCTTACACTGACAGTCACATCTTCCGGAATGTACTCTCCACATATCCAGGCACCACCCTTTGGCACTTGTCGTGGCAGTCCAGTCGGTACTGGTGGATATAGTCTCATGCCTTCCTCGATACAAGCCGAAAGGTACGGGAGTTGTTGCAGAGCCTCGATTGTGATCTCTGAGTCATGGGCAAAAGCTGATCGCAGCTCACGCGTAAGCCTTTGAGCTGTTGCGGAGTTTCGAAGAAGGTGGTAAGTCAGCCCACTATAATCTCTTGTTAGCAGTAGAAAACAGTACTTGCAAGTGAACACACCTCAATAGCGTCGCAGTCGTTTCGGTGCCTGCGATCATAAACATGGCTGAATTGCTGTGCATCTCACCCAACGACATCCCGCCCTCTTGTCCAGCTTTCTTCAAAACAAAGCTCCACAGGTCTGGACTGGAGGGTGTCTGCGCGAGTCTCCGATCCACTCGATCGGCAGAGTATTTGAAGTGGTTGACCTGCTTCTTACGAATTGCATTGCCCAAAAGAACGTTGAGTAAAGTAGTCATGCCCGGCAACAACCTGATCGCGCGGAGCCTGGTCATGGATTTGATCGACGCGAAAATCGTGGCAACCCATGGAGAATACTCGGAACCTTCGAGCATATGCAAGCTTTCCGAGAATGTCAAGTCGGCCATCAGATCAAACGTTGTGTAGTTGTAGTAGGCGACCAGATCGATAGGAGCGTCGGTAAAAGACAAGGCCTCGAGCTTCTCTGCAAGCAGGCTCGCCCAGCGTTTGAAGAGAGGCTCCTCTTCTTTCAACGCCTTGTCGGAGAAGGCGTGCGACAAGACTCGTCGCTGTCGTGCGTGACTGGAATCATCCGAGCTCAAGATAGAGGTGGTTCCATTGACGGGAATGGCATAGAGGCGACGGTCTTTTGCAAAACTCCTCTTGCCGGACAGTCGATGACCATATATCTCCTTCCAGGCGTTCGTGCCTGACAAGCCTTTGCCATTGGCTTCTGCGTCGATGTAACTGATCTCCGTCGGAGAGACTCGCACCACGGGTCCGTACTGTGAGTGGAGACGTTGTTTCGTCTTTGTGTCTTGTCCTCTCCAGATCATCCATATAAGTGGTAGATTACTCGCTGCCCAGAGCCGTGGGCCAGGGAACTTCGACAATGGTCCAAACCAGACATCGTATGCGGTGATCGCAACTTGATGAACAAGATACTATGGACAATCAGCAAGCAGGTATCAGAGTTGCAGACGAGGCACGATACTGAGATGATAGGAAGAGCGAGCATCCTCCAGGCGAGGGCTGGCGCCGTTAAAGGGATACATTCGAGGTTCATGACAGCTCGGTAGAGTCGTCACGCGGAGGAGCGGGTTGAGGGAGTGTGGAGGATCTTCATTGCGGATCTGGGCATGAGGACAGTCTAAATATGCTAGACCATCACCACGAGAGAGTTCGAGCAGACGCCATACCCTGAGAGCCTTGCTCACACCCTCCGCGATTGCGTCTCCGGTTGCCAATCAAAACCCACCTCCTCTTCCAAAGGCAGCGGGACGTTGTAACTTGCAAGAGTCATGGACGAACTACTGCAGGTTTCATGGCGCGCCCACAACACGCTTGACAGAAGTGAGGATGGCACCGAAGAGCCAAGGCAAGTGTGCGGAGTTTCCAAGCTTGAGAAAGGACGTTATTTTGCCAAGCGAGCAATAGTCTTTTGATCTTCAATGTGATCTTCACAAACAGGGACGACGATCCGCAACTCGACTCGAGATGCCGACGAAGCAGCGATTCTATCAAGACTTGCTGCAGCTGATTGTTCGCATTCGACATCCAAACAACGAATGACTGGAATCCAGCTGCAACACGCGATTGTTCGTCATGATTTCACTCCACTCTCGCGTAGAACGCGGCCCAAGAATTGACCCACTCGCTCGTGGCCGGGCTGTCACGGAGACTCTCAGAGCGATACGTGCGTACGACATAACTCTTTTAGTCTTAAGGCTCAGCCGTTCCGATTTCCCAGGAGTCAAAATGTTCTTCTCAATTCCGACTTGGTAAGAATTTGATTATGGCAGATACCGGATAAGTTAAACAATATTATTCGGCTGTTGGTGTTTGTATGCGGAGGTTGGGTGTTCCTGCAGAGGCTTCAAGATCAGCACGCAGACCACGCTGTAACCGGCAAAAACGTCCACAATTTGGAGAAATACTGCTTTAACGCTCGCCGGTCGTGTCACGTCAAGAGCCGTGGGAACTTTGTTTTCGCACGTGAAACTGATCCTAGACATCGCTCGTATTTGCCTGAATCTCGACGCTGCGTTCATGGATAGTAGGGACGAGTAGAATCTTTCCAAAGCAAAGAGTGCCGTACATATCAACTGCCATATCCGCTGACTCTCTCGTGTCTTTTGGACCGCAGATGCAACGCGAGAAATCCTACCGTACAATGCTTCAATAGATTGAATCCTGATAAGGGCAAAGGAGTCTCTAAGAAAGTGTATACAAGAAAGCTGCGATGCGATCCCGGATGATCAGTTTGCCGAAGCTACTGTCCAACGTGGGTGCTTCGAGCCTCGACACGCCTTTGGGGATTCGGCCGTAACGTAGAGATCTGCAACACGATATGCCTGCGCAGTGCGTGCAGCTTCCGTAGGGTGACTCAGTGAGTACAATGAACGGCAAGCCACGTGCGTACTCCGTAGTCAAACTCGTGTCATGAGTATAGGCCAAGGCGCAGCATGCGCATTGTGCTTTTGGTTCAACAACTGGAATTCAGAACCATCAGGGTTTGTTATCAACGAACAGTTCTGATATCGGAATTCGCAAAACTCTACTGCAGGTTGGAAGTCTGTTTCACAGCAATCATATGATCACTCTAGGACTTGAGTATATTATGGCAAGGGCCTCCAGAACCGAACATGGCTCGAAGGTCAGCGACGATTTCTTCTGGCTGTTCATATGCGAGGAAGTGACCTCCGCTTTTCTTCTCGCTCTCGAAAACAACTGGACCGAGAGTTCTTCCCCAGGTCCGGGGAACGATAGTGAGCTCCTATGGAGAAGCTTGTCAGCCTCGTGTGCAGGGTATGGCCTTGGTGGATACAGCCAGAACCCATCCGATCAACGAACACCGTTTAGACTACGTCTCACCGGCATGTCACCACAAGCCAACGCATCCGGTCGTACTGTAGATACACAGGCGGGGATGGCAACCTTTCCAGGAGATCACCCACGTACCTTTGGAGCATAACACAATCCGAGCTTGACTCGTTCAATGTAGCGCTGGACGCGTTCACGAGTAGCCTCGGCTGAGCTATGTGTAGCCTCGTAGTAAATGCGTAAAGAGGCAGCGGCGCCGGCTTTTGAGAACCAATAGATCGAGATCCATGTCAATATCTCATCATCAGTCCACAGGTAGCTGTCTGTCCAGTCATGAAGTTTCTCATAAATCCAAGCGAGTAAGGCTACAGGGCTGTCGGCAAGCGCGTAACCGACAGTCTGAGGCTTAGTACCTGATAGAAGACAAAGTCAGCATGGCTGCATAATGCCACACGTCAAGTTCGTGCGCTCTACTTACTCTGGATTGACCTGTAGCCACTGCCCTCGTTAGCAAACCAATCACTCCTGGAGCGCCCTTGTATCTCGTCTTCGGTATATGGGGTCACAGCATGTTGAAGAGCGAGGAGCGGATGTGTAGAAAACTCTGGGGGGGATGCCCGGACCATGTTGATATGGGAAGCTAGGCAAGATTCCGGGTAGAGAAGGCCTATGCTGCGGGTGATGTACATTCCCCAATCTGACATTATCGCATCAGTCACAATTGGTGACCTGAGATCGCGAGAAAACAGATCTTACCGCCGCCTTGGGTGACTGATTCGTCAGGAAGATTAGCATGCTTTTTCTCAAACAATATCACGAAGGAGTCGAACCGTATGTGTTGTACCCGAGAAGCTGCATGAGACGGTGACATGCCTCAGCATACTGGCCAAGTCCAAATCCTTTCTTCTTGATACCTAGCACATGACTGAGAAGGATGTTCTCGACAGTTTGATTCGTTCTCAACACTGACCTGCGCTCCATCCGAAGTTTGGTAGAGAAGGTGCAACGACGTGGAATTTGACATCGTTGACGTCTCCTGATAGGCTACTAAGCATTTTGGTCACCTCTACATAGCTGCCAGGCTATGCTGTATTAATTTCGACACATCGACGAGCTTATACGATACGACCTACCCAGCCATGAACGAAGAGCAGAGGAATAGCATCTGACGCAGAACTCGGCTGGTGCAAGAAATGTAGCTCGATATCCCCAAAGCCATCAACGGTGACATTCGTCTTGAAATTGGGCAGCTCGTTGAGCTTTGCCTCTGCCTTCCTCCAATCGAAGGCGTTTCGCCAGTGCGATGTGAGCCTTTTGATATCAGCCAGAGGGCTTCCGTAAGCCCACTCGGCGTCTTCTAGCTCGTCAGGGAAGGTGGCGAGGTCAAGTCTTTTACGAAGATCCTCCAGACAAGACTCGGGCACAGCGATGCGATAGGGAGAAGGCGACATAGTGTAGAAACACGGATTGTGTGAGAAGAGTAGCAATCACATTGAAGTGAGTCGTGGTAAGTGCGCTTATACGGAGAGCTCAGAGCGGGGGAGGGATGCGCTCAACGATTAAGCTTGCCGAAAAGAGCCGCATCTGCGCCTCATCCGTCATCTCATTCACTGCTGTCGGCTTCCGCCCCGACTTGCATTCTTCACCACCATGTTTGAGGCACGATGCACTCCTTGGGACAGCTCTCTTGGAAGTCGGACAACTGAGAATACTCCAGATGCTTGAGATGATCTTCCTGCGCCACGAGCGTCAACAGAATGTTCCGAGATCCAAACGTCTGGTCGTCGCCGCTTACCCGGAATTTGTCAGATCGTCTGTCAAGATTTACATGACTTGACGTGAGCCGCAAGGACATTCTCTCGAAAGGGACAAGGCATGGGCTGATCGTCGTTGATCAACACCACAACCAAAATTCCGTGCCTGATCATGCTGATTTCCATGACGGTCCCCAGTCGACTCTTTACTGGGTCGGGACGCGTTCATACGAGCGTGGGCATTGCACGGCTGGTGACAAGGCAAGCGGCCACTCTTGGTGACGTATTTTTGTATGGGGAACCGAACTGAACGGCATGGAGACATGAATCTCCTACATATTCTTTCCGCTCTCGGAGATCTTTCAGCTATCATGACGATCTGAACCTCAGCACGGTGCTGAGAGTCAGGATCCACGAAATCGAGAGATTGCGTAGATGTACCAAAGACGACGGCTGATTCGTACATGGAGAAACTTTCAATGTCTGGTACTCATACATAAGGGGGTGCCATTCGCTCGCCCCAAGCGTGGTGTTGTTTTTCAGGTTATCTTGTCGAAACACTGTTCGACCACTCTTCCAACATGCAGGGAATCTCGGTTGCGCTCGCTTTCCTCTCGCTTACTGGCTCTAGTTTCGCTAGACCAGCCCCAGCGGAACCCGTGCCTTCACCAACCACCACCGCCATCGCTTCTCTCGAGGACAGGGATCTGATTGGCGACCTTACTGGGGCTGTAGGCGGTGTCCTGGGCGACGCTGTAGGAGACATCAACGACGCTCTCTCCAAAGTTGGGGTCGGCCAGCTTGCTGGAACACAAGCATGGAGCACAATCTCATCAGCTTTGGCACAAGTCACGGCGACTAAGACTCAGACCAACGCTGCATCGGCCATCTCCCAACTGTCTAGCATCCACGCTGCTAAGCCTTCGGCGAACCTGTTCGAATTTGTTGCTGCCGTCGCCGCAGAAGGCCTAACCGCCAACTCCGTCAATGATCTTCTCGGCTTTGTCGACGGCTTGGCCACTGGTGAGAACAGCATGAGCAATGTCAACATCCAGCAGCCCAAGGACACCATCTACCCCAAGAAGGGCAACGACCCCAAGTATAGCGTTACCGAGTCCTCGTTGCGTGCCGCCATCTACATTCCTCCTTCGTTCCAAGGCGGCAAAATTCAACCTGTGATTCTGATGCCTGGTACGGGAGCGACTGGATACTTTACATATGTTGGAAACTGTAAGAAACATCTCTACGATATATATTGTATAACTTATACTGATGTGGGGCTAGATATCAAGCTTCTTACCGGATCAAGCTACGCTGACCCCGTGTGGCTCAACATTCCTGGATATCTCCTGAACGATGCTCAGGTCAATGCTGAATACGCTGCGTACGCGATCAACTATATCGCTAGCATTACTGGCAAAAAGGTATCCATCATTGGCTGGTCTCAAGGCAACATCGATATTCAGTGGGCATTCAAGTACTTCACCTCGACGGTGAAAAACACCAGGAATCACATTGCTATCAGCCCTGATTATGCTGGTACCGTCAACGCCAATCTCATTTGCCCCGATGGGCTTCCGTGTGATCCCTCCGTCTTCCAACAGCACTACAAGGGCACGAGCAACTTCATCGACAAGATGAGGCTCAACAACGGAGACTCGGCTTACGTTCCCACGACCACTGTCTATAGCGGACTTTTCGACGAGATTGTCGAGCCTCAGCAAGGCACAGGTGCCTCGGCATACCTCAATGACGCCCGCAAAGTGGGCGTCACCAACAACTACCTTCAGGGCATCTGCCCTGGCCTACCTGGCGGTTCTTTCTACACTCACGAAGGTGTACTTTACAATCCGATTGCATTCGGCCTGGTCAAGGATGCTCTGATCGACGGTGGCGCTGGTAAGACATCTCGTCTTGACCTCAACAAGCTATGTAACATGTACCTCGCCGACGGTCTCAACGTGGGCGACCTGCTCCTTACCGAGAACGCCATTCTGGTCGCTGCACTTTCACTCGTCCTCTACGAGCCCAAGGTCTCAGTCGAGCCCGCTATCAAGGCATATGCCACATACTAATCACCTCACGAACGCCAAACCTTTGTAAATATTCTGGTCTTACAATCTGTACATATATCATGACCACATAGAGCAGCTGGTGGAATACCCGGGTTGACGAAAGCTGATGAACCTTTTTGTATACATATATTGTTATTTGCTTATTGTTTTCTCTTTGAAGAGGCTCGTGTTGCGCAGAACCTAATGTTCTTTTGAGTTGTCGTTGCTGATGGGCGTTGTGTCGTGCAAATATACTATGGTGCAATCGTTGCTCCTCAAAGTTTGGGGTTGGTCATCATGTCGTCAATGTCGCTGGGTGTTCAGGATTGTTAAAGCGGCATAAGTCCAAGCAGACCAATGATGGCCTGGACGAGGAATGGCTGGGCAGTGTCGGTAAGTGTTGGTGACGAGCAAAGCGGAACTTGGGACACATACAGTTTGGAGGTTTCTCTCGGCATGACTTCCCAGAGTAGCAGCGGTGCTTGTTCCGACGATGATGAAGCCACCGTCCGTGGTAGCCGCTGAACCCGTGGTGGCAGGAGACGTGCCAGTGGTAGTCAGACCGCTTGCAACAATAAGACCGCCTCCTGACGTAGGCGATGTTCGGAATGACGAAGCAGAGGCAGTCAGGGGCTGAGAAGCGGCAGCTGTGGTCGAGGCGACAGAGCCGCCAGAGGCGATGACACCGCTGGTGATGATGGACGAGATGGCGCCGGTGCAAACGGCACCGCTGGGACAGCAAGCAACATGGCCAGCCTGATCAGGAGCGCAGACGGCCGAGTTCGCACAGCAAAGACCTGGTGCACCAATGGATGCACAGTTTTTGTAATTTGTCGGACAGGACGTTGGATCCAGCGCGCGTTTGGGCAGCTCATGGTGGAATGTTTCGTTGGAGCTTGTCTGTTGCGACCATTCGAGCACGGACAGAAACGGCGAGAAGAGTGATGCTTCTGCCAACGAGGTCAAGAGCAACAGAACGCTGCAGAGATGCCAGAAGCCAGATCGAGACAGCATGATTGTTTGCAAATTCGGGCTTTGTCAAGGGTGCGAGTGCTTCTATCTGGTTGCTGCCCGAAGAGATCAAAGGTTGCGTCTGTTTGCTTCTCGGCTGTTGGCAGGTGAATGCATGTGGCCCCCACGGCAGCTCTCTCTTCACTCACAAGCTCTCATCCTCCAGCTTTCAATCGATGCACTGCACACCTTTATGACTCCAGCGTACGCCGTATACCAAGTAGGTAACGTGTGAAGCTTCGAAGATGCGCATTTCTCCAGGGAAATTGGATCATGTTTGTCGAAAAGCGATAAGCCCTCGACTATCCTGATACATGCTTTACATCGCTGTAGGGGAAGTGTGGCAGTAAAAGCGGTCAACATAAGAGGAGCCGGAAGAGAGCCTGAACGAGCGAACCCTCCTCGCCCAATGTCGCATAACAGTCGAGTCGGAGAGCTAGGCTCTACGGAAGCAGCTATGAGCATCTCACATCACATCTTAGAACAGGGCAGGCGGGACGACCGTACTTTCTGAAACGTCCAAGTGCGACTGACTGACCTCCGAGATGGGAGAAACTCACTTGGATTGACATGATGATCGGCTTCATCACCATTCGAAGAACGCATTACCATGTTGCATCTTATACTCTTGTTTGGCTTATTTTGCCCCATTGCTTCCTCTCAGACGGCCTGTCCGTTCTTCGACTCCGCAGAGCACAATTATACCGCCTGGTCAGAGAGCCACATAGCCACGTGGTGCAAAGATCATGACCCCTTGTCAACGTCTCAGTGTGCCAGTCAGTTTGATACACTTGGTGTCTAGTCTGATTGCTGACACAGAAGAGCTGTTGTATGGCCACCCGCCCTCCAGTATCCTGAACGTGTCGAGTTACGTCGCAACTTCAAGGAGCATCTCTTCCAGCTCGAACCCAGAATTGGCACTCGAAAAGACTGCATTGCCCGCTCATCCGCTCTTCAACTCAACTCTACGAGACATGCAATCGGCTTGAGCGAAGCCGTGACCTGTGACCTCTATTCTTTTCACCCCAAACGACGAAATGAATGCGTATGCTATCCCGTATACAGTGACCACGTCACATCGATCACTACCGTTGTCCAAGGCATCTACAGGGTCCTCGAGACCACATCCGTCTACTACCCACCAACTCAAGTCATAGAAAGCTGCCTGCTCGCAGCTGCTGCTCAAGGCCCGCCCGCCATCTGCGACCCACATAGATCGAGATGTCAAGTGTCTGCCGAGGTCCTTTATCGAACACGGAGAGTTACTGGAGACTTTCCATACTGTCCCACACCTGGCCTGCATGCATCTAGTCACCAGCCGATTCGCACCATCGCACCTTGGAGATCTCACCATACCACAACGGTGACTGTTACATCATCAAATGCCTGGGGACCGCTGCCGACTGGTTCTGACTGCGAAAGGGATGGTGAGGAGAAGTCACTCTGCAAGAACGACAAGTGTATGTGGGGTTTCCTCAAGCCTTGGGAATCCCAGACGGTCAGATTGGTCACAATCACAGGCTCCAATGGCGTCTCGCTCTTTGGTTCTGTGAAAGAAAGTGTCAACATCACCACACCGCATTGGGGGTTCCTTGCTCCGGCCACGACTACTAAAAAGAGCACGACTACGACGTCGGGTTACGACACGTCAAAGTTCAAAAGCAAAAAGCCCGAATCATCGGCTCACTCTACCTCTCCGCCAGCACCGGTATGCACTAACGAGCTTGACTGCAGAGAATACTGCGAGAAGAGGATAAAGGCACCAAAGAAGCACATGATGGCACTTCTAGTTGGCGGCACTGCGTTTACTGGGATCGCGGGTCTGGCAATGCTGCTGAAGATATACAGCAAACACATTCATCGCTGGTGTAGGGCTCGACACGACCGCCGCAGAAGCGCTGACACATATGCTCAACCTCCAATGGATGATGGGAGTGTGCAGGGCTTGCAGCTAGCGCAGGCACCTCCAGTTCAGGCGAGAAGCAGAGGTCATGTGCGGTTCCAGGTTGATGGCGCCGACAGTGAGTGCTGTCGATGTGCTCGATGATAGAGATCATGTCCCCAGAAGGTCGAGCGGCCACGAGTTTCGTTTTTGATCGAGCTCTAGCATTGCGCGTGAAGCGAGTCAATAGCTGAAAGATGAGGAAGACAGGACATGACATTCTTATCCCTTCGCATAGAATATACACACGTTCCCGACTACCACAGTCATATCGTTGTGTGCGTAATTGGTGATGGTTTGCCTGAGGATGAACTGAATGATCAGGAAGATGCAGGCCAGGCTTGGCGGGAAGATTGTCCGCATCCAAAGCTCCACGTCATTTATTGGTCGTGCATACCTACTTAGCTGTTTGCGCCGCGAACCACAACCTAGAGACAACTGTCACAGCACCGCAGTACGCCCAGCATGGTGTCTCTCTTGCTTACCGTCTTCCTGCTGAACGTGGCAATCCATCTCATCAACACACTTGGCGCTGCGACCATCAACGAGCTGGTATGGACATGATGGAATTCTGCTTGCGACTCGACGGACACTGAATACTCGTAGCTCTGGGTCCTCTACAACAAGCTCCCTACACCCACGGCGAAAAATGCGCACAACTCGGCACGACTGAAGAAGGAGGTGGTGCGTCTGAAGCGCGAGATGAATGCTGTCAGCGCTCAAGACGAGTTTGCCAGATGGGCCAAACTGCGCAGGACCCACGACAAAGCCGTCGCCGAGTACGAAAAGAGCAGTATGTCAAGGCTTTACTATACATTTGCGCACGAAGACCTCATCTGACAAGAATGACAGCAAGCTCGGTTCAAGACACCAAGGCCAAGTTCGACAAGACGGCCAATGTCCTTCGCTGGCTCGGTACAAATGGCATGCGCTACCTTCTACAGTTCTGGTTCTCGCGTCAGGCACTGTTCTGGCTCCCGCAAGGCTGGGTCCCTGGTTACGTCGAATGGCTCCTCGCATTCCCAAGGGCACCCAAGGGCAGCATCAGCATCCAGCTTTGGGGCATTGCATGTGCCAGTGTCATCTCCATGGCGAGCGAAGCCACCGTCGCCGCATATGTATTGGTTACCAAGCGCCCCGACATGCAGACGGGCAAGCAGGAGCAGGAGCCACAAGCATTCAAGAGCGGCGGAGCAGCAAGCACAGCCGGAGGAGACAAGAAGGAATTGTAAACAGACGCATAGCACACGAATTGTTGTAGTGATACCCAAGAGAGGATTGTAATTAGGCATGTCTCTCAACATTTTGACGCAAGATCTTCAAAGCAAAGCTCAGAAACTGCAACACGAGTGAGATGATCTTGGCAGATCGTTGGGCTCAATATTGGCGTCGATTTTGAACTCGTGACCTTGGAAAAGGTAGCGGTCGCCGAGTCTTCGAATCCGCCGTGCAAGATGCTAGGTATGCATTATCTACGTGACAGAGGTTGCACCTCGATGCATGTCTTGTGCAAGGACGGGGTGCTTGAGGCTGCGCATATTGGCGTCAACGTCTTCAAACTCGATCGATCGTGCAGAAACATGATCGGGTCATTGCAAAAGAAAGGTCGGAAGCGTCGACGAGGAAACGAGAAAAAGAAGTAGAAGTGTGGAAGCCGCGATGCTTATTAAGCTCTTGCCAAATTGAATTGTGACGCGACGCGGGAGGAAGGCGCGTCGCGTGTCTACGACGCGGCTTCCTGTTTTGAAGAACCTCTTCTCTCCTCGTCCTCCCCCCCTTCTCCCTCTCTCATATCTGCAACTCTACAGTCTTGACGACTTTATCTGCTTCTTCTTTGATACCCCTCCTGCTTCTACATCTTTAGTACCGCCCTTCTCTCATATACCCCCTCCATCGTCCACCCTTCGAGAGCTACAGTCTCCTACCTTCTTCTCCTCATCTCTTCATATCCACTCAACGCGTCACAATGTTCGTGTACAAGCGCGGTAAGTCTTCTCTCCTAGCTGCTATACACACAGAGGTACTGACAGACTCTTAGACGGACGCAAGGAGCGTGTCCAGTTCGACAAGATCACAGCCCGTGTCTCGAGGTTGTGTTACGGCCTCGACCCCGACCATGTCGACGCTGCTGCTATCACCATGAAGGTCATTGCCGGTGTCTACCAGGGCGTCAACACAATCCAATTGGACGACTTGGCTGCCGAGACTGCTGCATACATGACAACCACCCACCCCGACTACGCCGTTCTCGCCGCACGTATTGCCGTGTCCAACCTCCACAAGCAGACCAAGAAGCAGTTTTCTGCTGTCATCTCGGATCTGTACCACTATGTCAACCCCAAGACCAGAAAACGCGCCCCCATGATCTCAGAAGAGACATACAAGACAGTCATGGACCACGCCGAAGAGCTCAACTCGGCCATTGTCTACGACAGAGATTTCAACTACCAATACTTCGGTTTCAAGACGCTAGAGCGCTCATACCTCCTCAGACTCGAGGGCAAGGTTGCCGAGAGACCCCAGCAGATGATCATGCGTGTCGCTGTCGGTATCCACGGCGAGGATATTGAGGCTGCCATTGAGACCTACAACTTGATGTCGCTCAAGTACTTCACCCACGCTTCGCCCACTCTCTTCAGTGCTGGAACTCCCCAGCCCCAGCTCGCTTCATGCTTCTTGATTGACATGAAGGACGACTCTATTGACGGTATCTACGATACTCTCAAGACCTGCGCCATGATCTCAAAGAATGCTGGTGGTATTGGTCTCAACGCTCACTGCATCCGTGCAACTGGCTCTTACATCGCCGGTACCAACGGCACATCCAACGGTCTCGTTCCCATGCTCCGTGTCTTCAACAACACTGCTAGATACGTTGACCAGGGTGGCAACAAGCGTCCCGGTGCCTTCGCCATTTACCTCGAGCCTTGGCACGCCGATGTCTTCGCCTTCCTCGACCTCCGCAAGAACCACGGTAAGGAGGAAGTTCGTGCTCGCGATCTCTTCTACGCCCTCTGGATTCCCGATCTCTTCATGAAGCGCGTCGAGCAAAACTCGACCTGGACTTTGATGTGCCCTAGCGAGTGCCCTGGTTTGGCTGATGTCTATGGTGACGAGTTCGAGGCTCTGTACGAGAAGTACGAGCGTGAGGGCCGTGGTCGCGATACCATCCGCGCTCAGAAGCTGTGGTACGCCATCCTCGAGGCTCAGACCGAGACCGGCAACCCCTTCATGCTTTACAAGGATGCCTGCAACCGCAAGAGCAACCAGAAGAACCTCGGTGTCATCCGCAGCTCCAACCTGTGCACCGAAATTATCGAGTACACTGCTCCCGATGAGGTCGCCGTCTGCAACTTGGCCTCGCTCGCTCTGCCTACCTTCGTCGACATGAACGAGGAGAAGTTCGACTTCAAGAAGCTCCACGAGGTTGTCCAGGTCGTTACCAAGAACTTGAACAAGATCATCGAGATCAACCACTACCCTGTCCCCGAGGCTCGCAAGAGTAACTTCCGCCACCGTCCTATTGGTCTTGGTGTTAGCGGTCTTGCTGATGCTTTCCTCGCCCTTCGTATGCCTTTCGACTCTCCTGAGGCGAGACAACTCAATATCCAGATTTTCGAGACCATCTACCACGCCGCCTTGACTTCGTCTTGCGATCTGGCTGAGAAGCTTGGCCCCTACGAGACCTACGCTGGCTCTCCTGTCTCTAAGGGTGAGCTCCAGTACGATATGTGGGGCGTCACTCCCTCTGACCTCTGGGACTGGGAGGCCTTGAAGGAGAAGATTGCCAAGGATGGTGTCCGCAACTCGCTGCTTGTTGCACCTATGCCTACCGCAAGTACTTCGCAGATTATGGGCTTCAATGAGTGCTTCGAGCCCTACACCTCCAATATCTACTCTCGTCGTGTTCTTGCTGGAGAGTTCCAGGTCGTCAACCCTTGGTTGCTCAAGGATCTCGTCGACCGCGGTCTTTGGTCTGACAACATGAAGAATCGCATCATCGCTGACGGTGGTTCTATTCAACGCATTCCCAACATCCCCGACGAGCTCAAGGCTCTTTACAAGACCGTTTGGGAGCTCAGTCAGCGTCACATCGTCCAGATGGCTGCTGACCGTGGTGCCTTCATTGACCAGTCTCAATCGCTCAACATCCACATGCAGGCTCCTACTATGGGCAAGATCACCAGCATGCATTTCACTGGCTGGAAGCTCGGCTTGAAGACCGGCATGTACTACCTTCGTACCATGGCTGCTTCCGCCCCTATTCAGTTCACTGTCGACCAGGAGAAGCTCAAGGTCGTCGACACCAACGTTGCCCGCAACCCTGCTAAGAAGCGTGGAATTGCCGGCGCTGGTTCGCCTGCCATCCAATCTCCTACCCCTCAGCCCATGTACGATTCGAAGCAACCTCAGAACTCGGCGGTCGCCAACGGTGTCCCCACACCTTCGACTACTCCTCCGCTCGAGGCTGAGACCAAGTCGACTCCTAAGAAGGAGCTGCCCATGAGAGCACCCCCGTTCACTGCTGACCTTCCTGAAGGAAGCAGCCCTAAATTGGTCGCCGCCGACAGCAATGTTGGTACTCCCGACGAGGAGATCAAGAGAACTGTCAACCAAGATGAGGATGCTGCCGACGACAGCAAGGATCGTGAGGGCGACATCTACGCTGACGCCGTCCTGGCTTGCAGCATTGACAACCCCGAGTCTTGCATCATGTGCAGTGGTTAGACGAAAGTTGTTACATGGGAAATTTGTTCATGTATTATGAGGGAAGGAAAGCGATTATGCACTGGCGTGGGGATATACCAGTTTGGAACAATGGCGTTCAGGTTGAGCGGGTGGAGCAAGTTTCGATTGTGTAATAATATAGATAGCTTAGAGAATCGCAACAGATTGGTTTTCATACTTGACGCTGTGTCTCCCTTGTTTTGTCCGAGTTCTGTGTCGGTAGTTTTGCTTGTACGCGGCGAGAAGGCCAGTTGACTTCTCGCTCAAAGTAGAAGGAGCTATCTACTTTTTAATCGTGTCTGATTAGGTCGACGTGGTCCTGCCTATCTCATGGCCAGCGGTAAAGATGAAATATCTTTTTATTTTTTCTTTTTGGCTTGCGGTGATGGGACGAAGCTCTTGAAATGGATAGGAATGGTTGTGGGTTGAGAACAAGGTGCTCCGTCGGAGCTTTGGCAACTGCAGCCGAGTGGTGGGGAATATACAAGCCCTGCATAACTATGCACAAGGTAATAAACACTCACTCTTTGTCCATGCACTTTTCTTCGTCGACTTCTTACATCGATCACCCAAGATCTCCGATTCGTTTTACAGCACAAGAGAGTCGATTTCCACACAAACACATGGCGAACAACAAGATATCAAATAGCTTGAGACAGCTTCATAGCCAAGTGTATTTGATCTTACGATCAAGGGATCAAGAAATGACAAGCACCAAAGCCCCATACAAGCAACCCTTTTTACAAATCATCCCTATCGTACGCGATCATTGATCGGAGCAGCGCGGATGTCTCTCTTCGAAGATGTACCCCTGGGCAATGCGCTCGTGCAGTCAATGAAGTTGGCTTGCGCGGACGAAGGAATACCCAACACACTCAAGCGGGCCATGGCATCGGCGAAAGAGGATGTCCACTTGCCCTGGTTTCCAACGAAGCCCTGGAACTGCTTGCCCACGGTCGTTGATGCATTGGAGAGGTTGATGTCGGACTGAAAGCGGTAGATGCCGGCTGGAGGGTTGTTGACCTGAGCGTAGTAATCGATATCCCAGCGGCCGGGTGTGGAATCTTGCTGACCACCTTCAGGGATACCATTGGCTTGTTGAGTGAATGCCTTGCTGGTTGAGTGTGCGCCGATCAGAGCCGCCAAATCTCTGGCACTGAATCCCTTGTCGAGGAAAAGTTGGAACAAAATATCGTGAGATGAGTTGGGACCGAATCCGGCAGGAAGGAAGCCATCAGGGGCGATTGTGCTGGAGTCTGTCCTGCCGACGACGGTCTTGATCTTGGGGCCTCCAGGACACGTGAGCACAGCATGTGCTCCAGCAAACTGAATCAGGTCTGCAGCACCAACTGTGGCCTTTTGGTTGTACGAAGTATACTTGGCCATCAGCCAATCATGGTAGGGGCCTAGTCCTCCGTTCTCTGGACGGTTAATCTCGTCTGCGTTCAGCAGAAGTGACCCGTCAGCGCCGCCTGCAGCAGGTGCGTAGAAAGTTGTCTTTGATGAGTATGGTCCTGTACAACATGTCAGATCTCAGTCAGAGTATACTGAGCCAGATTACTAACCGGCATCGTGGAATGCAAATCTGATAGCAGCTCTCGCGAGATCAGTGCATTGGCCATCAGAGCCCAAGAATGAGGTGGTGAGGTCAGAAGAGATGTTGTTCCAGATAGCTGGACAGCCACCTGAGCCACCTCTGCGGGCAACAAGTGTGTTTGGAATGGCGTTGTTGAGCGAAGACGCAAGAAGAGAGGTGAATGACGAAGCCGCCTCAGGCATTGAGAATGCATCTGCGCTCAAAGCGCTGACCAATATCAGAGAAGCGAGGTTCGCAAACATGTTGAACGAAAGAAGAGAGTCCGAAATCGAGAGTGTCGAAGAGTGATGAGATGGTGCTGATAGTTGACGAGAGGCGCTTCCACAGAGGTCCTTTATACACAACCTGATATGCTGTGGATGGGCTTCCAAGGTGTCTCGATTGGCCAAACACAGCGCAATCACTAACCACAACGCCTAGACTCTTACAAGAATCACAGCTACCAAGCCACATGGCGGAGACACCGAGCTGTGAGTAGTCCACGGCCAGTGGCAAGGACAATGCAATCGTGCTCGGACATTGTATAGCTGAGAAAGATACAGTGAAGCTATGGAGGGTAAAGTTCTGGCCCATGTGCTGACCAAGTTGTCATATTGGTAGTATTCTCGGTGTTCGCGAAACTCTGAATGTGAGCATCACAGAACGACCTTCGGAATTCAGCCACAGGCTCCAGATGACAAGTGTCGATGGCGCTTTCTCGAGCATTCAAACAAGCCTCGTAGCCATCTTGGGTGTATCGATGCTTGTCGTGCATGCTTCAATTGGAGTCTGGACCAAGAATCAGAGGCGTTGTACCTCTTGGATGAGTGCTGAGTGGCCTTCAATGAGAGGCTGACTGCTGAGAGTGGTCGTTTGGGATATGTGTAAAAGCTCAAGCGTAGAATTATCGGTCCAGGGCCAGAAGAGCTCCGGTTTTCGGGAAACTCTCTTCGTCTGGGAAAGGTTGCTCGCATGCATGCCTCATTCCAAGTTTACTATGAGTTCCAGATTGGGGAAGTTGATGTGAGGTTCGTTCTCGGGCGGGGGAGAGATCTGAACCCTGATTTAGAGTTTCGGATATCCACCCCAAGTCCTCATGCAGTCATGCGAGAACCTATTCTAGCCGTACAGGCTTGGCTGAAGTCGTACTGTCACATGTATATGTATTGTACAATACGAAAGTACTGCTTGCTGACCAGAATCAGCTCTCATCAGTGGCCAGTGGCAATCCCGTCATGCTCCTGATCCGGATGCTGACCTGCAGCATACCCTTGTCCTTGATCTGGATCTAGAATTGTGCCTTTGTAAGAGTGTTTGACGTCCGGTGCAAGCCGAGGAACCATGGGAAAGGTGAGCGTGATGCCGTCGTCATTATCGACATGGACAAGGATCGGTGAGAAGAGAATCGCAATCCGTCGTTTCTATATAGAAGTTCACAATGTTCATACAGAACTTGAATCGATAGTACTTGAAGGAATTCATATATATTTACGAACAAACATTACAACTCTAAAGTTTTGGGTATCTTACAGTAAAACAATGCTAAACAATCAAATCCTTATTGCTTGCCAAAAAGACCTGGTGTAGATGCTCCTGCAAATGTCTTCTTCTCGGCTGGCAAGACTTTTGTACATTCTGTCAAATTATTGATGTTGTTGACACCAAGCATACTCAGCCTGACGTAGGCGGAAGCAAAGTCCTGTAACTGTTGTCAGCACTTGCCCGAGAACACGGCGTGCCGATGGTGGAGGCTTACCCCGTTCCAGTGACTCTGGTCTCCAATGAAAGATTGCCACTCGTCGCTAACTCTCGAGTCGTTTGCGGTGACAAGATCACTTTGAAACTTGAAAACCTTGCTGTTTGTTCCTGGCTGAAGAGTTTCGTTGTAAAAGGCTACATCCCATACCTGGAGCAAGTTATGATTAGCATGGTTTCTGTTGGTTGTATCTCGGATTGACGTACTCCGGGTGTAGAATCTTGACCGAAGCCAGCTTTCGTCTTGTCTGTGACGAATTGTTGGCTGGTGCTATGCGCACCAAGCAGAGCAGCTAGATCGTGAGGCTGAATCGTCTTGTCTTCAAAAAGGCTGATGATCTGGTCTGCACTCATCGTGACAGAAGGCATCAAGCCCTCGGGAGCGGCTTGCTTGCTGTCCTTGCGGCCAACGAAGACGCGGGTTCTAGGGCCCAATGGACATGTGACCACAGCGTGGACAGCTGCGAACTGGATGATGTCGGCGACACCGACACCAAATACCTTGGACCAGAGGAGAGCTTGGTTGGCAATGGCTTGCAAGCCGTTGTTGTCTATTTTCCAGGTGTAAGCCCCTTGTAAGAAACGCATCAAGCCGATCAAGTACGAACCTGCTCTATTGATCTCGGTGCCTGAAAGGATTATACTTCCATCAGCGCCACCAAAGTCTTGCCCGGCGGCTGCAAGAGAGCTTGACCACGACCCTGCATCGTGGAACCCAAGACGGATGGCTGCGCGTGCAAAGCCATTGCAGCGACCAGTAGGCCCGGTGAAGGCAAGTGTCATGGCTTGAGCAATATACCACCATACACAGCACGTATCGGCTTTACATGCCTTGGTACCAACCAGCCCAGGTGGACTGTAGCCAGCCACAGCCGAATCACCAGCTTCCGTTCCCATGAGAATGTTGTAGACGCTGGTGCCGACAGGAGTGGTGCCGCCGTTCTTGACATCACCCAACCCGACCCTTTGGATGTCACCATCGAAGGGAACATCCGGTGCTACTGCTTGAGGTGTGCGACGAGTAATCTCAGCCAGCTGTTTTGCCATTGCTGGCCATGCTTGAACATGTGCATTGAGGTTGAGAGACACAAAGGCCAAAAGAGGCGCTGCGAGAGAGATGCGCATGGCTGAGATGGTGTATGAGGGGCAAGGTTTGGGAGGAGAATTAGATGATACTGGACCCTTGTAGCAGAGTGAACCTGCAACGATTATTATATGTCCTCGAGAGAGTCTTGACGAGTCTAACCAGCTCGCCACAGCCAATTTTGAATCCATTCCTGGAGCATGTAGGATCTCTTCTAGATCCAGTGGAACTGGGGTGAAAGTGTTCAGCTTTAGGAGTACGTGACATGATGTACCTACCAATTTGGACAATATGCTGAGACAAGCTCGACTTTTCTCCGGTCTCTCGTATGACACGACGAGAAGCTGACCTACCAAGAGACATCCCTGCTATGGCCATAAAGGTGTGGTGGCTTCGATATCATTTTAAGGTTGTAACAACTCCGGTAAGCAGTCTGGCCCCCGACAGGTCCGATACTTTCGTGGAGTACTTTCAGCCGCACATGGACGTGGCTGAAATCCTATCTTGGCATCCATGGTCTTTATTGTGGCCAGCATAACAAAACAGGCAGGCCTGGGATCCCGACCAGAGAGCTTGCAGAAATTCCTAGTTCTGGGCTCGTATTCGGTTTCAAAAGAGTGTTTCCTATGGTAATGATTCAACGAGTCTACAGTGAAGTAGCTCAGCTCAGGTTATTTCGCTGCTCGGTGTCGACGACCAACCAGTATGTTCTCACCCTTCCAGATCTGAGCCATGGAGCCTGGCTCTTGGGGTGATTGATAATCTTCCATGTCGCGGCTATCATTGTTGGTCCTTCAGGTTGTAAGGACAGACTGCGTACCGGAACGTCGGAGCACTTCGTTCGATCATGAAATGAGCAGCTTATTTCCAGAAGCGCGGTTATCTTGTACTGTGCCTGTGTCAGAGTATGTCATGGGTATATACATGACGCGCATGGCTGTAGGCACTGGTCAGTACGCTTCACGTCGTGGTGCTGAGGATGGGATGCCACAACGAGCTATCGATCATCGCCTCAATGCCAGCTGTAGGTAGTGTTCACGAGTAGAACCACAGACTGATCCAACGTCTGTGTCATTAGCACAGATGGCGGGTCAAAGTTGCTTCGTGTAGATAGCTCGTGAGCCTTGAGTCCAGATTTGTGGGCTCCTCACAGAAGCAGGGGGCCTCGATACCGACTTGGTGGGGGCATTCTTTGAAGTATTATTGCCGCACATCTTGCCTGCGCGATAAGATGCCATTTCGTGCTCAATAATTTCTAGCTATGCTCCACCTTTGGGACCCACTAATGCTTTTGAGCTGAATGCCACCCATCTAATTCTTCTTCTTCTTGCGACCACCTTTCTTAGAGCACTTCGGCTCTGCTTTTGCTTTTGCTGTTGTGGAATCTGTCTCTACTGAAACAAGTTCCAACGACGCGTCTGTCAGTAACTCTCCGTGAACGATGCTCGCTCCTAGAATGTCCTTCTTGTACACTGTTTCTCCCTTTTTTTGTAATTCTGCCGCGACATCGTCGTCTTTGTCGGCGCCTAGATACAGCGTGATAGCACCAGCCTTGTGTTTGGACAGAGGTCCCGTCAGAGGGTTCGTGCCACCAGCTTGTCTGATGATGGCCATCACATCATCCCATCCTTTCTTGTAGGCTGATCGTTGCGCTGGCGTGATGTAGATGACCTGGCCGGTGAAGACTTTCGTGCGGTCAAGGTGTCTGGAGGGTTTGAGCTCCTCCGGGAGGAACTCACGAGCGTCTAACAAGGAGCCTGCCGCGGTGGATTGCGACACCCATTTGTCTGTAACGATGGTTTTGCCCAAAGTCAAACTATGGAGTAGTTTTGGTGTCTTGAGAAGCTCTCCAGGGCCTACGCATAAGAAGTTCGCCTTTTTGATGTCTTCGGTCTGACTAGCGCCCTGTTTCTGCAGGAACTTCATCAGGTTGCCTTTGTCGGTGATCTTAGTGTTGGAATAGAGTATGACTGGAGGGTTGGCCTTGTAGTGGCAATCAGGATGCGACGGCGAGCCAGATGGGGCATTCTCGCTGTCTATGCTCTTGTGCCTTTGAGAAACACGTCTCGGTGGTAATCCCTCATCCAGACTCTTGGTCCTTGAGGAGCTTCCGGAGGCAGTGCTTACCGGTGTGACTTCAGCAGTACTCGTATCAGCTTCGACGAGTTTTGCTCGCTTCGCAGACAGCGTCACAGAGTCGCTGTCAGAGACTGTCTTCCTCTTTCTGCTTGTGATGATCACGGAGGGAGTACGCTTGGGTTCAGTGACAGCGGCGTCTTGATCACCCATCATGTTCATGTCATTCGTGATCTCGTCATTGATGATATCCACTGGTGAAGCCACGTCTGAAAGTAAAGCAGTATCTGATGTCGGAGCTGCGGTTTGCGTATCTGGCGACTTCATTCCTTCCGTCGGTCCTTCGGTTGATGAATCCTTCTGAATCTGGCCTTGGACGACGACTGTGCTGGGCATCTCTTTCGAAGGGATTGGCAGCAGTGCTTGCGATGGAGGATTATCTTCGTTGAGATTTGAGAGAAGCATGCCCACTTCGGCAGCGCTGAAGCTTTGATCGAGAGGAGAAGGAGTGGGTTGTGTGGGTACGTGGAAGTGAAGGGTCTCGGAAGGCGAAGTATCTGGCAGCTCGCCAGTTTGAGTACCAGGTAAGCCATTGTCAGGATCCGCAACGCCGGTGAACTGTGGCTGCTCTGGATATGTATCGCCTATCGGAAGACTCTCAGGGATGGTTGACTCGTTTTGTGATCTGATTCGGCGGCGGTTGGGTGTTTCCTTGACCACTTGTGACTCTCTTGTGACAGGACGTGGCGTCGAACTAAGGTGCTCACGGCTCGTGGAGAACAAGTGTTGGGACTCTTCAGCTGATGTAGCACGATGAGCATTCGTAACCGGTTGAACAGCCTCGTCATCGGCCTCATCGTCAGTGTCTGCTTCTTGCTTGATCTCGTGCTTGATCCTGGGGGCTCCGGGTCCTGAAGACTCGACCTGAACATGTGCATATTCCGGACCTGGATCGAACGCAAGCTGAACACTGGCGCGTGTCACCTCAAACTCCACCATGTCGCCATGGCGTAGCAGAACACAGTGCTGTTGTTGGCCTGCAGTATAAGGTACAGAGACGCGCGAGATAAGTCCTTGAACAGGTGGTGGAGAACGAACAAATGTGTCTACAATATCAGAGCTGAACCTGATAGCACCGCCCACGAAAACTGAAGATTGCATTGATTAGCATCGTAAATCTCCAGGTGTTGACAGAATGTGAATGCCGCACGGCAGATAGATGTGGACTTACTGAATTGAGAGATCCAATCGCGTCTAGCTTGAGTTTCCTCGTCGTACTTGACGAATCTCCAGGTGTCAGCATCCGCTGTATTTCCCTCGATGTATATAGTTGCGTGAGTGCGTTGGTCGACGTTCTGTGTGTGGGTTCGCTCGCCGCCGGGGCTGGTCAAACTAACACGCCAGGAAGGCATTGTGGCCCATGTTAATGACAAAGAAGAAGAAGGCGTGTGTGAGTAGAACTAGAAGACGCGAAATGACTGTAAGAGGTCGCGTGCGAACGGAGGAAGACGCGTTGGAGATGAAGTGGTGACGACAAAGGTTCCACGCCTATCCCAAAGTGGAAGAGACGACCTCGAAGCTAGGTTGCTGATTTTATGACGGCAAGTCTATCTGCTGTGCCTGGCACCCTGTCGACACTTTTACTTCGTCCTCACAATTGCCTTGTGGACAATGTCAACTCATGCACTGCACACACCATCTCTATCGAAAACGCAATCTCAGAGCGAAGGAGTAGTGTCACTCATAACTACTACTGCCAGAGGTTGGCCTTCACACTTGAGAAATGACATGTGGAGATTGAGAACTGCAGTCTAGACTGGCACATGCTTTGACGCCTTGTCCGAGACCTAAAAACCACACACTTTGCCTGCAACTCCAGAAACGCAGGAGCTTCGAACGTTTACAGCAGAGTGGTCACCGTTGCGACACTTGTATACACACATGTCGAGAATTGAGTACGCTCGTGCACAGTTCAAGAGATGGTTGATTGTTGGTTCGCGTGATTGACGAAGATCTCCCTTGGCAATAAGCTAATCTTTAATCTTAATTTACCTGATGGCGCAAACTGCCTTTGAGCTTCCATAACTTATCCAGAGCGTGAGTTTGACAAGGCCAAGTTAGACGAAGGAGAATCAATAGCAGAGCCACATACGTGGGTGCTCCCGGCCGTACGTGCCTACGTCTTGCATGGCAATCGCACAATCAGCAGTTGTGAGCCGTCCCTTGCTGTGACGATCCTCGTCGTTTTGTCAAGACAATTGGCGGTCCTGTGGCTGCAAATAACGTCACTCACCGAGAGCTTTGACCCGGGATTTTGAGCTAGAGCAGGAATACAAAAACATTCACTCGGTGTCGCGCATCTCATCGGTCGCATTCCTTGCTTTGCGCAAAACTCTTTCTCTGCCGAACCTTCGACAACTCTGCTATCACCATGGCCGGCGGTGAAGCAAACAGCTACTATCAGATGCCGGATGGCAATGATCGCGCAAAAGATTATCCCATGCAACCGCAGCAGGCCTACAACCAGAATGGCCAACAGCACTATCAACAACAGGACTACCAACAGCCTTACCAGAATGGCCAGGGCTATTCGCAGCCGCCTCCCAATTACGGCCAAAACTTCAACCCTCGCCCCGAGATGAACGGTTACGACAACAAGCCTACCTTCGAGCAGGCCTTCAAGATCGATAAGCCCAAGTACAACGACTGGTGGGCTGGTCTTCTTTTCCTCGCTGTCTTTGCCGGATATGTCGTCGTCTCTGGCATCTCTCTTCAGGGCTATGGTGAGTAGATGCGTTTGCGCATGCGAGTCAAGAATTCTGGATGGCTGGCACATGTAATGGAATAGCGCTGATAATTGACTGTAGCTGCGACCAAGGGATTCAACGGCGGCGGTATCTATGACAGCAACAACGATTTCGGCCTCGATACCAACACTATCGTTCTCTTCGCTTTCTGTCTCGCCATGGCCATGGTGCTCAGTTATGCCTACATCTGGTTGGCCCGCGCATTTACCAAGCAATTCATCTGGATCACTGGTATCATCCATATCATCGCTGGTTTTGCGACCGCCATCTATATGCTGTCCAGAAGATACTGGTCGGGCGGTATTGTTTTCCTTCTCTTCTCGATTTTCACAGTCGTATGCTTTATCTCCTGGATTCCTAGAATCCCCTTCAGCGTAGTCATGCTGCAAACAAGGTATTCATGCTGCGGTAGCTTTGGGAAAATCTGGGATACTGATCGTGTGTTAGCATCGACGTTTCGAAGAAGTTCGGGCATGTCTACATCGTTTCGCTCGTTGGTGGCATTCTTGCGACCGCGCTCGGTGCTTGGTTCTCGGTCACTTTCGTTGCTGTGTATGTGAAATACGAACCAGGTGCCAATCCAGCCTGTTCTACTGGCGCTGGTGGCTGTTCAAGCGCCAAGGTCATTGGTCTGCTCGTCTTCATCACGTTTGCGATGTATTGGATCTCCGAATTTCTCAAGAACATGATTCATGTCATCATCTCTGGAGTGTACGGCTCGTGGTACTTCTGTTCCAACAACCCTCCCAAGAACATCACCCGAGGAGCCGCCCGCCGTTCTTTGACCTACAGTTTCGGAAGTATCAGTCTTGGAAGCTTGGTCGTTGCAATCATCAACATGCTCAGACAAGCATGCAGCATTGCACGACAGCAAGAAGCAAATTCTGGAAACATCGCGGCCGACATTGCACTTTGTGTTCTGCAGTGTCTTATCGGAATCTTGGACTGGGCTGTCCAGTTTATCAACGTAAGTGGAAGAAATAACCGAGGTGCAATATTTCGAAAGTTCTAGACAGCTCACGAAACAACAGAGATACGCCTTCAGCTATATCGCGCTATACGGCAAGGGCTATGTCCCTGCCGCCAAGGCCACTTGGACGTAAGTAACTCATTTATGCGGATACACGAATGAGGGGCTCGGCTGACTCGAACCACTAGTTTAATCAAAGACCGCGGAATCGATGCTTTGGTGAACGAGGTTTGTCTTTACCCAACCAGTAGTCTCGTGAGCTGTGTGCTGATAAATGTTGCTACTGCAGTGCTTGATTGGACCCGTATTGACTCAGGTATGTGCCAATGATCGTTGCTACTGCAGCGCTTGCTCGGACTCGTACTGACTTATCACTCAGGGTGCCACAGCCATCGCTTACCTGTGCGCTCTCTTGGCCTACCTGTACCTGATCTTCACCTCGCCTGCGTACAACAGCAACGGCGAGTACACACCCGTTGTCGTTGCGTTCGCATTCTTGATTGGTCTCCAAATCGCCAATATCTTCACAACCCCGCTCAGCAGCGGTATCGACACTATTTTCGTTGCTGCAGCATTCGACCCGCAAGTAATGATTACAGAACACCCGGATCTGTACGCCAAAATGGTGTCGACATATCCCCATGTTCAGCAGGCCATTCACGCCTAAGAAGGCGGTCGCTAATCGCAATCATTCGCTAGTTCGAACAGTTTTGGCCGCGGACCATCTCACTACAAGATACGGGGGTGCGTTTATTCTTTGTTGAGAAAAACTGGGCGCTCCCCTGTCGATTCGCGTATTGTTGCGTCAGATAGGGCGCAACCACTCAGGTGTTAGGGTGACTACGAGCCTCGGGTCTACGGATAATCAGGAACAGACATCGGGATCGGTGGAGGAACAACGGCCCAATAGCGATACCCAATCCGCAGGACTTTGGTTAACACAGTCTAATCACTTTTATTGCAGCAGTAAAGTAATACGTAATACAGAGCACACATTCCTTTCCCTGATATCCAGTTGTCCTCTGTCGTGGAACATTTGCAAGAGAGAGGTACCAGATCCTACCGCGACATATGCCGCACAATGTCGTGGTCACTCACGATCGGAACCATGAAGCCATAGCGTGACGAGCGGCTCGATCTGGTTAGCATGTGATTTTCCGCAAGTGTCCGCAGCCATACCCGACATTCCAATCCAATTCGCATCGACATTAAGAATGTCTTCAGTGCTGATGCTGAGCTGATGGTTATCGTTGACAACAGAGTGACAAGCGCCATCGGGGCCGTGCTTTCCAGCCTCGAAGCCTCAAACGTCAGCTAAGAAACAGGAGTGACGTGCGGCAGGGACATCGTCATATGGTGCGGGGAGGGAAGGGTGGTGGGCTGGCGCGCTTGATCAAGTGTTAGGGAGAACGAGGCATTAACCAACTGCGTCGTACCCAGAGTGTTAAATAGACTTGCTATCCCTCGACCTCTTATTTTGCCATTCTCATCTCCTACCCTCCTCTCCACCAAACTAACTTTCTCGTTCTCGTACAATACTATCTCCTGCCTTGAGCCAACTACCGGTTAGGTTCGAGTTATCTGTCCCCCGCAGTACCCCAACACATTGCTGACCTTCTCGTCTGCAGGACAGAAGTATACCACCACCAGCCCACCAAACTGTACAAAGGTTAGTACACACCGTCCACCTCTGATGCGCTCGAGGATCACTGGTATCGTCATCATAGATGGTCCTTTGAAACAAAGCTTCATCTTGTTTCTTTGTCCTCGAACTGCCGGGAAATCATGTCAGAAGCGCGAACACAGCTAACATTCAATTCCAGTTCCTCCCACATACAATCGAACAAAATGTCCGACATGAAGAAGGCAATCCATTTTGGCGGCGGTAACATTGGTCGTGGTAAGTAACGCTCAGAGATGAACGATAAGCCAGCGCTGACTCCCTCGATAGGCTTCGTCGCCGAATTTTTGCACAAGTCCGGATATGAAGTCGTCTTTGTCGATGTCATGGACGCCATCATCAATTCTCTACAACAAACCAAGTCATACACCGTAACAGAAGTCGGCACATCAGAGACCAAGTCAAAGACAATCGACAACTACCGCGCCATCAACAGCAAGACCGACGAGGGCAAGGTCGTCGAGGAGATTGCCACGGCCGACATTGTCACCTGTGCCGTTGGCCCCAACATCCTCAAGTTCATTGCTCCCGTCATCGCCAAGGGTATCGAGAGCCGCCAGAAAGATTCGCCAGTCGCTGTTATTGCTTGCGAGAATGCCATCGGAGCCACCGACACCCTCCGCAAGTTCATCGAAGAGAAGCTTTCAGACTCTACCAAGTCAAATCTTCAGGACAAGGCTCGCTTCGCCAACAGCGCCATTGACCGCATTGTTCCCATGCAGGACGAGAACGCTGGTCTGAACGTCAAGATTGAGAAGTTCTACGAGTGGTGTGTTGAAAGCAAGCCTTTCCTTCCTTCGGATCCCCCAGCAATTGAGGGTGTTCACTTTGTTGAGGACCTCACCCCCTTCATTGAGCGTAAGCTTTTCACTGTCAACACTGGTCACGCCACTGCTGCCTACTACGGATACAACCGTGGCAAGGAGTGCATCCACGATGTTCTGCAAGACAAGGAGCTCAACGAGATCGTGAGAAACACGCTCAAGGAGACGGCTCACCTGATCGTCAACAAGCACGAGATCACCGAGGAGGACCAGAAGGCATACGTCGAGAAGATCATCAAGCGCATCTCCAACCCCGTGCTCAAGGACAACGTCGAGCGTGTTGGTCGTGCACCTCTTCGCAAGCTGTCGCGCAACGAGCGCTTCATCGGCCCTGCAGCTCATCTTGCTGAGATGGGAGCCAAGTACGATGCTCTTCTTGGTGGCATCGAGATGTGTCTCCGCTTCCAGAATGTCGAGGGCGATGAGGAATCAGTCGAGCTGGCCAAGATCCTCAAGGAGAACTCGTCGAGCGATGCTACCGAAAAGATCACGGGTCTTGAGCGTGAGCATGCTCTCTTCTCAGCGGTCGAGCAGGTTGTCAAGAAGGTGCAAGCTTGACTACCTCAGCAGCGCGCCACCCGCAGTCGGAAAGGACTGGAACGTCTTTGATTGATGGTATCAAGACATGGGTGAAGCGATCACGAGATATGCAGCATTGAATTACGGCATTGGTGTTCGGGATGGGGGACATGGGAGGATTGGGACTGGTTTAGCATGTTAGCCAATACCAGGCAACGGGCGTTAGTAGCAGATAGCATGGATTCATGAAATTGACAGGCTCCTGGAAACAGTTGAGCGCATTTATTCTGAAACCGAAGCTGGCATACCACGGTGGTCTGGAAGTGATTGGTGTGAAGGACAGACTTGGCAAAGGATCAAAGAGGAGAACAGACATCCAGGACTGTCATGTCTTTGTTTGTTAGTCGTTGCGGGTTGAGGACACGCAAGAAGTTGGTGTCAGACGTGGGGGACGGTTTGATAGTCATGCAAGACGCTCCAGATACAGCGACAGTGAAGGCGGGTGTTGTTTGAGTGAGTCTTGTGCAGTGATGAAAAGGTCATGCATCCACGATGTTGGATGAATCGAGGTGCAAACAAGCGTGCGTCATCGACCAAAGCCCCGCGAGCGCAAGCGCGAGTGGTGCGGGCAGCTTGTCTTTCCATTGTCATTCATGATCCAGTCGCATGTAGTCTGCTTTATCTTTGATCCCTGAATATTCCCCTCTTCCTTCGAAACCAACATAGCAACAGCATGGCCATCGACAGCATACCGTGAGTGCCGCGGCACCGTGTCCAAACATGGCCCTGCTAACTGCTCCCTGCTGACTGGAATCTAGATATCCCGATAGCCATCGCCTGGCCTACCCCGACAAGACTTTCTACCCGGTCAAGATTCCTGTCTCGTGAGTCCAGCAGAGGCAAACACACAAGAGTTGGATCTGATTCGAGTGTATTAGGCACTGGCAGTTGCGACATTATATATCATCGCCTGACAAGGACGACATCTACTACGCCAGCGGGAACCAAGTCTACCACCTCAACACCCTCTCGCGGAAGCGCAAACATCTCGCCACACTACCATTCGAGGCCCGATGTACCGCTTCTGGCTTTGGCTGGATTTGCATAGGAGGCGAAGAGGATGGCCACTTTGCCGCCATCAAGCTAGAGGGCTCATCTCCGCTCCGCTCTGTACATGTAGACGCGCCATTGCCGCTGGACCAATGGCAACCTCAAAGGGGCCCTCCGAGAGCCGCCAACGTCAAGCTCGAACGTATAGGCGAAGAAATCGTCAACTCTATTTCCATCCACCAGATCCACGATGCCGAAACACACCTCTACGATGTTGTTGCTGTCTTGACCAACAACGACAAGACTGTTCGCGTCTACTCTCTACCCCAAGCCCTGGAAACCTGTGTTCTGGATCTGCCTTTCCCCATGAATCACGCTTCCATATCTCCTGATGGCACCACTCTCGTCGCTGTTGGCGACTCCAACCAGGCCTTCTTCTATACACGCACACTCTCACAGCCTCCTCCGCAAATTCCGAAGCCTCACAATCGCCTGAACACGACAAACGTTACCTGGGATCTAGCACACATTGTCCACCTTCGCGCTGGTGATCCAACGTCCCAGCCGGGCTATTTCACAACTGCGTGGTCGCCTAATGGCAGCTTGGCAGCTCTGGGTTCTGAAGGCGGCTATATCACTGTGTTAGATATGGAAATATTTGCGCAGTGTGCTTCCGATGAGGCAGAAGACGCCATTGTCGCAACAATCCCGTCTACAAGACCCAACATCGTTGCCGCCCTTCATCCTGGTGCTGTCAGATCCATGATCTTCTCTCCTGAACCATGGGACTTGCTGATCTGGGCCGAAGATCAAGGCCGGGTGTGCATTGGCGACTTACGTACTGGACTCAAGACTAAACAAGTGATAGAGCTAAAATTGGACGAAGAGGGTTTAAAGAAGATCGAACTCGAAGATATTGTGTCGGAGGATCTAGCTGAGGGTGACCATCTAGAGGATTTGCAGCAAGAGATTCTGAACCGCTATCGCGAGACACGAGACCCCATTGAGCAGGGTAGCTTTGCTACAGAGTTTCTACAGGCTCGAGAGCGTGAACAGTACCTTTCGGAGAGTGCCCGTACAACAGTCCCGACTCTGCGCTACTCGGCAAACGAAGACGACCCTCGAGGCCTTACAGCACACGAGCAACAGATTCTTGAAGCGCTTCGGACAACTAGACAACGCGAAGAAGCTCGCACTCAAGGAAGTACTCCTCGTTCGATCAACTACACCAGCGCTGGTCTATTCAGTGCACACAACAGCAGTCGCACCTCGGCCACTATGCGATCTAGCGAAACCTCTCGCCCATTCAGCGACGTCTTGGTCAACCACAACGATCCTTACGCAGCCTTCCCAGAACTATCGCGGACATCACAGCGGGATGCGGCAGAGCCACGAGAGAGAGATCGGGCTACGGGTGACAACACATTGCCACCTCTCCACTCGATACAAGAGTATTTGTTGCTCCGTGACAGAGAACGCGAGGCTTCATCGACATTCACATCGGATCGCGGCACGATAGTTCGTCGTCCTGGAGCAGGAGGAATTCCTACACTGACGAGTTCTGCTGCAACCATACCTCCACATGCAACACGAGCAACGACTACTACCACCAGGGCCGAGACGGAAGAGGACAACCCTTGGCGTACCATATCCAACGCCATGACGTTGGCCCGCGGACCGCTATTCGAATCACCTCGATCAATAGACGCCAGTACGCGACAGTCCCGTGAGCGGGAGGCTATGGTGCGTACAGAACAGCTTCGCCGAATGGCTTCACAGCGTGAGCGGTTACGCGGACTACGACGGGAGTTTGAGAACGGAACAAATGCGGCGCAGAGCTTGTACGATACACTAACCTCACTGCGTGGTTTCACGTCAACTCGGCCTACAGCCTTCCATGACGGGTACGAGATGCTGATGCGCAGAACGGGTCGCGAAGCTACGATAGGGGTTAGAACGGCAGGCCTGGCTATTAGCCACGACGGGCGCAAGTTGTGGGCAGCGTGCGAGGAGGGAATATTCGAAATCGACTTGCAGGTCAAGCTGAGAATGATGTTTCCAGCAGTGGAGATGAAATAACGAACAGATACGAACAGGATGAGGTTTCACGGCGCATAAAGAATGGGGTTGAGCACATGGCGCACTATAGCGCTGACAGCATTGGGGATTCTAGGCATTGCTGGCGCATGGGATGCTGCCACTTGGTGGCAATGGTGGCATGCATCTTCTCTTGCCCTTTGTAATCAATTTCGTGTACATAATGAACATGACATTCCTTGGACCAAGACATGATGAGCCAGTGATGGATAGATGATGGAAGCGGTCGACCTGAGCAAGGACCTGCTTTTGCGTGCTAGCCGAGGCAAAGCAAGCTATCCCACAAGAGGCGACAGACGCAGCAAAGGTTCGAGGCCGGAGACCAGCGACCGGTGGCCAGTGGTATGAGTCAATAGCGAGGCAAAGACAAAGCACTGGTAGAGGCAAACGGCCATGTGTCGGAGCGAACAACAGGTGTAGAGAGGAGGTTCGTGGGGCGGGCACGATATCGGGAGGAGTTGTGAGTGGATTCCAGCATGTTCGATGGGCGTGGCGGAGGATGCCGGGGCCGGGGATTCGACGCTAAGGACAAAATTCCTCGAGCGACGACGCCATGACTTCCTCTTGCTGCTCCACCACTTATTAACCTCGCCATCTCCATCTCCATAGCCTTCTAGAGCAAGTTTTGTTTGTTGCTCAAGATACCCTATTTCCTCTTGTCGCGTTCTGGTTTTCCGCTCTAATCACATCACAATGCTGTCACAAAGACTTGCCAGAGGCGTAAGTCCATATGCGACAGCTTCTACAGCTGCATGAGCTCCATACTGACCTGACTACAGCTTCGCGCCACTCCTTCAGTCCGCGCCCCCGTCTTCAGATCCGCCGTCGCCCCTTCGCTCAGAAGAGGATACGCCGATGGCGGTGAGGAGAAGGTCAAGGGCCAGGTCATTGGTATCGATCTCGGTACCACCAACTCGGCCGTCGCCGTCATGGAGGGTTCCGCTCCCAGAATCATTGAGAACAGCGAGGGTGCCAGAACCACTCCTTCGGTCGTCGGTTTCACCAAGGAGGGTGAGCGCCTGGTCGGTATTGCCGCCAAGCGTCAGGCCGTCGTCAACCCAGAGAACACTCTCTTCGCCACCAAGCGTTTGATCGGTCGCAAGTTCAAGGATGCTGAGGTCCAGCGCGACTTGGCCCAGGTTCCCTACAAGATTGTCCAGCACACCAACGGCGATGCCTGGCTCGAGGCTCAGGGCCAGAAGTACTCGCCCTCGCAGATTGGTGGTTTCGTCCTTGGAAAGATGAAGGAGACCGCTGAGGCCTTCCTTGGCAAGAACTGCAAGAACGCCGTTGTCACCGTCCCCGCCTACTTCAACGACCAGCAGAGACAGGCCACCAAGGACGCCGGTCAGATCTCTGGTCTTAACGTCCTCCGTGTCGTCAACGAGCCCACTGCTGCCGCCCTTGCCTACGGTCTCGAGAAGGAGAGCGACCGCGTCATTGCCGTCTACGATCTTGGTGGTGGTACCTTCGATGTTTCCATCCTCGAGATCCAGAGCGGTGTCTTCGAGGTCAAGTCGACCAACGGTGACACCCACCTTGGTGGTGAGGACTTCGATATCACTCTCGTCCGCCACCTCGTCCAGCAATTCAAGAACGAGCAGGGCATCGACCTTTCCGGTGACCGTATGGCCATCCAGCGTATCCGTGAGGCCGCCGAGAAGGCCAAGATCGAGCTTTCGTCTGCTCCCCAGACTGACATCAACCTTCCCTTCATCACTGCCGACGCCTCAGGCCCCAAGCACATCAACAGCAAGATGACCCGTGCCGAGCTTGAGAAGCTCGTCGGTCCCCTGATCGACCGCACCGTTGAGCCCGTCCGCAAGGCCCTCAAGGACGCCAACATGTCCGCCAAGGACATCCAGGAGGTTATCCTCGTCGGTGGTATGACCCGTATGCCCAAGGTCACCACTTCGGTCAAGAGCATCTTCGGCCGCGACCCCGCCAAGTCTGTCAACCCTGATGAGGCCGTCGCCATTGGTGCCGCCATCCAGGGTGCCGTTCTCTCTGGTGAGGTCACTGATGTCCTCCTTCTCGATGTCACTCCTCTTTCCCTTGGTATTGAGACCCTTGGCGGTGTCTTCACCCGTCTGATCAACCGCAACACCACCATCCCCACCAAGAAGTCCCAGGTCTTCTCCACTGCTGCTGACTTCCAGTCCGCCGTCGAGATCAAGGTTTACCAGGGTGAGCGTGAGCTCGTCCGTGACAACAAGCTCCTCGGAAACTTCCAGCTTGTTGGCATCCCCCCTGCCCACCGTGGTGTTCCCCAGATCGAGGTCACCTTCGACATTGACGCCGACTCAATTGTTCACGTTCACGCCTCCGACAAGTCTACCGGCAAGGACCAGTCTATCACCATCGCCTCAGGTTCCGGTCTGAGCGACTCTGAGATCGAGTCCATGGTCAATGACGCCGAGAAGTACGGCGCCGCTGACAAGGAGCGCAAGCAGGCCATCGAAGCCGCCAACAAGGCCGACAGCGTCCTCAACGACACCGAGAAGGCTCTTAAGGAGTTCGAGGACCGTCTCGACAAGGCCGAGGCTGAGCAGATCAAGGAGAAGATTGCCAGCCTCCGTGAGTTCGTTGCCCAGAACCAGACTGGTGAGGGTACCGCCTCCGCCGAGGACCTCAAGGCCAAGACCGACGAGCTCCAGTCCGCCTCCCTTACTCTGTTCGACAAGATGCACCGTGCCCGCTCCGAGCAGAAGCAGGAGTCCTCCGGCGAGGGTGAGCAGAAGCCCGAGGGTGAGCAGAAGCCTTAAATTCGAGGTTTTTGACATCTCATTCCTCTCGCGCCTCTTTGGATCCGAGGCAATTGCTTCGACCTCCTGATACCCCCCGACTTTTCTGTATACATATTTCCTCTCTCTCCCACCCGCCTGGTCCGCCATCTTCACGACCATTTCTCTTCGCGAACGTCTCTCCTCCACCGGACGAGTCTAACGCCTTGTCTTATCACCCGCTGTACTTTTCTGTAAAATCGCTCTCAAGGAAAAGGGAAGGCACAAAAACGGAGTTTGATGATACGGTGGGATGTTTGAGGCTTGTTCATTACGGCCTTATGTGATGTTTGTACTTTTAGATTCTGTTTATTTGAGCGTCTTTTTCTTTTTTTCACCAACACATCATTCTTACGTTTTTCTTTCTTGAGGATGCGGTTCACGAAAGGAAGTCATAACTCTTTTGACTCTTTGTTGTAACAAAAAGCATATGAACGATCAATCTCTTCTCTCAACCCACACTCTTTACTGATTATGCTGTGATCTTGTGCCTAGCTATGTTGCGTGTCGTGACGAGGTAAATGCTGTGGAGTCGCCGGCATTGTCTAGTCAGTCATCCCAGGCAGTTCAGAGCAGGTAGGAGCGAGGGAGTCTTCCAAGGCGACAACAACCATCTGGCCTTCTGTTTGGCCGCCTGGTACCACTTGCTTCCCAATCTTCTTTCACAAGTCTGTCGAGATCAAAAGAGATGGAATGAACAACCATCATCATTGATAACACAGAAATATCATGCTCGAAAACCATGGTTCGAGACGGGTGAGAGTGACAGGATGTAGCACACCTTCCAATCAGTGATTTCTTCAATCGATAGTCCCATAAATTGTTCACTGCTTGCACAAAGGAGGATCGAGTCGAGGCAAAGGCCCTTGGCGGCTAAGTTTCGGCAAACTCGTTAACGCGACGCTCGGGCCGCAACCACGCACCACGCAGTTTGGATTTTGCAGCGTCGCTCTTTCCACTTGGACGAGACGACGAGACGACTATTCCGACAACCATACTCCCGGTCGATTAGCAAAAATGGGAATTGGCAAGTCCTTTGTCTATGCTACGACACCTTCTTGACAAGAACTAACCTCTGCCTACCTACAGATCTTGACCACCACCACGTCCGTTCGGGCCACCGCAAGGCTCCCAAGTCGGAGAACCCTTACACCGCTCTGCTGGTCAAGCTCTACAGATTCTTGACCCGTAAGAATCCCCCTCCCCGAAGACAGCCATCCACGCGAACGCCCATTCTGCACCGCCAGCAGCCGACTGTGCCAGCATTGAGACAAAGGCAGAAAAAGAACGACTCTGGCTGCTGCTGCGGTGCTTGAAGACGCGCGCCCGCAATGGCTGCAACAAAATCTGCAAGTGCGCAGGGCTGACATTTTTTTGCGCAAAGGCCGTACCGACAGCAAGTTCAACGCCACTGTTCTCCGCCGTCTGTACATGAGCAAGATCAACCGCCCTCCCATGTCCCTCTCCAAGATCGTTGCCACTGCTGCCAACAAGCACTCCAGCAAGGCTCACGAGGGCAAGACCATCGTCTTGGTCGGCACCGTCACTGACGACAACCGTCTCCTTGAGCTCCCCAAGCTCTCGATCGCTGCCCTCCGCTACACCGCCACTGCCCGCGCCCGCATTGTCGCCGCTGGTGGCGAGGCCCTGACCATCGATCAGTTGGCCATGCGCGCCCCTACCGGTGCCAACACCCTCCTCCTCCGTGGCCCCAAGAACGCCCGTGAGGCCGTCAAGCACTTCGGCTTCGGTCCCCACTCTCACAAGGCACGTCAAATCGCGAACAGCACACAATCTGGATGTACACGTATACTAACAGCCTTTGCAGAAGCCTTACGTCGAGAGCAAGGGTCGCAAGTTCGAGCGTGCCCGTGGTCGCAGACGCTCGAAGGGTTTCAAGGTGTAAGCAATTTACACACTTGGGATCGGGGTATTCATGGGGTTCAAAATGGCTATCTCTGGGTGATATCAGTCATGCGGCGAGACATGATGAGATTCTCTTTGCTAGCGAATTCAAGCATCTTCCGGGACAAATTGGTTGGTGTTACAAAAAAAGCGCCGTTTTCGCAAAAAGGAACAACAACGATCAAATGGCAATATTTCACGACGTGACTGCAACACTGCTGTCCCCATGCTTCAAGAGTCTGTCCGTCCATGTCATTATCGATCGAGGCACTTTTACTCCTGCCAATTTGTCCATCAGAAAATATCCAGCTCTTACTCGTCCAGACTTGGCCATTCAGGTGTTTCTTCGTTTTCGTGACCGATGATGTGTATGTTCAATTTGATGTTTTGACTCGTCTTCCGGCTGCTTTGCAAACACAAACCGCAAGCAGAAAAGAAGAATTTGACTTTAGCAGTCATAGTTCTTGGCATTAAAACATTCACGTAGAACAAACACTACGCAACCTCCTCTTTTACCCGCTTATATCTATCTATAATTATACCCAATCACACAAACATGGACAAGAAAGTCGTAGGTCTGCTTGGAGGTGGCCAATTGGGCCGCATGTTCGTCGAGGCTGCGAACCGCCTCAACATTCAAGTCAACATTCTGGACGCAGCAAAGTCACCCGCAAAGCAAATCAGCAGCCATGAAGGCCACTTCGAAGGATCGTTCAAGGACCCGGAAGCCATTGAAAAATTATCAAAAACTTGCGATGTCGTCACTGTTGAGATCGAGCATGTAGACACTCAGATTCTGGAAAAGATTTCATCTCGGGTCGCTGTGGAGCCCAGCTGGAAGACCATTCGCATGATCCAGGACAAGTACGCCCAAAAGGAGCACCTTCAGGAGTACAATGTCGCTACCGCTCAATCTATTCCTCTGGCCGGAGCTACCAACGAGGATCTGCAAAAGGTTGGCGAGCAGATCGGCTTCCCCTTCATGCTCAAATCACGTACAGAGGCCTACGATGGACGTGGAAACTTCCCAGTCAAGTCATCCACCGACTTTGACGCTGCTTTGAAGGCTCTTGGAAGCCGTCCTCTGTACGCTGAGAAGTGGGCCAACTTCAAGGCTGAATTGGCAGTCATGGTTGTCAAGACCAAGGATGGTGTTCTGGCTTACCCTACTGTCGAGACCATCCACGAGGACAGCATTTGCAAGCTCGTATATGCTCCCGCACGCAATGTCTCCAAGAAGGTGCTTGAGCAGGCTCAGGAGCTGGCTAAGAAGGCTGTTGCTTGCTTCTGGGGCAAGGGTGTGTTCGGTGTTGAGATGTTCTTGCTCGATGACGACAGTCTATTGATCAACGAGATTGCTCCCAGACCTCACAACTCTGGTCACTACACTATCGAAGCGTGCCCTGTCTCGCAGTACGATGCTCACCTGCGTTCCATCTTGGACATTCCTATTCAGCAACACGAGCTGCGCATCAGAGAACCCTCGATCATGCTCAACATCCTTGGTGCTTCCACACCTGACTCTGCCGTTCAAATCGCCGAGCGTTCTATCGCTGCTGGTGTCGGTGCTTCAATCCACCTGTACGGCAAGGGTGATGCTCGCCCCGGCAGAAAGATGGGCCACATGACTCTCACAGCACCCAGCATGCGCGAAGCCGAGAAGGCCATGCAACCCCTTCTGGACATCACCGACGAGATCCGCGGCAAGAAGAGCGCACCAGCCTCTGCCTCCTCCGCCGCCAGTGGTGCCGGTCAAGCCCAAAACGCCATGGTAGGCGTCATCATGGGCTCTTTCAGCGACATGCCCGTCCTCCAAGCCGGCATTGCCATCCTCAAAAAACTCAACATTCCTTTCGAGACCCACATCACCTCTGCCCACCGCACCCCCGACTGGATGGGCGAGTACGTGCATGGCGCCATGCCCCGTGGCATCCAGGTCATCATTGCCGCAGCAGGCGGCGCTGCTCACCTTCCCGGTATGGCTGCCTCGCACACCGCTATCCCTGTCATCGGTGTCCCTGTCAAGCCCACCATTGGCGATGGCACAGACAGTGTTCTCAGTATTCTCAACATGCCTCGTGGTGTGCCCGTAGCTACTGTGGGCACCAACAACAGCACCAATGCTGCTTTGTTGGCTGCCAGAATCATTGGCTTGAAGGAGGCTAGCATCCAGAAGGCGCTCGTCGAGTATGCTGACAACTCTACTGCTGAGGTCATGGAGCGCGAGCGTGCCATGAATGAGCAGGGCTGGGATGCTGTGTATGAGCAATGGCACGGTGCTAAGAAGTAGAATGGAAGATTGATGTATACGAAACAGAATTGAGATTATGTAGATTTGTCATTTCTGAGCAAAGAATGAAAAGTATGGTTGTCATTTTCCCGTGCTTGCAAGGTATCGCATTTGTGGTATCATTGAAAGCAAATAAGAAAAAGGCTATCAATCATCAACGTCCTCTACACCATCATCGTCGCCTCGAGTGGCACCACCTTCAGCCATGTTTGTATCCTCTTGCTCGGCTTCTGCCTGAGTGCTCGTACCGTCACGACTGGGTCCTGCAACAGGAGTATCTTCGTTGGCCTCCTCGGCAGTTGCTTCAGGTTGCACATCCACTTTTCTCTTCTTGCGTGGCCGACCTTTTGGTCTCGCATCACGTCTGGCTTCGGGCAGACCCAAGCTCTGGCGCAACCTTTTACCGCTGGGTGCACCTCCTCGGGCACCACCACGAGCCAGTGTTCTTCTCTTGCGTGTGACTAGCTTGTTGCCATCAGCATCCGCATTCTTGTTTGCATCGTCCTCGTTTTCTTCTCCACTGCCTCCTTCATCTTCCTCGATCTCCTGGTCTGGGTCTGGCCGAGCGTATGCGGGACGTCGATTTAGCCTGGTGAGTCGAGCTGTTTGTTCAGCCTTCTCCCTCTTTGCACGGGCGGCTGCCTCTGCTTTGTCCTTTTTGCTACGCGCGCTCTCCTTCTCGATGTAGTCTGCACGCTCTTCCTCCCAGCCTTCTGGCGGGTGATAGACCTTGATGTTTGTGACAGGCACGGCATCCTGGTCACCGCGACGCGCTTTCATAGCCGACAGCGTTTCCAAAAACTTTGCCTGACTTGTTCGCTGGGCACTTGCGGTAGAGGGCAGGCCGATACGCAAGCCTTGGGCTGTGGTGTGTTCGATCACGTCGCCTTCTGCTGTTGTGTATGTAGTCTCTGGACCTGCATACGCGGCTCTTATGACGGCCGGCGGAGCGGTTTCTCGAGGTTGAATACTGGCTGGTATGGCGACAAGTCTCGCAGCACTCATACCTAGAACATCGAAGGAAGGGGTCGATCGAAGGGCTGGGTGGTCGGGATCGAAGTCGGTCGGCGGGGGTGTGAGAAAGATCTGAGTGGCTAGATCGGTAGCCCATTGACACGAGTAGATGGAGTTGTTGTAGGAGATGATTGGGTTCCTGTCGTGCAGTCCGACAATCTGCATGCGCTCGGCCGGTGTGTCGGCTGAGTCTCGATTGCCATCTTGAAGCGCAACATCCTTGGTACCGGAGTCAGCAGCGCCAGGTGCATTGGCAAGACTCTTGTTCGAGCCGCGGGTGTTTGACTTCTGAGCCTTGGTGCGCCTGTCCCTAGCAAGCGCAGGTGGGATGTGGGTTGTCAAGTCGAGAGTCAGATAAAAGTCGTCGGTCGCAGTCGTGTCGTACTCGTACTCCCACTCGGACTCATCCTCCGAGTCTGCCGTGTTTGTGCTTGCCATGATTCCGGAGAGATGGCATACTTAGTATGTTGACACGCTCATGATGGAGTATGTGGGTGGCAGCTTCGAGCGTGAGGCTCGAGTGAATGCAATAATCCTCAAACAGCGCAAAAGCCGATGGGCCGGGACTCGGAAGCACATGCTAGCGCCTTCCGGGCTTCAGCTATTGACCGACAATGACGATGATCACTTCCCAGCATTCATCCACTGGACATAGCATTGTTGCCTTGGATCCTGCTTCTTTGACCCGTCTTATCCTCGCCGTCTCTTCCCATCCTCTTGCATCTATCCCACAGACAACTGTTGGCGCGACAAGTGGCTTGCTCAATTCTAGAAGCTTGCTCATCGTCATCACCCCGCATACTTTATATCCCGACGCATCCGACGAGTCCCTGAGTGCCAAGTTGCGCCCCTCGTTGCGACACCATCGAGTACGTGTTGCTGTCGACATATTGCCCTCGTGTTTCCGGGTTATGCGTGCGTTGTCTAGGCGCTGTGTCTCATGCATCCGCATGTCCAAGTTGCAGCGGCATTGCTTGTCTTTCCATGGCTGACGCGTTCCCTTCCCTTGCTTGGAGCTTACTTTTTGACACTTGTGTCCGCTCAAACACAAATCACTTGAACTATGCCTATGACTCTGTCTATTTGTAGCATGTGATTACCTATACGGACTTTTGCTGACCCGTGCATCCGGATGACAGTGGAATCAGCTGCTTCTAACGGCGACCTTGATCATCAACCATCTTGCACTACTTTCTCATCTTCTCTTCTACACTGCACTGCTGCCACTTTCTTACGCGGCGAACCCGCCTCTTCCCATGTCCCGGAACAAACCCCTCGGGCTCACTCCACCAACACTACCACCGCAAAGGCTGTAATGCGTAGAAGCTGGATTCAGCCTATGGCTGTTGTGCCCGCTATACTATGCGGCTTAACGCTGACATCAGCACATCCATATTTTGGCCAGGCCGGCCATGTTGCCACTCAGAGAGAAACCCCCAGCTGGACTGAGTCTTCTCTGTCATGGGCCAACAGACAGACCTGTCGATGGTTGAGCAATTGCGAGACAACGGACTCGGGTGGCAAGGACTCGCTCTACCAGTACTCACATTCGAATCAGCAACAACCGCTGTCGCAAATCCTACCAAATACATTGCCAGGTGCCTCGTCTTTCTGGACTAGTGGCTTCGAAAGACCAGAGACCTGGTCGAAAGAAGAACATATCTCACGGAAGATTCCCCAGTATGTCTACGATTACACGCCGTATGTCCATTTGTTCTCAGGAGAGCAGTTCTGGCCATGTGATATTGCTGAACATCTTGTTCATACATCTCCATACGCAAACTATACTCTCATACGAAGCATGGAGAACGACAGAACCCTTGACAATCTCGACGAACTCAATGAATTCGGTCATTTCGCATATCTGAAAAGTGAGGATAACGTGGAAGAGCGCCCCGATTGGCTGGGTGGAAGTTCAAACATACCCAGAGGCCCTGAGGGCATCTTTGACCAACATTCCGATCGAGTTTTGAAGAACCCGTCACTCCGAAAAGAACAGGTGCAGGGTGAGAAACGTTGGAACGATGTTGGCAGACATGGTCCTGAGGATCGTCGCAAGTCGTCAGACAGGTTGGAAGAACGAGGAGGACACAGCTCTGCGCCGGCAGTGCTGATAGTCGTTCCCAAGGAAGATGGGATAGTCGACGCATTCTGGTTCTACTTTTACAGTTACAACCTTGGAAATAAGGTACTAAACATACGGTTCGGCAATCATGTGGGAGATTGGGAGCACTCGATGGTCAGATTCCGAAACGGTACACCTGAAGCAGTATACATCTCGGAACACGGAGCAGGAGAAGCATACGCATACCACGCAATCGAAAAGTATGGGAAGCGACCAGTCATCTACAGTGCGACAGGCACACACGCAATCTACGCAACGCCAGGATTACACCCGTACGTATTGCCGTGGGGTCTGTTGCACGACCAGACCGACAAAGGACCACTGTGGGATCCAAATCTGAACCACCACGCGTATGTGTACAACTACACATCTCGGCACTTGAAGTCATCGGCACAGACACCGTATGCACCGGTTAGTTGGTTCAATTTCAGGGGTCACTGGGGAGACAAAATCTACCCCATGAGCGACAAGAGACAGTACCGATTATGGGGACAATATCACTATGTCAGTGGGCCACTCGGACCCAGATATAAGAATTTGGGTCGCAAGAAGGTCTGTCAGCGTATGCAAGCACAGTGCATAATCAAACACTGGCTTGGAGACGAGGAGGGCAGCGACGATGGAGAGAAGAGGTTGCCCGGGGAGGAAATGATAGGGGATGATGTAGAGGTTCCAGAGCAGACAGAGCAAGTTGGTGGACGGGAAGATGGACGGGCGGGCATAAGACAATGGACATGACGCATGTTTCAGGTTTTTTCCAGCGACATGTCGGTGTATCTCAGTACTGTACCCTTTGCAGGGCGGCGATAGCGGAGCGGAATCAAACTTATCAAGGTTGCGATGTTATCTGACGCTAAGGCGATTAGGCTGTGGCTAGTGCGTCACAATGCTCACGAGGAAACAGGCAGGAATGGTGCCATGGGCTCAGCAGCGAATCGTGACTTGTTGGGCAGGTGCATGAGTCGACGGGCATGATTTTTCATGTTCTTACAGCAATCTCTCATCTTTCTTTGCTGTTTTTACGCTAGGAATGACCGAATGCTGATGGCGTTGTCTGTACATCAATAAACGGCGGATAAGAAGCAATACCTACCCCAGGATCGACAGCGCATACTGGACGAGCCACAACCAACATCAACTGCAAGAGCACACGTTGCTTGCATCCCTTTCCCCTGAGAGGAGCCCGAGCCTCCATCCTATACCACGCACAATCATCGATCGAACATGGCATTTCAACAGCCGCTACAGCAGCGGCGTCAGATCCAGCGACCAGCATCCATCCCACACTCTCTGGCGAACGTCCCCGACGCCACACATCACGGCCGTGTAGACGAGTCGCAAGAGTGGATCCTCTTCTCACCACAACTCGAACACGAACCATCCTGGACCTCTTACACATCGCAAACCTCGCACATTCAACCAGCACCTGCATTCTCCGACTTTGCTTCTCTCGAGACTGGCGACCGTTCGGACCAAAGGGAGACCAACGACGATGGGCAAGGCACCTGCCAGGGTACAGACGTTGACCAAGACGACGACGAAGAGTTGGACAGTCTAGACGACGGCCTACATACCTTCCACCCATCCTTCTCTCTTGACCAGAGTGGTGGTGCGGTGCTTCCCAACCATGATGGCTTGGGCTCCTTCCCCGCACTCTACCACAACAACGACAATGTCCAAGAACAACTATGGCAGTTTGAGAGATATAATCCATCGAACCGACGCCGAACCCAGCGAAGACGCAGCAGTGTACAACGCAAGTTTGACGCCCTAGAAGAACACGAGACGGACAAACAGGATGAGAGACGACTACGTGTTGAGAAGTGGCGTTTGGAACAGAGTCGTGCCGTGCTGGACGAGATCGAGAAGGAGACGCGCAGACGGAAAAGAAGGCTATCAATCGCTTCGCGTGCTGCTTTGACTGCCGCGCAAACTGCAGATCCAGAGACCGAATCATTCTGGCAGCGAGTCACTCGTAGAGTCATCAAGGATCTGATGGGCCTAGACGATACCACTCTGTCCGTCATATTTGGCGAGGAACTCGCTCCAGAAGCCCAAACAACGCCGACTCAGCAGTCTCTCTTGACTGACGTCTTTTCTGCACATCAAGACAGAGCGTGGGAGAACCGGCTTCTGAGCAGAATTGCGAAGGAGCTTGGTATACTTGCTAACCAACTCGCTGAAAACGATCGACAAGATCGCACGTTCAGTACCTACACGCCTTATCAGGTCGACCAGTCTGCGCCATCACAGCCACGGCAGATCCCACCGTCATCCACAACTGCTCACTCTGTGGACGCCTCTGACTCCAACTTTGCTCCTCTCTTCGCACCTACTTTCGTACATCCTCCTGTCTCACCTGCTGCTGAGGCAGACACTTCCCTATGGGGCATCCCAGAACAACCTCAAGCAGAGGCCCAAGACCAGGTGCCATCCCAGGACAAAGACAAAGAGGCTGAGTATTGGGAGCGCGACTTGGACATCGGAGTGGTGTTTCGATACCTCCGCAGCCGTTTCACATCACGTCCGCCATCGCCCTCTCTTGCCGAATCACAATCCATACCACAACCGTCGTCACAGAGCATTCTGCCAGCAGACTGGGCGTCTTCCAGCAACGCTGCCGCCACAGCTTCTGCTCTAGGCACTTCTCCAGAGTCACGTCGTCGAGCTGACCTTATCAGACGACATCATCCGCTAGTGTCTCATGCAGCCTCGGTGTCGGCACAACGTAGACGAGAGAGTGTGCTGTTGCACACACTGATGCATCGACGTGCGCAGAGCAGCAGCTGTGCAAGCCAGAGTACCAAGCGTACTCGCTCTGGAGGCTCTCGCCGCTATTGGGACTTCCCGAGCAGCACTGGCAGTGTGGTCAGCGTTGGAAGCACTGGCGAGGGTGTCTTGGGTGGTTGGGGTGAGGTTTGAGTATCGAGCATATACTATGTACTCAAGGCGAGACCTGGCGTCACATTTTTCGTTTTTTTTTTCTCTTTGTGGGTTTGGGTTGTGTTGCTTCACGCATATCATGTTCGCATTGGCATTTTGCGTTCATCTTTTTGCTTCCATCTCTCAGCTCTGTCCACGTTCTCATCTCCTCTTTTCCTTCACATTATACGACAGCTTCCAACCTAGAACCTTGGCAAAGACCACAGAACATTAGAACGATATCTCACGACGCAGACAAAGATTGACGTCCTCTTGTGTTCATGTGAACAAAGTCGAAACTGTTTTTTATCGACCATCGTAGATTACGCTACAAGAAAACAGCCTCTCTTGAGACCAAACCTCCCTACTCGATCAACTTGTCAAACTTGTACTTCTGCGCTTCCCTGTAATCACCTTTTTCCCTGAGCTGCGCTCTCTCGGCATTGTCCTTTTTGTCCAGCGTGTCGATGTAGCGAATGGGACCTTGTTCCTCCTGCTCTTCTCTCAATCTCATCTCTTCATTGTCAGCATTTCTCTGCAATCTGCTCTGCTGCTCGGCCAAACTCTGCTCGACCTTGCTCCTCCACCTCTCCAATATCGCAAATTCTCTGCGGTATTTTTCCGTTGTGAAGAGGGATCTCACGTTGGAACCGAGGAGATTCTTTTCGATGCTGTCCTGCCGGAACTGAAGCATGTAGTCTAGCACTCGCAAGGTGGAGAAAGAGGGTTCGACGACGTTATCGTCCATTTCCTGCAGTAGGTCATTGCAAGCGTCCACATCTGCGAATTTGCGGAATTGGAAGGCGAGGAGTTGGTTGTAGAGGTCTGGAGAGGTGGCTAGCGCGTAAGCTGACTCTCCCAACTGCTTTACACGAGGCAAGATGGCGAGAATGAGGTTGGAGTTTGGAAAGTTGTTTCGGAGCAATGAGGCTGCGGAGACGAGACGCAGAGGAAAGATTTGGAGGAGGAAATGGCGGCGCTCGGGGGATATTGTTGCTGAGGAGGAGGAGGAGGAGGAGGAGGTAGGGGCTGAGCTGTCCAAGTGAAGCAAGGCGATTTGGGAAAACAGACGGGTTTCGAGGATGGACCAGAGGGCGGTGTCGGTTGTTGCTCTGTGGAGAGATTTCAGAGTGAGGCTGTCTTGGAGGTTGAGATGTGCGGAATCGGACTCGTCTTGTGCTGCTTTATCGGGCTTTTCCGGTTCTGCAGCGGACGAGACCAGATTGAGGTTGTCGTATTCGGACCTCTTTGGTTTTTTGTAAGGGGCTTTGCGCTCTCGTTTGTGTTCGGCGGCTTCGCTGATTTCGATGGCGGTGATTGCTTGGTTGAGCACGTCGTCCAGATTTTCAAAGCTGTCTTTCTCGGTTGATGGTTTTCTTATTCTGGCGGCCCGACGTGTGGGAGCGGTTCCTAGAGCCTCGAGTTTGGCGAAGGCGTTGCGCTCTGTGCCTGTCAGAGACTCTCCTTGGATGGTGGTTTGAACGACGGCTGATTCTTCGGCTCCAGGAGTGTCGAAGGGGACATATTCTTCGTATTCTGGCTTGTCTTCTCTGCTTGGAGTGGCGGGTTCGGGCTCTCGAGGTGGTCTCGGTATTCTGAGGTTCGGGGCGGTCTTTGGGGCGTTCTCTTTGGCCAGGTCTTGTAGTGCGCTATAGTAGCGGCGCAGTGTTGGCGTTTGGTATAGGAAGGGCAGCGTATATGCGGACCTGGATGCGTGCAGCTTCAAGCCTCTAGTGAGAGCTTGACCGGCATTCGCGCATCCAGACATGTCTTGTGATGTACAATCTGGTTCCGAGAATGGAAAATTATGAGGCGACGGCGGCAATCCCTGGTATCAAGCTCCTTGGTGTAGTTTTGAACCTGTCCAGCAGGCTTGTTGTATGCTTGTCTCGCGAGAACGGTCCCGAGTGTGATATAGCACTTTCCCAATCGACTTGTCGAACAAAAGTGCTTGCGATCGGCATTTCGCCATGACAAAAGACCGATTTGCACGTCATTGACACGCTTCGCGTCTCCCTCGATTTCTCAAAGGCTGCCAAAGTCACAATCTACCGTCATCAACCTCAGAACATCATTATGCCCAAGAAATCTGCCACCGAACTCAGCGAATATGAACTGCAACGACAGGAAAACATAGCAAAGAACCAGGCTTTGCTGCGTCAATTGCAACTCGAAGCCGCATCTGCTGGTATCGCGCCAAAGAAAGCCTCGCGTCCTACTCCCGACAAGTCTGCCAAAAAGAAGAAAACGCCTGTTCAAAAGATCAAAGACGAGGTCCAGCCGAGAAGAACATCGAGTCGTCTGAAGGGCATTGTTGCAGACAGCGAGGTTGCAAAGAGGAAAGCAGAGGAAGAGTCCGAGTTGCTGGCTCAAGCCGAGCGAGCCAAACGACAACGCGTCTCTGAGGATCTACGCTTCTCAGATGTCGTCGTAGCAGGAAAGGACTGGGATCAGAGTGGCAACTTCCTCCGACTCGTTGGACCCGCCAACCCAGGCGAACGAACATTCAGCGCCCAAGACGTCAAGGAAACCACCGACAAGGAGCTGAAGGAGCTGAGAGAACGCATGAGCAATCTCGAGTTGTGGCAAGGCTTTGCACCAAGTCAGATCAAAATCACTCCCGAGCGAATCTACTCGTTAGGCTTCCATCCAACGACCGACAAAGCTCTCGTCTTTGCCGGAGACAAGCTAGGAAGCTTAGGTCTCTTCGACGCCTCCCAACAACCCACCCCTGCCGTCAAAAACGAAGACGACGATGAATCCGACGACGAAGAAGAAGCCAAACCCTCAATCACCACCCTCAAGATCCACACTCGCACAATCTCCGCCTTCCAATTCTCGCCCCACGACCCCAACGCTCTGTACTCTGCAAGTTACGACAGCTCGATCCGCAAACTCGACCTTCAAAAAGGTGTAGCTGTAGAAGCCTATGCGCCAATCTCAAAAGACGACGATGAACCCCTGAGTGGTGTCGAGATGTCGCAATTCGACCCCCATACCCTCTTCTTCAGCACCCTGAACGGGAACTTTGGCCGTCACGATACGAGGTCCAAACCAGGCAATGGCACCGACATCTTCGCCTTGTCAGAAAAGAAGATAGGTGGATTCAGTCTCAATCCCGCGCACCCCCATGTCTTCGCTACTGCATCGCTAGATCGTTATCTACGTCTCTGGGACCTGAGAATGATAAAGGGGGATGCAGACGACAAAGCACCATTAGAGATTGGATCTCACGAGAGCAGATTGAGTGTTTCGCACGCAGCCTTCAATTCTGCAGGCCAGATCGCCACAGCGAGTTATGACGATACGGTAAAAATCTACGACTTCAGCAGTGTGGGTACATTATCTGCTGGTACAGAGCTGAGTGACGAACAAATGACTCCCACGACCATAATACCCCATAACAACCAGACCGGCCGCTGGGTCACCATGTATGTTTTCCCTCCTCTTTTCCCCTTATTCCTCTCATCCTCGAAAGAATCAAAGTACTTACGTGTAACACAGTCTTCGCGCACAATGGCAACTCCAACCCGCCGACAACATCCAACGCTTCGTCATCGGAAACATGAATAGATTTGTAGACGTCTACGCATCGAATGGACAGCAACTTGCTCAGTTGGGGGGTGAGGGTATCACTGCCGTACCCAGTGTTGCACAATTCCACCAGAGTAAGGATTGGATCGCTGCGGGTACTGCTAGTGGTAAACTGTGCTTGTGGATGTGAGGAGTTTTCCGTTCAAAAACAGCAAAAGGAGATGGAATGATAAAAGGTTTTGTGCATTTTTGCATCTTTGGGAGCCGAAATGGGTGGCTGGCTGGGGACTCTTTGGAGATTTGATTCTTCTTTTGTGAGCGTAGTGTGTGGCATTTTTTCACCTCGAGGACTTTTTGACTTGAAAATGCATGACCAATGAAGACTCGCATCGAATCCTTTTATCTTGTGATACTGTACGTCATGGAATATGTGATCCTTCTCATTCTGTGTTTGGCTTGCACCAAGTCCTGTCACTAACCAAGCCGTCTGAGTGTGAAGCTTCGATGTCAAGGAGGTCAAATACCCTGAATGAGGATATCTCATCCACAACCACAGATCTTACTTTAAACGTACATCGCATCATGACCGCTAGACTCTCAAATCGGATCAATATCAAGTCAGAGACAGAATCATAAGTCCAAGAGGCAGAAAAGTGACAAAAAAGTTTTCTGAAGCCCGTGTTGATAGTAGCACCCTGCTTCCAAGAATATTTCTCGTGCGCAGAGAAAAAAGAAGAAAGAACAGTGCAGAGTACACATGCATGCATGCATGCCTGCCTGCCTTTCACTATGCGAGAAAGGATGTGACACATGGTCACAGAGATGAAAAATCGTGGTTCGAGCAACGATAACAATTCTCATGATACATCGATGCTGTGAAGGATAACCATGATTTGCCCCTATCTCTCCTTAATGGCTCTTTCGAGCATCTCAGCGATCGAGAGATCCATTCCCTCTTTCCGTTATGTGTACCATCAATCAAAATATCAATTTCTCCCATTCCCAGAACTCCTCGCTGAAAAGCAAAAGTTTTGTGACCTCGTTGATTCATCATCATCAGGAAGGTGCCTTTCTCTTTCTTAGTACTGGTGCTCGCACTCTCTGTCTTGGGTTGGAGACGAAAGCACTCTATGCATCGTTCTTTCCCATGACCTTGGCGGCCTGCACGGCATTCATCTTTTGCGTCCATCCAGGTGCTGGTTGGAACTTGCGCACAGTACGGACTTCATCCAAAGAATAACCAGGGACACGAATGTTGTAGTTACGCTCGAGGATGATCTGAATATCGCGAATATCGAGAGTCGAGTTAGGTCTGATCTTGGCCAGGCGGCAGGCAGCAGTGATGACGCTGTCCACAAAGTCATCGGCCAGAGTGAGGACGGATTCTTCGACATCGGGAGTAAGGTTGTCGCCTTCACCGCCGCCTGTGACTTGTCTGACCAGTTCGTCCAGCTTTTTCTTGCTCAGCACGCGGTCTCCTTCTCCTTCAAGAATGAAGTGAGGTGTCTTTTGCACAGCAGGCTGACCCATCATACCAGGAGCACCGTTGCTGGGACCACCGAAGGTGGGGCGAGCAGGACCAAGCGGCACAGGGTTGTGAGTGCCCGAGGTTGGCAGATTCTTAGGAATGGGGAATTTGGGATTGCCGACATTGAGAGCAGTCTGTTGAGTGTGGTTGAAAGCTTGGTTGCCTGCCTGGGACGTGGGCGTACCCTGACCTCCTTGCTGCGAATAATTGCGCTGGGCTTGGTTGATGGCGTCGGCGTGTGAGAGGGCTTGAGGTTGACCTTGGGGAGCGGGTGACTGGTAGGGCTGCTGTTGGTTAGGAGGGCGAGCGATAGGCTGTTGGGGCTGCTGCTGCTGCTGTTGCTGCTGAGGATGAATAGGAACATTCGCTTGTTGCTGGTGGTAGGGGTTGGCGGGTGCAGGGCTCATAGCCTGGCCAGAGTTGTTGGCCTGGGCTGTCTGATTGTAAGGCGAGGCGACCTGCTGTTGGGGCATGGGAGTCTGCGAATTATTTTGCTGCGGTGCCTTTGACTTCTCAGCCCAAGCCAGACGATTCTTCTCATTATCGTTGCGGACGTTATCGATTTTGCTCTTAGCATCCTGAACACCGATTCTGGCGGCTTCTCTTGAGGATACCAGATCTGGGGTTGCCGTCTGCCCAGCGGCCTCTAGCTGCGAGATCTTCTCATGTGTCTGCTGGAATCGACTGACGCTGCTCTCCTGCATGGTGACTAATCTAGTCAGGCTGCCCATAACACGCCTCTTGTAGTTTTCGTAGTCCGGAGTATTGGGGATGATATTGGTAGGAGGAAAGACCTTGAAGCCGCCGAGGAAGGCCTTTGCTTGTGGGCCGAGAGGAAAATTACCCGGCACTTGGGGGGCCTGCTGCTGCTGCTGCTGCTGTTGCTGCTGCTGCTGTGATATTTGCTGTTGTGGCGGTTGAGGATGGTGTTGTTGTTGCTGCTGCTGCGATTGCTGTTGCTGCGGAGGGTTCGACATTGTTGGTTGCTGAGGCTGCTGTTGCGGCATGGGCTGCTGCTGAGGAGTGGGTTGCGCCTGCTGCTGTTGCTGTTGCTGTTGCGCTTGTGCTTGTTGTTGTTGTTGTTGTTGTTGTTGTTGGTTGGGCAGCTGCGCAACCTGAGCTTGAGATTGCGCTCGCTGCTGCTGATTCTGATTGTTGGCCTTCCAGTGGGTAATGTGGCGCATAATCTCTCGCGACACTTCCTTGATCTTCGCAGTTGCCTTGTTGTGTGTCTCGCTGCCACGTGGATTGGCTTCCAGTGCGGTCCACAGTTTAGTCAGACCTTCAGTGTATGTGACTTTGCTCTCAGCAGAGAGCATGGGAATGCCTGCGATCTTCTCTGGACGGATCATGTCAGGAGGATAGGCCGAGGCCGCTTGCGGCGCGCCGGCTGGTTGGCTCATGATGATGGTGTTGTCGATTGTGCCCGGTTTATTAATGAGAGTGAAAGTGAAAGTGATGTGCGCCCAGAGATCGGCAGCTGACAAGCGCTGGCGTAGTGATGATGGCGATGAGGTGTGCGGTAAAGAAGGAAAGCGCGATTCACTTTCACGTTGCTTCCGCGAAAGCGCGGCTGTTGCACCTGCCAAGAAATGACCATCCATCATCTTCTGGACAAAACATATCATCTACTTGCAAGATAGGTGGCTGAACCATCTTTCATATCAGGACACTATTGTTACTCGAGTGTCTATGTACCTTGTCTGTCGCAATTTTGACAACCTTGCTCTTCTCTTCACATCACATTTGTATGCCCAAGACAAGTCCTGCCTGCCTAAGTATCCTCTAATATTACAGTCAGCGACTTCCGAGCTCGCATATCTTACTGGCTTTCGATTCTCAACAAGCCAGCAGCGCAAGTGTCGTTGGACCAGCCGAGAGCCAGGTTGTCCATAAACCAAGAGACAGGCTCATAGAAAACAACGGCTTGAATACGGATACCACTCAGTCCCTTCATGGACGAGTCGAACTGGACATGTGTGAGACCACAACCGTCGGGCAAGAGGCATGGATCGAGGAACACCGTCTGGTGGAATGCCTCAACTTCAGATCTGGTCTTCTCGTGGTAAACAAGGCCGGTGATCTGCAGCTCGCATTGATGGGCAGAGTGGTTCTCGCAACCAAGGTAGACACTGTAGGCATCGAACCAAAATGCGCTTGAGCTTCTGCGTCTGCCGGCACCAATCTCTCCACGAAGTTGTCCTCCCTCGTTGTGGTTGTCATTGACACCAGTCTCGTTTGCCACGAACATGACAAGACGAGGGGGTGAAACGGGCACGAAGGACACCGATGGAGGTGGAGCGTATACGAAACCATCCGAGAAGTACAGGTGGTGGTATGGGTTCAAGACAGGTGGAGCTTGGCTGGCTTCAGTGATGGGCTCGGTAGGTGAGAAACTTGGCTCATCATCCCACTACATGTTCATGTTAGCCTTGTCTCATTCAGAAGGTAGATGAGAACTTACAGCCAAGACAAAGTCACCGTGTTCGCCACACACCCTCGGAGTCGGCATCGTGCTCGAGGTGTTGGTGTACATCTTGGTCAAGGTCGATGAGGTACGCGAGAATGCAGCAGGTGCGCTCAAAGAGTTCGCAGGGACTGGCATGAACGGAATGTATCCAGTGGCCGAAGCCAGGGTTGAGCCGGTGTGCTTGCCCTGGCGGTAGGCTGATGAAGTGGCGATCGGCGAAATCGTCACGGCAGTCTCCTGAGCGGCAGACCCAACGGAACCGGAAGATAGCAACGAGCCAGTAAGGGTGATGGCACCTGAGACGCCAGACGGTTTGTGCGAAGAAGCAGTAAGGCTGACGTTCCAAGCAGATGATGTCCAAGCAGATGCTGTCCAAGCGAGAGAACTGTGATTACCAGCACTGTTCGTAGCGGAAGTGAGACCAGCAGAAGGAGTGGCAAAGACAGTGTAGGTGAGATCAGTAGTCACGTCGACATAGCTGACGGAACAGACCGATTCCGAGGTGCTTGCAAATTCGACAGTAACTGTAGTGGAGGTTGGAGGCCCTGTCACGGTCTGGATCGAGTGAGATGAAGTCATGAGAGCAGCAGACTTGGAGCCTTTCGACGTCAGATATACAGTCAGTACCGAGATGACGCTCTTGGTCGAGTAGGAAGTCACGGTCGAGGTTGTGGTGTCATCGTCTCTGGTGGGCTGGGGCATGTACGAAGTGACAGCAGGGGGTGTGATCGTGACAACCGTGGTCTGAGTGATAGTGGTCTCGGAATCACCACTGGGACTAGGGAAGACAGTCACCTGGACAGTCTTGGTAAGAGTCTCGCTGAAGGTGCCAGTAGGAGAAGCGCCGTTGATCCAGCTGGTTGTGCCATCGCTGACGATGTAGGAGTAGCCCGAACCAGAAGACAGAGCAGGACCATCGACAGACTGCGAAGGGGTCACAGTCACATAGTTGGTCAAGGTCGAGTAGCTGGTGATAGTAGAGAATGACTTCGCGGTGATGGGGTCGGCTGCAGAGGCAGGGCAGATCGAGACTGTGATAGTCTCTGTGACAGGCTCGCAAGAAGACAGGGCACTGAAGACCCGCGTCAGCAAGTATTCAGAAAGCACAACACATAGCGCGATCTTTCTTATGGCTGTGCATATGTTATGGGACTTACTTCTGGGTATCGCTAGTAGCAACAGACAAGCCGAAAAGGCTGAATGCCACAAGAGAAATCGCCAGACGCATGGTGAGGCGGATGGATAGATAGAACGACGGATGAGTTTGGGAAGGGGAAGGCGAGGTGAACGAGCGTGCTGAGTAGGAAGTTAAAGAAAGTGCGGTGCAGAAAAAGATAAACAAGGAAGGCGCGATCAGTGACGGGACTTAGACTGGCAGTCGGTCGTCGTTGGTGACGGCCAATCAGCAGGCCATAACGATGGAAAGTCGTAAGACCCCGTTTGTTCTGTGGCCCCTCACTCCCAGGGGCAGCAGCAGCTTTTGCACCTTGATGCATGTCATGGTTGAACAATTCTTTACAGCATCTCAGAGGAGTTGCTCTACCGGCTTTCCTCGAACCTGCCTTTCTCACTCACTTAGAGCCTGACTCCATCTGCTTCTTCCTACCTGTTCCTGCCATGCCTCGACTCGCTCTCGATACCAGAGGCATACCATGCCATACCGCCATGCACGGATCTACCTCTTCCACGATTTGGAAGCGATCGTGCGTCCACGTGAGGGTTCCTGCAGTAGCATCACTGGATAGTTTCAGACTCGCCTTGGCCAAATAGCCTCATTTACTGGTGAAACTTCCGGGACAGCATCCACAAATCCAGGAACAGGATGTCAAGATGTTGAAGCCGAACGGTGACACAACAGCCGCCGATTGACCATGTGTCAGGAAAATATCCGCAATATGCCAGGAACGAGGAGTGCGATTCAAAGAGGAACAGCTCATGCGGCAAGCTGCACGCGTGACTCTCTCTGTGGCGGTGAGAAAGCAGATGGCTGTCGTGCGACCAAACGGAGCTCCATGCCGGGTCCTAGCAGTGAATTCTCCTTCAAACAAGAAGACCTGAGTTATATTGCGTCGTCCACAGAGTTTGAGAGTCAGTCAACTATCCTCGAGAAGGAAGAAGACGTGCCGATGAGCCATGTCGCAGTCCGATTGGAAGCCAATGAGCCCGACGAACGATGAGAAAGTCAACTTTTCCACCATGAAGGTGTCCAGAATGGTAGGCTGAGAAAGCACGTATGCCAGAGACCATACTCGAACGAGAGACGAAGCTTCTTGGTTCTTCATGCCACTGACACTCAGTAACACACAATCAAGACCGGGTCGTGACTTCCTTCCACGCCAGGCCAACGTGGAATGCTTGTAAGTCTACAACTACTCCGGATAACAGCCGCACACTGACCGCTATCGCACTTCTGGCTATGAGGTGGAGCAAAGGTGGATACCGGCCAAGATAGCCCTGGAGGTGAACGTGATGAGCGGATGGCATTGCGAAGTGGCGCAGGTGACCAATCGGCTCACATGGTCGAGCGCTGTCGGACTCGAGCGACGTGAAGATACATCATCTCACAAGTCCGCCCTGAGCACAAAGCTTGCAAGGCAGAGCAAGAAGCAATCGACTAGTGGTCTACAGTGCGACGGTTTTCAGCTCGACCGGCGTTGTTAGCGTTCGCTCCTCCCATTTCCCTCTCGACACCATTTCTCCCGCAACGCAACGCTCCGATCCTCCTCCGCCTGTTCCTCCTTCTGCCAACTCTGCCCCTCTCCACACCCCACCACCAACCACTTCTGGCTGGCAAATTGGCCATGAGCGTCGAAGAGAACACGCCTCACAGGCGCTCCAGCAGCGCCTCGTTTGCTCAGAACATGTCGAGGGACTTTCCCCAGCCAAATTCGGCCGCAGCCTTCGCCGGCGCCCGCAGTCCTCCCAAAGCAAAGAGTATGGCCAGTCGAGCTCTCGAGCCCTCGCATATCTAACATGTCTTCTCAGACACGTCGCATGTGCCATGCAAGTTCTACCCATTTGGCACCTGTCAAGCCGGCGCGGCCTGTCAGTTCTCCCACGACATGGACCCCATGACGCAGAATGCGCCTTGCAAATACTTTGCCAAGGTACTTGCGCCATCGTCGCGTGTGTCTGCTCTTGCATGCCACTGACTCGCTATACCAGGGTAGCTGTAGATTCGGTCAAAGCTGCGCCCTCGCACATATCCTCCCCGATGGTCGAGTCATCAACAGGCCTCCTCGCGGCGGCCAGCCCTTCAACTACGGACGTCGCGGCCCTCAACCCTATGCTCCCGCTCCTCCATCATTGCTTACCATACAGGCCAACGATTTGGCATCGCAACAACAGCAGCAGCCTCAAGACATGGGATATCCCAAGCAAGAAGACGTGCCAAACCTCCCGAACCTTGCGCCATACCTCCAAGCTTCACAACCTCTCTCGCTAGATCCCAGCAATACCTTTGGCTCTCCGATGAATGACAACCGCTTTGGAGCATCGCCAAATGCCAGAGGTCTGAGCGTGCTAGACGCTCCTCTGCCCGGATCCTTCGACAGCCAAGGCATCTCCCATGCTGCGCGTCACGGTCCGTTCGCGTCATCTGTTCCTCCTCGTCTCGGCCACGGCCTCGAGTCACCTCCCTCGTCTTTGCCGAACAAAGCATTCCTCGGAAGCACTCTGCGTGGTCTTGGAGACACCACACTTGATGGCGTGTTGGCCGGTTCTTCCCCTCCTACCTTTGAAGAGCCAATGAGCTTTGGCAAGAGACCTTTGCACTCGGAGAGATTCTCACGACCCAGGCCTATGATGTCCGCTAGTGTCGGCACACGACCGTCATTTTATTCACACTTCCCACCGGACGCTACTGATTCTGAAGAGAGCGAAGAGGAAGGGATTGGTGAAGATCTCCTGCCTTCGAGTCTGCACGAGCTACTTCCCCCGGAGAAGCTGCGCAGACCTTCGCAGCAGACTGACGATGACATCAACCCCTCCTTTTTGTCTGCTGGTCGTCGCGCCATCTCGAACGGACAGATTCCCATGGACAACAAGGTAGGCAGCGTCAGCCCACACACTGGTAGTCCTTCGAGATACAGCTCAATCTGGTCTTCGGGCTCATACCGCAAGGAGGGAGAGAACGGATTCGGTCATATCGGTTCACCGCTTCGACCATCCTCATTGCGCTCCTCTTCACTCGCTGGAGGAGACTTTGGTTCTCTCATCGGCAGCCCACCGAAACAGGCAAGCATGTCAATGCTCACCCGTGAGCTTCAGAGCACTAGGATCTCCGAGAAGTCTCCTTCATTGCATCCCCGTAGTATGTCCGGCGACTCTCGCGCCGCCCTTCGTGGAGGACTTGATAGGGGAATTAGCAGCAATAGTCTGGGGCGCAACGAGACCATTGAAGAAGAAGATCAAGGCTTGTTCTCCATGGAAGAGGAAGACGAATTTGCGAGCTCGTCGAGGAAGCCCTCGGTCTCTCCTCTTGGTCTCCTGCCCGGAAAGAGCGAACCTACCCTTGGACCCATTGGCGGACAAAGAACCAAGTAAGAGAGAAACAACCTCGACTGGACCAACCGCCTGTGGAAGACGTGTCTTTGGAAGGATTGTTTGACGATTCATGAACACGGAAGCTTGACTGTTTCCCACCAAAATTTACATGGAAGGGGTCATTTTGAACAGCAAAAAGAGAATCGTGTTTTTTCCAACAAAAAGCAGAACGATGCATGAATTTCGAGCGGAATGAACGTTTGCTGCTTTGGGTTGCATCCCTCCTTAGCAAAGGAGAGTTAGGAAATCTTTGTTGCATCTATGTATTTATCATCATCATCCATATATTTTAGCACAACCATGACCATGTCTGAGTCATGTTCAAATGTCCCAATATGATTGATAGACCTAGCAGGTGTTGCCAGATGACACTTGAGTGGTGGCTGATGCATCTGCTCCCTCGCGCTTCTTGATCTCGTTGAAGATCTGCAAAAAGGTAGCAGGTTCCTCTGCACCACCGACTTCGTACATGTTGTTGAAAGTGAAATGAGGGACACCTAGAGCATCACGAGTCAGTAAGATAAATGTGATCGCCTCCGCAGAAAGCAAACTTACCAGAGATGAACCTCCTCTGGGCAGCAGCAACCTCACGGTCAACCTCAGGGCCACCCTTATCACTGCTCAACCACTCCTTGACCTCTGTCTCGTCGAGACCACCACCAATCGCAGCCTTGGTGAGCACAGCATGATCGGTGATGTCCTCATTCAACTCAAAGTAAGCATTAAACAACTTCTCCATAACCCTCGTCTGCGTCTCTTCTCCCTTTGTCTTTGCCAACTGCACCAGCCTATGCGAATCCCTGGTGTTTCCAGTCTTGCCCCCGTAAGCAAAGTTGATACCCAATTCATGGCCGATTTCCGAGAGACGGCCTTGCATCATTTTGACTCTTTCTTGGCCGAACTTTTCGACGTAGATGGTTTGCTTGTCTCTGCTTTGCTTGGGCGCATCCGGGTTTAGGTAGAAGGGAAACCATTTTGTGGTGAATGTGTCGTTGGGGTAGGATTGCTTGTGCTTGTTTATGGCGACCTGAAGGCGGTTTTTGCCTACGTAGCACCAGGGGCAGACGGTGTCGCTGACGATGGAGATGTTGTAGTTTGTCATGTTGCGGAGGGTGGTGCGGAAAGCCAGGATGGGCGATTGGTCAAGCTAGGAAAGGTTGGGGGTGTGATATAGGAACGTGGACTGGTTTCTAGAGGAAACATGGAAAGAGGCAAATGTTTTGTCTTGTGAGATTATGGAATTGAATGGATGGACTTGCTTAATAATTGTCACTCGGTTAGCGCGGAATGAGATTGTAAAGAAGTGGTAGGTCAATTGGAAGCAAAAAGGGACAGGATATTCTACTGATGAATAGGGACAATGGTGAAGTTCCAAGATAGGTCTACAGCTAGCTGCATGCAGATTGACGCACGATAGTCGGTGGAATAGAAGGTTAGTGGGAGTTGAAATGAATGGATGGCATGTCTTGGCTTTTCACATGCAAAAAATGACGAAAGAGCCGTCTGACGATTGAAGCATGAGCGGCTCTCTCTCTCTTCACACAACATGGCCGACACAAACAAAGGACCGGTATTCAGAGCTTCCAAACGCAGGAAGGTCTTTCGAAAGAGACGCGACGACGACGAATCATCGGGCGAAGATGTAGCGACCCCGAAGGCTTCAACAACAGTGGCGGGCGGCAAGCAACAACAACATGTCGAGGCAGAAACGAGAGAGGGCAGCGTGTCCTTGAACCATGTCAGACCGCTGGGCTCAAGGAAGGGCGGCGTAGCATTCTCGTCAACACGCAATACCAACGACAGCGGTACCAACAGCGCCGTCGACAGCAATGCGCCGCCTACACCATTGAACCCCGTCGAGCACGCTCAGGCTCGCTTTGTTGCTCCCACAGGACATATCGCCTCGGCAGACGACAAGCATATGTGCGTCTCTTTCCTACCTCTCTATCACTGCAAGTTACAGAAAAGACTGACAGTCCAAGGATGGCCTATGTAGACTCCAAATTGGCCCGCTTGACCCCATCACATGAAGCCTCGACACAATCTTCCACACCAGCGGAACCCACTACCTCCTCAACCGATACAGCACACCCGAACGAGACACAATTCTCAGCCTCTCACAGCCACCTGCACGACGTCGACGTAACAAACCCCTCCGCGACAACAGCCACGACCTCCACGACCCGCCGCCAGAAACCTCCTCGCAAACCGCACTGGCGCAACCGTCGCAACAGCGCAGACCTAGCCCGCGACGCCATGGTCGATCAAATCCTTCGAGAATCACAGCTAAACATATATGAACCCTCTGCCTCTACCTTTGCCGCCAAACCTGCCTCCGACGACAACCAAGACGCCGACGAGCGCATGGCCGAAGAGTTCAAGAAGAATTTCTATGCTGCTGCCGAGGAGAGGGCCGTCAGAAGGACTGCTCCGCCGCCTCCACCGACTTTTGGCGCCAACAAGCTGGAGAGCATCAAAGGTCCCAAGTTGGGTGGAAGCAGGAGTCAACGAGCCGCCATGCATGCGGCCGAAAAGGCAAAAACCATCAAGAAGTAACGAGAGCACGACAATTCATAAAAACGCAAAAGCGTACGAGTAAAAAGAGACATGGAATGTGGTGTCCTATTCACTTTTCCATTCTCGGCGTCGTGTTACGATCAACCATTTATATACGACTAAATTTGGGATTCGCTCAGCGGCAACTCGGGCACCGTTTGGTCACCAAAGGGACGCCTTTGGTCTAGTGGTCGGGAAGCTCTGAATAAAATACCGAACCTTTGCCACGTTCAGTAATGCAGCGAACCAAACACGTTGTATGAAGCGCAACTAGGGGAGGATTTTCCTGTATCCCAGTTTTTTGCTTGGACAGACCTCTTGCACCTCTTTTGTTGTAGAGATGTCCTCGGTGGTGTCCTCTGATACTCTTGTATATGCTGTTGTGGTGCTGGGTTGCTGAGAGGATTGGGTCTCCTGACCTTTACTTTCTACACCCACGTGGCATGGCTCAAGCGACAGTCGTGGATCCGAATCCGTGCCTCGATCATCTTTGTGCGGATCGAAGCGACTCACTCTACGTCCAGACATATCTATCACAGCGTGACATCTTATAAGTGGTCTATCCAGCCATCCTCCTGGCATAAAACTCCTTCAACCCTTTCTCAACCTCACCAAACCCTCTTCCACTGCCCTCCCTCAAACTCGCTTTGATCCACCCGGGCAACCTGTCCTGAATCCTTTTTTGCGTATATCTGCCATCAAACAGCAAAATCGCACTCCAATCATTCTTGTGGCGCACCGCTCTTCCGATCGCTTGATTGACTGCTCGCATGCACGTGTTGTCTGCAAAATCTCTCGCTGCTGTTGCGCCTGCTGCTGCACCGTGAGCTGCAATGGCCTTTTCGGCAACGTAGGCAGTTTTGGCTTTTTGCTCTGCGGTGTTTGGGTTGGCGTAGGGGAGGCCAATGACCATCACGCAGCGACCCAGGGAGTCGGAGAAGTTTATGCCTTCGCTGAGGCGGCCGCCGATGACTGCTAGGAGGAATGCTCCGCGAGGAGAGCTGTGTACGGCGGTTGTATAGGCGGCTAGGACTTCTTCTGTGCCTGTTTGTTGCGTTTCTTTCAATATAGTCTTGGCCTTTTGCATCTTTGCCCAGAGACCAGTGGATTGCCAGTGCGAAACTACTTGCTCGAGATAACTGTAGCTGGGGAAGAAAGCGACGCAGCCGTGAGGGATGGAAGGTAAGAGTCTAAGGATCGAGTCGCCGAGTGCGGTCATTGTGGATGCGAGGTTGCGGGATGAGAAACTAAAGGTGAAGTCGGTGTTGTTGTGGGAAGATACCACTGGGCTGACGAAGAGATTGGTGGTGGGGATTACGTGACCGCAGGAAAGTGTTGTGATGCGTGTCTTGTCGAGGTAAGGGAATAGTTGGGTCATGTAGTCGGACATCTAGAACCGTCGTTATCAGCCTTGTTCTGGAGCGATACGCACAAAAGCTTACTGGAGACATGGTTCCTCCTGCCAAAATCACCGCTCTTGCCTCTTCGACAATGTCGCGAAAGTGCTCCGAAGGGTCGAGGAGCATGTACTTTACTTTCGTCTGCGTCTTTTCCTCGCCAACGGTATAAAACAAACGCCCCTCTTTAGCTGGGTTCGTCAACACCATAAACAGGTTGGTAATATGTGTAAGCACCAGCACTGTAACCTCCTTTGTAGAACCAGAGCTGTCAAGTTTCTGCTGCTTCTGCTGCTCAACAGAAACGTAGCCCTCGACTTTCCTCGCCAACTTGCTTTCTTGTAGGTAATGCATCAGTTTGTAGAGATTGATCTGATCCACACCTTTGCCTTTCAGCAAATCTGTAGCTTGCAACACACCTTCGGCTCCCTTCTTGGCATCTAGTGATTGTAAGAAGCTGGATATTGAGTCGAGTAGTCGCACCACTTGGGTAATGTAGACGCGATTTTTGCCTTTGAGGCGATTGCGGAAGCGTTGGAGGTAGGTGGTTAGCTGAGCGCGGGCGAGGTGGAATTGTTGCAGGCTGACTTCTACGGTATGGATGCCTGAAATTGCGTCCATGAGGTTGTGAGCTTCGTCGATGATGACGATGTGGTTCTTCAGCGACAGGCCCAAGGCTTCTCGAGCCGTCTTTTGGAGCAGAAGTGGATATGGAAGTGTGACAATCTACGTTAGAAGTCGTCAGTATCCTGACACTTTGTAGATGGGGAAGTCGAGAGAATTGGCCCGAAGATAGCACTTACCTCACTAGGCTTGACCGCAGGCCTAGTGGCGTAGTAAGGACAAACGCTCAACTTCTTGCCCAGAACACCCAAATCCTCGATGTCCCGTATCTTCGCCAGAGCGTGATGTTGGAAATCTAACACCGAGCCTTCATTCTCCTTGTTCGGTACAAACGGACATTTCTTCTCCTTTGGAGTCTTTGCATCCTGTAGTTCCAAGCAACGTTCATTGACTGCTGTCATGCTCTTCAAACTCGACACTTTAGCATTGATGCAAAGATTCTTTCTTGAGCCTAGAGATAGGTGTTTCAATTCCTCGGATAATGTTGGTTTCTTCTTGATCTCTTCCTGTATGGCTGGGATAGCAGCTGGCAAGTCTATTCTTCGTAGCTCATTGACGAATTGACTCAATTGAGAATGCGTGCGTGAGCAAAAGTAAATCTTCAACTCATCTTCTGCTTCCATGTCCTCTGCTTTGGGTAGCACGGAGATGCCATATCCGAGTTTCTGCATTAGTGCTTGTGTTTCTTTTGATAGGCCTAGTTCGGTATTGCCGTTGTTGGCTGTTAAAGTCTTGGTGCCTTCATCGTCGCTCTCATAGTCGTCTAAAGCAAATTGTTCGTCGTCCAGGATATCGGCATCCTTACTACTATCGTCATCGAGTTTTCGCTTTTTGGCCAGTGGTGGTCCATTCTCCTGTCGATCCCGGATCTTGCGCTCGTGTTGGCGGATTCTTTCGAGTTTGGTTTCTAGTTCTGCTCGCTTCTGGATGACTTGGTTTTTCTTTTCTTCTCGAGAGTGTTGGACCATCCATTCGGGCTCGTCGTCATCTGTTGTCTGCCTTAGCCGCAGGACATTACGGGGAATGTCAATATCAGTCACACACCTCCTTCTATGCTAGCTATACTCTCATCGAATTCTTTCCTCTTGTGATCACGTAGCCATGTCAATGAGCCGCATGCCAGACTTAAAGATTTGCCCTTGAGACGCCAATGTTAGACTGTAGATCGAATCATCAGAGTGCCAAGTCGTTCTCTTACAGTGCCTACACTTTCGTCAGAGATCGTTATACACGGTTGTATGCTGGGTCTTTGCTCACCAGTGGGAGACTCGAAGACGCCGATTTTACCTTGCTCGATGCAGTCGTACAGCGCACGCATAAATTGCAATTGAATGTCATACGGCTCGTACGGGTGGTAAAATTTCTCAGCGCCCGCCATGTCTTCTGTACTCAGGTGTCATCTAGTCAAAGCGACAGTAATCGGTATCGTTGCGGTGTTGACGCACCAAGATCAATAAGCATTGAAAGTGTATGAGAAGTGAGGTCTCGAGGTCGGCGTTGCACGAAAACAGTCTAGACACAAAACAAACACGCCTGTGGACATTCTTGCTACGCACCAGACATAAGTCTATCGATGTCCCGAGATACTGTCAGAGTCCAACAGGATAGCGACTATGATTGTAAATATCTCATATTGCAGATGTAACAGGAAGGCTAGTGTTGAGGTACGTGAAAGTCGAAGAGACGTTCGAAACAGGAAGGCAACAGGAAAGCTTCAAAAGTGATAATTTTCTACAGAGGAATACATTTGAGGAAAGAACGAACCCAAACCAGACTCCATTTTGGTATAGTAAAGAAAGAATATGCAACATGCTATATATGCAAACAACCAGCCCTCGTTTTTGTACATCTATGGCGTAATATCGAACTTCATCTTAACACCCATAGCCGCCAATTCGACGTCCAAGTAGCGGAGGACACCAGGAACAGCAACGACAGTGACATCAGAACCGCCGACGAACTTGTCACCTCTACCGTCCTCCCAGGTGTCACTTCTGGGCTCAGACCCAACAGCCTTGGTACTGCATCGTCTACACCTGACGTTGCTGGCGTTGATGCCCTTCTTGTGGCCATACTGGTTGACGGTCGGTTGTGCGGAGAGGAAGGATCCACAGCTGCGGCAGATCCATGCTTTTTGGTAGTCGGAGCAGTTCATCAGACGATCTTGCAGCAAGAATGCTGTTCCGTGGGCAATCAGAGAATCTCTCTCCATCTCACCGACACGGATACCACCACCCTTGGCACGACCCTTGATGGGCTGACCAGTCAACGCAGTGACGGGACCGGTGGTACGGACCTGGAACTTGTCGTTGACCATGTGACGCAGACGTTGGTAGTAAACAACACCCATGTAGATATCGGCACCGAGCTCTTGACCTGTGATACCAGAGTACATGGGCTCGTTGCCGTAGTAGTTGAAACCAGCACGCTTCAGCTGGTGACCGAAGTGCTCGACAGCAGTCTCACCTGCCTTGTCCTTGAACTTGAACGGTGTGCTGTCCTGCGCGACACCGTGCAAACATCCAGCCTTACCGGCCAGCGACTCGACGAACATACCAATGGTCATACGAGAGGGGAAAGCGTGAGGGTTGATGATGACATCGGGTTGAATGCCGCTCTCGCTGAAAGGCATATCCATGGCGGGCCACTTTTGCGAGCAGACACCCTTCTGTCCATGACGAGAAGAGAACTTGTCACCGATGACGGGCGAGCGAGGAATGCGGAGTCTGACACTGAGCATCTGGCAGGGCTCATCACCACCAGTGTCTGTGCCGAGCATCTTGATCTCCTCAACGAAAGCCTCCTCGTGGTCCTTGTACTTGTGCAGATGGGTGATACCATCACGGTTGACGTATTCGCCAGTGATGGGATCTTTGGTTACGGTGTGCGATGCAGCAATGATATCGCCCTCCTTGACCTTCATACCGACAGCGATCAAACCGTCATCGTCCAGGGTTGCACGCCATTGTGCACGGACGAGACCGCCGGGTGCGAAACCGAACAACTTCTTCACGTTGCCACCACGACCGCGTCTGCCGCCGTTGTCCTCTGCGAGATCGATCTTCTTGGTCTTGTAGACAGTTCCGTGGCCGAAACCGCGCTCGTGAGCGAACTTGTTGATAATCATAGCATCGTCCATGTCATAACCAGTGTATGAGATGACGGCAACAACAGCGTTGGTTCCGTTGGGGAAGTTGTCCAAGCCGTACTCGTTGTAGAGAGGAGGTCTGACAACTGGTGTCTGTCCAGTTTGGAGGCGGTATGACTTGTTGTCGGTACGGTATTTCAAAGCAGTTCCAGGAGTACCCATGGTTTGCTTACCCATCTGGCACTGGTACCTATACTATTGTTAGTATTTTGATAGGCAAGCAAGACACGTTGAGCACTTACATGTTACGAGGAGACTGGTTGAAGTCTGAGAAAGGTGTTTGGTTGGCGAGAATGGAGAGAATGTTAGTGGGGTCGAATTCGACGTGTGTTGAGTCGCCAGAGACGATTTCGGGTTCTGTGCAAGCGATTGACATGAAGGGCTGCTCGAAAGGACCGACAAAGTCCTCCTTGCCAAGGGGCAGATACTTGACGGGTCTGAACATTCTGGCTGCTTGCGAGAACATGTAGACACCGGGGTATTGACCTCCGTTGGAATTGGGAATGTAACCGATCTCCAGCTCGGAAGGAACACCGTGAGTACCCTCGACCTTCCAGTAGCGAAGAGTGTCTCCAATAACGCGAGCTTGCTGGGGAGAGCAGAAACCGAGGATACGACCATCGAGCATAACGACGACGCTGTCATCGACGGATGCAGATGGAGTCTCGGTAACACCGAGTTGTGAGATCAGGCCGGGAATGGCCTTGGTGTCGACGCTCTTCGTGGCAATCTTGCACTTGTGAGCCAAATGGTTGAGAAGACCGCAAGGAGAACCATCGGGAGTGTGAACAGGACAGAGAAAACCCCAACTCTCGGGCAGCAGTTTTCTGACGGTTGTGGTCTTGAGTTGTGCGAAGAAACTACCTCTGTGAACCATGCGGAAATGACTGATGAATCTCCAGAAGTTGATCTTTTCGGCGACGACTGTGAAACCAGAGGTTTGTTGTAGATCCAGACCACTGGGCGAGACAAGATTACCAGTCGACAAGAAGTAGTCCAGAGCCTGTGCCAGGTTCTCGTTGGTTCTGCGAAGAATCTTTGCGCTGAAGTCTCGCTCAAACTCGTCTGAAACGATCGATGCCCAGTTTGTGCTTCTGCCCCAGTCACGGAGTTGGAGACCAATGGAGTTGAGCCACTCCTCGATGCGCTCCTTGACGATCATACCGAAAAGGAAACCAGGCAGGAGAATCTCCTGGTTCTGAACGGCATCAGGGTTGTCAACAGCACACTCTCCCTCGACAAGAGAGTATAGCTTTCTGGTCATGAAGAGCAACATACGGAACTTGTCGGCATCGTTGGTCTCCTTGTTCTCGGACGTTCCCAGGTGAGGGAGAACGATTCTTCGCAAGAACTCAACACCGGCATCCTCATCGGACATGTCGTCGGGGACACTCAAGACAACACGGAACTTGCTTCCGAGGTATGCGCGCGTCTTTGCCTGACCGTGAACATTGTAGGCCTTGTATGTGCGTAGCAGAAGTTCAACACGATCGGTGACAAACTGCTTCTCTTCAATACCCTTGCTGCCAGCGGGGCCGACCAGTCCTTCGAAGATCTCGCGATCGTTCGTTTCGACCAGAGCCTTGAAAATCATCATGACAGGGATGAGATACTCGTTTTTGCGCCATGAGAAACGGAAGGTGACGTTACCGTCGTTGAGGTAGTGGAGGACGTTGGTTTGCGAAGTTTGATCGGGTCTGACGGAGCGGATCTGGATACCGAACTTTGTGTAGGTTGCGCCTCTGTTGACGAAGGAAGGACGGATGATGGCCATGGGGTAGTTTCGTCGGTTGACAATGAGCATACGAATCAGCTTCTCGATGCCGTTGACGATGAAGTATCCTCCCAGCTCTTCAGTTTCTTCTCTCTTGTCAACGAGCTCCTTTGGCGAAAGTCCCTCGAGGTGGCAGCGGTTTGACTGCAAGTATGGTCAGTCGTAGCCTTCAGACTGGCGCGAGAATACGTACGCGCAACATGATAGGCAGAGAACCAAACTCTCTGACACTCTCCCTCCACTCGCCCTCGTTGATGCGCCACTCGAAGCGGCCTCTGAAGCGACCTCTGTAGGTGCAATGGCGTTCTCTGCACTCGACGGGTAGAATCTCGCGCTTCTTGTCAATCTTGTTGGAAGGAGGAAGCATGCTCTTTTCGAGGAAGACCTCCTTCACGCGGACCTGAAGCTTGTTGCGCCTGGGACCCTCGGCGGTGAAGGGCTCGTTCGGATTGCCATCGAAGAAGGTCTTTGTTCCAATATCGCGGAGGGCATGGTAGAGCTGGCCTTTCTCGGCGAAGACGGCATTGAAGGATTGCACATGAGGGTCGACAGCTGAGGCCAGAGTAGGGTAGGCCGACTTGTCCGAGGGAGGGTTGCGGAAAAGATCGTGGCGGCGCACTGTGTCGAAGTTGGTCGACCACTTGGCGTTTTCTGTGGATGATGGTGCCATGGTTGTGCGAGGGAGTCGAGGTTGGAGATGGCCGTGGGTGTTAGCTTGATGCTGGCGAAAAGCTCAACCTCTCGCGCCCTTGGGTTAGGGGACTTGTTGATATTTCAGAATCTGACTCGGGTATCCCTTGTTCAGTTCTCCAGGTCTCTGTATTCCTCCGAGTATTATTTCTGTGTACACAAGTGGCAGCACCGAGATGGGCGTGGGCAGATGTTTTTTTGCTTCGAATTGAACTTCTAGAATTTTAGCGCCGTCAAAGCCGGCCGCGCCAAGCGTCCAAGTCCCCCGAGAGGCTCCGCCCATCAAGTCGTTCGCCGCATCTTCTGCCATGCACTGACCGTTATCGTGACATCGACTCGCCGCTCATTGTTCTTACAGCAGGCTTCTGCCATACCAACTTCCACAACACACAAGAATCTCGAACCTGTAGCGCTGTCCAAAACACTTGATCGCTTCGTGACAGCAGTGCCTCATCTGCGCATAATCCTTTGCCTGAAATTAACATCACCATCACCTCCAATAAGATCTCGACCCTACCCGAGCCCCGCTTCTGCTTGTGTCCTGCGCGAACTCGCCAAATCACCCGCCCTGCTCTACTGCTGTTGCCTCCGTCCCAGCTCTTCGTCACTTGCCTGCAGTGCCTAGTCTGCCAAACACACAATCATGGCTGGCCTTTTCAAACGTCTCTACGACTGGCTTCTCAGCCTCTTCTGGTATGTTGTCCTTGCTATTCCCGACGTCCACTTCCTAACGTGTCTTGTTTCATGTGATTAGGGCGACTGAGATGGATGTTACAATGATCGGCCTCCAGAACGCCGGTAAGACATCTCTCTTGAGAGTCCTAGCAGTAAGCAGCCCATCCCGGCCTTCGCGGTCGTGTTTCTTGACCTGATGTTGACGGTGTGTTTTCAGGGCGGAGAGTTCACAATCGAGTAAGTTTGGTCTCGTGGTGCTATGACAGGATCCTGGACTAAACAGTGCCCTCAACGTAACAGCTCGATACCTACAGTCGGTTTCAACATGAAGAAAGTTACTAAGGGCCATGTGACTCTAAAGTGGTAAGTCTTGCTGTCTGTCGTGAATCGACGGCGAGGCTCACAAGGCACAGTTGGGATCTGGGAGGCCAGCCGAGGTTCCGTTCAATGTGGGAACGTTATTGTCGAGGCGTCAACGCTATGGTGTACGTATAACAGCAGTCGCAAATGTGCTTGTGTTAACACGTAACTAGATTCATCGTCGACTCGGCCGACAAGGAAGCCCTGCCTGTGGCACGAGAAGAGCTCCATGTGCTGCTAGAGAAGCCTGCCTTGGAGGGTATCCCGTTGTTGGTCCTGGGCAACAAGTCTGATCTTCCTGATCATCTTTCGGTCGATGAGCTCATTGAAGAACTAAATCTCAAAGCTGTGACCCACCGCGAGGTGAGTTGTTATGGCATTAGCGCCAAGGAGGAAACCAACCTGGATGCTGTGCTGCAGTGGTTGATCGCTCGGGCGAGCAAATAATGTTACGGCCGAGGTCGCGAGCATTCGTTGCGGTATAGAGGATGGTTTCCAGTCATGATGATGACGGGCATTTGCATAGGGTGTTGCAAGCGATGGGTTTTAGATGGTTTCTTTCCTGCGAATCAGCAATGGCAGCGTAGCGTGACGGCGGGTGCACACGGGTGTCTTTGTTCTTCTGCGATCTTGTTTCTTTTCCAAGCGGCCGGGCCTGAGGGATGGGATTATGGAATCACGAGTACAACACGACAGTCAACATACGCAATTTAACGATTGATGCAAGCACGAGGAAAGCAGAAGAGAAAGAAGACAGAAGATGGCGAGGAGAAAGCGCGGATCTTTGGATTGTTTCAAAACCCCTCGATATCATGTGTGCAATGCAAGATGCGCTGGCACTTCTGCAGTGTTCTGGAAAGCCGGTCGCTGAACTGACACCTTACACCGCCACAGGGTTGTGGCTGAGGCAAGCCTATCGCATAATGTCGCCGCCTATCGAGCCCTTGGTGGCTTTGTCGGTCCACGAGACCGAACAAGACAAATGCCTGGGCGTCCTATGAAGGATCAAAGAACAAAAGAAGTAGAGGCATGACAATTTATTCCCAGATCGGCCGACTAGCCGTCTCCAAGATCTGTGACGGCAAGGCAGTGCCGTTCACTGCCTCGTTCGTGCGCAGTTTCTTGGTGGCCAAGCGCAAGTGTCGTCACGCACTTCATTCCAAGCCACAGGTCTCACAACCAACCTTGTACTTAACACTGTCGTAATCCCTCGTTTCTGTCCTCTTCTGACACGCGTGAATCTATCCATCACTTCTACCATTACGCAAACATGTATCTCGACTCGCACGCAAAGATGAATCTCGAACCTCGTCAGTACTATGGTTACTACAATCGGTAAGCTTGTTCCCGGCGCTTGTGCCTAGAAGATCTGCACAGGCGCTCGCCATTTTGTATGCGCTCGACTTTTGTGCTGACATGATTTCCATAGCTGTTACGGCAACAACTGCAACAGCACCTGGAACCGCTGGGGTCGCTGGGTGCTTCTCGCATGCATCATCGGCGTCTTCTTCGTCTTGTTCTTCCTCTTCTCGTAAGTTTTGCGCGCACGCAACCTTCAAATTTGGTCTGACTCTTCGCCTAGATGTCTGTCTGCCAGAAGACGCCGCAAGAACGGTTACAATCCTTACTACGGCACTGGTTGGACTGTCCGCCATGGTACTCCTACCTACAACCAGAACGTCCAACCTCAGTATGAGACAAGCTCGACTCCCTACTACAACAACTCGAACAACCCTCCTCCAGGTACGACCTAACGCTACTCCCTCTCAGATTGGCTTGACAAGTGCTGACATATGAACGTAGCCTACACCGCTCCCAACACGACCAACTACGGCAACAACATTGAGCTGCAACAACCCCAAGCGGCTTACAACGGTGCCTACGCTCCTCCCAAAGACCCTCCCCCGGGCAGATACTAGAGTACGAACGACGATCGAGGGTCAATGATGCGCTCTAGACCGCATGGGACGCTATAATGACTAGGATGGGATTTGGTAGGGAAGGAATGGCGTTTTACAATGGGCGTGGCTTTGATACCCGGAAAGAGCTACGACTAGGACAGCCATGACAGGACAGAACATGGGCTTTTTTCTTTCGTCTTCACCTACGAAGACTGTAATACCACAATATTGAAACCGTTTCCAACAACAATTCTCGCTTCGCTCGACCACTTTTGACGTTGGCAATCCACTCGGCCGAGGCTCGAAAGCATACGTCATGAGGGTCATGTTTCATTTCCTATCCCCGACTACGATATTATTAAGCACGGCAATTAACCATGCGCTTCTAGAAGGCGAATCGTAGCTCTACCCCTCGTGGTAATATAATTTCCTTTCAAATACTCCAGAAAGGCCCCTCAATTGACTTTTCGAATCTTTCAATCCTACACTCACTCTCTAAAACACACAACAATGGCACCCTCAAACATGAAGGCCATCAAGGTCGTCGAGGCCAAGAAGGCAGAGCTCCAAGATGTTCCCGTCCCAAAGCTCCGTGACGACTACGTTCTGGTCAAGGTCGAGGCTGTTGCACTGAACCCCACCGACTGGAAGCACGTCGACTACCTCGCCAACCCTGGTGCCACCGTCGGCTGTGACTATGCCGGTGTCGTCGAGGAGGTCGGCTCAGCCGTGACAAAGAAGTTCTCCAAGGGTGACCGCATCGCTGGCTTCTCCCATGGTGTGAACAGCGCCAACAAGGAAGACGGTTGTTTTGCACAGTACGCTCTGTCCAAGGGTGATGTTCAGATGAAGGTTCCCGACTCTCTGTCGACTGAGGACGCTGCTACCCTTGGTGTTGGCGTCACCACTGTTGGACAGGTAAGCAACTGAGACCGCTGCTGCAAGACACAATGCTCATTCGTTCAATTCAGGGTCTCTACCAGAGCTTGAAGCTCCCTCTTCCCACCGAGCCTGCTAAGCAGCCTTTCCCCGTTCTGATCTACGGTGCCTCCACCGCCACCGGTACCCTTGCCATCCAATACGCCAAGCTGTCTGGTCTCGAGGTCATCGCCATCTGCTCTCCTCACAACTACGATCTCGTCAAGTCTCTGGGTGCCGACGCCACTTTCGACTACAAGGACCCCGAGTGCTCAGCCAAGATCCGCGAGCACACCAAGGACAACCTCAAGCATGCGTTCGATTGCATTGCTGAAGGCGAATCTCCCAACATCTGCGCCAACGCCATCTCGACCAAGGGCGGTGTCATCTCCTACCTTCTGCCCGCCAAGTCCTCCCGTGAGGATGTCGTGGACCAGAGCACCCTCGGCTACACAGTTGTGGGTGAAGCCTTCACTTTTGCCGGCCACCCCATCCCTGCCAAGCCTGAGGACTTCGAGTTTGGCAAGATGTTCTGGGAGCTGGCTGAGAAGCTGTTCGCCGAGGGCAAGGTCAAGGCTCACCCCAAGGAGCTCCGCGAGGGCGGTCTTGAGGGTGTCTTTGGCGGCATGGATGACATGAGATCCGGCAAGGTCTCTGGCAAGAAGCTTGTCTACAAGATCTGAAGCACAGGTCACGAAGAACAATTAATGAGCATAAAGTACAAAAGCAAATACATCAAAATACACGATTAACCTCTGACATGAAACTGTAACGCCTCGAAACTCCTGGTATACCCATGAAAGACGAAAAATAAGTAGTCATGATTCTTGCCATGCTCACGTGTGCGTGCCGCTTCCTCTTCTTCCGTACAAATGACTTTGATATGCAGAGTGCGTCATCATCTTGTCTTCTCATTATGTCGTTCCCAATGTTCACGGCTCGCCTGGTCCGCTGACCTTGATGTGAGGCATGGGGGCAGGGGGGCTGCCGTTGGAGTTGTCAACAACCCTTCGCCATTTCAAGACCGGGATTCTTTGGTCACCCTATAGCCACATGTCAGAATGACGGTTATCTTCCTGTAGCATGCATGAGACTCACCCTGATTTCTGTTGGCTCTTCGCTTCCGAGCACCAACACATTATCATCTTCTTCGAACTTCCACGTTCTGACCTGGACGTCCCCTAACCAGCCAGGCAGATTGCAGACCTGGAATGTATGTCTCAAAATCTCTTCTCTGCCCATGCCTTCATCGGTGATGTAGTATGGACCCGCATACGAGAAAGATCGCTTGCCCGCTTCTGCCCATTGCGGTTCTTCGCCTTCGCCGCGCTTGAAGGACATTTGGCCGGGTATCAGCATGTGAGCGCTCATGTAGCCGTCGGGTGTGTACATGATGAGACCAGTGACATTCTTGGTCATGGGGAAGGTTGCGCGTTGGAAGCGCGAGGATGGGGTTGGGTAGGCGATGTAGGCTTCTAGGCGCCAGGTGCCGACTAGTCTTTGCCGCAGGGTTCGCTGGGGAGGTGGAGATGGCGTCTTGGAGAGTGTGTAGTAATCGCCATTCAGATCGTCAATGTCTGTCATGTTGATGCTGGGGAGGGACATATCAAGGTCATATGTGGTATTTCCATTTGTCCTGGGGGTGCTGGAGCCATTCGTCGTCGGAAGCTTAAAGTCGTAGGCTAGACTTTGGGGTCGTGGTGATTGTGTCCTGATTTCAGACATCTTTGGCGGGCAAGGAGGAGGTAGTGGGGGCGTGACTGGTCGTAGCGATGGTCGGGCTTTGTGCGGCTGTGGTGACACGGGTTCCGGAGACTTGGGTCGCGAAGACGATCTTGACCGTGACCTTGATCTATTCTTGCGATACGGGACCACTTTTGGCACTTGGAGATAGGTTGTGCTGGTCAAGGTGATTACCTGGCTAGGCATGGCGAAAGAGTAAGGAGAACAGGTGGGTTGAAGTGATGATGATAGTAGTCAAACGACAAGGGGTCCGTCATCGAAAGGCAATCCGAAATGCAGAAAGGAAAGAGAGCAGACTCGAGAGAGGAAGGAAAAGATTGTACGAACGAATAGACTCGGTAGATTTAAAATGTCCTATTTCATTCCTCTGCCGGCAGCACGGCAGCAATCTTGTCATGGCAGGGTTTGTAACTCTTGAATGTCTCTACCTCACCGTGAATCATCAGCTGCTGATCAAGCCAGCCGGCCAGCCTTTCCTAAAGCCCGAATGCTCACACCTCGTGTATGGTGTGTGTGTGCGAGGGTAGGTTGGAAAGCAGCAAGGTGGGGCTCCGGACAGAGAGGAGTAGTCCGAAGTGCAAAATATGCTTGGCGGGAAGACTGCCTGCTTTCCATTCTCTCACCACTCTGCTTGTGATATCCAAGCAATCTTTGCAAAGCGACACCGGATGACTAGGCTTCCTCGCTCTGGCCAACCGATATAGCTAAACCCCGTCTGTATCGTTGCTGTCTAGCCGTCAGCAGTGATATCGACGTGCATATAGATTCTGCAGAGGTCGCATGGAACAGCATCATCCCGTTCCGAATGTAGTAATGGACACTGCTGAATTGCTCCGCATCCGCTGACACACGCGAGAACGCGGCTGAATGCATGATTGCGTCCTTGGGCCTTGTCTTTCTCAGAGCAGGCCCACCTGCTTTCACATGTGTGAGAAGGAAGAGACAAGGGAAGCATCCTCGGCGTCAGAAGAGAGCAATCTAGACAGCACACAAGACCGGAGGATTGGCATGCATGGCGGCTTGACATGGTTTTCTTGGCTGAGCACGAACCAAGAGCTCCAGTCGTTCCTTTGCGTGAGCACTGAGGGATTCCTTTGGCTCCGCTCGAGCCAAAGTCTATTCGACGTCGCGCTCGAGGTCTTGGAAGTTGCGATGTCGCGGTCACGACAGAAGCCCCTCACTCAGCTTGAGGCAGATGGCTTCACAGCGGAGAAACATGGCGTTTGGTTCAACAAACAATTGCAACGAGTCGTCCAGCGTAGTGGGACAATGATGCGACGAGGGAAAGTACCTGCGACTACTCAACTATCATAGCGGACCTATGCCCGAGCACATGCTGCTTGTGCAAGTTCCTGTAAGAGTAGTAGGAGTTGATATCAAGCAGTGGAGCGTCTTCTGATAACCGCAATCCAAGCCAGCCGTGGCATCCCGCTGTCTCCAAGAAGACCATGTCTTCAAGCGCCAAACTGCCTCGAAGTGATGTCGTCCAGTGAGCATTCTCTTGAGAACTTCCCTGCTCCTTGCAGGAACGCTTTCGACAATCTTGACGGTATGTGTATCGTGGGTGTGCCTGATTGCAGTTGCTCTGTTGGGTAAACGACCCCACGTGCTTCTCATCAACTTCCCAGGTGGCATGATCGGTCGACTCGGCCCGTAGCTCGACTCGCACGGCACAACAGTTTACAGTTTATCCATACAAGAGCTGCCATTTGCCAATTGACCCAATTGACGTCCAGGGAGCTGTTGCTCAGGTCTACTGTCGTACCGTGCGAGAGAGGGGTCGACGGGTCGTAAGAACATTATTCCTGGGCCCCGCGTTCGCAGGGTATCACTCCTAGATAGCTGGGTATTTAAGAGTCATCTTCTTCTCAATCTCTCTGCTTCTCTTTCTTCTCTTCAAACACAACCCTCGGAAACAAACAATTGACTTGTATCGTAGCCTCTTGTGGCCATGTTACTCAATGCTGACTTTCTCGAGCAGATTCCAACCGTTCTACGGTACGCTCGTCCATCATGGATCGATGCGTGATATACTTTTCGAATGGTATTCTCTGATCAGAGATGATCAAGGGTCAAGGTAACTTCAAACAACGGGTTTTACCTATTGCATGAGCGGGTGTCCGATAGCGAGCTTCTGTCTGCCAACCCATTGATCTTCTGACAATGGACATTGGTGTCAGAATCTTTGGCCTCGTTATCGTTCTGAGATTAGACCGTCTGAACTTGATTTCTGGATAATACCAGCGAAAGGATCATGCATATCGAACCAATCCCTTTTTGTGCCTCCATGGCATGTTCTAATCAGTTGCAGATTCACCAAACTTGACCCTTTACCACAATGTCTCCCCCAGCCATGATCTTCCAGGAGCCCGTCTCTCCTACTGTCGCTTCCAAGAAGCTAAGCGTGGGCACTGTCCACTCTGCTGTTCCTGTTGGAGGACAGACTAAGGGTGAGACCATCGAGGCCATGGCTGGTGAGTGGAAGGACTTCACCTTCCGTCCCATCCGTGAGTCGCAGGTCAGCAGAGCCATGACCCGTCGTTACTTCTCCGACCTGGACAAGTATGCCGAGTCTGACGTTGTCATCATCGGTGCCGGCTCTTGTGGTCTCTCTGCCGCATACTGCCTGGCCAAGGCTCGTCCTGACTTGAAGATTGCCATTATCGAAGCCAGTGTCAGCCCTGGCGGTGGTGCTTGGCTCGGTGGCCAGCTCTTCTCTGCCATGGTCATGCGCAAGCCTGCTGATGCCTTCCTTCGCGAGATTGGTGTTGGATACGAGGAAGATGGAGACGACAGCAACTATGTCGTTGTCAAGCATGCTGCTCTCTTCACCAGCACTCTGCTCAGCAAGGTCTTGCAGTTCCCCAACGTCAAGCTTTTCAACGCTACTGCCGTTGAGGATCTCATCACTCGCCCTCGTGAGGACGGAACCATTCAGATTGCCGGTGTTGTCACCAACTGGACTTTGGTATGTTCAAGACCTGCCTTCACAAATCACTTTCAAGGCCTTTTGACTGACCGCTTTTCTTTACAGGTCAGCATGCACCACGACGACCAGTCCTGCATGGACCCCAACACCATCAACGCCCCCGTCATCATCTCCACTACCGGCCACGACGGCCCCTTCGGTGCCTTCTCCGTCAAGCGTCTCGTCAGCATGCAAGCCATCAAGTGCCTCGGCGGCATGCGTGGCCTCGACATGAACACTGCCGAAGACGCCATCGTCAAGGGCACCCGCGAGATCGTCCCGGGCCTCATCGTCGGCGGTATGGAGCTTTCTGAAGTTGACGGTGCCAACCGTATGGGACCTACCTTTGGTGCTATGGCACTCAGTGGTGTCAAGGCTGCCGAGGAGGTGGTCAAGGTCTTTGAGCAACGCCAGAAGGAGTGTGCTGCTTTCTACTAAGGCATGAACCTTGAACAGGGCTTCGCTTGAGCACAAAGATTTTGCATCACAGTCGTTACCACAAGATTATCTGAGATATGAGACAACGTAAAATATCATTCAAATAATGCCAAACACCTTGCAGATTTGTTTGTGATGCGTCTCATGTAACTGCTCGCAATAGCGTCAATGGATCCGCGAAGCTTGGCTGTCTGTAGATATTACTATCGGGTAAGAAGTGACAGGAAGAGGAAAGTGTACAAGGAGTAAGTTTGAATCGTGACATTCTGTCTGTACATTATTACGCACTTCCATACCATGAGGCTACAAACGAGATAGGCTCCTTCCTAAGTACCAGAAAGCACAGCTTGATTAGTCTTGGTCCGTTCAATCCCGATTGACGACGCGCAGACTGCGTCGAGGAGCGAGAACAGTGCCCCAGAAAGATGGGGTGTTACCCGCCAGCAAGTCCTCAGGCGCACCGCTATCATCGCTACTCCTTCTCATCAAGAATCCTTCCACACTACTTTGACCAGCAGTGTCTGTTCTATATGCTTCGGTGAAGCCTTCACCCCAGTCATTGTTGCGGTTGCCACTTCCCTTACCACTAGCATTTTCACTCGAAGTCCAAGGGCGACGATCATTCGAGCCACCACTTGAGGAGCCTGCTCCTGCGGGCATGAGACCTGCAATGGTCGGGTGGTTCTTTTCGTTGAGTGCTTGTTGCTGGGCCATCTCGACATGGCGTTTGTAGAGTTGGAGACGCTTGCGGTAGAGCCAGGCGCAGAATGCGAGATAGCAGACAATCACAAAGAGGATACCTGCAATCACACCAGCGACAATAGCACCGATGTTAGGACCACTGCTGCCTTTGTGTTCTGACCCGGAGTTGCTGCTGGGGGCGCCTGTGGCTGTAGCAGTCGAGCTGGAAGTCACAGTGCTGTAGATGATTGGACTGCCTGTCTTCAAAGGTCCGTCGACTGGTGTCTGGGCTGGTGCTGTGATAGTGGCTCCGCCCTGACCGTTGCCACCGATGACCGAGACAACGATATCAGGCACTTGATAGCCGTAAGAACCCTCGAGGCCACCTGGGCTGCTACCATTGGCTAGTTGGGCTGGCTGTTGGTTGAAAGGGTTGGTACGAGCATTGGAGATCCAATTATTAGAGCTCGAGCCATTAGGCGACGCTCCACCGCCGGTCGCAGACGCACCAGATGCTGATGCTGCAGCTGCATCGGAAGAACTTCCAGAAGTGCCAGAAGATGTGGCAGAATTCGAGTCAGAGCCTCCGCTCAACGCATTGAACCCAGTCGCCCATTCCAGGGTGCTTGCATCTAACACGTAAATACCAGGACTGTCGCAGCTAAGTTGATCGCCAACATAACCACCGACTACCACCATCTGACCATCCCACATCTGACATGAGTGTCCGGCTCTACCAGGTGGTACTGACTGCGAACTCTGGTCGACCTGAATCCAGGTGAAAGAAGGAACGGTAAGAATCCAAAGGTCGTCGTACTGTGTCTGGTTACCAGCAGGTATGAGGTTCTGTCCGCCGAACATGTGAACCTGATACGAGCTGCCATCCGAGGCGGCTGCTACTGCAGCACATGGGTTCACGCGAATCTTTGGTGTAGGTCCGCTCGTTGCTTGCTTGTACCAGGTCGAGGTAGCGATGTCATAGACGTCGATGACATTCATTTGTGTCTGTGGTTGTCAGCAGGTCTTCTCACAACAACAAGACGATTGTCCATTTCGAGAGCACGATCGTATCGTGGAGAATTAGGGATTGACTTACGAATGTATCCTCTGTACCTCCAGCCAAACCGAGAAGGATGCCTTGGTCGCCGAAACCAGGTATGTATACAAGCAGACCATCGGCGCGTTCTGGGAATCCTGCACTGTCTTGAGCACCTCCATCGGTGACATTACGCCAAACACCATCGCTGCCTGCAGCTTTGTTGTCCGATAGAGAGGCTACTTGAGTGTTTTGATATCCGGGGAAGGTGAACTCGATCAAAGATTTGATGTAGATTCGTGCGACTTGATTTGACCAGCCTGCGGTCGTGTGAGTATCTTCGTGTCCGCCAAAGTAGAAGCCACGACCCAATGATGGCACCGAGGCGCCGGCGCCTTCAGCTGCACGCTGTACTTGTTGGTTGCCAGACTGGGCATGATCGCCGGACGACGTTGTAGGGTTGTTGTGTTCATACCACTGTGAGGTTATGGCGTTGTACTCCCAGAGCGAGAAGGCTGTTGGTGTGTCGATTGGATTGTCTGAGAACTCTCCACCGTAAAGGAACACAGATTCATGCGAGTTCCACAAGAAGCCGTTTGACACGTTGGGAGGGCCGGATGGTTGCGGTAGGCCGGTCAAGGAAGGGCTCGAGATCTGCCAGCTCTTGGTAAGGTCCATTGACAAAAAGTCGTTGTCTGGAGGATTACTATTAGCAGTTTCTCACAAGAATTCGCGTAACACCCTTACTCCACTTGTTCTGAGTTTGCCCAGGCTCAGTCGTGGCTTGTCCACCATAGATGTAAAGTGTTCCGTTGACCACGGCAGATTGGTGTGACCATCGTGTGCATACATCGGTTGGGCTGTCCGCTCGAGTCTCAAGTACCAACTTCCTTCCATGAGGTACAGCTCGACTGTCGACACCTATACTGGGCGCCGCATCGCTCCCCGTTAGGACCGGTTGTTGTATGAACGGAAGAGTCGCTGCGAGGATAAGGGCAACCGCGCCTAGTTTTAGGAGATAGCGGTTGTTTGGAGGATTAATAGTATCCATTGTCCCATCTCTTTCTCTTGGCTCGAAGCTCTTGTCGTTTGGGTTCGGTCGCATGCCTGCTATATGTAATGTGCCAGCCGATTTGTATAGTATATCAAGTTCTTTGGTTGTAGATCGATAGCGTTGCGCTGACGAGACTGATCACAGTCTATCGAGTTGAGGGTTCAGGTCATGCGAGTTTGGGTGCACAAAGTTGCAAGTCAAAGAAGAAGTTGAGTCTCCCCAATTAACAACCGCGCATGAACTGGTGAAGATCACACGTCACAAACGCCATTGATATGCCGCTACAAGGTACAAAGCAATACAAACCAGATATAAGGCACAGGGTTCTGGCTCGCGTGCAGCGCTACCGAGCCGAAAAATAGATTGAATCGTCCGAAATGTGACGTTGATCGCATCGAGGACAGCTAGAGGCTTGAACAAATAGGAGGTGTGGTGCTACGGGATGCCTCTTTGGCGGGGGGGTGCGGTGTAAGATGTCGTCACAGAACAAGTTTTGGCAGAGGAAGACGGCTGGAGAGGCTTCGCACGGCCAATCACTTGATGATCAACCGGCGTCGTTGCCCATTGCAGGCAGGACTGAGACACCGACACCTCGAGGCGGAGTATAAGGATCATGTCCTGCACGCTTGCGCGAATGTACATGTTGTCGCGCTTCCTCACAGCAAACAGATTTTGGAGTGACAGTCGGTGGTGGAACAGCCTTTCGCTGCTCAAGAGCTGAATTTCTGTCGCGTTCCAAATAACAGAACGCGTTCTCATCTCACACACCAGAAACTCAACCATGTCGATTCTGACTACCCAGATTGCTCAACAGGGGATCCACTTCAGCCACCCTGGTCCTCGCAGCTTCGAGTTGACCCAGGACACTGCCGTTGAGCAAACCAGAGATTGTTATGCAACGCAGCTTCTGTCCTTCCTAATGACCTGACGCCCAAATGAGAGAGTAGAGTGAAGACTTTGCCTCGGGTTCCAACAAAAGAGAGTGCCTTGTGCAGATTATGGGCGTATGCAACCAAAGAGGTCGATAAATTCTGTCATAACTCGTGGTCTGATTCAAGCCAAAAGTATGGTTGTGAAGAGGTTGAAAGATTGCAGATCCAATTACCAGCATCGGATGTGCTCTTTCAAGACAGCGGCCTTGAGGTCCGTCCTAAAAAAAAAATGGGTCTTGGGTTCGCGGCATTGTTTGCCGTGACTAAAACCTTTGTTCAGAGATCGCTCTGCGCAGAGAGACTCGGAGATGGTAGCTCGAGAGGAACAATCTCGAGAGGCGTCACAGGCTGTTGACAAGCATCGGCTATGGTCTTTACGGATTCTCTGGTCACTGCTCCAATGGCACCTCCAGGGTGGTTCCTTTTGAAGGTCTTGCCCTTGTTCTCATGCAGCTGGTCTGCGACAGTGAGCGCTAGCATGTCGCCGATAGCAATCTGCACTGTTGTGGATGTGGTTGGTGCCGATACGCCGAACGATACTTCTTCCAGCTCAAACAGGGGTGCTGGAAGCAGAATTCCATTCTCATGCTCTTTCAGGAGGGGGCATTCGGATGCTTTCGATTGCGACGTCAGGGCTACGATCTGGAGTTGGCGAGGAAGGTGAGGAAGAAGGTTGAGCAGCTCGGGGGTCTTGCCGCTGTATGAGATGAAGAATAAGACATCGTGCTGCACAACTCTGTCAGTACCCTGGACGTCCTCTCTTGTAGCACTCGACATACCTCGCGGATATCGCCAAGATCACCATGTGCGGCCTCGGCAGCATGCATGAAGCTGGCTGCAATGCTCAGACTCTTCAACGTTGCGACAGTCTTTCTGCCGACAAGACCGCTCTTGCCAACACCACAAACAATCACCTTTCCTCCGGCAACTTGTGATCTGGTGATGCATTCCACTGCTCGGAGCAGTCCCTCTCTGGCATGGGGATCTGTCTGGTACAACCTTGTGACATGTGATAGGGCGGTCGCTTCGATGGACAGGACTCGAGTGGCGCGATCAAGGATGGATGTCGACTCTGAGTCGTGGATAGTCGATGGGGGAGTCACCATCATGCGTTGACGCTTGCACGGTCTGGGAGAAGGTGAGGAGTGCATGTTGTCGTTGAGAGTGTCAGAAACCTTGTAGGTATGCGTAGAGATGTTAGGGTGATTGTGAGCGGGATATGCTGTGATAAGAAGAGTCGCAAGGGTGTAAAGGGTCTAGAGTGTTGACAGGGACTACTTGTATGTATCGCTAGGCAGTGCTCTTTCATGTGATGGCCAGGAAGGACAGCAGGATCCCAGCCAGAGATAATGAGATATTCCATCGTCTACCCCAGCGTCTAGATCCTACCCATCTCGATCCGCTCCATGGACACACTAGTACGCCCGTCATGGATCGAATCGCAGCAATCGGCCATCATTAGTCATCGACAGCCAACCATTCTTCGGTGGAACCCTTTGTTCACAGCGGTGGCTTTGCTTGGGCCGTTTTTTGTTGGAAGTACACGGTCAGTGCTTCTCCATATCTGCGACAAGCTTTTTGACGTATTCGATCTTTGCATGAGTAAGACAGTCAGCCATCTCTTGAGTGTGAAGCCTGGCAACAGGCTAGGGGATAGACATGCCACTGCAGTTGTCGAGGAGGCCGCGGATGCTGTTGTATTCATCGTCTTATCGGTCGAATGATATTCAATATGGATGTACGTGTTGGGCTTCTGGAAGGTGATTCGCGTTAGACACGTTCGGTACGCGAATGCCCGATTGGCCTGACACCAAGATTAGATTGAGTCGGATCTTGAAAGTGTCCGACTCCGTTGCACGCGATTTCGATCGGCGTTGTCGCGATTCCTGCATGGTTTCTGGAGTCTCTGTCCGGTCACGAGTATCAGCCGGGGAACATGTATACTTGTACGTTTTCTGTACATGAAGAGGGTGGTGCTTTTCCAGATGCCAGATACAGATTGCGGTGACTCGATTCGGACGGTGGTGAATGTCTTGGTGAGCGTAGTCGAGTACCCAGGTTGAGCGTGTAGCCAGCGCGTTGCGGTTCTGGATTTTGGCTACGTCATGCCGAGCACAGAAACGCGACTTTCTTCACGCTCTCGTCCGAGGCATTCGCATACCGTTCGACCATCAGACAGTTGGGATAAAAGTACTTTCATTTCACAGTGTGGTGACGGGCGAGTCTTCTTGAAAGGTTGACAGCTTCTTTGAAATGCTGTCCAGGTCAAAATCGCTCCATTGGCTAAGCTTATACCACTTACACACTTGGCGCAATGGCTCCCTCTACGGCGCAAAGTAAGGCGCAAACCAGAGCGCAGGATAGAATCGCTGCTGTTCACAGTGCATCCAGGAGATCTAAGCGAAATGCTCCTGTTCCCGATGACGGTCGCGATGTCTACCGCAGCCTGATTTCTGAAGCATCCATTCCGGAAGCGGTTGAACGGCCTCTCAAGAAACCAAGACTTGGAAGACAACGACCGACACAAGTCTCAACTACTATCAACGAGTCCTCTACTTCATCACACCAAAGGTCCGGAGATGGCAAACAGACTACACAAGGTCAAGCCTCTGGAGATGAAAATTCATCCAAGCCGCAGCAAACCATCGTTGATTCTGACGAGTCCGAAGACGATGATATGGACTGGGAGCAAGTCGGTCTGGATCATGTCGCACCCAAATCCTCGACGTCTCGAAAGGAAGACGAGTTTGGGGACATATCACTTGAAATCAGCACCAAGCAAGCTCAAAAGAGAGCGATAGCGAAACGGAAGCCTGCTACCACTGCAGAGAAGTTGCTTCGACTCGAAGCCCACGAGGCTCATCTGCTCTTCCTCCTATTCCATGTTCATGTTCGCAATGCTTGGTGCAACATGCCAGCAGTCAAGGTCTGCTCATCTGTTGTTTGCTCTTCTGGGTGCCCCGACGAGGCTGACAATCCTTAGAACAAATTGAAAGCAATACTCATGCCAGAGATCGTATCGTTGCTACACCCTGATCAGTCTCTCATCCAATTCGGACAGTCAGAGCAGTTCCTGACCGGGCTCCAGAAGGCTGTTTTCGTGTGGAAGCACAAGTTCAACGTTACAGCTTCTGGCATACGCCGTCCATACTGGGCCGAAGGGACCGAGGGTGTTAAAGAGGTAATCAAGAAGACTCGCAGAATCTTGGCAGTATGCTAACCACTGCTTAGCAAATCAGGAACATCCAAGAAGAGATGCCTCCCGTTGAGAAACATGACTTCGTCAAGGCAGCTTCAACCCTCTCAGGCTCCCAAGACGTGGGTGCACAGCTGTTCTGTGCCCTGCTCAGGTGTGTTGGTGTTGAGGCTCGACTAGTCTGCTCATTGCAAATCCTTCCCTTTGGTGCATCTGCAACCAAATCAACCACCCCAATCAGAGGCAAGCCGACTTTATACGCGGGTAGCGACAAGGACAACACAAGTGCAGGAGAGACGTCTGGTGGTTCTGCATCTGAAGGGTCGAGCTCCTCTCGACGCAGGATCATCGCTCCTGGCCGCGTTCGACGAATGGGAAACGCAACTCTCAACGCAGGTTCCACCATGCCAGGACCTAAACCACCTGGTAAGAAGTTAAGATGATCAGATCAAATCTCAGTGCTAAAGACTCGATAGCCAGGAGGAAGAAGCGACCAGTTCGTACGCTTGACTATCCAGTATACTGGGTAGAAGCTTTCAACGAAGCTTACCAGAAATGGGTGCCCGTGGACGCTGTAGTAACGGGTACAGTCGCAAAACCGAGCAAGTTAGAGCCACCTGCTTCTTACGAGGCAAACGCTTTGACTTATGTGGTAGCCTTCGAAGACAATGGCATCGCCAGAGATGTGACTCGTCGCTACACGAAAGCCTACAATGCGAAGACTCGCAAATTGAGAGTGGAGATCACAGAAAGAGGAGAAGAGTGGTGGCGTAAGGCGCTCAAAGTATTCCGAAGACCAGCCTACCTCGATCGCGACCAAGTTGAAGATGCTGAACTTGCGAAGAAAGACGCCGCAGAGGGGCTGCCAAATAACGTTCAGGACTTCAAAGATCACCCCTACTATGCTTTGGAACGGCATCTTAAGAGACACGAAGTCATCTGGCCCAAAAGAGCAAGCGGTAAAGTCACAGTAGGGAAGGGGGCGCTAGAACCTGTTTACCGTCGTAGCGATGTGCACATCGTACGCAGTGCCGATAAATGGTACCGATTCGGCCGCGAGATAAGGGTGATCGAATTTTCTGATTGCTGTACGAACTTGACTGACCATATACTCCAGCCGAACGAACACCCCCTGAAGCATGTACCTGCAAGAGTATCAAAGAGCCGTGCTCAGGATCCAGATGATGTCGATATGGATGAACCGCCGGCCACAGCGCTCTATGCTTTCAACCAAACGTCCTTATACGTACCACCTCCTGTTGTCAATGGCAGAATCCCGAAGAACGCTTTTGGCAATCTTGACATCTATGTCCCATCAATGGTGCCTCCCGGAGGATATCACATCCGGCATGCATTGGCCAAGAACGCGGCTCGACTTCTTGGTATCGACTATGCCGATGCTGTAACCGGCTTCCAGTTCAAAGGACGTCATGGCACAGCTATCACATCTGGTGCTGTTGTCGCAGAAGAGTATCGTGAGGCTGTCGAAGCTGTCATCGAAGGCTTCCAGTACGAACAGGAGAACGAAGAATCACGATTGTACAGCTTGGAATGTCTGAAACTTTGGCGACGCTTCCTGGCTGGTCTGCGTATCAAAGAGAGATTGAGCGAATATACTACTACAGGACCAAAAGCTGTCAAGCCAGACCTTGTCAAGGCTGAGATGGATGAAGCAGAGGAAGTAGAAGATGACCCAACGGAGGCTGGCGGCTTCTTTCCCGATGCAGGAGCAATCACAGCGCCGACCGCCCATCAATTCAAAGATGCTCCCGAGCCTGATCACAGGTATGATTTTGCTGAGCAGGCACCCCGGCTTAGGAGACAGAGGAAAACACAGGTCGAAAGCGATCCCGAGAGCGACGACCAGAGCGAAGAAGAGTACATACCGTCACCTCGAAAGCCACCTGTCAGACGTCGTCGCATGTTGAGCGAAAGTCCGCCCGCCGCAGAAGATGAGCACTATGACCCACATCAATATGGAGGTGGGTTCGTGCAAACCGTTGTCGTAGAAAGCACAACATCAGATGGCGGCTTCCTCCCGGATGCAAACGCAGAAGGAATGGGAGGTGGACTCATACAGGAGAACAACGATGCGTCAGGAGCTCACGATGTTGGTGGTGGCTTTGTGCCTGAGACGGCCAACTCTGAGGCAGTTGATGGGACTGGCAGTGGTTTCATACCAGATGACGATACTGCGCTCGAGTCTGGAGGTGGATTTGTCCCCGAAGTCGCCGACGAGACATTCGCAGGCGGATTCTTGCCTGAGACATCATCACATGAAGGTCAACCGACCACTGAAACAGTATCGAAAGAAGCGCCCGAGAACTCACAGGAGGATGTCGATAGCACCATGCCTGACAAGCAGGAGGAAGACACTTTTGATCCTGATGAGGCAGAAGACACCTTTGATCCTGATGAGATGGAAACCACGATCTTCCCCCTGCCTCGAGAGGACTCGACAGACGCTCACCAAAAGGAACAGGAAGAAGAAGACGACCATGGATCGTTGTTGTCTCATGATCCCGAGGATGATGACGCAGAGCCCGATTGGTTACATAGCGACTAGTTGAATTCCACACAACACGTCGGTGAGGTATACTTTTTTTCTCTTATCGACTCCATGGCTCTTGTATGTCGTAGGCGCTGTCAGGATACTGGTAGGTAGCGTGCAACGTAAGTCTTTGGTGTAGCAAAGTATTCTCCTCTCCTCAGCTCCTGCCTCTACACGGTCACAAGCAAAACAAGAGCAAAACATTGGCAAAACAGAACCCCACCCACTGTGTAGGTGGGGAGACAAACCCCGCCGGTTGGCTGAGTTATGCTCTTTGAAGATCCAGGTCCAAGTCCAGATCCAGAATTACTCGGAGCGAATTACTGATAACGCTTCGGAGCGAATTATGGTCAACGCTGGGAATCGAACCCAATGCCTCCCCCGAGGCTCGCGACCATGTTGAATAGTCAGAGGACCGTTGCGCCAAAGCGCCGACAGTCGGGAGGCACAGGGAAGGGAGACTTGCTAGTATATATGGCATGTTCTCTGTGAAAAGTCTATCGTCCCTGTGTGGAAAGGTATGTCTCGTTGATTACTATCAAAATGCAAAGTTCTTTCACTAAACGGTTGATATCCACTGAGAGTCGTGTCATCACCGCCTCTCTATGGACTTAGCTGTCATCTGGAAAGAACTGTGCATTGTGATGGTCACATGTAGTGGTATCATTTCTCTGCACTGAAGTCCACGCATCTCATCCTCCTCCCATGGAGATCTGGGCGCTATCAAAAGGCATAACGATCTCTAGACTAGAGACATATCCAAAGAAAGACCGGCGGTGGTTGATCACCCGTGTTGGCTCTGATCCGGTCCCCAGCCTGACCACATAGGTCCAGCTTCGCCTGCCACGACTTCAGACTCCCTTCTATATTGCACGTACGCACGAAGTGTTACAACCTACCGTGTTCGTCTGCCGAAGTACTGTTCTCTCCCAACGTTCATTCATAAGCATAGCCCGGATCCCTTTCTATACTCTTATCTCGAGTTCATGTTCCATTGCACGCTTGCAACGAGGACGATCGATCTCAAAGAGGATCTATGGGGATTGTAACTCGTGGGATTGTCGGTCAGGGACGCCGTTGTCGTCGTTGGTGTGCTTTGCGTGGATCTTGTATGAGAGTCAGACTCACGGAGCTTCCGCAGAATGATGAGATCTTGCTCAGGAGAGTCACTGTTTCTACGAACCATGTCCGAAGCCTGTTGAGAAGAAAGAGACATGCAAGCATCAGGTTGCTTTTGTAGTTCTGGAGTGAAGGAAGAAAGTGTGCTCACAAAACATCCGAAGCTCCGTCAGTACTTTGTGAACAGATAGTTCAGTGCTGTTTTGTTTGGAATACTGCTATGATTCTCTGCAGACCACGTTCACTTTCTCACTTCACTTGAGTCAGCGATGTCCTCGCACAGCAGTGAATGTATATCGTCACATGCAAGTGTGGTCTGAACATGGTATTGCCGCGACGACCACTCACACTCCCCAAGCCGCACCACCTCTCAAGCCGCTCGACGACTAAGCCGCTCGACGACTAAGCAGGACGACTAAGCAACCAAGCCGCACAATAACTATAAAAGCAACCATGTCAGTCGCGTTTCATCACCGTATGCGCACTCAATACATTTCTCCCACGTACAACCATCACCACTACGGCTTCGCCATCCACGCGTTTGGCCAATTCGAGAGAAACACCACCTGCATTGCTCCCATTGAGCTCAGGATCCCCAACCACGAGCCCACCACCTACTTCGACGTCATCACCTTCACCAAAGACACCTACCACATAGCCGTCATCGCCATCATCGCTATCAACATGAGCGCCCCCTCCCGCGAGCAGTGCATGGCTGCCCCCACTCCTGGCCGCTTCGTGTCTGATGTCAATCGTATTGGTCCTGATGGCAGAATTCTTCCCGCTGGTGCTGCTTTTGCTGCTGCTGCTGCTGCTGCTGCTGCTGAGCAGGAGGCTCGCAGAAGAGCTGACGACCAGACCTTTGCTACTGCTGCTGCCGTCAGCCGCGAGGTCGAGCGCGAGAACGCTGGCGAGAAAAAGTCTCTCCTTCGTCGTGTTGGCAGCAAGATCGCTTCTGTCTTCAAGCGTGATCAGGAGAAGATGAACTAGGGTCTTCGTGAGTCGTGCTTTCCTTTTGGTTTCTTTGGTTGCCCAGCTGACTTCCTTCTCTTAGCCCGTTCGCTCTTCTCAACGCGACTCAGTCATCTATGAGTCGTCCATCGCAAAGCACAATGCATTGCGCATGGCTGCATCGTCCAAGGAGATCGAAGCAGGAGAGAACTTGAAGCAGGACAATCTTAAACAGTCGGAGTGGCGGGATCGACACGGAACGCACTCAGAAGGAAGGCGGAAATGAAAGGAGCGACTTCTTCATACGAAAATTCAAAATGAAAACTCTTGCACAAACTCTTTTTCTACGTGCCTTTTATCGTCCTACTTGCTTGTACACGTGAATCAAGAACTTGCGCTCCGACACTGCCAGTGCAACAGCAAAGACGCCTGTGATGGCACCGATTCTGGCAAGTTCGCCAACGACTCCATATTTCGATAAGATTCCAGTCGTCGCTTTGAAGATACTGGGCACCACGGCAGCGATGGCGATACTCGCTGCCGAAGGCAGAATCTTTGTAACATCGAAAGACTATCAATTCATTAGCACACAACTCCCAAGAGACAAGGGACAGAGCGAACATTACCTGCCCCCTCTTCGCAAAAAAGCTTTTGACAAACGACAAGTTGAATATGATCCTACACGCCATGTTGACGCAATTGGCCCAGACCAACCCTTTAGCTCCCAGCTCCAACACCCTGAGGAACAAATACGCTGACCCTGCGAAAGCTGCAAAGAACCCGCTCATCCAGATTGATTGAGTGTACAGCTGCTTGTTGTCGGCTACAGCAGCAACGAAAGCCTCGGATACGCCATTCAGAGCGAGCAAAGGGATGTAGTAGCAATAGCAACCCAAGACTTCTCCGGCACCTGTGTGAGACCAGCGACTTCCGGCTACAAGGGACAAGAGAACAGGCGCGACGGTGGGACCGGCGGCGAAGGCGACAAGAGAGATCAGGGAGTAGGCTTTTAGGATGAGGGCAAGAGTGCTGTTGGCTTGTTGTACACCATCTCCAGCCTTCTTTTCGTCCTTGGAGGCCACAGATGAGGTAGTGGGTGCGCATAGCTTGGCGAAGAGATTGCGAGAGGCTTCCTCAATGGGTTGGAACAGCATGCGAGCGATGAGGCCTCCGTAATTCGAGGATAAGGCGTATGCTCCTTGGTCTTGGAGCGAGGCCAATGATGCGATTAGTATAGAATCTCCTTGTGTGAGCACATACTTGATGCTTGATTGTACCGTCAAACTCAACGACAGGTTGAGCAAAGGTTGTGAGAAGAGAGAAAGCCAGAACTTTTCAGTTTTGCTACATCGCGGTCAGTCTTCTGATTGCCTTCTTCATTCCAAAGGATCTAACAAACCTTTGGATACCACGAGGGAGTAGATAGAAGCCTTCAGACTTCGCCACAAGGACCAATCTTGCAGTGTATACCACCAACAAGGATGCAGCATAAGCCAGTTGTCCAATGGCAAAAGGCAATACACCCAAATCTTGCCCTTGTCGACTCGCCCAGACAACCAGTCCAACAGTAGCAAACGTCTTCATGATCGTCGCAGCAGCCTCAGCAGAAGCACGAACTTTGTACAGCATCTTCTGCTGTGCAGCCACAAAGCTAGGCTCAGCAAACAACTCAATCATCGCAGCCAACCCATACACCCTCAATGATGGAACCAGGAAAGGTACTTTAGGAATCTCAGTCTGCAGATACAGCTCTGCAAGTGCATAGCTCAATGGTACTCCAGCAGCGATGGCCAGATATGACATGTTGATTACCGCTTGCGTGCCATCGGCTCTTCGTTGCAAAGCCACTCGCAAGCTTTCGCGTGCAAAGTAGAGAACTGAGATACAGTACAACTCCAATTGTACATTGACACCCAGCAATTCAGGAGATAGAAAGCGAAGGAGGATTTGGTTCAAGGCGAAAGTAAGAGCGCGGGAGCCGATTTGTAGGAGAATGAGAAAAGAGGCTCCTTTGGCCGATGCAGAGACGGCATTGTCGCTCATGTTTGAATCATCCAGCAGTTCCTCGTGTCCAGAGGTTCCAAGAAGCCCTTAACTGTGTCCTGAGAACTGATTATTGATTGGTGTTCATAGACAAGGAGGCTAGAATTTGGAGACGTTGCAGGAGTGACGTGGAGCACGAGCAGGGTTGTACCATAGACATGAATTAAATTGTATGACTCAAAACAAGAAACAGAAGATCTATCTTGACCTCCACAACCAACGAACAACTCTACCTAAAGGACAGAAACTCCTCTTGTTGAGTAACCGGCAAGATGGCAGAATCCAAACAAGAGCCCATCGTTACCGAACGATTGATCCTCCGCCAAATTCAACCTTCCGACTCCGAAGCCGTCTTCGCATTTACGTCTCTTCCTTCTGTGATGAGCTACACGTCCGCCTCTCCCCGCGCCTCTCCCGCCTCTAAAGATCTGACCATAGCAAAAGTTCTCGCAAGCCTCATACCGAAGTCCATCAAGTGACCACCTACCTTGCCGAACGCACCTCAGGCCCCAACATCTACAACTTCTCCGTCTGTCTCAAAGACTCCACCAACACAGTCATCGGTCTCCTGGGTAGTCCTTCATACCCAGAGATTGGCTATATCTTCTCACCCGCATATGCAGGGCAAGGATATGCCACTGAAGCTCTGCTTGCTTTTACCCCAGCATTGTTTGCTGTGATGCCTGTGGAACAGACTCTTGCAGAAGCTCATGTGGACACGGAGAACGTGGCTAGTTTGAAATTGCTGGAGAGATGTGGGTGGCAGAGGGGAGAGGTGGAGGAGAGGGCTTACACGAGTCCGCTTCTTGGACTCAGAGATAGTGTGTGCTACAAGATTGCTAGGGAGGGGTATGAACTAGAGGACATGACGAAGAAGGAAGAGGAAGAGGCATTCGTGCCGGATCTGCGATGATTGTGATGCCCTACTCAAAGACAAGAGCATATATCTGATAGTTTTTTGATACTTCACATCAATGCCTCTTTAGCTCAGTTGGTAGAGCGCGGCACTAGTAATGCCGAGGTCACCGGTTCGACTCCGTTAGGAGGCAGCAATTTTTGGTGCTTTTTTTGCACCATGTTGTAGCATTACACGTTTTTCTGAGTGTAGCCTTTATGGTCTGCACGCATTGGTTTTGCTGATGGTGTTGTGGATGAGTGCTGGAAGAGATTGTGGCATGGCTGAGATTCGTCGGAAGCCCGCTGCATAAAACTTTGTGCGAAGCGTTCACTAACACCGACCCTGACCCACATGTAACATGCTATAAGCAAGCAACTATCTTCTTGCGATAATAATCTGCTCGATACTACTCGTGTGCATGAGTCTAGGTTCACGAGTGCTCAAGAACTATATGGCACTACTACGATGAGCAGAGTAAGTTGCTGAGAACCTGTCTGTCACTCGATGTGGTTACAGTCAAGATTTACGATGGTGTCTTTATAGCTTCATGGCTTCATAGCCAGATGTTTGGAGAACTACAACACAAAGAAAGGTTCCAGGGCGATCAGGGTTGCTCACAAGGGTGATATAGAAAGACCGCAAGTGACGAGTAGGATAGGTCAGATGTGCTGTCTATCGACAGGCTGTTTGATTTCTGTTATGGGTATCTGAACAACGCACTTGATACTCTGTGCATCTCTCTCGAACGACTGTTCCTCATTGTCCCCTTCTCTTCCTGTATGGATGGGTATGCCTCAACCTCCTTTTCTGGGGGCGCCGGGCGGAGGAGTGCCTCCTTGAGCAGCGCGCTGGGCAATCTTTCTCCTCTCACCATCCAAGACCATTCTGATTCTGTCGAGAGCTTGGTCCTTGCCCTTGGGAGCTTTGCAGTCGTTTACAGTGTATGGCGGACTGATAATCACGGCATCGCTGACGACTATCTCCTGTCCGTGCCAGCGGGTAGGGAGCCTATTTTGTATGAGTTAGTTGATGTGATATAAAGGTATGAACGAGGCAGCAACGCACAATCGCTTCAAGGCATCAAAGATCTGCTGAGCCTCGCGGCTGACACCCTTGCCCTTGTTGGCTTCTTGTTCGCGCAGCTGGCGGATCTTGGCCTCTTCGCGCTCGCGCAACTTCTTAATGTCGACGGGGGCGATGGGAGGCTGGACAGTAGCGGCGGTCTGTTTGGCAGCATTCGAGTCTAGCGAGACGATGTCGAATGACGAGATGTGCTGGATGGGGATGATGTGGTAGTCGCCGGGCTGGTTGGACAGAGTGGACGACGGGTTCGGAGGAGCGGGCGCGGTGTTGATGGCGATGATGTTCAACTTGGGGCATGCGGTGAAGAGAGTGCCCTGGAGAGTCTGCGAGTGAGGTGCGACTGTCGAGACCTTGATACTGCGGTTGGGCGCATGGTTAGTCTGGCTGGTCGCTTTGAACAGGGGCACTCGTTGGAGTTGCAGCATACCGGGCACCAATGGCAGCAGTCAAGCTGTCGATGGAGTCTGACACCTGTGCAGCGCCGGTCTTGCCAGCATTGCGCTTGACGTCGGCCATGGTATCGAGAGGTGCTGGAGTAGTCGGCACCCCGCTGTTGGAATCCATGGCCTGCCCGATCAACAACGCTTCGGACTTGTGAGCTACGCCGTCAAGGGACCAAGTTCAGAACATGCGCATTCGACCCTCAATTGGAGCAAAAGAGTAAACTCCGGAAGGGAACATGGACTGGGGGAGACAGCGGCGTCCTCTTGCTTGCTGGTCGAGAGGGCTACCATGATCATGAGACTGCCGCTCGACTTTCCACCCACAACCAGTCAAGCACGACATGCCTCAACATCTTCGACCCCAACGACCATCGTCACTTCACATCACAAGTTGCTCATAGACTGCTTCCGTGGAAAAATGTATATCATTTTAATTGTAAAGGAAATTGCTTGTTCATGACTATTGGGGTTATCTTTCGTTGCACTACGCATAGCAAGAGACCGGTGCCGCTACTTGTATGGCCCATCTGTATCTCTGCAGCCGCCACTCTTCTTGCATCGTCGTATCGTATTTTCGCTTAAGCGTTGTAGGTCGAGGCCGAAACGTCACCACCACGGCCGGTCCAGTTGACGTGGATGTCCTTGCCGACGGGGTACTTGTCGTTGGCGAACTCGGGCTTGATCTTGAAGGTGTGGGCACCGAAGTAGTCACGCTGGGCCTGGAGGAGGTTGGCGGGGAGGTTCTCGGCACGGTAACCGTCGTAGAAGGACAGAGCGGTGCTGAAGCAGGGAGTGGGGATGCCCCACTGGGCGCCCTTGGCCACAATGTTTCTCCAGCCCTCCTGTGCGTTGTGGATGGCCTTGTTGAAGAAGTCGTCGAAGAGAAGGTTCTCGAGGTCGGGGTTGTTGCGGTAGGCAGTGGTGATGTCCTTGAGGAAGACGGAGCGGATGATGCAGCCACCGCGCCACATGAGGGCAATCTCGGGCTTGTTGAGCTTCCAGCTGTACTCCTTGGCGGCCTGTCAAGTTTTGTTAGCATCGTCTTGTCCACACAGGGTGTCATCACAGCTTGACTTACGTTCTGCATGAGCATGAAGCCCTGGGCGTATGAGATGATCTTGGAGGCGTAAAGGGCCTGCTCAAGATCGTCGATGAACTTCTGCTTGTCACCAGAGAAGTTGGGGGTGGGACCCTGGAGGAGCTTGGAGGCACGGCCACGCTCCTGCTTAAGGGAGGAAAGGCAGCGGGAGAAGACAGACTCGCCAATGAGGGTGACGGGCATGCCGAGGTCGAGAGCGTTGATGGCGGTCCACTTACCGGTACCCTTCTGGCCGGCAGAGTCCATGATCTTCTCGAGAAGAGGCGAACCGTCCTCATCGTTGTAGTAGAGGATGTCACGGGTAATCTCGACAAGGAAGGAGTCGAGGACACCCTTGTTCCACTTGGCGAAGATGTCACCCATCTCCTTGTTGGAGAGACCAAGACCACGCTTCATGATGTCGTAGGCCTGCCGAAAGTCAGTAAATTGCTCATATCGAAGCAAGCTTGAGAACAAAGACTTACCTCGCAAATGAGCTGCATGTCACCGTACTCAATACCGTTGTGGACCATCTTGACGTAGTGACCAGCACCCTCGTCACCGACCCACTGGCAGCAGGCCTCGCCGTCAGACTTGGCAGAGATGCCCTGGAGGACATCCTTGATGTAAGGCCAGGCCTCGGGGTTACCACCGGGCATGATCGAGGGACCGTAACGGGCACCCTCCTCACCACCAGAGACACCGGTACCGACGAAGCGGATACCCTTGGACTGGAGGTACTTGGTGCGGCGGTTGGTGTCGGGGTAGTGAGAGTTACCACCGTCAATGATGATGTCGCCCTCCTCGATGCCACCCTCGTTCAGGAGGAGCTCAATGAAGTCGTCGACGGGCTTGCCGGCCATGACGAGCATCATCATACGGCGGGGCTTCTTGAGCTTGGCGCAGAACTCCTTGATGGAGTGAGCACCAACGATCGACTTGCCCTTGGCCTCGTTCTCGAGGAAGCGGTCGACCTTGGCGACAGTGCGGTTGAAAGCAACAACAGTGAAGCCGTGGTCGGCAGCGTTGAGGATCAGGTTCTGACCCATGACGGCCAGACCGATGAGACCGAAGTCTCCGCTGTACAAAAAGTCATGTCAGCTACAGTTACAGCTACAGCTATGGCAGGAGAAGCTGGCGTGTAGATGGAGCTCGGGTGGGGATAGCAATACTGAGTGGCAACGACATTGACGATGTTGTGTATACCGCCAACGGAATGCAACGGGAGAAATGTTCTGGTGGGATGGTGGGGCAGAGTGGGATGGAGGGTGAGGATTGACTTACACAGCAGAATCAGAAGACATTGTGGTGGTGATGGAGTGTTTGAGTTGGGAAGAGAGGCTAAGAAGTCTCTGGGCGGCTCGAGGCTTTTAAAGAAGACTGGTGTCAGTGGAGATTGTGTGAGGGAGAGAGATGATGCGGCCGGAGAAGGTGTGTTGAAAAAGCAGCCCAACACCTTTCGGAGTTACTAACGCGGAGGGGCCAAGGTGGCATTGACCCTAGGGTGTGCTAAACATTACATGCTCTGTCAGCGTCTCTCGATGCCGCAGCACGCCCGAATGACGGTTGCACTCACTGTTTGGTGTTTCGGCGTGAGGCCCGGGAATGGTTGCAGATGTGTAGAAACTCGCGAGTTGTGTCAATCTGTTGCTACCGATGGTGTTATTTTTCCAACTGGGCAGCTGCCTGTCTCGGCGCGCTCTTGCCTGTCCAAATGTTCCTTCCCCTCCTTCGCAACCGATGAACGCCGACAAATTGGATGAGTACCTTCCCGATGGAACGCCGATGACGGCTGTTTACCGATCGCTCTTGCTCAACCTGCCCACGGCACTGCGCTACACGTCACTTCCCGCGAGTGCTTGCGCCCGTGCTTCGTCGCAGAGACTCAGAGCTGCCACCTCAAACAAGACCACTACTGCCTGTGAGAGAAGTCGTTGTTAGCAAACGCCGACGGGTCAGGAATCTCATCAAACACCCACTGCTTCCGTTCAGCCTCTTTGCTCGCTGCCTCACATATCCTAGACAGCCACCATACGCGGCTAATTACCAACGGACTATTTCGACATCGTGTTTCGGCTTCTATCAGTTTCTTCGCGCCTCTCGCGTTTCAATCTAGCCGACCGGCACCCCGGACTCATTTTCTGTCCTCCTTACTACCATCACTTCTTCCCCTTCCGGACAGCCCGATACTCTAGACAACACTCGTGTCTTATCGATCGATCAACCAAGAAACGACATTATCGTCGCTTGCTCTGAACAGCTGCGCTCGCAAAGACTCGATCGAAACCATAGATCACAGCCAACATAGTGAACTGTCTGTGAGGCAAGGAAAAAAAAAAACTTTGAACGTAGGCATACCCTCGAGTCTTGATCATCATGTCGCATCCAACTCAAGGACCTTCCACCAGCCAGTCAAACTCAGCTCGTTCTACACCCCAGCCCCCAGCGAGTCTCCCAGCGAGACCTCCTCCATCTGCCGTATCTCAACCTGCGCGCAATGTCGCTGCCTTCAGCGGTTTCAAGCCGCGCAACGTCGCCGCTGCTCCGGCTGGCCCAGCTCCGTATGCTGCGACAAACATGAGCTATCCTGCCCAGTACTCGGCGGCCCCAGCTGCGCAGTCTTACTACCCTACAACATACTCAGCACCGGCTGCCAACCAGCCGTACTACGCTGGCGCCGGCGCTTCCTACCCAGGAGCTGCTGCTGCCGCCTATCCTGCTCAAACGCAGTACACCGAGACCCCTCCTCAAATCAAGAATCCATTTGCGCCTCCACCAGCAGCAGGACAAGGTTCACTTTATGGTAATAGCACCTACGATCCCGAGTTGGAAGCACAAATTCAACAGTGGCAGAGCGCGTACACGAACAAAGAAGACCCTTCAAAATCAGCTAGCAAGGGTGCCACTGTAGGCAACGCGAACAATATCCCACTTGGTGTCAATAGAGCTCAACCTTCTACTTCCACTGTCTCTGCTGGACCCGCTGCGCCTGTTGATACATCAGGCAAGCAGAAGACCGTCCTCCGTGAAGGCGGCGGTCAGAAGTGGGAAGATCCTACGCTCCTTGAATGGGGCGATCATCCGCGTCTGTTTGTCGGTAACCTTGCTGGTGAGGTGACTGACGAATCTCTGCTCAAGGCATTCGCCAAATATCCATCCGTCCAAAAAGCTCGTGTCATACGCGACAAGCGCACCACCAAGAGTAAGGGTTTCGGTTTCGTCAGTTTAGCCAACACCGACGAATTTTTCCAAGCTGCCAAAGAAATGCAGAACAAGTACATTGGCAGTCATCCGGTCTCGATCAAGCGCGCCGAAACCGAAATCAAGACTGTAGTTAAGAAGGACAAGGACAGGCACAACAAGAACAACAAGAACAAGAACCACAAAGACAAGGCCAAGGAAGATAAAGGTCCACTTGGAGCAAACACTGGCGCTGGTATTCAGAAAAAGCAGACCAAAGCCTCTGGCGGTGGCCAATTCAAGGTTAGTAACAAACCCCACTACCCCTCTAAATCTGATGCTAACGTCCATCTGCAGTTGCTTGGATAAATTTGCTACGCTCCAGCTTGTCGTACAGAGAACATTATATTAGCGCAGGCGTTGAGGGTCCGCAGGGTTGCTTTCTACCGGCGAGTGATATCTTTCCGACAAATCGCACTGATAGAACAAAATACTGTCTGACACTCCCAGTAGCAGTAATTTTGTGACAATCGAGCACAGTCTTCAACTTCGATCAGGCTTTGAATGTAAGTCATCGATCTCATTTTCATCGTGAACTTGTGTCGTTGTACATGCTGTAGAGATTGCTGTAAGCCACGCTTCGTCCATGTAGAGCTTCTAGGGCGACAGGTCGACAGTCCGCCAGAAGATTTCTGATTCAACTCCACCAATCTCGCGGCTCATCTTGAAGATAGTGTTTAGCCGCGCGTGGAACTTACCTATTTCACCCGCCTCTTTGTTCCAGCAAGCCAAGAGCAAAGAAAAGAAGCAGGGCCAACCTCATATAATGCAAGCACTGTTATCATTCGTTGCATAGCCATGACTGTATAGCCACAGGCCCGTGTTTCGCCGTCAAGTCATGAGCGCGTATATTGTTTCGTTGGGACGTGATTTGATGTCCAACATCGGCTCCCCCACTTTGCGCGTGAAGCACAGCGACATGCCGAGCCCGCCATCTCCGTCGCTCTTCTCTCGGGCGACCCGAATCGCAGTCTTTGTGCCCTCCTCCGACCGCTCTCATATGCCGATGCTCGAGACCGAGACAATCATATGAGGAGTTGTCGCTGGGCAAGGCTCAGCTGGCAATCCATTGCGCCTAGATGATTTCGTGGAATTTGCTGTCGGTGCCCACGTCGCTTTGACGACTTGCAGTCTTCGATGTGGGCTCGTAGAATTGCAACGGCAATATGCGAGATCGAGAGCTCTTTCGATCAACACGCAATCACAGACATGGTCCTGTTCTCCAAGCTGCAAGGAGCCAAGTCGACTGTCGGCATCTATCCAACGACCTGCCTCGAGATTCTTCGTATACAAGAGGCAGAGGTAGGCAATGGTGGTATACTGAGCACTCGCAATCTCTACTGGGCAAGCACGACTGGGCGAAAGGCTCGATACAGCCCAGAGAATAGCAAGGAATTTTACATCCACAGAGGTAGTCGAGAGGTATGTTCACATACAGCACGTGGCCGACGAAACTAGCATTTCACAGGTGGCTGTCGTTCTCGCAAGCAGGTGCACAGCATGTCAGAGAACGTCACTCACCAAGAGATGCTTACGACTCGTCGTTGAACATGGCTATTGTACAACTAATATTAGGTCGCGCCAATGCGAACATGGCTCACCAACTCGAAGGATTTACCAAAGCGGCTAAGCCTCAATACCGCAGCAAGCTCTATGTTGCAGGCGATTTGCGAACCAACACCCAAGTGCAGTAAATAGCACTGCATTTTGACATCGCTTGCAGTTATGTTGTACCCTTCTACACGTCTGCAAGATGATAGTGTTCTATCCTTGCAAAAGATGGTCATGTCCATGATCTCTTTCTTTGCCTCTTTCTTTGTTTTGCAGTTGCTCGAAATTCATTTCACCCTTTTATGTGCGCCATCATGTGGCTTGGAAAGTTGTCCTGGTTCTTTGTGTGGCTTCAAGTCCATCAAGTAACGGCTCTCAAAGGAGGTTATGGTAGGGCTCTCATTGAACAAAGGTCGTGGTTCGATGCTTATATGCCCTTTCAGCCTGGAAGGATTTAACCCTTCCTCCTAGATCCCCAAACAACCAAACTACCACATTTACCACAATCACATCAACCACGACGTTGTTTCGTACAATTCCTCTTAACACAAGCGTAACAGTACTCGCGAAGTCCACCATAACCTCATTGACAACAGTCGTTGAATACACGACCATACTTGCAGGCTCATCTTTGTCTGCATCCAGCGAGATCAAAAGCCAAACCGCAAACCTGAACAACACGATCTCCTCAACGACATCGAGCTTGACTCTGTCGTCGATTGCCACATCAGCAATCACTCCTCCGAGCACTACCACCCCAATACCTACCACCATGTCCACGTCAACACTTAGATCCGCCAATAGTAATGCAACCAACTTGTTAATCTCGACATCGTCTTCCTTGTCGATTTCCAAGTCACCTTCTGCATCACCTATCTCGAGCACGGCCACAGCATTAGTTCTGCTATCTTCTGCTACCGCTGCTGTCAGTCAAGCTATCACACCAGGAGTCGCTGCCAATGCTCCGAGCACTGGACTACAAGTGGTTGCAGCAATACCTTCAAGTAGCGTTTCAACATCTTCCACGGCAGAAAGGCCAGCTTCTACCGCATCGGAAAAAATAACGCAGCTGAGTTCGAGTAGCACTCTGCAGACAAGCTCTGCGAGCACGTCTCTTCCTGCGGAAAGCACAGCTTCGAGCGTCTCGACCACGAGCGAACCTCCAGTGACTTTGAGCCCAGCTAGCTCTACTTCGCCTCCAACCACCGCTGGTAGCGTTAGTAGCTCGGTGGCAATTACTGGCCCAAGCAGTACCACCTCTATCTTGATGGCGTCTGGAGGTCCGACAATCGCAGAGTCAACTACCAACGCTATCCCGACTTCAATCCTCATCCTTCCTACAACCATCCCTTCTCCATCCTCGACCACAATATCGTCTTCGTCAAGCTCATCAATCGCTGCTGTAACAGCGACTTCAGAGTCGAATACTTCTAGCCCTAGTGCCACACCTCTGAAGTCGGCTTCACATAAGTTGTCATCTCAGGAGATTGCCGGTATCTCATTTGGTGCAGTCGCAGCTGCCGCAATTCTGTCACTGATACTCTTTGCCCTCTACCGTCGACGTCGCGCACAACAGGCAGCCGCTCTTGCAGCTGCTCAGGATAAACGCGGCTCCTTCCCCGAAAGCGCATGGCTCTACGACCCTCGCATGACACCCTCTTCCGTCGTTGCCGTCGCCGCTGGCCGTCTCAGTCGTACTCCGGTCAGCAGCATCCATTCCAGTGTTTCCAGCAATGCAAGCAGAAGAGACGAAACACTGCTCTCCGCCATCGCGACACCTGCCATACTGCCAAAGCGCCAACTCAGCAACCCCATCGGACGTGCCTTGACCTCAAACCCACCCTCAGCCGCAAAACGCCACCGGATCTCTTCTTCAGTGCCAGAGTTCAAGCCTTTGCCTCTTGCACCTTTCACCGCTACGAACGACTCCACCATACCTAGTCCTATCTCAGAAATCACTCTCGCGCCTAGAGAGTCCAAGCGCGAGAGCTTGCCAGCTATTCTTAAGATCGGAGGTGGAAAGAGAAGACCACTTACTGCCGCACCTGTGATGCAGAAAGTCAAGGCAGGGCCGAATAAGCCTTTGCCTCCTAGACCAGTGCTTGATGCAAAGCATAGACCTTTTAGTTTCGAGGCTGGCGGTGATGATGCAGAGCAATTTGGGATCGCAAGGTAGAAAGTTTAGGAAGGAATGGAGCATGTAGAGAAGACAGGAGAACGCTCAAGCGTATGGTTTCGGTTGCGTGTGATACCCCCCCTTGTTCTGGTTATATTTGTGTAGTAAGCTTTTTTATTCTATCTGGTTGTTATGTTTTCCCACGATCTTGTCTTGAAGAAATTAGAAAAGAAAAAAAGGAAAGACAAAAGCATTCCCTTGCCTCACAGCAAAAGATAGAGAACAAGCACCGTAAGTTGGATTTGAACCAACGACCTCCCGATCCTGAAGAGAGAGTGTTTTTAGCGACTGTAGGTAAAGTGAGAGACTTTAGAGAAGGTAGGGGATCGGGTGTGCTGACCACTGCACCACCACGGCTTCTTGGCTTGTTAATTCGGACATCATGTACAGAGAATATAAAGGTTGGTATGATGAGTGGGGCGTTGCGGGAAGGAGAGGTCGCGTGAGCGAGTTTGGTTGGATAGCAGACTTCACGTATCGACAGGACTCAATTTCAACACGTATCGTAGCAAACTTCAACTAGGGATCATCAATGGTTGGTATAGATGCGGACCTGAGCATGTCGCACGCAAATGGCGGACTAATGTTTTTGGATGATCGGTGCATGTAGCGATGTGGCTTAAGAGAACATGTGACAGACATTGAGTTGAGGTAAATACATGGACTCAGAACACGGCGACATAGGTGAAAAGGTTTGTTACATTGTCATTAAGTCTTGATTTTTTTCTGTCGTAGTTGCCGTTCATATTACTACACTACTCAGGAGCCTGACCCTTGGTCGCTGTTTCTTGGGGATCTTCACCAGCAGCAACCTCCTTGATGGCGTCTGTGATGATCTGGATACCATGAGCCATGTCCTCCTTGGTAATGTTCAATGGAGGGATGAAACGAAGAGTGTCGTAGATGGATGTGGTCAAGACGAGCATGTTCTTCTCCATGCACTTGGCCTGGATCTTCGAAGCGTAGCCCTTGCCAGGTGTGCACTCAAGTGCCAACATGAGACCGAGACCGCGAACATCGTAGATGAGCTTTCCAGTCTTGGAGTCCTTCCAGGCTGCCTGGAGAGCGCTCTTCAACTCTGCGCCACGAGCGTTGACGTTATCCAAGATCTTCTCCTCCTTGAAGGCCTTGGCGACTGCGACACCAGCAGCACATGAGACTGCGTTACCAGCGTAAGTACCGCCCATGCTTCCGGGGTTTTGCTTGTCCATGAGCTCCTTGCGCGAGGCAATGCCTGAAAGCGGGAATCCGTTGGCAATACCCTTGGCCATGATGAGAATGTCGGGTCTGACATCCCAGTGCTCAACAGCAAACATCTTTCCGGTTCTTCCGAACCCGCACTGGACCTCATCACAGACAAGCAGGATGTTGTGCTTGTCACAGATCTTGCGGAGAGCTGCAAGGTAGCCAGCAGGTGGAGGAACATAACCACCCTCGCCAAGAACGGGCTCAACGAAGATGGCTGCTGTGTCTGAAGGAGCAGTCTCGCGCTTCAACAGCAACTCCAGCTGCAAAACGGGGTCCATACAGCAGTTGTCGAAACCGAACTTGCCGTCGGTGCTGTGTGAGATTGAGCATTGCTTGCAGTAAGGGAAGGGTACTGAGAAAACACCAGGCATCAAAGGCGCGTAATTCTCGCCATAGATAGTTTTTGATCGGGTCATGGCCATGGTTCCGAATGTGCGTCCGTGGTAAGATCCTTGCATGACAATAACGTTCTGCTTCTTGGTTGCGTGTCTGGCCAACTTCACTGCTGCTTCGACAGCCTCGGATCCTGAGTTCCAGAAGAAGAAAGTGTCGAGCGATTTGTGTGGCATCAAAGGAATAAGCGATTCAACGAGCTCCAGATAAGGCTTCTGGAAAGCAATGTTCACTTGACCGTGGACGAGTGTGCCGACTTGCTTCTGTGCTGCTTTCGTCACGGCGGGATGACAATGACCCAAGTTCGTGACTCCAATACCGCTGGTGAAATCGAGCATCTTGCGACCCTCGGTCGTCGTTACGTAGCTGCCCGCGCCGCTCTCGAGGACATGGTTAGAGAGACGACCGATTCCACGAGCCACGTGCTTGGTGCCGAACTCTGCCAATTTGCTGACGCTCATGGTGTATGTGATAGGGTTGTTGATGAGAGGTGAAACAGAAGAGCGAGACCAGAATCGACTCTACAGGACCACGGGGCCGACACGTTTATGTAGAAAACAAGCAGCAGGAGCTAAACACGGCGGATCGTCATTGACGAATCATCAGAGCTCCCACTGGTCAGCGCAACGCCCAAACCTGGCTAATCTGCACGAGATACACGCGGTGACTGATAACCAGGGCAGGTCTACACCGAGGTCTCGTACCTTTCTTTCCACCTGCAAAGAATCCATTTCCCCGACGCAATGTTATTACCGGCTCTACATCGTATCTTCTTTCGTAATGCCATCTGCCTCATCTCTTGTTCCCGCCTCCTCCGCCGTGGCCGTCGGCTTGCTTACCCCAGCAAATGACCAATGAACGCGTTCTGATTACCCCACTTGCTTGGTAGAAGCTTGAGTACGTGTACGAAACGGGCAACTTCAAGCGTGACGACTCCAGTCTGAAAAATCTCTTGAAACTCCACCACGATTCCTTCACACCACCACGAAGCTCCAAGATGTTGATTCTTCGAGATACTCTTTCCCTAAAGCTTTCGTACATCAAAAGAATTGTGCTTTCTGTCGTGCAGATCAAATCTGTGTCATTGTCATTGAACATGAGAGCCTTGACCTGGGACTGACCATACCAGGTGCAGGTCAGTCGGGTATTGTTAGGTATCCCTTCCACCACACAGAATATATACTGCTATGAAAATGCACAAAGCTTTGCGGTTGATCAAGTGGTCCGCTGAGAGTGGCTATCTGGCCTTCTTCTCCTTATCTCAATGCATGACCCTTATAACTACTGTGTATTGCAACAGTATAGCCCCACGGGAGCGAACTTTGGGGGTAGAGTCATGAATACGATGGCATGTGTGACAGAACAACGGGTTGCAGGTATATTTGTCTATCTCACCGATGCTTTGAAGCTAGTTTTACATTTCTGCATTCTCTCAGTCGGCTTCCAATTCCCCAAATTTCTGGAGTGTGCTTGATGACTTGGTGCTGACTAGTCGTAGGAACCCTGGGACTGTTTCTGTCAGTATGTCCACACTGATCCTGGTCAGAAAGAGTTCTTACGTCAACGGCATCCTCATCGAGAGTGTTGGAGTGACCGCGAGTAGTGACGAAGACCCTGTGTCCGTTCTGGAGTGCGGCCTGTACAATTGACATTAGCCAGAGAGAACAGCAATCACGAGTGTAGGGGATACTGACAGATGCACAGGTAGCCTCACGTGTCAGATGAGTTCTGGTGTCTTGGCTCCAGTAGACCTTGTTGTCCTCGAAGACCTTGCGGTCGAAGATGCGTTCGTCGGGTCCGAGAGTGAGTTCCTCCATGTTCCAGACTCTACCACCGGGATAGTTGGAGGGAGTCAACCAGCGGATCTTGATGGGGCCGGAGGGTGCGTTGGTGGGAGGTGCAGTGGGCATGGCGGCCTCGCGTTCTGCCTCAAGGTATTGTTCCTGAGTAGGTCACTGTTCGAGACCCATGATGATGCTGGAATGATATGCTGACTGGATGGTTTGGATTGGTGATCAGAAAACAGTCGTATATATATCTGGAAGCGCTTGATCCAGAGTCTTCTGCTTGGTCGTCGTCAAGAGTGTGTTGTTTGCCTGGACGCTTTCCATTGTAGGCTGCAACGACATCATTGTAGGCCTATGCTATACGCAGCAATCACCTGAGAAGCTCGAACAAAGCTCCATGTTCTCTTCCACGAAAGACAAGTCTGCTTGCGTAGTTATTTTATGTTTTGGTACAATGGTGACGGAATTCAATGGTTCTTCGTTTGTCACTAACCAAGCGAGGATCAAAGCCAAATGTTTGCTGAATGTCGAGCCATAGAGCTAGACGAACAAGACATCACAGAGTACCCGCGCAGTCATCCCAGCCAACGAGTAGAGGCTACGGTAAATCGTCCATTGTGTGTCTTGAAGGAGGTATTCATTGGAGCTGCAACTTCCGTGCTTATAGAGAGCCAGTACCGAATCATATAGCATCGCATGGTCGATTCGAAAGGCAGAGTCTTTGCAAGCCAAATACACGATGGCTTCCAGTAGAGCCTTTGGACAACGAAGATGTCAAAGGAAAAAGGAACATCTCTGCCCGACCAAGTCGGCAGCCACAGCCCTCTCAGCTTGGAAGCTTGGCATGCAGCATCTTGAGAACTTTCGCTTTCTGTTTTCTAACTTTCAAACAATCACAAATTGACGATCACTTCGTCTTCGTGATGTTCCCCAGCCGGAGCATGCCCAGCACTGCGTGAATAACGGAAAATCATCTCGGTGGTCGGTCCGTTCGTATCCGATATTGCAGCACAGCACGCCATGTGCTTGCGTGATGATAGTGATGCTGTCGACATCGTAGTCCAAGTATGTTATAAATTGCTCGGTAGGATCTGTCGTTGCGTTTCCTATGTCTCACTTGGAACAATCGGTTTCCTCCGCTTCTATTCCTCTCGAGGACGAGTTCTATGATCGCCACATCCGTATCGCTGGTGTCGATGGCGGGATACTCAACGAAGCTGTTCAGGGCATCACCGGTCTCAGAAGAGATCCTGGTCAAGCGGTGCGAACTGCACAGTACGAAGGCAAGAAGACTCCTGCACTCGACACCTGGGACACCAGAGTCTCCTCCAGACTGAAGTGGATTCCAGCATGGAATGACTATAGCTTGACCCAACTGTCTTCTGATGGCTTTACCTTGGAAGAGCGAACGAGAGCCGGTCAGTCTTGGATCAACATTCCAGGTAGCACACATGCTGGAGGACTGGTCTACCTGGGTGGCGCAACGAAAGGCGGGTTGGCGCTCGGACTGAGAAATTTTTGGAAGCAATACCCATCTCAACTAGACATTTCGAATGCTGCGACGGATGTTGGTTCCATCACTGTCTGGCTCTACAGTCCCGCTGCCCAACCTTTGGGCACCAGACCCTTCCACAATGGATTAGGTGAAGAAGACTATGCAGATCAACTCGATGCTCTTGAGATTACCTACGAGGACTGGAAGGCGGATATGACTCGCCACATGGAGTCGCAAAGACAAGCGAGCTCTTCCTTTTTGGCTTCGAAAGCACACCTGGGTCTGATTCTCTTGCAACATTGACTGAGCACATCAACTCGCCACCTGTCCTTGTCGCTGATCGTGACCATATCGTCAAGTCGGAAGCACTTGGAGCCTACTGGCAGAGCCCTAACAATCTCAACTTCGTTGCCCAGTTCTACCAGGGTCAAGTGTCTCAACGTAAGTGGTATGGCTTCTGGGATCACGGTGATGTGATGCATACACACGATGTTGCCCGTCACGAATGGCGATATGATGTTGGAAGTTACGCTTGGGACAATTCTGAGCTATCTCCCAATCTTTTGTTCTGGAACCAGTTCCTTCGCACCGGTCAGGCTGATCTCTATCGCTTTGCCGAAGCGCATACAAGGCACACTGGTGAGACAGACGTCTATCATCTTGGGCCTTGGAAAGGTCTGGAGACAAGACATGGCGTGCTCCATTGGTCAGACTCTTCCAAGCAAATCCGCATCTCTCAGCCGCAATACCGCAAGGTCTATTACTACCTCACTGGTGGCGACGAAAGAACAGGCGATCTCCTCACCGAGATCTTGGATGCTTAAAAAGCCTTCCTAGTCGTGGACCCGAGAAGGAAGGTGCGAGCTGCAAACATCACTTACGTTGCTGACTCCAAGGCTCTTCTCATCGATGTTGGACTGGATTGGTCCGGACAAGCAGCGGCTTGGCTCATCGAGTGGGAACGTCGTGGCCCTCGCTGGCAAGAAGCAAAGTCCAAACTCCTCGAGACCATGAAGGGCATCGCAAACTTGAAGAACGGTTTCGTCACTGGCGAAGCGCTATACAACCTGTACAATGGTACCATAAGTCCTCCTTCGCAGGACCCAAGCAATAAACGCGTGGTCCAAGTATCGCATCTGACTGCCGTGTTTGGCCTCGTCGAGGTGATCGCAGAACTGACGACCCATTTTGGCGACGTCTTCCCAGCAGACTTCGAACAAGCCTGGTTAGACTATTGCTACTACTTCAGCGCCACACAAGCTGAACAGCAAGCACGCTATGGAGAAGTTTTTGGAAAACTGAATCTCTATCAAGGCCATTCGCGTTTGACAGCGTATGCTGCAAACAAACTGAACAATGCGACATTGGCTGCTCGTGCATGGAACGAGCTTTACAATACCGATGGCTTCAAGGCAGATGCGCCGTGGAAGATTGAACGAGTCGATGGGAGCAAGGTTCTTTTCCCCGTTGATGAGGCGGCTTGGGTCAGTACGAATGATGTGGGACAGTATGGGATGGCCGCGATTGAGAATCTAGCTCTGATTGGCGAATATCTCCCATAGACTTGGAATGAAACCTGAGCTGTTACACAGATAGACTCAGATACTACTTTCACAAGGTCTAATTGGTTGTGTAATGTCCAGAGCCGTGGTGAGCAACCTTGAGTTATGAACAGAGCAACATGAGTGCAAGTGACAGCATTGAATGACTGGCCGCGACCACAGAGAAAGATGAACAAGTCCAGTGATGCCGGTGTAAACAGACTAAGACGCCGTGAGGTGTAGCTGAGCAGATAGAGCGTTCATACATGCTGCGAATATGGCGTCGGAGACGTATGAGGATGACAGATATTGAAACACCTGATACGGTAGTAGAAGGACCCGAAGAAATCAAGCACAGGTGATACAAAGATTCACTGCAGTGATAGATCATATCCCAGCGGTCTTGCCATCGGCGCCTTTGTCTTTGTCCATCCTGAGATGCTCTTCTCCCTGAATTCGAACGTCATCGTTTTTCTCCTTGCGATCGCCTGCTTCAACCGTGTCCTTGTAGTCAACAGTGTCTTCTGTCGCTGTGGATTGAGGTTGGAGATAGCGGCCCTTGTAGAAGCGGTCCGCGCCTTCGACTGGCACGATGTCAGACAAGTCTGACGAAACGAAACAAGACACGCAATCCCAAAGTTCGGGATCAGACTTCTTGATAAACCAAAGCCTCCTCTGGCCTTTGCGATTCCTGATCCTACAAGTAGCACATACTTTGTCGACACTCTCGGTCAGAAAGACCGGTCTCCACCGCTTCCAGGCAAAGGTGTCAAGGTTAGCTTTGTTTCTCGCAAACCAGGCTTTGAAAGTTTGACGTCGCTTGAAGGCGAATGCATCAGCCTTTTGTCTCCAAGACTTTTGCATACGAGCCCGGTAGCTCTGCAGCTTGACCGGGTCTTGCTTGATCTTTCGCAACATATTTCGCTTATCTGTGATTTTCTTCTCCAAGAATCGTTCCCTCGAGACCTCGTCCTTGATTTGTATTTGCATCCAACGGGCCTGGTTTTCCCTTTCGCGTTTCCTGTATTGCTCTAGCCAGACTGGGTCCTCCATTTTCTTGCGTACTCGGTGCGGCCATGGATAAAATATCAGGCTCCGTGCGCTCAAAACTATGTGAAGCCTGATATTTTATCCGTGGCCGTGGGGAGTAGCCAAGCTTTCTGATATTCGCTTTTAGCCCTCCGCCGTTCCTTATTCAGTTGAGCCTCGTCAAGGTCTTGAGGGCTTTGCGTTGGTCGCGGCGTGGAGTCGGCTATGCCGCGGCGACCGAGAAAGCTTGCCCGGCATAGTGAGAAGGTGGACAGACCAAAGATGGACGAGGTGATGGACGGCTTCGGTCGGAACGCATACTGCAATGTTTGGGGGACTCGGTATAGCATTGTGGGTGTGGAGTGACAAGTTCATGCTACAGACAATGTTCGAACGCGTTGTAGCGTGATGCACACGCGCGCCAAGAAATCCTCGTCAGAGATTCGACTGGGACTTCTTTTTGACATGGCCAGCCATTTCATCAATTCAACCACTTTCGCCTACATGAGCTTCAGTCCCACCTTGGTAGTACAGTACATGCGGCTGAGTTGCGGACGAACATGTTCATGTTTGCCTACAATATTCCCACTGTTACCATTGGGTGGGCAGTCACTAGTGCAAAGGATAAAGTCCACCTGGTCTGGTTGACTTTTACTCAGATCGAAGCCGTTCGATGACTGTGGCTATGAAGGACGTACATACCTTTTGTTTGTGTATGCTGGGGATCAAGTCGCCAGCCGTCTATGATTTCTATCCTGTCGACTGGGTCTACGACTTTGGGCGTAGTCTATAGAGGCATCTGATGCGCGTGATACGACTTCGATACGCAGGTACGCCTACAGTGATCTGAACATCGCGAGTCCAGATAAAGGATCCATATTGCAGCCCCTGGAGCAAGGCTGATCAAAGCGCACACCAATAGATTGTGAAGAAAGGGGTCCAGAATCAACACACGCAAGCTGCATGCAACAACATTCAATGTCCACGCCGTATATTGTATATAATCGATCTGCAGTCGCACCGATATCAGATCTTACGACAACTGAGTTTGACCACCTGCGAGAATTACAAGGGGAGGGCCATCGGGCGTCCATAATTATCCAACAAAGACCAAGCGCTACAGACCAATGGCCCCCCATCACGTCATATTATCAGGATTCTAGAAGAGATATCACCATACGCTGTGCCGCTTCCCCCAAGCGACTTTCCTAATGCGGTACTTGCTTGCGCAGGCGTGCGCGGGCTGCGGGTAAGAGGCCCGTGTCCGGACGGTTTTATGTTTTGCGGAGTATCAACCGAGTCAAATTGGAGAGAGCGTATGGAGAGGGCTACTCATACGCTGTGTGTGAGTCGTACCCCCCTTTCACCGTATCACCGTCCCTGTCAATCTCGTTTTGAGTATGTTGGAGGATGGGTTCCCAAACAGAATTGCGTATCTCCTTTACGCAGCCCGTGTCGATCGTGTTACTTTTAGTGGCTTTTCAATTCTTTTGTAGCTACCGTGTCTCGTATAGCTAACTCTGGAGCCTGGAGGAGTCGTGGCGCTGCACGTCGGTTGGCCACTCCAAGTCAGGACCCTCTTCGTAGGTCACCGTGCATACGTTTTCCCAGCACGCAGCAGGGCGTCAGTTGGCGTATTCACAAACAGACGCGCGTGTCAGATGGTGGAAGTTGCGCTTTGGAGCCCAGACCCTTGGCGGCAGGCACTCGAGACCCTGTGGATAGATTTTGTGGATAAGTTTCATGTCCCTTTTGGCAGATCCTCCAGGAGTGCGAGTAGTAGGGGACACGGATCTGTCGTGATTGGGGCGCAGTGTTGTTTGACGCAGCACTTGGGTCTCTGTAGGCGATGCCGCGTGCCTGGCGGCGGCATGTCACTTTGGAAATTCGACATTTTGAGGTCTTTCATAAGTGACGGGTGCTGTCCTTAGGACGTGCCTCTTTGTCCTTTCTATCTGGTTTTGTCCTTTTCGCTTTCAGTCAATTCACTCATTTGCATCAACATAATGGGTCGTGACCAGATTTTATCGGCAGCAGCGATTGAGCAGTCAATTGACGAAGGCCACATCATCGTCGTTCATGAAGGATATGCCCTCAAGCTGGATGGATGGCTCAACAAACACCCTGGTGGTCGACTAGCCATTCTCCATATGGTCGGCAGAGATGCGACTGACGAGATCAACGTGTAAGTTTGTCTTCTTCTAAAATTCTTCGTCAATTGCAGTCGCAAGTTTTGTCGGCGGACGTTCTTGTCGATGGTCAACGCTGTCGCATTTTCTGGGGTCAGGGTTTCAGGGTCTCCTCCAAAAATAACAACAACCGACACCAAGCATGCACCTCGATGATGCATACCGAGATCTGGCGTTGCGGCATCTTGCGGCTATTGGCTGGAATGAAGGCTTGATTAGATTAGGTTGCTGACATGAATAAGGTACCATTCCTCGCACACTCTCCAACGTATGAGAGCATACCGGATCGGCCGGATAGCACAACCCTGGACTAATTTGGAGCCGCCAATCCGCCGCGCTGCTATTCGTCAACATGACGACAGCCCTTACAACGAAAAGATCCAAGGAGACATGGTCCTTGATGAAGCTGAGGCTAAATCCATCATCAACAAAGCAGATGCCTTGCGGGCAGAGCACTCTGCTCGCATGGCCTTCACTTCGGCCATGGAACAGAGAGAGATCGCTGAGGGCCTTGCTAGCATGCCGTCGGTCGATGAACACACACAGCTCGCTATCGCCATGGACTTCCGAACCCTGCACGAGCGCGTCAAGAACGAAGGCTTCTATGACTGCCCTTACATCGAGTATGGCAAAGAGTTGGTCCGATACTCGCTGCTCTTCGGTACCTTCATCTACTTCCTCCGCGCCGAGTGGTATCTCACATCGGCCTGCTTTTTGGGCATGTTCTGGCAACAGATCATGTTCACTGCTCACGATGCTGGCCATCGTGGCATCACTGGCAATTTCATCGCAGATACCTTGGTCGGCGCTTTCATCGCAGACTTCTGCTGTGGCCTTAGCATTGGGTGGTGGAAGAGCTCGCACAATGTTCACCATCTTATCACCAACATGCCTGAGCACGACCCCGATCTTCAAAACGTCCCTCTTTTCTCGACTTCTCCTACCTACTTCCGCTCGGTCCTCAGTACCTTCTACAACTTCACCTTTGTTTGGGATGCCGCTGCCGACTTCCTCGTTCCCTACCAAAAGTACACTTACTACCCTATCATGGCAATCGCACGTTTCAACCTGTACCTTCTTTCCTGGCTCCATCTGATGTCGCCGCGCGCTGCCAATCTCGGCTCTGCTTGGTGGACTCGTCCTGTCGAGATCCTCTTCATGGCTGGCTACTGGGCTGTGTTCGGATACGGTCTTCTCTGGTGCACACTCCCTAATTGGCCCATCAGAGTCGCATTCGTGCTCATCTCGCACTGCATCACCATGCTCTTGCACGTTCAGATCACCCTGAGCCACTGGGGCATGCCCACCGCCGATCTGGGCCCTACCGAGAGCTTCCCCCAACGCCAGCTCCGCACCACTATGGATGTTGACTGTCCTGCCTGGTTGGATTTCCTGCACGGAGGTCTTCAGTTCCAAGCTATCCACCACCTCTTCCCTCGCGTGCCTCGCCACAACTTGCGCAGACTGCAAGTTCTTGTTCGCGAGTTCTGCGATAAGACAACGATCAAGTACGAGTGTTACGGCTTTGTCGAGGGCAACAAGGTTGTTCTGAGCAGACTTGAAGAAGTGGGCAAGATGGTGGAGACACTCGTCAAGTGTCAGAAGTTCATGGCCGAGACTGGAGAGAGTGGACTTCATTAGTTTGTGCTTTTTTGAGCCTTTTTCTGAATCTATCATTCTTGCCTTTCCGCATCCTTTTGTTTCTTGTCCTTCTTCCATTAGATACCCCAAATCAACAATGATTCTGCTTCTTTCCGTTTATGATACTTCCCTTTCGTGTGTATTCGTAGTCATCAGAGCCCATAGGCCCAAAGGTCTCATGAGAACTTCAAGCAGCTTGAGTCATACCAGTCCGATCATATCTCAACCCAGAACTCGAAGACCCTTGTCCACCAACCACAGTCTCAGCATCGCTAGCCGGACTCCTCCTTCCCCTTCTTTTCGTCTTTTCTTCCTCATCGACAGGCTGTCCAGTCTGCACATTCGGCGCCATCCTTTCTTCCCTGCCATAAAGATACCAGAACGGCAGACTAGCCAACAGAATCCCACCCATCAGATTTCCAATGGTGACAGGAATAACACTCTGATAGATAAACTTTCCAACCCCGAAATTGGTGCCGTAAAACATGCCAATGGGCACCATGAAGTAGTTTGCAATGCTGTGTTGGTATCCGGCGATAACGAACGCCCAGACCGGAATCCAGATGGTGTAGACCTTGGACACAAACTCCACAGCTCCGATGGAAAGAAAAAATGCCAGTGCGACGAAGAAATTACAACCTACGCCGCGCAACAGGTTCACCGACCATTGCACATTGACTCTGTTCTGGGCTTGGGTGACCGCGTACGAGGACATGGTGTCCGTGTCAAACACATCGCTCCACCAACCCAGGAAGCCAGCGACAAACAGACACCCGCATAAATTCGCCAGATACGAAACTACCAGATTCTTTGCCATGTCCAGAACAGAAATCTTGCGTTGGAGAGCGGTGAACGGCATGACAAACATGTTGCTCGTGCACAACTCCATATTCGTGAGTGTGATCAGCACAAAGCCTAGAGGGAATGTAAAGCCGGCGATCAGAGTTGCCAGTCCAGGATTTGATTCGCGTAGGCCAGGGCTTCCGGCTAGGACGATGAGGTTGACGAGACCCCCAAGAGAGATGAAGACGCCGCCGAGGAAGGCTTTGACGATTAGTTCGCCCCATCTAAGGTGGGATTTTGCGATGCCGGCGTTGGAGGTGAGGTGTGCGATCTCTTGCGGCGAGAAGCCATTGACTGGCGCCATTGTATGTAGAAGAACCAGAGAAGAAGGGTTTGGAGTATCGAAGGTGATATTGATGTATGTGGCAGGTGAGAATAGAAGAGTCCAAGGAGAAACAGGCTCGATAACGGAAGGAAAGGAGAAGGCAGGTATATGATTTCCATCCGTTGCCTCCGAGAACTGCTATCTCCATGACGAATCATAACCAATCATACTTGCTTATAGAGTGCCCTACTGTCATTGCAACGTAGATGAGCCGCTCGGCTTGGAGATGAAGTCGAAAGTGCGGGATGAGGTCGTGCAAGTGTCATTATTCATATGACTACCGTACTGCCGGGGTGAGATCCGAACCCGCTTGCAGATCAATCTTGACCAAAAGCTTCAATGGCGGTTGACTTTGTAGCTTATATGCTTGGTATACCAAGATATATGGGCTCCCCTGTGCAAGGATCGGACAGGCTGAAGCCACACATCAAGTATCGCGATAATTAACCATCCATGGTCGGTTATGATAGAATGGATTGCACAGAGTCTTACAGGGATGCAAGGATGTTCAGAAAGCAGATTAGATGCGACACACTGTGGTCAGAAATAATCAGAATGACGTGAATGTGACGCAGTAGTATACTATCTGCGAATCTCTCCTATCGTGAATCCTCTGATAACCTTTTCGTCAAAGACAACTGTGCATCAAAGCTGCTTGTAAAATCTCTTGACATACTCACTCCTGCATCTCTTACTCAACCCTGCTCGATCTACACAGGGATCGATGTGCATCTCTGAAGTTGCACGTACTTGTGCCTAGACAGAAGACGAGAGACGTCCGATCACTTGTTGACACCAACCATGGCCTCCCAAAGTGCCTTGTCTGTCTCACCTTCTGGTAAAGCAGGTTCATCTTCTTCACTATAACCATCAAGCGGCAGTCTCTCTGGAGAACAGACTGTACCCTTCTTGGGCAATTCGCCAGTCTGGAAGTAGGTTCTAATGGCTCTAGCAGTACAGAAACTACGAGCTAATGGTCAGAGAACGTGTTCACTTATTTTTGGAGGAACAAAAGACTTACCTGACACCAGAAGAAGAACAATGTCCTTCCGTGTCTTGGTGCAGAACGACAGAACCATGGAAACCTTCGGACATCTTGTGAGCATTACGGATGGGTGTGACGTTGTCGACCGTGTTTCCGATGAACAGGATAGGGTGGTGAGTTGTAGCGTTGAGATGGCCGGTGTACGGCCATTTGGGTCGAGCATGCCACTTTCCAGTCAGTACATTTGACTTTATACAACCTCGGGAAGAACGAGCTTGAGCTTACCTGTGTGCAATGCATTCTGATCGTCGTCCACACATCTCCCATCATCTTGCTCTGTTTCATCAAGTCCTGTACATAATCCCAGAACTCCTCCTTCGTCATGTCGATTTGGGATTTGGCATCACTGCATAGCACTGCAGCAGAGATCAGGCTAGAACTTTCTCCGTCATAGAGTGGATTGCAAGCGTCGGAGTATGGTCCGTCTTTTGCGCATTGCTCAGGAAGACCGAGTTTGAGTTGGGAACTCATTCCTCGTCTGGCTTGTACTAGAGCAGTACCGTTGCCCTTCTCGAGCTGTGCCATGGTTTCTGCAAGTGCATGGAACTTCCTGAGAGGTCTGTAAGCGGTGGACCAAAACTGCATCTTGAGATCTGTGTAAGTTGCCAGATCGGCACCGTACTCATCTGTGCCCGGCACACCGATGGGGCTATGCATGAGCTTTTGCGTGATTTCAGAGAATCGTTGAGCAATGAAGGCAGGCCCATCTTTGTCGTAAAGTGCGCAGTTATCAGGCCCACCCATCCAACAATACTCGGCAAACTTGGCAATCTCCATGTCGGTATCTTGCAAATTAGTGGTCCATCCACCTTCATAGTAGTCAAAGGAGTCAACGACACCGTCCAAAATGACTCGCTTGACCAGATCAGGGTACATGTCCGCCAGTGTGGCACCCAGGACGGTGCCATAACTGAAGCCCCAATACTGAATCATCTCTTCACCAGGCCGGTATTTGACATGATTGGGCAGGTCCTTTACCGACTTAGAGTTTGTAAGCCTTTTGGCTTCTTGCTCTCTCCATTGACCATGTCTCTCGAAGATTTCTACAATGTCTCTTGCCACGGTAGTGGTCGACATATGTTCACCAATACCTGATTCAATGGCTTTCTTCGAGCATGAATCAGCCAGAGTACGCACGAGAGTCCACAGGTTGGTGAATGCTGTATTGCTGCTGCCAGGAGCGCCGTATGCCAACATTTCCTTCTCGAAAGCCAGACGCTCGATGAAGTCTGGGAAGCATTGGAGATTGGGTCGGGTATTGTTAACGCCACGGGGGTCGAAACTGATGATGTCGAAGTACCTCGCTGTATCGTTGTCGGCATCCGGTCCTGCACTGACTATGGTTTGCGTGTGCTTGCCCTCTTTGAGAACCTAAATGTATGGTTAGCATATGACTTTTCTCGCAGAAGCCTCAGCAAATACCAAGTTCACACCCGAGCCACCGGGACCGCCTGATTGCCTTGTCAGTCAATAGAATCTTGGATTTGAAACCAGCCTGGCGTTTGAACTCACCAGGGTTGAGGACCACAGCACCGCCGTATCTGCTATCGGTCACTGGGACAGTTGCGGGAACCTTGATCAAAGCGATCTCTACAGTACGATTATCCGTCCCTTCTTCCGCATTCCAGTCGAGAGGGACCTGAAGCTTGGCACAATGGAAGGCACCGAAGCATTCATGGTAGACCAGAGATTCGTTCGCGGGCGTCTGCTCATGGTCAATTCATCTGTACGGCCGATCTCACAGTCTAAATCTATACTCACATCCTGCCAAGAAAACAAAGACTTGGGTGGTGATAGCCGGATTTGAGCGTCGCTTGGGATATATCCGATGGGTTGCAAGAGGTTTGCGTTAGCCAGCAAGGGAACTGAAGCCAGCAAGAAAGCCGAAGCTTTGTCTGGAAGCATGTTGGCTGGGCTGGACCGAAGCCGATGCTTTTCGAAGAATAGCTCAGATGGTTTGGGAAATAATTCGGGGGATAGAAGCTGGGATGCGAGAATGGGATGATTCCAACGCGTTGGAAGAATGTAATGTGGGATGCGAAGATGAGATGCTCTGATGGCGAGGATGCTGATGCCTTGCCCCAAATCGAGGCAGAAGTCACTAGCGGTCCAACTCCAATCTGCAGGAGCGATCCTTCGTGCGGAGACATCGGATGTTGATAGAGGGCCTTGGCAAGTTGTTATACACCTTCCTAACGTGGAACAGGTCGTACACTACTTTTACTAGCAAACACAGGGACAGTTACAATCAGGTCAGATGAAATAGTTGTAACAACAAAAGAGGAGTTCAGTTTTATACATGTCTAACCACAACACCTAAGCCCCTTCCAACGCCAATGCTTTTTTACAGATAACCTAGTGCTCCAAGTACCAATCATCTTGGTATATAAAACCCCTGCCGGACAAGATCCCTGTTTTGTACCGTAAGTAGTTTTTGGTATCCCTGAGAAACGCCTGAGTAAATGCAACTCATGGATCAAACATCGTGAGAGAATGCTTCGGTCCAAGGAGATTAGTATCGGTCACCACCTCTGCTGAAGCCGCTTCTGCTCTCTCCGCCAAAGTCGGCACCACCTCTGCTGCCGTAGCCACCTCTGCGCTCGCCACCATAGCCAGCACGGTCGCCGCCAGCGCGATCTCCGCCATAGCCACCTCTGCCGAAGCTACCAGCACGGTCGCCGCCGCCGTAACTTGTTCTGCGATCACCAAAGCCGCCGCGACCGCCGCCAAAGCCTCCACGACCACCATCATTGCGATCGTTTGAGTAGGCACGACTGCGAGAGTTGCCATAACCGAAACGACCATCGTTGCTGCGGATAGGTCTGTCGTCAACATCATCGAGGTTACCATCAACGATTCTTCCATCAATGTTCATGCCAGGGACTCGTGTGAGACCAACGCGACTGGCGAGCTTAGATGAGACCTCTGGAGGGGTGGCCATTCCCCAGGCGTAGCGAGAGAGGTTGTTGATAGCCTTGACGAGAGCCTTCTTGCGAATGAAGCCGTAGGTACCGATGTAGCCCTTGTAAGCATCGGCCTTGAGCTGCATAGGAACACGCTTGTATGCCTCGGCTACCTGGGACAAGACGGTGGCAGCTGATCTGGGAACGTCTGCCTCGCGAGTCATGTCGACGGATGCGGTAGCCAGAGTAGTGTCTTTTTGCAGGGGGAGGTTGTTGAGCTTGCGAGGAAGTTCCTGAGCCTCGATCATAGGAGAGATCAACCAACCCTGACCCTCCTTGCCAGCACGAGCAGTACGGCCGATACGGTGAATGTAGGTTTCGCGATCACGAGGCATACCAACCTGGATGACGTGGGTGACGTTGGGGAAGTCCATACCACGGGCGGTCACATCGGAGGATACCAGAATACCAGATGAGCACTTGCGGAAGTTGTCAGAAGCACGGGTACGCTGTGCCTGGCTCAAACGAGAGTGGATCTCAAAGATGCGGGCAGGGTAGAGGGCAGATGGTACATCGCGGTAACGACTGCGAGGGCTCTGCTGAGGAACGACAGAGTCTTCGTCGACAGGGAGCTCGGTGAGAGCGGCAGAGGCCAGAGTAACTTCGGCAGTCGAGTTGAAGTAGATAATGGCCTTGAAGGGGCGAGCGTCGGGCTGTTGGGCATCGGCAATGGCGTTCTTGCACAGCTCAACAATAGCAGGAACGGTGTTCTCCAGGCCGTTGACAGTAACAAGGTGCTGAGGAACGCGAGCATGGGTAGGCTCCTCATCGTCGCGCACAGTCTTGACAAAGTCGAAACCAGGTCTAAGGGTCTGCTTGACCAGTCTCTGCACCTCGTTGGGCACGGTGGCGCTGAACATGAGGGTCTGACGAGTCTTCTCCTCAGGCTTGGGCAGAAGGTTCATAATCTCCTGAATCTCGGGCCAGAAACCCTGGTCGAGCAGACGATCGGCCTCATCGAAGACAAGGGCGTCAAGACCGGGTGCCTCAACACCAGAGTACTTGTCGCTGAAGATGTCCTTCAGTCTACCGGGGGTACCGACCAGGATGTGGCAGCCCTCGCGCTGGATGGCGCGCAGGCCAGCGGACTTCATTGTTCCTCCTACTGCCGTCTGTACAATGACCGAAGTGTTTGCAACAAGACGCTTTGCCTCGACGGCGATCTGTTCAGCCAGTTCACGAGTGGGCGAGACGATGATGGCGCGAATGTCGTCGGCGGTGGTTCTGTTGCCTCTGCGAGCGGCGAAGCCTCTGCGACGCTCACCGAGAGAAGCGTCGGTTTTGAGAATGTTCTGCAGGACGGGGATCAGGAAACCCAGAGTCTTGCCGGTACCAGTCTTGGCCTGAGCGAGGATGTCGTTTCCATTCAAGGCCTGGTTGATGGTGGCGGTCTGGACTTCGGTCATGTTCTCGAGGCCCATGTCCTTGATCAGAGTCTGGACGACTCCTTTGCTGACCAGCTGCCTTTGACCCAGTTCGGCGAAGGTTGTGATGGGACCATTCTCAGTCTGCTCCGACTGAAAACCAAGACCCTCGTCGTCTTCAGCAACGGCGGCGGTTTGTTGTCTCGATTGGCTGGTCTGGTGCAGGCTTCTGGTGATAAGTGCTGCATTGTAAGGCCGTGAAATTTTTGAAACAGCAGAGCTTCTGGTTGCGCTTGAAAGCTGAGCGACACTGCGCGGCAGCACGGTAGAGCACCTTCTGAGGGCTCCCAACATTGCGAAAGATGGAAACACACAAAAATGGGGGTAGAAACAAGTGAATGTAGAATTGCAAGTTGAGGCAAAGGTAAATTTCAGAGAGACTTTCACATGGCGAGTCCGAGCGTCAAACCTCCCCGGACTTGCAACTCGCCTCCTGCGCCCATGTCTCGCTTCTTCCCATGATGACAAGACCTTTTGATATGCCTCTCATTGATTCCGCCCCCTTGTCATGGGGACAACATGACCCTCAGCAACCTCTTCTTGTATGTCGCGCATACCGAGGCTTTTTGCATAGAACTCCTTGCCCTCTCCCGGCGAAGCCATGAGCATCGCTCTCATCAAATGCGGCTTCGAGTCGAGTATCTCCCGACAGCACGAGATCAGCCACTTTCCCAGTCCCTTTCCTCGGGAGTCTGGTTCAACGTAAACATCAGTCAAGTAAAAGACTGTGACATGATCCGTGACGAAGCGAGCGAACCCCACTTGTTCCAGCTTGTCTGCTCCAGCGCCAGTTGGTTCAAATCCGTTCGAGAAGTAGAACGATGGATCTTCGAGTGAGGGTGAAGGCGTGTCTGGCGACGATGGTTCCTCTATTGTCTTGGCTGCTGGAAATGGCGGTTGTACTGCGTAGAGTCCCATCACCAAGGAATTGGACAGCATGTTTCGGAGGATCGCAGCCGGCATGGCTTTCGCCCAATACATGTCCTCGGACGAGTAGGCATTGTTCACAAAGTCGTGTGAAATGCTGTTGAGCTCGGTTGATATGAGGTATTCTTGGTCAGAGATGGCCATCCGCCATTCTCTCGGCTTCTGATATGAAGCCATGCTGAAATCTAGGTCATGGACAAACTCTGTTGGTCGTCTCTTTCTTGTGGAAGTTCCTTGTCGTGAGAAGATACGTCATGAAGCAGTCCCCTGCCGAGGCGTGACTCGATCAGTGGTTAGAGTTATCCTTTCACATTGCATACCACAGCTGCAGCACCTCCGAAGATTCCTGGTCAGGACGACCCCTCGATACACAGTGTCAGTGGTGCTCATCTAGGGCCACAGACTTCCGTTAAGGACACAAGCATCTTCGACATCTTGTCATATCCAAGTCCCTACCATGACCCTGACCGTAACACGGATGCAGCCGCCGCCCACAGCCGACAAAATCTCTCCGAAACACACAAAACCCGAGCACTCTCAAGCTCAATCTTTGCTCTTCCGACTTCCTCATGAGATCCGCCATCTCGTCTTCTTGCAAGCTTTGGCTAAGCCGCTCTCTACCACTGTCCTCGACTCCTCTCACGATGACAGCTTAGATGTAGAGCCCGCTCTTCTTTCTACCTGCCATCGCGTCCGCGCCGAGGCACTCCCTCTCTTCTACAGCACCAATGACTGGGTCGTCAAGACAAGGCGCGTGGGAGGTGATGCCGGTCGCTTGGATCCCATCAGTAAGAGGTTGATCACATACCAGTGTATACCTCGGTGGCCCGATGCTCTGCCAGACGATAAGATCGCTTTGATCAGATCCGTCGTGGCCATTGGCTCCAGAGGTTCATACGTGGACTTCAAGGGCAAGTGGTGGGATGGCGATCGCGCTGCCTTTCGCTTGCAGAAGTCAAATGGGCTCATCGGCTATCGTGTTGATGAGTTGGACTGCCATGATGAAGAGTTGGGTTCACCGAAGCAGCGGAAGGAGAAGGAAGCTTTCTGCAGCATACATCTTGTCGATCTCCTCCATGCGAGAATGCGCATCAATGCGCAGACCTCTCGCAATAAGTGGCTCTGGACAAGAGAAAGTGTGCATGATCTCGCTTTCCTGCTATGATCTCTCACATACACGCGTTGCATTGTCATCGCGTGAATAGCTTCACCAACTAACCCATAGATCATCGACAGCCTTTGCACGACTTCTGTAAGGACACCCATGTCTCTTATGACTATTCAAACAGTACGTTTCGACCTCCTTCATCCTCATCACATTCCCACCCATGCCTAAAATGATGACTACACTTCGTTATCCCAGCTCACTTTGATGCAACAAATGTTGTACTTGATGCAAACGCGATTCTGTTCCTGATTTACACCTCTACACATCTTCTATTCTTATATCAATCTTCGAGATCGATCACTAACGTTGAGGAATAGGTTTCACAATACGTTTGACACGTTGTCGTTCCACATGATCGTGATGAACCTTCGTCGTACATGTTACAGTACATACCTCTTTAGTCACACTGCCTTTTCCATCACAATCTCCTCCCTCATCGGTGCATCATTCTCTACCTCCGCAAACGCCTGTGATGTCTGCCCCATTTTCTTCTGATAAGTCCCCACCGAAATGATCAAAGCAATACAAGCAACAACAGCACAAACCCACATCGTCTTCGAAAAAGCCTTTGCATAAACCATCCTCTCGTCACCCACCTGCCCCTCTCTCCCACCCTTGACAGTAATACCACCCACAACAGCAGACGAAGCCGCAATCCCAATACTACCTCCCAGCACTCTAGCTTGCGCAACGATACCTTGCGCAATAGCCATATCTCGACCTTCACACCGCAAAGCAGCCAACAATGTCGAGGTCGAGATAGACAAACCCATCCCCAAGCCCAATGGCACTTTAAAGGCATAGGTTCTGACTTGAATACCATGGTGGCTTGAGAGCGTGGTTAAGAGACCTGTCCCCACTGCCATCAAGCTGTTTGCAATGGCCAAGGCGGGAAAAGAGTGATTGGTGCTAAGGCCGCCTAGCATACTGCCTACAGCTGCTGACATCAATAGAGGTAGCAAGGCTACCCCTGCCATGAGAGGACTGCTTCCGTTGACGATTTGGAAGTGGAGGGGTAGACTGTATATGGCGATTGAATTCACAAGGCCAGTGAGTATAGTGAGTATGACGGTAAATGCATAGACGCGGCGTTTGAGTAGGCGAGGGGGCAAGATGGTGGAGATTGAGTGGTGCGAGGCGAAAGAGTTCCCAGGCGAAGAGGATGCACCAACACAGGCATCCTACCAGCAGTGGTGCGAGGAATAGAGCAGTGTCCCAGGAGTTTGCCCTGAGGCCGGCTCGCTGGAAGGCGAAGACTACAAGAACCGAGGCCGCAATGAGGAGGAAGAAGCCCAAAAGATCCAGCTGTCTCCAGGAGCGACGAACAGGTTGCTTCATCATACTCTGCTTAGGCCAAGTGAGCAGGAACAGCACCACCGCAACAACACCAACAGGACCACTGCAACGAGTTAGCAGCGAAACAGTTCTCTGGTCGAACCTTGGCACACTTACTTGATCCAAAACACCCACCTCCAACTCGCAAACTTTGTCATCACTCCTCCCACCACCGGCCCCATCACCCCCGCCACAGCAACAACCGCTCCAACAACAGCACCAATCCACTTCCTCTTACCTTCACTCACAATCTCCGGCAACACAATCATCGTCAAGGAATACAACCCACTGCCACCAACCCCCTGCACCGCTCTCAACCCCACCAACTGCATCAAAGTCTCAGCAAACCCACACGCCAGCGAAAAGATGGAGAAAATGGCGAAAGCGAGTAACCAGGCAGCGCGCCGACCAATGACATCGCCGAGATTGGCAAAGGGGGACTGCGAAACCGAGGTAGGAGAGGGTGTAGGAGAGAGCCACCCAAGTGGAGGTGTGAGGGGCAGAGAAGGAGGTGCCGATGCTGTAGAGGGCTGTTGCTACTATTGAGGTGTCGAGGAGGGAGAGGAAGAGGCCGATGCAGAGGCCAAGGATCAGGGATATGAGGCGGAAGGTTGGTATGTTAGAGGATTCAGTGGTGGTAGATGTTGGTTGCTGGTGCAAGACTCCATCGGTCGTAGACATTGGTGATGCTTTGGGGATGTCCATAACGATGGTAAATTGTGATGCTATGTCTCCTGGTCTTGCATCGACGAAGGTTGCGTATTGATATACTCAGTTACCCCGTTATATTTACTATCTAGAACTTTGACGCCTGCTGAAAGCTCGTCTCCTTGTCCCATGTGGGGAGCGACCTAGATTGAAGGTCGAGCTACTCGAGCAATGTCCTCCTCAAGAAGTCGATTTCTCTAACCACAAGCATCTCGAACTCATCACCCACAAACAAGCTAAAATGTCCACCTGGCAGCATCTGCATCTCCTTGGGCTCCACCGCACGATTGTATGCTTCGAGCATGGCGTCTGTGATACTAGCAATATCCTTCCTAGGCACCTGCATCAACAACGGCGTGGGTCCGATCTTGTGAATTCGGGCGCCGGGGAAGTAGGTCTTTACTCCTTCGAGACTGTGCTTTGTCGTTAGTGTAATACTGCCATGCAATTGTTGCTACATGCCTTCTGATCGTCACTTCGTTCTTCCACCCAATCTTCTCTGCCCAGGGAGAGAAAAAAGCGTAGCTTTCCGCATGTGGTAGTATGGCAGTGTCCATTGGATTCTTCACTACGACCGGTAATCTCCCAGGCTCGTTACCACTTGCTCGGGAAAGCCGCTCTGTGGACAATCAGTCAACATGAGGTTCGACCGAATCCAGGATCCATACCTTGAGCAAGCATATCATCCAAGGCATCTTCAAAGTCTGATCTTGTGTTGTTCTGAATGATATCGCCAGTGGTAAAGGGTGCCACAGCGATGACTGTCTTGACACGGCGATCATTGGCACCGACCCAAAGTGCATGGCCACCGCCATAGGAGTAACCCCAAATACCAATTCTCAAGGCATCGATATCTTCTCGAGACTGGGCATAGGTGATGGCGTCCTGTAGATCGCTGTTCTGGTGTGTCGGCACAACTTCATTGCGAGGCTCGTCTTCCTTCTGGTCGCTAGCACCAAAACCGCGGTGATCGTAGACCAGACATGCGACTGGGAGTGTGGACGTCAGACGTTGGGCCAAAGTGTCCAGGTGCATCTCTTTGAGGCAAGCAAAGCCATGGGCCATCACCAGGCAAGGAAGTTTGCCTTTGACACCGGCTGGTCTAAAGATCCAGCCTCGTAGGATGACATGGTCGATGGTATTGAATTCGATATCTGTTCGACTCATCCTGTTTCCTGAAATTTACTTACTGACAACAGGAGTGATAGAAAGTGGCTATCTTATATGTAAGAAGCTGAATGCTGAAATGCGGCTTACTGTCAGCTGCAAATGTCCATAATCCACGGTCCGTCCAGAGTAAGCATGTTACACTAAGCGCTAACCTCAGCATTTTTGTAACATAGCAGAACAGCGTGCGTCATGTGAGAAGAAGAAGAGTAATGACACCTCGGATAAATGCACCTTGATGCTCGCCGACGCTCACGAGACATGATACCTCGAATCGACTCACCTGCGGTACGTGCGATCTGCCGAATGTCAGGTGGCACGAAAAGTTCTTGCCGTACCTTGATCGACTCTCGCTCGTGCAGTCCGAACAACTCGCAGGCGTCGACCTCAGATCGTGCGAGGCGAGATCGGATTAAAAATTGGCAAACAAAGACCGCACCCGACGTCCAGAAACGAATAATGGTGCGGCAGACTGAGGGGTTGGGTCTGGTAAATTAGCCTAGGGCATATCTCCTGGTTATATATTGGATCTGTCGGCAACATGTAGGCGGTCGTGGGACAAGGCTCAGAAGTTTGATTCGAGAGGTTCTTGGAGTTATGGCGTTGATGTCCAAGGGGCCCGATGTACTGTGCATCTCACTTCATAGAGCTTAATTAGAGGTCCTCTAGCAACGTTCTAGTTTGTGTGTTGATCGTACTCGTGCGACCAAAGTGTCCCGGATATGGGGTTCAAGAGGCAAGGAAACCTGGATTGGGAGCGGGATCAGTCGGGATGCGACACCGTCGGGACCTGCAAAAGGACCCAGGATATGCAAGAGAGTTGATCATATATAGCTGTTCATATGGCAGACAAAGGGAATATTGAGAGAGGTCGAAGAACGCAAGCGAGTTTAGTGTGAAGATGCGTCAAGAATCGAATTGAGGTAGGCAATTGATTAAATATTGGTTGACAGGATGTTGTGACGATAAGGAAGTGCATTTTGGTGGCGGTCATGCAGATGTGTACAGCACACGTGGTATCGACAAGGTCAAAGGGAGAGAGAGGTTCAAGGAAGAAAGGAAGTCAGGGTGCCTTCGCAAAGCGTTTGGCAACGGCGCAAATAAAGAGTGGCGTCAGCGTGTCTCTGCCCCTCGTCTCTGTTCGCTGTGACTACAAGACTCATCCATCTTCTGCTACAACCATCACTGTCAGACGTCTTTTACCATCTTCACATCTTACCACAGCATCTCCCTGTTCATCTCAGCTTGCCTCGCAACATGTCGACTTCAGCCCGCCGCCGTTTGATGCGTGACTTTAAGGTGCGACCAGTTTGGCGTCCAACTCGACATGATCTCGTGGCTAACGGCTATCTCTGCAGCGCATGCAAACCGACCCTCCTGCTGGTGTCTCAGCCTCGCCCATAGCCGACAATGTCATGACTTGGTATGCTTGAACTCTGACCTCGGTCGGCGACACGTGCTCATCCAGCGCATAGGAATGCAGTCATCATCGGACCCTCAGACACACCCTTCGAAGACGGCACGTTCAGACTCGTCATGCACTTTGAAGAGCAATACCCCAACAAGCCTCCGGGCGTCAAGTTTATCAGCACCATGTTCCATCCCAACGTCTACGCCACGGGCGAGTTGTGTCTAGACATTCTGCAGAACCGCTGGAGTCCCACATACGATGTCGCCGCCATCTTGACCAGCATCCAAAGGTGTGTCGTGCCACCCAACCTTGTCATGACCCAGACTAACATGGCCAAAACAGTTTGCTGAACGATCCCAACACCAGCTCGCCGGCCAACGTCGAGGCATCGAATCTGTACAAGGACAACCGCAAGGAGTACTACAAGCGCGTGCGCGAGACAGTCGAGAAGAGCTGGGAAGACTGAGGATGCTGTACAGTCGGGTATAGACATGGTTTGAATCAGCGAGGCGTTTGGCACGGGCGTTGCGACATTGGGAGTTGTAGGGAACTGCATTTTCTGCTGCTATATTACGGCGCGCAAGACACGAAACACGACACATGGATGGAGTTGGGACAGTACAGGCTGTGCTTAGGACCATGACGGCCCTGTCAAATACAAAATAGCTTGGAGAACAAGCATGTACCAAAAGATGCAGTCGACTCGTGCATATCATGTCGGAGCTGTGGCGGCGGCATACGGATCGATGGATCAAGGAAGCGACGAGGGGCTGCTATAGGGCTGACTCGGGCTGAAACGCTGAAACCGGCGCTGGCCGAGGGTTGCTTGGCGGCCACGAGGATGCGATTGCTGTGCAGAAGAGTCAGAGGCACAGCGGTGCGAGAAGAGTGTTGTTGTCGGGTGCTGCTAGCATCTCAAATTGTTCTAGAAAGACACAACGGTCGACTTTGGGCAGACTGACGAGTATTTGTATACAACGGCGGTTGCTGTGAAGCTTATCGATCTGGGCTTTTGAGTTTGGCCCTGGCCCCTTGTTGATTTACGGAGGCCCGAGACCAACTTCTCCAGACGCACTGCTGTGCGTGCATCCTGCATACGTTGGCGCCGACTCTCTCTCTCTAGCCTCTGTTTCCTCAGTCGCCCGCCTACTCTGCCCTTGGGAGAAAGTGTCGATTCCCTAACAAGCAGGCCACCACCTGCCGCAACCCGGCCACCATGGCGTAAGTTGACCCCAGAGCCCCCACCATCACAACCACAACCCCGTGCTGACTGCAAACACACAGGAGCAACTCTATCAAGGGTACGTCTAGTCCAGCTCGCACCAGCCTCTCCATTCGCCCTCTGCACCCCACCCGCTAACACCGTCCAGTCGTCGCTCGTTTCAGGCCGCAGAACAAAGTCGAACTCGCCAGCGGAGGCACTCCTATCGTCCAGTTCGAGAGTCCCGATACCTGCAATGTCCAATCCAGAGACGGCGGCGGCGGCGCCTTCACCTTCGATCGCGTCTTCGACATGGGCTGTCGCCAGTCCGACGTCTTCGACTTCTCCATCCGTCCTACCGTCGACGATATCCTCAATGGTTACAACGGAACTGTCTTTGCCTATGGTCAGACCGGTGCCGGAAAGTCGTACACCATGATGGGCTCAGACATCGGTAGCAACGACCACAAGGGTGTCATCCCGCGCATCACTGAGCAGATCTTCGCTTCCATCATGGCCAGTGAGAGCAACATCGAGTACACCGTCCGAGTCAGCTACATGGAGATCTACATGGAGCGCATTCGCGATTTGCTCGTCCCGCAGAACGACAACTTGCCCATCCACGAAGAGAAGAACCGCGGCGTCTACGTCAAGGGCCTTATGGAAGTTTACGTCAGCAGCGTCGACGAAGTTTACCAGATCCTGGAGCGAGGAGGTATGTCTCGTGCTGTTGCCGCTACGAATATGAACCAAGAATCGTCCCGTTCGCACTCCATCTTCGTCATCACCGTCGGTCAGAAGAACGTCGAGACTGGAAGCGTCAAGTCGGGCCAGCTGTTCCTGGTCGATCTGGCTGGTTCGGAAAAGGTTGGAAAGACAGGAGCCAGCGGTCAGACGCTCGAGGAAGCAAAGAAGATCAACAAGTCGCTCAGTGCTCTGGGCATGGTCATCAACGCCTTGACTGACGGCAAATCCTCTCACGTCCCCTATCGCGATTCCAAACTCACTCGTATCCTACAAGAATCCCTCGGTGGTAACTCGCGAACTACCCTCATCATCAACTGTTCGCCCTCGAGCTACAACGATGCCGAAACCGTCTCCACCCTCCGCTTCGGTATGAGAGCCAAGTCGATTAAGAACAAGGCCAAGGTCAACCAAGAACTTTCTCCTGCCGAGCTCAAGGCTCTTCTCCGCAAGGCCCAATCCCAGGTCTCAGACTTCGAAACGTACATCTCCACCCTCGAATCAGAAGTTGGCAATTGGAGAAAGGGTCAAAGTGTACCGAAAGAGCAATGGACCCCTACACTAAAAAACGGACCTGCCAGATCTGCACCTCGCCCTGCTACCCCCTCGCTCCTCAGCGAGCAGCGCAAAGGTGCCGAGACACCTTCGTCAAGACCGGACTCAAGGTTGGATCTGGAACGCGCAGGAACCCCAACGACTGCTTTGGAGAAAGATGAAAGAGAAGAGTTCTTACGACGCGAGAACGAGTTACAAGATCAGCTTGCTGAGAAAGAGTCTGTTATTGCTACAAACGAGAAGGCCCTCCAAGATACACGTCAAGAATTACGCGACTTGAGAGAAACACATAGTCGTGTCAACAAAGACAACGAGAAGCTCGCTGGAGATGTCGAAAGTCTGAAGATGCAAGTCGAGCGCATCACTTTCGAAACAAAGGAAGAATCCATCATGATGGACAGTCTGAAGGAAGCCAACAACGACCTTTCGAATGAACTCGATGAGCTGCGCAAAGAATTGCTCGAAGCTAAGATGAACGCCCGCGAGACATCAGCTGTCATTGATGAAAAGGAGAAGCTGAAGAAGGAGCGCATGGCTCAGATGATGGCCGGCTTCGATCTCGGAGATGAGGTCTTCTCGGAGAACGAACGTAACGTACAAGAGGCCATCAAGCAGCTCGATGTTCTTCTGGAGTCTGCCTCGAACGGAGACGCGCTTGGTCTTGAACCTCTAACGAAACTCAGAGAGAGACTGGTCGCAACTCAAGGCGCTATCCGCCAGGTGGATCACTCGAACCAGGGCGGCGCTCTGGAGCACAAGCTTCTGACGGTACAGAAGCAATACGAAGAGCTTTTGCAAACAAATCTCTCGGAGGCCGACGTTGAAGATGTTAAGCGCCGCCTACAAGAATCACTTGAATCGCATACCGGCGGCCAAGCAGGATCTTCAGACCTTAACGCTGCCCTGGCTCGTCAACAAGAAGAGAACAGTCGCATGCGCAACGAAGTCGAGTCTTTGAGGAGGCAAACAGTCAACGGAGCGAATGGCGCAAAGTCACTGCACCAACAACTGGCAGACTTCGACGCCATGAAGAAATCATTGATGCGCGACCTGCAAAATCGTTGTGAGCGTGTCGTCGAACTCGAGATCTCGCTCGACTCAACACGGGAACAATACAACAGCGTCCTTCGCTCAGCAAACAGCAAGCAGCAACAGAAGAAGCTGGCCTTCCTCGAACGCAACCTGGAGCAACTGACCCAAGTCCAAAGGCAACTGGTCGAGCAAAACGCCCAACTCAAGAAGGAGGTCGCCATTGCCGATCGCAAGCTCGCAGCACGTGGAGAGCGCATTCACGGCCTCGAGCAATTGCTCGGCGAGAGCCAGGAGAAGCTCATGCAAGCCAACCATCGGTATGTTTTCCTTCACCCCTTTCCCCATACCACACCATCCCCCACTAACACAACCTTCACAGTTTCGAAGCGCAGCTCACAGCCGTAAAAGAACGCCTCGAAGCCGCCAAAGTCAGTGCCGCGTCCCGCAACGGCATGGTCGCTGGCGGCGGCGGAGCAGCACCCAACGGCTTTGGCAGCGAACTCGGTAGCCGTATCGCAAAGCCGCTCCGTGGTGGCGGTGGTGCAGGTCCCATGGTGCCCACGCTCGCAGGCTTGCAACAACAATCACAGCAGGATGGCCCAAAACGCAGCAGCTGGTTCTTCAACCAGCGAACCTGATGAGTCGCGGTGAATTGATCTTTGCAGTGGTGTTCCTAATGCTCGCTTTTGGGTTGTTGGTTTGGTAGAAGTTTTGCATCCGTGATGAGCAAAAGGAAAAAAGGTTACATTCAATGCATTTAGAAGGGCGTTTTTTTGTTCTTGCGTTGTGGTCGTCGGTTGTTTTTCCCACAAAGCATCTTTCATTTCTCTCGTTCGTCTCCCTTCGTCTCGAAGATGTCTAATCCTCCTCCTTCTATCACCGAAAAACGGATGATATACCTTGGTATTCGCTCTCTCTCTCACATTGATGCCTCACTACTTCAATCATCTGCTAGTGTAGCAAGTGACCGTGCTATGAAAAAATGGTGTAGGTGGCGCACATTGTAATTTCTATACAATGTTCACGTCCACACAACCCATCGTCCTCTTTTTTTTTTTTCTTTTTCTTTTAGATGGGAAGTGATGTTTGCCTCAAGTTGGAATTGTTCTCAGGAGAAAGGGAGAAACATCTATCGAATTTGAGCTTTGGCACGGTAAAAAAAAAATCATAAGAACGCAGCCATTGAACGAGTAGTGTAGTTAAAGAGTAAAATTTCTTGGTGGTTGGCCCTATCTTCTCGACCTTCTAACAAATCTGTCGAGGTTGGATGGCAGGAAGAGCACCCAAAAGAACGCCGTTCGCTAGAAAATCACATATGCTCGCCAGCCGCCGCCCACGCTCATCTCATTGGAACGAGATGCTGTCCATCTGCTCCTGCATGCATTCGTGATCCCCCTGAGATTTTCTTTTCCAAATCTTGTTTCATTTGTTTCCCCCCCAAAACACCATCGCTTTTTGAAATTTTTAGAACTCCATGTAATGCTTGCAATGCAGAAAAACGCTCCTCGCAGTACGCCAGAAGGGAAAGAAGAGATCGAGAGGCAAGAAAAGGCAGAGGATTCATGCGCTCTATGCAAGGTAGCGGTACGAAGGCAACTTGGCATCCTCGATACGCTCCAGGTACTCACGCTCAATCAGACTCTCAATCTTCTTCTTGATCATGGTGACATCAGGCTTGAACTGTGCACTCAATTGCGTAAGTGTCTCGTTGATCAGCTGTTGATGAGACAATTCTTTGCGCTGTTTCATGATGCGCACAATGGCTGCTTCAATGACAAAGCCGCGAGAGTCGTTGTTCTTCTTCTCGGTATCCTTGCGCTCCTTGTCGTTCTCGACCTTGTTGCCTGCAGTGACGACGCCGACCTTGACTTTGATGAATTTCGAGGTGAACTTTTCGTTGAAGGAGAAACGGTCGGTGGGCTTGACGTCCTTGCTCATGGGGTCCTTCACGAGGATGCGAGTCTTGGGTGCCACGGCTAGTGATTGCAGGTTTCTGATGAGCTCGTTTTGCGGGATGTTTGTTTGTGCGGCAATCTCTTCGTAGGTGAGTGTGCCGTCGACCGGGAGATCGTTGAAGAGTGACAGGATGATCATCATGTAGGTTGACACGTTGAGCTCGTGCACTCTGGTCTTGGGAGGACCACCGTCCTTGCTGGGTAGCTTGAAGGTGCCCTTGATATCAGCCGTACCCATACCACCTTGCCAGCTGAGCACTCGGCCAGAGTACTTGGTGGTATAGTACTGCTCGAAACTCGTCTTGATCTTCTCGACCGCAGGGGGGTAGATGGTCTTGAGCTCTCCTTCTTCATCGTGGCCTCTCATACTCTCGACTGGCCATGTCATGCTGGTTAGGACGTTGATGCTGAGATCAATTCTCTTGGGATCGTTTTCGCCAAGCTTTGAGATATATGTCTGGTAGCCTGATGTGAGTTCTTCCGAGAGAGACATATCTTTGAACATGGCCTCCATCTTGAGTGTGAAACTGTTGCCGAGCTCGATCTTCATGCGACCCAACATCTGCTTCTCAACGTCCAGACTTACTGACTTGCCCATGAGCAAGCGTTTGGAGAGATGCTTCTTGTAATACGTCTCGAAAATATCCTTGTCCTGGAGGTAGCGAACCAAGGTGATGGCCTTTTCAAGCACTTGATCAACCTCTTCCTCGGTCTTGCCCTTGATTCCCTTCTTCATGTTGTCGTCGATGAAGAGCGAGATGTACTCGGAGCTTCTCTGGAGAGCATTGATTGTGTCGGAGAAACTGCGAGTCTGGGCGGTTTGTAATACTTGGTCCTGGTTGAAAGCGAGTTTCCAGATGCGGTCGAAACGGTCCTTCAAATCCAGTACATCCTGAACCCACTTCAAGGCTGCTACCGTCTGTTGGTTGACCTTCTCTACTGGTCTTGCCTTCTCTTTCTCTCCAGTCTCTCCATCTTCGGCGGGTGCTGATTGAGCGGCGGGCTGTGCAGTTGGCTGGTTCATGGCATTGCTGTTGACATTCGTTCCCATCTCCTGGATGATCTTCTGAATGGCTTTCGTCAACTCGGGCTTCTTGGGGTCTACTCTGCTCTCCAGCTCAAAGACCAGACCAAGATCTTCGTGCCTGTCGTTTGCGACCATGAACTGCACTCCACTGTCCATCTCGATCAAGGCCTTTATTTGTTGGCGAATGAGCTCATCCTCGACAACCTTGATAATTTTTGCAGACGTCGATTCTGAGATTGTGGAGCGACAACGATCAGCTTCTTCGTCCAGTCTCCTCCTCACGTGTCGACAGTATGTGCCTGCATCTGACTCTTTCAACAATCTTTCGCTTTCCTCGCGGTAGAAGACTGCGCTCTTGGCGAGGAAGTCTTGCTCGAACTTTGTGAGATACAGCTTCTCGTCTTCTCCTTCTGCGTCTGTCTCGAAAAGACCTTCCAGCATATATGTGTTTGCCTTGATCAAGGATTTGTCGATGTAATCGCCATCGCGATCCATACGAACCTGGTCGAGGATGACGGCGTTTAAGGTATCGAGAAAAGAGAGCGGGGGTTGGACGGAGGCGATGGCGGTCGAGTACAGGATGCTATCTCTGAAAAGACTCATGGCCTTTGAGAAGATAGAGGGTTGCCTGGTATCGGCGCAGTAGACACGGTCCATGTACATGAGGACGTCTGTCAACATGCTCATCGAGGTCTGATGGTCTTGCCAGGCAGACTTGAGGGCAGCAAGGAAGCGGGTACCGGCCTCGCGGCGTTCGGGAGCGGTAGCACTGGCATCGAGGGAAGAGTCGGAGTCGTCGGCGAGGATGTGGGCATGTAGGGTGCGAGCAATGTCTGTACGAACAGCAGTGGACAGCCAGTGAGTCTCGAAATCGGCGACCTTTTTGTACAAATCATCGCCTTTCTTCTTGAGGACTATCTTATAGGCGGCGCGGTAAAGCTGTTCGAAGGAAAGAGCAGATGCGTTCTTTGTGTGAATTTCGCCGAACGCATGCGACAGAGTTGACCATGTTTGCTCGAAGTCAACATCGTTGGCACCAGCAACGCCCTGTTTGCGGTTTATGTTAGAGAGGTTTGAACTGCGATGAAGCAGAGCGGACTTCAAAACGGAAGCGATTAACAGTAACGGAGACTTACTCTTCTGGGAGCGCGAATCTTGGTGCGCTGACGGCTGGCCATGATTGTAGTATTTGGGAAGACAATTCTTGTCGTGAGCTGTATGACTTGTCTTTTGTGAAGTGGCGGGGTTGGAGAGCCGTTGCAACTCGGTAGTGACAGCGGACAGCTTTGGCTTTGACTTCCTCAGGGTCTTTGTTGTTGCTTTGTGCGGGAGCTTTGGAGTCAACAGCCTTCATACAAGACGGATGATAGCGTGAAGAGCGATGTGCAATAAAGACATGTGACTGGAGTCAAGAACATGGAGACAGCGGGGATCGTGTTCGTGATAACTCGCATCAGCAGCTCCGGCACTGAATGGCAGCTGCTCGCCGCATTCGGAAACTGCCCCTCGCACGGTCCACATGGCAGAATTCCTTGCCGCCCATGACGCGCCGCAAACAGCGTCGAAGTTGCGACAATTCACTTTCAATCTGCCACTGTCTGACTACCAACCCTTTGCGCCATGTCTGTCCCCTCTGCAACTCGTGCTTTGCAGCGCGTCTGCTTGCGCCAACCCTCAATCACTCAAGCATACCGCCAGCAGCTCCGACTCCTCTCGTCGCGACCCTCATCGGCATTCCCGCCCCTCCTCCGCACTCAGTCACATCTCTCCAACACTTTCCAATCACAGCAGCGACGATGTGAATCAACAGCCAAGCCTTTGACCGACCGTCCCGACCAACTACCCAAGCCTGAGTCTCGTGAGGAGGTCCCTTCATACGAAATGACCTTCACTTGCAAGGCATGCTCGATCCGTTCGTCGCACCGCATGTCCAAGCAGGGCTATCACCACGGCACAATCCTCATCACATGTCCCGGCTGCAAGAACAGACATCTGATTGCCGACCACCTGAAAGTATATCTACCGCGTGCCATTCCTACCCAGCGACAACTTCTGACACGTCTAGATCTTCTCCGACAAGCGTATCACCCTCGAAGACATTCTCGCCGAAAAGGGTCAACTGCTCAAGAAAGGTGCTCTGGATTCCGAGAGCGACATGGAGTTCTGGGACGACGGCTCCCAGACTGAACGTACAAAGAAGCCCTGATTACCTCCTCACCATCAGTCAGTGCAGCTGGCCTGCACTGTCCATCAGCATGCCTCAGTGAGGCCGACATAATACTTCTCAACTCTATCGACACTCTTCACCATCTACCATAGACCACTGTTTGGGAGATAATCGAGAAAATACAACCATGTATAGACATAAAATGAAAATCGACTTTCTTGCTATAAAAACAATCTACGCTTTTCTGCCGATGCTGACATCGAGTCTGCTAATGAGATATGCGACACCGAAAGTGCCCATGAGGGAGCTGAAGATGACAATGGGCTTCCTGAAGCCGGCGAGGAAGGGGTAGTCATAAGTCACGACGAGATCCTTGCCGCGGAAGTCGTCGACGACGTTCAGGGCAGTGAGCTTGAGCGTCGAGCGGCCTACGGTGTCCATGAAAGTACGGTGTGTGCTGACCTCGGACGAGATGATGGGAACCTTGGTCTCAAATTTGATGTTGCTGCCGTTGTTGTTAGCTTCTGTCGATCGTCGTCAGACAGGAAACAGAACTTACGTTGCGCCCTCAGGGAGGACAATTCTGACAGTCAACTTCTCAATCTCTAGGCCCTCGGACTGCTTAGGACCCTCAAGGAAAGGCACCTTGAGAATGTAACCATCACCAGTCTTGAGCTTGCGCAAGAAGCTCTTGAGGTCGTTGTCCCAACCGACCTTGAAGCTGTACTTCCAGCCACCAAAGACTGGGTAACGGGGCTTGAGCTGGAGCAAGGCTTCCTTGGGAGTGTTTCTGGGACGGAAGCGGGAAGTGCTGACGTTACCGATGTCGTCAATGAAGTAGGGGTTTGCGCTTCCAATGATGAGGGGGTACTCGAGTTCCTTGAGAGCCGAGGTAGGAGGGTTGAAGTATTGAGTCTGTTGCCATTGAACACGCGAGAACTGCTTCTTCAGGGCAGCACCTCTGTTCTCGAGCCAGTAGCGCTCCTCGGTTGCGATGTTGCCTCCCCAGTGACTGACTTCGATATCACGCTCGACAAGAGTGGCATGCAGCAGAGGCTTGGTGAACTCGTATCTCAACGAGACGGGCTGGTTGGCACCGGCGGGAACCTCGCCGTAGGGACCGTAGGTAAAGGTAACGCCCTGCTTGACGGGGTCTTCTTGGCCCTCGGCGTTGTTACCGACAACAGTATACTCGGGAACGTCGCTGGTGGGCATCTTGAGCTTGGTCTTTTGCTTGATGGTCTTGTAGGCCGAGTTTGTGTAGGCATTGAGAGTGATCTGAACGTATTGCTTGTCGGCTTGGTTGATGGTGGCAGGCAGAGGGCTCAAAGCGGACAGGATCGAGTAGGTGATAGACAGGGTGAGCTTCTCCTTGGGTGCCAAAGGGGAGGGTAACTTGACGCGGTAGTACTCGATGGGGCTACTTGGTCAGCGCACTCTAGGACAAGACAACAGCTATATCCAACTCACCTGTAAGTGTCAATGCCGACAATCTCCGGGCTAGGGAAGATGGCATCGGGCTTGTTCTTGTCCTTGACGTCCAGGCCGCCGACTCTGGCAATCAGATCCTGAGGGAAAGGCAAGTAGTAGTCCTGCTGAGGCTTGGAGTCGATGTTCTCAACAACGACATTGATGGTTTCGCGAGGATATTCCTTCTCCAGGTTGACGGTTCGTACAAGGTTGGTGTGCTGGAAGACCTGGGGAGGCTCGAAGATGCCGCTCAGCATCTGCTTCGAGACATCAGGGTTGCTGAGGTTGGCCTCGGCGTTTGCGAAGGAGAGCAGCGCTGCAGCGCAGCCTGCGAGTAAACTCAAGCTCCTCATGGTTGTTGTCTGAGTTGGTGGGTTCCTGAGGATTGAAGCATGTAGCCGATAGCTCTCCAGCTTTGGTGGAAGCGTGGCCTCTCGCTCTCGGCCCACCTTCCCCCGACTCGCCGCGTCATCCAATCGCGACTTCTTCCAAACGCCATCCGACCTTTGTATCACCACCTCTCAATATAATCTATCTGCACCATTACATTCTCTGGAGAACTCTACTCGAACGTCGATCTTATCGATATTGCGAAGTGGCTCAATCTGCATTGATCGGGTTACTCATCTTCACAATCCAGCACTGAAACTCAATCAGAAGAATTGATTCAATTGCTGTAAATGTTCAGATTGCGTCAAGCTGCACTATCTAGCCAAACCTGGCGCCAGTCAACGTCTGGTCTACGTTGTGTTCGCAGTCTTTCGTCAAAAAGCCCTTATCTGAAGGTTTCTGAAGAAGTCCAGCAGGCTATTCACGAAAATAAACCTGTCGTTGCACTCGAGAGTACAATATACACTCATGGCTTTCCTTACCCGGACAACATCGCGCTAGCTTCCCACCTGGAAAGGATTGTCAGAGCCGGCGGTGGTGTCCCAGCTACCATTGGTATTCTCGATGGCGTCGCCCGTGTAGGCCTAGACGCTGAGGAGGTCATTCGTCTTGCTGGTGCTGCTGGCAAACCCGATACGCTCAAGATTTCACGGCGTGATCTGGGCTTTGCTTGCGGCTTGGGTTCTCCAGGACGTCGCTACAACGGAGGCACAACTGTCGCTGGTACCATGATTCTGGCTCATCTGGCCGGTATACAAGTCTTCGCTACAGGGGGTTTAGGTGGAGTGCACAGAGGTGCTGAAAGTACCATGGATATCTCGGCAGATCTGACCGAGCTTGGCCGTACTCCTGTCGCTGTCGTCAGTAGCGGCTGCAAGAGCTTCCTTGACATTGGAAGAACTCTTGAGTACCTGGAGACTCAGGGTGTACCGGTTGCCACGTTCGCCGATGGCCGCGATGGCAAGATAGATTTCCCTGCTTTCTGGACTCGGGAGAGCGGGATCCAGAGTCCAATGATCCTGAACGATGAAAAGACTGCTGCTGCGGTGATCCACGCGCATAAGTCGCTTGGTCTGCAGTCTGGTTTGTTGTTCGCAAATCCCATTCCTGAAGCTTTCAGTATTGCCAAATCCGAAATGGATAAGGTGATTGACGAGGCTCTGCAAGAGGCCGCACAGGCAGGTGCGACTGGGGCAGCTAACACTCCCTTTATCCTTGCCAAGATCAAAGACTTGACAGGCAAGAACAGCGTCAAGTCGAACAAGGCTCTGATTGAGAACAATGTCAGAAGAGGTACCTCGGTCGCGGCTGAGCTGACGAAGCTACAAGCCGAGGACGGCCAAGGTCAAACTTCGTGAGTGAGTGTATTGCTGGGGCTCCAAGTCACTTCGGCTGACTGAGGTAGGATGTTTCAGCCAGCACCATGCTCGCAGACTGTCGAACAAGGCTCCACAGACTATACCACATCTGGTTCGCCTCAGACTGTCTCCGCTCCTATCGAGCAGACGAAATTTGTAATCTCCCCGTCAATTTTCGTGGCCGGAGCACTTGCTGTTGACTTTTCATGTGACTATGCTCCGATCTCCTCTGCTGCAAGCAAAGAGCCTGCTCTGCACACGTCGAACCCGGCCAAGATCAACCAGTCACTAGGTGGTGTAGCTCACAATGTTGCCCGCGCAGCAAATCTCGTGGGTGATCCAGTTCGTCTCTGCAGTGCGGTAGGCGACGACCTTTCGGGCAGAGCTGCTCTCGATGCACTTACAACAGAAGGGCTTGAGAACACTGGTATCAAGATCCGCGAGGGCAGCAGTACGGCTCAGTATGTGGCAGTCAACGATGCGAGCAAAGATCTGGTAATCGCTATGGCCGACATGGACATCTTGGACGAACCTGCAGTTCGTCCAGGCCAACCGTCGACAACCACTTCTACATCCAGTGATACGCTCAACGACTTCTGGCTGCCACAGTTGCTGCAGAGCAAGCCCACACATCTCGTCTTGGACGCAAACTGGCAGTCATCGTCTTTGGCTCGTTGGCTCGAAGCCGCCAAGTCTCTCCCTGCGCATGTAGCCTTTGAGCCTGTGAGCACTGCAAAGGCTCCCAAAATTTTTCAACTCCCTCTGCAGACCACTCTGCGAACCTTCCCTGACCCTTCGATACATCTGTCGACTCCCAACTCTTTGGAGCTCTCAGCTATGTACGCAGTAGCCAGTTCGCTTGGATTCTTCGATCGTCAGGATTGGTGGGCAGTCATCGATTCTTTAGGCATCCCTTCCACAGGTGCTCGTGTGGCGATGACCATGGCGACCAACTCTTCTCTTGTCGATGCTGGTATTCCACAACAGACCATTCAGCTCTTGCCGTTTATTCCTACGATATGCGTTAAGCTCGGTGCAGATGGTGTACTTCTTACTCAGATCCTTCCTGCTGGTGATCCGCGTCTCCAAGATCCTGCATCTTCGCCGTATATACTCAGTCGCTGCTTCAATCTGCCTGAGGAATCGTCTGGTGTCGGTGGTGTTTATATGCGACTGTTCCCTGCCGCTGAGAAAGTTGACGAGAAGGACATTGTCAGTGTCAACGGCGTCGGAGATACTTTCTTGGGCACTATCATTGCTGGCCTTGCTAAGAGAGGTAAGGATGCGAAGATCGAAGAACTAGTAGACATTGCACAGAAGGCTGCTGTGCTCACCTTGAAGAGCAAGGAGGCTGTGAGTCCGGAGCTCTCAAGCTTGAGGTCGATGTTGTAATCTTGCTGTATGGCTAGGTTCAGTTGTGGTGGCTTGAAGATAGACCGCTTGGAGCTAGAAAGGGGCAACTCTGACTTGACTTATCACGTATTGTAGTTAATCCCGCTGAGTATCTCTTTACATTTCCCTCTGCATGTGCTAAAGGATGTAAAGCATACAGCTGTGAACATACACAAAGGTTCCGACAAGCGGATAGTCTCCACGGAAATAAAGCGGAGATAATATTCTATAGTTCCCGCACACGACGCGCACTCAGCGTCTTCGGTCCCGCAAATCTTCATACCAACGTCTAAAGATGACTTATCATGGACTTGACACAACCGACATCGCGTGACAAGACTCGAGCAAGAGCAGAACGAGCATGTCAAGCATGCCGTACCTCCAAAGTCCGCTGCCGAAAACCAGATGATGATTGGCCTTGTTTGCGCTGTAGCGAGGTAGGCAGACATTGCATACCGCGCGAGGAGTCGAACAAGAGACAGAAACAGTTCGATAGCAGATCTATCGATGGTACTGGGACAAGACTAGATGCTTTGGCAGAGGTTTTGCAACATCGAGATGCGGCCATTTCGTCAACTCAGGCCGCTGCCGTGAAAAGAACGACCACGCTTGACCCACAGCCAGCAATTACTTCCATAGGCACAAGCAGAACTACGAACCCCTCTACCTCACATTCGGTGGAGTACTCCACTGCTCATATCGGGCAACTCATTCGTGACGCCGTTGACGATGAGACAACAAGCTTGATCTTTAGCCACTTCATGGACAATATGCTCCAACATTTCCCCTTCATGGCGTTTCGTCCGCACGCGACTGCAGAAGCTGTGCTCCGGACTACCCCGACCTTGCTCCTCGCTATCCTAGACGCGGCAGGTGACGGCTTCTATGATGCGAAAGTCACGCGATATGTCCGACAGCTTCTTGTACGGGTATATTCTACTTGCGTGCTTGACACCAATTTGTACAGGGTGTCTTTGTTGCAAGCTCTCATCATCTCGGTGGTGTGGCACAGAAGTCTGGATTCCCCACAGGCTGGAGAACAGATGGACATTTTCCAGATCAGTCATACTGCTGCCAACATGGCTATGGTCATGGGCATGGGTAAGGGCAATCGATACACAAGCCTGGAAGTGAGGAGACTGTGGCTAGCGTGCTACCACATTTGTTCAAGGTACACGCGTAACTCATAAACCTCGAAGACTTCATACTGACAGTTCCCAGCGCTTCGATGGCGCTACGCATACCAAATATTATGCGATGGACTCGACATATTGACGAGTGTTTGGACGCCCTAAGCGTATCTGACCAAGTGCTGTGCGCTCAAGTGAGGTTGCAATACATCTTGGAGGAGTGTGAAGCACAGTTGTCCTCCACCCCTAGTGTGACTGCGGTCAATGTCACTCACAGAGTCGCCAAGCGTCAGCTAGCGGAGTGGGCTTCTGTAGCGCACATCTGGAATGGTACCTGTCAATTGTTTGTTTCGCCTGGACCAGTGACTGACACGAGGCAGACTCACTAAAGCTATCTCGACAGTTCGTGACGCTCTACATCCACGAACTGAAGATGACCACAACACCAGCCATACCCTCACTTCCTGAAGATGGTAGAACCTCCATCAATATCAGTAAGTCTGAGTTCACCGAGAGCCTCACGGCCGCCCACGTCTTACTCGACACATTTCTATCTCTAGACATGTCCCTGATACGTGCTCTCCCAACATCATATTCTGTGCAGATAACACACACAGCAATAGTGCTTGTGAAACTCCACTTTGCATCAAGAGGATTTCGGGACCATGGAGATCTGGATCTCAAAGCTGACGACTACCTGGGGCGTCTGGTGAAGAAGTTCAGTGGTTGGGGTGCACTGTGGCCTGCCCAGAAACTTTCGTATACTCTCCGCAGGCTTCACAGGATGCTTCGCCAATGTGGTAATCAAGGATTCGCTTCCGAGTTGTCCTGGCTCAATGTATGGACTTTAGCTGAACCATCGAGGGGAAACTTTGCTGGCCAAGTAGGTGGGACCACGAATCATTCCGGAACTGTGAGAGAAGAACTGCCTATCTCCCAAGGTCTCGACAGTACAGTACGAGCGACACTCTCCGCATTCGATGAAGAGTTGTTAGCATGGAGTATGTCAGGCACAGGTCAATGCAACGTTATTGAGGATCTCGCACAAACTGCCCTACCATCCGCGAGCCTGGATGCTAGCCAGCTGATAGATTGGTTTGGAACAGATCTGGACACGAGCACGTTCGACTTCGACGGCAACCTACAATCTATGATACAAATATTCGATTGAGACTGTACATATCATGGTGCATACATCTATCGCACAGTGCGACTGAGCAGATTGGTGGTATGCTCCCATACCCTTCCAGTCATACCTTGCGCCCTCAATCTCTGCATCTTCTTGCCCGCTGCGGACGTCTCACCCTTCCAATTCGTCAAGTATGCGCCGCTACCGAGCACTTCGTTGGAGCCCATAGCTGCTCGATCTCCCTCATTAGAAGCAACAGCACCAGACTTCTCAGAACTCCTGGCAGGATAGCGTTCGGACGTAGCATGGAAGAGATGACGCTCGCCGCTTTCCTCAAGATTGACCGAGAAAGGGTACATCAAAGGCCACATGCCATAGTTGTACAGGGCAGCCAAGGGTCGAGGAAAGCTATTGGTGTAGATGTTCGTCCCGACTATGCCAGGAAAAACATGAATAAAGGAGGCGCGGTGCGAAGCGGCCAGATGTTCCATCGCCAACGAAGTCATGGTGACAGAATGCATAGCGCAGCTCACAATGTTGTAGTTGTGCTTTAGGTCAAGGTCGTTGGCGTTGATGTTGCCTTCGAAGCCACCTCCCAGAACACTGACGACACGTCCTGGTCGAGGCTCCGCAGCCTCCAGCAGTGGAAGCAGATTTTGAGCAAAGCGCATGCGAGCGTAATAGCGCAGCGCGAATAGTTTGTCGATGCCCTCGCTTGTTTCGCGACGTCCGACCAGCGAGATACCACCTGGAGTCATGAAAAGCAGGTCCAACGCATTCTCATGTTGCTTGATGCGTTCACAAGCTTTGTCAACGTTGCTGATGAGTGAGATATCGGCTTCGATGAAGTTGTAAGAGCCGAGAGGGTTGAGCTGACGCAGCTCTTTCAGCAGCGGTTTGGCGTTGTTCTCATTGCGTCCGACAATATAGGCCGTTGGAGCCTTAGTGTTGAATGCGAGTTGGCGTAGCGTGCTTCGGCCAGTGCCACTTGTTCCTCCTACGAAGAGGGCCACAGGCTTGGGTAGTCTGGAGCGCAGGCCACTGTTGGCTTTACGTACGATGTCGAGGCTGACCATTCCTGGTTTGTACGTTGAAGCTCCTTTGAAGAGGGTCTGATGGACTTGCGTTTGTCAAAGAAACAAGGTAGATGGTTGGAAGCAAGGAAGTGAGATGATGTGAGAAGGTTGTTAGACGAGCAGTGAATGAGAAGCGACCCGGACATGGCCTCAGTCATCTTTTTATATAGTCATGGCACACTTTCCAATATCCATCACTAGCGGCGGATCAAGGACATGATGAAACATTTCCGCCTTTTGTTATCATCCGTGACACCTGCCTTTGCAAGGTAACGATGAATTGTGTTCTTGTGTCCACAGCCGTTCAAATTCGCCTGGGCTGCAATACGACTACAAGTGCGACCCAGATCAGGTTCTTCAACCGCAAACAACACTTTGTCTGAGGTTCATGTACTTTGTTATATGAGAAGTGGTAAAGTAATTGTGTACAATGTGGTGCTGGAAAGAGGGATCGTGTAGGATCGTGGAGATGCCGAAGGATGCCGACGGATCACCGTTGCCAGCAAAATCTCTCCGAGGGATCAGACTGTGCTCCGACGACATCTCTGTTGCTGATCGTGATGCAAAGTCGTTTAAGTTCTCAATCCTCACTCTGTGCCCCGTATGGGATCGATCCCGGTAGGCATCAAGATGTCTCGTAACAAATTATACACATACAAGGTAAAATGACCTCCAGCATGATGTGCAGAGAGCGAGATAGCTGATATATTACTCGCTCAATAGGGTGGTCCGAGATCTATTGGCATCCTTGCAGTCGCCCATGCCGTCAACTATGATATCGAGGTGGTGGAGACGAATCCACAAACTGGACTTTCCGAAGAATACTTGAAGCTGAACAGATTGGGCAAGACGCCTACTTTTGTTGGTTCTGATGGCACGGTTCTGACCGAGTGTATGGCAATTGCACTACACGGTACGGACGGACGAATCTGTCAGTCTTATCGGGGCAGCTGATCAGCCATACAGTAGCAAGTCAAGACTCCAGATCAAGGATGCTCGGCTTTGGACATATGGACTTCATCAAAATCGTCAGCTGGATGTCCCTCTGCAACACCGACGTCGTCAAAAGAATGGCAGCCTGGATCCTCCCACTCCTGGGCGTGGCACCTTACTCTCCAGATGGCATTGATCAGGCAAAGAAGCAGACGGATCAAGCCATCCAAATCTTCGAGGATCATTTACATGACAGAAGATATCTCGTGGCTGATTGCTTGACTCTGGCTGATCTTTTTTGTGCTGGTTTGGTCAGTTTTGGTTTTGCCAAGGTTTTTGACAAGGCATGGAGATCCAAGTTTCCTTGCTTTACAGCTTGGTTTGAGATGGTGACGGCTTTGGAGATGTATCGAGCGGTGGTGCCTGATACTGTTTTTGTAGAAACTGCTCTGGGCCCGCCGACTGTATCGATGAGGAGCAACTACACTGCGGATGACTAGCAGAAGCATCCACTCTTGGAAGTCATGTTTATGAATGTCAGCTGGAGAACCGCATCTTCGGACTATCCGACCCAAAGTTCTATCAGCGGCAGGAGCAATCGGTGTCAGCGCGCTCTCGAATTCGCCGTCGCTATGGGTGCGGACAGTAGATTGGCTTGCACATTTAATGTGAAGACCACAAGGCGCGGCGGAAGCGGCAATGCACATGTTTCAGGAAGGCTCTCCAACACAAGCGTCTCGCGCTGAGGATCTGCACCTGCCCAAGACGCCTTCACTTCCCTCTACCCTTATATACTATGTTTCCAGGGAAGCTGTTGTCCAGCCAGGCAAGGGTCCCGCCTTATTCGGCTAGGTGTGTTTGGCCCACCTGGCTGGAACGGAATCTCACCAACTTCGGTCTCTGGTTCAATCCTCAGGAGCGGCATTACTTTGACACTGGATTAAACTGGACATCATTTTCAAATTGGATTACACTGGACGAAATAAGAGAACGCGGGGGCTGCCGGTTTCTTTCCCACCAGGGAGGTGGTTTCTTTTGCTCCCCTCTTGTATGTGAGATTCTCTTTGTGGTGGTTGTTGATATGTCGTAGAAAGGTGGTGGTCGCCTCTTGCATGATATGACTTTTACATGTTTTCAGCTGTACGTGATGTGTATCGATCGGAATCGCGTATCACCCGTGTACTCGAGATCTACTTTCTGTGTACTGCTGTCAAGCCCCTAGCAAAGTGCACTGCTTTGTATCTATTTGGCGTGCGTTCGCCTTGTTCTAGCATCTACACAAGCAACTGCGACGCTCCATACGGGCTCAACATAGGGCTCGTGTGTTCTCTCAAATATGTCTGGATTCATCTACCTGCAGACATGTTGACACTACCATTTCGACACCTCCTCTCAGCCTCATGCGCGTGTCTCGCGGTAGCCCGAGTAAACCCAACACCACAAAGAGAACATTTCAGATCTGCAGCGTCTCTACCTCTCCGCTTCTCTCGTTGATGTCTAGCAAAATTGCTTTTGTTAGAGAAGGTGCGGCCATTACAACATGAATTCCAGCAACGATAAAGCTCAGACGAGTTTAGATCGCTGTTGTTTGTCGGTGGGGGTGGTGGAGCTGGTTGAGAGGGTGATTGTGGTGAGACCTGGATCTGTTGCTCGGACAGAGCTTCAGATCGTCTTTGTCTCGTGTTAGCACTTGCATGCCATGGTGGAATTGATATACAACGATTGTCTTCTCTCGTCGAGCTCTTGCTGTAGTTTTTGGATCTCGGCTCTGATTGCATTGTCCGATGGTATTGTGTGTTGGATCGACTGGGAACACGCGGTTGGTGTTGCTTCGAGATCTTGCAGATTAGTTCTCAATCCGGCAGTCAGAGAATGTGATGTCAAGTCATCTGTGTTCGCATAGAAGAAGGCCCAAGATTCGCTACATCATCTCAGCAAAGTCGATACCTCATTTTTTGAGTCCATCATACCCATATGTATGGCCCATTAGGATTAGAGTCCTGAGCGGTTCGAGGGGAGAGGTTGTTGATTGGAGTTCGCATGGTGAATGCGATGAACCAACAGCCGCGGAAGCAACCTTCGAAGGCAGAGCGGATGGTACATGCAATCGGTAGAATCCCGGCTTTATGCCATGCCATACCATACTACTCTTAGCTGACATACAATTCTGTGTCAACTAGTAGAATGGTGCTAATCTAAATTCGTCGTCGTCGCTTTTCTAGTAGGTTATCCGATCCTTTTGAAGGCTTACTTTAGTTTTCTCAAGCGTTTTCTTCATCTTTATTGACAAGCAAATTTACCCCCTTGAAGTAGAGATTCTTTTACTACGAGCGAAGGGATAAATACTCGACTACTTCGTACCATCACGTTTAATGACCGCCCCTAACCTACCCGATCCCCGTTTCGACAACAAAGTTCTAGTCTACGACCCCGAAGCCATCAAGACAGCTCTATCGACCTACTACCACGCCCTCAGCAAATTGCCATACATCGAAGCATCCGACATCGTCTCCCCACCAGCTGCAGGCTGGCCCAACATCACTGCAACAAACTTCGCGCCACTAGACAAAAACGAAACGGTGATCACGCTCCTCAAACACCTCCCGTATCTGCGGAATCCTGGCTTGCCAAAGGGGTACGCGATTAGCTTCGAAACCTTCGCGATCGACTACTCGGCCGCGCCGTTCACGGAACCGCTTGATGCAGATGCAGCGGAGGGATTGAAGCCAGATCAGTACGAGGATGACGAGGATAAGATCAAGAGCTGGGTGGTGCCGCTTACTATGAGCCGGGATCAGTATTCAGGTTGCTGGTGGTTACTTGATACTACTGATGGTAATTTGTCCCTTCGAGTAACCTCGAACCACGCTGATCATTAGTAGGTACGGTGACAGAGTGGGCGCATAACGATAGCATGAAGCCAGAAGTCAGTTATAAAGACGATGATCCGCGTGCGTGGCGCAATGCTTGCGGCGAGACGAGACTTCTGGAAGAGCTGTTGACTGAGTGGAGGGAGAAATTTGAGAGCTTGGAATGGGCTGCGTCGTCGGAAAAGGTGTGGAACGAGGAGATGATCGCTGAGAATCATGAACAGTTGCAGAGGATCATTAGAGAGCACGGATGGCCACACAAATTTAGGAAAGAGGAGTGTAAGACGGCATTGTTGGTATGGGATGAGGAGCACCAGGATGATTTTTACGGGTCTTAGAGAGAGGCTCGGCACCTTAGAGGCCAACTTGGAGAATGCTTGCCCTGTCTCTGCGGCGTAACTCAGTGGGAAGATTGCACCATTCCTGAAGCTATAGGCTCCGGAATTTGTTCTCCTCCTGCTGTCTGATTATCAACATGATTGAGTGGTAGAATAATGCAATACTCTACTAAGCTTCACGACTTGATCATATGCTAACTAAGCAGGATCAGGATGTTTAACTAGAGATCAGGGGAATATTTCATTGTTCTATCTATCTTATGCCATCTATCGTCCGCTCCGAGCGAGCCTCGAGGGACCGATAGACTTGATATCCGTACAACCCTGCCCTTATATACGGACGACAATATATCATCGCCAATTCAGTCTGATTCTTGTCTCGTGCTACCAAGGGCAGATGGGTGCCTGATATGATGGAACCGAACCCATCTTACCTTCATAAGCTTAGAATATAACGAGAGAGGCACCAAACAAGAAATCCAGCTCAAGCTGTCGGCATGTCAACCCAACCCCACCATGCAACACTCCGTCGTCCAAATCAGTCGTCACAGCAAGATAGCTGACTCTATCTGAGATATCCTGGATGGCGAAGTCACCAGACACAAGCGATCGATATCATTCTCCGAGGCCCAGAGCTTCTTCTAACACGAAGAAAGTCAGGCCGAGAGTGGGCTGGGTGATCGATTCACGCGGCAGAGTGTAGACTTCGGTACACCACGACATAGCCGCTTTACAAGTCTCGGCAAGGAGACCGTAGCTGACCTCCATGCTCGATGTGCTGTTCACTGTGCAAGCAGCGATCATAGGTTGGCGACAAACGATTGTGCCTGATGCAAGGTGAAGCAGCCTTACACAAATTGGACAGCAGACGTGTAAGCATTGCACCAAATCGATGTTGACCGACGCAGGTTTAACCGAATAGAGGTAAGACGGGACGGCAAGGCTGTCGCTTCTGCATGTCGAGATTGCCCGACCACATCCTGGACTCCTTTCGAGCGGATATCCACCTCGACAGCTGTTAGACCCGTCAGCCTCAGCCAAGTGTCGCCAGCATGCAGCAAAATATTCTTAATCACGTTGTTTGAGCAGAAGAGTTTATGGTCTTCTTCGGATTGAGCCGCTCACTGAATCTAGTCCAGGTACAACTGTACTTTGGTGTATGCCGCCGAGGACAAGGCGAGCTGAGTAGTGGATAGCGACTAGAGGTCGTTGTCGGGCAATCAAAGGCAAAAACTCTTCCATGTATTCTCTGCCTGTCGTTGAGACTCCACACACACACTTATCGAGCTAATCGCTGTTTTCACTCTGCCATGTGGTGAGGTTCTGATGTCTGTCTGTGCCGCGATTGCGAATGCATCTTGGTGGCTGACGGAGGCTTGTTCTACCCACCTCGGCGCCGCATGCAGTCCGGACTTTGTGTGGTGTAGTGGAGCCGCTTGGATGATTCTTTTCTTCAAGGTTCGAAGAGGAAAATTCATCGAGATCCCCCGTGCGGTCAACACGTGGTTGATATTGGAGGTGGATCCATCGCATATGCGATTCTAGAGCATCGGCAGGGTAGACAGTTGATCTTTGATACATGTTTGTAGCGCTCTTGTTGAGCAGCTGAAGAAGTCGATAATTGTTGAGCATCGCTCGGCTGGACCTCTTGCCCCTGTCAATCATTTCGGCTCCTGGAGAAGGTTGTCGGGCTGCTTCCGACGGGCCGTCGAGGGCGCAATCTGAAACGAAAGCCGCTGCGCGTTTCCTTGGCCGATTTTCCGGGCATCGGGGTGTGGACGGTGGGCGGTTTGTTTCACCCTCCTCCTTCTCCAAATTATCAACATGTGAACAAGTTCGTTGTGGTGTATTGGCAAGACATCATGAAACGTGCTTCGGGTCTCGTACATGGACGATAGAGTACCAATCCAATCCCCAGGCGCCACACACAAGCTTTTCCAACATGCGCCGGCAGCACGTTATGTGTGATCCGTGCAAGCCCCATGTCAGCGAATGGCACCTGAGTGCCCCTTGTTCTTCTAGGCCCGATGTGACAGCCGGTCCAGTGTCGTGCGATTAGCTGTGCGCCGCGGCTCGATTTCTCGTTCTGTAGTACACCATGTGGAACTTGGTACCTGATTGCGTGGTCTCTTTACCCCTTGAATTGGCTTTGTTGTAACTTTTGCCGTCCTGCATGTGAAGACGGAAGTGACGAGAGCACGGGTCCATGTGAAGCGTTTGTCGTGAGGCGCATCTCGTGAAAGGTAAACGAATGTTCCGCCAGGTGCGTGTTTATAAAACTATCTAGCCGTCGCACTCTGTCCTCGACCTTCCTTCCTCCCAACCACGTCCGCCTTACCATTCACTCTCTTTCAAGAGCATTCGCTCGTTTCGTTCTCTCGTCTGTACAGACACCACTCTCTTTCTTTTAGCAACCCAAAAGCCCTGGTAGGCTTTTGTTCAAGGCGCTCTAGCAGCAGCACTTTTTTCGCCCTTTCGAAATTCAACAAGATATCCAAGTTTCTTCATCCTTTTCATCACTCCTCTTGAAAGATGTCTTCTATCAACACCAAGCTCGCCATCCTGGCCCTTGCCGGCTCTGCTGTCGCTGTCCCCAGCTTCGGCCATGGAAAGCACCACGGCAAGCACCACCACCACAACAAGCACTTCTTCGGCTCTTCTGGTGTTGCTACCGGTACTGGCGCTCCCTATGGCATGGCTAACGCTACCGGTATCTGGGGCACTGGAACTGCTGCCTCCGCTGGCCTGCCTTCTGGTCATTCGTTCGTCCACCCTTCCGCTATTGGCCCTCACACTGGTTCCTCTGAGGCTGCTCCTAAGGGTACTAGCACCAGCACTTGCACCAGCTCTGTTGTGAGCATTACTCACACCAACCGTGTTACCATTACCGTTCACGCAACCTCCGCCGAGGCCGCTCCTGTCCAGACCACTTTCAGCACCAAGGCTTACACCAGCTCCGCCGACGTCAACAGCACTGCCGTCGCTTTCAGCAGCGCTGTTGCCCTCAGCAGCTCTGTGCTCGTGGAGAGCAGCGCTTCTTTCAGCAGCAGCTCTGTGATCCCTGCCGAGAGCTCTGCTCCTGCCCTTGACCTTGACCTCCAGAACAAGGGTCATCGCAAGTGGACTCGCTCTTCCACTGCCGCTGCCAGCACTTCGACTGCTGCTGCTCAATCTACCAGCGCTACTTCCGTTGCTCCTGTGTCGACTTCGACCAGCTCCAGCATCAGCTCCACTTTCGCGGTCGCTCCTACTTCTGCCGTCATTGTCAGCTCGTCTACCAAGGCCTCTTCGACCTCTTCTTCAGCCGTTCCCACCTCTAGCAGCACTGGTAGCGGAAAGCGTGGTCTTGCTTACAACACTGCCTCCCTCCTGACCTGCTTCGAGGACAGCACCCAGGTCAGCTGGGGCTACAACTGGGACTCTGACAGCGCCGGTCTGTCCAGCAGCTTCAACTACGTCCCTCTCCTTTGGGGCCTGAGCCACACTGATGTCTGGAACTCGCGCGCCACCAGCGCCATTGCCAACGGTGCCACTCACTTGATGTCCTTCAACGAGCCCGACATGACTTCTCAGGCCAACATGTCTCCCGAGGATGCCGCTTCCGCTTACAAGACTTACATGATGCCCTTCGCTGGCAAAGCCAAGCTTGGTGCTCCTGCCGTTACCAACGGTGGAGGTAGCATGGGTCTCAACTGGCTCGCTGCTTTCCTCGAGGCCTGCGATGGTTGCCAGGTTGACTTTGTCACCATCCACTGGTACGACTCTGCCTCCAACACTGCCTACTTCAAGGAGCACGTTCAGAACGCCACTGATGTCGCTGGCGGCAAGCCTGTCTGGGTCACTGAGTTTGCCCCTACTGGCAACCCCTCGAACGCTGACATCTCGACTTTCCTCGAGGATGTCATGCCTTGGATGGACAGTCAGTCATTCGTCGAGCGTTACAGCTACTTCATGGCTTCCGACGGTGCCCTCATCAGCGGTACCGAGCCCTCGACCTTCGGTCAGACTTATGCCACCTACTCTTCTTAAGAATGTTAGTCATTGAATGACTACTTTGACAAATGTGAACAATGAATGGGGATTGGCATACGATGTAGAATTCGGGAAGGAAATGGAAATGGGATGATCGGATGATCATCATGCAACGAATTCGGACGATTAGACAAGGCAAGGACTGGCTTCTGCTTGATATGGGATTATGGACGAGGTGGATAAACCAAGAATTGCAGAAAATGAAAAAAGCTGTGATACAAACAAATCATGCGCATGTTCAATGGTGAAACTCTGTACAGAGGTGCAATGTAATATACGAAAGCATGTCACTGGTTGGCTGTGGTTGTCTTGATGACGCTCGGAGTGGCAGGAAAAGAGTGGAGAGCGGAAGTAAGCAAGGCGGCCTCGTCTGGAAGAACACGTGCGAGCGCTGATTGGCCAGAGGCACGAGCAGTTCGAGAGGATTGATTTATTCGTCAAAGACGCATTGCGCATTTTGTCCACAATTTTCCAATCGAGAGAAACCTGGCATACCAGTTCTGCAAGGGAGCAGTACTGCACGACAAAGGAATTGTTCCCCAATCGCAAATTGCTGCAAGGAAGCGCGCGCCCGAGAGACAACCATGAAGTGCGTAACACACGACCGACGGCTACCAGCCAGCCCCACCCAACGCAAACAACAGCTAACCCAGCTCGACAGGTTCGGCCAGCAGCTGCAGAGCTCCTTGATCAAGGACTGGTACTACTACTACATCTCATACGACGAGCTCAAGAGACTCCTCCAGCCTGAGCTCCAGTCAAAGTCGACCTCCAAGAACCCCACCGCTCCCGACAAGACATGGACCGACGAACACGAAACCCGCTTCTACCGCGAGCTTGAGGCCGAGCTAGACAAGGTCTCCAACTTCCAGCAAGTCAAGAGCGGTGAGATCCAGCGTCGCATCAAGATCAGCGAACGTGAAGTCACAGACGTCATTTCTCGTGCAAAGGCCGCTCTGCAACAAGGAGAGGATGAGCAGTCCAACATGGAGGCTCCCAGCGAGGAGGACTTTGGAATGCTCGAGGAAGATCTGTCAGACATCATCGCCGACGTACACGACCTGGCCAAGTTCACCCAGCTCAACTACACTGGCTTCCAGAAGATCATCAAGAAGCACGACAAGCTCTACCCCGACCAGCAGCTTAGGCCCCTCTTCGCTGCTCGTCTCAATGCAAAGCCTTTCTTCAAGGACAACTACGACGCCTCCATTGTTCGTCTGTCACAGCTCTACGACCAAGTCCGCACTCGCGGCAACCCTACCAAGGGTGATTCGTCCGCCGGAGGAAGCCAGCAAAACTTCGTCCGTCAAACAACAAAGTACTGGGTCCACCCTGACAACATCACCGAGCTCAAGCTCATCATCCTCAAGCACTTGCCCGTCTTGGTCTTCAACCCTAGCAAGGAGTTTGAGATCAAGGACTCGGCCATCTCGTCCATCTACTACGACAACACAGACACTTGGGAGCTGTATGAGGGCCGTCTCAAGAAGACAGAGGGTGCAGAGGCTATCCGTCTGAGATGGTACGGTGACATGAACGTTGACACCATCTTTGTCGAGCGCAAGACACACAGAGAAGACTGGACTGGCGAGAAGTCAGTCAAGGCTCGTTTCGCACTCAAGGAGAAGAACGTCAACGCTTTCATGCGCGGTGATTACACTGTCGAGCAGGCCTTTGAGAAGATGCGCCGTGATGGCAAGAAGAGCGAGAAGGAGATCGCTGACCTCGAACAACTCGCCAGAGAAGTTCAATACCGTGTCATCGCACGCAAGCTGGAACCCGTCACCCGCTCTTTCTACAACCGTACTGCCTTCCAGTTGCCTGGCGATGCCCGTGTTCGTGTCTCGCTCGACACCGAGTTGACCATGACCCGCGAGGACAACCTTGATGGACGCCAACGTACCGGTAAGAACTGGCGCCGTATGGATATCGGTATTGACTGGCCTTTCAGCCAGTTGCCCGCTGAAGATGTTGAGCGCTTCCCCTACGCCGTTCTCGAAGTAAAGCTGCAGACACAGGCTGGTCAGCAGCCTCCCGAGTGGATTCGTGAGCTCGTCGCATCTCACTTGGTCGAAGCTGTGCCCAAGTTCTCCAAGTTCATCCACGGTACCGCAACTTTGAACCCTACCCGCATCGATCTGTTGCCTTTCTGGATGCCTCAAATGGACGTCGACATTCGCAAGCCTGTCTCACACCGCTTTGGTATCGAGCGTCCTGGCCAAAGCACAGATATCTCTACTAGCGGGCAGATGGACGATGATACCGATGACGAGATGGAAGATGCTGCCAACCTGCCCAACGGTGACGACGAGAACTACCGTCGTCTGCGGGCCGCCAGAGATGCCCTTGAGCAGCACGAGGTTGCTCAGCGTATGGATTACGGCACCACTAATGGCGGCGCCGACCCCAACTCGCTGGACGAGGAAGAGCGTTTGGCCGCCCGACCCTCTGCTGACGAAGACGACTACCCACTATACGATAGTGACGATGAGGACGATGACCTCGAGGAAGCGAAGCGTATTGGTGGCTGGACATACCGCCGTAAGCTGTTGACGCATTATGTTGACAAGGTTGGCGACAAGCTGGCAACCGCTTTCAGACTTGCCACACCAGCACCCAAGCCTACCGCTATGCCTTCAAACGGGGATGCCTCCATGGGAATCCCTAGCTCTAGAAACAACGACAAGATTCGTGAGAAGCGCTACAAAGCTCCCAAGGGCAAGAAGATTCACGTGCCAGTGCGTGTCGAGCCCAAGGTCTTCTTCGCAGCCGAACGTACATTCCTGTCATGGGTAAGCAATGTCGTCCATGTCCTGTGCTTGACTCAATACTAATAAACGTCACAGCTCGAGTTCAGTATCATCATCGGCAGTATCGCTGCTACCCTGCTCAACTTTGGTGACACCACTGCTTTGGCTTCCGCCTGGGCCTTCACCATCGTCGCTCTATTCGCCATTTGCTACAGCATGGGACTATACCTCTACCGTGTGCAATCAATTCGCAACCGTCGCGCCATCACCTACCACGACAAATGGGGTCCTAGCGCATTGTGTGTTCTTTTGTTCGCTGCTGTGACAGTCACCTTTGCCTACAGATTTACACACGAAAGCAAGGGTGGTCTCAAGGGCGATCTCAAAGGTTGATGCCCGTCTCATCAAATCGATGAGTAGGTGAAGAAGAAGTTGTAAATAGTTGCATCTGTTGTCGTCGATATTCTGTTTCTATAGACTGTATACCCGTGTCGCGAGGCCTAGATAGCGGTATGTAATTTTACTTTTGGTTATCAGCGCTGACGTTTGTGAGTCTTGGGTGCTCCTTCCCATCATGTATGTTGATCCTCAAAAACGTATCGAGACGTAGGGATCTCTCCATCTGTGACTTCCGCAACCCGACCAGCAAGGACTCGATCTTATCCTCTCATCCTTCTCTTCTTGTACACGCAAAGTTTCTGGTCTATTTTACTGTCATCGCGAGTTGTCTCACAATCGGCAGGATTGGCAGGATCGGCTCTATCGAACGGTACTTACATCACTCCGAGCAGGGCCTCCACATGGGTTTTCTTACAGTGAGACTCGCTACTTCGTTACGATATGCTTTCCATGGTAGTTGAATACTGACTGATTAATTCCTAAGTAGCTTCGAATCGTCACACCATTAACCACGACCCACTTCAGTCGTGCATAATCTGTCCAGATGATCGCCAGGCTCTCTCAGTGTGATACACACCGGAACATGCAAAGACACTCGATCAAACCCTGCTGTCTTTACCTGTCCAACACTTCACACCTTCCATGGTAGCATCCAGCATAAAATCTGGCTCATCATTCTGCTGGACGAACACAAACTCTTCTCCATCCTTCACGCCCAACTGGGGATTGTCAGCACACAAATGTTGACGACAGAAGAAAGAATTACTCACATGAGCCGGAGTGTCAGACTCAAATATGTACCTTCCAGTGTCCTTCTGCTTCAGAGCCTTCAGCGGATGGTGACGACGCAAGCCTTCCAAGACGGCCTTGAACGGTGTATCCGGGTTCATCTTGACGAGAGCGAGTTCAGCGTCTGTGCCATGTCCTCCGCCAACCCAAACGTCGATACGCATGACGAGCGGATGACCGGATTTCGAATGCATGACAGCTCCAGTCTGCCCGACCAAATCCTCTGGCGAGAAGTCTGGCACTAGCATCTCACCGTATCTGATCTTCAAGCGAGTGATTTCCACCTTTTGCGCAACGATCTTTGTCTTTTGTTCAGTAATCTCTGCTTGTTGCTCGTTCAAAATCTTGTCAGTGATGGCAAATGAGTTTTTGTATCCAGTGACTGATCCCGGAGCTTCCTCTAGTTCACGAGTGAGGTGTTCCCTCTCGGCTTCTAGTTCTTTGATCACGGATTGGGCCGCGTCGTGTTTGTGTTCGAGGCTATGACACTCCTGGCAAGAAGAATGATCGTGCCTTCGCGTCTCGATCGCGGCAAGTTGCTCTTTGACTTCCGAAAGGTCCTGCCGTGCTCGAGCGATCCAATCGTCGGGTGACTGCGAATGATTAGCGAATGATTGTTTGCACGTCGTCTTCGATGTCTGTACGTACTCCACATGCGTGCATAGCATCTCCCAGAGTCATGATATGAGTGTCTTTGTCTGGATGGTGCTTTCGAGAGATACCTACCAAGACAGTCTTTGGGACATCGGGGATGCCATCATCAGACTGTGATCTCATGTCATCTGTCTTTGTGATCATGGTTGAGGTTGGATACTCTCTGGTGTAGAAAGAAACCATGTTGTGTTTCTGCAAGCAAGCAAGGTTCTTTTTGGAATCAGCGACCCTTTTGTGTTGAGCATGTTTGTGTTGAAGGTGGAAACTGGCGCAACACGCGACTAGCATGGACTTTACTGAAGCTTCGCGCAGTCATACGATGCTGGAGTTGCATTCATGCTCATGATGGAACCTTGATGGAATGTGTCTCCACCTGCTGGAAGAAGGTCAAGACTGTCTTTGGGTTGAATTTTTGGCTGAGAGGTATAAATGTGTCGCCATCTCCAGACTCTCACAGGTTGCTAATCATCGACGAGATCATGAACGGCTTGATCGACAGAATGTCAGGAGACGAGGAGAGTATTGCCACATCCACAACTGGCATGATGACTCCCACGACAGTAAGTCAACAATTGCAGCCAGATTCGTCTTAGGATTGACTGTTGGAAGTCTATCAGAAGCAACTCGACCACCCGTGAAGTCCAAGATTCAGCACCTATCTTGTTGGAAGTGGATTGTCGCACCCCGGATCACAGCTACAACCGCGAATGGAAGCAGCTGCAGATCAACATGCGAAGGAACATGCCTTTCGGACAGCTTGTTGCGTTGCTCAGAACCAAGTTCCCGAGGACAGAAAACCATCGCCTGCGCTTGGTCGCCGACCACTACGCCCTTTCAGAATGGAGAATCATCTTCGACGGCGACACGCCTGATTCCGTACGTATACCTTCCATAAGTAGCGTGTACATACACTGAATGTTTGCACATTTAGTTAAAACTCTCCGACTGCGCAAAGCTCAAGTTTGTGCCCCTGAAAGGCATCGAGGCTATCGACATGTCGATCTTCTGAAAAGCGGCATGCATACCATGAGATGTGATTACGACAACGACGAACTCGAGAATCCTGAAATGCAGACGAGTGCCCTCCACAAGCAAGAACAACACCCTATCGACATTAGCATCTCTAATCAGCCAGGCCTATCAAACGACTATCATCGTTCCACATTCGTTTACAGACTGAGCTCGGCTCAGCTCAGCTCATCGCCTGTATAAGCAGGAGGTAGATAGGCGAACTTAAGAATGACAGAATCTAGACTTGTACTTCTCTCATGTGCCATGTGAATTCTCGGGGAGTGAGAAGAAAAGTACCTTGCCATGGAAAAGCAGCTGCGAGAAAAGAAACAAAGCAATACCGTCTTCCAAGAAGATGCATATTCTGGAATCTTTTCGCGTTCGCGTTGTATACAATCAAGGCATAATTGTCCTCACGGTCATCACGTGTCGGCTCGACAAAAGTTGAGATCAAGCTTTTGGTTACGTCGAGCACTGCACCTCACGCCATGTTCCGAGCCGAGGCAAGGATCTCAAGAGTGTTTCCGATTCCACACTCTCATGCATGAAGACCCCAGCAACACTCTCGCTTCGACATGGGCACCTCAGCCGGTCGAGTATGCGAGGGACGTTGAAGCCATCACCGTCTCGTCAAATGGCATGATGACTCCGACTATCACCTTTGGCATCGTCGGGGGACCTGGCGAGTGGCTGTTCAGTTACAGATTCCCGGAGTTCGATGAATCTGTTGTGGAGCTCATTGCCAGTTGAAAGCTCTCACGATCCTAACGATGCTGTGTGTGCCTACCGCGAATCTGGGAGAGATGTGTAGCCGTCCAATGTTTCTTAATCGAGTGTCTAGAATTCGAGTGTCTAAAGCTCAAGTGTCGCAAACTTGTCGCCTGTTCGCTCAGACCATGTTATCGATGCCAAGTCGGGGTGTGCATTGGATTTGGCGGTAGCGTACGATCTGTGTTTCTGTGATTTTGATCTGAAGAATCGGAGGTTCAGGCAGATGTTTCGTATTGTGACAGACGGCTTGTAGTGACTAGCTGTACGCTGTACTGGATCGAGGCCTATGAGACAAGCCTGAGAATGATGCGATCATAGGGCATGCTTGCAGATTTCATCAGTCCAGAATGTCGTGCTAGCCCTGAGACACACGAAGTGATGGCTATGTCGGCTGGGCTATACTTGAACAAGGCCTCGGAGTCGTGACCATGTTGACTTGCCACTGTTTCTGCTCAAGAACCACTTTGGTGTGTAACTTCATATGGCCAATTCTTTTGTCCGCATGCTGGCGCGTGAAGCCCATGACAGTATTCTTGTCCCCTCCCTCTCCACTTTCTCCAAAAGGATGCATAGCACTGCACATATAATATTAAATAGTAGACTTGAACCATCCTATTGGGAAACACTATCTACTTCAGCTAGACTGAACACAGTTCTGATGTATCGGGGTATCATTTACGAAATCAACGACCGTCCTTTCAACCACTCATGCTTAGAACGTGTGACCCAATGAGCTCAGACCATTCTTGAAAAAGTCGTCCCTCTTGATCTCGAACGCAGCATCAACCTTGAGACTGGCAACCAGAGATGCTCCTGCCCAAGCACCTAACGTCTCGACTCCACGCACCTCGCCTTGTACCGTGACGCCGCGCTTCAGCACTTCGCGCTGTAACTTTTCCGCAACCTCATCACGTTCTTGCGGCGCATTGCGAGCAAAGGATCGCTCATCAGATTGAGAGTCCACCTGATCATGGGGGTCACTACCGTCAGGTGGCTTGGTTCTAGTTGGTAGAGCTATCGTCTGTTGCTGTGCCTTTTGCTGTCTCTTCTCCGTAGCCGAGCCATAGTTCATGACTGGGTCCCAGCCTTTGGCATTGACCAAGGCCTCTATCTCTCGTAACAGACGAGGCTTGAATCCTGGCGTATCGCTTGCATCACCAGTAATGAGGATGCGCGAAACACATATTGCGCGTACGTCTAGTGGGAGTGACAGCAGACACTTGTAGGCCAAGAGATGTAAAGGCAAATCGTGATCATCAATGTGCTCGAGCGGAACGGGTGCGGAGAAGAAGGCTTCCTCGACCGGGTCTGCAAGGCAATCGAAAGGAACTTCAGATGTTGAAGATCCGAGAGGTAGTGTGATACTATCGGCAAAGTGCTGGTCACGCGAGTTGCGACACCAAGCCATGCGTGTAACGATATCTTCAGCGATGTCGAAGGAGAGAGGGTCCGAAGCAGGAGCGTGCTTGCTCAAGGTGTTGGCCATGTTCCGAGTAAGCAATCTCCCCGCACGGGATGAAGTTTTGCGAAAAACGTCGCGATACTCGTACAGAGCGGTGACGGTGGTCTCATGCCAACCAATGTCGATGACCAAGGCCGAACGGAGACCAGCAGACACGGCGCAAAGGATAGGTGGCGTCCACAGCTGAACAGTGGCAGGTTGAAAGGCATTGAAGACAACGTTCAAGGTGAGAGAGACGAGCGGGTGAGGCAAGGCCGAGGGGAGAACAAGAAAGACTTTGCGAGGGCGTTGGTCCAGCATGAGGTAGTTGGTGTGGGCAGTGCGAATGGCACGCTCAATCTTGTCCTCGATCAAACCGAGGTTTGTGTTTCGAATGTCCAGATCCCACAGCTCCCAATCTTTTGCCCAATCATGCTCGGCGCACAGGGTAGTGGATGTAGTGGTGAAGTCATTCAGGCGGCGTAGTTGGTCAGGGCCAAAGGGGATGATACATGTCGGGGCGGAGTCGCCAGCGAATCCAGCACGGAAGGACCTCGAATCGAGTTGGTAGAGCAGAGTGTCGTCGTCTGTGCGATAGGAAGCACCTGGCGAGGCGAGCTGATTAGAGAGGGAGCGGGTCAGCAGCGGAGTGTGCGGTGAAGCCGGAGTAGAGGGTCCAGGGACGGCCAGGCTAGAACGAGAGCGGTTGTATGACGGCTTGCGCGCAAAGTAGTCGGGCGCCGCCATTGGGGATGCGTATGGGCAGGTGCAAGGAGAAGCGTCTTCTCAGAGAATGGAGATTGTGTATGGACAGAGGCCGAGCCTCGCCAGGGAGCGAGAGGATCAGAACTGAACAATCATGGCTGCATGGATGAAGCAGCTCGTCGACGTCGGGTGTGCCTGGGGCCGATGCTTGCGCTGGCGCGCTAACGCCGGCGAATCTTCGGCAATGCCCGAAATTTTGGTCTCTCGGATCAAGTTTTGCAATCTGCAAGCTGAAGACTTGGGACTTCTGAGAAAAAGCTCGTCGAGCCCATCACAATATTGCGTCGCGTCTAGTCTTGCATAGCGACCCTCGACAATCTCCATCACGACGACTGAGACTCTGCCGACACGATGACTCTCTTCATCCTCACAGAAACCTCGGCCGGTTATGCCCTGCTCAAGTCCAAGGACAAGAAGCTCTTGAAGCGCACCGATGTCCACGAGGAGGCTGCCACCGCTGAGGGCGCCGCCGGCCTGTACGATGCGCCGATTCCATCTCTCGCTCTTCCTCACTAATCATCATCCTCAGGCTCAAGCTCAAGCAGTTCCAGAAGTTCGACAGCGCCGCCGCTGCCCTCGAGGAGGCCGCCGCTCTCACCGACGGCAAGGTCACTCCCATGCTCGCCTCTCTGCTCGACACCCTGAAGGACGAGAAGAAGGTCCAGCTCGCTGTTGCCGACCCCAAGCTCGGTTCTTCCATCTCCAAGCTTCCCAAGCTTGACATTGAGTGCATCGCCGACTCTTCCACCAACGACGTCTACCGCGCCATCCGTGAGCACCTTCCCTCGCTCATCCCCGGTCTTATGCCCGATGACATCTCCACCATGTCTCTCGGTCTGTCGCATTCCCTCTCGCGTCACAAGCTCAAGTTCTCCCCCGACAAGGTCGACACCATGATCATTCAGGCCATTGCCCTGCTCGACGACCTGGACAAGGAGCTGAACACCTACGCTATGCGTGTCAAGGAATGGTACGGCTGGCACTTCCCCGAGATGGCCAAGATCATCAACGACAACCTCGCTTTCGCCCGTGTCATCCTGGCCATGGGTGTCCGCACAAACGCTGCCACCACCGACCTTTCTGACGTTCTTCCCGAGGAGATTGAGGGCGCCGTCAAGGCTGCCGCCGAGGTTTCCATGGGTACTGAGATCACCGAGGAGGATTTGGACAACATCCAGGCTCTCGCCGAGCAAGTCGTTGGCTTCACCGAGTACAGACAGCAGCTCTCGTCATACCTCACTGCCCGTATGCAGGCTATTGCTCCCAACCTTACCGCTCTCGTCGGTGAGCTTGTTGGTGCTCGTCTGATTGCCCACTCTGGTTCGCTCCTCAACTTGGCCAAGTCTCCCGCCTCGACCATCCAGATTCTCGGTGCCGAGAAGGCCCTTTTCAGAGCCCTCAAGACCAAGCACGATACACCCAAGTACGGTCTTATCTACCACGCTTCCCTGATTGGCCAGGCAACTGGCAAGAACAAGGGTAAGATTGCCCGTATGCTCGCCACCAAGGCTGCGCTCGGTCTGCGTGTCGATGCTCTTTCCGACTGGGGAACTTCTGGCGAGGGTGACAAGCCCGAGCCCACCGAGGAGGAGAAGATGGCTGTTGGTGTTCAGGGCAGACTTCTGGTCGAGAGAAGACTGAGAGGTCTTGAGGGCAAGCCCATCCGCAGCACTGCTTCTGGTGTCGCACCCAGTGGTCAGGCCCAGCCTGCCAAGTGGGAGGTCAAGGAGGCCCGCAAGTACAACGCTGATGCTGACGGTATTTCCGCCAACGCCCCTGCCGCCAACGAGGATGCCGAGATGGAGGATGTCACCGAGGCCGGTGCCGAGGAGTCCAGCGACGAGGAAGAGATGACCAAGGAACAGAAGAAGGCAGCAAAGGCAGCAAAGAAGGCCGCAAAGGAGGCAAAGAAGGCTGAAAAGGAAGCCAAGAAGGCCGCCGAAGCAGCTGGCAAATCATCGTCCAAGAAGAGAAAGGCCGACGAGGACGAGGACAAGACGGAAAAGAAGAAGAAGAAGAAGAGCAAGGACTAGATTGCTAGTCTCCTCTCTTGTTCTCTTTTCTGTTGCCATTTATGTTTGCATGTGGGCGCCATCATCATGGTCGGAGTACCGGAGTCGCTGGTCGTGGGGTCTAAAAGAGCGGTTTCTTGAATTTGTTCTGTTCGAAAGGGTTTTTCGGTTTCTTTCTTTCGCAGAGACTGGCGGAGGCGTTTCTACATATTACTTGATTGAACCGATAACCTCTGTACAAGCTGTATCATTATGCTACCTGCAGATGATATGAACGATGTTTATTCTTCATGTTGTTCTTACTTCTCTTTCCTCTACTGCGTGCTTGGGACGGCGAGAGATTGCTGATTACCCAGGCTCGAGCTTGTCGGCCGCTCCTTCTGTGGTACGCTGCACGACCCAAAGTATTGTATTGAATCTCATGCTGCTCTGACACGCAGCTTCGGAAGACTGCTTTCGCGGGAGCAAGAAGCGAAACTCTATCGCACTTCCGGATTGCCTGTCAACAAACTCTCCGATGCCATGAATTCTCCATGTATCCGCCGGCCAGGAACTGAGTCCTGCAAGCTGGTCTCGGGTGGCACCATACCCTTACTATATCCAGGTACGCACGAACGGAGGTGCACTTGTGTAAAAGTAGTGGCTGCCACCGAGGTCCGCCCCCATTGACTGGCGACCTACTAGCCCAACAAGTATTCGTCATTCGTACGACTTGGGCTCACATCGATGAGTCGATGACTGACCGCACATCCACGGCCGTCTCACTCGTGACACGCAACCTATTCCCCCTTTGGTTCTGGATTCAGCAGAGAACGTGGGCAGTAAGCCTATAGTTACACGGCATGTATCCTCTTCGGTCCTGCGGCGTCACAGCTCGCACACGATATTTCAAATCTTACAATTATTGCTTCTCCATCCTGCCTTCGGGTTCTTGATTCGACCATCTTTGTCTACTAAGATGAGCTTGGCAGTATCTACTGGAACAAATGTCACCTTGAGGACATCAGCCGGATGACTTATTCTCTTCGAATGCCATCGTTGGCTGAATCAGTGGCATGGTGGCGTCAGCTTCCCATCTCCTTGGTGAACCCTGCAGATAGGGCGCCTGCTTTCTTCTGGGTACGACATGGGTGGCTACACAACCACACATGTACTGAGTAGTGTCTGGTATCTCGCAGGGCAACACCATCCGTCTAAACATTCAACACCGTTTTTGGAGTCTTACTTCCTTCTCGTTACGATGCCACCAGGCCAGTACGCAGTTTTCAGACATCTGCGCTTTCTGGGACTTGATCCGGTCCCTCGAACCTCATTCCTTCTGAAAGAAGCTAGGACTTCTTCTACCGACACGAACTCTGCGCACTCACTTTCGACACATTGCGACCGGAGCAGTTTTGCTCTTGTCATAGACACTACGCTACTCGACTGCTTCTCCAGCTTGCTCAAATCCGGCCTCAAGGTTATGTGCTGACGATGGGAACCATAAGTTACGCTCAAGTCGCCCCAACGGCGGCGACTATCGCTCTCAACGCTTACATCTACGGCTACGGTGGCCACTCCTTGGTGACTCCGCATGCAGCCCTCAAGCAACTATGGTGGACTGAAGATCGTATCGACGGCAAGGTAACAAGAAAGTTTGTGGTGTCACAAATCAAAGGAGCAGAGCGAGATTTCTTGGACAAACCTCTTGCGTTCGGTGAAGGCTTGACAGACGACACCTACATGGAATGGATCTTGGGACGAGCAAGACGGCTATTTCTCATCTTGGCGGAGATTGGAAAGCCAGAGCAGATTTTCGGTCTCATAGATGACTCCCTGGATGACGATGATCTGCCGTTCTCTCTCAAGAGCATAGCCGACATGGATCTCTGTGTCGAGCCAGACGAACGCTTGAATCGAAAGTTTCATGCCACTCAATTTCTATACCTCTTACGTCAAATAGGTCCGGGAGGCCACATCGACTATGGACCTCAGGAGCACATCCCTATGGAACACGTCCACAAGCTACCGCCAGCCGTATCGCTCCAGATCTGGGACAGAATACATTTCCCGAAAGATCATGAGCAAGTGTTTGTCAGACGCAAGTTTACATTTGGTGCTGGCGACGATAAGGACGATTTGAGAGAAATTTACATGCAGGATCTCGCAGAAGCAAAACAGCTAGCGCATCCGCACATCGCCCGAGTATGGGCCTCATATACCGCTGGAGATGCCGGGTGTATTCTCTCTGATTTTGTGCCGGAGCATACACTGGCATCCTTCATTGCTCACCGTACGCCGTACCAGTTCATGCGTGTACCTCAAGGAGAAAGACCCGTCATCCTGCTCGAATGGATGCATTGTCTCATCGATGCACTTGCTATGCTACATCACCGTGGTGTCCAGCATGGGGCCATACGACCGTCCAATGTCATCATAGATCACGACAACTGTATTGCATTCTCTGATATCGGGATTTTACGAACGTTCCAGCGTGGCAAGAAATTCGTAAAGAACGAGGCCTCAGGTTACTCTGCTCCCGAGACACATGTGGAAGGAAAAGTACGCGGCATGCACTTTGCCGATGTGCTGAACAGCCCGGCCGGCATAAATCGAAGCTCCGACGATAGTACATTGAGTGGCACCTCAACATCCTCAACAAGTCCACCGAAGATCTCGAATCCGACACTGTTTCACAGTTCCAGTCCCATAGTTGACAGTCCGATGAACAGCTTCAACCAAACTTCCTCGCCTCTGTCGATACCACTGTTTCGCAACTTCAGTAGGCATCTGCCACCACCGCCAACGTTCGCTTCGGCAAGTTCGTGGTCTTCTTCTGGTCGATCTCGACGGTTTTTTCGTAGATCGAACAGTCCTCCAGCATCACCGAACAATTCGCCCCCTGAAGATCATAGATCCTTCTCCGGGAATGATGTGAGTTCATCACATCCAATACCAATCGAAACAGACAGACGACCATCTTGGGCTTCATGGGGCACGACACCATGCCCTACTTCCAGCACTTCCAACGCATCTAGCTTACTCTTCGAGCTCCTGAATGAGCCGCTTAACATGCCTAAACCTCTTGTTATACGCAAGAGTCCATCTCAGAGATCACTTGGCAGTAACGCAGCAACAGTATCCACACGCAGGGACACAGGTCTGGAAAGCGATATCTTCTCTTTGGGCTGCGTATACCTCGACCTCGTCACCTACATCGTCAAGGGCAAACTATCAGACCTGCAAAAGTTCCGAGCTCAAGCAAAGGCGCCCTTGCCGAACGATACAGCTACTTTGCACACATGGCTCGCGCATCTGGCATCGGATGCCATCAGACTCTCGCCAACTGTACCGGTCCTGTCGGCTTTGATGCCCATCCTAGGAGTGGTCAGGGACATGCTACTGCCAGACCCTAGTCATCGCCCCACAGCCTTTGCCATCCGCGACCGCATAGCTGCTGCACTGCAACAAGCTGACTTGCACTCTCTCTGCTGCAGAAATCGCAACTGGGATCCGGAACTGGCATCTCAACAACGTCCTCGCCTGTCCACTAGACGCCCTCCCAAAGTCCCTGGCAAAGAATCCACCGACACTAGCTTGGGATCAGTGATGACCGAAAGCAGTGCGGACGGTGGAGATGAGTCTGCAGCAGATGGTCCAAGTGTGAGTATGATGAGAAGGAGTTTGAGCGTAGGCAGCGGAGTAATGGAGAAGAATGGAAGCAGTAAGATGAAGAAGTTAGGCTTGGGGTGGATGAGAAAACCTCATGCAAAGGGGTTCTGATTACCAGGTGGCTAAGAATGATGTTTACGACTCTTCATGTCGCTTTCTCTGTTTTTTGGTCTTTTTGGGCGTTTGAGGTTCTTAGATCTCGAGATGGGGAAGGAGGGAGATTTCATAATGAGCATATAATCCATTTTCATTGGCGTTTGTGCATTTCTGCAGGAACTCCAATGTTTCGCGGAGATTGAACCTGGTGACAGATAACATTACCCTTGTGACACATCATAATTCCATTGACATTTTGTAGAGATTGATTCAATGGACGCTAGAAGTAACGAAAGGAACCAAGATCTGGGTATTAACTATATATGGAAAGAAAGTCGTAAAAGCTGGGTCGAGTAAGAAACGGCCAAAAACCACAAACGCCGCAAATGCAAAACTCCCAATACCTTTTCCTTCTAAAAGTCTATCCTACTGCCCAGGCTTAGTAAACACTACCCTGGATGCTTTTGTCATGAATTTCCTGCATCTGCAGCTCCTCAATGATTTCACTGGGCTCGTGCATCCTGACACTGTTCTCGTCTTGATCATCATGCTCATCATCACCATCAGCATTCTCATCATTATATCCATCTCCCAAGGCATCAGCTCGAGCTCCGCTGCCCATACCACTCTCCCTGCCCCAGGTCTCAAGATCTAGAGCGGTGGGTCTGCGTTTTGAGGATGAGGCGGCGGAAGGGTTGTTGGGGTTGGCGTCGGAGAGATTGCGGTGGTGGGATTGTTGGATGCGGGCAAAGTAGTCGTTTTCGGCGCCCGAGACGTCTGAGAGGCCTTCGGCTGGTGTGGCCATACCGGAGAGTGAGCCACCGCCATCGCGGCCATGGAGGAAGCTAGGGCGAGTGGGAAGGCGGAGGGAGATCGGGGAGTTGGGCTCGGTGGTGCTTGCTGTGCTGGAAGCTTTGAGTGGGGTTGACGACACGGAGACCTGTTCTGTGGCAAGGGAATGGTCTTCTTGTTCTTGGTCGGGGACTTTTACGGTCGCTTCGTCTTGCTTCTTGATGCGGCGAGGGTACTTTGAGTGTTGATGTGTGCAGCCGCCGACGCAACCACCCCATTTCCGGGCAGGTATAGCGGGAGAAGCGAGCTGCGAGGCAGTGACTTGGTGGTTGTGTTGCGGTATGGCCCGTCTCTTATACTCTGACCATGTGCGCATCTGGTTTTGTAGGACGTACTTGCCGCTATCGAGGTTCTTCTTCATGATGACAAACTCGCAGTGGTTGACATTGCGGAGGTCTTCGAAGTATTCGACCGACCAGTGGTACCACTTCATGAGGAAGACTCGTGTCATCAGACCGTGGGTGACAAGCACGCAGACGGAAGGGAAGTCGTCGTCGCTGAAGTTGCGCCACAGGCTCTCGTTGAAGCCACTGACACGGTCATATGCATCGGCGGCACTCTCGCCGTTGGGAATACGGTAGAAGAAGTGACCGTAATCAGCTCGTTCTTGCCACATGCGTTCCATTTCGGAGCTGCATGGCTGGAAGTTGCCAAAGTCTTGTTCTCTCAATCGCGGCTCTTCAAAGACCTTGATGGTGTGGCGGGGAAACGGCGAGGGTCCATCTTGCTCGCTTTCGGACGTCAAGGACGAGAGGATGCCTTCGGTCGTCTCGCGGGTACGGCGGTAGGGAGAGGTGAAGAATTGGATGGTATCGTCTGGTTTGAGCATTCCTCGTAGTCGTCGGCCTGCTTCCTCTGCCTGTAGCTTTGTGAGTATCGTGTTTGTGGATCACGGCAGCTGGTTGAGTCTTGACCTGCTTCTTGCCCTCTTCTGTGAGCTTGACACGATGATCAGGAATCATCTGGTGGATATCGCGATTCTTGTTTCCTTCGCTCTGCGCATGGCGAATCACAATGATCATCTGCCATCAGTCAGCGACCACTCTTGGACGTCGCATCTGGTTTGGCACCTACTCGTGGTTTACCCATCTTGACTTGTCACTGATGATTATGGTCTGGTCAATCTCGGACAGCAAGCTATATGGCTGATCTTTGTGTTGGTCTTGAGTGTCCGGATAAGGACGAATGTTTATTGCCGCATGACGTTTGGGCGGTGAGGGCGGCGAAATCAGCTTGAAACAGCTGGCTTGCTATTGGCTGTGCCATCGCTCCTTCCTCATCAACACTCTGCATCGGTGCTGTTCCTGTCGTACACTAATCATACTTGCCTCTTCTTTCTTCGTGCAAGCATTGTGCAATTCCAAAGCTATACTCTGTATCAAATTGATCGACAGGTACCGAGGTGATCGATCAGGGATGCATTCTGCCGAGGTCATGACCACAAGTCACAACATGTCGTCTCTGACAAACCCCATTAGCGACGCGTACAACAACGACCTTCTCGAATGATAACTTGCATTCTCTTCCGACTTTCCGATTTGACCAATCAGCTTCTTCGACCGTGAAGCGTGCCTCGCTAGCCAAAACCCAAGGCTTGTTGAAGCTTGATCTGCGAACCCACGTGTAGACTTTCTCATCACACAAGACGACTACTGCTAGAGCATCTTGTTTGCGCACACTCTAGATTCATGCAAGAGATATTCGTTGTACAGATGCCACAAGCAGAAGACTATCCCAGAAAGGTAGGTGACAATGGTAGGACCTCGACCTGTGCACTACAAAATGCACTGTGATTGCCACCTTCCATGGACACTGTATTCTTAACCAGCCTGCACGTTTCCGACTACCTGTGCTAACTAAGATGGCACCTACATCGTTCTATATCCAGGCTCTGCCTCTCTTGTCTGGTCTGGTGTTTGCAGCGGATTATCCTGGCATACCAACAGACCTGACTACCCCTGTGCAACAACGCATCGCGTTCAAGGGTCCCAATGGTATGCCTGAGGGTTCAAGCCCCATGTCATAGAATATCACACTAACACGACTCAAGCCATCTCTGTTGGCTGGAACACCTACGAGAAGCTGGCCCAAGGCTGCGTTCAGTATGGCAAGTCTGCGACCAGCTTGACCTCTCAAGCATGCTCCACTCAGTCTCTGACCTATGGGACTTCTCGCACCTGGGCCAACTCGGTAACACTCTCTGGACTCGATGCTGCAACCACCTACTACTACAAGATTGTTTCTACCAACTCGACCGTCAACCATTTCATGACTGCTCGTACTCCAGGAGACAAGACTAGCTTCAACGTGGATGTTGTCATCGATGTGAGATGAAGCCATAAGTGGATAGTTCCATGAGTTTGCACTGACAATCTTGTTTCTCAGCTCGGTGTCTATGGTCAAGATGGCTACACAACCTCCCGCAAACGCGATATTCCATACGTTCAGCCCGCGTTGAACCACACCACCATCGGTGCGCTTGCTCGTACCATTGACAGCTACGACTTTGTGTTGCACCCTGGAGACTTTGCCTATGCCGACGACTGGTACCTGACGCCAAAGAATGTTCTTGATGGCAAGAATGCCTACGCAGCCATTCTCGAGAATTTCTTCGACCAACTGGCCCCTGTCGCAGGCAGGAAGCCATATATGGCATCCCCTGGCAATCATGAGGCTGCATGCACAGAGATTCCTTACACAACTGGTCTGTGCCCTGAAGGTCAGAAGAACTTCACGGACTTCATGACTAGGTTCAATGGCCTCATGCCCACTGCTTTTCCCTCCCAATCCAGAAATGCCACAGCCCAAGCCTCAGCAAAGAAAGCCCAAGGACTGGCCAATCCACCCTTCTGGTACTCGTTCGAGTACGGAATGGCCCATATCGTGATGATTGACACCGAAACCGACTTCCCATCTGCACCCGATGGCCAAGGCGGCAGTGCAGGCCTCGGCGCTGGTCCCTTTGGCAGCACACCAACCCAACAACTCCAATTCCTCGACGCTGACCTGGCCTCCGTTGACCGTACAATCACTCCTTGGCTTATCGTCGCCGGTCACCGTCCCTGGTACTCCACCGGCGACTCCAAGAACATCTGCGGCCCATGCCAAACAGCCTTCGAGCCCCTCTTCTACAAGTACGGCGTTGATCTCGGTGTCTTTGGCCACGTGCACAACTCCCAGCGCTTCAACCCCGTCTACAACAACGTCGCTGACTCCGCAGGCCTCAACAACCCTAAAGCTCCTGCCTACATTATTGCAGGCGGAGCAGGCAATATTGAGGGCTTGAGTGCTGTGGGCGCCAATTACTCGACCAATGTGTTTGCGTACGCAGACGAGTTTAGCTATGCGTCGCTCAAGTTCAAGGATGCGAACAATTTGCAAATTGACTTTATGAGAAGTGACACTGGAGAGGTGTTGGACTCGAGCGTGTTGTACAAGCAGCACAATGTTGCCTTTGTCAGGAATTGAGCGTTTAGCAGAAGTCTGGAGAGTGTGATACCCGGAGGAAGGGTGCAAAGAGAGCGATGAGATGTGTACCTAGATCTCCCGGGTTCGGTCTTGCATCTCTTTGCAAAATGCAGAAAGTACTACTTCACTCGTCTCAATATCCATATATCTCCTTGGGTTTCTCACAACTCTCATCGTCATACATCAAACTCGATAACATGGAACGTGCATCCTTTTGCCTGAAACAGAACTTGTCGGTAGCAAATCTTGTTCTGCCTCCATCGCCATGATCCTCCTCGTCATCATCGAGTCCATCATCCACAAACACAAACACAAACAGCAAGCTTCGCTCATCAAGCACTTCCCCCACCACAACAATGAAAGCACTCGAATACCACTCCAGATCCATCGCTCCGAATTGTCTCTCACTCTGCCCTGGCGCAACTTTATCCAAAGCCGCATGAGTGTCAACAACCTCAGTCAAGCTCTTGTGAATTGGAGATGGAGAAGAAAAATTGTGACAAAAGGGGTGGGTCAAAGTATTTTTTTTTTAGGAGGAGGGGATTATACAGAAAAATCCAGGACTTACGATTTGTTTTCTGTGTTTGTGAGAGTTTGCGCGGTGACCCTGAAGCCCGTTGACGGCGACGTCAAGGTAGAATGTCAGGTGTATACCAATGACGCGGCTCATACCGCGATCATACTCTGACTTTGGTAACCACGACAGCCTCGTCGATGACAAGAGCAGCCGCTTCGACTTCGCCCCGAGCATCGATATACCGGTGAGTGCAAAAGAAAGGCAAGAGCAGAGACTCGAGTCCACGACTTCGCGGGAATCACAACCACCCTTAGCCACATCCTCTCCCATCAACACAACACCACGGTACTGCAACCCGCAGTATACTATGCGTCTCTGTCAGGTAGTCCTGAAGCAAAAAAAACCACATCGGAAACACTTTCCATCCTCTGTACCTCTAAAGCGAAAGCCGCGAACCTCCCGAATATACATCTGGCAGTGTAATTCTTCAAGTAGCGTCAGGTGATGAGGCTGACGCTTAGCCGTACCTAGTCGCAGGTAATCATCCCACTCGGCCACCGAACCAGCTCCTGAGAGGAGTAATTCGTCTTGGTGGAGGGATACTAAAAAAAAAATAGTATATAAGGGTAGAGAGAGCGCAAAATGGGCGTCAACGTCGTCTGCACTCACTATGTTCTACTAGAGTCTGCCACCGTTTCTTCTCTTCCTTGGGTCATCTTTTGCATTGTCTTTGTCCTTCTGCGAAGTGTCCGGTTATGTTTTGTGCTGTGACAGTCCTGCTTCTGATATTGATGCGTGCCGAGGTTGCGTTCGTGCTCCTGATATCTCGTGCCAGCTTCACCGTCTTCTGCTTCTATTGTGTGATAGTCGATGTCGTAACCACAAAGTGCAAGGATAGGTATGCACGAAGCCAGTATAATACCCTTATGTTTGAGCGCTGGCGAGTTCTTCTTTGGACCTGGTTGTGACGTGCGGCGCGTGCGAACTTCAGTTGTCTTCCTTGAATCTTCACCTTCGTCAGCATAGAGCGCGACATATGACACACTCACTTACCCATGGCCGCAAGCAGGGCACTTGTAGAAGATAGTGCTGCCCTCATCCGCTCCACGTGTCTGGACATCACGAAACTTCAACTCGCCATTGTCGCACTTGGGACAAGCCTTTGGTGTTGTGGCCCAGGTATCTCGGTCCTCGGCAGTCAAGATCTGCACGTTCGAGCGCTTGTCGAACAGGCGAGAAGGGAATGCATCAGGGGCACTGGTAGTCTTCTGAGAGGCGGGCCATTTGTCTAGATAGATCAATCAGCTTGAGGCATCATTTGTCAGTGCAGATGGTGCTCGTGTACTCTTATTCAGCGCCGAGCACATGTCGCATTTGATCAAGTCCTGGTCTGGTGGACAACGTGCGAGGATGCTGCCACAGTCTGTGCAGAACAGAAGGGTTCCTACGAGTGCCATTGTGAAGTCCGGAAGATGCTAGCAGGTGTTGTGTATAGACCAGAGTCTAAAGATGTCGTAGAGATCAACGAGGAATATGCAGGGATGGTGACACCGATTGAGGATTCGGCGCTTGCATGCTTCACTTTCATTCGTCAATGTCTTACCTCACTCGCCATGTGACAGACGAGATTCGTCTTTTCACTGAGTTCTCTCCATCAACTGTCATATTCTCATCCTGGAATACGGTCCTTTCACATATTGTAGGCCAGTATCATTGACGATGGGTCAATCCAAGTGTTCTGTAACTTGAATGTCGAGCGGGGCCGAGCACCTGTCTGCAGACAGACTAGCGACAGAGGCTAGATAGACATCATGTCAATGCGATGAGGTTGGAAATGTTGCTCAATGCGGTCCAAGATGACAGGTAAGCCGAGCAGTCGAATTGAGCAGGACAGGGCCTGATGGCGACAAGTGCACTGGTAGAGTTGAAGGTCAATCCCAGCATGATCGGGTCATTGATGTGGCTCTCTGTACTCGCAAAAGATCATGCTGTGAGATGATTGTCAACTAGTCGATGTTGTTAAAGCAAGAGCTGAGCAATCTCGCCAACATAAGCAGAGATCTACAGAGCTCCTCCGAGCAAAACCTTGGTATTGGAACATGCAGTAAACAAAAGGAACCTTGCAGAGCTTTCACCCCACATGAACGATCAACTGGTTCACACTTGCTTGACATTAATCGACCGTCGTTGATAAGACAGATTTGAATCTTTTAGATACTTCAAAAAAACACACAGGGGCAGAGTCTATGTGGTCGCGACAAAAGGTCAAAAATCGTGATAGAGAACTTTCGCCCCACGTGTTCTAATGAACCTGGCCCGATTTGAACGGACGACCTTGTGGATGTCCCGAAAAGACTGGAATCACACGCGCTACCGCTGCGCCACAGGTCCATTGATGGAGAGCCTGATTATGATTATAAATATCAACCCTCGTAGAACACATCCTCGGGACCAATCCCCGGTCATGCACATATCCCACTAACCACGAGGCCATCCATCAGATCCATCAGAAGATTCGGAGGGACAGACTCAAGAGCCAGATCTTCCCGTCAAGATATAGGTGGAACGTCGCCATTTTTGCTTGGTAGGGGCTGATGATAGAGTCGTCGCTGTTTCGGCTGACTAGTTCACAGGTTTTTCTCCATGTAGCGTTGAACCTTCGACATGATATGATATTCCCAGGCGTATATTTAACGCCTGCCTGCAGTTCGATATCAATCGTTCGGACTCTGTCATACGACCAAGCTTTCCGCGATGACGCACTCTATCACCAATTTTCACAATGTTCCAGACATCCTGTCTCCCTTTGACGAGTTAAGAATCCGTGGAGATGCAGTGGTCAGCATGTCCGATCCCGTAGGCCAAGTCCCTAAGTTCCTGATACCCTCTCTCTCAAAAGGATCAAGATGTCGTTGGTGCGATTCCAGCCCATGGTGCTGGTAATTTTTTTTTTGGGTGTCGATGTTGTGGAAGTGTGATACTACGTCTCCTGGCAATCTCATGACTTCGCTGCGAGAAGAGGGGAGGATGAAACCCACGAAGAAGAATGTAATTCGAAATGGGATATGGGATCTCACAGATGTCAGGACGGCGAACACGTGATAGAAGGAGACGAAGACAACGGCAATATCGTCGGCAATGATAATGTGTTTGGTGTGGCCCATACAAACAATAAAACCTATTCCATCTGGCAATGCAAAAGCCCGGTATCATAAATACATCTAGAAAAACAAGCGGCCAAACTTTTTGTCTGACGTGAACTCAAGGAGTAAAGAAGAAGGAATTTAAGCATACAACTTCATGCGTCTTGACAGCTCAAGACCACCAACGATCACAAAAAGCGAGCTGCTTAGATGAGGGCAGCAAGACCGAGAAGGGCCAGACCGAAGTTGGTAGCCTGGCCAGCAACAGCAGCGCCGGAAGAAGTGGCAGCAGCCGAGCTTGAGGCAGACGAAGCAGACTTGGAGGCAGAGGAAGCGGCAGAAGAAGCAGACTTCGAGGCGGAAGAAGCGGACTTGGAAGCGGAAGAAGCAGCTGACGAAGCAGAGCTAGACATGCTAGAAGCAGCCGATGATCCCGAGGAAGAAGCAGAGGAAGCAGCCGAAGACATGCTGGAGCTAGCACTGCTTGCGGCAGAAGAGGCGGCTGTGGCGCTGGATGTCAGACTCGATGAAACAGAAGAAGCCGAAGAAGCAGCGGCCGAAGAGGCAGAAGAAGAGAGAGACGAGGAAATGGAAGAAGACGAGGAAGATTGCGAAGCAGAAGTAGAAGAGGAAGACGACTGCGAAACAGAGGACTGGGAAGCAGAAGCTGCGGCTGCAGATGATGCTGCTACAAGAAGAAAATGGCTCGTCACTACCGAGTCTAGGGAATGGGAAATCACAAGAAATTGATAGACTTACAGCTTCCGAGAATGGTGGATCCAGATTGAATGGCAGTGGCAGAAACACCGCTGGCAGTGGAGGTACCCTGGCCGTCGCAGTTGGCACCGATAGGGCAACAGCGGTTGGCACTGGCGCAGTAGTTGCCAGTAGGGCAGACCTGACCCTGCTCACCACAGCAGAGGTAGGCGGTGGGGTCGTAACATCCAGAACCACAGACGGACTCTCCGTTGGAGCAAACGGTGCCAGTCGACTGACGAGCGAAGAGAGCAGGAGTGTAGTTGGCGGCCATGGCGGCGGTGGCAGAAGCCAGGACGAAGATAGCGGAGATTCTCATAATTGCGGTTGGAATGGTTGTTTGAGAATTGAGAAGATGGGCTTGAATTGATAGTAATTGGCGGGTTAGAGGAGAGAAAGAGAAAGAGAAAAGAAAACAGGTACGAGAGTGATCCCAAGTAATATATACTTATCACGCAGCGATGATCAGAGATGTCAGCCTTTCGGGAGTGCCTGCATGATTTACCCCCAGCAACCAGCCATCTTGTCTCTGGGTCGCCTCAATTTCTATTCTTGTCAGGGTCCCGCAAGCAAAAAGTAGCCAAGACTCTTGTGCTAGCGTGTTGACAGTGTCGTTGAAAAGCATGAGCATGCTCAGGCGCTGGCAGAAAACACCAGAAAAAAGCCTGGTGGTGGTGTGCAGTGGAGCCCCTAAAGTTTACGAGCCTTCCCGAGCACGAGACAGGGGCCTAAGAAAAGAACCACAACGTCATTGGCTTGCGACAACTTCTTGGAGGGTTGCGAAACAACACAAGATAGGTACGTATTGACTATAGGGGACTCTGATGTTCGCGGAAGTAGATTGGATCGCGGAACATTGAAGAGCACAATTGGATCAACATGGAGTCTGCGGAGGACAGACAGACAGACAGACAGACAAAATTGTAGAAGATCCCAGAAAATCCCCTCTGTTTCAGAAGTTCGTGGTGCAAAACACCACGAAAATTGATCGTCTGCGTTCCTGAATCCTGATTGCCGGTCCACCGCGTCTGTTGCACAGCCCTGTGCCTGCCAAATTCTCTTGTTCCTGGAAAATCCTCCAACTTTTTCTTAGGGTTGGCGGAAGTGGCGGCTTGCGAGCAAGCCTTCCTGCACAAATCAACCGGGTATCCCCGCCGAGACTTGATGTTTTGTTTGATCGCCACGGCCCCCAGAAACATTGGAGGTGGAAAAATTGGAAAGCGATCACAAGTCAGCTCAACACGATTTACAATGCACACATGATATCATGGTTGGTAGATCAGGAAAAGATTGTATTTTACGACTTCACCATATCAACAAGTCCGATTCTATATACAAACATGATTCAAGACAGACAAACCAAGCGAAGGACTTGCTGCATCTAGTAGACTTCGAGAACGTATCTCTCCTCATCCTTGAGCTGGTCAATAACCTTGCGAGAGTCGACCTTCTTGCCGTTCTCCTTGGCCTCAACCTCAATGGCCTCCTCAAGGACATTGGTGACATCAGGCACGGGCCAGGTAGGACCACAGAGGTAGAAGGCACCCTCATCGCGAAGGTAAGCCTGGCGAATCTCCTTCAAAGTCTCGCGCATGCGATCCTGAATGTAGATCTTCTCGGGCTGATCACGAGAGAAAGCACAACCCATGTGAGTAATAATGCCAGCGTCTTGGTATGCCTCCCATTCCTCACCATAAAGATACTCCTCTTTCTGGTGACGAGAACCCATGTAAAGCATGACGGCACCAATGTTCATGCCTTGCTCCTTCTGCCAGGCACGTTCCTGGACGAAAGCGCGGAAGGGAGCAAGACCCGTACCAAGACCGGCCATGATGATGGGGGCGGTTGACTTGTGTGGAAGCTTCATGACCGAGGGCTTGACAGAGACGGTGACAGTCTGACCGACTTCAAGAGCGTTGAGGTAACGAGTAGCTTGACCAAAGCGATCACGACCCTTAGGATCGACCCAGTTGACAGTAACAATACACAGGGTGACAGAGTTGGGAGTGACTCTCTGCGAAGAAGCAATAGAGTATTCACGACGCTTCATAGGAGCCACCAGACGGGCGATGTCGTGGAACGAAGGGTGAGCAGAGGGGAACTCGAGCAAGAGGTCAGCATAGGTGACAGTGTCAACCTCAGCACGACGCTTGAAGTCAACCTGGGCTTCCTGGTTACCACCGGTACCAAGCAAGAGCAGCTGGGTCTTCTCGGCTTCGTCTGAGGCGTACTCGGCGAGAGCCTCGTAGAAGCGCTTGGGAGGACGTCCGAAGATATCGACGTTTTGGAGAAGGGCCTGGTAAACAGTGCGGTTCTCGAGAACCTGGGCGTCCTCGCGAGAAGGAACCTCGACAACCTCATCAGGGTTGAGACCGTACCACTTGATGAATTCCTCGACCTCGGTCTTGTCGTTCTCGGCGTGAATACCAAGAGCCTCGCCGATAGCATAGGTAAGACCAGTCTCACCGAGATCAAACTCGATGTGGAAGATGTTACGATCGTAGGTTCTAGGGGTCAGGCGGCGACGCTCCTTGACGGTGACAACTGCAGTCTTGACGCTGAGGTCGGGACGAAGAGCGTTCTGAGTGCCGTAAGCCTCCTTAAAGACAAGACCCTTGGCAACCTTCTCCCAGTTTCTGAGAAGGTAAGCCTCTTCGGGGTCCTCCTTGTCGAACTTTATGAAACTGTTGATGTTCAAGTCCTCGGGCATGAGCGAGGGCTGGTTAGCTTCGGGCTCAACAGTGAGCCAAGACTCAGGGATCTCGACTTTGCGGACGACATCGTCGATCTCCTTAGAGAGAGCTTCAAGGGCATCGTTGCCACCTGCGAGCTTCTTGACGCCAGTCTCGTAAAGATCACCACGGGCAAGCTTCAGGAAAGCAAGCTGGACAAGGTAGCTCTCAAGCTCAGGCTGCTCCTCGACCTTGGCAGAGGCGGCAGTGTCGAGAGCGAAGAGCTGGATCTTCTTGGAGGCCAGAGCCTTGCGAACCTCTGTGGAGAGGTGCTTCTCAATCTCGTCATCCTTAACGCCAGCAAGCTTGACGACAACGGTACCCTCATCCTTGACAGACTTGAGAACGTCAAAGCTCTTCAGCAGACTAGCGTCATTGACAATGGCAACGTCAGCAGAGCTGATGGAGTAGGCAGCCTCGATCGACTTGGCTGAGGTTCTAATGTCAGTGCGGATGGCACCACCAGCGACGAGGTTATCGTGACCACTGCGGACACTGACGTTGAGCTTGGAGTCACCGGACAGCAGTTGGCCAACCATGATAGGAGCTGAAACAGCGTTTGAGCTGTCAACGTCCCAGAAAGTGTACTGTTGCACATCACCAGTGGGGAGCTCGAAGCGCTCTGCCTCAGTAGGGGCATGGTCGATCTTCTGACCAATCTGTTGCAGAAGGCCAGCGACCGATGTAGGTGTCCAGACTTGCTCTCTGGCGTACTTGATGTCGAAGACAGCGGGGGTCTTGTTCATGGTAGCAAAGCTGAGGGCAGCAAGAACGTCGGTGTAGAGACCAGAGTGCTGGGACTCATCGGTGACGGCGGACTGGTCAATGACTTGGCCGAGGACGGCAACGTTCTGGACCGAGGGGGCAAGGACTTCGAGGAACTCCTCTTCAACGAAGGGACGGTACACGCGGACATTGATGACACCAATCTTGACACCCTTCTCGGAAAGGGCACGGGCAATCTGCGAGGCCAGAGAAGCCTCGACGGTACCGAAGACGACCAGAACAGACTCAGGCTCGGCGTGACCGGAGTACTCGAATAGCTTGTAGTCAGTGCCCAGCTCGTTGTTAAAAGCCTTCATGAGACGGCTGACTCTGCCCTCGTTGTCAGAGTGCTTCTTGTCGGTGAGGGACGAATCTCCCAGGATGGCGTCGTAGGTCTTCTTGAGACCAGACTTGTCGAGGACGTCAATGATTCTGGTGGTCTCCCTGCCAACAGTGATACCGTCGTAAACGTGGAGAGAAGGGACGATCGAGGCCATGAGGGTAGCGAACAGAGACATGTGCTGCATCTCGTAAGCGGAGGCGGATGCAACCAGACCCAAACCGAGCTCCTCGGCGAGACGGAGGGCCGAAACGTAGTCGGTAACGAGACCAGTGGATGAGTTGGCGGCATAGTCAACAGCAGCAACGTGGGCGACGGTAGGATTGGCAACATTGTAGAGGAGAGCCAATTGGTCAAGGGCGGGGCGCAAGTGGGCAAGAGAACCAGAGGAGGCGACGATGGACTGAGGGATGTGACGCTTCTTCAGGTCAAAGTCCTTGGAAAACATGTATCCGAGAGCAATTGAACCAGCACCAGAGCGAGTCTCCATTGAAGTGAGACCGGTCTTGTAGCCATGGACATTTTGCTCGCCGGCGCTTTCCCAGCTCTTTGCGGCGACATCAAGGTCGAAGGTTTCGGGCGAGTACGAGAAGATCTTGTCCGAGAGCGAGTATGCGACCTGCTGGACCAGGGTCTGAGCAGTCAAGTAGGTAGGACCGCTGACATGTCCCAGGGCGACATTCTGGCCAAAAGGCAGACTGGAGGATTGTTGCTCGGAAGCCATGATTCGTAGGTTGTGGAGGGGTTGAGATGGATTCGCTACAACAACAAAGGCGCTGCAAGAAAACAATCCAAAGGCCTGGCTGATTGCACAAGGCGACTCCAAACAACAGATAGCGAGTGGAAAGGAGAATGGGAAGCGAACGACAAGGAGAGGCGAACGACACGGCAAAAAGTCGACTCGCTGAACAATCGTTGGAGTCGATACTCTGCCGCTCGCCGTACAAAGCACGCCATCCGCTTAGCCATCCGTGGCCGATTGCGGAGGACTCGCTGGTCAGCATTCTTCTCCGCATCTAATCTTATCAATCTCGTTGGAGGCCGGTTGTTCGATCAGTAGATGCTTGAGATTGGAAGCCTCTCGTCCGGATCAGAAGTTGTTCAGAGACTGGTAGCATGTTCACCGAAGACTCACGATAGTATGTAGGTCCTTGAGAAGGGTTGCCGGTCAGAATCGACACTGATGGTGATGTTCTGAGGCAGACTGGCCATTAAACGCGAGTCGGGGAGACCGCGCGCGACCCGCGACAGGACGCACGGACAATACTGTGCAGACCCTTGGCCGCATGTGATCAGTGTCGGGTGCTTTGTTTACCGTCAGTGTTTGCTGTCTCCAAATCGTCAGTACATGGACTCGACCAGCCAGAGTCAAGTCAAGAAAAAGACTCCGTTTCGACCAGTCAACACTCTCACGTCTAGATACACACCGCACTCAGCTGCCGAAAATCACACCATCATCGGCGACACAAGCTCTCTTTTCGATAGCACCCATGGCAGCTTAGAATTCGACATCAACTACTTCCAATCAACACCAGCAACAGCCAATCCTAAAATGGCTCGCGAACGCCGCCTTTCCGTAGAGCAGTCCGCTCGCTCCACTCAGCCTTCCCAGTCTCGTCCCGCTCAGCATGCCTCGACACAACAGGCGCCGGTTCAGCAGCCTCCTGCCACAGCCGCTTCCAAGCTCTCGACACAGCCAGAATTCGGCAAAGCCAGTCCTCTGCGTAACCCGCTGAGAGATCCCTACGCCAACGTCTTCAACACCAATCACCACAGACCTGAGCAACACCGTTCTATCCCTCAACCACAATTCCGCCAGCAGCCGCAAGGCCCTCCGACCAATCGAACCCAAGCTAAGATCCCGGGCTTCTATCTACCAGGCCAGAGACCTCAACCCGCACCGCAACCCCGTCCCGCTCAGACTGGCAACCCTCTTTACGCTAACGCCGCAAACTCTGCAGCCATTCGCATGCCCTCAAATCCCAGATTGGGGGATATTCCCCCAGCACCTAGACCTGTCTTTTCTTCTTCCGTCGGTCCTAGCAACACATACAGGCCTTACAACCCTGCTCCTGCACATAGACCGAGACCCATCGACCTTACAGACGCCGACGATGATGAGGATGGCTTCGACCCTGATGCTGCCTTGAGAGAAGAGGGTTTCGGCGCTGCCGATCCCTACGCTTATGTCGACCCAAGCCAGACAAGCCACAACATCAAGGCCCTTCTCGAGGGCGCTTTTGACGATGATGGCGATAAGCCTAAGATGCGCCTGCGCAAGAGAGTCGCCAAAAAGCAACCACAAAAGGTCAAGGAAGAGAAGAAAATTTCTTCGCTCGAAGAAAAGCTTAGAAAGCTTGACATGAGCGCTGTCAAGGAGGAACCCATAGAGGAGGACCCCGCAAACAAAGAAGACGAAGACGAGGACGAGGAAGATGGCACTGTCGAAGGCCTAAACATTAAACTTCTCCCCCATCAGGTTGAGGGTGTCTCCTGGATGATCGACAAGGAGATCGGAGAGCGCAAGAAGAACGGTGTCCTGCCTAAGGGTGGTATCCTGGCCGACGATATGGGACTTGGAAAGACTGTCCAGTCTGTCAGCTTGATCCTGCTCAATCCTCGTCCGGAGCTTGACGCTAAGCCACCACCCGAGAACCCGAAGCGCAAGATGCCTGGCAAGGAGGTGGGCAAAGGAACGCTTGTCGTGGCTCCTCTCGCTCTCATTCGCCAATGGGAGAGCGAGATCAAGACCAAGGTCGAAAAGAGCCATGCTTTGCGCGTCTTGGTTCACCACGGTCCCTCACGAACCAAGTTCGCTGCAGAACTCAAGAAGTACGACGTCGTCATCACAACCTACCAAATCCTCGCATCTGAGTTTGCTGGTTCTTCTGATCACCCCGATGGTGCAAAGGTTGGCTGCTATGGCATCCACTGGTACCGTATCATCCTGGATGAAGCTCATTCGATCAAAAACCGCAGCGCAAAGTCTACACAAGCTACGTACGGTTTGAGAAGTTGGTACAGATGGTGTTTGACTGGCACTCCCATGCAGAACAACCTTGATGAGTTGCAGAGTCTGATCTGCTTCTTGCAGATCAAGCCGTACAACAACCTTGCTACCTGGAAGGAGCAAATCACAATCCCAATGAAAAACGGCAAGGGCAACTACGCTATCAAACGTATCCAGTACTTCCTGAAAGGCTTCATGAAACGCAGGACCAAGGACATCCTCAAGGAAGACGGCGCCCTGAGCTTTGGCAAAAAATCAAAGGACGGCGAGAAGAAGGGTACTGGAATGAAGATTGTTGAGCGCAAGGTCGAGACTATCATCTGCGAGCTTGATCCCAAGGAACGCGATTTCTACGACCAACTCCAGGAGAGAGCACAAAAGCGTCTCGACGACATGATGGGCGGCGAAAAGACTGATTACATTGGAGCTCTCGTCTTGCTTCTGAGACTTCGTCAAGCCTGCAATCATCCAAAGCTCGTGTCCGGATCCATGGGCAAGGACAAGGACGCACTATCCACAGGGCAGCCCGCCCCCAGCCAGACACCGCGTAAAACCTCCGCCAGCAGTAGCCAGGACAACGACATCGACGCACTTGCCGACATGTTCGGAGGCATGGGTGTTCAGGTCAAGGATTGCGATATTTGCAGTGTTAGACTTTTACCAGCAGAGGTGAAAGCCGGGGCTGTTCGCTGCAACGAGTGCGAAGACATCGCCAAATCCACACCAAAGAAGCTCGGTAGAAAGGTGAAGAAGGAGAAAAAGCACAAGCCAAAGCCCGAACGCAAGGCTGCTCCTGCCGCACCCCTCAGAAGAAACCGTAAGATCATCGTCGATAGTGATGACGAAGACGATGAGGGTGAGGGTGAATGGCTTGTTGATGCGTCTCAGCAAAACACTACCCACATGGGTAAAGCTGGCGGCACTGATGACGAGGACGCAGAAGGCGGTGGTGAGACATTGGGATCCATCGACTCTGCATCTGGAGACGAGGACTCTGGATCGGGATCTGAAGCCGAGTCTGAGGAAGAGGAAGGCGATATCTCATGTTCTGGTCCCGCAGGTGTTGAGGCAGCTTCGACAAAGATTCGTCGCTTGTTGCGCATTCTACATGCCGAGACACCTGAGCACAAGACGATCGTCTTCTCGCAATTCACCAGCATGCTAGACCTGATCGAACCGCACCTGCAGAAGTCTGCTATCCGCTACGTCCGTTACGATGGTGGTATGCGTAATGACGCTCGCGAAGCCTCTCTGAACTCGCTTCGCAACGATCCCAAGACTCGCGTTCTCCTATGCTCACTCAAGTGTGGTTCTCTCGGACTCAACTTGACAGCTGCTTCGCGCGTCGTCTTGATTGAGCCTTTCTGGAACCCATTCGTCGAGGAACAAGCAATCGATCGTGTGCATCGTCTCAATCAGACAGTCGATGTACACGTCTACAAGCTGACTGTTGGCAACTCGGTCGAAGAGCGCATCATCGAGCTTCAAGACAAGAAGCGCGAATTGGCAAAGGCAGCCATCGAAGGTGGTAAGGCTGTCGCCAAGCTCACCATGAAGGATATCATGAGTCTGTTCGGCCACAACCCTGGAGCCGTTGGCGGTCGCGAAAGCATCGGTAGTACTGATGAGAACAAGCCTTGGAACAGAAACACTAAAGTCCTGGCTCCGGAACCTTCACGGTCTAGTACTTCTTCCGGTGCTCGACGTTCGGGCTCCGGTGCTTTGAGATCGTCTCCTAGAGAGTCACCTCCAGCACGTACGGACCGTCGTGGCGGCTATGAGAAGGATGCCAGGAGAATCAGAAACGAGGATCCTGTCTACGGTCGTCGCTGAATGTTGTTGGTGTGAAAACACTTTTTCGTATTTCTCTTGCTTCCTTGTTCAAACTTTTTGGGAATACATGGTCTTTGGTTTTGGTGCAAGGGAAGGAGCCTTGATGACCTTGAATTTCGATGATGATGAAATACTATTCTGCTCTGTTTACCTCTTCAGACTATAGACGTCCGTATCGAGGTGACTCACCTATCCTTTCCTCATGTCATATGCTTTTTGTGATTCCAATGGCGCATTGCTGGATCCAGACCAAGGAATCATCTTTCCATGATCGGACCTTGAATTCGAGTTATGCTGTGTTGAGGTGCTCCTGCTTCTTGGTGGCTTGCCGTCGTCACAGACCTGCAGCCATCTCGGCGCCAACCATTCTTCACCTCAGCGCTTCGCTTGGTTACCTGCACCTCTATCCACAAAATCCAAGGCCGTTTCTGCAGGGTAGACACTCGTGATCTAAGTATATTCCATTTCTACATGATCCGTACAAGCCGTGTCGCGTTTCAGGTACCAATGCTACCGTGCAGGTCCTGCGCTCAACCAGGATGGGTAGCCGCCGGCAGGGCGCGTGAGACGAGAATGCATCTACACTCATCCTACCCACGTTGACCTCACACATGTTCTCAAATCGTTTTCTCGTTGTCCAGGTGAAAATGGTCTGCTTGAGTTGATACTTTCTCGATAATATCTAGCTATGAGAAGAAGGCGTGCTCTGCTTTCCTCCTCTTCGCCTCAACCTTGGTGGCAGAACTCATCAAATTCGCAGAGAGCAGCTGGATCTGCGCCGACGGTATGTTTTGAGATTAAAGGTTCCGAAAGCGCGACTGACTCGATGCTACAGAATCTCGTCGCGTCTGGCAATAGCGAGACCATACAACAATACACGACTATAGTACTGACGCGAACGCGATACACCACATATATATATTCCAACTCACCCTCGAGTCAATCGCAAGAGTCAACAAAGTCTAGTCTGGCTTCAATGAGCGGCCAGTCAAGTAGTGTTTCCAAGCATACCACTTCGACGTCGTCCTTCTGGTCACCATCGTTCGTATACCAGCCAACTACGCTCTCCACAACTACTATGGCGAGTGTCACCACACATTCGACAACGACAGTGAGGACCGTGATCTATGTCACAAGTACTGACGCTGTCTCATCAGACTCGGGTGTTTCGACGAGAGAGTCGACCTCTGCCATACAAGACACGATATCAACAACTTCCACACTCGCTGCGGCTTCATCGACTGCTTCTAGTGGTGGTACTGGTGGACGAGGTCATGGTTCTCTGCTTGTGAGCTCACCCGGAAGTTCGCAACAATCGGCAGCTATAGCTGGAGGTATGACTGGTAGCCTTGCTGGGATCATGTTGATTGGACTGCTGTTCTTGTTATTCTTTCGGAGGAGGAAGCGAGCACTACCGTATCAGGAGAAAGATGGAGCTGCCGCAGAGCCTCGGATGTCGTCTTCGTCCCAAGCATTACCATCTGCCATCGCAACGGCAGGAGCGACACGGCACTCAGACAGGAGTGCGAACCTGCCTCCTCAACAGCCTAGATTCGGCCGTCTACCTATTATCGACCACAACCTCATTCACATGAATGTCGAACACTGGGACCGACCTTTTGCGCATGAAGATCCTCATCTTCGCGATGATGGCTCGCCTCTACGTCTGATGAATCCAGACCCAACACCCACCCCGCCTGTGGTGTTTAGATCCTCCTCGACTTCAGTATCTCCCGACGCAGCACCAGACAATCCACATCGCTTCCTCCAGAGACAACGCTCAGCACTGACTGCAGCTCTTCTTTCCATCAAGCGTTCCTTCTCAAGTCAAGACGTGGTACCCAGACATGCAAGCGATGATTCCAATCTACAGCCCTCAGTTCTACCATCAGCGCATCCATCAGCACACCCCTCACCTCTGCACATCCAAGACAAGAACAAACTCACCATGCCATCCGAAGCCATCCTCGCAGGCATCACCGTATCTCGTCCAATTTCTTCTCAGTCAGCAATATCCACCAATACGATTATCCGTCATCGAGTCCCTGACGACCCATTCGTCACGTCCACATCCGCAACACCAAATTCGCTACTGCCTGACTGTCTTCAACCTGGCAATGGCATTGCTCGCCGTGACTTTCTCTCTCCACCACCACTTCGCACGAGGATGCCGGTGCAAAGCACGCCTACACACCCTCAACACGGCACCGTGAGTCCCTTGACCAGAAGCAACAGTGATTGCAGTACTACTTTCGAAAGCTTATCGCCTACGAGGAGTGAGGTTTCTAGCGTGAGTGTACGCAGTGGACCCTTCGATCTCGCAACTGCCAGTGTTGTTGATATGGAGACTGGGAGAGAAACGCCGGGTTACAGGGCACAAAGGGAACAGACGCCTAATTGGGAGGTTCATGTGAACCCTGGGACATGATGCTATAGAGTTGACGGTTGTGGTTGATTCATTTCTTGCTCTGTGAGTAAAGCTTTGTATGTAATGGTTGCATCCTGTACCGGCTGGATCGGTGTACAATGAAAATGCCTCTTGTGTATTTGCTGTCCCTTTTCATCCCCCCATAGAAGAGCTTGCTTTCTGGTTGAGATGGCCGAGATGGATTTGTCAAGGAAGGTTTGCCATGAGAGATCATTGTAACAATACTGGTTTGTGCTGCCTTGAGATGCGTGAGCAACGAGAGCGCCCCTGACTAGAGTCGGAGCAAAGCCAGCAGATGATTGTCTCTGCATCGGCAAGGATCTGTTCGAGGGTCAAGCAGAGTTGCGAAGAACACGGCTCGACTTGACGAGTGGCAGGGTGTACGATGGCCGCATGGAGTCCACCATCCAGGTGCATGTCGCAGCATCGGATCGGACCTGCCAGACGCGCAATCCCTCAACCTTATGACAAGAGCTGGCCTCAATCCTCGTCCAGGAACGTAATACCCTGCTCCTCAACCACCGGCCCGGTCTCAGCATCCTCATCTCCAACTTTCTCCACCCCGACATTGGCCTTGAACTTCTTGTCTTCCTTTTTCCCACCATCTGCACCGTTTCCCTTCTGCTGAGCATTCGGACCAAGTTTACTCTTCTCCTTCCTCTGCCTCGCTTTTTCTCGCTTTGCCCTATTCTTCTCCGTCTTTTCCGCGTCCTTCTTTTCTTGCTCCGTCTTTTTTGCCGCAAATTCTGCGTCTTTCTCTTCATTGTCCTTTTCTTCATCCATCGCCCTTAGTCTCTCGTATTCCCTTCGTCGACTGGCTTTGTACACGTGAAACTCTCCACTGCCCGCGCCAGCACTGGATCCCTGGACATTGGCGACGATTTCTGGCGGCAGAGACGAAGATGACTTTGACGTCGACGAGGAAGGGAGACTGATCGGTTTGTCCGGGTTGGCGAAGAGGGCTTCGAGCTGTGCGGATTGCTTGCTTTTGGGCGAGAGGGCGCGTTTTTTGGTCGCTTGGCCGCTGCGTGGGTCGCGGTGTACGGGGATGGATTCGGGTATGTTTTCTGACATTTTGAAAGAGACCCTTTTTCGCTTCTATTGAGGTTGGGCGGTGGTGCGCGAAGATTGTCTGTTTGGTTGGTGCAGTGATTGTGTGTGGAAGCTCGAGTGCTTGGATTCGGCCGATGGAGGAAGCTGCGGCGTTCAAAGTCAGCATACGACCCTGTCCTTCACCCCAGAGCCTCAATCTATTCTCGTCTTCCACCTTGATGTTCGGGCCTGACATGCTACGTCACCCAATGTCAATCTACACGTACATCTCACTTTTCGAAAGTGGACACCACAGGACGAAGTTACATAGTTGAAGAGTGAATTGCTCGGCAATATCTAAGCTGGCAGTCCTTCATGTGAACGCCCTTGTAGCCCTCAGCCATCCCGGTGGCTGTGAAAACAGTCCCAAATAACCACTCTTGTCATCCCATCGTTGTTGACCGATTTGCCTTCCTTCCATGCATGGTTAACGCCAATAGCCCACCCGCAAGTATGAATATGAAATGTACTCTGCAAAAAATGAGTGGCACGAGCTGAACCAAGCTCAATCAACATCTGCTTCTGCGCCGCAAACCCCAATCCTGATCCTGCAGCTCTCGTGCAAGCTGCATGCTCTGCTCCTCTTCTTCCTCAATAATGCCTTTCTCTCTGATGACGTGCTCAAACTTCTTCGACTTTGCTGTACCTGGTGTTGCCGACAGACTATCACGCTTACGCTTGGTACTACCAGGAGTCTTGAGCTCTGTAGTCTGTGTAGCCTGCGTTGGCACGGGTGTCTTGCTAAGAGACCGCTGCACGCGGCTGACTGGTCTTTCTGTGCTAACTCCAAAAGAGTGGCGCTTAATTCGAGGAGTCTGGGATTTCGTCAATGGTGGTGCCGGAGGCTGGTAGAGTGGTATGCTAGCCAGACCTGTGGTGGGTGCTACAACGAGCGAAGTTGCTGGCTCCTCGGGTGATGGGTTGGTGTCTTCAACGTGTGTCAAGGAGGCGTCCAGGAGTGGAGCAACAGCCTCTGGAGCTGGCTGATTTAGGCCAGTGCTGGGTTGGCCATTGTTTAGCGGTGTTTCAGCACTGGAAGTCTTGGTAGTGTAATCGTGTCCGTCTTGGAGATATGTTTCTGATGGGTCAGTGTTGTGAGGCTGCACAGGTCCACCCGGCGAAATCAGTCGGTGTTCAGCTTCATCAGCAGCGATGGGTTGATTGGTATGATCAAGCCCGTTCGTAATGTGCGGATGTGGGTGAGATTTGGCCAGCGAAGGGGATGTGTCCTCTCTGTTTCCTGTAGCCTGGCTTGAGGCAGAACCTTGTTGCTGCAGCGCAGGATGAATCAAGCTGTCTCCGTTCGGCTGAGGCACGGTATAATCTCCATCATTGACGTATCTAGAGTCAAGGACTTCGTTTGCCAACTGCTCCAGCGATTGCGCGTTGTAAGGTCCATTTATATCGGACTGTTGATTGTACGGACCAGCGTGTAGCATGACACCACCACCGGTTGAGGTTGGATCAGGATACATGTACGACGCATGCTGCCAGTGCGGGATATTGGCCTCGGGGTTGTATGGGTACTGCTTAAACTGTTGAGGTGATACCATGTTGGATTGGTAGCTGGACTCCATTGAGAACGGCATGACTGGCGCGGCTTGCGAGATCCGGGCTTGCTTTGGTTTCTTGATCGGACTTTCCATCTCGCCACTGGTCCTTCTCTTCTTGGAGACAACAGAGCCACGAGGAACAGGTGTCTGTTCAGCCTTGACGGGGTCAATCTTGCCGTTTTCATCATGGATGCAACGACGCTGCGTACATGTTAGCCACAAAATCAGTGATTGGATAGAAGAAAATGCAAACCTTGCTCTTGCGGCAGTCAAGGCATGCCTTGCTCCTCCCGCGCTTACTGTTAGGATCTGCTAGTAATGCGTTTCCAGGAATCGCAGCTGGGCCGATGCCATCCGTTGAGGTCATCTGTGCTACTGGAGCTAGGCCTGCCATCTGACCAATATGTCCGTTTTGCAGACCCTGTAGAGTCGGGGTGCTTTGCATGTTCTGCAAGGGCTGCATGGTTTGCTCGGCCGATTGTAGAGACTGGCCAAAAGATGCGATTGGCATAATTTGCTCAGGCATCTTGACAGGACTCACGGTATTGGCAGCGAAGAAGTCGCGAGAGCCTCTTCGCTGGTAATCGAAGGGCGTAGCATCGGCCGCGCCATCAACAGAAGGCGTCGATTGGAACATCACAGATGGCTGTCCAAAGGGTGTGCTCGTGGTAACAACGTCCTTGTGCTTACATTTGATCCGACGCTTTCGACATGCATCGCACGCGACCCTCTTAGGGCCAAGGACTGAGGTTTTGGGCGTGCTCGTGTGCTGGCCGCTGGGGCCTGGTGTAGTCTGTGTCTGGGAAGCCGACACAGGAGGCACAGAAGGCCCGGGTGACGTAGTGGTGGCAGGCTCTGATTCTCTGCACGCGTTCTGACGAGCAGACTGCCTCTCGGGGGCGATCCTGTAAGCCTCAAACGCTTCTTGTCGTTGCATAGCTTTCAATGCTCGAGCCCCTAGTTTCTTTGGAGCAGCGCTCTCTTTGTCCGGAAGATCAGCGTTGGGATGAGCCCAGGCTGGCGGATCCTCGTTGCCACGCTTCCATGCTACCCAGAGAGCAAACGTTCTGGCCAGCTCGAGAGGTTCACCACGCGACTTTGGTATCGATCTCATGACCTTCTTGCGCGTGTCTTCCGTCACACCTTCAATCCTACCCAGTCCGATCATGACGGTTCGGAATATGAAGTTGATCAATTCTGGTAGCCCGTCCAACTCTGCCTGAGAGTAATATCGGCAATTGTAACAAGCACTTCCTGGAGCGGAGTCAGATGTACCAAACTCTTCCCAGACAGGTCGTTCACGAATGAATCTCGCACCGTTATAGAAAACTTGTGCAACTTCAGCAGGTAGGGGGTCAGTCTCGAGGTATTTGATGACAGTGTACCACATGACTTTTTGAAAGTGTGGGTATCTGAACTTCTGAGGAGTCTTGATGGCTTTTTCAATGTCGACGATGCGGAACTGAGTCGAGTAGTGCATGCGAGTCAGGAAATTGCCACCGATGACCAAACTATTCTCTGGCGTCCATACGGCGTGGATCCAGCCAGAAGGAATCAGCATGGTATCTCCAGCAGACAGATCGACTCTGTAACATTCTTTGGTTGCATCTGGCAGCCACGTGAAGTTTTGCTCGTGCGAGTTGTTCCAGTCTTCGTATTTCTTGAGGTGGCCAGGCTTAGGTGGAATGAAGAAGAATGTCTTCTTGCCACGCAGAATGTGATAGTACACCGACGAACCGCCAAAATCAATGTGGAAGTCTGTGAAGCTGTCGGCAACAGACATGAGACAGTAAAATTGCACCTTCGGGTAAATGCCCTTGGAAGTCTCCTCGTCTGGCCAGACCGAGTCTTGGAGGTCGATGTCTCTCACGACCTTGGGCCTTCTCAACAGTCTTCCTAGCTTGGTAGACGAAACCTCCAAACTGATGACATTCCGGACTGCCTTTTCGCCATCGGCTTCATAGTAGTCCGCCCACTTCGACAGATTCCATTTGCCCTCAGTGCCTTGGGTTTTGACGTCGATTACTTCAAGAGGTTCATGAGGCCCGACAAGTTCAGCAACGTGTCTGACTGTCAGGTCTCGAGGCACAACCATGTCGAGTCGGTCTTGCCCATCGTTGGGCACAGTCTCGTATTCAAAGTCTTGCAACAGAGCGTCTTCCTCGTCCGCGCCAGTGAAAGCGGTTGCTGTCGTATCTTCTTCGTTGTCGCTAGATGGAACAGGGTGCCGGCAAGGAAGCTTGGGGTTGTACTCAGCGGGTATAACAACAGGCTCAGAGAAAGAAGAGCAAGTCTCGAAGAATTCACGAGTGACCAGTTCAGGGCGCATGCGAGGGAACATTTCTGGATCAAAGGTAAAAGAGCCGTCCTTGATCGGTTGAATGTAGTGATGTTCATGGTTGTCATCGGACGTCTTGAGGATTCCCTGGTTCAGACCGGCGTAGTCGACCGCTGCATGAGCGCGACTCGATTTTCGTACAAACGTTGTTGGGCCGTGTTTGGGCTCGCAGGCTTTGCAGAAGAATTTACTGACATCTCTCACATCGCGTTCGTTCTTGAAGCCGGCGCAGTCGAAGTGAAACCACAACTGGCATCCGTTACAGCTTATCCACTGATCCAGCTCTCCATGGCTAGATTCTCGAGTCAGAGCGCAGCTAGCACATACTGTCTCCTTGAATTCCTTGGAAGGCTTGCGTGGCGCTGCGGCCGGTTTTGTGGATGATTGCAAAATCTCGTATCGCAGACTTGGAGGAACTGTGGTGCCGCGGACGTCATCCGGGCGAGTTTGTAGTTGCTCCAACGAGGGCAAAGACAAGTCCGTATCTGATTTGCGCCTGGGTCTCTTCTCTTCCGCACTGGAATCGCTGCTATCAGCCACCGACTTCACCGTAGAGGCTCGCGATCGACGGGCTGATGACCGCGGCTTTGTGGTCGTTGAGTTTTTGGTTCGCGGGCCACGAGGTTTGCCTTTGGGCCATCCGCGACGCGGTCTCGCAGCCGGCGCATCTGTGGATTGCTGTGACTCTACTGAAGCAGCGGGTAACTCGATTGAATTTATCGTAGGTAGTACCGGTTGTGCGGCAGATTGATCAGATGTCGTACGCTCCTCTTCTGGTGGAGTATGCGTCTGTTGTGGTGCGCGAACCCTTGGCGGCTCTGATTCAATTGCCGCAGGCAATGGGTGGATCTCAGCAATTTGACTGATTTCCTTGTCTGTATCCATGCTCTTTTCGTCTTCGTTCGTATCCTGAGGGGAGGGCAGGGAGGCCAACGCATTTTCGGAGGTCACGGACGGAACAACGACGGTAGCAGCGGGCTCGGGTATGAGGACATGAGCGACATGGGTGGGAAGTGGAACGTAAGGATAAGCTTGGGGTGGAGGTGCTTGAGGCGCAGTGTAGAAGTTCGTGTGATTTGCTGGAGGACCAAGTGGAGCATGGCGGCGAGGAGGATCGGGAGGTGGAGGTTGTGAAGCGACTCGACCAGCGAAGTTCAACAGTAGCTCGGCGTCTTCTAATGAGGTGACTATGGTTGTGTTGGTCGATTGGCGACGTTGGCGGTCAGTGTTGTAGGCCAAAGGAGGCACACCGGGGTAGGAATGATGACTGGATGAAGGTCGAGCGGGGAAGGGATAGGCCTGTGGACCAGGGCCTGCATCGGAACGGGCACGCTTTGTACCACGGACTGGTCCGGGTGTGACGAAGTTGTCGGCGGTGGGTTTCACGGCGGGCGCGGCTCGAGGAAGCTGCGGACTCGTCAAGAGGGCAACATCAGCCAAGGCCTCGATGGTAGAAGGTGAGCGCTTGTGTCCACGGGGTTGTTCTGGCTGTTGCGATACAATTGGCGGTAGGCTCTGAGTTGAAGGAGTAGATTGGGCCAGAGCAGGATTGTTGAAGGTGGGCTCAATAGGACCCAGAGGAGAGAGCGGCTCCCATTCTGGTGAGACCGGGGACGAGCGACGCGTAAAGGTATCGATCGGTAGCGGAGGAGGTTTGAAAGCGGAGCGCGATTGAGGCGCGCGAGGGGTGGTTGAAGCCATGTCTTGTGGTGGGTGCAAGCGCAGCCAGTCGGTCGAGTCGAGGCTGGGGTGTCGAACGTGACGAGTCGCGACTGAACCAGCTAAGAGTACTAGACGGCGGCGGTGAGGGCTCTCATTTGAATGACGCGCAACCCAATGAGCAAGGAGCAGTCGAGGCTCAAGCTTGCGAGGCGAGAGGTGCGGTGATGGTTGCGAGCTGGGTAGACGATGGCTTGATCGGCTTGTCGCACTTGGATGGCTTGAGCAGCGCGGGGTCCTCGGTCGTTCCTACCTCAGCGGAACCAACTGTGGATGACTCGACGTCTCTCACGCCTTCCCTTTGGACGATTGTGCCGAGTGGTTTATTCTGGAGCCTTGACTGCTTCGACCACGGCAATCCCCAAATACAAAGAAGTGCTCATACGTGCTCGCATTCCTCAGCCCATTGTCCGTCTTCAGTCTTCACCGAACCACGGAAGAAGCCGGCCGTGATACCGCGTCCTTGGCATCCAGGCCGAACATCCAGACCAGACGGCAACCGCATCACCAGCGCTATCCCCTCCGGCCTGTTCAGCCTCCGTCACATACACCCCCATCTACCTGTATCCAAGCTATGAGTCGCGGCGGTAAACTTGCCCCTGAAGTGAACCGGTAAACTTCTGCCCGCACGCCATCGCCCACGAGACCACTCTAGCTAACTGCGACCAGCGCGCTTTTCGTCAAGAACCTCAACTACAACGTCAGCCCCGACGAACTCTTTGAGCTCTTTGGCAAATTCGGTCCCGTCCGTCAGATCCGCCAGGGCATCGCCAACAACACAAAGGGCACCGCCTTCGTTGTCTACGAGGATGTTGTAGACGCCAAACAAGCATGCGACAAGCTTAACGGATTCAACTTCCAGAACCGATACCTCGTCGTTCTCTATCATCAGCCCGAGCGCATGACGCAAAAACAGGACCTCCAGCAGCGCCAGGACGAGCTAGAAAAGCTCAAACGCCAGCACAATATCGATTAGCGTCACGCGGGAGTCCCAGCCATCAACAACGCCGACATCATCGACCCGACCCTTTCGACTGCAAGCACTCTTGTCTCGTCGTCCAAGCGGCCCCAAGGTCTCAATGAGTCGCCGGTTGTGGCTCCCAAGCGCGGCGTGCGCTCCACCTGCCATAATCTAGGCAACCACACCTTCTCTTCACCACGAATCAACACGAGCTTTTTAGGGAGGATCACAAGGCGTATACGCGGCTAGCTGTTTGCCCAAGGGCGGCTTTTCATCACATCGGGGAATTGGGAGTTTGTTTCTTTTGTCCGCAGCAGAGTGCATTTGATTATGCCCTGGCGGTGATTTTCTTTTTCTGTTACTCTCTACTTTACTCAGACCTGAGCCATACCCAAACTCGGTCATATCAAGTTTTCATTCGATTGAAATATTGTCGGATGCGCTTTACAATCGCTTTCCCATCAAACAATGTGACCGATGTGACATCTGTGGCTCTCGATGGACTTGCCAACTGTCTAGAAACAATTGTGCATTCTTATGGCTTTGTTACCACTTGTGAGAGAGGTTGGGATCACCAACTTTGATCCGCAGAGAGGTGAGCTGTCACATCAGAAGGAACCAGCTTCTCCGCATACCACAGCTCAGCAGCTTCATCAGGCAGCAAGCTTGCAAAGAGCGTACGCGGCATCACATGATGTTTAGGTTAATCCTTGTATCTGATGCATCGGCTTATCAAAGTCAAACTTAGCGAGCATTGCCCGAGCACCAACAGAAGGTAGCCGCCCAACCAGATAACATATCTGAAACAAGGACAACCGCGGTCACGCACATTGAAGATAGAAAGTCATCGTGATCTCTTCAAGCTTTCTCTTGTTGTTTTTGTTGGTACTTCTGAGTGATCACTCCTTCTGTTACGAAGTGAGCACTCCGTACCACTGTCTAATGATATATGAACCGTATAGCAACTCCCATCATTGGTAACAGTATCCACCCAGAGAACAAAGAGAAAAAAGAGTACAAGAAGTATAATGTCCAGCACCACCCTTCTGCCCTCTATCGTTCATCATGATTGTCCCATGCAGAAAGAACCCTTCAAGGGCGCTTAGTAGCCAGTAGGCACGGGAACGGGAGCAGTAGGGTAGCCCCAAGCGCCGGTTCCAGTAGGAGGCGGACCCCAAGCGCCGGTAGGGAAAGCAGCATTGCCGGTAGGAATGGTAACAGCAGTGGCAGTGGGCTTAGGACCCCAGTTACCCCAGTTGCCGCCCCAGTTGCCCCACCAGAAGCCGTCGTGACCGCCTTGACGGGCACCTTCGAATCTCTTCTCGAAAGGCTTTGCGACGGTGCCGGTGGGTGCGGGACCCTCGCCGGGAACCCAGCCTGTAGGGAAGCCAGTGGGGAAGGGGTTGAAGCCGCCGGTGGGTTGAGGCCAGCCAGTGGGCAGAGGGAAGCCGCCGCTGGGTAGAGGGAAACCAGTTGGGTGGGGGAAGCCACCAGGAGGGCCGGGAGGGTGAGGAAAGGCTCCTGTAGGGCGAGGGTGCCAGCCAAAGTGAGGAAGAGCAGCGGCGAGGTTGAGGTAGAAGGCAAGAGCCGAGACGATGAGAGATAGTCTTGCGAACATGTTTGCTCTATTGTGTGTGTATTCTCTTGATGTATGTGGATGACAGATTGAATGGGAAAGATGTGTGGTTCAGCGAATGTTGCTTTGTGCTTCCAAAGAAGATGTAGAGAGCGACAGAAGAGATGATGAGATGCAAGAGGAAAGGGACCTACAGGGACACAGCATACAACCTCTTTATGTACCTTCTACTCCGTACTGCAACGCATTCCACGAAGCGAAAAACGAAAAAGAGACTTTCAACCTCTTACAGCAAGAGGACAGGGATCTGCCACCAGCAAGCCACCGATGGGCTCCCGAAACATAGCCACCTACTTCGCATGCACGATGTCCGTGGTTCGGCTGCCTGCATATCGATGAAAGAGAACCCTCCAGCCTTTTTCCGGGCCAGGGTTCGTTTGTGGGAGAGTGCGCAACTCGGAAGCAGATAGAGTACCAGAAGCAGAGGCCAGGTCAGCTCCCGTTGGGTCGCTCAACCTTGCACACACTTGCCTACTCGACTCACCACCACTGATTGCGGAATGTCCGAAGGCAACGCCGTCATGCGTGCTTCCACCAGTGGCCGTTTGCTATCCATGACAGACACTACTGCTCACCAGCAGAGGCAAGATACGCAGGGGGTTGACCACGGCCCCATGCTCCGATTGTGTTACGCGTTCGCCAGCCAGCGATTTGCTTGTTGATCTTATCAGACGATGACAGACAGCGAGCCAGATGAGCATCAAGCATGATGTGGAGACTCCTCGTCTCTGTGATGTTGTCGCTACGATCTCTGTGTTGTCCGTGACAGAACAGACGGCCTGTCGAGCTTTTGCAGATTATGTTTGTGTTGAGAAGTTGACCGGGGATCGAGGTGTGGAGATCTGCCCGAGTGGAGCCCTTGCTCTCTCAGCCACTGGCCGTCCAGCCTCTTCTCTCACAACGTACAACCTTGTTCGCTCTTCTAATCATCATATCTTTCTCTCACCACATCATCGCATCCGGAAGTCGCAATGACCTAGCCACACATAGCGAGTATCTGGAGGCATCTTTCTATCACCATTGTCTGCAATGTCGTCTGCTGTCAGTCGAGGAAGCCCCTCAGATGTCATCAAGCCTGACGAGCGGCTCTATGCGTTTCAGAACAACCTCTCAACATGAACCCATGCGCAAGCCACCACAAGGTGCCAAAACCGCCGTGTGGATGGCGGGAAGAACGGGATGGCTGATCAAACCTGCATGGGCAAACCTTTGTCACAAAACAACCAAAAGAAAGCTGCCAGATTCCAACCATCTCTTGCCGAGCTTTTACTTAACCCTAAAGTCACGTCCTCACAGAGACTGGCGAGAATTGCCCTATCCTTGCTGCCTATCTCCCAACAATGAGACACTGATCTATTGGTATTGTATATGGATTGTTTCGTCGCCTGTTGCCGCCATCGAAGTCCAACACGTATGACAGGCTGGGTTCACGCATAGTCACCTCAAGCATCGTTCGGTATTCGAAACTGCTGTAGGAAAGATATGGCTATCCACATGTAAGTGATGCGGATCTCTACATCTCCTAAAGCTCTTCTCATATATCTCTTTCTCATCCATTCTCATCCGTTTCACGAAAGAGGCGCATCCCAGAATTTTCCAAACTCATCCTTCTGTTCGATATCTTGGATCTCATGTCAACTTCTGAAGGCGAGCAGGCCCACTGGTAACTATGTGTCTGGATCTAAGGTTGTGTCGTGGCTCTCATTGCCTTGATGCGGTACCGAGGGAGGCCACGGCTAGCTGCCGGTATCTCCAACGTGCCTGCATCCCGCACGACTGCGCGCACATCCAGAAGTAACAAAGTCCTGACGTTCGCAGCTCCGAGGAGTCCCAACGGTCCATACGCGCATCCAGCTACGACATTCCCATATGCAAAGATATATCACGCCGGCAGCTGTAAAAACGCACGGTTGTTTTAGCAGATCGAGAGTGTCCATCAAGAGTTGATAACACCACGACTCTTTCATGGACTTTACTACCGTGTAAAGAGCATTGTGCGTTCTGATGGGCAAGAAGCACATCATACCAAGAAGACTGCCCTCATCGTCACTTGAAGAAATCTAGATGGCCTCGGGGTCTTGGCCTTCGGGTCTCCAATCGAGACAGGAAACCAGACCTTTAGACTTTGACTTGGCACTATTCGCAATCATTGGCATCTTTTGTTTTCGACGACATCGCAAGAGATAAGAGGCTTAACATCTCAGGAAATCCAATACTCCGTACAGCAATAGAACTCACAATCTGCTCACCCACGTGGAAACAAGTCTGCATATACGAACAGCTGACACATGAACCCCGTAAGCGCTATTGGACAACAAATTCGCAATTCTTTTCTGAACTCAAAGATAAGAATTTCCGGAAGATAAGAGCTGTATATCTTGCCTATCAAAAAAAAGTACAAGATACAAACCAGATGGTGTCAGCGTGCCAAGTTTATTGCTGACCGCATGCATTTCTATCGAAAAGTGTACAAAGTACAATACCACTGCCCTCTCGGTAATTTTTCGCAATGTTCAGCATAATACAAAGACCGAACAATGCTTTGGTTCGTGGTTTATGCAGTCCTGCAACCATGCAATCATGCAAGGTCCCCCCAGCAGGGCTGTGACACGTCTCAAGCTTCAACGATCGACGACTCTCCCAACACAGCATAAGCACTCAGACTCGCCTATATCACGCACGTGTTTCCGATATACATATCGAGAAGACTCTCGGTTCTCATCGCATCCAGTTTTGCCGACTCGATGGGATAGGCCAAAGCCTATCGAATACTTTTCTCTCTACCCGGATAATCCGAATTGGTGAAGAGGTATAATAAAAATACACATTAGGGATTGCTTTCATCTCGAATCAGCACCACGACCGTTGCGGCTTGGGACTCCTCTAGAATTCCTCGAATGGGTCGACCTCCAAACTCTCGCCAAACATGCCCTTTCCTATCATCACATCCTGTGCATTGCTTCCTCCCCTGCGTTTGCTTTGAGACGTGTGATCTACGGCGAATCCTCTACCGATGAAGGCATCCATTCGTACAGTTCCGATTGAACGGTCTGAACCTTCCCGATCGCCTGTTTTGAGGTTCGGACGGATCGAGCCATTGGCAGGAGCTTGATATGTAGCTGTGTTTGATGCTCTCCGCGCGAAAACATTGGACGCTGTCATCGAGCTATCCTTGGACAATGTTGCAGCTGGCAATTGGGGATTCGTGCTGCTTCGCTTACGCTGATGGCGACTGCCAGCAAACTTGGAAATATTCGGAGGAGCAGTTGAATCAGCCGTGTCCAGCCGCTTGTGTCCTTCGGCACGTTTGGGTGCCGACATCGATACAATTGTCGTTTTCGAAGGCAATATGGGTCCTGGCAGTAATGAGGATCGTCGTTTGTGTCCGTTTCCAAGTGTGGGCTCAGCTTCTGGCGATAGGCGTGGCACCAGAGGAGGACCTCGACCCGACTGCGCAAGAAAAGACAGAGCTGTGAGCCACAAGTAATGTCTCTCTTTGTTTGATGCAGTGAGCTTGAGAGCTCGCTCTGGTGTCAAGATGAGTATGGACCTGTCGAAGATAGTCTCGTGCGAAGCGCTCTTATGAAGCGGTGTCGTGTCCTTAACATCAAGCACTGATTTGATCACCACTGACGAGTGTTAGTTACAAGGGAAAGATATCAATGGCACAGTCACTTACGTTTACGTCCGGGTTTTCCAAGCAAGGCCGGACCTGAATTTGGCTGTTTGGAGCTCCACATGACTGTTTGTTCATACGGCGAAAGCCAAACCCATCTCTTGTGGCGTACGCCGCTGGTTGCTCCTTCATCTGTCTGATCTCCACGAGACTCGCCGATACCAAAGGAACGACGTCTTCGAACGTACTTCCACATCCACTCGCCTACCATAGTGCCTGCAATCGCGTCCACGATGACTTCGTCTTGACTTTTCTCTTCCTCTTCTTCCACTGCGCTATCTTGGTCGAAGTCTGGAGAGTCCAGGATATAAGACTTTCCGTTCGGCACACCAAGTTCTTCATGTGTCGGTGTCTCTATGCCCGGAAGGAGCAAGTTGTCTTTCGATGGCGTGTCGAATGCCATTGATTTGATCGGTTCAAGGTTCGGTGCTCTTCTCCTTCTTCTTGGAGACATGCGAGCATTCGTTCTCATGGTGCCAGATGATTGTACCTTTCTAAGGCCGCCATCTGGAGCGATCCGAGAATCATTACTTGAGCGATGTGATCGCATTGAATGAGCCTCACGTCTAGTGGGACTTCGCGATCCTTCATTGCTAGGAGGTCTCGAGCTCATACGGCCAGGTATCGGAAATGGTGGCGGCGGTGCTGCGCCGTAACTACTAGCAGTATTGGGTCTGCTGGAGTTGCGCTCATATGAACTGAAGAAAGGTCCTACTCTCACGGAATGAGATGTTCCTCTTGAACTGGGCGGGCGACTCTGGTTCGAGCTACCGTCAGACCCCATTCTCTTGCTGTGAGCAAATACAGACGGCCTCTCTGGACTGACGACAAAATTTGCAGGAGAAACCGCGCGATTCTCCGGTACAGTCTTCGGAGGGCCATTGAACAGTGAACGTACGTTCGGACGAGTAAGGCCTGGCATGTTTCCGAAGATGGCTCTCATGTCATCACTGGACTCGGCTAATCGATCGTTGACATCCGGGTCATCATACCAGTGAGATGGTGCGTCTTGTAGCGGATCTGACTCTGACTGCTGGTGTTTCTCATGAGCTACCGAGCGAAGCTTGGGCGGTGGGAGAACGATAGGCTTCAGTGGGAAGCGATTACCATCCTTGCTAAAGGTGCTACGATGCATGGCGACTCGATGCTTTGTGGTTGTCTGCGTCTCATGACTTGCATTGAAGCCACCTTGCTCCAGAGCGCTTGGCAATAGATGAGGCGGTAGCTTGATTGGTCTTCGGTCAATTTTGATCTCGTCTGTTTGCACTCCAGCATCCGACATAGGCGTTGCGGCAGCTACTTCGGTTTGCACAGAGCTACTACGCATACCGGGGGGAAGGACACTCTCACCAGTTCTGGGCGACATGGGAGGCTGAATGGTGATGGCTGGGACTGGAAGGACTTCTACCGGAGCCATAGAAACGTTTCTTCGTGATGCCAGATCACCTGCAACAGCGAGATCTGTTTGTGTCGAGATTGATTGGTATATTGATTTCGCTGATATCTCTTTGTGAGCATCTACCATGGCAACATAGTGTGGTGTATCCGGAGGGCTCATGGGGGCCTCGACTAACCGATCTGATGTTGCCAGATTCGGTAGTCTTGGCTGGTGGCCTTGTTCGGATGGTTTCGCCTGGGTGGGTACCATGCCAGATTCAATTGTTCCGTTCTGATCGACTGTCAAAGTCTTTGGTGCGTCACCGGTGGTTTCAGCTTTCTGTCTCGCCGGACTCGAAGACCGTGAGAAACTCATCTTCGCCATCTGCAACCCAAATCTCTCTGCGAAAGAGGGTGTCCTCAGAGACTCAATGGATGCTCCTCGTACTGCTTCTCCTTCCGTGAAAGCATCAGAACCGCTCTTGACTGTCAGACCAAGAATCTTCTTTGCTTTGCGATCCGAGATGGCTGAAGTTCTAGAGTTGATGCTCGAGCGGTTTTGAGCAAACAAAGGGAGGTCCTCATCTTCATCTCCTTCGAGGTCTTCCGTCTCGTACTCCTCGTCGTCCGAGTTGAGCTCGTTGGCCAACGAAGTCATACCTGGCCTTCTGATACTGCCAACAGAGGGGGCTAGGCTTCGAATGCTCAAGCTGCTCTGATTTCTTGCATGATTTTCACGTCGGAAAGTGCGGACGCTGGCAGCATCACTATCTTCCGAAGCATCCTCGGACGCTTGCTGAGCTTGAGAGGCAAGATGGTGGGTCCTTACTTCCTCTACCACAGCGCGCAGTCGCGTCTCGGAGACGTGGACCTTGTGCTCGAGTTGACGCTTCTCGTTCTGCCACGACTGTCTCTCTTTGTCCCATGTCTCTCTAGACCGAACGGTCTCTTGTTCCAAAACCTTTGTCTTCTTGTTCGCTGCATCCAGCTTGTTCCGTAGTTCCTGGTTTGCAGTTTTGACATTGTCTCGCTCGCCGAGTAGACCCTCGACAGCATCAAAGGTTCCATTCTCGAGGAGTTTGAACTTCTGCTCCAACTGCTTGGCCTTTTTGGTGCTCTCGCGAAGTTGAGCAGACAAATCTCCATTCTCAGTGTTGGTGGTCTTGAGACTTTCTTCGAGAGTGTCGATGAACTGGTGTTTCGAGTCGAGTTCTCGTCGCAACGAGAGAATTTCGGAGACTAGAGATGCATGCAGGGTGGGGGTGAAACGGTTCGCATCGAATGCATGGGCGTTGGCATCTCGGCTTTCGGATGATGCGTCGAACGAAGAAAGCAGAGAGTTGGTGGAAAAGTCACGGTGTTTAGCACGGCCGCGTGAGGAAGGTTTCGACGTTGCGAGTTCCGGAGGGGTGTGTTCAGGCGTTCGTGCAGGTGATGCCAGGGCACCATACTGAAAGTAGTCGGTTGACATGATGGCAACGCGACCAGGCGTATAGCAGTCAGAGAGTCACTCTTCCTACTTCATGTGCAGTTCAACAAGTCATGACTTGAGGCGTGCTGGCGGTATTGTGCAAAGAGGTGTCCGCACGAGATTGAGTAAGGTCTCGAGGGGAGTGGTAGCGAAAAGGGGAGAGCAAGAAACCAGAACAGAGCGATTGAATGACGCTGTCAGTCAAGATAGCCGGTGTTTCAATCTATAGAGATTTGGACGTGAATAGAGAAGATTGGCCGGATACGCCGATCATCAGGGAGAGGAAGGCTGATAGATGAATCTGAGAAGGAGCGGCCACACTAATACAGGTTGTGATTGCCTCAATCTATACCACAAAGAGAGGCGCACCTTCCCCACCCCGCTGACTGTGCAGCTGAGAGTCCATTGTTGACATTGGGCCGTGGACTGGGCCGCCTGTAGACTCGCAATGGTAGAGAAGGCGCTGCATGTGCGAACCCGCAGCTGTGGAAAGTGTGACTGAGCAGAGTGCCGGGTGTGCACGGATCGTCTGCAGAGACAAGCGCGCCGTTGCTCCATGCAAGGGACTGGCGGGATCGACTCTGTATCTGCACCGTTTTGCGCTGCTCGAACAAGCTTCTGTTTCACCACACCACATCTTCCAACGTCTGCTTCTGGTGGTGAAAAAATGTGTTACTTGACACGACACTGCCAATTTCAACACCAGAACTAGAAGTTAAAGCGAAACAGATTGACTCGTCTCTGGAGTCCGACTTGGCAAGCGCTCGAGCGTTCGTGAAAGGGTGTGACAAGGATGGAAATGGGCTTGTGCTTCTGCTGATCACCTCAAGGCTCATTAACCAATCGATGTCTTGAGCCCTCGTCCTACGTGAGTGACTGACACTGTTGTGCCTCTTGACATTACTCTGTCCAATCGCAAGATCACACGAGAAGCCTCTATTCAACTCAATGAAAGCCGCGCGGGCTGGATATTTGGTATGAGCGCCGCACGGCAGAGGAACGGCATGTCCGAAGCATCATCACAAGGGCTTCCAAGACCTTTTTTCTATCACGGTAAGACATGGTGATATTGCAAGCAGATTTATCATAACACACATCTGCATTGATATCAGGATCAGATGCACAGCACGATATGCAGGCCAATCTTCATCCGTGGAGGTCACAATGGTCATGGGGCAGGTCTGGCCGCTGTGTAACGAATTTCGAGAAAAGTTGATAAACAAACAGATCTCATTCGCAACTCTCCAACAGCCACACACTGATCAGAATACGGACCGTAGGTGTCACAAAGTACAATGATTGGAAGAGAATCCTCAGAAGCGAGCCGTATCTGAAGAAAAGATGGAAGCGATGATTTTAATTTGCTGTATAGGGGACAACCCTGGCTCGGACGAAGGTGTCCCGGATCCCGAGCCCCGCCATGTGACGCTTGATTTTTTTCTCGAAACCATCAATCGTCAGGCCGACAGGTTTCTGACACTGCCTTGATATTTCCGAATCTAGGACTTGAACCCAATCGAACAGCCTCGATTGATTCTCGGGTACCAAGAAACATACACTTACGGACCGGATCGTCGACAAGACCTTAATACTCAACGAAGCAAGCACCAAAGCACTTGTACCCGAGGAAAAGAGAGAAAGAAGCTCCCGTATAAGGAGTCTATACCACAACAAAATGGCGTCGCGTATCCAAGAACTCCCCGATGACTTCGACGACAAGATCGACCTGAACAAGGCACCCGCCGAGACACGTGGCCCTGCACCGCCGTCCGCAGCCGGCGACAGTGGCCTCTCGTTCGACAAGATGATGGAAGCAGCAGCCAAACACTTCCCAGCCAAAAAGGATGCAGCACCAACCTCAAACGACCCATCTCAACCAGGCGCTCAACTGCCCCCCGGCATGGAAACAGCCAGACAGTACACAGCAGACGAAATGTGGCAGATGCTCAACAAGTCCCCGCTCTTCATGACCGAGCTGGACGAGACGGGCGAAGACGGCGGTGAAAACGTAGCCCTCGAAGCAATCAAAGCCCTCGCCTACGAGGGCACCCGCGCCGAAAACGCCGCCTCCTTCCGCGAACAAGGAAACGAAAACGCCCGTCTTAAGCGTTGGAAGGACGCCCGTGAATTCTACGATCGCGCTCTGGGCGCTCTGAAACTGCCCCAGAAGCGTGCAGATGCGGTCGAAGGCGACGAAGACGTCGAGCACGACTTGGTCGAACTGGACCCAGAGGAAGAAGCACGCAAAGAAAAAGAACACGAAGAGGCATCACTGGTCAACCGCGCCCTCTGCAACCTCGAATTGAAAAACTACGGCTCATGCAACCGCGACTGTGCGGCTGCTCTCAAACTCAACCCTCTGAACGTAAAAGCATACTACCGCAGCGGCATGGCAAACTTCCACCTCGACAAACTACCCGCAGCAAGCTGGTCTTGCGACTTGGGTCTCAAAACCGACCCGACCAACAAATCCCTGCTTATCCTGCAAGAAAAGATCGCAAAACGCAGAGCACAGATCGAGAAAGCCGAACGCGAACAGCACGAACGAGAAGAAAAAGCCCGCAAAGAAAAAGAAACATTGGCACTGGCATTGAAAGGCCGCAACATCGCAACGAGATCCACAACGACGGCACCACCTCAACTTGAAGACGCAGCCGTGCAACTCGAAGACCCGACGGATGCAGCATCGACTCTGAGTTTCCCTTGCTTACTCCTCTACCCTCTGCACAACCAAACGGATTTCATCAAGTCCTTTGCCGAAGACGAATCAGTAGGCCAACATCTCGAGTACATTTTCCCATTGCCTTGGGACGAAGACGAGCAATACCTACCCGAAAACGTCGAATGCTACATCGAGACCACAACAGGAGGTCTGGTAAAAGCAGGCAAGAAGATGGCATTACTCAGGATATTGAACACCGGCAAAGTGGAAATCGTGGATTCTCTGCTCAGGATCAATGTTGTGCCAAAGAACAGAGCACAGGAATGGGTGGACAACTTCAAGAAGATCAAAGCTGCCGCTAAATAGAATTAGAGCATTTGATCTAAAGTAAATCATGAATTTGTTTTGCCTTACCGTCCGTATGCAACTTCTCTTTTACCCTGTCTATAGTAACATATGATGCTTGTTCCTTTGTTCATAATCATCTCCCATCTCTGTTGATATTTGTTGTAAATGTTGTCCCAGCTCATCTGGTCAGATAACACATGATGCCCCAGAGACAGCGGAATGCCTCTATCCTGTCACTGACGTTGAACAAGTCGAACCATTTCGATCGTTGCAGCACCGGATGGCACCAGTCCTTGTCATCCGGTATCGTGTCTGGGAAGTTGCCGGTGGCGACAAAGTCGAGGTAAGCACCGTGTACTCGCAACTTGAGGATCGAGACGTGATAGTACATGCTTGATAGCACGTAAACCTGCAAATTTTTGTCAGTCATATATCTCGTGATCAGTCCTCACTACTCCTCCTTACCGTGTCCCACTCGCTATCCTCGTCCTTGCCAATGGCCTGGTATTCGGTAGCAGGGTCCCAGAAGGATCGCATTGGCTCCATGGCTTTCCATATCTCGTACTGCGGCCTCTTCTTTTTCCTTTTGCCAGCAAAGTGAGCAGCAGCCTCCTTGCCCAAAGCTGCAGCAATGAGGTCGCTAGCATCGTCCATGTCGGGTGTTTCTGGTTCTGCGGCATCCGAAGCCATCTCGCTGAACCAGTATTTTCCGCTTTTAGGAGCCGGCTTTGCCCATATCTTTTCTGTACGACCTTGTCGCCGTCTCTCTTGCGCGAGGTGCAAAAGACTGCCAATCTCTTTCAGCTGATCCAGGCGTAGCTTATCCCGCTTCTCGTCGTCAGACCCAAAGTCGAAGTCTTCCAGCTCTTTGCGAACGTATGCAGCCATGAGCGGTCCTTGCAACAAGTGCCTCTTTTCCTTCTCTTTCGGAACGCGATGTACCAGGAACGACTGATAGTTGACGGGCAAGCGTACGCCGCTCAGTAATAACGTGGGATGCACGCGCGGCGAACCGATTTTGCAGCGGAAGGGAAAGGCGGCTGCTTCCATGAAGCCCTTGATGACGTCCATACGATAGACCCAGGGCATCTTACTGCCTGTAGATGTGCGTCTACCGCGGTACAGCTCTCGCAAGAAATCATCTGAAGAGGCATCAGAGCCATTGGTGATCATCTTCGAAAGCGGCGGAGATTCCTGATCTCTTGCAGTAAGTTCGCTGAAGGTTAGTGGTGTAGCAGGAGGTAAATCAATAGGCTCATGCTCTTCCAGATTCCGTACGTCAATCATCATGTCTGGATCGGCGAACTGTGGGTGGTCTTCTTCGCGAACGCTCTTGCCGTCATCGTCCAGGACGAAATAATCATCGAGGTCTGTTTCCCAATGCTCGCTCATGCTGTGCAGAGCAGTGAAGAATGTGCGGAAGTCGCTTAGGCGAATCTTGTTTAATCCTTCGGGAAGGTTCGTACGAGTGACGGTGCGGTAGGCAATGTCGTTCTCAGTCTTCAACTCGACAAGTCGTGTGACAAAGTTGCCCTGGTTGTAGTTGGTATTCTCGGCCATAGTGGGATTCAACTCTTCGTCGTTGGAGGGCATGTACGGACGGCCTTGGTGGTCTGTTGGAACCAGCTGGTCGACAGGGCACGGTGTTGCGAAACGAACATTCAGGTCGGCGTAGAATTTTGCTGTGATATCCGAGACCCTGCGCGACTGGACAAAGTCGCGGCGCAAATCAGGACGGTCAGACTCATGGTGCCAGTCTTTGATTCTCAAGGCTTCTTGTCTGGCGTAGTTGGGCAGACCAACATGGGTCGGCGGGTCGGGTTGGGGTCGTTCCTTGAAGGGATCGATGTAGCTGGCGTAGTTGCTCGCTGTGTCGCATACAGTCAGAGGGTGGAGGAATGGCACATTTGAGAAGGGTCTGGGAGGTGCAGAAAGACGATTGGCATTCAGAGCGCTACCTAGGCACACGACTGTAGGTAGACAGGGACTGGCGCACCGAATGCGACAGGTGCAAGTATCTTGGTCGACTTGGCTACGCGAATTGCAAGACAGCTCATGTGCGCCAGTGTGCCCCAAGGAATGTGATGATTTGCGAGACGACAAACGTACCAGCACCGAAGCCACCAAACATGATGGGTGATTAGTCGAGTCTGTATGCAGACCAGCTTGTGGTATTACGTGTTACGGCAGGTGGGACAAAGCGAGAGTGGTGGTGAAACAAGAGGCGAAAAGAAAGGCGCGAAAGAAAAGCGCACGTAGATCAATCACTAATGGGCGGCAGCATGGTGGGTGATAGGTCAAGTCATTGGCGAAGATGTTTTGCAAAAAGGAAGTGCAGAGAAGGGACAAGATTTTGGTGTCGACGCGTAAATTCCTTGTTGCCTTCATTCGGAACCCCTCAGGTCCCTCTCGAGTCTCTCGCAGCTCCCTGCCCGCGAATGACGGCGCGGCGTTCGGGAAAGCACGACTCGCCGCACTCACGGCCCGAATCAATCTTGGGCGTTGCTTGTTTCCGCCCGCCGACTCCGGGCTTGGAGAGGTAAGACGGCCCCCGGCCGCTCGGAGATGGGAGGCAACGACCCCACTATTCTCCCGCTGGAGGAAGGTACAGCCCGCAGCCACGCGGGTCATCAACGATTGAGGGGCAGCCGCAGTTTCCTCATCATCAATCTGACATTTCTGACTTGCTCAACATCTGTCTTCCACCCATAAAAAGTGTAATCTAGAGCAGTCAAAATGGTTCTTACATTCGGCATCATCGGCACCAACTGGATCACCGAGTCCTTCATCCAATGCGCTCAAGCAACAAACCAATGGAAGCTGGCCGCTGTTTACTCTCGCTCTGAAGACTCCGCTCGCACCTTCGCCGACAAGTTCGACGTCAAGACCCTTTACACATCTATCGACTCTCTTGTTCAAGACTCGAACCTCGACGCCGTCTACATTGCCTCGCCCAACTCTCTCCACTACTCGCAAGCAAAGACGGTCCTCCAAGCAAAGAAGCATGTCATCCTCGAGAAGCCCGCCACCTCGACTCTCGCCGAACTCGAGCATCTGTTCAAGATCGCAAAGGAAAACAATGTCTTCCTGATTGAAGCCTACCGCCATATTCAAGAAGTCAACTACAAGCTCCTCCGCCGCGTCTTGTTCGACGACAAGAAGTTGGGCACTATCTTCGGTGCCAGTCTCAACTTCTCCATGTACAGCTCGCGCTACAACAATGTCCTCGCTGGCGAGACCCCCAACATCTTCAGTCTCGAAATGTCCGGTGGCTCCCTGGTAGACATGGGAGTATACCCCGTCACCTTCGCCCTTGCCCTGTTCGGCAAACCCAAGTCGCAGACATACGCTCCCTTCATCTGCCACACTGGAGCTGATGCCGGTGGCTTCATCGTCCTCCAATACGAGAAGTTCGGTGTTCAGATTCAGCAATCAAAGTGCTTCACATCCTTCGCTCCTACCGAAATCTACGGCGAGAACGGTACCATCAGCCTCAACTCCGTCACCGACATTGCGAGCGTAAAGCTCTGGGACCGCAAGACCAAGCAGACCGAGGAGTTGGCAGAGAAGAAGGTTGATCTGAACTTGCAGGAAGAGGCTGAGGAGTTTGCCCGCATCATCAACAACAAGGACGCCGATGCTGCTGCTAAGCTCGAGCAATTGAGTTACGATATTGTGTCCGTCACCTCTGACCTGAGAAGGCAGAATGGAATTTTGTATCCTGCCGACAAGCAATAGATACTGCCTGTGCACCAAGACCTGTATATTATAATGTTCCATATATGATTCGTGTCTCTGAACCAAAAGTTGAAAGCAAAAAAAGTTACGTCTTCTGTATTCTTTCCATCTCTTGTACCCTTGCTATGCAAATCGTGTTCCGACAAGAAAGCCTACGAGAACATTGAGAACCGCTCCATCTCTATAAAAAATATACACATAGTCAACCCCGTCATCCGACCACTTGCTACTTGTTTACACCCTGCTACTATATCCACCAAGCACATTCCCCTTGGCAACCCTCCTCTCATACCACTTCCTCCCCTCGTCAACCCAAAACACCGTACTCGCCAACAGCACCAAACCCACCAGATCCCTGAGCCCAAGCGCCTCAGTCTGGAACACGCCCTGCAAAGGCGGGAAATAAATGACCAAAGCCTGACCCAGCAAACTGCCCGCTACAGCATAATTGAACATGGCATTTGCTTTGTGGCCCGTAAACTTGATTTCGCCAAGAAGCAAAGATTTTGTGGCGCTGCGGCAGGTGAGGGCGTTGAACATGTCGAAGAGAACGAATGCCGTAAAGGTGAGGGTGGTGTCGCGGGGTGAGACTTCGTGGGAGGCGAGGTCGGTGGTGGAAAGGTTGGAGATGTAGGTGTACAGTGTGCCTGCCATGATGACCAGTGAGGATTGCAGTACACGGCGAATAAGGCGGGGTGTAAGGACGCGTGCGTGACGGGGTCGAGGTGGTAGTTGCAGCATTGTTTTATCCACGGGCTCTACACCCAATGACTGGGCAGGAGGACCGTCCATGAGGATGTTGATCCAGAGGATTTGCATGGCATTGAGCGGATTCTTGTAGCCGAAAGCACTGCTCAGCATCACAAGACCCAAAGCAGCGGCAGATGTGCTGAGTTGGAAAGTCAAAAAGTTTTGGATGTTGTGGAAGATGCCTTTGCCTTCTTCAATGGCGGCGAGGATGGTGCTGAAGTCGTCGTTTGTTAGAATCATGTCTGCGGCTTCTTTGGCCACGTCGGTGCCGAGTTTGCCCATTGCTATGCCAATGTCTGCTTTTTTGAGTGCTGGCGCATCATTGACACCGTCGCCTGTCATGGCCACGACATCGCCTCTTGATTGCAATGCTCTGATGATCTTCATCTTGTGATCTGGACTCGTTCTTGCAAAGACTGATGTGCGCGAAATCGCTTGAGCGAGATCCTCATCACTCATTTGATCCAGCTGGTCACCACGCAAGACTGGTGAACCAAGGGCTGATGACATATTGATAGGCATGCCTAGCTTTTTCGCAATGGCCACGGCTGTGGTCTCGGCATCACCAGTAATCATGATAACCTTGACTCCGCCAGCCATGAGACGGCGTATAGAACGATCCACACCCTTGCGAGGAGGGTCATTCATACCCACCAGGCCTGCAAAGCAAAGTCCAGTGTATAGATGGTCTTCATCGGCCAACGAGGAACCCTCAGGCTTGGGTGATGTGCCACGGGAGATGCGACGATCCTTGGATTCACGAATCGAACCGCTCGCGAGGCCAAGAACACGAAGTCCATCTTGCGCCATATCTTCGGCTGCTTTCAATGCTTCCTGACGTCTCTGCTCGTCCAGAACGACTTCGCGTCCTTGCGAGGTCATGTAGGTATCGCAGCGACCGAGAACACGCTCAATAGCACCCTTGATATAGGCTGTTGCAGCTCCATTGATTTCTTGTGGGTTGTGAATGACCACACCCATCCATTTGCGCTCTGAACTGAATGGCGTCTCGTTGCGCCTGCTTCCAATGTTGTTTCTGATATCATCTTCGCCAAATGCGTCCAGAAGATCGAGTAGCGCTACATCAGTTGGCTGACCTGTCCAACGACTCTTTGCATTCGCCAAGTCGCCTCCCATGGTCGAAGATAGGATAGCTGCCGAAGCCGCTGTAGCATGAGAGGAAGACTCGGAACCCAATCTTCCATTGTTGACAATGTTGCCAATACGTAAAATGGTGCGCGTAGCAGAACTCGAGGGAGCAGTTGCATGTACCTTGACCACATCTACAGGGGCCTCGTCGTCAAAATGCCACATTTTGGTAACCGTCATATGGTTCATGGTCAGAGTTCCGGTCTTGTCGCTGCAAATAACATTGACAGAGCCTAGAGTTTCCACACTTGGGAGCCTACGCACGATGGCGTGTCTTTTTGACATGCGAAGAACACCAAGAGCCAGTGTGACGGTGACGATGATAGGCAGACCCTCAGGGATAGCAGCAACGGCAAGTGAGACACCAATCTGGAACAGTTCCAGGAACGGTCTACCGCGAATAAAGCCTATGAGCATAATGAAGGCGATGATCCCAAAGGACATGTAACTGAGCTCCTTGCCGAGGTTGTCCATGGAGAGCTGTAAGGGTGTACGAGGGCTCTCGATCTCCTGCAACGAAGCAGAGATGGCACCGAATTCTGTACCACCTCCGGTACCAATCACAATACCTTGTCCATAGCCTGAGCGAACCAGTGTTCCCATGAAAGCAATGTTCTTCTGCTCGTTCAGACGGAGGTCTGCACCCACGGTACCTGAAGCCTCGGACGCATATACAGGCGAGCTCGGATATCCTTCTCTTTTGGAAGCTGTGATGCTTGCTGCAAATTTGTGTACGGGCTCGTTTTCACCAGTCAGATTGGACTCGTCGATGGAGAGGTCTGCGGCACGGGTGATACGAATGTCGGCGGGAATGCGGTCGCCAGTGTGGAATAGAACGAGGTCTCCAACGACCAGTTGGCCAGCGGGTATAGTCATGGATGCCTTCTCGGCATTGGCCAAAGAAATCTTCTCGGCCTCCTCCAGAGTATCATTGTCGGGTCTGCGTTCGGCGCTGCGGATGACGTGGGCCGAATGGGGGACAAGCGAATTCAATGCCTCCATAGACTTCTCTGATCGGTATTCTTGCACGAAGGCGACGGTGACAACAATCAGGACGGCAATAGCGATACTGATGGCGTCCTCCAAGTTGCCCATGACTGCTGAGATGGCAGCTGAGGCTAGAAGCAACAATATCAGCGTCTCTTGAAACTGCTTGACGAATCGCAGCCATAATGGTTCAGGTTCCTCGTGAGGTAGTTCGTTCGGGCCATCGCTGTGCAGACGTGTGGCGGCTTCGTTGGGTTGTAGACCATGTGTCAACGAGGTGGAGAGGCGCGTAGCAGTATCCTGGGGTGTGAGGACTGCATGGTTGGCTGTGACGGTTTGCTGCGAGGGAAAATGTTAGGAGCAAGCAATTCTCGACCATGCGGCGTCTAGGGGTCGACGCGCAAGCGGTGCAGCAGAGGGCTGGAGAGGAACAGGCTGGAGAGGACAGCAAGGAAAGATGATGTGTAATTACCGGAGTCCTCTGTCGTGTCAAGGTCGGACGAGCTTGCTCAGGGGGTGCTAGATCCTGCCTCGAGGCATTGTACATGGGCAAGGCCGGCGTGGACGAACGGGACATGTCAATGGACGACCGTCAACATGGAGGCGTGGTGCGCTGAGATGTACGGCAAGAACGGAGCCGGACACGGAGCAAGCTCTTGAACTGAGTTGCGGGAGTGTGAGTTTGTCGAGGATAGCAATAGGAGGATCAATCAATCCAACGCTCGAGTAGTGCCTAGGGTACGTGGCCTAGCCAGTCGACGAATGCGGAGAAGGCGCTTCGTTTCTTCTGAGTTGGCCTATTAATATCGAAAAGGGAGATGTTCGGTCTTGTGTTCGAGCTGGTATCTCCATGTGCTACACTGCCACTTCATGGTCAAGCATGATTGTGGTCAAGAAAACCCGGCAATGGTCATGTCGTCGGCCATGCGGCGCCAAATGCAGGATACAGCTGCTTGCGTACCAAGCTCGAGCCTTATTCCCGCCTCATTCCCTGATCAATCCATGATTATCGCGAGGCATGGCCCTCAGACAGGAACATTATTGACAAGTAAGATGACAATAGGCAGCAGCGACAGTAATGATATCCCAACTAAATTATCAGAATCGGGATGAATCATTCGACTGCGTAGACCATTGACGCAAAGCACAATACCGCTGCTTGGGTAGACACACGGCACGTGACTGGATCTTGGTCGGTGGAGCAACGATTGCTGAAGCGCGCGAATCCGCGATCCGGCCTTGGTCTCCCTCCCATACCACAGACATTCTAATCAACCACACGCGCCACCTGTTGCATCTCTCCAAAATCACGCCGACGCCTTTTTTGACCCACGCGATCGCCATAAATCCACTTGAATTTCTTGCGCCGCGTGTGTAGTGGCCTTGCGACAGGCCGAAGACTCAAAAGTCAAACCCACGACGCGTCGCTGCGCGTCTGTCCTGTCGTCACAGTCAACACTGACGCCTTCGCTTCACACAATACCCAACACCACACACCATGTTCTACTCGGAGACTCTCTTGTCCAAGACGGGCCCTCTTGCTCGTGTCTGGCTGGCTGCCAACATCGAGCGCAAATTGACCAAGAACAACATCTTGCAATCAGACATTGGCAGCAGTGTCCACACCATTATCAAGAATGACCAAGCTCCTATTGCTTTGCGCCTCAGTGGTCAACTGTTACTCGGTGTCGTCCGTATCTACAGCAGAAAGGCTCGTTACTTGCTGGACGACTGCAACGAGGCCTTGATGAAGATCAAGCTCGCCTTCCGTCCTGGAAATGTCGACCTTCCTTCCAACCAATCACACATTGCGAACCCTGCCGCCCTCGTGCTTCCCGACACAATCACCGAGCTGGATCTGTTCGCCCCAATGCCCGACCTCGACGAGCTGCTACTCGACAGCACCCCTGGACCTGGTCAGGACCCTACACTTCTGGACTGGGGCACTAGCCAGCTTCTACCCGAGAGTATGAACACCGCCGACGCCACTCAGACTCTTCAGCTCGAGGATGACGATTTAGGTCTCGACATTGGCGACATTACCGAAGGTGCTGCCGGCGGAGATACCAGTATCGAAATTGGTAGACGTGAGGAGGCCCCTCGCCCGGAAATGAACGACCAGAGCATGCTCTTTGCCGACGATTTGGACCTCGATATCGGAGGCGCCGAAGATACCATCGAGAAGGATGTTTCAATGGCTCCTCTGCCCATTGATGACGACATCGAGATGGGTGGTCTTGATCTCCAGATCGAAGAGAGCAACCTCGACGCCTTGAATCGTGCCGATGTTCGTCGTGAGCGTGATAGTGTCTCGCCACTTTCGTCCGTTCGCTCCAGCGTCGAGCGTGACCTTGAGCAGACTTTCCAGCTTGAGCAACAACCCACTGAGATTGAACAAGACGAGACCATGATTCAAGCACAACAGCGTGCCAAGCGCCGCAAGGTCCTGCCCGCTGATCTCAACACCGAATTGCAAAACTCTCAAATCCGCGCTCAACAGGAGGACCGCAGCAAGATCCTTAAGGCTCCCACCTTCCTTCCCAGAGATCCTGTTCTCCTCGCACTGATGGAGATGCAGAAGAACGGCGGCTTCGTATCCAGCATTTTGGGTGATGGTCGCAGTATGGGCTGGGCCCCCGAGTTGAGAGGTGTATTGTCTCTCGAGGTTGTGCGCACAGCCGGCGAGCTCAAGCGCAAGAGAGACAGTGGACTCCCTCAAATTGAGATTCCAGAGGAGGAGGAAGAGACTCACGCTCTGCCTGAACTCGAAGATATTCAGGACCCAACATTCGGTGCTGATGATCTTGCCCCCGCTTTTGGCGGCGAAGACATTCCTTCTGTCATTGAGCCTGTCCAGGAGGAGGAGATGGAGTCTTACTCCCCAGCACCCGCTTTTGACGAAACTACTATGCCTGTTCTGCACCCTGCCGACTCTGGCCCAGTCTCACTCGGCACCAAGCACGCCGTCCACCTTCTGCGCGAACGCTTTTCAGACGAATCCGGTGAGATGCCATCAGACACCGATCGTGCCCAACGCAGTGTCCTTTTCACCGACTTCTGCCCTGAAGAGCGCACCAGCAAGCAAGACGCCACCAAGATGTTCTTCGAAGTCCTAGTCCTCGGTACAAAGGATGCTGTCAAGGTGGAGCAAAGCTCAAACGAGTTGGGTGCTCCACTCCGTATCCGCGGAAAGAGAGGTCTTTGGGGAGATTGGGCCGAGATGGGAGCTGGTGGCGAGATTGCAAGCCAGCGTCCCGAGGTTGCTGTCACCATTTAATGGCCTACTATATTTTACGTTGTGACGTTCTCGAGTGGTTCTCAAGGCGTTCAGGGGTTTGGTGCTGATGGCGTTCCCTAAGGGTGTGCTTTATATTGATGGCTTCATTTGCGAAAAGCTACGAGGGTCTGATCGTGGCTTGCTGAGCGAGCGATGACAAGCGTTGCATGTGGTAGCAGCTATCAGGGCAGGATGAGGCTACTATGGGCTTACTTTTCTTGGTTTTCTTGATCAGGTTGCAGCCCTGACTTTCCATTGCATGCGGCAGAGTTATAGGGCATTCTTTGCGATAGTTTAGCTGTAAGTTTAACAAACGCTTTGACAAACAGTCGCGGCATGAACGGGACGGCAGCTCCCGTTTCCGTGAGAAAGTTCACACCTTCCTTCCTTCGCAACCTGACCTAGAACATGGTTGGCATGCCAATTTGTACCTGATTGTGATTCCGCCGGAAGACCCGTCACTGTCGTGTATATCGTATTCTTGGATCATCACCGTCTCCTGCCTTCAATGCCACCAATCCATCTGTGAGAGGAATGTAGTCTCATCCGATGACAACCTGATGGTTGGTCGAGAAAATGAATGTATACTCGAGCTCAAAATCACTGGCCGCTGCTCTGACCACGCATGCATCTAAGCACCCGGACTTCTGTCATAAGAGGATACCGCGCGAGGTGGGGTGTGCCTGATGTTGAACCCTGATGCAAAAGACCGCGCAAGTATTCCAAGTCTCCACTTTCAGATGCTCAACCTGTTCCTGTGCAACCTTGCTATGGCGGACGCGCAACAGATTCGATTGTCAGAGAGGTCGTGGCCGCATCTTGTGGCTGGCGGGTAACTTGACTTGGCACATTTGATATTGCCACGATGCTAACGTTGATGTATAGAGCCGGCGGTATAACCACTGCAATAGCTACAGCACCACTAGACGTCCTACGCACGCGGTTCCAATCAAATCTTTACTCGAATCTCTGGCAATCCAGCGCAGCCGTGGTCACGCCTCAGACATCATTCATGAAAGCATGGCTTGAGCGCGTAAAGATCACAAGTCGAAGCGTAATCATGTTACAAAAGGTCCAAGGTTGGCGAGGATTGTATACAGGACTTGGACCGAGTATCCTTGGAGCGGTTCCGGCAACTGCGGTCAACTTCTACACGTATGGGAACTGCAAACGTATCTATGCAGATTGGTTCGGCCTCAGAGAGAATGCATCAAGCGTCCATATGACTGCTGCCATGACTGCAGGCATCGCCACTGGTACAATCACAAACCCAATCTGGGTCATCAAGACACGCATGCAACTGGACAGCTCACCAACAACTCCACGACCTCGTCACCGTACCAGTTTGCAATGTGTCATGCACATCTTCGAACAAGAAGGTATCCGAGGATTTTATCGTGGACTCAGTGCAAGCTATCTCGGTGTCGCGGAGAGCGCCCTTCACCTTGTCCTCTATGAACGGCTCAAACAGATCTCACAAAGCAGTATCGTCGTGCCTCGAGAAGTGTTTGATCGCCAACAATCACCACTACGGAAACCATGGGATATCATCTTGTCCTACGTTGGGGTCAGCGGCTCCGCTGCCATCGCCAAACTGATTGCTGGAGTGATCGCATACCCTCACGAAGTCAGTACACCTTTCATTCCCATGAACAACGACTGACTTGACAATGCTATAGGTTCTGCGAACACGTCTACGTCAAGCTCCACTTCCCAACGGAGATCTCAAATACACGTCGTTGAATCAATGTATCCGAACCATCTTGAGAGAAGAAGGGCTTCATGCGTTTTATGGAGGAATCATACCGCATATGTTACGTGCCGTACCTTCAGTACGATCACTCTTGGTGTGTACGAGACGGTTCTATACTACCTTCAATAACGGCAGTCTTTGAGATCGCTTTGCTTCTGCTAGCTAGAATGATTTCCCGTAACCACTTTTGTTCGTTCAAGGGAGGGCGTGGTATACGACAATCGCAACATGATTCGTACCCTGAAGTTCTCTGACAGGCGGGCAATTCCAAAAGTCAGCGTAATCGATTTGAGCCTGTCTGGGATTGTGTCTAGCTTCTGCACAGGACCTTGCTAGCGATGGAGTGCTGCACTTGCCCTCTCCTGGTCTCCATATAGATACCGATTGAACATGCCGACCACAGCCCTGATCTCACAATAAACTGAGTCTTCGGCTTTAGAGTGCAAAGTTTAACAAGCACTTTGACAAACTGTTGTGGCGCGTGCGGTCCGGCAGCCACCCGCTTCCGTTAGACCTTGCGTGTGCCTTTCCATTCTTCTTCTGTCTCCTTCGACGTCCTCAAATCTGCCTTCTCCATGGGCTGGGTATACATTCATGCTCTGTATATGTCATACATAATCAGGAGGACTCGTCGTGTTCGTACACCAAAATCAACACACGAGGCCAAGAAGAGTCGGCAACGACAACCGGCAGTCTTTCTCTGTGCTCGCCAAGTTGGTCCGTCCATAACAACATACGTCTGCGAACTCGCTACGCACGAAACATTGAAGCTTCGCAACCCTAACAAAGCCGACAGATATCAAGCCCTAGATCACAGAACCGATTCAACCGCAGCCCTAGATATGATTGACTCGCTGTGCCTGAGAACTGGCGCTTGTCGGGTTCATGAAGCCTGCACGCGCATCAACTTGGTACTAGCAGCAGAGGCCTGAGCTGTGTGCCCTGTATGATCGTCCTGAATGGTCCCTTGTAGAACCCCTCTCGTCGATCTCAACACACTGGCAGCAATGAATCGCAATCTTTGACGGCGGACGAGTGCGGAGGAGCAGATGTCTAGCGATCGTGTACACCTCAAATGGCCGAGCATGTAGGGCTCGTTGACCTACAGTCAAGTGCTCATACAGTAGAAAGAGGTATAAGTATTGTAGCAGCCCTCGGGGTGTCCATCCGAATCATCTGATATCACCTTCTCTTCTCTCAAGCCCTATACACTCCTGCTTTGTATCAAGATGCATATCCCTTCCTTGGTTGCTGGCTCCGTTGCCCTTTCGGTTGGATCCAACTCTCGTAGCTCCCTCTTCGTCGAGAACGCTCCTGATCACGTTCGCCCCTATGTCATTGAGAGATATGCCAATGCCCAGGCCGTCGCCGTCGGCCAGCAGATCTACAGATTCCCTGTCACTGGTGCTTCATCCGGGGGTGCTTTCTCCATCCTCATGACCAACTCTCCCGCCTCAGGCGCCCTGGGTGTCCTTCCTCACATCCATCAAACCCACTACGAGAACTTCTTCTGCAGTAAGGGACGCTTCCAACTTTGGACCAACAAGTATGGCGACGAGGAGTCTAGAGTCATGTTGCCTGGCGATTATGGCGCTGTACCAAGAAACACTACACACACATTCCAAGTGCTGGACCCCGACACTGAGATGCTGGGAGTCATTCAACCCGGCGGCTTCGAGGCTCTCTTCTTTGCCATCGCAGACTCCAACTACACATCCTCCACCTCCTCTCCCTACGTACCCGCCGCGGCCAGTGGCTCCACCGACGCAGGTGCCGGTTCATCGGCCTCGATGATCTCAGCCCTCGAGTCCTTCGACGTGTTCGCTCAACTAGACTACTCCCCCCGCCGCGATGCCATCAACGGCACCGCACCCGCCAACACAACATGGCACACGGGCAAAAACACCCCAGCCACCAACTCCAACACACCCTTCTATCTCGCCAAGAACCAAGGACCCATGTATCTGAACAGCGAACACGGATACCAGATCGTTGCCCCCTTCATCACCACCACCCAGAGCGCAGCAAAGTTCTCCGAAGGCACCGTCACCATGTCCAGAACGCTTTCCAACACTACCGTCCCCACTAGAAAGTTTGCCGATCACACTGCCTTTGAGATTTTGGAGGGCGCGCTGATGGTGAAGTTGCAAGGAGAGGAAGTGAGGCTTTTGCAGGGTGATGTTGTGTTTATCCCAGGAAACACTAGCTTCTCATACTGGTCAGAGGTTGCGTTTACCAAGTTTTTGTATGTGGGTGCTGGAGACCAGGGGTTGGATGTGGCTTTGATGAGCAAGGCTGTTGCTTGGGATTACCCTACTTGGCCTACCTCTGCTGTTTAGAGACCTTTTTGAATTTCTGGAGTTGTTGACGAAAGGATAGATGAGATATAGATTATAGGTGCTTGTGTATAGAACATAGAATATTATTGCATGATCAAGATAGACTTTTCAAGATGATGATTTTCTCTCGATGTTTTGTGAACGAGACCAAAGAGGTGCTATCTGTGCGATGATCATGGCTACAAGAGCAGTCCAGCTTTTCTCTTGCTGCCTGTGCCATGCAAACGGCAACTTCATGTATGCAAAAGGTTCGATCCAGGAGCCTTCTAGAGCTCATCAGGATCAAAGACATCCTCGGTAATAGCGGCTCTGTTGCCACCACTCGCAGCCCAATCTTCCCTGCGCCTGCGTTCTCTTTCTTCCTGCTCAGCTTGCTGTCTTTCTTCCTCTTCTGCTCTCCTCTTGTCTGCCGCCTCTTGCTCCTCAGCGCTAAGCACAGTGCTCGGATCCGTACCATCTTCCAGCATGCCTTGGATGGCAGCTAGGGCACCCATACGAATGACTTCCTGAGATGGCCAGGGGACAAAGGGCAGTTGCGACAACGGATCCAGCATGGCTTTTGTTTCTGCACTCAGTGTGGCTACGGCTCTGTTTTCTGTCGTGGCGGAGTGATCGGTTGTGCTCGTGTTGTCACCGTTGTGGGCTGGTGTGGCCATGCCATTTGTGATTTGAGTGGTTGGTGCATCGGTGACGGCGGGCTGTGGTTGTGAGAGCAGGTCGGTCGAGATGTGGCCGCGGAAGGTGGGCGGTACGGTCGTCTTTGAGATGAACTTTGCGTATGACAATAGCTCTTCAACGCCGACTTGACGCGTATTTGGTGCTGGTTGTGACGATGGGATGTCGAGAAGCTCTTTGCGGGTATCGGCCAGAGTACGGAGTGTAGATTTGATCTTCTCGTCTAGGGCATCGGCAGTGGCGCGCAGCTCGAGGATACGCGAGTAGTTTGCATGATGTACGGCGACTGTTCACGTTCAGTGAGTTGGTGAGATCCAAGGTAGAATGTGAAGAAGCGCACGCTGTTCCAAACTCTCATCCAGCTCGTCGTCTGCTGCGACTAGTGCATTCGCTGCCGAGATGGAGGGATTGTAGGCTGCGACTGATTCGACCAGCGTGTTCAGCGCAGTCTCTAGTCGCTGGAAGCGTGTCTGGAATACACTGAGCATGTCTGGATTGTGTCGATGGTTGCTAAGAAGGAATGTGACCAATCAAATGCCCGTCGCATTCGACATCATCAACACACCGCCAAGACATCCATCGTCATGCGAACACGCGACTCAGACACGTCTTTGACCTTCATCTCCCACCGAACATCTATTCTCGTGTGCAGGACTTTGTGCCGCATGTAGCTGTACAAATGCACGCTGGTTCTCAGATCAGAGATGTCTCCAAAGAGAGACTATCATAGATCGCATTTCGATGGACACTATCATATTTCTGAAAGTATTGTGCACTCTCAAAGCTAACTTACACATGTTTCATCCGCCAATACGAGGAAGAAATTCTGCCTCAAACATTGCATCAAGCAGCTCACGTTGGACCTGACCGCGTCGAAGACTGCGGGTCATACGTGGCAGCCGTCCGCTAATCATGCAGTACAAGCCTGACCGCTAATAACCTGCATTTCTGCCGACTGAACTGACACCTGACCGGTCTCTCTAGCCTGCTGGAAATGTACCCATGTAGGCTACCTTCGATAAGACCTTGTCGGTGCCAGCTTGACAGTCTCTTGCTTCTCACATCGTGTCTCAAAGTTGAGCCCTCGCGAGTACCTTATCGCACTGCAGAATCCGTAATCGAATCAGAAGCACCATACCGGAAGCGGAAGCTTCTTCAAGTCAGCCGCAACTTCGAACTGGCACATGCAAAGGGCAAGCTCCGAGAAAAAGAACAGGAGGTCAGGAAAGAGAAAAAAGACCAAGCAAGAAGAGAACATCGTGAACGGCAAGCCAAACTCAGGAGACGAAGGCACGAAGTCAAGGCTCGTGAAAAGAGGCGCAAGCAGAATTGTGAAGGAGAAGATGGCTAGAGAAAGGAGCGATCTTCTCAGAAAAGCGGGACTTATGCTCGTTCCTCCTCCTCTTCCACATCCTGACGACATCATCATCATCATGCCTGGCAGCATCAAACCTGCCAGCGTCAAAGCGGGCGGCATCAAAGTGACCGGATGCGTAGATATCTTTGACGATGACCCCTACGCTGAGCTCGATGATGACGACTTTGAGTGGGACAGCGATATGGATGGCGAGATCTCCTCGTCATTGAGCGAAGACGAGAAAGACTACCATGCCGACGATCCGTGGCATGCGCTCCTTGTGCTCGGATTGAGAGTGTATTCGCAGTCAAGTCCCGTCACCATCAAGGTTCGAGAAGGCGATGAAACAGACGATGACGAGCCCGCACCTGGAAAGCCAGACTCCGACGTTCGGCTAGATGGACGAAATACCTCTGTAGATGAGGACAACACAAAGCAGCCTTCCGCTTCCAGTGAAGCAATTTATACGCCTGGCAAAGACGACCAGAGCAACAGCATGACCAAAACACTACACGAGCACGACAGCATTTCATCGATCGAGAAGCCGAGTGATATAACCATCGAGCAAAAGAAATGATGGCCCTTCTTAACACCCTTCTTCCCACGTACACAAGTTTGTAATGTGTGTAGCTATAGAACTGCAGAATAGTTTCGACAAAGGGGACAGCTCCCATCGAAATATGATACTTTCCCGGCTCACTCCGGTTCGTCTCGTGATTCAATAACTACCATGTCTTTTTATAGTGAGGAAGCCGCTCTACGGTCTGGTGGGAGGAAGGTGACGGTCTGAAGCCAGCCTGCTCTGTACACTTCTGACCCCCTCTCTTGCAAGATATCGAATCATCTCACTCCTGAGAACTAATAGTCTTCCAGATACTCTTTGAGTTCGCTCTTACAAGCTTCTCTATCAAAGGTTCTTCCGGGCCACCCATGCTTCTTGTAAATGTCATAGACTGCCTGCCAACACGATTAGCAAGACACAACAGAGCATGCAACCTCATAAGCTTTACCTTTGTACACTCGTCCTCAATTTCCACATCATCAACATCATCACTCTCCAGCATCTCATCCTCCTCGACAGCGTTATCTGCTCTGGTGAAATAAGTTCCTCCATCTCCATGTGAATCATCAACAGGCGGCGCGACCATCCAAATAAGCTTCTCGTACAACATTCGCCACCTTTCAAAGAACTGTTTGACAGGCATTGTCGGAGAAGCCCTCCACTTGTCACTCTCTGCCAGTCTTTCGTATTCATCCCAGTTATTACCTCCGATATTGTTAGCCATAATGCTATAACTGGTAACGTTTCCGGTTTCTGTATCGAGTAATAGATAACTCCCGTTCCTATCAACCATATCCGCGATAGGGATGACATAACCTGGCAAGTTTCTGATAGCATCAGGTGAATCATTATAGCAAACACCTTTGTGATACTGAATGCATGCGCTCTCAGAATCAATGGTCCATCCGCCGCGAATACTGGAATGCTCGAGATATGGCAGGTGCCGGAGAAGTTCGATAACCTCGTTGCTTTTGCCGCTATTGTGCAGTTCGGTTGCGTTGACATCGGGCCAGCCGCCCACGGGAGGGAATACAAGAGCGGTGGGGTCGACGTATGGGAGGCGGATGTAGAAAGTGTAGAAGTCTGTGATTGCGGCGACGGTTTCGTGGCGGGAATATGTTGATGAGGAAGCCATGGCTTCTGGTTTTAGTCGTTGCTTGATTTTAGGTTGACAGAAGCTTGTGTTTGGTAAAAGAACTCGTTGGGGTCTTTGCTGGCGACAGGGGGGTTGTTGTATTATCATGCATTTTCGGCTCGGATACGTTTTGCGCGCGACTTTCTCACCGCTGAATCGTGCAAAAAACAATAGCACGGAATTGTGAAACAGGAATGGACTCGGAAAAGTTATGGAATAAATAGGACATCAGAATGATCATTAATGAATAATACGAAATAAAATGCTGGGAGATAATAAGATATCTATAAGTTGTACAAAGAAGAATCTGGAATCTCTTTAGAGAACCAGAGCGAAAGCGCCCAAGAGGACAACGGCAAGAGAGCCGGAAACGGCGCCAGAGATGGAGCTTGCGGCACCAGTGTAGGGCATAAGAGTGTGGGTACCGTTGGGAGCGCTGGAAGACTTGGAGCCAGACGAGCCGGTGGTGGCAGGACCAGAGCCAGCAGTGGCGGAGGCGGCAACGCTCTGGGTGACCTGAGCAGTGGCGGCCCAAACGGAGGTGTAGGAGGCAATGGCGGAGGTGTCAACGGAAGCACAGTCGACAGTTACGGTGACAACAGACTCGGGGGCGACAGTGGGGATGGCGAGAACACCAGTCTGGATGGATGAGAGAGAAGCAGAGGCAGTGATGACCGAGGCAGAGGCAGTGTTGTTGCTGTAGGCGTAGGTGGTAGGGACAACCTTGTCGGTGGTAGCAACCGAGGTGAAAGTGCTGCTGGGGGAGACGATGGTGCTGGAAACGACAACATCGGCAGAGGCGATCTGGCTCTTGATCCATGCAGCGGCAACGTCGCTGTAGAGGTCGAAGTAGTTCAGGTGGTCAGCGACAACATCACCACCGGCGCAGATAGGGTCCTCGGCAACACAGTAGTCGTGGAACTTGGAGGTCCAGGTGGCAAGGTTGGCCAACTGGTAGGCAGGGCGAGGGAAGATGCCGTTGTCGGGAGCACCGCTGAACTGGTTGTAGGGCTGGTTGGCAGTGTGTCTGGTGTTACCGAAGACAGTGACGGCGACGATCTTCTTGCCGAGATCAGAGTTGACGTCAAGGTTGGGCGAGGGAGTGGTCATGCAGTCCTGGAAGAAAGTACCGCTTCCACCACCGATGATGTCGCCGACGACCTGGGCACCCTGAGAGTAACCGCTGATAACCAGCTTGGTGTCGGGGCAGCGAGCGTGGTACGAGTTGAGCTGAGCAATGCCGTTGGCAACACCCTCATCGATAGACTGGCAGTAAGGAGCCTCGACGGGGTTGTAGAAGAGGATGTCCTCGTAATCGCAGTTCTCGAGCCCGTTGCAGATGGCGTTCACGAGCTTGCCTTGACGTCCGGGGTAGGGTTCGTTGTTACCCTGAACTCTTGGTTAGCAATCTGGATCATGCAAATCAATTGCTCAGGAAGCAACACACCTTGCCGAGGAAGATATGCACGTCAGAGCATGCAGACTGTCTAGCCTCGAGCTGAGGAAGAGAGGCAGCGACAGAGGTTTGCGCAATGGCAAGGGCAACAGTAGGGGCGGAAACACGCATATTTGCTGTGGTTTAACGAGTGTGGGTGCTTTAAGCAAAGAGAGAAATAAAGAAAGATTAGTAGTTATTAGAGTATGATACTGTGACGAGAATGAGAAGAAAAAAAATGGTGGTGAATGTAGTGACTATATACGTGATAGCACTCACGAGTCACCACCCATCAACAAGAGAGGCGATCTGAAATTGTGCTTGGGGTCGGGCTTCGTGTTCGGGCGAGTGCGGGGATAGCGAAACTAGCGGCCAACTATTGAACGTGGAGATTGCAGCCGCGGGTCTGGCAGCTTCTGGCTGCCTGTCTCCAGCGCTCACTGTGGTATTCTGAGACGAGGTACTCATGTACTTGTGTAGAAATACGAGTCGCGCGGAATGGCAAATTGAATGCTCAATACTGTGAGAGTGCTGGTATACGTACGGCCTTGACGATAAGCCTGTAGGAATACGATGATAGTCAAAAGCGTTGTCTTTCTAGACATCATTGTGTCGAGTCTTCGTTGCGAGATGACATCGCCGTTCCAGAAACGGACTTTGGCCCAGCAACATCAAGAAGTTACACTGTTCCTGCTTGCGAGAGATTGGGAGCTGCACTCTGGTAGAAGGATTACTCGTCGGTGCAAACTTTACGAATAAGAGGTCGTGGCGCCAGGCACGGTGTCTTGATTGGACAAGTAGACGACAAAAGCGGCAGAAGATTCAGGCCAAAAGAGTCAAAGCACAGTTCATGTGCCTGGCTAGTCAGCAATTTTTCCCGAAGGGTCTCTCAAAGTCTCAGTTGTTGTGGGCAGCACCACAACAATCGCCAACAATTCTGCATGACAGAAAATTAATACGGTTCCATTGCTATTATTACCACCCCGCTTGGCCTCTCACGTCGCTATCAGCCAGGCAACCGAGTGCCTCATCTAGGTCTTGACGAGTCCATGAATGGACTCTCTACGCACATCTGATCGTGTGCTCGAATCGTTAAACTACGTAAACATATTTCATGTCTCAACGGCATCGGAACCTTAACCCAGATCATATCTTGAGCAACAGGCAATCGATTGCCTCAAAGCTACTTCGTCGCATCAATGACTCCAACTGGTACCCCAATCCAACGGCTCTCGCGATCTGTCAAATCGCTGGCAATGAAATCGGCGTTCTGTTCCAAAGTTGTGTCATATCTCGGGGCATTCATGGCAGCCAAGATCAGCTTTCCGAGGAATGGGATGTGCTTGAGCCACGAATCCTGCCACAGAGGAGGCGAGGTGGAATTGGCTGTCAGTTTGTTGTGGATAGACTTTGCCGGTACGCTGACCTGTAGGTTCTCGGCTGTCATGGTGCTTGGACACAGTAGGGACCATTCAACCGAGCGAGGTGGCAGTGCTCTGAGAAGCTTTATGTTTTGGCGATGCTCAAGAAATATGGGAACGCTGCAAGCGGTCAACGACGCGCGGTCGACATGGAGTCGGCTTACTTACTAATTTGAGAGCATCGTGTCTGTCCCAGGGAACTGCAGTACGCCCAACCCTCCGAGGAACCAGGCTCGTAGAGGTTCGTTCCTTTGGACTCCAGCTTTTTGAACACCTTTGAGCACTGCGGAGAAGATTTCTGGCAGATCGTTTCTCTTCCAAGGCGCCATGGCTGCTAGGCCAGCAGAGTTGACAACCGCTTCGCAGTTATGTTCAAGGATTGCCCGACTGATCAAAGATGAATCTTTGGCGTTCCCTTCAACGACAGTGATCTGGCTGTATATGCTCGTTGGAAGGAGAGATTCGAGCTTGTTTGCTGAACGGACATATGCGACCACTACATGGCCATGGGTGAGGAGTGCTGCGACAAGTCGCACACCAAGATTTCCGGTTGCGCCGATAAGAAGAACCTTCATGTTTATGTTTGGTGTTCACGTCTTGGTGTCGAGCGTTCGAAGTGTTGACTGTGTATAGTAAATTCAAGATTGCATTATATATACACGTCCATCGGGGGTTCAGGCATCAAGGTAGGATTGTCGGATCTTGCTCTCACCGCGGTCTACTGCGTGTCGGGAGCTTGTCGCATGACCAGCGACGATGAATAGCCACTTACATGGGTCGATTTCGAGCTGGCGGACATTTCTTGTAGCGGCCTCCGCGATGTTGTACACTGTTACAGATGTGACATTCGGCTCCGTCGCAATCCGCGTGCGTTGGAGCATAGGAGGAAGCGGGGTCGACCACAAGCTATCGGGCAAACTGCTCCCCGACCACACCTCGCATCAGCAACGCATTAGTCAGCGACCTCTTTATTGGACATCTCAAAGGATTGAGCCACATATACAGTACGGTAGCTTACTGCTTCCAGGAATGAATGGATTCCGATACACGTATCAAGCGTTCACAGTGCGAGGAGATCACACAGTATCAACGTCGTGACCATGCCTCGTCCGTGGGCAGATCAGCCATACAATCTCACTAATGAAGAGATTCCCACAAGATGTAGGTGTGTCCGCCTTCTTACTGGGACTCGACTCAATTTCGATAAGAAGATCTATCTACCTGGGTTTCCAAGCAGCCTACTGTACCGACATAGATGGCAGTCGCTCACACCGGCATCATGAGAGGTCTCGACAGCACTCACTTGAAGTGCCAGATTGATCAGCATGGCATAAAACGATGGTCCGCGACTTCTTGACCTACTGCCAATACTGGAACGAAAGCATCCACCATCACCTCGGTCTATCTTCTCAGTTCACGGAACGAAATCTCATGGTTTCTAAAGTCCAGGTCCGGAACTCGATTGATGGCTCTCGTTCATTGACCGACCAATAGCAATATATGCGCGAGCGGGAGCGGGTCTGTAGTAGACAGCTGCGGCGTCCTTCCCGTGTGCTAAAATTCGTAACTCCCACGGTTCTCTTACGAAGGTGTGAAGCGTGAGAATAACTATCAAAATGCACAGTCATCTCTGTAAGGTAGGATGAGTCCACAGAGAGCTATGGATCTCACAACTCTCAATGGCTCCCTCTCAATCCCCCAAGCCACTGTGCAGTTGTATAGCTGTGTGCATTACAAACTTCAGCATACGGGGAGGATGCAACAGTGACAAGCGAGAAGCGGTGAGCTGTGGACCGTGAACATGATCTGCCAGAAGCCCACACACGTGCCAACAAGCGAACTTCAGCCCTTGGCCAATCTTTGCCTGTGCAGGTATAAGCTTCGGGTCGAGACCCTGTAAATATATTAAACAAGTGCGCCTTGCTTACCATGCCCTTCAACACTTCAAGTCCTCAACCATATCGATTTATATTCTGGAGTGTACAGTACTCGTTCTTGCATATGAACGTGCCGACACAGCCTCGAGTGCGGTACTCGTCTGCCTTGAACATAATGTAAGCAGATACGTGTCGAAGGATTGGACGCGGTGATGGTAAATATTGAGAGGCGACGCGGCTCATGGCATGGATAAGGATTGCACGTCGCATTCTACATGATCTGCCACTCCACTTGCATTTTGATTGTTAGTTTGTGATCCTCCGGGAATTAAATGCCCCGTCTAGACACGTTATATGATATAAGCCGTGCTTTCCTGTTGCTTTTATCTGACTTATCTCGTGTCTCATCATCTCTGTGGCGGCACGTTATATATCGGGAACATGCATTTCTCTATACTTGCAACAGCAGTGTCTCTGCTGTGTGCGAGCGCTACGGCGTTCACACCAGCATCAACCTCGGGAACAGACAAGCTCAATGATCATGGTATGACCAAGTTGAAGACGTACCTCCACAAGAACCGTGGGCAAAACACTTGCAACTTGGACACAGCGGTCAAGCGTCAGGAATGGTATGTCCAACCAGATCAGTGTTCAGCCCTGGGCATGTGTTGACAATATCCTGCAGGAGCACTCTCTCGAATGCCAACAAGAAAAAGTACATCAATGCTGTTCTGTGTCTCCAATCCAAACCAGCAAAGAGCGGCAGCATTGCTCCTGGCGCAAAATCACGATACGATGACTTCCTCGCTACTCACATCAACCAAACATTGACTATCCATGGTACTGGCAACTTCCTCAGCTGGCACCGCTACTACACATACACTTTCGAGGAAGCCCTTCGCAATGAATGCGGCTACAGAGGCTATCTTCCCTATGCCAACTGGGGAAAGTACGCTGAAGATCTGCTGAATTCACCAATCTTTGATGGAAGTGCTTACTCCATCTCTGGAAATGGCGAGTACAGAAACTACTCTGGTGCTTTTATTCCCAGTGAAGCTACGCCCTTGATCCATCTCCCTGCAGGTTCTGGAGGTGGTTGCGTTACGACTGGACCGTTCAAAGATATGACAGTGAACCTTGGTCCTGTGGCCCCTGTCTTCACAGACGTTCCTCCTAATCCTCGTCCTGATGGCTTGGGCTACAACCCTCGCTGTTTACGTCGTGATGTCGGCGCTTATGCTGCCAGTATCGCCTCTACGGATGCTAACAGCACCGACTTGATCAGACAGAATTCCTACATTGGCGACTTCCAAACGGTCATGCAAGGCGATTTCGCAGCAGGGCTGTTAGGTGTCCACACAGCTGGCCATTATTTCGCTGGCGGCGATGGTGGAGGCGATATTTTCGTCTCTCCATCAGATCCATGGTTTTGGCTTCACCATGCACAGATTGATCGTACCTGGTGGATCTGGCAGAACCAGGACCCAGCGAGCCGCAGCACCGCCAAGGGCAACAACTCTTTGGCAGGAACCATCACTCTGAACAACCTTCCTCCTTCAAGGAATACCAGACTGGATGATGTGATTGATTTGGGTGTCAATGCAAAGAGTATCTTGGTCGAGGATGTGCTTAGTACCACCTCTGGTCCGTTCTGTTATGTTTATGTCTGAGCGTCTAGCTTTCATATATCCGTCCAGTCTTATGTCCAGTATGGTAAGCAAAGAAGTACGAGAACTTTGATATTGGCCAGTTTTCTATGTGTGGAAGTTCGTAACTCCCGCACTCCTCCTAGGGGGGTGTAGAGTGTCTCTCTCTCTCACTATAGAAAGGCATAGTGGTTTCCAGACTAAAGATGTATCCGAAAATAACCTAGAGTATATTGTTTCTCGATGGACACTGTTCTCTTTCTTAGATGTATCGTGCATTCGAACGGCTGTGCGCACTACATATTTTTGCACATGGAGAGATGTCAAGTACCATCTTTCTTTCTTTCTTTCACACCTGTCCCACATAAGGATGAGAGCTAATCTGAATGGTGGACAAAGAGCTTGGACGAAAAGACCAGATTGACTTCGCTAGTGGGCAGATCCTAAATATGTGCAAGCAAGTCGAAAAAGGTAGACGAGGGAAGAACAGACAGCTCGGCCAAGTCAAAAAAGCTGTCTTCATGAATAGAGTCTGCTTGTTGAAAACCACAAAGGCAGATCAAGCATTCTAGCCAAGAGACGTCAAGTCTCGCTTGCCACCGACATGGCACCTGTAACGCTCGTCAAGAATAATCGAGGTCGGCTCCCCCACAGGTCAAATTACCATGGTCGCTCTTGTCCATATCTAGACTTGATAGTAGGGTACGTCTCATGGTGGTGCAAAAGAGCCGACAACGACAGAGACACGTTGTATCCGAGATTGAAGGCTCCAAGTTGCCATCAGACGTTTCGAATGCAACCGATTTGTATCAGTCAGAGGCTATGATGATGATCCAGAGCCGCTGTTCGTGTCATTTCTTCGAGCATTCTACTATCGCATGGGACCCCCGTGTAGGCGATTGACGGCTCGACGTCGTAGAACAGCTTCGGCCTAAGAGTGTCTCGGTCCGAACGCGAAGATACCGAATGCTTCGTCATAGCTTTTGCGTCGTCGTACGGAGTAGCATCACCTTCGCGGTTTCGGTTTAGGGGCTGTGTCAAGGAAGGATGGGCACAGCGTGGTGTAGAGCATGTGTAGAAGGTTTCTCGTGTTCTAAATGTCACAATGATCGACCCGTACCAGCTCAGCTGAAGTCAACGTTCCGGCGGCTCATCATGGTGGTTGATGTACGAATATCTGAGGAAGGGAGGTCCCGATTGCGCAACTCCCAGGGTCCTATTGGCCAGAGGATGACGGCGACCGGAGGAGTGCGACACATAATCACGAGCTCGTGGAGACGCCACAGATTGTGTATACCAACGGTCACGACCGCGGCATATGCAAGTCATGGGCATAAGCTTTTTGCGAGAGCAAGGGAGCTTCGGCGACTTTATAGTCTTTGTTTGCCCAACACCGTAGGTTTGACTTTACAGAGATACCACTCTTTGGGATTGACGACGTGTGGGATTGATTCCAGGAATGCGGGTGGTGAACAGGGCGTTGAACTTTATTGCGGAGTAGGGGATGCGATCACCATCAAAGATTGGGTCGTTGCCAACAAAAGCCAGACTTCTGGGTGACATGTCAATGTGATGGACCTTGAGAATATGATGTTTTCGACATCTCCAGTTTTCCGGCGGATCATGTCGGTGGGAGTCTGCACAGGCAGATAATCAACAACCAAAGCAGACTCTACTAACGAGGGCATGCCGGTAAGTAGACCCCAGCCCCTGCCTAGTTTTCGTTCTCGTGTACTCTGTCAGTCCCACCTGATTAAGAAACTGTTTGTAAACAGTCAACAGTTTCGCGCACTTCATTGAATCATGGGTTATAACTAGATGTGCGTAGTCAGCAGAATAGACAGGAAGCTGTCCGGTCGTGAGCCGTCGGCAGGAGAAACCACCATGCAGCAGAGTAGGGCACGATTCATGGGGAAGAGTGGGTTGTACCATGACTCGCAAGCAGATGCTGTCGAGCCGAGCCAGCAAATCGTGGGTGTTCATTCATCGATTTTGACTGTCGTACTCGGGCTCCATCGATGGCAATTCTGCATGAATTGTCACAAGTGTATAAAGGCAGACGACAGGGTCCGCAGCATGTGATGACGGGAGTGCATGTTGGCTGCTTGGGCGATTGTGTGCGTACTCTCCGTGCAGCAGATGACAACAAGATTGAGGTACCGATCTGAGTTATTCCCAAATGGGCAGGCCGCCTGAGGGTGAGGAGAGAAAAGCACCGCCGTCTTGACTTTATGCCGGACATGTTCGCATTCGGAAGCTACCAGGGCTGGGTGTGTAGGACACGCACGCGAGATGCATAAGTACCATCACGCCCCCAGACATCGAGTCATTCGCTCAGTCGCTGACGGTCGGTTCCGATGAGAATCGCCGACGGCAAGGCGGCGGATCAAGCGGACGGACAACAACGACGAGTCGCGGGCTTCACCTAGATGAAGCGGCTACGTTTTGCCTTGTAATAAGAAGCAATCCACTTTGACCTCTCATGGACGTTGCTCATGTTGACTCAATGCGCGCCCTGTCAGTAGGATTGCTTGGTCGGTGTTCAATAGCCAGTGTACGATTCATGGCCATGCATCAGGTCGACAAGCAGCCTTTATCACATGCATGACAGATACGAAGTGGAGGTCTTGTCTACGGAGCTGAGGGGAAGCTGAATCGCCTGTTGAGACATTTGGAAGTCATGTCACAGCATATGCGAGATGCTGACTTTAGGTCAAGATCGTGAGGCGGTGCGGATGTCAGAAAATCATGACATGAAGTTCAAGAGAAAATGGGAGCGACTCGAGGGCCACCATTCTGTCATAATTCGTTGCATCTACGGAAAACTCCTTGACTCGAAGGTACTCCTGTCTGAGTCTCTTGGTACTTGTCTCCTGTGAACCAAGCAACGGGTATCAATAATGAAAACAATCTTCAAACTCGCCGTCGCAGGTTATAATGCGTCTGATGAAGTAACATGCTGGAAAATGCAACGCTGGCCTGATGCGACAAACACAAGAACAAAATAGAAAAGAGAATGGCCCACTGGTCATTCCCTGGATAAGTGCTTCTCCCGAGCACAGTATAGAGGTAAGGGAAGCATTGGATGTCGTTCCCGAGCTCACTCAACGGAAGATTGTGACTCGTCTCGTCATCTCATGAACGAGACGGCCTGCGTCCGCCGAGGCAATCTTTGAAAGTCCTTTCCAATTGGAGAAGGGGGTATCAGGATTGTTAATGCACTTGACTTGGTCTGCCTTGATCCGAGTAAGAAGCTCGATAAATCGGGACTCGTCCTTGTTGTAGAACATCCGTCTTCCTTGGAAGCAGAGATCCAGAGTCTTGAGCATGGTGTGGTCACCCAGTACACGTAAAGTGTCCATCAACTCATCGTCGTTCGTGAATCTACGCTCATCTGCATCCTTGAGATGAGTGTTCATGGAAGGCTGGGCATCTTCAAGCATGATAATCAACCGTCGGAGCAGACTGACATTGGCAAGACCAATGCTTCTGAGAAAACAACGGATGTCTCTGTAGCCAACTTCGTATACGTCTGTAGTCCAACGAACAGCTTGCTCCTTCTTACGGCGCTGAAAGTAAAAAGTGTTTTCGGAGTACAGAATGCTGCGACCTTCATCGTGTACTTGTCGACAGGTTTGAAGTAATGATGAAGAACGGCTAAAGTTGCTGGGATGTGCAAAGTCCAGCTTCTCTTCCGAAACAAAGGCCAGCCGATAGATTTGATTGCGGATCTCTGCGGGTAGATCTAGGAAACTGCGCTTTGAGGTTGTGTTGGGCTTGCTGATCTCGGAGGCAACACTCGATGTACTCGAGTAACCTGAATCCGCACATGATTGGGAGCGAGGAGACAAATATGAAGGAAGCGGACGTATCTGCGATTGTGCCTGGGCGAGTAACGAGTTGATGTCGAGATTTACAACCAAAGGACCTTCATGACCGGGCGGAACTTCAATGGTAAGAGCCACAGGTAGCGGATCTTTGTGCATTGGACTAAGTTTGAGGAAGCCACAATCTGAAGAAGAGTCGCTTTCCATGCCAGCCAGAAGTAGTGGAGTGCCTGGAGACGACAACGAACGCTTGCGCTTCAAGGAAGTGTAGGAGTAGCGGTCACTATCGTCAACGTAGGGATCCAGAGCAGGAGTGATTGTGGTTGTGTCCAGACTTTGCGTGTTTTGTAGGTAGACATCGACATGGTTATATGAATCATTATCTCGTGACGAAGGCCTAGTTGCACTGGCTGTGGTCTTGTGAACTTTGGTGACAGGAGCCATCGTGTAGTATGTGACTGGTCAGATGGGCTGAGATCCAGGTTGCGAATAGTATTTCTGGTCTAGAAGAGTTGGTGGAACGACTACTGGTATGCAGTATCTGGCAGGGTTGTTGCAGGGAGAAATGGGGACTAAACGCGAATCAAAAAGAGGAACGTGGCACAGGGCTGTTTTAAGGAGACGATGGATTCATGTGGTGATCGGTTCGTATTGGCCTGCAGAGGTACCTGTATAAGTCAGCCCCGCGAAAGAAATGACCTAGCGGAAGCTTGATTATATTGAGTGTGGCCTATACTGTGTCGGAGACATGCTCGGAGCGTTGGTGCTCGGTAGGGCATGCTGGAAACAGCTAGGTTCAATGGTTGTACAGTTCTGAGTTTGAGAAAGGAGCGTACGCGACGCTGTGGATACATGCCGAACCACAGAGCACTGACGACATTTAGAGTTAGCGAAGGGACATGACTCCGGGACAGCAGGAAGGCCGTTTAGGATTTTCTGTGAAGGTTTTAGTTTTGATTGTTTGGCGAACCGCAGGGGCGGCGTAAGCAGCGGCAGCTATCAAATCCTCAAATCTTGTGAGGCTGACTCGAGGCACCGCAGGATTGGAACGCGAAAGGCACACCAGAAGGCGGCGCAGCAAATAACGGCACGGGTCTTGCTGCAATACGTTTGGACATGACAGGATCCAATGGCAGATTACGGTTAAATTCTCAGCTCAACTGACAACAATCATCAGGTCGCACGATGCACGATGGAGCGATCGCCAAGATCAAATTTTATCCGCTTTGTGCTCCTGTTCACCCGGAGCGAGTTCCGGTAACATGAAGATGCAGGGCTTCTGGGGACGCAGTATGAGATCGCTGATTCTGGGTTCCTCGGAGAGGTCGTATGGTTCTATCTGGTAGCTGTGTGTTGCATGGCGCTCTTCTGGGTGATACGTTCAGACGCCGTGTGTTGGACTTGTTGTGTTACTCCAACGGATCTCGAGGATGGCCCGGTGGTCGTCAAGAAAAAGTAGGAGGATAGATCATGATCACCACTAGATACATTCCCCGAGTACTTTCGATTCAATGATATAACAGCTCTTAGTATCAGCCATTCATAAATATACCATCGAGAGAACAGCTTTGCTGGATGGTTCACTGATCCCAGGTCGAAGTGATTGATATACGAACAGGGTCATCCTCTCATCACTCTCGTATTCGTAGCATCGTATTCGTATTCAAACATCCAGAGCGAAGGTGACACAATGAGACACCGCAAGAAGCTGGACTAGAGCAGAATATAAAGCACATGGAGTTCCGACTTCGCTAGCATTATTCTAAAGCAAATTTCGATCTCATCGTTCCTCCATTGCAACTCAAATCTACTACAACACTGCTTCAATTACTCCAGCTACCATGTCTTCTGCACCTCTGAAGCCCCTAAATTTCTACGACATAGCATTCAAAGCACCTCGAAAAGAGACCAACACCGCTCCGAATCCGTGGAAGGCCAGACTTGCGTTGAACTTCAAGGCCCTTCCTTACGTCACGACCTGGGTGCCTCTACCGGATGTTGAAAAGGTTCGACGAAACTTGCAAGTTCCTGCTTGTCGAAAGTTCGGTGACGGCAGCGACTACTACACCTTGCCCGTACTTGAAGACCCCAACACCGGCGACAATCTCGGCGATTCCTTCGACATTGCGGTCTATCTGCAAAAGACGTACCCGGATTCAGGCTTGGATCTTTTCCCAGAGCAGAAGCTCGATTATGTGTTTATACCAGATCAAGCATCGCCAATTCCCATAACAAATGTTCGCGGAGGAGAACACGATGAGTACGCACGGTTCAACATGAGTGTGGACGAAGTATTTACTGCACATGTCATTCTCATGGTCAACGGTATGTTGCTGGAACCAGCAGGCGAACAGGTCTTTGTCAAGCGCGCGGGCGTGGACTCGTTCGATGCTTTTGCATGTGTCGGCGAGCAGCGAGAACAGGTCTTGGTGTCTTTCGAAAGCAACTTGGAAGGACTAGCCAATGTCTTCAAGAAAGATGAAAGCGGACCTTTCATTCTCGGCGCGAAGGCTAGTTATGCGGATCTTATTGTTGGTGGATGGCTGCGTATGTCCAACAGAAGCCTTCCAAGCGCCGAGTGGAACGCACTGAGAGGCTGGCATGGAGGTGTCTTTGGGCAATTGCATGATGCGCTAGACAAATATGCACAGACTGATGAAGGACGTGAGGTCTAGATAACCCAATCAAGACATTGTATCCAAAAGTCACAAATTCTTCTACTGGTCACAACAATTGCGGCGAATGTGATTGGAGGTGGTATTGAATTAAACGCTTTGATAAGCTATCCTGACAGCTAGTGCTTGATGGAGTTCTTGGACCCATCATGGACAGATGCCATGTCGGAGCGGCGGTGTCAAAAGATGACACGATACAACATGCTGCTCAGGAAGTGCGAAAATCGCCTGCAAAAACGGTGGTTTGGGACCCCAGACGTATCAGCAACACCCACGTCGCGAGACAAAAGCCTCGCGAGTGAGATTGTCTGCCGTATAGATCATCTCATCAACGCAGTTTTAGTTGTAAGGGATTGAAAGAGGTGGCCAGGCGGGCGCGCAAGATATAGGCGTTGCGCACAGGCCAGCGGGCGCTAGCCGGATGGAGAGAGTGGGATCATGTTGCTAGGCGGAGGTGAGTGATGTCGACGGTTGCGTGAGAGGTCAAGAGCAGTTGCTTCTTGTCAATCAACACACAATGTCAGGCTTGAGGACGACATCGCTGCTGCGGGCGTCTCGCACAGCCAGGCGGCCGTTCGCCGAGGCATGCCGCCCTGTGCAGCTGCAAACACGCCGCGCTCTGTCTATCGAGGGACAGCAGAAGGTACCATATCGTCAATGCGCCACCATGCAGTCGCTCTGACACTTCTACCAGCTGCTCTCGGCCGATCTCGAGGAGGCCGACCCTACCGTCTATAACATTATCCAAAAGGTCCAACATACTCAGTCATGACCGGCTATACCACACACTGACCCCCGCACAGGAGAAGAGGAGGCAAAAGCATTTTATCAACCTGATTCCCTCGGAGAACTTTACATCACAAGCTGTCCTAGATGCCCTGGGCAGTGTTATGCAAAGTGCGTAGCTCTCCACCGTATCGACATGGTCATAGGCTGACCCGAACAGACAAGTACTCGGAAGGTTACCCCGGAGCAAGATACTATGGCGGCAATGAGCACATCGACGAGGCCGAGAGACTGTGCCAGCAGAGAGCTCTCCAGGCTTTCCGTCTTGACCCCGAGAAGTGGGGTGTTAATGTCCAACGTACGCGAGAGTCCTTCTCATTCATCATGACACACAGTAGCTCACACTCGTTACAGCCCTGTCCGGATCACCCGCCAACCTCTACGCATACTCGGCTCTTCTCAATGCACATGACCGTATTATGGGTCTCGATCTCCCTCACGGTGGCCACTTGTCACACGGCTACCAAACTCCCACAAAGAAGATTTCGGCCATCTCAAAGTACTTCGAGACGCTGCCTTACAGACTCGACGAAAAGACCGGTTTGATCGATTACACCAAGTTGCATGAGCTGGCCATGCTCTACCGTCCCAAGATTATCATTGCTGGAACCTCGGCCTACAGCAGATTGATTGATTACAAGAAGTTCCGCGACGTTGCCGACAACGTTGGCTCATACCTCCTTTCCGACATGGCTCACATCTCCGGTCTTGTCGCTGGCGGCGTCATCCCCTCGCCATTCGACTACTCAGATGTTGTTACCACAACTACACACAAGTCTCTGCGTGGTCCCCGCGGTGCAATGATCTTCTTCCGCAAGGGTGTCAGAAGTGCCGATAAGAAGGGCAACGAGATCATGTACGACCTTGAAGGCCCTATCAACTCTTCCGTCTTCCCCGGTCACCAGGGCGGCCCTCACAACCACACAATCACTGCACTGGCTGTTGCCTTGGCACAAGCTCAAACCTCTGAGTTCAAGCAGTACCAGCAGACCGTCCTGGACAACGCAAAAGCCTTTGCTGCGCGACTTGGAAACACCAAGGACAAGGGCGGTCTTGGCTACTCGATCGTCTCTGGCGGCACTGACAACCATTTGGTTCTGATTGATCTCAAGGACAAGAACGTTGACGGTGCCCGTGTTGAGCGTATCCTCGAGCTCGTCGGCGTGGCTGCCAACAAGAACACCGTGCCTGGTGACAAGTCGGCCATGAAGCCCGGTGGTCTCCGTATGGGCACCCCTGCCATGACCACCCGCGGCTTCCAACCCGAAGACTTTAAGCGTGTCGCTGATGTTGTCCATCGCGCTGTTGAAATCACTCGCAGATTGGATGGCGTTGCAAAGGAGGCTGCCGAGAAGGCTGGCCGCAAGAACCCTGGCAGCGTCAATGCCTTCAGGGAGTACGTTGGCGAGGGCGAGGAAATCACCGAAGTCGTTCAGCTCAGGAAGGAGGTTGAAGACTGGGTGGGTACATTTTCCCTGCCGTGGGACAAAGCATGAACATGATGCGTCTGTGAATTAATGGCGGTGCTGGGGGAACGATTGTAATAACAGGAACAATGATAACGCATAGCAGAAGAATACTTGGGAGTTTGCACATTGTGAGTGACCAAAAGGAACAATCACATCGATCAATTCTCTCTCTCATCTCACAATACTTTCTTCTGTGTCCTCGCTCGACAAACGCAATTCGTTCTCGACCTGGTATTGTAACTCCGGACGATCGAGACGGGTGCGTACAAATAAATGCCTCTTTTTCTCTTGTTCCTCATTCGTAACACCCAACGCCTCCCGCACGCACGCCTTGCACCCCCCCCTTGCAGATCGATTACCTAAGAATCCGCTTACGCCTCCTCCCAATAACACAACGCCATGCACATCATCGCCTACAACCCTTTTGCCGGTGCGAGTCGCAATCTGACCTTTGACGACAACAATGAGTCTCCCTTCTCGTCCAACTCTACCAACGATACCGCAAACAAGCTGCCTTGGTGAGTACTTCCCCGTGTTTGCTATGGACTATGGCACGTGAGATGGCTGATGCAGCGAGGACAGGTATATGGGAGAATGGACTACGCCCGTCTCGGTTGTGCTATATGTCTACAGCTTGATATCTTTCATGATCTTCTTGCTCATGTTCATGTTGTATGTATCTCGCCATGGTTGCTTTGTAAGTGCTTGCTTCATACTTTACCTGCACACCCTTGACTCCTGTGTTTTACGGTCGCCATCGCCAAAATGTCCATTTTAACTTACTGATTGCGTCGACCGCAGCATATCTGTCGCTGCAGACGCAGAAGAAGAGCCATCAGATATCAACAACAGAGAGTCCGCGTGTGGAATGAACAACAGACCAACATGAACCACCATGGAGAAGACTCTGATGAAGAAGCTGATGACCTCGAAACCAACAGTGTCTTGCACAGAGGTCCCGCTGCTGTGAATTCCGAGAATGGCGGTCATCGTGTGCACAACATCCAGAGGCTGGAGAGGGCTTTGAGGACTGCTGGGATGGCTTGAGACCGCATCATCGAAAGTTATAAAGGGTCCCTGAATACAGAATGGAGAATGAAAGAGGTGATGGTATGGTCGATGAGAGGACCAGGAAAACAGTTCGTGGCTGGCTACAAAGACATGAAACGAAAGAGCATAGCTGGATCAAAATCGACAGATCTTTCTTGACAGTGAACAGAGATTTGAAACTACAAAGCTGCCAGTAAGTTCTGTATCACACTTGATATCCAATACACTGTCCGGCGAAGGTCTCTTGCTTTGAAATTCCTTTAAAGGACCGATCAACTCCCCCTTCAGGATTCCACATACCTCGGAGTGCTCTGTCAAGATATGATTTTGCTGAACGTCTTGAGTCAACAGTGTTGACTTAACGTGGCCAAGTTTTGTTTCTCAAATGCTGTTAGAGAGCATGGATATCCCCGCGAGTCGTTGCGAAAGCCACCGACGAAGGTGATTGAAGGGAGGTCTCGGGGCCTACGGTTGGTGAGAACAGACTTCTGATCGCCACAATCAAACCTCCATGCCACACACGAGGCCCTCTGCTTCCTGGACTCCGGACGTGAATTCCTTTGGGTAGTATTTTCCTTCTCTGGATGTATCCTTGGCGGAGGATTTCAGCGGCGCCACCGCTTGCGGCCATAGAGGTTGTTGCCAACCCCAAGCACTGACTGGTCCGAGTATTTTCCCTTGGTGCTAAGGTCATCGTCAGTAATTCAAGTGTGTTGGTCGGATACGCTGTTGTACATTACAGGGTTTGCCGAGGGTTCCGTACAGCAGGTACGAGAGAGATGCTCAAGAACAATTTAAATCTCGCACTGGTGCTCGTCTGATTACACAAGATCAACTGCTACGGCCTGACCATTAGCAATTAGCAATCCATATCTCAAATCAAGTCGGACACAGTGCGTCCGAATCCCTTTCCGTCCGTAGGAAGGCTTTCAGGTTGCGTATTTCGATAGGCCGACAGTCATGCTGTGCCTTGATTGGAAGGGTGCAGATAGTCAAGCTCTAATGGACATTGCGTTGTTGGTCAAACGACGTAATTGCAACCTCTGATTGCTCTGTGGTACTGTAGTAGGAGCAGAAACAATGGCAGGATTGTGTATCATCAAGAAGGGCCTCCCACAATCAACGAGACTTCTTGGAGCCCTTGCCTCCTCTACCTTTACCCTTGCCTTTCTGGCCACCACTACCACCACTACCATGTGCACCTCCACTCATCATGACTCTAACTTTACTAACAGGCAACACGCCAATGACCTCCACATCCTTCCAGTTCTTGATAAGCTCAAGTTCTCTGGGCCAAATGCGTTCGGTATCAGTCATGGACTGATCAACCCATTTACTGACGGTGCCAGCTTTGGACCAACTGTCCATGATCTCGCGTATCGCTCTGCCCTTCTTTTGTGCACCAGGTTGCAACTTGACCTTGTACTTGTACTTTGCCAAAGCGGCCCAAGGTGCACAAACAGGGATAGCCTCGAGAAGTTCATCGCCAGCGAGAGGTGTACCCACATACGCGTCAAGCTGAGTGACCGCACTACTTTCTTCCTCGTCAAGGGCCTCTATGCCCTCTTCCAAGTTCAAGCGGCGTATCTCTTCAGCTTCAAGGCCCTCACGCTGTGCCTTTTCGTGTTGAGCGCGGCGGCGTTCTTTGGCTGCTTCGGCGCTCTCGGCCTTTTTGGCTTTCTCTTCCTCTTCAGCTTCGCGCTTCTCTTCGGCGGCCTTTGAGCCTAGGATTTCCATTGCGAGACGGCGGTCTTCTTCGTCTTGGTCGGCGTATTTTTGGGCGGCCTTCTTGGCCTTGCCACGCTTACCGCGAACGGGCTTGTTTTGCTTTGGCTGGTTGGGGGTGTTCTTGGAGTTGTCAGCCTTGCCCTTGCTACCAGCCTTCTTGCCTGATGCCTGTGGTAACGAAGGCTCTGAAGCTTCTGGCTTGGAGTCTTCATCCTTCTCAGCTGTCTCCTCTTCAACCTCGGATTCCGAAGCACTCGAGTCCTCGTCTTCATCTTGTTGTCGGGATTGCTGAGCTCCCTTTGGTTGCAGGGGATTTGAGCGCTCCTCGGGCGTCCTAGCTCCCTCGCTAGCAACAGAAGCATGGTCGTTTTGTGCATCGGGGAGACCATCATCAGACTCGTCGGTCTTGCCCTCGTCCTTGACATCAGGGAAATCATCATCGCTAGCATCATCCTTTCCAGCGTCGGGGAAGTCATCGTCAGATTCGTCGTTGGCAGCAGCCTTGGAGTTTGCTTCCTGAGTCATGCCACGGACGTCGTCGTTCTGCAATCTGTGCTTGACATGTTTGGCCTTGCTCTGCTCGCTGATTTGCCAGATGACGGCAAAACCAAGCAGAAGCTGAGCGGGAGGAAGAAAGTTCTTCTTGCCGCGGATCATGAAACCACCAGTAGTCAAATACTCTCCGGTGGGAGCAGTCTTCGACACTTGATCAGCGTTTACCCACCAGGCGGACATGACAGCCTTGGAGTCCCAGGCACTCGATGTGCAGACCGACAGGTTTCCGGCTTGTGATAGAGTTGATGGAGGAATCTCGAATTCGGCGAGTCCAGGGTTATTCTTGATGATGACAGAAGAGGCACCATGGAGGTCGGCATGGACGTAGATATCGCCCTTCTTTAAGTGGCGGCGGTACAAGAGCTCGTTTTGCTGAGCGTCTTTGCCTCCCAAGACTAGGTAGCCATCAGATGAGATGAAGTAAATGAACTTTTCGAACCACAATTGCTTGCGTACAGGACGAAGGACTGCCTTCTCCTGTTTCAAGCCCTTCTTCAAATCTGCCTGAATTCTTTGTTCGGTGCTCTTGAGCGCCTTGGTAGAAGCCTGCTCGGTCTTTTCCTGCTTTGTGGCAGCCACACGCTTCTGATCGTAATATTGACGCGCATTCGACCAACCTGACAAACTGAGGTCAATGTCGACAGTGAGACGTTTGTCTTCCTTCTGGTTGCCCTTCGTTGACTTCCTCTTGTCCTCGTCCTCACTATCCGAGTTGTCGCTCTCAGTCACATCGCCCATCTCTTCCTCCTCTTCGTACGAGTAATCGGACAGGAGCAAGGTGACGGTGTTTTCCTCGAGTTTGAGCGGGAGCTTGATGATTTCGGCGACGGCATTGTTGCGACTCTGTTCCATCTCGATCAGACGTTCAATCTCAACCCAATCCATACCTTGGGCAATGAGACCGTTGACAGCTGCAGTAGCCTCCTCGACACGATCCAAGTTGGCCTCGATAGCTTGAGCTTTGGTGACGTTGAGTTCTTGTGTCTGCTGGAGAGAACCGATGCGACGAGCGTGTTCTTGACGGGCCGACTCGAGCCTCTTCTTGGCCGTCTCTTCTCTTTCGCTCAACTTGGATTCAAGCTTTTGGCCTTCGATGGAGGAGAAGAACTCGTCTACTGTCTTGTTGAAGCCAGTGAACTCCAAGAAGACATTTTCGGGGTTGTTCTCGAGCTGCTTGGGCTTGAAAGGGTGGAAGTCGTCGTACATCAGACCCTTGGACTTGTCCTCATCCGTCTGGCCATCACCACTGGCATCAGCAGCGGCCTTCTTGCTGCGCTTGGATACGATGTAGCCGGTGACTGTTTCGGCGGATGTAATGTCGGCCAGAACCTTGGAAGCCTCGTCGAAGACGGCCATGAGTTTGTCAAGAGTTTCTTCATTTTCAAGGACCTCGGAGGGTTGGACGGTCTTGTCGAAGCCAGTAACCTCGAAGACGTGATCGAGGACGACAGGGGGAAACTCTGTGATAGAGACGGCAAGGGCCTTGCGCAGAGCATCTCCAGGCTTCCTCTTGATCTTCTTGGTCGACTGGTCTTGGGATTGGCGCTCAATGGCCTTTTCCAGACCAGCACGGACTCGATCCTTGGTCAACGGTGGGACACCTCCGTAGTTCTGGCGCAACTCGAGGTTGTACTGGAGACCCAGACGGTAGCGCTCGTGCTCGGCACCCTCATCGACGTTTCTGAGCAGACCGATGATGTTGAGTTCGTTGTCGGTAAGGACGATGTTGCCGCCAGCGTAGAACTCGAGGAAAAGATGGTATTGGCCGTCGGAGAACTGAATGTCGATGATGCGGTCGGTACCGATCTGGGAGACCGACGTGACTCGTCGGGTGCGAAGGTACTTGCGGAGACGGGTGATGAAGGGCGAAGGAGCGGCGGCAGTGGCTCTAGCAAAGGTAGTGAGGTGGCATCGGAAGCCAGAGTCTATGATGAGCTGTTCGCGACGCTCTGGTTTGGCGAACTTGAACAAGAAGATTCGTGACGAAAGGTCGTAGATGTTGGACACGCGCAGGCTGACCAGGGCCGACGAGAGCTCATGTGCGATCACCTTGACGTCCAAGGACGAGAATCGCTGCTTCATATTTGATTTGGTTGGAGTCTTGGTGTGCAGAAGGGAGAGAGTCAAAGGACGGCGATGCGCTGTTGCTGCCCCACCGAAGACCATGACGACATGACCGAAAATTGGTCCTTGGTCCATAGTGCATGCTTGAATTATTTTGACTTCATGGTCATTTTTACTGACTCGTTCTGCTCGTCTGGTCCGTCCAGTCTCTGGTACGGCCACTAGAAAGGTATCCCACAAAGCATTCAATCATCGGTCGTGACGCTGCAAATGCTGCCGCCGTATAACGCCCATAACTCCTTTTTCCTGATGCCTCCCTGCTCGACCACTACAGCTTCCTACAGACCCTGTCGTAATCTCTCGCCCAGCTTCATCTTACCGAACTGCCAGGCCTTGAGCAGACCCTCTTCTGAGAGGTCGATGCCCTGCACGCTGCTAATGTCCTGCACAGGGGGCTTGCTGACGCGCGATGCAACAATCACAGGGTCCGTCTCGAGCACAATCCCGTCGTCGATGATCTCGTCAATAGCAAGTGATACTAGGTCGTAGTTTTCAACGATTGTGCGTTTGTCGACAGAGTTCCTGCAAGTACATGGTTAGCCTCGGTCTTCAGATCCAATGTATCGGCGCTACGCACTTGAGGAGAATGTTGAGAGAGTCGCGCAGAGCCAGAACAACAGAGTAGAGCAAGATTTCGTTCTCGTCGGCACCTCCGACAACGTAAAGCATGATATCGCTCTCCATCTTGAAGACTACGATTCGGTTGTCGTACAGGATAATGTCACTGTTCTGCTTGGCTGTCTTCTCCGAAAGTCCCTTCTCGAACGCCTTTTGATCCTTGAGTTGAGGGTATGGGTTTGCGCCGGGGAAGTCGTTGGCCGTAGCATTTGCAGGAGCATGAGGGGGGGAGTAGTATTTGGCGAGGATGCGCGATGAGTCGTCGGCCGCCAGGATCAGGACGGCATTGACCGAGAAGAGAGACATGTTGGGCGACATGATGGGCGACTGCGTTTATGCTGGTAATGTCTAGATGCAAGGCTTGTGATGGTGTCGGGGGTGTTTGTTGTAGTTGGAGCGTGGCCTCAATTCAGGGAGCTTCAAGCGTTGGTGACAACCGCCGGCCAGCTCACCTGTCCCACGACTTTTGCAAAGGGGAAGACGAAGCGAGCTCTTGCTTCACATGCAACTTGCGGAGTTCTGTCTCTCCCCCGAGATTTGGAAATTATTCGACATTTGATTTCAGCTGCTGGGTATTCTGGTTCCTGCCGTGTGAGAAGGGCGAAAATCACTCGATGCTGCGCGCGTCTACTCTGCAAAAGGCAGGCGCTCTCGCAAAACATGGACTCGCCGTAGCCACACGACCTTCGTTCGCTCCGACAGCTCTTTCCCGACTTGCCGCTCTTTCCCTCACACGACCATCTCGCTTCTACGCTACCACCCCCAAACACATTCGCAAACGACAAAAGCTCGCGCTAGAAGCCGATCGACCTCCCCCCTTCCTGCGCCATGTCGAACTTCTTCAGAACGCCCTCAATGCAAACAACATACCGCAAATAGCCTCTGCCTACAACCTTCTTCGCAACCAGCTCCCTCTCGGCGAGAAGGATGTCGCCGATATTGCAAAATCTCTACACACCTCGTTGAGGTTACTTCCAGGCTCGGTTCGCGAGACTCGTATCCCTGCAGACCTCAACAATCTTGCCGATCTCCTGGTTCTTGACATACGAGCCAAAGTCTTGCCCCCAAGTTACGATGCTCACTTGCACCTTTTGAGCTTCTACAAGGAGTCGACTGCTTTTGAAAAAGGAACCGCCTTCTGGTCCTGGCTGGTCAAACAAGGCGACGACCATGTCAATGCAAATCTATACGGTGTCGCTCTCGAACTCTTTGCCTTTCAAGGTCGTCCGGCCGAAGACACGGAGGAATTGTATGAGAAAGCTCTAGCTCGCTTCCCTGGTGTCTTCCTTGAGTACCATCTTTCCCACAACGCTGTCGTTGCAGATCGCACTCAGCCTACTGTCATATCAGGCATCCCTAGAAGTCTTCTACAAGGTATCCTGACCGCTCGCATCTTGCGCGGTGATGCTAAAAACGCCTACCTTACCTTGGACACTACTGCGAGACTTTTCCCCACCAGAATCCCAACTCGCTTCGTTACCCTTTTTGTCCAGGAACGCCCTCTTGATGAAGCCTACAAGGTTTTTATGCTTGCATGCCAGGCTGGTGCCACCCCTGGTCATGATGCCCTGAAGATCTTTTTGACAAGGCTGAGGAAGGTCGCTGCAGCAAAGCCTCTGGAACATGCTGCCATGTTGCGTGCAATGATCATGGTCTCCTATGCACACACGGCGTCTGGTGCTCCGCTACACAACAAGTCACTTACCGAACTTGTCGTAGGAATTACTAGCCTTCTGAAGGATGATGCTTACACGAGAATGTCTTCCGAGCAACTACGGCCTATAACCAATGCCATCAGTAATTTGCTTAGTGATCTGTTTAGCGTGTGGGCTAGCCAAGGGTCACCTCCAGCCACAGCTTCATTCAACTCTATGATTGCAAACCTCGCTGGTCGAGGCAGACGCAGAGACGTAATAGATCATGCTCTGGAAGCCATGGACCACTACAATCTCAAGCCAAACACTGTCACTTTTCGTTCTATCCTAGCAGCTGCAGGCGATATGAGCGATCCAGAGGGAATTCGCTCAGCTTGGACCGACCTTGTCGCCAACCGCATCGAAAAAGGTGCTGCTCTGGAACTTGTTGATTGGCAAAATCTACTGAACGCCACTCGACGTATCAACGACCCGGAGTATCTGCGACAACAGCTGTCCAACTTTGAGCATATCGTGTCTCCTTATATCCTAGACCGGATGAACAACAATCTCAAGTCTGAAAACTTTTCGAGGCAGCTTCACCCGAACAAGATGCCTTCTTCGGACGATCTGGAGACGGTGGCGAAAACAATGAAAGTTCTCGAACTGATCAAGCAAGATATCGCATACATGTCCGAGAATGCGCATGTGGGTCGCAACTTTTACGCTGAGCCACTGCCGCTCCATCTACTCAACCGCTCAAGTGTGTACACGAACGTGCCGGAAGAATATATTCGTACAGTGTACGATGAAATGACAACAGATTCGTCAGCAACTCTCGACATCCTCCCACCATCACCTTCTGAGCCAAGGCCAGATGTCGAGGCAGAGGCAGACACAGAGACAGAAGCGAAGGAACAACAACAGGCTCCAGCGATGAGCCCAACAGGATATCCGCTTGATGAGCTTCGATATCAAAACTGGAGGGCAGTCAATGAACTACTGTTTGATGCGAAGCAGTACGACAAAGAGTATATGGATGCTGTTGACGAAGCCATCAAGCGCAGTGTACCACCTCCTTCCCGCAATACAGAGCTGAGCCATGCACCGAAACTCGACGAGTTCGTGGGCTTGAGCGACTTAGCAACCAGCTCCACTAACACCACACAAAGCGATGTTTCTGAAGATAAGCACAAAATAACGCTTGATGAATTCCGCGAGAAGATCTTCGAGCTTCGTGGTCGCAAGGCATGAGGCAATATATTGCATTTCATTATCGTCATCTCTGAGTAAGCGGAATGCGGGATGAGTAGCAGATTCCTTGAACCAAAACGCCGGCACGATGATGCCATTAACATCAGACCCGATGGAAACACAAGAAAAGATACAAGCCTCAGCGGTGCTGATATGGCCCGTCTGTCAGGCTGCTGTGACACTCCGAAAAACTCCGAACCCTCTCCTCTCAATAAATCCGACAACATCCTTGAGTGGTGCTCTGATGTAACTACCCGGGTATAGGGTGTGCTGTGAACGATGGGTACCAGCCCTCGTCAGATGATCAAGGACGGTGAGACGAAAAGGCCTCGGTCGGTGATGGTGGAGGAGCAGGCGTCTCGTCCTTCTGAGCGATCCGGATCTTGAGATCCTTAGTACGTGGCTGCGAAGCTGAGGCTGCGAAAGCAGCGTTGAAGTCTTCGTGTGTGAAAGAGTCGGAGCGCAAGATCAAGCGCGGACGGTTGGCGGCTTGAGGGTGTGCGGGAGTCATATTGACTAGGTTTGTGTGATGGTTGTGAGTGTTGGACGAGAGTGGTGGAGCTGTGTGCAAGCCAACAGCTGTGTCTTGAAGCGAGAAGCGATGTGGAGGACAATTCGATTGACAAGGACGAAACTCCTTCAACTCGATCTGATGTTCGTCGGTCGATGTTAATGGAACTCGACGGTGTTTGGATTTGGTGTGACAAGAGCAACCTTGATGGTATAATGAAAATCAAAAAGAGAAGATAAACGACAAAGGCCAGCGAGCGAAGGAGGCCCGGAATAAATATCCAGCAGCAACCTCCTTGTCACATCATCTTTCAGCCGCCACCCACACGTATCACCACAATCAGGATAAATTTCACACCGCCAGCCTTCGAATGACAGCCCATCACGCTTATCCCCCCCTTCATCCTTGCACATTTTCTTTTTGGCTGACACCCGTGAAAGAGAACGCCGTTTCCCGATACACACCACTTAGCTATCTCCTTTGCTCTGATGCGTTCGGGGTGCATTAGATCAAACGGAGCCGTGTGTCCCGCGCCCGCGCGCCGTCCCTTTGGAACCAAACTGTCGGGTCCGTCCCCAGTCTCCTGTCCAAACGTGGGCGCATGGAAGATTTTCGTACACCATCGACACCGCTCGTGTTTGACCGACCATGTACATGTAGGTTTTGCGGAGTCTTTGTTGCAATTCTCTTTGTCAGCGTATTCCACCAGAGTATTATTGCCATCACACTCTTGTGATATGGACTGATGAGGGGCCAGACTTGGGCTCCGTCTCACAAGAAACTTGACCGCTGCCCAGTGTGTTTTATGCAATACAAAGATATATTGGAAGAAGGGCTTCACGGCTTCGATTTGGAAGTCCGGACAGGGGGCAATACATGCCGATCTGGGACTCTAGAACCGTTCTTGTTTAGATGAAGTCGATTGGATTGGTGGATCGCATTGTCCAATCTCTTTTCGCTATCTTCTGTTCTTTCTGGCTATTCGCTCGTCATGTCTGTCGGGTCGAACTTGGAAGTGATATTCATGACAATTCCGTCTTGTCGAATAAAAAATGCCACTCTCACATATAACAGATCATCAAAAAGATCACAGAAAGAACGCATAAACGCAGTGGTCCATCAACTCCACATCAAGCATGCGAATGCAAGATCCCAAACTTCGCATAGTGCGGCGACTGCTATTGAACCAGGGGTATGGGATTGGTGGCTTGCTTACAAACTGCTTTTCTGCACCTTTTCTTCCCTGTTGTTTGACGATCATCACAAAAGCTCGGATAAACATCTGCAGGCTTCGGATAAATTGCGATGTGAGTATCAAAGTCCATGCAAGCGAGGTCCGAATAACTTGCTTCAACTTCATGGTAAGAAGTTCATACCCGATGATCCGGATGGATTGGGTATAAGAGCGACGATATATCTTGTAACCAGTAATTTATCGCTCCAGAGGTGATTCAATTAGGTGGCAACGTTGGGAGAGAGAGAGAAAGAAGGAGAAGTAAAGATGCTAGATCACGCTTACACGTCAGTTCTTCCTGCAAGCTGCAACACCTGGTCCTTGTGATATGTACAATGCAAGAGGGCAAAGAAAGGTATCGGTAAAGCGGACCGAGTTTACCCATGTAGCAAATTCCACAATCAATCCACGCTTTTGTCCTTTTCTCTCCTTGTTGCCGTTTGCTTGATGCAGTTTCTTCGTGACTCCATGACGCAGTCTTTGCTCTCCGCTTCCATGGTAAACCTGCTTGATGTCGTCAGTAAATCTGCACGCACGTTTTTCTCTCTGACCTTCACCTCCGCAAATCAACCTTTATGCAACGATAAACAGGCTCGCAGCAGTAAAGATGGGGATCTGGAGTAGAAACAAGGGGTAACGAGGAAAAGCTGGAGAGCGACTCTGGCGAGGTGCATGAGGTGCACAGATGGTCAAGCAGGGTGCCGTTTGTTGCCCGTTTTTGTGTTACACATCTGCAAGTCTGGGGCTGCTGTTGTGTAACGCAGCTCAGGGGCACGGGCACCGATGGACGAGGTAGTGGCATCGAGGTGGACGGTGGAGATCGGTGTGACCGGGGGAGTGGGGCCCAGGGTTTGTCTGTGATGGTGTGATGGTGCTTGAATATGGGAGTTTGTGGGGGATGAAGGGCAAGAAGGAGAGGATCAAGGCGACCGGGTTGTTGGGTGCGTTGGAGTGGTTTACCTTGCTTCATCCTGACTTGGAGGCAAATTGGAGTTTACGATCTGGCACAATCTGGGGAAGAAGTGGCTTTGGAGATTGCGTGAACAAATTTGCTCAGAAAGGCAATGATAACTTGTCATTCATATATCAGAGACGGTCAAGGTGAGTGTCGATCGATCTCCTGCTAGACAATCAATCAGTCGCAAACAGTCAAACTACAGACATCAATGTCCCCCAGAAGAACTGCTCGGATATCCAGACTCGGGCTTGTAAAGGCCGACTTCTAATCTTTGTGGAAAACGAGGTTGATTGGCTCAGCTGGCTGGGTCACGATATCGATCTTCATCTTTGGACGCTCGGCCATCTTGCATTCAATCCGCGAGTATGTTTGCAAGATGCGGACAGTTGTGTATGCCACTTCGGTCAGAGCAAATTGTTGACCTGTTACATTGAATTAGCAGGTGTTTCTTTCTCGTAAGAACTGGACAGTAAGAGCTTACCGATACAAATGCGTGGTCCACCGTTGAATGGGATGTCTATATTCTTGGTCAGTAAAAGTTCGTTAATATGTGGCTGTGTACTCACATGTCCACATCTTTGGTGTCCATCTGTCCCATCGATCGGGCTCAAAGCTGAGGTAATGAGGGAATTTCTCGGAGGTCGGTGGGTAGATGTCTTCGCGATGCTGTAAGAATAAGGTCGAGTATCCGATAGGCGTGTTGGCTAGGTTCATGTAAGCAGACGGAAACGAGGCTCTTGTTGGCTGATGTGGCTTACCAGGAACACCAATCGGCTGAGTGCCGTCAGGACCACCACCGCGCGGCAAAGTGGTATCCTTCAAAGCAACTCTGACGTTGAAGGGAACAATAGGATATAGTCTCAATGTCTCGTTCATGACGTGAGTGAGATATCGCATGTTCTTCAGATGAGCATAGGTTGGCTTGTCTTCCATACCCACATGCTCTTCAATCTCGCGTCGCAGCTTCGCGACGATGTCAGGTCTTCTGGAAATCTCACTGAACAGCCATGAGAGAGTGCAGGCAGTGGTGTCACGTCCAGCGAGCAACACGGCAGCCAACTGATCTCTCAAAACCGTGCGATCACGGGTGAAGCTAGCAAGCGCATACAAGAAGTTGTAGCCTTCATCTGACTTGGACTTCTTCTCGAGCTCTTCCGGAGTCAACTGCAGAGTCTCTTCGATGAATGGCTGCATGAACTCTTCCATGATTTTGATGGAAGCGTGGAAGGCTTTGCGGGGTACGAAACGATTTAGAGGTCCCACACGAGCGATGGTGGATTGAACGTTCTGGATCGTGGCAAAGGCGTCAGCGAAACGATCCTGAGGGTTCTCCAAGCTGTTCACACTGTGACCAAGCAAGAAAGCTGTGCTGGCATCCAATGTGAATTTGAAGAATAGATCCATCGCATCTACGGTTTGCGAATTCTTGGTTCCGCCGAGCATAGGAAGGAGAACTTCCAGATGTTTTTCAAACACTGCTAAGTCGGAGACGCGGTCTTTGATGAACTGAGGGCGGAGGAGTTGACGAGATGCATGCCATCTTTCTCCATCAGTGGTGAAGATGCCTATGATATATCAGCATCTCTATTACCTTCACTAATTGAAGCTTCTTACTGTCTCCCAAGAAGTCGTGCCATTCGGAATTGAATTGTGCACCCTTGCCATAATCACCAAATTGTGTGGCAAGAATGGCCTTGATGTTTTCCTCGTCGGCGGTCAAGACTAGTCGCATTCCGATGGTTCTTATCTCACGGGTGAATGGGTGAACTGCAGAACGGTCTGCAAAAGTCGTATACCATCCTGCGAGCAAATTGTGATTGCGTTGATCGCGCAGTGTTCTTGCAATGAAGCCTAGCCCAAATGGAACCCATGAGTGGACTGTTTTGGCATGCGTTCCTAGCGATCGGATTTTGCGCTCCTCCTGTATTCTTGCAAATAGATGTTGGGCGAGTAGAAGGAGGACTATTCCGCCCAGGGCGAGCAAGATAGGGCTGTGTCCAGAGGAAGAGGCGTCGGACCGATTGACGGCCATGGTTGCGATGAGTTGTCCCACACAACCGATCTTGCCTTTTTGATGTAGGATGTTGCGGGGTATGTCCAATGGCTCTGGGGAATAGATGTATCGATATGGGGATACTTTATATTCGAGTAGGATACAGGTGTGGTCGGGGTCCACGGAGAGCAAACTTCCCGCCGGCCTCGGAAACACTACCGAAATTGGTCTAGTGACTGCTTCTTCCTTGCATCATCTACTCTAAGCTGAACACGAGCTATCCATACCCCTCACCTCTTCCATCTACACGTTATCCGAACGGACAAATCACAGAGCGCATTGAGTTCCATTCTGCGTACAGAATGGCATTTGAATGGGCTCGGCGCCAATGCCTTTCGCCACTAAACGCTCTCGCATCTCGCTCAATCTTGGACTTGCAGTGATCTGACTGCGATTCTGCCCATTTTCGTCTTTGGCGCCGCTCCAGAGAACCTCGGCGGCTGCACAGGCACGTGGCCATACCTGTCTGTCGATGTTGACAGGATCGGTCTGCTCGCTCCAGATGTGAACTTCGCCGCCCAGAACGAGATGTGTAAGATTTCCAGGCACGCCGTTGAGTGGGTCGTAGGCATACATCATTCTCCAATTGTGCAATGGTGCGCAGTAATCATAGTATGGGTAGTAGGTCTGCGACACATCGGGATAAAAGTCAAGCCACTGGCCATGACCACAATCGAGGTACTAAAAGGCGTTCATCAACTTGAAGTCCTGATGCTTCGGGAATGGAAACCACTTACCCAGTAGTTGTAATTGCCTACAAGAGCTTTGTGACCTTTGCTCACAGTTTGCGCTACTGCCTCATCGCTCTGCCAGGTCTGGACGACCACATCAGATCCAAGCGTAAGATTCCAGGTCAAGAGCATTTCCTCCCACGCAATTGGAGTCAGACCTGCAGCTCGTACCTTGGCATGAGCTCTATCGACAAATGCCTGCATCAAAGGCTGTAGGATTGCAGTATCATTTGAGCGCACGGTGTCATCGAGGTTGTAGGCATTGACATTGACCTCATCGCCACCTGTGTGGAAATATGACGAATATGGCAGAACTCGTGGCAGCAGGTCATCGAACAGAGTGTCCAAAAATTCAGTCACGGCCGAGGAGTTCAACTTCAGGGTGCCAGATGGTGGCTCGGCGGCGTACTTTGACCAGTCCTCTTCGTTGAACGCCGCTATCAGCTCAGGGTACGAATATGCGATAGATGAGGTATGGCCTGGCATGTCAATCTCAAGAATCACCTCCACACCGCGAGAGGCACCATAGTCTTGGATATACGCCATTGTCGAAGGATCGTATGTAAGACCTTCTCGGTACGATCCTTTCTCGGCCAACATCGGTAATGCTGGGATCTCGATTGGCCATGATTGAGCATCAGTAATGTGAAGATGGAGACGATTGAACTTGTTGTACGCCAGAGCATCGATCATTCGCGTGATATCAGTGGGCGCGTACCATACTCGCGAGACGTCCATGTTGAGACCTCTGTGCTGGAATTTGGGAGCATCCGTGATCGAGACCGGAGCATGAGTTGTGTAGACCGCGCCGCTGGAATGCTTGTAGAACAGCTGTGTGAAGGTTGTCAAGCCATGAGCAATGCCAACCGAGGTGGCCGCAGTGATGGTAGCTTGGCCATCGGTCGCAATATACAGCGAGTAAGATTCGTCGACCTCGCCGGCCAGAGGCTTCGTTACATTTACTGGATCAGCCTCAGTCTGTTCTAAGTGCACCGTCTTGATGTAGGTGCAAGAAGCATTTATCGCAGGCTCGAAGTTGGAATGGCGAGGATGAAACTTCCACGGAATGAAGTTCTGTTCGAACAGAGTCTGGGAAGTCGTTTTGATAGCTGTAGAAATGACCTTTTGAGATGACACATTGTGGCGATCGTAATTCCCGTGCTGCAAGTCAAAGAAGTTAAGGTCTTGTTCCAACGGCATCTGCTCTGGCTGGGGAAATGCTACCTGTACGGCACCATTGAAGATGAACTTGACTCTGCGATCCACAAATAACACCTCTTCTCCCGTCGTGATGTTCGATGGTATCGGCCATACAGCGAGGACTTGAACGACAAACAGACTGAGCAAGAGATAAGACCACATCGCAAACGAGATAACGCGGAGAGACAGCAGACGAACTCTTCGCGACAAAATGGAGTTAGATACGATATAATAGATCAAGACAGGGAGTAGGAAAAGAAAGACATCAAGTGTCCCTTGCCAAACCTTGGAATTTATGTCTCATTCGTGCGTACGAGGAGTTCATCAAAGATAGGCACGTTGCAGGCTGGGGGGCAGGCGGGGTTAGAGATGGCGTTGCACATCAAAAACTGACTTTAGGCGGAGTCGCGTCTCCTGTTTTGCTTTGACAAGGGTATACCACCTATGCTCTTGAAATCGGTATAAACAAGCGAGCAGGTGTTGAAAGACGCGATGAAGAAGGAAGCGCTATCAGAGTGAGGAAGCGTGGTTACTAAGCAAAATGTCCTTGCATCACACCCGGCAGTACGAACGACAATGCAGTAGCTGTCGATGGAATGTTGCCTCGATGGGAAACTACAGTCTGCAGGCAACTGTATCTGGGTGGTTTCAGACAAAGACACAAGAAAGTCAAATAATGCTGCCACCACACTCCCTGGATCAGAGTTGAGCCAGGACTCATTGAGGGCAGCCCACCACGAGGTCTCCATATCACACGTTGTTCACCTATCATGATATTCAAACACGCACTCCAAGGTTCCGAGACCAAGTCATGCTTCCACAAACGCTTAGTGCATCGACAATGTCCAATTAGTTGATTTTGGTGCACTGGGTACATGCTGACAGTTACTCAGGGTCGTACATGCGGAAACGCACATGGCAGCTGGTGCTACTCCCACGCCAATCTTGCAACAATCCGCCCAGAAAATTTATGTTACGATGAAACTTTGGAAGACTGTAGAGACTGCATTAGACGTAACAATAGGCATTCTCATGAGACAATCAGGTACTGTCAACTTCTACTCGCTCCGGCATAGTTGTGCCGTATTCCCGTATATCGCAGATCGATCGGAAACTGAATCACAAGCTGATCGTAGCTCCTAGCCCAGAAGCTATAGTAACGATAGTAGTGATAACTATTATATGCAGAGCTCGTGTTGTAGCCCGACTGTGTCCAAAAGTGCCAAGGACATGAACGAGAGTATGAAAGTCTTCCGCAACTCCGGACACGACCCCGCGCATGCCCTATCCTCGTGATCCTCAGCGTAACACACATCAATCTCCAGGTACAGAGAAGAGAAATTACCGGCTTTCAAGACCAACAGTGTCCCACATCCGAAAGGGTGTCAGAGGGATGCGGGGTGCTGATGCGGGGTAGGTGTCGACGATGTGTATAAAGGTCTGGCATCATGACACTCATGTACGAGTCTCACTAAGCAGCATATCATCAATGTAATGGGACTTCCTACCAGCCAGAAAGCAGCCGTGAAACAGGGTGAGGGCAAATTGTCCACGGCACCAGTCGAAGAAGTCCCTGTCCATGAGCCAGGCCCAGGTCAAATCCTCGTCAAGATCAACTGGACTGGCCTATGTGGAAGCGACAAATCACTTATCTACGATGAATGGGCTACCCAGGGCATAAAAATGCTTCCTGAGACTCATGGCATTGCAGGCCACGAAGGAGCAGGAGAAGTCGTCGCAGTTCATGACGACGTCAAGGATCTCTGGAACGTTGGAGATCGAGCAGGCGTCAAATGGGTCGCCAGTGTGTGCAAGAAGTGTGAATTCTGCACCAACGGAACCGACGAGCTGCAATGCCCCAAACAGCTCAATTCTGGCTTCTCGATCCAGGGCACCTTTGCGGAATACTGTCTGACAGATGCTCGTTACGCCACAAGGTTGCCGGAGGGTGTATCCGACGAAGAAGCAGGTCCAATTCTATGTGGTGGAGTGTAAGTCGTGTTCATGAGCTGTAAACTCGAACATGAATGCTGACTGTACCTAGCACGGTATGACAGACTGGACCTGTCGATATGAACACGTACTGACTTCCCTAGGCATACACTGCTTGTAAGCGAAGTGCTGTGAAGCCTGGTCAATGGATTGTTCTGCCAGGTGCTGGAGGAGGTCTCGGTCATCTTGCCGTACAATACGCGAAGGCAATGGTACATTTGCTCACGGCTCAATGGTTGTAGCTCAAACTGATGACTCGCAGGGCATGAGGATCATCGCTGTTGACGGCGGAGACGAGAAGGGCAAGCTCTGTAAACAGCTCGGTGCAGAGCACTACGTTGATTTCCGCGAATGCAAAGACGTAGCTGCTGAAGTTATGAAGCTTACGACCTACGGAGCCCATGGGGTTATCGTTTTTGCCGCTACCAAAGAGGCATATGGATCGGCCCCAAACTTCCTGCGTCCAGGTGGAACTGTGGTAGCTGTTGGGTTGCCGAAAGACGAGACGATCATTGCAGGTGCGTCGCCTTTGATGCTGGTCTTGAAGAGGCTCAACATTGTTGGTTCCGTAACGGGCACCTTGAAAGAGGTGGAAGAAGCGCTTGATTTTACGGCAAGAGGGCTGGTCAGACCCATACTCACGAAAGGGACGCTGGAGGACGTCGACCGCTTCTTGCAGCTATTAGACCAAGGCAAGCTCCCCGGCCGAGCTGTCCTTAAGATTGCAGCTTGATTATTATTGAATCGACTGTTATCGATCAAATCGCGTGTCGCTGGGAGGTTGTTGCCATAGGATATTTGGAACGCCTGTTTTGGATAGCAGCAGGCTTTTGGAACCCGTTCTAGTGGATGATCGATCCGAGAACAGAGTATGACAATCATGTAAAAGTCCATCAAGCTACTGTTCCTTCGTGGAACGTGCCATGAGTTCTTGCGACTTCTTGACATCTATCATTTTGAACCCTTGGAACAGGGATTTGTACGGGATGTGTCAACCATTCTTTGGCGACGGCGGCGACAGTTGTCGACATTCAAGCTCAGTAGAGGCATTTATTGAGTATCGCACTCTCTCAACAACGGCGTTTTCTCGCTTCGGAAGAAGTGTGCTTTGTTGGAAGGTGCAATTTTCTCTAGTAATGGCCGCCTCGCGCCAAGTCTTTTTTGTCTATGACGCTTGGCACACACTGATTTCGACGACATCTCGCTGTCGCTGTCAGATTACCAATGACATTGAAGGTCGTACTTGACAATCGCTTGTGGCGATACTAACCGATCAGCCTGAAATGATATCGAAAGAAGCAAGAAATCCAATGCCATGCTTACCGAGCAAAGCCGATCATAAATGGAGCTCTACGACCTCGCCAGGCCTCTCGCGTGTCGAAACGTTGTCGGCCTGCACCGATGCCTGCAAAATTACCTTCGGGACCTCTACGGGAGTCGGCAGCCTTCGCGACAGTGGACCGATTTTACTTTCCAGAATGTAGGTCTCTCGTGTTAGAAGGGAAACTTTTACGTCGCAAAACTCGACCCTCGCACCGCTAAGCGCAACTTCCGCCTCTCCATTGGTTGTGTTCCTCTGCCTACCCCAGTGCTACAGAGTACAGACTGCAGAATGGCTCCGTTCAACACTTGGTCCGTTCTGCTTGTCGTCCGGGCCGGCCAGGGAGGCATGGTGGACCTCGACAACGGGTTCCGATGTGCACAAGAGATCCGTCATCAGAGGGTTACTCACTGGGTTGCATTTTTTGTCTTAGCGCTGATGTAGGTGTTCATTAAAGACGTGAAAGCCCCCTTCGCGCCTCGTAGCTCTTTATCGTTTCTTAGCCTGACGCCTCTTTGCTTGTATTTGCTTGACATTCGAACGTCCGACCATGGATCACGAATCATCCGCAGCTGAGTATGTCTCTCTCTCTCTTTGAATATCCCACACACATGGTGGAATGTAAGGTTACGCACGTGGGCACACTTTGTGCTAGGAAGGGTAATTCATTGGAGTTTCCTTTGCGTAAAGCATCTGCTCGTGTGATGTTGGATCATCAATCCTTCAGACCCAAAATCTGAACAATTATCGCTTGGTAGCATCTCTGCTAACACTGTATCAAGGCTTCACGCTACGGCCGTCGAACCACGCCTGAAGGAACACAAAGACATGGCTGGCGGCGTGGAACCAGCAAAACCCGAATACCCCCACGAAGAGCATGGAGAAATTGCAAGTCTCAGCAACGATGGCGACCAGCCAACCGAAGAAGAAAGACGAACACTACGAAAAGTTTCCGACAAGCTTCCTTGGGCCGCGTTCATCATCTGCATCATCGAACTTTGCGAGAGATTCACCTACTACGGTCTTTCTGGTCCTTTCCAAAACTACATTGAGAATAGCTATGGTGGCAGAGTGCCTGGAGCTATTGGCCTTGGACAAACCGGAGCCACTGGCTTGACCGATTTCTTCCAGTTCTGGTGCTATGTTTGCCCGGTGTTTGGCGCGATCGTCAGTGATCAATACCTTGGAAAGTACTGGACCATCTTCTACTCCGCTCTCATCTACATTTTGGGCAACTTGATTCTATTTTTGACTTCGCTCCCTGTTGCCATTGAGAACGGTGCTTCTCTGGGAGGTCTGATCGCCGCCATGATTATCATTGGTATCGGTACTGGTGGTATCAAGTCGAACGTGTCGCCTCTTATTGCCGAGCAGTACCAGAACACCAGCCAATTCGTCAAGACTCTGAAGAGCGGAGAGCGAGTCATCGTCGACCCTGGAAAGACAATCCAGAGAATCTACTCCATCTTCTACATGATGATCAATATCGGCTCTTTATCGTCTATCGCCACAACCGAGCTCGAGGCCAACATTGGTTTCTGGCCCGCTTATCTGCTTCCCTTCCTCATGTTCCTGGTCGGATTCGCAGTTCTCGTTGCTGGAAAATCCAAGTACAAGGTCAGAGCACCTGCCGGTTCGGTCATCCCCAAGGCCTGCAAAGTCATGTGGATTACCATGATGAACAAGGGCAACTGGAACGCTGCAAAGCCAGAGTACTCGGAAGAGTTTACTGGTGGCAAGAAGTACAACTTGAAATGGGATGGCATCTTTGTTGAGGAAGTCAAGCGCGCCCTTGTTGCTTGCAAGGTCTTCTGCTTCTTCCCCATTTACTGGGTCGTCTATTCTCAGATGCTCAACAACTTCATCTCTCAGGCTGGTCAGATGCAGCTTCATGGCATCCCCAACGATTTGATGCAGAACTGGGATCCTATCACCATCATCATCTTCATTCCAATCATCGACTACCTCTTCTACCCTGCTCTCGGCAAGCTTGGATTCCAGATGAAGCCCATCACCCGTATTACTCTTGGTTTCATGTTCGGTGCCGCTGCCATGGCCTACGCTGCTGGTGTACAGAAGCTCATTTACAAGACTGGACCTTGTTATGATGCGCCCGGTGCATGCGAAGCTGGTTTACTCCCTGACGGCACCTACGCTCCCAACAACGTTCACGTTGCGATTCAAGCCCCTGCATACCTCCTGATTGGTCTCTCTGAGATCTTCGCCAGTATCACAGGTCTTGAATACGCCTTCACAAAAGCACCTGCAAGCATGAAGTCGTTCATCATGTCACTGTTCCTTTTGACCAGTGCATTCGGATCAGCGCTTGGTATTGCCCTCTCTCCCACTGCAGTCGACCCCAAGCTTCTCTGGATGTACGTCGGCCTCTGTGTTGCCTGCTTTGTGGCCGGTGTCCTCTTCTGGATGATCTACAGCAAGTACAACGACACCGAGGAGGAGATGAACGAGCTTGAGAAGTTTACCGCGCCAGCCAAATCAGTTGATGTTGGAGATGAGGAGAAGGCAGCTGCTGCCGAGGCTCCTGCTCGTGAGAGGCCGGTGTCTGCATAGAGGCTGGAACACAGTGTTTGATTAGTAGGTTTGTAACGGATCATGTATAAATAGCTCAACGAAGAATCCATTCTATCATACAATGTCTTGACACTGTGCAGGTGGTTGTGATGTTCAGTGAAAAAGGACGAAGGAGCATTGCACGTGATGGATATGCAGCCACTTCCGCCGTGAATGACGCGCGGTTCATTGTCTCGTGTTGGCGAGCGCCATAAGGTTACACACGACGACACACTAATCGTGGCCATCTGCTTTGTTTACCCCCAGCATCAACTACTACTAGCACTACTATATGCCGGCTCAGGCAGTTGGACAACTTGACGCCATGGTTTGAGCGGGCAGTCGCAAGAATGATAGACGCGTCGAAACGTTTACGCAGGGCGATACTCTTGTCGGACGCTTTGCTGGTCAAACGCATCATCCGCTCCAACCCTGGCATCCTACAGAACCCGGACTTCAGCGACAAGAGCAACACGAGTTTGCACCTTGCCGCCCGCGCTGGCAGCGTCGAGATTGTGGTAAGAACATCTTGCCCGCGCATTCAACGGCCCTCCAACGTCATAGACGAGCAAAGACCAATACTCGATTCTGTAGGAACTCATCGTCGACGACGGACACGACGACTCGGACATCTCGCGCAATGCCGACTGGGACACACCGCTGATGCTGGCTGCCCGACACGGCAATGTCGACGTCGGCATCCTCCTCGCCAATCGCTTCCCACGCTGCATCCCCATCACCAACAAGCTAGGCTTGGATGCAGTATGCCACATCTGCTTCCTGTCAGCTACCGCATGCTGACTCTGCATCTTACAGCTCGCTCTGTCGTGCCTCAACCCTGCGTCCACGCCCTTAGTATCCTTGCTGTTGTCCCATCCAGAATACCCCGCCTCTGCCGATGGTCGCGACAACCACGGCGACACACCCCTCCACCACGCATCTGCCTCAGGTTCCCTCAAAGCCCTTCGTATCCTCCTGTCCGCAGGTGCAGACCCAACAGCCAAGAATGCCTACGACTGGACACCTCTCGCATACAGTCAAACAGTAGCCGCAGAGGTCTACTTCAAGAACCTGGTCGCCGAACTCGAACGCAGGAAAGCCGAAGGTCTCCGCGGGGAGCAAGAGAGAAGGGAAGAAGCTATAAAGCGCAAATATGCCGGCGTGCGCCTCGTTACCGAAGACAGTGAAGCCTCTTCGCGGCCCAGTGTCGATACGGCGAGATCTGAGAGTAGCAACTCCATTTCTAGTCCTATCGACCAGAGAAACGCATTCACACCGACGGTCGCAAAGAGCAATCCTTGGGTCAATGGCGGCTTTGAGACGAGAGCACGAGCTTGGAGTGGAGAGTAAGAAGGTCAACGAAACAGATTTCGACTCATTTCGGCTGTTGATTCAGCTCTTGTCGTTGCTCCGCCCACCGAGATCACGACGATATTCTCGTCAGCGACCAGAGAGGCTGAGTCCGCCGATTCGAGCTACGTAGATATCAACCGAATCGGTGATGTTGGCCCTCAAAACGCACCATCGGAGCAACCCTCCAAACCGACTGCTCAGCCAACGAGTGGTGGAATACCCTCGTTCAAATCTGTGCCGCGCCATAATGTTTCTATGGACATTTCTCTCAATACAGAAGGTGTTCCTAGGCGCGCTCTCAATGCCCGCGACCCTAACACCAGCTTGAAAAGGCAGGTTGTTGATCACGAAGGCAGGACCTCCCACGTCATCTCGGCCAACATTGCGCACCCGGTGCTTCCAGAAACAATGGCATTATTATCGACAACTCATTCGACTACCTCGACATCAACGCCATCTCTGACATAGATATCGCTGCCCATCCTCCATCTCCGATCCGATCACCTTCAAAGCCATCATCCCAGGTAACCCTCGAATTTCATAGGCGTCCCCAACCTATCGCTACTATTCGCATCCTCGCTGCTTCGCTTACTGCAGAACCGCCACAAGCCGAGTGGCCAACCATTACACCAACACTTTATCCTCGCATCACAAAGACCGTCCGCTCCACCCCC